GCTCTACCCACAGACGTGATCGAGCAATCCTCGGCGCTCTTGTCGGCCATTTCGTCTCTTGAGCAAGCGCTTAGTGGAGCCACGAGCGCGCCATTGCCAACGCAAACGTCGCTGCTCGGCTCCATGCTGTCTAGCCTACAGGATCAGCTCACATCGGTTGTTCCCACCCAAGCTCCTTCCGCCACCAATATTGCTCAATCCGTTGCAAGCGGTCTGTCCTCCTTCATATTTGGGGCGACCACCGAGCTCCCGGGCGCAGTGTCCTCTTTGCAGAGCGTCCTCTCCCAGACGCTTCCTTCCGACGTTGCCTCGGCCTCCAGCCAGTTGGCTGCGGCACAGTCGTCTCTCGAGGCCTTGGCATCGAGTGCGACTGGCGTGGTTGGCTCAGACGCGCAGTCGATCCTCTCGACGCTGGCTTCAAACCTAGACCAGGCTACCGCGACGCTGCCCCTCTCCGAGGCTCAAAGCTCGCTGCAGGGAGCCGCGTCCACCTTGTCGAGCCTGCTTGCCATGCCTACGTCCGTTATCGCAGGCAACGCGCAGAGCTTGCTGTCGTCGATGCAAGATGTGCTGAGCAGTCAGGCGGCCACTTTGACCTCTGCTGCCGGCGCCCTCCCGACATCTGACCTTGGTGCCGCCCAGAGCTCCCTTCAAAGCATGGCTTCGTCTCTGCAGGATCTCTTGAGCAGTCAGGCCGCTGCTGTCACCTCTGCGGCCGGAGTGGTCCCGACAACGGCTAACCCCGACGCACTCCAGAGCCTGGCATCATCGTTGGAGGGTCTCTCCTCGTCGGCTGCCGGGGCTCTTCCCACGTCTGCACTCGACGCGGCTCAATCCTCGTTGCTCAGCGCCATCTCAGAGGCAGCTCAATCTCTCACTGGAGGCGCGGCTACCGCAATTCCAACGACGACGCCCTCATTCGATGACTTGACTTCGATCCTGGGCGCTCCTCTTTCTTCGGCCGACCAGCTCTCACGCCTGTCTTCCCTCTTTGGCAATGCCGGCAGCATCACTGCGCCCATCCCGACGGCAGCTCCTACCGGCGTCATCAGCAGCTTGAGCAGCCTCCTCGCCGCGCAGACGTCCAACGGCCTGCCTGTCGAGTCGCTACTTTCCTCCATCTCACAGGTCCTGGGCGACCAGGCGTCCGTCACCTCTCAGCTTGAATCGCCGGCGGCTACGTCAATCTTGGACAACTTGTCAAGCATCCTTTCCAACACCGCTGCTCCTCTACCCACCTCTTCCATTTTGGCACAGGTCTCGAGCGTCCTCGATGGTGCACAGAGCCAGCCCGCGATCCTCAGCTCGCTGAGTAGCGTCTTGCAAAACACGGCCGCGCTGCCGACTTCGCAAGTCGCAAGCGCATTGAGCAGCCTGCTCAGCGATGCGCCAACGCCTACTGTGACGCAGCCAGGTGCCATCGCATCGCTGACGAGCGTGCTCAACAACCCCACGCTGCCGACTTCCAGCGCCCTCTCCCTCATCTCAAGCATTGTCGGTAACGCCGCGTCGAGCTTGCCTGCCGTCACGCAGCCGGCAGAGATTGCCTCGCTCACCAGCATTCTCGGCAACACCGCTCTGCCCACTTCGAGCGTCCTCTCCATGATCTCGAGCATCCTGGGCAATGCACAGTCAAACCTGCCTACTGCCACGGAGCCTGCCGTCATTGCATCATTGACCAGCGTTCTCAACAACCCCACGCTGCCGACGTCCAGCGCTTTGTCTCTCATCTCGAGCATACTCGGAAATGCAGAGACGGCTCTGCCCACCGTCACGCAGCCTGGAGCGATCGCTTCATTGACCAGCATCCTCAACAATCCGACACTCCCGACTTCGAGCGCCCTGTCGCTCATCTCGAGCATCGTTGGCAATGCAGCATCCAGCTTGCCGACCGTGACTCAACCAGACGATGGCGCAATCGCTTCATTGACCAGCATCCTCAACAACCCGACGCTTCCAACGTCCAGCGCCCTCTCGTTGATCTCGAGCATCATCGGCGATGCGGCTTCCAACCTCCCGACCGCGACGCAACCCGGTGCAATGGCCTCACTGACGAGCGTCCTCAACAACCCAACGCTGCCCACTTCGAGCGCTCTCTCACTCATCTCGAGCATTCTCGGAAACGCAGGCTCTTCGATCCCTCTGCCCATCGAAGCCACCAGCGTCATTGGAGACGTGCAAAGCATCTTGACCAACACTGCTCTTCCCACATCGAGCATCCTTGGTGCCATTTCGAGCGCACTCAATCAGGCGACGCAAGCCATCCCCACCACTCGCCCTACGTCTCTACCCCTCACCGATCCTGCACTCATCAGCAGCATCCAGAGCATCCTGTCGCAGACGGATCTACCCGCAACGTCAAGACTGCAGGGTCTCACCTCCATCCTTGGTGGCGTCACTGCCACATCCAACCCTACCCTCCCTCTCTCCACGACTATTCCGTCTCTTCCCACCTCTCTCCCTCTCACCGACCCTGTGCTTATCAGCAGCCTTCAGAGCATCCTTTCGCAGACGGATCTTCCGGCTACCTCAAGATTGCAAGGTCTCACCTCGATTCTCGGCGGTGTCACGACGGCCGCCCCGGCGCTGCCCACGTCAGCCCAGCAATCTGTCGTGGGTGTCGTCTCCTCGATCCTCCAGAATGCACCGTCCGGCTCTCAGCTGCCTCAGATCACATCGTACCTCGATGGCCTCACTTCGCAAACGTCACTCGCCGGAGGCGCTAGCAGCGCCGTCACCTCGATTGTGGGTGATGCTAGCAGCGCTGGCGCCTCTGCAACGTCGACGATCCAGCAACAGGCCTCGTCCGTACAGACGTCGGCACAGTCTGCCGTGCAGTCGGTCATCGACAATGCCACCAGCAAGGCAAGCTCCGCTCTGGAGCAGGCAACATCAAAGGCCAGCTCGATCTTGAGCCAGGCCAGCTCCTTGGCGTCTTCGGCCGTCAATCAGGTCCCCACCTCAGCGCCTGCCCCATCCGACATCCTCTCCTCCGTCTCGAGCGCCTTTTCATCTATCGCATCCTCCGGGAATGGCCTTACCAGCAAGCTCCCTGTCCTGCCGACCAAGGCAGTAGGTGGCGCGACGACCGGCGGCGACGGAATTTCGGCTTCGGATATCCTGTCGAGTCTTACCAGCGGTGGCGCAACCACAGTCTTGGCCACGACGATTAGCTTGCCGTTCACCAACTCCATTGGCTCGCTCACGACATCGCCCGTCGTCGTGATCAGCACAGCGACTGTGGCTGCGACTACCAGTGGTAACGCTGTACCGACGACCGCTACGACAAGGCGCGTTGGATCCATTTTGCCCAACTCTGGAAACCAGAGCGACCTGCCCGAGGTGCCCTCGCTCACCATCACGCTCGGTGACAACGGTCCGACGTCAAGCGCGGGTCCAGGCTCGAGTATCTCGACAACGGCCGTAAGGAATGGAAACGGTCTGCCCAACGAGCACGACTCGACCGAGCCTGGCAATGCTAGCGGAACTACGATGAGGCAGCCCACGCAGCCCAACTCGCAGACTGCCACACGCTCTGCTCAGGGAACCGCTGGTCGTACCACCGCAGCGCCGCCACGCTCCAGCGCAGTTCCTAATGGTGGCTCGCATGGCGGGTCCTTGTCCGTAGGCGATGTGATGAGCGATAGTGGTTCGAACGCAAGCGGCGGCTCAAGTGCTGCCCAATCGACAGCGGCTGCGGGACAGCGCACCAGCAACGCCCCTGGCGCGAGTGCACACCGTGGAAGCGCCACGCGCACTGGCAGCTCGGCTCCTTCTTCGGCCGCAAGCTCGACTCCACAAGACTGCAGGCCGACTTGGAAGCCACTCCTGGGCAAGAACGGCCGACCTTCCTTCTACAATGGCAAGCCGCTTTACTATCCCTCTGTTCCGGAAGGATGTGCCCAGCCGGAAGGCGTGCAGTCGCCCCATCCCTCCTCGGGCCGACCCAAGGCGCAAGGCGGTGGCGCTTCGCCGCTCGGTTCTGGTGGTAGCGGGCAACAGAGCGGCAGTGGGAAGCAGGGCGCCAATTCGTCCTCTGGTTCCTCTGGCGCTGGCTCCTCTGGCACTGGCTCTTCTGGCACTGGCTCTTCTGGCACTGGCTCCTCTGGCGCTGGTTCCTCTGGCGCTGGCTCGTCCGGCGCCGGCTCCTCGTCTGGAGAGGCTCCTGGTAACTCGACGTGCCCCATCGCACCTGTTGGCGCTTGCACTTGCACTCTGCCCGGCGGTTACGTCATGCGTACGACCCTCGAGCTGCCCTCCGCCAACCTCACGGCGTCCAACAGCAGTAGCACATCCCTCGCACGCACCTCGACGGCAACCGCAACATCCTTGTCGTCCTCCCTCTTCTCCACGACGGGCTCAGCATCCGCCTCTGCGCTCACGCCCAGCGGTGTCGCATCGTCGTCATCAGCATCTCCTTCCTCCACGTGCCACACCACACCTCCCCCGACTGGCGCGTGCACCTGCACCATGCCCGGTGGCTACATCCTCCGCACCACCCTCGAGGCTCCCGTCAACATGACCCTCGTTGCAGAGGCTGCCCTAGCCGAGGTTTTCGCACCTTCGATGACCTCAGTCGCCCAGTCACTACTCGCTGAGGCTATTGCGACTCCCGTAGCCGCGGCATGATCCGTCTGCGGCCCAGTTCACTCTCTCACTCGAAAAGATGAAAAAGCACAAAAAAAAGGAAATCGGTCCCGCACCGCGTCACCCCGAATCAGCGCCCGCTCTCCGCTTCATCCCCTCCTAGATCAGATGCGGCCGACAGATGAGAGAAGAGTTGGCTACTCTCTCTTTCACTTGCTGCGCTGCTCTGCCATGTTTCTTGCCCTTCCTGACTCTTTTGTATTCTTGTCCCCTCTCCGAAGTCCCTGTCAAAACTGAAATACAATGATCGCTCCCAAACAATCCATGCGCATGATGAATGATCGAAAAGAGACGGCATTCGAATGTGATGAGGTAGAACATCGACAGCGCCGTGCCAGACGGCGGCGAACGGGTTAAGCATTGTGGGTTCCGGCGCCGCACGGCATGCTCTGCGGTGCATGCACGCAAACGTCCGGCTTTCCTCCCCCAGTCACGCTGCTCGCCTTCCAAATGAATCCATCACAAGCCCCTGGACTGCAATTCAAGGTAAAGCGGTTGGCCTTGCGCCGGTTCGCAACCGTTCCTGTATTGTTCTCGTACGTGACCTGCGAAAAGGGCGCGTTGAAGCTGGCCTCGCGGTTCTCGTAGGAGCCGCCATTGTCGTAATTCTGCACCACCTCGATGCCCGTCTTGGTGATGTTGGTAAAGCGGTTGTCACGGAAGGTGACCGAGTGGACCGAGGCATACTCGTCCTTGGCTGCTTTGATGCGAAGGGCGTACAGGCTGGCAGGCGCGTGGCGTGAGATTGGTCGTGATCAGCCCATTCGAGCAGCACTTACCCGCCATCGATGTAGTTGTTCTGGACGAGCGCATGCTCGATGATGCCATGGCCCAGCGGGGCAAGCGATGCGCCGTGCGTGCCGTAGCAGAAGTTGTCAAGGAATCGGACCTTCCTCGCGCTGTTGACTGTGGAGGCGAGTAGGTATCGTATCATGAGCTTACCGGACGAGTCAATGCTCATCAGCATACACTCACCTGCGATGCAGTCGTCTGTCGAGTAGACGGTGTTGCTGCGCACCAGAATGTCCTGGCAATGCGCTACGTCGAAGCCGTCTTGGTCTGCAGGTAGAGCGCAAGGATGCGTCGTCAGCGGGTGTTGGTGCAAGCCCCTCTTCTTGCTCACTGTGACCTCGGTCGCCCACAGCTCCATCTTTATTGTCAATTGTGATGCCCTCGAAGGTCAGGTACGCAGAGCCCGATATGCTGAATGCAAAGACGGGCGTGTTGCGCAGCGTCAAGCCAGAGATTCTGCTATTGTCCAGGCTTTCTACTCGAAACGCGCGTGGCTTCGTCTTGCCGCCTTTGCCTCCTTTGCCGTCCCACCTGCGAGCGGGTGAGGAGTATGAATGCCATCGAAGTAGTTGCTTTTCAGTTGACGATACGACTCACCATCGTGCACCTTGGTAGTCGATGACTGCCCCCGGGGATCCAGTGACTGTAATGCTGTTGGAGCTGGAAACGGTAATGAGCGGGCCTGGCCACTCAGCGTAGCCAAATGTCGTGTTGCCGTCGAAGATGACCTGCGTTCCCGCTTGGAGGTTGTTGAGATCAAGCGTTTCGCCAGCCGGCACCTTGATATTGCGCAGGACAATGTGCGTACAGGCTCTCTTGCGCGCGAGGACGGTGGGCAGGTCGGTGAAGATGCAATCAGCAGGGGCAGAGGACGGTGAGGGATGTAGCGAGGGATGCGCAGCCGTTTTGTCGGCGGTGGTCGAATTGCTTTGGGGCTTAGACTTGGACTTTGCCGTTGGCTTGGGGGCCGTTTCACCCCTGTCAGGCGTCGTCGTATTGGCTCTCTCAGATTGAGCACTTCGGGCGGCGTGAAGTAGCACAGCTCTGCGCTTGCCGTAGAACGCGACTCCATGCTGACCCTGTGCGTGATCAGCCCTCTTGTTTTGCGCACTCGGCGGGTCATCCTTGATGACAGGAGGATCGAGCCCATCCCCCACTGAGCTGTCTTCAGGCGCAAACACGGGCTTGGTGACGGGGCCCAGACCTTCGATGAGATCTTCCGGCACGTCAATCGGAATCGGGCCGGTGACTTGAATGACGTTGCTCGCCCGACGGCCGGGCTTTGAGAGCGCGAGAACCACGGCGTTGGTGGCTAGGAGCGCGACGATGAGGCGAGTGGCCAGCATGCTGGGCAAGAGTGACGAGGATGATTGGTGAACAGTGATCGACGCGCTGCGAGGCCAACTCGACGTCGATGCCCTTGTGCCCAACTGGTGGTGCCAACAAAGCGCAATCTCCGCCCGCTTGACCGCTGGTGAGAAAAAGCGGCTTAGAGGGAGGCGCAAGGGCAGGCGTCCGTGAGAAGAGGCGGCTTTGGAGTGCCAGGTGAGCGGCGTGGCGAGTCGAGGAGAGGGACTTATGACATTCGCAGAAGAAGAGCGAGACGCTACCGTTCCAGACGGCAGGCAGCTCGAGAGGACCATCACGCGCTTGCTTGCTCAACTGTTCTCCTTTCCGCCAGACCCACCGCCACTACTTTTGTCACCGCAGGGCAAACCGCGTGGCGCATTCTGGCACATGTCCTCCTTACCCCCACCGTCGAGACTCCCATCCCAACTGAATCGAGTGCAAGCCCCTGGAGCGCAGGCGACACTGAACTTAGCAGCACGCTCCGTGACGGACACCGTGTTGCCCGAAAATTCGATATTCTGAAAGGGACAACCCGCTCCAGCCTGGGCCTGACTGAAACCTACACCATTCTTGTAGTTCTGTACTACTTCGATCCCTACTTGCCACAAGCCGATGAGCTCGTTGTTGATGAAGCGAACATTGTTGACGTAGCCCTTACCCTTCGACGAGGACTTGAGGCGGAGCCCGAACTTGCCACGAGCGATGCGGTTCGATTTGACGAGGACGTCGTCGACTTCGCTGGCACTTCCTGCGGGAGCCATGCTGATGCCGTGTGTGCTGCGAAGAGGCAGAAATTGTCAGTGCAAGCACGCAGGCTAGACGATCGCAAGCAACGCTGAGCTCACTGGATGCAGTTGTTCTGCAAGATCTTAATCGACTGCCCACTGTTGATCGCAACGCAGTCGTCCGTCGAGTCGACCGTGTTTCCAATGACGCGGCAGTCCGTGCAGCGACCAATGTTGAAGCCATCATTGTTGTGTCCTTTGCCCCCCATGACTCCCTCGTAATTGTCGATGACATTTCCGTAGAAGCCAAGACCCGTCGACCAGGACAGGCTGAACCCTTGAATGGGCGTATTCTTGAGCCTCAGTCCACTGATCGAGCTGTTGTCCAACTTGGCCACAAAGACGGCTCTGGGCTTCTTCTTGCCGCCGAGACCGCCCCATCCGTCCCACCAGCGTTCGCCCTCAAAGGACAGAATGTGTCCCTTGGCTCCTGTGACGCTAATGCTGTTCGAGTTGATGATGGAGATGAGGGGGCCCTGAGCGTGCGAAGAAAAGGTGAGCGAGGAGGCAACAGATGGAGGTCTCGCGCAGCGCCAACTTACCGCCCACTCCTTGTAGCCAAATGTCGTTGTCCCAGCAAATGTCACCTCAGTGCCCGGCGTCAGTGCACCCAAGTCGAGCGTCTCTCCAGCTGGCACCTCGATGCTGTTGAGCACTATGTGCCTGCACGACTTTTTGCCGGACATCAGAGACGAGACGCTCGAAAAGGTGCATCCAGACGTGGTTGAGGGTGAGCCCGTCGTATTACCTGTCGACTCGCTATAAGTGTCGTCTTCGGACGTCGTATTCGAGGTTGAAGTGGAAGTGGTAGTCGAGTTATCGGTCCCAGGCTTTGCGCTAGAGGGCTTCGTAGTGGTCGTCGAGTTGGAGTCAGGGTGCGAAGTAGTTGTGGAGTGCGAGCCTTCATCAGAAGGGTCAGAAGGAGGCGACTTGTCTTGGCTACTCGTGGTGCTACCATCTCCCGTCGTCTTGTCTTTGCCCGGCTTCTTGGTCTTGTACTTCTTCTTCTTCTTGCTGCTCGTACTGTCAGGAACGTAACCTCCGCCCCAAGGGCCGGGTGGGGCGCCAGAACCAAAGCCGAAATCCTTTGCGACGTGGATGTGAGCCGCAACGCTGCCCCTCTTGACCAGTTTCATAGCCTTCTGGCGCAGGCGAGCGTGATCGAATCGCTTCTTGCTCTTGGCGTGGTCCCCTGCGTTTGAGTTGGAGTTGGATACGGGCGAGCGATCGTTGAGGCCGAAGACGGTTGCAGGGTTGGCTGCTTCAGTCTCATGACCCGCTGACCTGATGAGGTCCTGGATACCATCGAGAGGCTGAGCCTCAACATGGTCGAGGCGACGATCGGGAGGCGCTGCCAGGACGACAGCGGTGGCGAGCCCGACAAGACTTGCCATGGCGAGGAAGAGCGTGGAGCGAGGGGGTAGCATCGTGGCGCAGGCGTGACGATCAACGTCGAGTGCAATGGTGAAAAAGGTGCTGGTCTCGAGTACAATGGTGCGAAAGGTGATGGACGAAGAAGGAGGTGCGCTGCGATCTATATCTCTGCCATCGCATCCTTGCACGACGGGTAGCCTCTGCGAGAGGGTCACGGGCTTACGTGCAAAGAAGGGTGCTAGGCTTCTCGCGATGCACGAATGAGGCAAGACCGCCTTACCCCGAGGATCTGAGACAATCTTCGGCTCTTCCTTGAATACCCATTAGGCGCCCGCAGCATTTGGTCCGCACAGACATGTTGCTCCGATGTTTCTTGGCGTGGGTATATGGGTCTGTTGCGGTGGCGGGTGAGCTGAAGATCCCTTTGGTACACATCGCAGGGCTGCGCCCTCGTATGGCGTCATATTAGTGACCCCAACTCCCAGCGCTGAGCATTCGTCTCGCCATTCGATTGCGGCGCTGACGAAAACGGGCCGCTGATCGCAGGCGGAAGTGAGCGCCGTCGTCAATTGCCGTCCATCTGGCCGCTTGTGGCTACGCCCGTGACTTAAGCAGGTGAAAGGGAGAAGGAAGCAAGCGAATCAGCAAACCTCAATGTAGCAAGGAGGGGGCCGTTTCTTGTCGCTGTGCGTGTGTATGAAGTGCGGAGCAGGTCGTCTTCGGAGGCTGGAGTTCAGGAAGATTGTCATGCCGTACCGAAGGGCCACAGGGCTCGCAAAGGAAGGGGAGCAAGGATCGCCGCATTGAGCCGTGAGCGAAATGGCTGAATGGCAAGGAAAGGGGTCGGACCGGCGAGCTCTCTGTTTGTTTGACGATTGGGATTGCTGTGCGAGGACGACCATCTCCCACGACCGGCAAATCATTTGCGCTTGTGATGCGACTTGACTGCCTTCTGAAAGCGGTTACCGCCTGTACCACCTCCGCTGGAACGATGCCCACCCTTTTCGCCGCCAGTCCCACGCGCAGCCTTACTCCTGCCTCTCAAATCGTCAAGCTCCCCCCTGCCCCTCTTCTTGCCGTGGCCACGCAGCAAGTCGCCAAACTCCTCCTCTAGACCGGCGCCAACCTTGCCACCTCTGCCCACACCAGCAGTCGTGGCTCCACCGAGGGCCACATCCTCTTCATCTCTTCTGCGCTGTCTGGCATCCTTCTTGGACTGTGCCAGACGCGTGAAGTTGTCCTCTTCGTACGCTTTCATTTCTGCCAACTTGCGAGCGCGTGCAGAGACGTTGGTGTTGGATCCGCGGCTTCCTGTGGCGAGACCAGATGTGGCTTCCGAGTAAGGATTGGACGAGAGCGAGGTAGAGAGGTCGGAGAGGAGGTGCGTGTTCTGGGCGCTGCGAGCCCGAGCTTCCTTGTCGTTGAGGCCGTACCTGTCGTCGCGAGGGTTGTAGGGTACTGCGGCCATTTTGGGAGGGCGATAGACTGAAGAAGAGGATTCGGCCTGACGCGAGGAACGCGAGGAGCGCGAGGCTTTGCTTTCGACGGGTGCCGGAGTGGTATCGAGAAGAGCGCCTGGGTTTGGTCGGAAAGTGACTGCGCAGAATGGAAACGTGATGTCAGTACAGTGCTTGCAATGCTGACCACGATGATCTCACCCTCTTCATCTTGCTCGTCTCCGTTGGCGTCATTCTTGGCAACTTGGGCAGCCTTAATCCACCTGGCCCACCTTGGACGCATCCTCGCCTCGATGGGCTTCATCTTCTCGAGGTGCAGTCTTAGCCTGACGAGATTCTGCACCATCTCTGCGCCATTAGAGTCGCTGAGCGACAAGCCGAGTGCTCTGTGCGATGCAATTGCTGCGAGATGAGCATTGTAGCAGAGGAGGAGCGAGGATTGCAATGCGAGGAAGTCGTCGTGCCTGCCCGCAATGGATGCCGGCTTGATTTGAGATGTGCTGGCGGTGAATGTCTGCTTTGATTGGGTGGCTACTTCTGCCAGCAGGTTAGCAAAGGCGTTGTGTGCCATTGCTGTGATTGATGATTTTGTGGTGTTGAGGGACAAGATGGCGTCGCTTGGATGGATCCAAGGCATGAATCGTCTCCACGCGAGGGCGGCGGCGGCGGCGGCGGCGTCGGACTGGCCGAAAAATTCGCTCTTGAGGCCGGGCAGCAGCGATCCAGTTTCATCGACTTGCGTGTGTCACCACCACCACCACCACATCACCACGCCACGTCTATCACAATGGAGGCCGATTCGTCGTCTGCACACCCGCACCTGTCCTTCGATCATGGCCTCATGACCGTAGTCGACTCAAATCCTTCTGCAGCAGCCAGCACATCTGCCCCACCTCACGCCGCCATCAGCGCCCTCGTCAGCTCCCTCATCTCCCACCTCCCCATCACCATGAACGCAGACCATGGCCCACTCCTCTCCTTGCCCCTTCCCACGACGCAATTGCCCCGTGCCAAGCCCCTCCCCAAGCCAAAGCCCCTCACAAAATGGCAGCAATTCGCTCGCAAAAAGGGCATTCCAGAGAAGAAGGCAAAGGACGGTAAACTAGTCTACGACGAGGACACAAAGGAATGGGTTCCCAAGTGGGGTTACAAGGGCGCCAACAAAAAGGTTGAGGAGCAGTGGATCCATGAAGTGCCCATGGGCAAAGAAGACGACTATGATCCCTCCAAGGCCATGAAGGCTGAGCGCAAGAAGAGGAGATTGGTCAATGAAGGCCAGAGGTTGAAGAATGAGGCTCGAGCGAGCAAGGAATTGCAGGCAAAGAATGCTGCTTCCACTTCTTCGTCTGCTCCTTTGATCGACGACAAAGCAGCTCAACGTCTTAAACGCAAATCAGAGCTCCTTGCCTCTATCCGTCAAGGCCGAGCATCGACGGCCTCGATGGGCAAGTTTGATCGCCACCTCGAGGGAGAGGACAAGGCAAGGCCAAAGGGACAACGACGTCACTTTGAGAGCAATGAGGCTGATACGGCGGGGGAGCGTGGTAGGCAATTGGCATTGCTCAAGGGTCTAGACGGCAGCAACAAGGGGGATGTTGTCAATGCGAGAAAGGCAGTTCGATTCGAGTCAAAGGGGGAGGGAGCCCTCGCCCTAGCTAGGAAGAGGGACGGCGAAGGTCGTGGTGGTTCGGGAGGAAAGCGCAAGAGGTAATCTGCGCACAATGCAATCTTACGACTTCTCATTGCTATCATGTCGCACTCAGGCAGCAGCGCTGGCCTCCTTCGCTGCAGTGAGCTTGTTCTCCAACCTCCTCTCCTCTCTCAACCTCTCCAGCAACTCCACCACCTTGACCAACTCGACCGTCTCATCATTACGCGCCTTTTGCCCCGCCTCGTCCCTATTCCTCACGTTGACACTCTTCGAGTCCCTTTCCGCCACGCCCACCACGAAGCTGAAGTTGTACTGGGCAATCTCAGCATTGCGAATCTTCTTCTGCAACGTGTCCGGTCCGAGGTCTACGTCGCAGTAGAAGCCGCGCGAGTGGAGGAGATCGCGAACTTCTTGGGCGTACTCGTAGCAGGAAAGGGTGACGGGGATGATGCAGATTTGACGAGGTGAGACCCAGAATGGCCTGCGCAGAGGGAAAGGGCAGAGAGGTCGTGGTCAGCCAAATGTTCAAAGCTGCCTCCATCCTCGTGCACTCATACTCACCACTTGCCAGCAAAGTGCTCCGTGAGAATGGCGATGAAGCGTTCGAGCGAGCCGAGGATAGCGCGGTGGATCATGACAGGGCGCTCAAAGTCGGCATTGAGCTCTTTGGAGGCGGTCGCGTTGGCGCCGGCAGGTGTTGGTGGCCCTGCACCTGCTGCTGGTGCTGGCGCTGGTGGTGCCGCTGCGGCCGGCGCTGATGCAGGAGCTGCCGCTGCCTCGCCATCCTCAATCTTGCCTGCCGTGTTCGTGGCGCTATTCTTTGCCCTGTAGTGCAATCCGAAGCGCTGCGGCAGCTGGAAGTCCAGCTGGATTGTCGCACACTGGAATTGCCTCTTCATCGCGTCTGAAATGGTAATGTCGATCTTGGGTCCGTAGAATGCTCCATCTCCCGGGTTCAACTCCCACTTGCCGGGAACAAACTTGTCCAGTGCAGCTTGCAACTTGCTCTCCGCTAGGTCCCACGTCTCAATCTCACCCAGATACTTCTCCGGGCGAGTGGACAGCTCCAACTTGAACTGGAAGCCAAACTTGCCGTAGACGGAGTTGAGGAAGTGGAAGGCAGAGGTGACCTCGTCCTCGATTTGGGAGATCATGCAGAAGATGTGGGCATCGTCTTGGACGAAGCGACGCACTCGGGTCAGGCCAGAGAGGGCGCCGCTCGCTTCATTGCGGTGAATGACGCCGAACTCTGCGAAGCGCAGTGGAAGCTCGCGGTAGGATCGTTCGCGTGCGCCAAACATGAGGCAGTGCCCCGGGCAGTTCATCGGCTTGAGGGCGAAGAGTTCCTTGTCCACGCCGAGGGTGAACATGTCGTCCTTGTAATTTGCCCAGTGGCCTGACGTCTCCCACAATTTCGAGTGATACATGTTGGGCGAGATGACCTCTTGGAAGCCGCGCGTGCGATACTCGTTGCGCATGAATTCCGTGAGCGTATTGTAGATGCGGGTGCCGTGGGGGAGCCAGAAGCAGGAGCCGGGCGAGAGCTCGTGGAACAAGAAGAGTTCCTGCAGAGATTGAGGCGACGTGTGTTAGCATGCTTCTCGATCTCCCTCGTATCGCTGCCACCCACCTGATCCTTTCCAATACGTCGATGATCGCGCTTCGCCGCCTCGAGCAAGAACTGCTTGTACTCGGTCATCTGCTTCTTGTCCGGGAAGGCAATGCCATACAGGCGCTGCAGGGAGTCGTTGGCCTGGTTGCCCAGGAAGTATGAGGCCGATGCCTTGAGAATGGACAAGGCCTTGATGCGGCCAGCGTGTGGGATGTGCGGGCCGACACACAGGTCGATCATGGGACCGCAACGATAAACCGTCGTCGACGTGCCGTCTGCAATCTTGGACTCGATGATGTGCTTCTTGTACTTGTTGTACCCAAACATCTCGAGGAGGTTCTCCTTAGTCACTACCACGCGCTCAAAGGTCTGCTTTTCCTTGATGGCCGAGTTGACAATCGACTCAAGCGCAGAGAAGTCTTCGGGGACGACGGTGCTACCCTCGCTCATTCCCATTCCCATCTCGTAGTAGAAGCCGTCTTCAATTGGGGGGCCGATGCAGAGATGGCAGCCGTAGTGCCTCTCAGCAGCCTCGCCGAGCAAATGGGCCGACGAATGCCAAAAGACACGCTTTCCCTCGGGCGTGTCGAAGTCGAAGAACTCGAGGCGGCAGTCTCCCTCGAGCGGACGAGGCAGATCCCACAGCTGGTCGTCGACCTTGGAGATGACGATGCGCTCGCTGAGAGACTTGCTAATCTCCTTTGCAATGTCGAGCGGGGAGCTGGAGGGGCGGCAACAGAACGCAAGGGTGAGTATGACGCTACCCACACCAGCATACAGGCGTCTCAGGCGGACTCACGTCTCCCATGCTGTCGCCTTGCGTGTTGAGCCATTGGGCATCGTGACTGTGATCTCATTGCGAGGCTTCTTTGCCTTGATCTCGTCCTGCTCAGCCTTGAGTCGGTCAAAGAGGGCGATGCGGGAGGCAAAAAAGTCTGGGGCAGGCGTGATCTGCGAACGCGAGGGCAGCGAGCGTCAATGGGACATTCTTTTGCCCAGTCTATTTCAGCCTTGCTCACCTCAAGTGCCCTCTTTGATCCGCCCTCGGCTCCTGCTTTGGCCTTCTTCTCCTTCTTCTCCTTTGGCTGCTGCTGCTGTTGTGACTTGTCCTTTGGCGCCGCCTTTTCCTTCTTGGGCTGCTGCGGCTGCTGTTGCTCGGCCTCGTTCACCGCAAGCTGTTTTGCTCCATCTGTGAGATCCTTGACGGGATCAGCGCCTCCTGAAGCTGTCGATGAGACGGGGTGAGCCATGCTGGAGGAGGGGGTGCCGAAGGGCGTGAGTGAAGCGTAAAGGCAAGGAAGCGGAAGCGGGCAGCGCAGCGCACCTCAAATCCAACTCGCTCGCTCCTCGGCGACAGACTCCAGACTGACTCGGACGACTTCCTGTCACGTGGCGGCAACCAACACTGAGGAGACCTCGCTGCTCAATCAATGGCGTCCAACACTTGGGCAAGCATCCAGCGTAGCCTGCTTCACACGCTGCACTGATGGCAAGCTGTTGAGTAAGTCGATCTTCCGTTCAGGCGGCCACGCGGCTACCATGTCATTGCCTCCTCCTGCGACGCCTCGGCCTCTCGCATCTCCGTTCGGACCGGAGGAGTGGTGCGAGACGAGACGAGGGGAAGGAAAGCAATTGGAGGCTCGATCGAGCCACGAAAGACGATTGCCAAACACACACGAAGGCGACGCTCCACCTCGCGACTCGTGACTGGCTGCGACTTGATTGATGCGAGGGACACCCTGTCAAGCGGCTTGTCCGAGCCTCCTGGCCCCTCTTGCATCGTAACTCCTTCCCAAACCCCGCCTCAGCTGGCACATCAACCTCTTCTTTACACTTGCCTCGTCATCATCATGCAAACTTCACCCCATAATTTGCAAGGACGCCAGAGTCAACAACGTTCCCCAGGAGCTCCTCGTGCTGTCTGTGCTCTCTGAAGGCGTCAACGTCCTTCCTCCCTTCCTTTGCCTTGGATGCAACGTCATGGCCATGCTACCTCCCCTGGCTTCGCCTGTCTTCGACTGAGATCCGTCGACGCCCCCCACTCGCTCGTCATTATCGCCTCACCATCTTCATCGTCGTCGTCGTCGTCGTCTTCGCAGCATGGCGATTGTCGAGCTGGCTCACGACTCTTCCAAGCCCCGCGCCAGCCATCAATCTGCACTGCTTCGACCTGCTAGCTGACTGGCAAGTCTTCTCGCTGCTCGCGTCTTCGCGCTTGCTGGCGGCTGCTACCTCATCGTGGTCGAGAGCATGAGCTAGCTCCCCCACCACTCCTCTGCCTCGTTTACGCGGCCGTCGACGGGGCTCTCACGTTGGTTCCCACAGTCGGGCCGGGTTGGGTTGCCCCGGCGCCCACTCCAAGTCCGCCCGGGCCCATGTGCTCAATCAGTCCGTCGCGCTTGGGATTGGCTGAGGGCCGTGCTCAAGTGCCTGTGTCGTCGTGTCGTCGTCGTCGCTGCCCCCGGCGGCCGCCCTCTTGCCCCCGCCGCCTCTGGCCGCCTAGCCGCCCAACCGCCCAACCGCCCCGCCGCGTCGCCCTCATCACGCCCATCTAGACGTCGATCCTGGCAGAAGTACCATCCCATCCTCCATCCGCCTCAATCCAGCATATCCCGTGACCCTTGGTTCCCTCTCCTTGGCTTTGCCATTGCGCGCGCGCATCTCATCAGCATACAATTACCAACAGCGAGCATCGGTCCCGCGACTGGCGCACTATCAACAACTTTGGATTGACGACGACGCGCTCCCTCGATCCGCATTCACGCATCGGCATCCGCGCTCAGTCCTCGTCCCGCACAGACGGTCCGCGGCGCCATGTCGTCCGCAATGGGTACTGGACCCTCATCACCAGGTCACCAAGGCCCGAATAGTAGAATGGCAATGGGTCCACCACCTCTGGGTTTTCCATCACGATCCACCACACCAGGAGCCAGAGGAGGAGTAGGAGGTGAGCGCCACCCGCGATCCCACGGCCGCATCCACGCATCTACGCACACATCCACGCACGATGTTGACGTTACTGCTCTTCGTACAGACTTCTATCATCCGTCAGGTCACCCAGCATTGGCAGCACCTAGAGCAATCCCGCCTTACCCCCGCTTCACGTCACCACAACCACCGGAGGGACCCGCCCGCTCACCATCACCTACCAAGAGAGGAGGAGGAGGGGGAGGAGGAGGGGGCTATGCAGCATTCGGGGCAGACCGTTGGGGAAGCATCGCTGCGCAACCTCCGCCGCCACCACCACCTCACTTTGACATGGGTCGGCCTCCGTCCAGTCATCACTCCAACCCCTACCAGAGCGTCGACTTTGGCTACGAGCGATACACACCCAATGGCGGGCCATCGTTTGGTCCTCACAGCTTTGCAGATTCGCAGCCTCTCCCGCCGCGTAGCCTCAGTCCCCGTAGCATGATGCAGCAGCAGCAGCAGCAGCAGCAGCAGTGGCTCGGCGCACCACCAGCGGCTCAAAACCTTGGGTCAGGTTTGATGTCCAACTCAGGCCTGCCTGCCGAAGAGATCACCACCGTCTTCATCGTTGGCTTCCCAGACGACATGACGGAGCGCGAGTTCGCCAATATGTTCCTCTTTGCGCGAGGGTTCGAGGCCTCGACGCTCAAGATTCCAAGCGGCAGCGGGCCGTCATCGAACGGCCAACGTGACAACATGGGGCCGTATCACCCCGTCAACATGCCTGGTGGTAGCGGCTTGTACGATATGGGGTCATCAGCAGGAGGAGGGGGCTGGGACGATCACGCCATCAACTCGGCGCTCGGTCGCAACGATCCATTTGCTCTCGCCGGACTTGGTGGAGCTTTAGCCAACGATCGCGGACCAGGTGGCGCAGCAGGCAAAATCAAGCAGACGATTGGCTTCGCCAAGTTTAGAACTAGGGCAGAGGCTTTGGAGGCGAGGGATGCGCTCAACGGCAAGAAGATTGACGCAGAGAGAGGTTGCGTACTCAAGACGGAGATGGCAAAGAAGAATCTGCATACAAAGAGAGCAGCAGGGCCAGAAGGGGAGCAGCAGCCGCCTTTGCGTGGCGCACAACCGCAGTCGTGGGGATCAGCATTCGAGGCGCAACAGCAGCAACCACCTCCTCCTCCGCCGCCTTTGGCACCTCTACAAACTCTGCAGGGTCCGCCACAATCGCAGCTTCGCGGCCCGTCATCAATGAGCGGGCTGGTTTCTCCAGGATCCGAGGGGTTTGGACGACCTCGAGCCGACACGGCAGCCACGTCGACGTCGACGTCTCGCACCACGCCCGGTGAGCGATGGGACCCTGGTGCGTCGTCTGCCGATCGATGGGAGACGGCCCGCTCGCAAAAGTGGACGTCGCTTGGGCCTCTGGACTACTTTGGCCCGCCCGAAGATCCAGCGCCAGCCCCTCTTGCCCCCACGATATCAACGCGTCAGAATCGCCAGGGTTCAGGCGGATCATCATCACAGCCTCCACGGGGGCCAGACTGGAGTGCCATAGGCTCGCCACCTGGTCTGTTCGCGACGGCCAAGCCCTTTGTAGCATCGAGCGCGGCAGCCAGCGCCGCAGCCTCGGTACCGGCACCAGCGTCGACGTCGACAATGAGCACTGCGAGCTCCGCGCCAACGCAAGTCGATGAGGGAGAGACTGCGCCCAATCAGCCAAAATCGGACGTGCCGGCTACCACCTCGCCGCCTTCTTCCGCTTCAGCTGCCCACACAGGCTTCGCCTCTCGCTTCGGCAGCCTTCGTCTCGACAGTAGCGCCACGACGACGTCAAATCCAGATGCCACCTCACCCGCTGGTCCCGTACCTCCTGTCGGCCCAAGCTCGACTGCTTCGACGTCCCCCAAGTCCCCCATGGAACTTCCGAGCCCAACCTCGCGCTCCTTTTCCATCGACCAGAATCCACCCTGCGGTACCCTCTTTGTCGGCAATCTACCCGGCAGCATCTCTCCCTCCGCCTCTGCCTCGCTCGAGGACCAATTGCGGCAACGTTTCGTCGCCTGCCAGGGATATCGTCAGCTCTCGTACCGCGTCAAGAACAACGGTCCTATGTGCTTCGTCGAGTTTGACGACGTCCAGAACGCAGCTCGAGCTCTGGCAGAGGTAAATGGCGATACGATGGGAGGGACAGTCAAGAATGGCGGGCTACGCTTGAGCTTCTCCAAGAATCCACTCTTCCGCAACAGCTCCTCTGGCACGGCCGCCATTGTCGGCGGAAACGTCAGCAGTGCTGCTGCCACCCCTGCGTCGCCCACGCTCGCTGCCCGCTCGACGAACAGCTTTGCCAGCCTGGGCAAAGTGAGCGAGAGCCTCCAAGATGAGCAGGACGATGGCTCTGACCCACTAGAGTCGGCTAACAGCCTGGAGGACTCGGCGTTCCGCGAAGGCTTCTCCTCTGGGCAGGCTCACGGCAAGCTGCACGGCACATTTGAAGGGAGAGCTCTGGGTCGTGACAAGGGGTTCGAGCTGTGGGATGAAGTCGGCTTCTACGAGGGGACGGCGCGGTTCTGGCGTGGCGTGCTGGCCAAGCAAGTCGAGTCCTTGCCAGTAGGGCAGCGGTCGCGCAAGCAAGTCAAGCAGCTGCAGCATCTCGAGGCGTTGGAGACGTTGATTGCAGCCTTTCCCACCAAGAACAAGAGCAGCGGGGGCGCAGCGAGCGTGGCGGGCAGCGCCGGCGATGGCGACCAAGCTGCGAGCGCGAGCGTCGACGGAGCAGTGGAAGACGCCGAAACACTCAGCAAAATGGACATCTCCACTCTCCTGGAGCGCATCCGCGCAAGGTACAAGGTCGTCTGCGCCTCGCTGGGCATTCCTGCTCGTGGATTGGATGAGCGTACCACTGCAAGCGCGCCGCAGGAAACCAACAACAACGTGTCTTCCCCATCGTTGCCCTCTTCGCCTTCTCGCACAGCTGCAGCCAATACGGTCGTTGCCGGTGGCAAGACGGTCGATCCTAATCAGCTGCGCTTCTGAGCCAGGACACCGAGCACGAGAAACAGACACGCCACGATATACCCTTATTCACCTACCTACCGGTCACTGGGCCCCATTCTCTATAGCGTCCCACCACTACCTGCTCCATCTTCTCATCAATCACCAAACAAGCAAGTCATGATGATGCCCTGCTCGCAACACCCTGTACTCCTTGACAAGACACTGGGCCCTTGCGCATACGCAACGCCGCCAGCACCTCCTTTTCGCACATCCGTTCTGTTGAATTCACACATTCGCCTTCATATTAAGCCCAACAGTTGTCTCAACATTGCAATTCACACACGCCTTTCAGATTCTCCAATTTCTCGTCGCGTGAGTCACACGCGTATATTATGCCGCTGGAGCGCGACGTTGCTTCGCCCATGCAAGGAGGTGCTTGGCCGACGTCAGGGGGCCCGTCAACTTTACGTCGTCGTGGATGGCAAAAACGCAAATGGTTTTAATGTCCGTGCTGACAGGTGCTGAGCTAGACATCTACGGCGGCCTTTGCCGTGAGTAGCCAAGGCTGAGTCAAAGAAGATGATGTGTCAGTCGCCGTGGCAGAGGGGTGCGACGAGAGACGACTATGAAGCAGGTCCAGCTTCCCACTGTGCGCGATTGGGTGATCCATCTAGCTGGAGAGACGCTTGAGTTCCTGCAATGTGGACATTCCATCCGCGAGCAAAGAGGAATTGCTGATCCAGAGCTCAACAAGACATCATCGAAGATGGTCAAAGTGCTCTCCTCTCCGGCTCTGTGCATCGGCCCTAGCCGCCCGACGATTGCCCCGCGATTGCCCGCAGCTTTCATTGGCCGTCATGTCATCTACGCTGCGTCTGTGCTAGATTGCACCTCGTTCAGCCGGCGTCCGGTCATTCAGCTCTGGAACTTGGTCATCATCAGACGTGGCGTGGGAAGCGCTACTTTCGCTCGCGCGAGAGGTGCGAACCGCCGCTCAAATGATTGATCGCCGAAGGGCCAAGGAAGAAGATGTTGATGTTCCGCTCTCCCTCATTTGCACGCGCCGCCGCCGTCCGTCTGACACTCTGTCACTCTTCGCCGGCTGAACCTTGATCGGATGTAGCAAACAAGAAGGCGCGCAGGCAGCAAGGCGCGGGAAAAGTCAGACGCGCGTGGGCGCTCGCTCCCCCCGCCATGTCCTGCCACCTTTTCTTCTCACCTCGTTCTTCCCTCGCTTGGTCCCCGCCGCGCGTTCTTTTGCAGTGCTGCACACTCGCTACCTGGTGGTTAGTCGAGGTCCGGACATTGAGCATGGCGGCGGGCTGGGCAGAGCAGCACAACGGCAGCGTCTGCCTGCATCACGTTACTCACGCTCTTCCTCACAAGCACACGCCCACGCACGCGCACACGCCCACACCTCGCTCGCGCAAATGCGGATCCCGAATGCAGTGAGGGCGAAAACGGGGGACCAACGAGGGGGAGTAAGTGAGCTTTGAATGGAGAGGCGAGGTACGACTGCGACTCCGCCGGGCGTCCAGCCCTAGCGCAACAGTTGTGGCGTAAAGTGCAGGGACAATCGTCGAGGAAGAGACCAGATTGACGACGGCTACTCCGGGCGACAGCAGCGGCAATGCTCTTCATCACACGCAGTGCGTGTATGCATCGGGCGCAGGTGCATCGAGCTAGTCAATGGGCGCCGGCGATGGCCGTTGGGAAGCCCGCGAAGAGATTGCATGTGGGTGGCTCGAGCCCAGGCCGCGGCAACGTCGGCGGCGAGCATCAAAATATAATAGGAGAGGGCTCGGGCCCCTGCCAGATCCCTTCCCCAATTGCGACCCCTTGTCCCTTTGCGACTCCTTGCCTTTCGTTTCCCCTTCTTTCCCCCACCTCCATTTGCTTCTCCCCCTCCATTCCCCTTGGGCCACCATGCGCTCTGTTCTTGCCACGGCTGCCGCCGCCGTCGCCGCCTCCGTAGCTCTCGCCGCGCCGGCCGACCCTTCCTTTGAGGCTCGCCTTGCGGTCCGTAGCAAAGTCGACCAGGTCATCGCTCAGCGGTCCCTCGTCACCGACGCTGGCAAGTTCTCGCAAAAGTCTTACGACTATGTCATCGTCGGCGCTGGTACCGCTGGTCTCGCCCTCGCCGCCCGTTTGAGCGAGAACGGCAAGCACTCGGTCGGTGTCCTCGAGGCTGGACCCACTGGTTTCAACGACCCCATCATCGACATCCCCGGTCAATTTGGCGCCGACTTGGGCACAAAATACGACTACAACTATACCACGGACGCCAACTCGCAGACCGGTGTCACGCCCAAGGGCTGGCCCCGTGGCCACGTCGTTGGTGGCTCTTCAGCGCTCAACTTCCTCGTCGTCGATGCTGCTTCAGAGGCTGAGTACAATGCCTGGGAAGAGCTGGGCAACAAGGGCTGGAACTGGGAGTCGATGGACAAGTATATGAAGAAGTCCGAGACCTTCACGACGCCTTCTCAGGAAGACCAGGGGAAGCTCAACATCGAGGTTAACCCGGACAACTATGGCTCTAACGGCCCCATCCAGGTCACCTTCCCCGACTACATCAGCAAGCAAGTCCAGAACTGGATCCCTGCTCTCGAGTCGCTCGGTATCCCGCGCAACAATGAGCCACTCGGTGGCAAGAACACTGGCGCCTCGGTCCAGCCTTCCGACATCAACCTCGCCAACCACACTCGTTCATACTCGGCTCCTGCCTACTTCTACCCCAACTCGGCTCGCAACAACCTTGCTCTGCTGGCCAATGCCCGCGTAGACAAGATCAACTGGACCCCTCTCTCCAAGGTCAGGTCGTGTAAGTAGCGACAGGCACCGTGACGAAGATTTCATTCGAGGTACTGACACCGCACCGTCTGGGCCGACTATCAGCAGGGCTTCACAAGCTTGGGGTCAAGCAGCGCGCCACCGGCGTCAACTTCACTTCGGGCGGCAAGTCGTACACCGTCAAGGCTAAGCGTGAGGTCATCATCTCTGGTGGTGCCGTCAACTCGCCCCAGATCCTCGAGCTTTCCGGTGTAGGCAACCCCTCCATCCTCAAGCAGGCCGGCATCCAGCCCGTTATTCAGAACAACAACGTCGGTGAGAACCTCCAGGACCACACGTACTCGTACGCCGCCTATGAGCTCCAGCCTGGCAACCCTACGCTCGACTCGCTCCGATGGAACACCACCTTTGCCGCTGAGCAAAAGGCTCTCTACCAGCAAAACAAGGTCTCCATTCTTGGCGAGACTGTTCCCTCGATCGCCTACATCACGCTCAGGACGCTCCTCGGCGAGTCCAAGGCCAACCAGTACGTCGAGACGGCCAAGTCGTACGTCCAGTCGCAAAGCAACAAGGCCTACGCTTCGACGCTCAACAAGCAGCTCGAATTCCTCCAAAAGTACCCCGACACGCTCTCTCAAATGGAGCTCATTGGCATCGACGGCTTCTTTGCTGGCGCGGGTGCTCCCGAGAACAACAAGAACTACGTCACCTTCCTGAGTGCCTCGCAGCACCTCCTTGCTCGCGGCTCGGTTCACATCAAGTCCAAGTCAGCCGGCGCTGCCCCTAGCATTCAGCCCAACTACTACAACAACGACTTTGATCTCAACCTCGCCGTGCAGGGTCTGCAGTACCTCCGCAACAAGGTCTCAAAGACTCAGCAGTACTCGAGCTACATCACCAAGGAGGTTGTCCCCGGCTCCAACTACACGACGGACGCTCAGCTCAAGGACTTCCTCAAGGGCATGGGCACGACCACCGAGTACCATCCTATTGGCTCGGTGTCCATGCTTCCTCAGAACAAGGGTGGTGTCGTTGACGCCAACCTGCGCGTCTACCAGACGGAGAATGTCCGCGTCGTCGATGCCTCGATCATGCCTGTGCACATCAGCGCCCACATCATGAGGACAACGTACGGTATCGCAGAGAAGGCTGCGGACCTGATTCTCGGCGCTTAGACAGGCAGCGCGACGCTGTAGATGGACTGCAAGGCGAGCGACGCTTGTCCCCTATTCCCATTCTTTTCCATCGCTTCTATTTTCTTGTTCGTCCTTCTTTCTAGTTGAATTTTACCGAAGGATAGTACCCCAAAATGGAATTTCATTGCCATTGATGATTCGCGTCACAGTCCACGGGCAGGTCTACGATGGATGACGACTGCGCCCGAGTTGACGCCGCGTGAACGCTAACACACGATGAGCTGCGATGCAACTCTACGCCCCGTACGTACGCACGCCTGCGCAACGCGATCGCCCCTGCGTCCTGCATGCATCATCTTGGCCGTCTTATCACAATGGGCTACAGCGCCTCGCCCTTGCCGTGTGACCAACGGTGAACATTGTCATGAGTTGACTGAGCGCTCCCATCGTCATTGCACCACCGCGGACGAAGATAGATCTCAACGGATCTTGCTTCCCCAGCCTGCTCGCTCACTCACCATTTCTCAACAGGCTGTGCGATGATTGAGCCTCACGCGGAAGCCTGCAGAGCGGCTTCGATCCCTAAATGAGATCGATTACACCACTAATGGCGATCGCGATAGCTCGATGCCAAGAACTTCCAGCTGTGATCAGCTAGCTCAGCGTAGATGGGTGACATTGCATTGCATCACCGTCGATGGCGCTCGTAGATACATAATAGCGTGAGGCAGACGAGTCCTGAAGTGGGGCGGCGCAGCGGCGGCAGCGGTGAAGAGGGAAGGGAGGGGAGAAAATGTCCACGAGGCGATGACGAGCGCCATGAGTCCGAATCTGTCCATTGTGCGTCGCATGCAGAGGGCGAAGAACCAGCATCGCCTTCAGAGGAGACCCACGCTTGACACAGCGGCTGCCGTGAAGGCGAGTGCCAAGGCGGCCACAGCCTTGCCGGCAAGGTCTACCTGTGACGAGGCGGCGCCAGATGATCCTTTGCTGCTGCTGCTGGACGAGTCATTACCCTTCCCACCCTTGGATGACTTTGACCCACCCGCACCAGTCCCATTCCTCGCATCGCTGATGCCGTCGACGAAGAGCCAATGCTGGGACGCTGGGTCGATGAAGACTTCCTCGTCGACGTGCGTCGCATTGGGTACGGTGGTGTTGGTCAAGCCAGTGGCGCCCATCTTTCTCAGCTCGCTGATCAAGTTCCAGCCGCGCGAGCGGTGAGAGTCGCCCTGGAACTGAGCCTCGCAGTGCGTGTCGCCTTGCCCGTCATCGAGCTCTGCGATGGTGTACTGGATACGACGGGCGAGGTAGGTATCGATGACGCCTTGCTTGTCCTTGACGACGCGGTCGCGACCATAGACGTTCATAGTGGAAGGGTCAGAGACGTCCATGCCGTAGGGCCATTGCGTCTTGGTCGTGTTGCACGAGGCGACCATGTCGCAGGCATCTCCGTCGCTGCGCAGCACGCGGAGGATAAAGTGAAGAAACGTGTCAGCGGATGGGCAGCCGTCATCATGGTACTGTTCCGAGCTCACCTCTTGCAGTCCTTGGTCGCGGGCGGATTGGTGACGGGATAGTCGTCATTTGGCCACACGTATGAGCCAGCATCGGCGATGAGCCACTTGATGTTCTCGTCTTGGCCAGAAGTCGATTGACGGAGCATGGCGTAACGCTGTGCGAGGATGGCGCCTGCAGAGTGACCGGCAATGACTACGGAGGTGAGGGCGGGAAACATCGTCTGGTTGAACCACAAGTCAACGAGCGAGTCCATGGCCTTGAACGTCGTCCACGTCGCATCGCCAGGCCCCTTTGTGATACCTCCAGACGCCCACGAACCGCCGTTCCAGACGAGATCTGTAGGTGCAGCGCCTCCTGCCTTGAGGTCATTGGTGTTGTAGATGATGGGTGCGGTAACGATGAAGTCCTCGTCCTGAGTCGGCCAGTCTGGGTTGCTCACCGCGCATTTGCCCGTGTATCGCATCAAGTTTGGGTATCGCCACGCATCTCTGGGCTTACCCTGCAGAACCATGATGATGCGCTTGGCCTTGGTGTAGTCCTTGCGCTCGATGTAGTATGGCATAGTGATGTTGTTGTCGACCTCGAGCGACTTGGTGTCGAAGCCGACGATCTGGGCCTTGGATTCCCAGCCGTCGTCCTCTGAGCCTACGACTGCTGCACCGCCGATGTAGGCGATGGGGCAGGTGGAGACGGGCGAGTTGTTGTCTGTGCCATTGTTGCTGTTGATTATGACCGTCTGGCCATCCGAGTCGCCTGCTTGGAAGCCTGGAGCCTGAGCGCCATCCTTGTAATTGGATTGGTAGTATCTGCGCGTGGAATCGTCGTGGTGGGGAGATGAGGGTGAGATGAGGTGAGATGAAGCTGAGCTGCTGGGCCACAACGTACGTTTGTTGGAAAGAAGAATCCGTGGCGACACGCTTGGCCAGACGATTGTGAGATTGCTGCGACGAGGCAGCGGTCGCGAGGGACGCCAGGGCGGCAAAGGCCAGCATACAAGGCTGAGCGAGCATAATGAAGAGGTCTTGAATGAGTAGAATAAAAAGAGCGTGGGGTAGACGACGTGGAAGTGCGGTCAGGAGAGGGGGCTGGGGCGGGTGGAACGAAGCTAGGCTACCAGCCACTAGAAGATGGTCAAGAGAGCGAAGTGAGTAAAGGGAGACGAAGAGAGGAGAGGGGACAAAGATGGTGATGGTATTGAAGGCAGGAGCAACGAGCTAGCTCACAGATCTTGGCAACGATAGGATGCCGTCTGCCAAAAGGACGGGGTCATTGCGGCGGCGGCTGAAAGAACCATTCTCTCTGGCCCGCTCACAAAGGCCCGATGGTCCCACTCAATTGTCGGCGGCGGCGGCGGCGGCGGTGCCTGAGGGGAAGAGGATTCTTCGGCACGGCGCGGCAAGGTGGCGAGGCAGGCAGCGCGGCCAGAGCGGCATGGCGGCGCGAGGGCGCAGGGCGCCAAACAACACCTGACTGTTCTGCGTCCTCGTTAGCTTCGTCGGCTTCGACGCGGGAGACTTCTTCGCTTGACTAGCGCTCAGCCTTTGATCGGTTGTTGCTCACCACATCGTCGTCCCTTGCCCCCAATCTGGCAAGTTGGTACCACTTCGCTGCTTGATTTCCTGCCAGATCCAAGCCCAGACGCCAGGCGCTAGTAAATGTCCCCGACCAGCCACGCGCCGCCTCCTCGAGTGGGCGGTATGCCAAGTGCAGGCAGGACGGTCGGACTTGCAGGCAGGCCAGCTTGGGCGAGGGTTCGAGGGGCAAGCTTCGCGAGGATCGAGCGTCGGAAAGCATACAGAGCCGCGTCACGCTCGTACAGCGCTGAAATCTATTGTACCACTGATTCTTGGCAAGGCAATCTCACCTCGTGTGCACCACCTGGCCGGGGTCCTATCTGTCGGCCTGGCTTAATTGTATTAACATTGGTTCGCTACGCTATGCTGCTTGCAGACACCTCAAGAGACGCGTTACGCCCACGCGCTCGGGATGTAACACGTCATACGCGCCCATCGCTCCAGCCTACCAGCCTCATCCGGAGCGATGACCGGCAGTAGCCTCTGCCCACCACCACCAGGTCGCGGATCCAGCTGAGAGATGCGACGCTCAAACGGAGACGTGGGACGACGCTGCCTCTGTCGTACGCCGTAGTCGTCGTAGTCCTCCTCTTCTTCTTCTATACCCATCTTTGCGTTGCTGACACCGCCGATGGCAGCTGCATCCTCGTCGTCCATCGAGCTGAGCACATCTTCTGCACTCGCGCTCGCACCGAGGCGACGCTCCCCGCTCATCTTGCTGAGCCGTTCCTCTGCGTCGCACCAGAAGAGGACCCAGTTGCGGCCACGCGCGAGCTCCTCGGCCGTCTTGCTGCTGCGTTGCTCCGGCGGCGTAGTGTCCACTTTGACGAAGCCATTGGAGCGCTCGTAGTACCAGCGATTCACGGGATTGTCCGCCCTACTCTTCCACACGAGATCCCTACCCCTACCAAAGCCGCCCTTTCCTCCATTATCGTTCAAGGCATCGAGCAATCCCAATCCTTGCACTTCATCACGCAGCGCTCCCCACAAGAAGTCTACCGTACCCGACCCTTGCAGCTGGGGGAGCACGGCAAACTTGTCCAGGTACGCGATAGGTTCGTCCTGCGCGCCATCACCAGGAACCGTCTCCTTTGTGACGATGGCTGCGCCTTGATAGTCGCCTGTGATGATGACAAAGTCGAGCTTCTCCTCCAGACGGGCGTAGTATCGGTCTGCGTCGAGCTTGCGCCGGAATGATGCTTCGAGCAGCTGTGTCATCTTGGACCGGTCCACCTTTGCTAGGTCTTGAATCACACGGATGGACAGGCCCGGTCGGAGGATCGTAGGCGTGTGCCTGACGTCTTGTCTCGATTTGAGCAGAGCGTAGGGGAGCGACGGTGAGTGTGCTGCTTTGTTTGTGATGAGATTGGCGATGAGTGAGCGCGGGGAGCGATGTGAGACTACGATGCCTGACGAGGTGTGGGGCATATATGAGAGGCAGTCGTAGACCATGTCTAGGTTTGAGAGGGCGGTCGGATGAGATTGTGACCATATGAACGACTTTTTGATATGTGAGTACTCAGAGGCGAGATTGATAGCCTGTCGGTGCAGCGGTCAGCGAAGAGATCGTCAAGCCATATCGGTGCCGCGCTTTTCGCACTCACCAAGTGCGGGTTCCCACCTCGCGCGTGCGACGGTATGCCTCCTTCTCGATTAATGACCATCAAGCGTACGGGCATCAAGTCGACTTGGCCTTCCTCAGTATCGTATTCTGCTCGCGCCGCCATATCTCGAGCTAGCGCTACGAGTACGTCGTCTGCCTTGACGGGCACGCTCCTCTCCGCGCCTGCCTCGTTTGGGTCCGAGTATAGGGCGAGCGGGGCGATGATCGGGATATGATCGGTAGCCAGCGCAGCTCGTAGCGACTCGAGATCGTCATCCGAAACGAGAGGTGATCGAGGGCCACGCCGCTGTCGTCGTGGGCTGCTCCACGCGCTGCTCGTCTCAGTCGAGCCCTCCTCGGCCATCGCTGCCGCATCTGCGTCGACTTTAAGCAGGGGCCCCAGGAATGGGCGTGAAGGTGCACCACGCTCCTGCAGCATGTCTGCGAGCGACTGAACATCGGACAACATTGCCCTCCGGAGCGAGACGTGGCGCTGACGGGTGAGCTCTCGAGCCTGTGCGCACTTTGAGCGAAAGGCGGCATCTCCTGTCCACGGTGCAAGCTCCTGTGCCTCTCGCTCGTCTGCTCCTGCCAATGCTATTCCTTTCTCATCAAATTCGGCAGCGAAGCCAGGCTGTGACCACCCTTCTCCCTCGACGACGATGACAGAGACTAAGCCGAGCTTCTTGAGGTAGACCATGCCATCTGCAATGGACTCAAGTTGGCGACGGGTGAAGGGGCCCTGAACTTTGACGAGGGCGGTATGCTGCTGGATCGAGACATCGGCCGACGATTCGAGGTAGGCTTGCGTTCCGTCAGCAGGTGCGTCGGCCACTGCAGTGTGGCTCGTCGATGTTGAGGTTGACGGATCGAGGTGAGGGGGGACATTGGGTATCGCAAAAGAGGGAGGTGGTGGTGGTGGGCGATATGGGAGTCGAGGCGCCACGTTACGTGCTGCTCGCCTCGACGGACCTGCCTTGGGTCCTGCCGCCGCCGCTGCCTTGCCCTTTGGCCCAAAGGAGTTGATGTACTGCTTGGAATCGCGAAGGGACGGCTGCGCATTGAGAACCTCAAGGATGAGGTTCTGCATTCGTGATTTCGACATGCCCGGCGCGCACAAGGAAGGGAGATCAAAGGTCGATCAGCGATGATGTTGATGGCGGCGAAGCATCGATGGGAAAGGATGCTGGATGATGGTGGGTGATGCGGTGCTGTCAAGAGAAGCAATGCATGAATGACTCTCTCCGGCCTCGACTCGCAATCTCGAAGCTGCAATTCCAAAATCGGAGTGCTTTGCCAGACCAGACACGATTGCCCAGCTCCGCCCCGCCCGTCCGCCCTTCTGCCCGCCCACTCTAATCCTCTTTCATCCGGGAAGCTGCCGGCTGGCCGAGGTCATCACCCCTTTGCACGATGTCAATTCGCAATGGGCTCGTCATCGCTTCTACTCACGCGAAGTACTCCAGCGTCGTGCGGTGAGCGATGACGCGCCATTTCCCGGTGCAGCATGCTCGCCGAGCGGCTCAAGGAGGGTGGCTGCGAGGAACAGGCGCCTTGATGATGTTGATGATGAAGAGAATCAAGGAGGAGGAGCGTCGTCTGCCTCGCCGGTGTCGTCCGACGAAATCTGATTTCACGAAGATGCCGCCCAAGGGTCCTTGAGCTTGACGATGAAGGCGACATTGCCATCGCAGCGCTCGGAGGGGCCGAAGAGGTCGATGGCGCAGGGCGCAGCCCAATGTGTCGAGAGAGGGCTTGGCGGGGAGCGTGGCAGGGAGCGGGACGAGGAGCTCAGAAATAGCCACAGCAGCGAGCAACGACGAGGGCAGTCATGTCCAGCGAGCACGACGCAAGCACGACTTTTTGTACCACCATGGCCAACTCGACGCCAGCTTAGCCTCGTCGCCGTCGACGTACAGCCTCTTCTTTCTGACCTGACAGCCTCACCTCGTGGCCTCGGCAAGAGGGTGCTGCGATTCGCCCTGGGTCAAAGGGTTGGCTCTCCTTGCCGTCTTCTCTGCCGGACAGACTGGCCCACTGAGACACACGGCGCGAGCGGCGACACGGCCATCAACCTCGCGCATAGGCGACAATTGACATTGCTGTTTGCATTCACACCGACAGAGCTCTACACACGCGCAAGTACCGATCTTCTGCCTAGCACGACGACTCCACACCTCGCCACGCCTCGTCACGCCACGGATCTACTCCTTTGCATCGCCATCCTTATTGCCCTCCTCGCTTGCAATCGCAGCCAACCTCCCTCCTTCTCCAACCTTGCGGATCACCACCCACGCCGGAGCGAGGCAGAGGCTATAGAGCCCGAAATTGAGCCCAGCAACCGCATCCAGTCGCCACGACGTTGCGTTGATGCCGTAGCTCAGGGCCTGCCCTGCAGACTCGACGCCGCGTACAATGGAGGCTAGACGAACAATCTCGCTGCCGTCCTTGTTGATCGCAGAAACGAGCCAGTAGGTGAGCTCGTACATCTGGTTGAAGCCCAGCTGAAGCATGATGTAAAGGGCAAAGTGCGTCGAGAAGCTGGGAGCGGCGGCAAGGAAACAGATCGGTCAGCTTGAAGCAGCTCCTCTTCCTGAGTTCTGGCTCGCTGCTCACCCGGATGAAGCCCAGTCGAATGGCTCGGCCGGCTTGTTCCTGTGCAGCCTGTTGAGGACGATGAGCGAGAAGATCCACCATCCTCCTTGGCAAGCGTACACGAAGATGAATGCGCTTTTCCCGCGCTTGTTGACCGAAACTCTCTTGGTGTCGAGATAGAAGCCAAGCGCATAGTTGCCCAGGCTCGCCACGACGGCGGAAAGCAGGCTGCCGAGGGCACGGGACCGTACCGTGAAGTAGGTGGCGGCATAGGTGCCCACGAGGGACTCAGAAAAGGTCGTTTGCCAGATCATACTGGCAGCGGAAGCGAAGCAGTACCGTCAGCTCACCGTGTGGTCAGATCTTTTGCATCGCGCACTCACGGCAGGAGCAACGCAACCTCCCTCCTGCAAAGCAGTTTGCCCACGGCCTTCAGCTCGGACTTGACGCTGCCTTCCAAGTTGAGTACGACCTTGGTTCCGTCCTTTCTCTGAACCTTTTCCGGGCGACTGAGCGTCAGAGCCACAAAGGGTCCCAAGCATTGCAGCGCAATGAAGACGCCGTACGTCTCTAGCGAGATCGAGCCGGCCTGAGCTGCACTGTAGTTGAGCGCAAGATTGATGACTCCACCAACCAGCTGGCCGAGGACGCGGAACATAAGCCAGTAGGAGACGTAGCGTCCCAGCCGGTCCTTTTCTGGGTACGAGAGAATGACGGCCCCCTCTGTCGACCAAAAGAAGCCCGCAGAGATACCACAGCATGCCGCGCCTACCAGTACGAGCCAGGTGGTCGTGCCAGCGGTCTTTGTCGAGAGATAGAGTCCCGCAGCATAGACTGCGAAGCCTGTCGTTCCAATGGAGAGGGTGATGGGCACCGAGGTGAGGTTGATGAGGGAGGATGTCGCCCATGATGTGAAGATCATCAGCACAAAAGTGAGCGCATTGGCTGCATTGACCGTCGCCGGTGAGGACTGTCCACCAGCGCCGAGCGAATTCTGGGCGCGAGAGGCAAGGTGGATCGGTGAGCGTAAGAGACAGAAGTGGCATCTTCGTTAGCGCTAGGGGGCTGCTCGCACTCACCATGGCTGCCCAGACTCCTGGAGCGAGAAAGGAGCACATGCCCAAGATGGTAGCCTGAGTGAACGTCGAGCGATACCAGTGCGGCTTGCTTTGCGACGGTGCTGCTGGCTCAGAAGCCACGGACTGGGCGTCGACTTCATTGAGGGCATCCTTCTTCTCGAGCGGGCTCTCGAGGGGCGCTTGCTGGGTAACAGACTCAGACATGGTGGCGGTGAGGGAGCAGGGAGAAGTACGATGGAAAGCAAGCAGGCACTCCTTTCTTGTAGAGAATCGTCGTAGTAGTCGCGGGACGTTTCAGGCCCAAGGGTCTCGGTACCTGCATCATAGTCACCACGTCTCTCATCATCGGCACGAGCGATGTGCTGTTAGCGTGCTCGCTTCGTCATTGCGGAGTACAGATGGCGTGCCCGCGAGCCAAGAGGGTTGGGTCCGCCGCCGACGAGGTGCGCGCGTGCGGGGTCAGGTGCGCACGGACGTGCCTTCAATCCTCGACGAGCGTCCCAATAAGCTTTGCACTGCTTCTCTTTGAGCCACGACAACCCATTTTGAGATCCGCTCAAGGAGACGTCACGAAGCGATGCATCAAAGCACAGCACAACCACACACGTATCGCATTGTCTCCAGGCCACACGACAGCACTATAACCTCGCCGGCAGCCTCCCGATTCCCTTCCCACTCCCTCCGCTCAAACGATGATACCAATGCGGTCCAGATCGGGCGCGTATTGGGAAAGCTTCGACCCACCTCGAATCTCAATATAGTTTCCTCCGCCCACAACAAATCCAGTCAAGTCGACGCGATAGTTCTTCCACACATCCGTGTCCCAATTGTAGCCTGACAGAGGGAAGGAGACGCTCTGTTCCTCCCCGCCATTCACTCTGATGAGGGCGCCTCGCTCGTTGGTCTCGCCCTGGAAGGAGAACTGAACCTCGGCATTGATGTAGTCGAAGAGGAGCGTCGACTTTGCGCGAGCGGCAGTGATGTTGTCTAGACGATACACCGCAGCGTCGTCGATTCCGCCGACCTTGGACTTGCCGGAGCAGCCAGAGCAGTCCGCTCGTACGCCGCCCTTGCCAGAGGTGGCTGGGTGCCAGGCGATCTTGTCTGAGAAAGTCGAGGGGCGCTCTACATTGGAGAGGCGCAGGGCGATGCAGCCATGCTGGTCCATCTCGGCCGTATACGAGTCGACCTTGGTCTTCTTCTCTCTAGTCCATAGGTCGTGCACGTCTGCCGAGACGATTTCGAGGAGGGAGAAGTCGATCTTCATTGAGCCAGCCAGATTGCCTTGCTCCACGATCAGCACGGCCACATCACCGTTCGCGAGCGGGCCAGCATAGACGTCGTGATCATTGGTGAAGCGCTGGATGAGTTGGATTGGCTTGCCCATCGAGTCTTGATTGATGGCGAGCAGCTCCTTGTTGGCCAAGAGAGCGAGCGAGTCGGGCGAGGCCTTGTCCATCTGCGTAGAGACCATCAACTGCACGTGCGTCAAAAGGTGGGTGTCGGTCAGCTACGCCTCGCGAAACCTGATCGCGAGACCAGCTCACATTGCTCTTGAGCATTGCCCACAGTGAGAAATGCGTCTTCTCCTCGGCCGCCGTGAGGCCTCCATTGCCCACCTCGAGTAAGTCGGCGTCCGCAAAGTGACCAGGTCCCGACATCCCACGCTTGGCGATGTGCATCGCCTGATTGGAAATTTGGAGAATGGACGTCCACCCCTTGGCAATGTCATCGCTGAGACGGTAGCTCGTCGAGATGTCTCCTGTCCATTGAGCGGGACCTTGCAATCCGTTACTCGGACTCGAGTATGGCACGCCCCATTGACAAATGGTCATGCCCTTGATACCATGCGCTTTGAGTGCATCTCCCATCGCCTTGAACCGCGTGACAAAGTCGGTGCGAGGCACCTTGGGCGAGTTATCCTTGCCATCAACAAAGCAATTGTCCACTTTAACCGTCGTAGCATTGAGAGAAGCAAAGAAGGCTGCATCCGCCGCTTCGTGGCCCAAGCTACCGATGGCTCCTCGACTGGTGTCCGTATCGCAGGAGAGTAACCCTTGGTCTGTGTACATGCCAAAGTCCATGCCTTGTCCACGTGCGGCGTCCGCTACGACACCCAGCCCGCGTGGGAAGCGGTCCGAGGCTACGGCGATGGCGCCCGTTTTTGGGTCGCGCTGATTAGACTGCCAGCCGCAGTCAATTTGGAACGTTTTGTATCCAGCATCGATGAGGCCGTGCTTCTTGAGTGCAGCGATTGAGTCAAGACTCTTGGCCTCGTCGGGCGCGCATGCAAAAGCATTGTACGTGTTGTAGCCCTGAGAGCGTGCGGCAGGTCAGCTTTTGCTCTCACACTTCAATTGATGTGTTGCCCCGACTCACCAGCGTCGGCGTGCGACCGTAGCCATTATCAACGGCAGGGGCTGCGGCTGCCAGAAGCGCGAGCGCTACGAATGAGGTGAGAGAGGCGAGCATATCGAGGGGTGAGTGTGATTCAGGGAGTAAGTGGGCGCCTCATTTGAGGCTGTCTTATATCATGAGTCGTCATGACCGCCCACGATGAAGGGTCGAGGGGAACAGCAATGAAAGGAAGGATTCAAGGAAGCGAGGACCACTTCTCCGGGCAGTGTGCGTGGAGCCCCGGGAGCTTTGCAGGACGGACAGGCGGAGCAGGAGATCGCCGATGTCGCATGCCCCGCAGCGGAGCTCGACAAGGCTGTATGATCGAAGAGACTTGCATGGCAGACTCAGGCCGCAGTGCCGTAGCATCCAGGTTTGGCAAGTCGATGCCAAGTTCAAGCTGATGATCAGACATACAAGGACAAGCCAATCCTTGGCGCCCTGCCATCGTGACCGCCTCATGTCCTGCCGATCATCTCGTCACGCTGCGACTCCTCCGACCTTTCAAGGTTGACTCCGATGATGCGCGTGCCGGAAATGAGTCCTCACCCTCGCCCACTCGTCTCTATCCTGTTTGGTCAAAATCCCCTCGAACGAGCATTCGATCGCATCAATAACAACCCATTACCGCGACCCAGCGGCCCGCTTCTCTAGGTTGATACGCACCGCCCGTGACCCAGCGGCCCGCCACTCTATTTGCAATGCCGGGCGATGGTTGGACTCGCGGGCGGTGCCTACTGGACTGGTTGCGCTCGCTGGCGAGCTTGAGTGATTGCTCTCGATCACATCTCACCTTCTCCTTCTCCTCTCCCCTCACCCACTCGCCTTTGCCACCTCGCCCAGTCCGCAACGATTGCTGCCTCGATGATGTTCTTCAACCTGATATCCCTTTACGTCATGGCTTTCATCGCCATGACTACCCTCTCGACCGCCACACGCATCGACTTGGGCGTCTGCTACGAGTCGCGCAACTGTGACGCCAAGCACGGCAAGACCCAGGTGAGTCCAGAGCCTTTGGAGGCCGACTGAGCACAGCAGCTGACACGACGGACCTCTGCTTCTCGACCAGTTTGTCTACGGTGACTCCAAGCACCTCGACACGCCCATCAATGGCACGGTCAAGTACTGCAAGTCCTTCCGCCCGATCCCTGACCCTCCGGTTAGGCTTCAGGTCTGCCACGATTCGTGTGACAAAGGGTGTCACATTGCGGCCCATTACGGCCGTTGCTCCTCCGTCGCCGAGGATGCTGCGCCTAAGACTCGATACAACTGCATCAAGCGAGTCAAGCACTGAGCGTGCCGCGGCGGCCCCCCGTCCCATTTCGACTTGTCCGAGGTGAACATTTCCTCTTCTATCTTTGTCTTTCTAGCCTATAACCATTCACATCCATTCTTGCCTGCTCCGTGTCGTCGTCATTCGTGACTGGCCTCGTGCTTTGATTCTGCGACCTTGGATTGCCATCCAACGCTTCATGTCTCCCGTCTTGAGAGTCACGCTTGTCACCAACATCTTCCTCCTCCCCAATTACAACTAGCCTGCTCATGGCGACCGAGACTGCGCGAGGTTGCAAGCATTGCCGCCCCACGTCCTGTTCTCTCCTCACCTCTTCCGCCTCCTGCTGTTTGTCGAAACAGACGCACAAGCCATCAACGAGCCCATCTATTCGAGTTCGCCTCAAGTCAACTGAGATGGACCATCGCCCCAGCCCTGCGTCCGGTCCTGGGAGACGGTCACATAGCAGCTGCCTGATCCTCTGACTCACCGACCGCGTGACTGTTACGCACGTCGAGAATCGGACAACTTTGTGATGATACTGTGCTCGGTAACTGTCGGTAATTGACGTCTGTGACAGGCCATCTGTCATGACCTGAAGTGCTATTGCCCTCACAGAAGGAAAGAGGAAGGATGATAAACAGAAGCAGCGTCGTCTCGCCCGCGCGTGCGCGTCGACGTCCACACGCCGGTCTCGCGATGCCGCCGGCGGCGACCGAGGACCCTGGCACCTACCTTGGCGGCTACCTGAGGCCGCGACAGTGAGTGTCTCTCATTTGGAATGGGAGGCCCAGGACGGCATATAATCAGCGCACAATGCGATGAGCTCATGGAAGTGCCTCATTTCCTTCATCTCCTCCGCACTTCGTTGACGCCCATCACTGCTTCATAGTCGTTGCTATCCACCACCTCAAGAATGACGGTCAGGTGAGCTGAAGCGATAAGGCGGCGGCAGCGGCGGCGGCGGCGCGGATAAGGAAGAGGCTAATGCGCTGCCCTCTCGCGCTCACCACGCAAACAGCTTTCTCGACCTACCACCAGAGGTGCAGTGAGTGCGGGACCGGAGCACTCGACTACCTCCTCGCTCATCTTGCCATCTCTACGCCCCACCTCACGCACACGCACAGCTCTCACGTCTCGCACTTTCTCCATCCGCGCCAACTCGCTCCCATCTGCTTAGCAAGCCGTGCCTGCTTCGCCAACTACTCTCGTACACTCGACACGCACCTCTGCCTCGACGGAGCCTTTGAAGCATCGCGTTACTTTCAAAAACATCGTGAACATGCCCGCAAGCTGCACTTTTGCTCGCATGGCCATCCGATCAAGCCGCAATCACCAGTCGACTGCTCTCCCCCGCCGAAACGCCCTCTGCCGGACAAGTTGGACAGCATCTCCAGCCTAGAGCTCTACGACGTCGGCCCAATCTACGACGACGTCCATCCATTCTCACCTCCACACATCGCTGCAGCAACCACATACCCGGGCCACCTCATCGGCGCAACTCTCTCCCTCTTTTCACCCACGGCCTTGCGCACCTTGCTCGTCCATCAGTCCCCCTTCCCACTCAACGCGACCCTCGCGTACGCCATCTCGGAATGGGCGCCACGCCTCACCCGACTGAGCTTCAGAGCACACTGTGTCGACGCTTCTTCCCTCGGCAGACTTGTCGAGACGCTCATCGAGTTGGAGGATCTTGAGGTCGGATCGGTCAAGACTTGCTGGTGTAGAGGGCACGAGGGAAGAGCAGAGGGGGCAAAGGATCTGGCGGGCGCCATTGCTGCGGCCAAGGGGCTCAAAAGATTAACGATGCATTCGAGCAACGTCTTGACAGTCGAGTCGGGCGTCTTCTTTGATGTGCTTGCAGGGCGTCACAAGAAGTCGTCTTGCCCCGCACACGGCGACGATGGCGCTGCGTCTACGAGCGACTCCTCCGGCCTCAAGAGTCTCGAGCTGCGACGCTCCCCGGTCCCTGGACGAGCACTAGCACGCTACCTGGCCAGTCCAGCTGCCGGCTCTCTGCAGCGCCTCTTCATTGGCGGATGCAAGGATGTACGAGCGGGGCACCTCGCATCCGCCTTGGCTCCTCACAACGCTCCCGAACGTTGCGCATTCACCAGCTCCGACGGTCCACTCCACCTCGAAGTCGACGGGAGACTCATCTCATCCGACGTCCTCGCCGCCATCGGACATCGCATCGTCTTCCTGCGCCTCTACCAGCCGGACGCGGTTCATTGCAAGCTCGTAGGCGAGGCGGCTCAGAAGGGTCAGCTATCGAGATGCTCTCATATCGTCGTCGTGCCGAGTGGGGATGACGAAGAGGAAGATGTGGTGGGGATCCGCGCTGACTGGACTAGTTCGCTACAGGGAACAGATGTTGACGTGAGCGTTGGCGACGAGGCGTGGCGCAGCATGAGGAGAGACCTGGATGAGAGGAGGGCATGGGCCGAGGCCATCGCTCGGGGTGATGATAGGCTGGTGGCGGGTGGTGATGCTCTTGATGGCCAGCTTTCGGCGACGGCTCCTACACAGCCACGCTTCGTGGACGGCGCTACCTCGTCGTCTTCCTCAACCTCACCATCACCCTCGCCCCCGCCTACCTCGCCAGCCCCGGCCAAGAGAAGACGCAGCAGCAGCGGCAACCCTCGCAGCAGAAGACGTGGACGCCATGCTTCACACCATCAAGCCCATCAACGATACCGTAGCGCCAACACTCAGACAGTGACGACGGCTAACGTGACTTCTTGGGATGCGTGGGGCGCCGGAGGAGGTATCGACGTATGGCGGGATTGAGGCGCGAGACGGACCTGAAGACCATCATTGCCTCTGCTTCGTGCCATTCGCCCCATCCAATTCGATGCGTTCACCGCGCTTCTCCTCCGTCCTTGTTGGCTCCCCTCGCTGGAGCTCGATATCCTGCAGCGCGCATCTCATCCCTCACTCGTTTCAGAATGACACCGAGAGCGTTACTCACGATGAACCGACCCTCACCATCCGGCTCAGCAGCGTTCGCCGCTGCATGCTCCAACCTCTGCATCACCTGATCGAGAACCGCGAGTACTAATCTCTGCTCGGTGCGATTGACGCCCGACCCGGCCTCTTCCTGCGAGGCGGCAAGGCGGCGCAGCAGCGCGAGGAGAACAACGCGATACGAGACGTCGTTCCCTGATGTCGGGGTACGAGGTGTCATCGAAGAGGAAGGCGAGGTGTTGACCAGCGGTGTCAGAGAGGTTTGCGCCCCACCTCTGGGTAGAGTCAGGGCGTCGAGGTGCATCATACCGCGCACCAGAGTCGTACGCCAGACGAGACTGCTGCCCGTGCCGTTGTTGGGCCCGAGCAATCCTGCTAGGACGACGTGAAAAGTTTTGCGACCCTGCAATGCAAAGCCAAAGCCCGAGTCCGGAGCTCGCCGTCTCGTCGAAACCAAGTTCGACGTCCCCGCACCAGCCATCGCTGTTGCCGTCGTCTGCGCAGCGTAGGTGATGGGATCTTGCATGCGCTGCAAGAGCGCCATCGCAAGAGCTGCGCCTGGTCGTTGTGCAGTCACGTTCTGCAGGGCCTCTGACGTCTCCTTGAGATCTGAAATGGGAACGAGATGCCGCATTGTATCCTTGCACTCTGGCGCACCCAAGAGCTGACGAGCAAGAGAGCTGAGATCGTCGTGGCCAGGCTGGACAAGGTCGACGTGCGCTTGAAGTCGGAAGGCGGCGTGTATCAGACTGGTGATCGTGATGCTATTGGGCTCGATGCCGCTTGCGACCATCTCGTTGAGCATGCCCATGCCCGACACGACTTGCCGAACACGGATGGCGAGGGGCATACTGCGTTGCTCCATGTCCTCTCCCCCGTACTCGACGGCTTCGTCTCCTCTGCCTTGCACCTCGTCTTCGAGGTTGCAACGCAGCGCGCCCTTGATCAGAGCCGTCCATCCCACTGTGTTGAGTCTGACGCCCCGCGAGTCCATCAGGCCACGCACGATGCGCACGGCATCAGAGGACGCGCCGCCTTGCCTTGCCATTGCATCGAGGACGGTGACAAAGGTGACGATGTCTGGCGTGAAAGAGTAAGTGCTTGCCTCGGCCAGCGTGGCTCTCAGCGCATCCATGTCGCCCTTGCGCGCATGAGACCGCAGCATCGTGTTCCACGTTGACGTGGTAGGAGCAGGCACGGATGCATGTCGCTCCGACGACTTCATGAGGCCGAGGATGTGCTCTCCGTAATGGTAATAGCGTGCGCGGTTCAATCCCTGGATCACGGAGTTGTACGTCTCTGCCGTTACCCTGAAGCGGTGCGGCTCCTTGGCAGCTCGCGTTCTCAGCTCTTCGAACATGGACATGCCCACCTCGATGTTGCCCTGCCTGAAGAAGCCATTGATGACCGTCGTGTAGCAGTAGACATCGACGGGGCTGTCTCGCTGCTGGTTGAGCTGCTGCCAAGTCTGCATCATCGACTCCCAGCGACCCGCGGCCGAGTAGCCCGCAAGGAGCGAGTTCCACAGCTGTGCCGAGGGCTTGATGCCGAGGGTATTGATGTGTGCCCACACTTGGGCGGCGAGCTCTTGCCTGCCGGTTGTGATGAAGCCGCGCAGAAGTACGGACCACGTCGATTCGCCAATATCGGGACGAGGCGGGGTGACGGAGATCGGAGCCTCCCAGCCAGGAGGTTTATCAAGTCCGTCCACCCACAACCATGCTGCGGCATTCTTCTTTGGGTCGGAGGCGTTGATGATCTCGCGGCAGAGCTCAGCGGGTAAGTCTGGCAGAGTGGCATCCTGTTCGCTCTCTGGTCTTGCTAGGAGATTTCCCATGAGCTTGGCGAGGGGCTCGGAGCCCACCTCTTCGGCATCTCTGCTGAGTGCGAGGGCCAGTTCGGCGGGCCGTAAGAGCCGTAACGTCTGGTCGACGATTTCGGGAGTTGTGACGATGCCTCCGCGCTCGAAGAAGCCGCGCGCAGCGGCATCGCGTGATAGGTAGCATGATGTGCGCTCGCCGGCCAAGGGCAGGCCGCGTAGCAGCGGGATCGCAGCGGCGATTCCACCATTGACTGCGGTCTCTAGGTATATGAGGAGAAGGACGGTTCTGAAGCTGTCGCGCGTGTAATTCGCTGGGAGACGGCGCCGCATGGGTAAGCGATGTAGCTGAGCCGTCGCAAAGTAGTGGTGGACGAGGGCGAGTGCATCGCGTAGTCTGCCGTTACGCATGAAGAGGGCAGTCCAGGGTTGCAGCTCATCATGTATGCCTGCCGCAAGCTGGCGGTCTATGGCTGTGTGCGCGAGACGACGTATCCAATCTACGCTACCTTCGTCCTCTGCTCTGCTGCTCTGCCAATACCGGTCGATGAGTCGGCGGACGTCCCTGCGTCGCGCCATTAGAGCATTTGGATTTGCCCGCTCTGCGGCCTGTATCACAGCAGGAAGATCCGAATTTGCTATGCTTTGTAGAAGATGATGGGTGGCGTCATTTACTGGCTGGCGAGTCGGATCACGGCGAGCTGAGCGTCGAGGACGCTGTCGTGGAGGACGACCGACATTCGTATCGACGTCAAAGGCAGATGAAGTAGATGCTGCGCGGCATGATGTGATTCTGGATGGGCCGGCAACGCCGATTGCGGGCATGAGCGGTGCCATCCCCTTTCCTCTGATGGCAGCGGCGATGGCGAGCTCCCCCGCTCTGATAGCGGATGGCCCCACCATGGGTATCATGGCACGCTAACGTTGGGACGAGGTGCCGAAGGAGAAGAAAGTGTGCGAGACCCAAAACCTCGCCGCTGACGGACGGGAGGGCGGAAGGCGCCACGCGAGATGCGACGCGGGTGACGCGGGTGAGGTGTCCCGCCTACTGCGACTCCCAGTCGTTGACCCTCAGACCGCGATCAGGCACAGCGACGAGTCTTGTGCGGGAGTGGTCGATGTTGGATGATAATTTGATGCGGGCAAGTGGTGTCATAGGAAGTCGTGTGAGGCCCTCGCGAGGCTCCTCCCACACAATCGTTCTCACTCCTTTCACTCCTACATCCTGCCTCTCTGATCGATCGTCCTGCTCTCTTCACCAGCCTACCACGGCCATGTCGTCTTCTGACCTAGAAGAGGGAGAGTTGCGGCGCACCACGCCCCGCTCACCATCGCTCAGACGGCCCATCACCGTCAGCGCCGAGTGCATGTCCCCCGACGCTCGTAGTCGTCACATCTCGCCCTCTCTCTTCGCTGGCTGCCTCGAGGCGCGTACCAGCGCTCTTCCGCCATCGTGTCGATCCCGCACACAGCGCTCTTTGTTCGCACTACCAGACGACTCATATCATCACCACGCCTCGGCATCTCGTCGCTTCGCCTTTGTTCTCACGCCTCCTCTGTCCGACTCCCACGATGCTTCTCAACCACAGACCCACCGAGCATCGCCCGCCTCCACTCCTCTTCAGCGAGCAGATCGGCACATGAGGGCCCGGACCAAGACGCCGCCGCAGCAATCGTGGTACCCGGCGCCGCCCAACGACGACAACTCGCGCTATGTGGCCGACTCTAGCGAATGGGAACGCTGGCCGGACGGCTATCGCGACGACTTGTCCTGGTACTCAGCCGGATGCCCTGCAGTCACGACGCGTACCACGCCCCGCAAGTCGCCACAAGAGCTCATCGAGATAAACTCGCATTTTGACGCTCGGCGAGAAGACTGGTGGGCGAGGGGGAGCCGAACGGTCAGGGAGCAAGACTTGCACGCTGCAAAGACGTCCACTCATGTCGTAGAGGCTACATCGAGACTTGAGTCCAACTGCATGGAGAGCGTGCGTCTCGAATCGCTGAAGCACGACGTAGTCTGGCTGGTTCAGAAACGCCTCGATCGACTCGAAAGGGACCTCGCCGAGGCCAGACAAGGCGCGGCGAAGAGCACCGACAGTAGCGCCCGCGTGGAGCGCGCAAGAACTCAGAGTCATTGCAGCAACCTCAAGCCATCAGAGTCCGCTCGTCAAGATACCTACCGCCATCGTCGCCATCGTCGACCTGTCTTCCCTTCCAATGCTCATCACACTGGCAGCAGCAGCCGCAGCATCGGTCGTAGACCCGACACTCAAGCATGCGAAGATGAAAGATTGATCAAGCGACGTCGTCAAGGTGTGTCGAGGGCGAGGCGTCGCAGCGACGACGAGTGGCGGGAAGAGTGCTCGCCTGTCAGCCCTCGCAATGGTTCTCGGTCGACGAAGGCAGAGCGTCATGGCGACAGACGCCGCTCCTCCCCTCAACACCGGTACGTTTGGGCAAGCGCGAGTCTCAGGACACCCATCAGCCATTGTGAAGGGCGCGACGGCTACAGCAACACAACCGACCGGCGTCAAGACGAGTCGCAAAGAAAGAGGAGCAGTGATCGGCCTCGGCGTAATCGCGAGGAGTCGTATCCCCAGTACAAGGGCAGCGAGGTGGGGCCGCGTCGGACGCACCACAAGCAAAGAGACAGGCAAGGTGGGCGAGATCGCCGCCGCGAAGAGACACGAGTCAAGGCAGAGACGCTCTGCGCGCGCGTAGAGAGGGACAGGCCAATAGACGATGAAGCATGCCGCCGTATACGACACGACGACGCTCCCAGAGCCGGTCTGCGCTGTCCATCAGCCACTCAACACGACAATGACCGTCACAACCGACTCGAGGGATGGAAGCGACTTGACGTGACGCAAACCGCGATCGACCAGAGTTGCAGGCCGCAGCCCCCGCCCAGTCAGCCGCCCACTTTCAGCGCCACAGCCGGTCTCTCGACTGAGAGCACGGACTGCGACCTCTCACAGCTCAACTCTCTACGCCACGCAGCCCTTGCGACCCTCAAGCGCAAGAGACACGACAGCGCCGAGGCGAGTGTGCGGCGCGAGTCGCGTGGCTCTGCGTGGAGTGACGCCACACCATCGCTCCTCAGCAATATGAGTGCAAGCGCTAGCACAAGCACCAGCGCAACGAGTGCCGCGACGCGACCAGCAACAGGTGTGGCAAGCCCTCACGACGGCCAGGATGACAGCGCGCTGGCTCGTGCGGTCTTGCCTCCTCGACCAGGCTCCCCACTCCTCCGCTTCGCACCGCCTCTGGTCTTTCCAATCACCACGATTGCCGGCGTCACCCCGTATACGACGGCGACCATGTCGGCGTGGTGTCCAGCGCCGTGGGCCCCTTGCTGCTTCTCGTCGCGTGTGCAGGCGGCGCCCTCGCCTCTCCCTCTTGCCACCGCTGACCACGAGGTTCCCTGCATCATCGAGGACATCGACTCGGGAGACGATGACGAGGACGAAGACGACAACGCAGACCCTACCGCCCCGCTCAAGAAGCCCCTCTACCTCTCTGTGGCGGAGGAGCTCACCGAGATCCGGGCACGACAGGAGCAGCAGCAGATGACTGCCACTCCGGCCACTACAATGTCACGTCCCAACAGCGCGACGCACTACACGAGCCTCGAGGCGCAGATTGCGCTCATGAAGAGCCAGATACAGGAGAGGGAGAATGCGAAGAGGCCAGCGACTGTAGCAACCGCCGCGAATGGACGCGTGAGTGTGAACGGGAGCTACGTGGACGTCCATTGACGCTTGACTGCCCGCTTGCGAGCCGCAGGCTTCGCCGAATCACCACTGATCTCGAGCGGCTATTTGCGTCCCCCGTCCCTCGCGCGACGGCTTGAGCGGGCTGAGCCAACCCGCGCCCACGTGTTCGCGTGACCCTGAGTGGAGGAGCCCGATTACCGGTCAATGCCGCCGCCCGACTCGATCCCGTTTCGTCGATTGGTCACCATCTACACGCTCGTCACCAACACACCGATCCAGCATGACCTTCTCTCGCTTCCTCGTCAGCTCATCGCGCGCCGCTCTGGCCGCTCGCCCCGCGACCTCCGCTCACCTCGCCAGGGCAGCCCCGCTCAGCACTTCTGCCATCCGTCTCTCGGTGAGTTGTGCGGCCTAGCTCGTCATGATTCCCGCTCATCCATCCATCCATCCATCCTCGCGCCTGCACCCAGAAACCCACCGAGTCCGAGCAGGCCTCGAAGGCGCACCACCACGAGCGCACTCCCGAGGAGCTCCAGCACGAGACGGCTCGCTCTCACGCCAAGGAGCGCAACGATGAGAGCAAGATGTCGAGCAGCCCGAACGACACCCCTACCGAGAGCGAGGACGTCGCGCATGCGCATCGCAACCACGAACATGAGAGTCCCGAGACACTGGCCCACAAGACGACGAAGAAGGTGTGTGTGAGCTGCGTGCGAGCAGCGTGCGAGTCGCATGCGAGCGACGGGTACGAGGAGAGTCGTGGCTGACCAGTCATCCTTCTTTGCACGCTCACAGATGAGGGGAGAGCACCACTGAGCGCAGTCAAGGGAAATCGAAGAGATGTCATCAAGTAGCATTTCGCACTTGCGCGAATGGTTTCACCTCCAATTGCATCAGCCATTCCATTGACTCGGTGCGCGCTCGAAGTCGGGAAGTCGCGTTGGATATCGAACGACGAGGGCTGAAGTGACCGACATAGCCTCCGTTCTGCTTCCCTTTGAACGACGTGAGAGCAGCGGACCGGCGCGCACACGATAAGCTTGTTTGGACTCTTCCACGACATTGCGTGAGATCTTGAGTGACGAAGTGATAAGGCTGCTCGAGATGGGCCTGCGATTTGAAACACCCGACAAGGCGCGAGAATTGGCTCGTTCCCTCAGGCTCCGAGAAGAGGTCTGACTGCCGCCCCAATCGTGAGTGCCATGCAACCTGGCGTCGCTTCGCTGCCGTCCTCAGCTCAGAACACGTTTAGCTTATATTGCGTTTTTTTTTGGCGGAGTTATCAACAGCGCGGATGGGGTAGTGGTAACCTAGTTGCTTGCCACTTGCGTTCTGCAATTGCCACGGGTTCGATTCCCGTTCCGCGCATGCGATTCCAGCTCACAGCTGGAAATATCTCTTTTGCCCAATCAAGCTCGCGTGTGCTTGTAGGGAACTTATGAGTCACGACATGCACAGACTCGGTCGAGGCCTTGTGTCGGCCATGTGGGAGATCGAGAAATCAAGGGAGGGAGACAATACGAGAGACGATCCGGGCGGACAGGGACCCGCGGTCCCATGGTCGAGTCACCTCTTCGACAGTGTGACCGCGAGACCTTTCCCCCCTTCCCTCCTCAGCCGCTTGCTCGTTCGTCTGCTGCTGATGGTTAGCAGTCCGCGCCAGACTTCTGGCACGGCGGACTGGACTGCTGTTGTGCTGAAAAGAGGCCGATTGGAGGGAGAGAGGAGGACAGCCCGTGGCCCGCGCGCGCTTCCGTCGCGCCCAGCATATCCAATCACTACACGAGTTCACCTTTCAGCCTATTGTGTCTTCGTCTCGCTCATTGATGCGATCTACACCCCTGTCTTTGATCAGACTGGGGACACCATAGACATTTGACCGTCCCTGAGTCGTCAGGTCATTTCCCGGTGGTTCATGACGGCGATGACCGAGGTTGCAAAGGCCGGAGCCCGGACACGTCGCGCCGCACCGTCCGAGGGGTACCTTTCCTAAATGCACGGGGCAAAGTGCTCATCGCGAAGAGTGGGAACGAGAAGATTGGATAAGGATGCTGCAGTATCGCTGAACTTCCTCGGGGTGGCGATTCAGAAGTCCATGTGTATCGTACGCCAAGGATTGGCCAAGAATCGGAAGATGCGTCGCGCCGCCATTGATCGGCCTGATCAGGCGACACTGAGTGAGCTCTTACCGCCGCATACGATCAGCGTTGTTCTGTACGGCGTGAGCGAGCACATTGCTCGGATCTGGGCAGGTCGATTCTAAGCCATTGCCATTGCAGTCCGTAAGGACAGTAGCCTTCCTCCCCTTCTGTGGGCTGTCTGCGCAGCTCTACATGCAACAAAGTACCGCCATCGACGCGGTTGCGGGCGAGATATTGGAATGACGAGGGACGACTGCTTGCTGCGTGTACACTTGAGTACATGCGACATGATGACCACAATGAGACGCCAGCACTCCAGACGGCGTGTGTGGCGTCAAGGCCTGCGCGTAGTAGCTGGTGTTGCTCAAGAACGCGATGGCAAGCGTAGGACAGCGAGAACCATAGTCTATCGGTGCCGCAATCAGCACGACTCACTTTCGCCAGCGCCAGCAGGAGCCGTGAGAGAGAACGAAAAGGAGTAGCTCGGCTGTAGCCGAGCTGATTGAAGTGCGCGGAACGGGAATCGAACCCGTGGCAATTGCAGATTACGCAGGTGGCAAGCAACTAGGTTACCACTACCCCATCCGCGCTGTTGACGAGCTGTCAAAAGAAGCAAAATATAATTTGCTAATGCTTCCGCTCCCATCCCCCTAGTCTGCCTGAACCACAACACTTCGCGCTCACCCATGACCCAGCGCCACGTCCGGCTACGGCTCATCCACGCGCGTCCGCACAAACGCCCTCGTCCGAAGCCAAAACCAACGTCAACGAGTCGAGCAGCGTCTTCGCCCCATGCACCCCGACGCGGGACGCGTGGCCTCTCTTCAACCTTGACGTCTCTCACGGTATCATTGCCTATACTATGCAGTCCCGCTGAACGCCGGCTTGCACTCCCATCATGACGGCGACCGCTAGTGCGTGTGCATGCTATTGAACGCGAACGGAGTGACATGCGGCAAAGCTCTGCGAGACGATCCCACCCCGCGCTCACCCGGCGCTTCACCCGACCCTCTCCCACGAGTCCTCTCCATCATCTTGTAGCCTTTCCTCCTGCTCCCCATCGTCATCCGCGCCGCACACGTGAGACATCTTTGGTCTCGCCTCCTCGTACCCTCCAACACTGGTCGGCGCTGTACTCCCACTCACGCCAGTCGCGTCCGTCCCTCCCGTAGAGGCTGAATTCGAGGCTGGTCGACCAGAGGGGGTAGTGTTCGCGTAGACTGGGTCTCCTCGCCGCGCCGGTGGATGGAGTAGACCAGAGTCGGAGGCGCTTCGCTCACGATTCGGGGAGCTGTTCGCGGATCGATCCAGGTCCGGGGGGATCGGGCGCTGCTGTGGATGGAACCTCTGTTTGTGGCCACGCCCAGCACTACTGCTTGTCCGACCGTCCACCGCGGGCGCGTTGGAGGAGGAGGACGCAAACGACTGCCGTCCGTAGATCCGCCCACCCGCAGCGCTCGTGCTGGCCGTGTCGCTGCTAGACCTGTAGCGCGTGACTGCACTGCCCGAGGGCGGTGCTGGCGCGACGAGGCCCCGTTCGGTGGGGGCAAGAGGGCGACCATATTCCTTGACGCTCGGTAGTGCCTCGCGACTGCGCTTGTAAGTCAGGCCGCTGCCTGGTCCGCCTGCCGCACTGCTCCCGCCTCGCTCCCTCTCCAGAGCCTCGCCGTACGCGGCCAGCTGCTTCGCCAGCGTTAAAGTGTTGCCATCCTCGCCAACCACACCACGTCCTGCACCGAATTCGCCCGCGTGCTTGAGGAGAAGGTTGCGCGCCTGCTCTGACGAAGGAGGCGGACCAGACGCACTGTTGAACGCAGCGCGTAGGGACGAGTTGGAAGAGGTAGAGAGGAAGGATGCGCTTGCCAGGGAGTTGGATCGATTGCGGCTGGTTTCGGCAGGTGGCCGTCGCAGCTGCGCACTCGCCTTGCCCGCAGCAGAGGCAGGCGTGGACGCCATCGATGACAGGGAGCTCGAGGAGCGCTGCCTGTTCATTTCTGCGCGAGGGCTCGTGCCCTGCCCGACGACGCTCCTAATCGATCCGGTCGAGTTTGACGCATTCGATGTGGTCCCACTCCTACTTCTTCCTCCAGCAGGGCTATTGCCCTCGGCGAGCACGACTGAATTGAGCGTACCAGTGCTAGGCAGCTTGACCAGCCGAAATCCACGCGGACTATTGCGCGAGCCGCCACTCGACGAGCCAGGACCAGTGGTACTGCCTTCGCGCCTACGCAGGCTCGCGGGAAGGAACGAATCGCCCATCCCTCCGTCATCGTCGTCCTGTCCATCGTGCGTAGGAGAGCTCTCCCCGAGATATTCGCGCTCTTCATCACAGGCGGCGGCAGGAGCGATGGCTACTGCGCTGTTACTGCCCGAGTTGGTCCCGCCACTGCTACTGCTCGTCTGCCAGACGATATCCCTGAACGACGTCTGAACTTGTCCGAGGGCGGAGCTGCCGCCGCTTCCACCGCCGCCGTTGCTACTGAGAGAGGAAGTCGGTGAGAGAGGTGCGCCAGGCAGCGGCGGCGCTGGATCACTTGCAAACGGACGACGCTGCAATGCGCCGACGAGGGACTGGGCTCGGCGCCTCGGTCGTGACGGCGGCGACGAGGAAGAAAGCGACTTGGCAGAGGGCGAGGGTGGAGCTGGCGGTGCGCGATGGTGCGACGTAGCCATAGTGACGTTGCGCGGGTCCGCTACGGATGTCGAAGTGCCTGCGGGCGAGGGCTTGATGGCACCCGCACTTTTACGTGGCGAAAACGTTGAAGCAAGGGAAAGACCACGCGCTGACTTGCTGGAGACACCGCCCGCGCTCAAAGTCGGCGCAGCTAGTTCGCCGCCGTGACTGCTCTGAGCTTGCTGCGTTGTTGCCTTGCGCAGGAAGAAGTTGGAGATGCTGCGTTTTGCGGCGAGGCTGCCGCCGCTCTTGAAGCCCTTTGCTGCGGGAGGCACGCCGCTCGCGGCGCCGGTGCCGTCGTCTTGGGTAGTCGCGCTCAACGCAGATCGAATCGTCTGGCCCGGATGAGCTGCCTTCTCCAGAATCGAGGGCATAGAAGGACGTCGCTTGCTCATTGCCGACGACACCTTGGCATTGACGGGCGTCGTTGCAGTCGAGAAGCCTAGATCCGAGTCGTCTTCTTCGTCGTCCGGAGGCTTCAAGGTAGGGCTGGGCAGCGGGGGAGGAGCGCGCGCTCTGAGATTGGGATTGGACGACGTCCTACCCATTGCCGCCGCATGCTTAAGCGTGGCTTTCACATTGGACGTCAGCTGCTCGAGGGAGCTTTGACTGCGCAGCGGTGATGCCGCGCTTTGAGGAGATGATGAAGTGCCAGGCCCCACGGCAGCCAATCCCTCTTGGCCGTATGTATGCACCCAGGTGCGTATTATGTCGATGCAATGTCGATGTCCATTGGCAATGGCCAACGTCTCGGGGCTAACCCCGTCTGCGTCGACAGCCGCCGGTCTGGCTCCATGGCTGAGCAGCAATCTCACTACGTCTGCGTGCCCGTTTGCGGCGGCAAAGTGTAGAGGTCGGGAGCCAGGTGCTCCGGGGCCTGTCAAGGTGGATTGCAGTCGAGGGGTATCGACATCTGCGCCGTAGGAGAGTAGCAGCTTGACTGAGGCGACGTCACCGCACGATGCTGCAGCATGAATTGGCGAGACGCCTTGGAGGATGGCGTTGGGTGACTGACCGCTCTCTAAAGCGTATTGGACAAGGGAGGCATCGCCGTTGGCTGCGGCCGAGTGCAAAGAAGAGGCGGCAGCGAGGGCGTAGTCGGTGGAGGAGGAGTCTGCAGTCATTGCTGAGTGCGCTTCGTGTGTGCGGTTGCTGCTCCTCGTCATGACATGGCAGCGCTGCGACTGCGACGTCGAGCAAGCCGCAGCTTGGACGAGGACGTTGGAAAGGAGCGAAAATGAAACGCGGTGCGGTGCGGTGTGGTGCAGTGCAGTGCAGGCACGCTCGCTCGCTCGTTCGCTCGCTCACTCACGCTGCCTCGCTCGATGTTGGGACGGGAACAGGAACGTCAGGGTGCGGGAATTGCATGGGCGGCGGCGCGGGGCGCTCACCGGCGTGACGCCGAGGAGAGCGAGGGGCAAACCCGCAAGACCCAAAGGTGGGCGAGACCACCTCCCAGGGCCGGCCCTCGATCATGAGCGACCGACAAGACGACGTGGTGCCTGGGATCTGTGCAAGTGCAAACTCACAACAATGAGTGGTCAGACGTGAGCAGAATAGGCGCGGGCAGAGCGGACGAGGCTCAAGATGGTTGCGTGGCCCAAAGTCTCACGGCCCGTGCGTGCGTCACGACGACATCTTGCATTCGAGACGGGCGGGCGGTGCAGCCTGGCGCATTTGGCGCATAGATTGGGACCACTTAGCCTTCGTCAATCCTTCTTGACCTCCTATCTCATTAGCGGATTCACCACCGTCGTCGTCGTCGCCGCCAATGGCAACTTCGACGTCGTCACCGCCATCATCCTCGTCGTCGCCGCCGCCGCCGCCATCCCTCCCACGCAGCAGCAGCGTCTCTGCGTCGATCCGCTCACGCTTCTCACAGCATGACAAGAAGGCTCAGGGAGAACAGGGGCCGTCGAGGGTAGAAGGCCAGGGCGACGTGAGAAATGACCCCGGATACGCGTCAACACACGATAATGGAGCCACGCCGCCGCCACCGCCGTCGACGCCGCCAAAGCTCCCACCTCGGCCAAATCCTGCGCCCTCGCCGGCTGGCAACCCAATCGAACCCCATCTACGCCTCATCATCGCCTTCTTCGCCGCAACATCATGCGTCACTCTGGCTCTCTCCCGTGTACACTGGATCTTCGCAGCCTTGGCCGCTGCCACGGGTTGCTTCATCTTGTGCAAGCTGCTCCTCTCCCGCGGCCAAGATATTGCGGCGTCTCAACGCTCCGCAGCTGCCCAACAAGCATTCGACGCAAAGGACAACACCGAGACCGTCGAATGGCTCAACGTCGTCCTGGGGTCAGTATGGCCGCTGATCAGTGCCGATCTGTTCACACCATTCATCGACTTGCTCGAGGACGCCCTACAACTCCAGGTACCGGGCATCGTGCATGCCGTGCGCGTCGAAGACCTTGACCAGGGCGACGTGCCCCTCAACGTCGACAGCCTCAAAGTCCTGCCCCCCGGTGAGGAGCATTTCCTCGGTGGAAACGCCGCTGTCACTTCGGACGCTCGCACAGATGCGGAGCAAGCCATCTCAGACGTCGACCTGGGCGAGCATGTCAATCTCGAAGTCACCTTCTCGTACCGCGCCTCGAGCAAGGGCAAGAGCACGGCCACGGATGGAGCGCTGCGGGACGATCACAGTCACGCACCACGAGCAGCTCCCGCAGAGACGATCCATCTCCTCCTCTACCTGGCCATTGGCCTGCAGAAGATCGCCGCAGTCGAGGTACCCGTGTGGTGTGAAGTCGTAGGGGTGCAAGGGAAGATGCGATTACGCTTGCAGCTCGTTCCGGCCTTGCCATTCGTCAAGCACGTCGGCTTCGCCCTCCTCGAGCAGCCCAGGCTGGAAATCAAGGCCAAACCTCTGGGGCGACGAATGGTCATCGATGCAATGAATCTCCCACTCCTCTCGAGTTACGTCCTTCGCAGCATCCAGACGACGGTCAAGCCCTTCGTGGCTCCAGGCTCCTACACAATCGACTTGGGCGCCATTATGGGATCAGGAGATGGGCCCAAAAACACCTACGCAGTGGGCGTAATTGCGGTAGTGATCCACTCGGCCACTGACCTACCCGCGGCAGACGTCAACGGTCTCGCAGACCCATTCGTGACCCTCTCCTTCGCTCGAGCAGGCAAACCTCTCTTCCGCACTCGCGTCCTTCGCAAGAACAAGAATCCTGTATGGGGAGGAGAGGTCGCCTACCTCCTCGTCGGGCCGGATGAAGTGCGCGATCATGACCGTCTGCGCTTCACAATCTTTGACGCCGATCGTTTCTCGGCCGACGATCCGTTGGGCAAGATCGATGTGAGCATCGATCGACTGATCAAGGAGTCCCTCGCCACGGATACGGATGCGAGATCGTGCGCGTTGATGGAGACGCACGAAGCTGAACTCGAGCCAATGCGCCGTGGGATGAGCACGCAGGGAAGGTTGAGGTACTCGATCGTCTTTGCGAAGCTGGTACAGCCGCAGGGCTGCGAGGGGACTATGGCGTCACCTGCACGGTCGCAGTTGATGGATCAGGCTGCCCGACGTGCGAGGGAGGGCCAGGACGATGCACAGCAGGCAGCCACGGGGGACACGCCACAGCAGCAGCCGGCCAACATGGCCTCCTTCCTCACCCCTTTCGACCGCTTCGTCCATTCGCTCGGCCTCCCTCTCGACGAGTCCGTCCTTCGTGCTCGTCAAGCACGCAACGAGCGCGTGACCAAGCTGACCAAGCTGCTTGCAGGAGAAGAAGCGGCCGTAGCATCCCCGCCGGCACGTCAATGGCCGAGCGGCATCCTCGCCTTCCACGTTCACTCCATCCACGGTCTCGAAGTCACACGTACGCAACGCACCCTCTCCAAGAACTCAGGCGCTGGCAGCGGCGGGAGCGGCGGCGCAGAGGACGATGAAGGAGGTTCTGCAGCTCTCGACGGGGGCGGGCTTACCCGCCTACCCTCGAGTTACGTGCAAGTGCTCCTCAACGACGAAGCCGTCCTCGTGACTCGAGTCAAGACCCTCAACCCACGACCGTTCATCAATGCCGGGTCGGAACGCTTCGTCACCGACTTCTCGCGCGCCCGAGTCGACTTTGTGGTGCGTGACAGGCGGCAGCGCGAAGGAGATCCGATCCTTGGCGTAGTTAGCCTGGACGTGGCGGAGGTGCTCGGCAACAGTGCGCGATGGAGCGGATGGTGCACGATGGAGGGTGGACTAGGGTATGGAAAGCTCAGGGTCACGCTACTCTGGCGTAGCGTACATCTCTGCGTGCCACGGCCCCTACGCGGATGGAGCGTTGGAACGCTTTGTGTGACAGGGTTGAAGGCGCAGGTGGGCCATCAAGCCGGACTAGAAGGGAGAGAAGCGCATTGGGTACTTGATGGGCGATGGGGCAGAGCCCAAACGGATAGCATCAAGGCCGAAGGGGTTGCCATGACCTACGACTACAATTATGCAGGAGGACTTCGCCTGCCGATGCGCAGTCGCTACCCATCTTCTCTCACGCTCACTCTGCGCTGCTCTACAGCGCGACTTCCAGGTCGACATCGCCGCCGTGTCATTGGCTGCCTACCACTCGATCGCACATTAGTCGACGCAGAGAGGATCGAGGCAGGGAGCAGAACCTTGCGAGTGGGGCTGTACGCTACCAATGATCACAGAGCAGTAGAGGCGCTGTGCAGAAGAGCCACCGTTGGGGACGTACAGGGGCATCGCCATGCCGCCCTGCGTGACCTTGTCAAGGCTCCCCTGCTCATAGAGGATGAAGATCAAGATGTCGCTCATCGATCTGCTGCATCTTTGTCCAGCGACGGCAGCGACGTCGAAGGCGAAGATACAAGGTCACGGCGGTCTAGTGGGATGCATCGCCGCACCTCGTCTGGCTCTGTACACCCCAGCCTCGCCCTGGTCGGACACGTCGACGTCACTCTCGCCTTTATTCCGGGCATCAGTGACGCCCACTCCTCGCTGCTGAGCGGTGATCACGAATTGCGTTATGCGCACGAGGCATGGCTGTGCAAGCGGGACGCGGGGATGAGGACCACCCCTCCTGGGTTGGACGCGCGCGACCCGAATGATCTGGGCGACCCGTGTGACGAGGAGCAACCCCTCGCCTCACCGAACGGCTCGGAGGAGGATGAGGAGCTCACGAGCTTTTTGCGCTCCTCCTCTCTCAACCCTAGCGGAGCAGACGTCTCCGACTACCCCTCGGTCCGACGAAGGCAGCCACGCCCTCCCAGCCCACCTGTAGGTGAAGAGCCTTCCTCTTCCTCCTCATCGCGCCACATCCCTTCGTCGTCCTCGTTTTCCAACCGCATGTCTCAGCGTCACCGCCAGGAAGCCGGGCTGGCCCAGCTGAAGCCGTATCGCACCTTGCGCTGGTTGAAGCAGAATGTGGACGACGGGATGGGCAATTTGCGCAAACGTGGACTGGTTGGCGGGATGGAGAAGAGGGATGAGAGGGTTGAGAAGATGGAGAGGGAGGGAGTGAGTAATTTCTGAGGCGATCGTGCGGCCCTCCGTAACTACTCTCGGCGAGATGGGAGCTCGAGGCAGAGACGTGACTGACGACAAGAACAAGTAGCAAAGGCTCTGTATTATGTCCTTCAAGCTATGCGTTGCGTTGCAGTGGTATGTACATTTGTGGCGAGACAGAAGAGGTAGAAGTCCATGTGAGAAGTAGAGGGTCGAGAGTAGCGTAGAGGGTCAAGAGTAGCGTGTAGTGTAGAGCGGCGCGACAGGGTAATTAGACGAGAGACGTGTCGCAGCCCTATCTGCCGTTCCACTGCGTAGCATCAACCCACCCGCTCTGGCTCTGCCTCTGGTAGCCCTGCGAGTGGCGAGCCGGAACAGGTGGTGGAGGGCCATTGGGCGCCGCGTAGGAGGGATAATCGTTGCTGGCCACATTCTGGTAGCCGTATGGCCCTCCTGGCGGAGCCGCCGATGCTGGTGCCCCACTGTTGCGCATCGGTGGTGGCTGTACCGGTCCACCGCTGCGACGTCCCCTCCTCCAGCCTCCCGCAGCAGCAGCTGGCTTTGTTCCTGCCCGCCTTCTGCCGCCGAAGCAGCAGCGGAGCAAGCCCCACAGGATTGCAATGACGATGATCGCCACAACAATCGTCACAGGAATGGCAATGTTCAAGTTGTTCCTATACCACCCCTTGAATGTATCCTGCCAGCCGCTGCTCTTGCACTCGCCGCCTTCACAGAATCCGCCGTACCCACACGCAGTCCCGTCGATAAAGTTGGTCTGGAACAAGGTGCAAGTCCCAGGGTTGGAGTCGTCCTGACATGCCAAGGAGCACGACTGGTCTGAGCGGACCGAGCAAGCCTTGTCAAAGGTGCCTGAGCCGCTCGAGGAGGTCTGGGATCGACATTGCTGATCGCGAGAGGTGCAGACCCCATTCGCGCATTGCAGTCCTCCAGAGCCGCATGAGGACCCATTCTCCTTGTATTCGTCGGCGGGGCAGTCCGCGGAGGAGCCAGTGCAGTACTCGGCCGTGTCGCACCCACTGTTGTCCTTGGCGGCACGGCAGAGCTTGGAAGCTGCGGCGAACTGACACGAGTCGGTACAGCAAGCGGTCGAGGTAGGGTCGCACTGCGAGCCGCTCGTAAGCTTGCACTCCGAAGAACAGCAGCGCGAACCGTTTGCTCCTGCGTCGCATTCCTCGCCAGGCTCAAGGATGCCGTTGCCGCACTGTTGAGTCGAGAGGGTGTTACGGCTGCCTGGCTTGGTGACGCAATTCGTGTTGAGGCCGCCACCGAGCATGGTGCACATGTTGCCGATGGAGCAGGGCGAGAAGCTCATCGTGTTCCGCGCTGCTACGGGAGACATGATGTGCGCGTCGGCGTCATTGCAGTTCGACGAGGATTGAGGACAGCAGACGGCGCTGTTCGATTGACGAGCCGTGCTGCCGCTGAGAGTGCAGCCGGACATGCAGTCTGCGAGCGAACGAGGAGAGATGGTCAATTGCTGCGGTGACGACTGTTCGTTAGAACCCGCTGCTGCTCACCATGTACGAGGCCAAAGTTATGCCCGATCTCGTGGGCGACCACCTGCGCATTGCGATTCGTGTTGGAGGTGACACCCGTGCCCGAAACGGTATCACTCCCCGACTTGCTCGTATCTGTCTTGCACAATGTCCCCAGCCAGGCCACGCCAATCTCTCCGACATTCTCACCCGAGCTACCACAGCCCGTAATCAAGTGCCACAGCCCCGTGCCATTTGCGGACTGTGCTCCTCTCCACTCTGAAAAGGCGCTGAGCCTGTCGTCGATGGTCATCGCACTGCATCCGGTATTCCAGGGCACGCTGGCGTTCGCGCTGCTTGGGCAGGTAGGCTGACGCACGTCGAGCTCGACCACGCCCAGCGAGACGTTGAAGGTGTTGCGGTAGGTGGTGGAGACGGAGTTGATGACGTTGAGCAGCGTGGTGCTGGTGTTGCTGACCGACCCGCCGTTGGCCTGCGTAAAGCTGCAGTCCGCTGCCATGCCGATATACACTACCATAGCGCTCTTGGGGCAGCCCTGCGTGTTGCCGATCGAGGAGACAAAGGAGTTGTTGGCGCCATTGCCAAGGGCGTCTTGGCGACGAACCAGGGGAACGTCGTAGGAAAAGTCCGGGGTGGCGAGGTCGCGTGACCATAACGGGGAGAAGGAGGACGTGGGCTCGCGTGGGTCGAACCAAGCGCGACGACCGAGAGTCGTGGTGGCGGGCAGAGCAAAGAAGTCGAGTGGCGACTTGCTCCATTCGTCATTGTTGTCGTCCGTCAGAAAGAGGTGGTTGTTTGCATTGTAGTCGTGGCCGTCGTGTGTGCAGCCTGTAGGCGCGGTCACATCCCTGACAGCCAAGCCCGCTCGCTCCATCTCAAAGTCGGTGAGCAGGTCCGAGTCGCGATGAATGACGAGGTTATTCAGATCCATGCTGCGACGATGCAAGGCTGGGTCCAGGTGGTGCCGCCCGGCGTGGTAGGTCCTCGCCGTCTGGATTGTATGCTGATTGCCTCGCCAGTCAAAGAGGCCTTCGAAGCGCGGCGCATCGCCATCGTCGTGCAGCATGATTGCTGCGTGGCCCATGACGCCCTCTTGCTCGTCCAGTCCTGACAACCTCCGACTGACTCCGACTGAATCCTCGTACATTCTCCTCGCCGAATGCTCGGGGTGTACCACCACACCGCGATAGGCCCGCACGCTCTCCCGCGCAATGGTCCTCCTCTCCTCGAGTACCTCCCTCTGCTCCCTCTCATCCCATCCCCAGACATTCAGGGTTGCGCCCTCTTGTGGCACAATCTCATCGTTGGGCTCGAGATGGAGATGGAAAGTCTGGTTGAAGCCGCGCAGGCTCAGTCGTATTGAGTCAGAGGAGAGGACGTGCGCAGGAGGGGAGGAACGGCGTACCACTCCTTTGGACGTCGGGTGGCCAGACCGTCGCACAACATCGATTGAGGCGTCGCTGGCGTAGGCGATGCGGGAGAGAGGGTTGGGTCGTTGTGAGTGGGCTGTGTGCGCAGGCAGAGGATGGAAGATGAGGGTCAGACTATATGCGTATGCACGAGGCTTGCCGTTGCCACTCACCATCTACGATCGTTGCGGTATATGCTGCGAGACCAAGCAGGGCGAAGAGGAAAAGGCTGCGAATGCTGGGCATCTCGGACGATCCACGGAGCTTGCAGGTACAATCCAAGGGAGCAGGTTGCGTACAGGGATTGACGTGCCTGTCCGTAGGTCAAGGCCGTCCCAATTTGTTCGGTGGAGCGATGCTAACGTTGGGAGCGAGAGCAATCGACGACGGCAGGGGCTGTGAGCCAAGCAAGCGTCTATGGTGCCGATCCGGGTAGTAATGAGGGTGTGAACCAGGGAAAGAGAGATTCAAAGACGAAGAAAAGCGAAAAGCGGCGAGGTCGTCAAGGTCGTAAAAAGAAGTGATGGTGGTGGCGTGTGGCGTATGCGATGACGAACTGCAAGACCAACGTCTAGCCAGTGGGTCGGACGCTGCGATGCAATGCGATGGGCGTGTGTTGAGTTGAGATGAGGCAGAGGCACCGCAACTCTGCTGTGCTCAGTCGAGTGCCAGTCCGCCAGAGGCCGCGGAGGCTCAAGACCCGGCCTCGGAAGATTGTCTTGGCGACGGGCAATAAGGCGGGGAGGGAAGGAGACACGGCAAGCTAGGGTCCAGCGAACAAATGGAGGCTGTGCTGCGACGATGACAAGGCGACGACGACGATGACAGACGATGACGAGATGACATGCTATTAGCGGAGCGCAGATTCAGTTGAGTGAAGAGGACGTTGGGTCGAATTTGACTACCAGGGGTACCTGCACGTGCGACAGGCAGAAGAAGTGATCAGCCAGGGTTCGCAGTGCAATACCCTCGTCTTTGCGCTGGCATCGGTGCTCACAATGGCCCCTGTAGCAGGCTTGAAATGCTTGTGATTCGTGGCGCGCCAAAGCGACTCCATGACGCCGGAGTGGGAGGAGATGTGAATCACTGGAGGCGAGGCCAAGATGAGGCGGAAGGGTGGCTAGGTGAGCGAATGGCGAGGCAGGCTGCACCTCGACGTCGCCCCATTCACCTTGATGTCCCTTGCTGAGTTGAAAAATATCCTTCAGAGCCTTGGCAACACGCGTGGTCATCTCGTCTACCGTCTCGTGGATTTTCTGAGCGGGCAGAGAGGCAAAGGGCGAGGGAGGTCAGCAACAGCTTGGCCCGGACGTAGCGCCGCAACCGAAGACAGGGTCTCTGGAGAGCACGAGCTGCTCTACGGTGACCTGGGTGGTGGGAAGCTTCATCGCGGCCTCTCGGCACGGACTCACCCCAAATGCCCCATCCTCCTCGGTAAACCCAGGCTCAATGGTCCATCCGGGATTGTACCCTTTGACCACACTCCTCGTGGATCGCTCATCGCATGTGTGCACATCGCGATAATTCTCGCGCAAGCCATCCGTGATGTACGGAGCCTCAATACTACTCCTACCCAGCACCTTTGCTACCTCTCGCCCCTCTGCCAGGCTCACCTTGAATCTCTCATCCTCCTCGGTGAACCCCTGCTCAATCTCAAAGTGCGGGAAGTTTCGCTGGATCTCACTCTTGGTCGATCGGTTGATGCACGTGTTGTCGTTGCCGTACTGCTCACGCAGGTCCTCCTTGACGTACGGCGCACCGACGGCCTTGCCCTCCCCACCCGGCGGTATTGTGCCAGGCGGGAGGAGCAAGCCTTCGTAGCTCAGCTGAAGCGTCCGTGAGGAGCGCTTCAGAGGGGACGAAAAGAGCTTGGTGGGCAGTGGTGCGTGATCTTTGCTTTGGGAGGAGAGGTGGAGTTGACGCTGCCATTCCCGATTAACGGAGCGCGCTTGGTCTTCCCCGATGGGAGTGAGCTCGGGGTCTGGACCCCAAATCGCTTCGCCGTCACCATTTAGCAGAGCCCATTTGGCATCCCTGCGCAGCGTGGACGAAGTGAGTGAGCAGGCATCGCCATAGAGCATACATGGCTCCCGCGCCTACTCACCACGCCTCGGTCCCATACTTTGCCTCGGCTACATTGTGGAAGCCCTCGCCATGACGAGCAGCGAAGACGAGTTTGTACTCCGTCCCCTTGCCCGCAGCTTGGGCTTCCTCGTTCCATTGCTGCACGTCTGCCACCAGACTAGACCATGTGCGGTTGGGCAAGAGACCAAAGTTCTCGGGAATGGCGGGGAAGGAAGCAGGGTTGCGGGTGGGCTCGTCGAAGACAAAGTACCCGGAGACGACTTCGAAACCAAAGTGGGCGTGAGGATGTCGGGTATCACAAGATGACATGGCGGGGATGATGGCGAGGATGGACAAGAAGCAACCGACGTACCAGCGAGTCACGTCGCTCCATCACCTGCCAATCGCTGCGTTGCCTGCTGCACGGCCCGGGGGCTTCGATCGGACGCATCTCTTGGCCGCCGTTGCTGCCGCCGCCGGCTTCGGAGAACGTGGGTGCCACGTGGCTGGAGGGCCCAGTCCGCCTGCCGCCGTGCAGGCATCCATTCCAAATTCGCATCCCTTTCCAACTAACCTTGCGATCCTCGATGCCGTTACAGCCTCAGCTGTCCGCCAGCGATGTCAGTGTTAGCGCTCGCGGCTCCTCGCATCGAGGCGCCGCATCACCATCATCATAGCCACACCTACGCTCCGGATCCACAACACGACAACACTGCTTCCCCTTCAGCCCGTCCGGCTCAGCCTTGTTCATCCTCGTCGTCCCATCGCCGCGCCAACTTTCCCTGCACTCATCCCCACTGTCACAGATCCTTCACTCGTCTGGCCAAGCTCGAAGCACACATCTGTACTCACACAGGTGAACGACCGTTCCCTTGCTCCCATCCCGGCTGCTCCTCGGCCTTCACATCTGCCTGGAAGCTTCAAGAGCATGCATTGACGCACCTCGCGCCAGAGGAACGCGAGGTATCCAAGCGCTTTCCCTGCGACCTCTGCGGCAAACGCTTCCGCTCCAGTCAACACTTGGCCCGTCATAAGGAAGGAGTTCACGACGAGTCTTCTCCAGTGGCATCATCATCCACCCTCCCTCAGCCTCCAGAGAAGCCAACCTACCCGTGCTCAGAACCTGGCTGCAGCGCCACCTTCGCCAAGCGTAAGCATCTCCGGCAACACATCTGGGAGGAGCACGCTGCTCCTGGGCAAGATAGTAAGCTGCCATTTCCCTGCTCACACCCTGGGTGTACGAAGCGTTTCCCCACCAACTCGAAGCGCAACTCACATTTCAAGAGCGTGCATTCTGATCGGACGTACACCTGCAGCCTGCCACACGGGCAAGACGAGCATGGCGAGCAGAAGGTCTTTGGGACTTGGTCGGCATTGCAAAGGCATATGAAGGAAGAGCATCCACCAACGTGCCCTTATGCTATTTGCGGGGGAAAGACGTTTAAAAGGCCAGAGAATCTGAGGGCGCATCTAAAGAGACACAAGCAGAAGGAGGCCGCGCTGCGGGAGGCGGCCGCTGACGATGATGACGAAGAGAATGAGAGCGACTGCGGTCTCTCTGACAAAGAAGAGCTCGACCTCCGTTCACTGCCTCGAGAGTACGTCTGCAATTGGCAGCCACCCGACGCGACCTCATCGCCGATGACACCATGCACCAAACGCTTCAAATCCAACCATGCGCGGGATACGCACATCCGAGTCGCCCACCTCAAGCTGCGTCCCTTTGCTTGCGCGTGCGGCAAGACGTACGGGCACAAGCATTTGCTCAAGAGACATCAGACCAAGTGCAAGGTGGCGGCCAGCGATCGGGAAGACTCTGCCGCCAATACGAGCGGTGATGCCGGTAGTCTGCCAATCCACAGCTCGCCTTCGCCTCCTTCGGAGCTGGACTCGGACGAGGAAGACGAAATCTATCGACGAGGCGGCGGGGCTTTACCTGATCAGTTGCGAGATGAGGCAGCCAGGCTCAAGACGAGCAAGAGGAAGAGGAAGAGCGATGCTGGCTCGAGCCAACCCAGTGGGCCTTCGATGGTCGACCTTCTTACTGGCAGGGGTTACGTACAGGCGGGAAGCGCACCAGCAGACGATGACGATGGCGGAGCCGGTACCAAGCGACGCCGTCGAATGCGGGGTCGCGTAGTTGCTTGTCCCTACTCCAAGCTACATCGCTTCACCTCTACTCAGCCATCTCGATGCGACGTCCACTTCTCGCGTCTCTACGACATGCGGCGTCACCTCAAATCTGCTCACGGCCTAGAATTCGAGGACGATACTGAGCTGCGCGCCCTGCTGGATGACGAGGATCTAGACAAGTTGGCGAAGCCGCGGAGGTGTAGCGAAGGGACCGGCGAGGAGTGATTCTCTCGATTAGATATACCGCGTCCCAGACCTCGAATGAATATACCGTATCCTGACGATATGACCAACGCAGGCCTAGTCACGACTTCGATGGCTCGGCCCATTGATTTTGACATGACAGCCAGCTCCACGACGTCTACGACGCATCGTCGCATCGCATCCTTTCCCCTCCCTCGACACCCGCCGTCGCCGATCGTGACCGTCCAGTCGACGGGCCTTTCATGACCTACCGCACATCACCTCGACTGATCAAAGCTCGACGCTCGATGCTCGTCCCCATGCCTCCCCCACCACCCATCTCGTGCCTTTCTCCCCCGTGCTTGTGTGTGTGTATGTTTGTGAGCGCCCTCGCGCCCTCGCTCCCGAGCTCAATCGCCTCGTCTATCCGAAGGGCACGACACGACAAGCATCGACGAGTCCAAAAACGAAACGAAGGGGCCCAGAAACGCGGCCAGAGGGCCCAAGTGCCCGTCAGCCGTCGAGAGCTGCAAAGCTGCAAGCTGCGAGGAGAGATGGATGGGCCTCCTCACGCGTCCTGCCTTTCCTGTCTGGCTGCCCGGGCGGGCGCCCGCCTTTGCACTTCGCAGCCCACAGAGGCCCTGCAGCTTCGCAGCTTCGCAGCTTCGCAGCTTCGCAGCTTCGCAGCTTCGCAGCTAGGCTTCGCAGCGAACCAAGGTCGAGGAAGCCGCCCGCACACCCGCCTCTCCGTCTCTCCGCCGCCGCCGCCGCCGTCGCCGCCCGCTACGACGAGCGGGTCGACGAGATTGAGACGTCGTCTGTCTGTCTGTCTGTCTCACACATCACCAAAGGAGCAAGGTGTCGGCCAGCGACGACGTCTGCTCTTTTTCCCCTTTGTCATTGCCACCCTCTCCGTCGCTGCCACTTTCTCTCCCATCATATCCTTGGGAGCGAGGCAGCGAGCTTGCCTATTCTTCTCTGCGTTTTCGTCCATCTCGAGCGGACGCAGCTCGATCGTGGGTCGCGAGACAAGAAGGGGGGGAAAGAGAGAAGGGATACTCATCGTGCTCTGGATCACCAAGTCTCAGCGGTCTCAGTCGCAAAGACAGCAAGCAAACCAGCCGCGATCTTACCATCCAGTGCAAGGCTTCGTCATTCTTGATCCGCGTCCTCGTCTTCGTCCTCGTCCTTCGTCCAACGCATCGCAGCACGCTTGCATCCTTGCACACACTCGTACGCGCTGCAGCAGCATCATCCATTCCCACCATCTCACCACCTAGCGGAAGCCACACCCCGGCTCTTCTGAAGACTCGAAGCGCAGCTGCGGTTGCCCTGTCTCCCATATCCGCCGTCTCATCCGCTCGTCGCCGCGTGCCTGGATCCATCAAGCTAGAGCGGCTTCTCAGGACTCTCGTGGTACCTATTCGGCGCCCTCGCCGTCTCTTGTCGGTGATCGCTATCGCATCGCCCTCATCGCCCATCCACATCGACGCATCGAGGCGCCTCTCTGCCTACTCAATTCGTCTAAGGGCCATCTCGTCTCGTCCAGCAGGCGAATAATCCTACGGTCACCACTGCACCTTCCTCTCTTATCCATCGTCCGTCCCTTCTTGTACCCTCCCAAGGCGGCCGGTCCACCCTCAACAGACTAGTCTAGGCGCAAGGTCTGGCGCAGCTCGCCAAGCGTGGGCGTCGAGTCGATAGCATACGCCGTCGTTCGCACCCTTCGCCGCCAACCAACGTCACGCGCAGCCTTGCCGCCTGCGCTTCGCCATCATGTCCAACTACGATGCTAGTCGCTTCTTCAATGGCAACTTCAACTTCGGCCAGGATCAAGGAGGTCAGCAACAACAGCAGCAGCAGCAGCAGCAGCCACAGCAGCACCAGGCCCCGCACCATCAAGGTCAACCGTTCCAGCAGCACCATCAACAGGCTCAGCCCAACGCTGATCAGCAGCAGCAGATGTTGATGGGCGCGATCAATGGCAACGCTAGCATGGCTGCTGCTCTGAACCAAATCCCTGGTGGCTACCAGAATCTGAGCCCAGCGCAGCTACAGGCCTTTATGCAATGGCGCTTCAACCCAGCCAATTCTGCCGCCGCCGCCGCCGCCAACAACGTTGCTGCCGGCGGATCAGGACCTGGCGCGGCAGCACAAAATGGAGGCGGCCAACAGCAAGCGGGCAACAACGCTCCTTCGAACCCTACCATACCACAACAGTCGCCTAATCTACAGCATCATTTTCAGCAGCAGCAGCAGCAACAACAGCAGCAGCAACAGCAGCAGCAGCAACAGCACTTTGCCGCTCTCCAACAGCAGCAGGTCAGCCAACAACAACAGCAAGGCGCACCCGGGGCAGGTGGATTCCCATCAGCCGCCATATCAGGGGCACAAGCTGCTTCGGCCGCATCGCAAGCTGCTGCTCACAATCGCATGCAGCAGCACGGCGGCGGGCCACAACAAGCGCAGACACAGCCGCCGCAGGGCTTTAATCAACAGCAGCAGCATCTAGGCCAGCAACCCCAGCAACAAGCCGCTGCTGCCGCTGGTCAAATGAAGGGCCCAACTGCGAACCAGATCACGCAGCTGGCTGCAAACATCAAGGATGATCAGCTCAATTCGTGGGTGGAAAAGGCGAAGCTTGACCAGTTCACTGAACAGCAGCGAGCGCAGGTGAGTCCGCAGAGAGATGCTGCGCAGAAACAGACGGCGGCTAACTATTTGCTCTCTTCTTGGTTCCATCGCCAACACAGCTGCAAATGATTCTCCAACTTCGCTTCCAGCAAAAGGCGCAGGAGCAGCAGCAGCAGCAAGCTGGACCATCTCAACCCAGACAGCAGCAGGCGCCCGCTCACCAGCAGCCGACACCTCAGCAGGCCGCGATGATGCAGCCGGGTATGGCTAAGCCTCCACAGTCAGGCGGTTTCCCAGGCCAGCAGCAGCAGCAGGGCATGCCGCCGAGTCAATTGCAGTTACAGCAACAGCAGCAGCAGCAGCAGCGAGGTGGTTGGCCGAATGGAAATCAACAAGGTGGCATGCCGGCGAACGTCCAGCAGCGCATTGCACAAGCGCAGGCGCAGCAACAGCAGGCCGGTAGCGCTCCGCCAGGTGCTGTCTTCGGGATGCAGAACTACCAGATGGGAGGGAATGCAGGCCCATCGCCTCAACAGCAGCAAGCTCAACAGCAGCAGCCGCCACAACAGCAGCAGCAGCAGCAAGGTGGCCCGCCGAAGCCCACCAACACGCCCAACCAAGCCTCAACCATGCTCGACCTCGCACAACGCGACCCGAAGCGCGTTGCACATGCCTTTGGCATGAAGATGAAGGACCTTGAGATGAAGATCAACAACCCTCGCGCCTCGGATCAGGAACGGCAGATGTACAGCCAGCAACTCGTGGATGCACGCAGTGCCTTCCAGGGTATCATCTCCAAGGTCATTGCCAGCGGGCAATTCCAGGGAAACTTCGCCGGCTTCGCTGCTGCAGCTGGCATAGGGCCGTCCTCTTCCTCTGCGGCGGGTCCATCCCAGCAGCAGCAGCAGCAGCAGCAACGACCGCCGCAGCCGCAGGCTCCACCGCAAGGCACGCCTAACATGGGCGTTCGTACGCCCGTCCCTGCTGCAGCGAGCCAGATGTTCAGCCCACCGACTATGCGGGCTGGCCATCAGCCGGGGAGCAGCCCACCAAACCCTTTCGGCAGCCCGGCCATGAATCCCGCGACGACACCGCACATGCAGAACGCCGCTGCATTCAACCAGCAGCAGCCCAATGGAGTACCGCCGAATGTCCGCCCGCCTGCTCAGCAGCAGCAGCAGCAATGGAACAACGCTCAGACGCAGCAGCCGCCACCGCCGCCCCAGCAGCAGATTGCTCCTACTGGCCCCACATTGAATCGAGATTCCTTCTTCCGCGCTCTCACCGACCTTCTTCCGCGACGAGGCATTACGCTCAAGCAGCCAGTGATGGTCGGCGGCCACCAGATCGACTTGTGGACCCTCTATCAGACGGTGTCGGAGCGCGGAGGCATGCAGGCTGTGTCGCAGAGCTCTGCGTGGCCTGCCGTCGTCGTGGCGATTGGATTGGCGCAACACGGCTCACCCGAGGCGTATACACTGGCTCAACCACTCTCGGAGGCATATCGGGCTTATCTTCTCATCTTTGAGGGGGTGTGGAAGCAGGCTTCCGAAAGGGCTAGGATGCAGACCTCGGAGCAGCAACAGGCGCAAGCGGCAGGCCAGCAACAGCAGCAGGCGCAGGTAATGGGCCCTGGTCAGGTCAACGGACGCCCACCGCCATCTGCTCAGCAGCTTGCCGCCATGCAGATGCAGCAGCAGCAGCAGCAGCAGCAACAGCAGCTCCAGCAACAGCAGCGATTCGGCCAGCAAGGACAGCCGCAACCTCAGCCGCAGCCTCCAGCTCATCAGCAGCAGCAGCCTGCCAATCAGGCCTCGCCGCCGTCACTTCCCCCTCCGCCTACCCTCTCGCAAGTCCAGCTCAAACAGCTCGGCGTCACTCAGGAGCGCTTCAATGAGATGTGGCGGGCGGGAAGCTTCCAAAAGCAGGCCGCTGCTGCGACGGCTGCCGCTGCTGCCAATCAGGTCAGGCCACCCCCGCCTCAGCAACAGCAGCAGCAGCAGCAGCAGCAGCAGCAGCAGCAGCAGCAGAGCCAGATGCAGCAGTCGCCCAATCTCGCCCAGCAACAGCAGCAGGTTCCTCGCCCGATGCCTCCACCTCCTCAGCAGCAACAGCAGCAGCAGCAGCAGCCGGGCGCGTCTTTCCAGAACCCCGCGGTGACCGGCAGCACGGGTGGTCCCGTCAGTCTATCCCCAGCCAACGCTGCTCCTGTCACCAAGGAATCCTTCGAAGCGGCACGCGAGAAGCTCCTGAAAATCGACGAGGAGCTCAAACTTCGTCGCCCCGAGCTGTCTCTACCGCGCAACCTAAGTGAGGAGGAGCGCACACACCTCTTCAACTTTAACGCCTCCTTGCTCACCATCTGTGAGGAATGCCACGTTCTCCTGCCTGCCTTGGTGGCGATGGCGAGTGGGGATATGGATGCCTCGGGGGCGAAGAGGGCGAAACTCATGCTCTGGCTGATGCGCGACCAGCTTTGGGTCATGAAGACCCGCGGCGAGTCCCGTCTGGGCATGGACGAGATCAAGCGCATAGCGGTGCATTTCACGAGGTTGACAAGCTTCGTCAAACAGGTCAATCCCCAGGTCGCTGAGTTCCTGCTGAAGGAGAATGCGGCGAGAAAGGCAGCAGGACAACCGACCTGGTTTGCTGTACAGCCCCCGCCGATGCCTGGTGCCGGGGGCCAGCAGACTCAAGCGCAGCCGCAGCAAGCCACGAACGCTCCAGCTGCTCCTCCCGCCGGCTCGCTGCCCGTCGACGAAGCCATCGCAGCTCAAATGGGCATCAAGCGCGGGCTGCGCGTTGACGACCTGAAGTTGCCGCCCTCTAAACGTAAGACGACGGGTGGCACGCCTGGCACGCCGACCAATCAAGGCTCCTCTCCGCAGGCTGCTGCCATGCTCCTTGACGCTAGTCCTGCAGGCGCCAAGGCAGGTGAGACTGACTCGCCCAAGCCCGTCAACCAGGCTTCTCCCCCGTCGTCGTCCACAGCGGCCCGCGGAGGGAAACGCGGCGCGAGCAATGCGACTGCTCGCGGCGGTGCACGCGGCAAGAAGGGCAAGATAGTCGCGGCCGCCTCGCAAGACGATTCTTCCACCCCCGGCGGCAGTGCAGCCTCACCGAAGCCCAAAGTCAAGACGTCTGCGGACATCATGGCCGAAGTGAAAGCAGAGATTGCGGCTGAAGAGGAGCGCAAGAAGCGCGAGGAGGCCGAGCGGCTTGCCGCCGGGATTGAAGATGACAAGCGCAACCCATTCTTGCTTGCTGAGCAGGCTGAGACGAAGCGACAAGGTGACACAGAAGGGCAGGACGAGCTGGGCTTCGTCATGGGGGCCTGGCAGGATATGCTCGATGCCGGCAATGGCACTGGAGGCGAATTGTCGGCAGAGGGTGGGAACCCACTGCACTCCCTTCTGTCCGTTGTGGGCGCGAGCCCAAGCGCAGCGATGGCCGCGGCTGTCAGCCAGGCGCCCACCACCGGAGCTACGTCAGCAGTCGCACAAGCTCCCGCTCAGAGTAATACGTCTGCCCTCATGTCCGGCTCGCTGGGAGACGCGGAAATCTTCTTCGACTTCGACTCCTTCGATGGCCTCATCGACGAGGGTGACTCCACCGAGAACGCCACCTCCGACGTGGACATGAAGCAACCCCAAGGCCAGTCAATGGACGTAGCTACCGCCCTCGGCGTGTCCGCCCCCTTTGCGCCGCACGCCGCAACCTCCGCCGCTGCGGGAGGGACAGGCGAGACGCCGGACCTCATCTCCTCCTCGTCCGCCTCTTCCGGTATTCCATCAGCCGCCTCCTCCTCTACGAGCAGCAGCGCCGTCCTGCCAAAGACGTCGACCTTCCCGCAGTTCAGCAACAACGGGGACGCTCACAAGGGCGCGGAAAGCAGCGGCAGTGGAACGACCATGGTCGCCAGCCCGACGCAGGTGTCGCCCAACGAAGGATCGCGGGGCAGCTTCTCTGGTGCTAGCGGCGGTGGTCTAGGCTTGCTGGAGAATGACGCATTTTGGGATGCGGATGACCCCGCGGCTCTCTACGGCAATGCTGGGTCAAAGGAGGGAGAGAGGGAGAATCCTTGGGCCCTTCTCCCGGGTGGATTAGGGGAAATGATTTCGTGAGGCAAGGGTGGGAATCCTACTTTAACCACAACCAAGGCGCTCGCCATACAGAACAACTACGGCGTCTATTTCACTCCAAACTCAAAAGGGCATCAGATATCCGCGACGTGCTTTACATCTTCAAATGCAGGCCCCCAACGTGCTCCTCCTGACCATTATTTCATTCATCAACTTCGCCTACCCTCTGTACTTGTACCCCCCTATCCCTTTACCTGGCGACTTGCTACCTTTTCGAGTGTCTACGAGCCTTACGCATATCCAACAGTGAAGAGAGAATGCGATTTGTTCAGTCATTCAGAGGCGAGAGAGTGTGGGCGCTGAGCGAGAGGTAAGGCGAGGCGGTACCCAGACCAAGACGCGGTTGGGCGATGGCCACCTGCCTTGCCTGCTACAATTGACCCGCATCCCTTCCGTCGTGAGCTGCTCGTTGCTCGCTGCTCTGACATCTCGACTGATCATCGTGTGCTCCCACCCACTGACTGCGTTTCCCCGGACGGCAACCACTCCATCGCGCTAGTCCCGCTTGCCTGGCTCCCACCTGTTGGGCTGGCCCTCAAATTGGCATCCCCGGCGCCACTTTTTTGCGGCCATCCGGTGTCCAACCCTACAGCATTTCCCCTTGCTCTCGGCCCTTTGCTCAGCCTAGTAGTAAGACTGGAAGAAGCAAAGAGGCGCCGATGGTGAGATGCGAAGGTGTGAAGATGGACTGTAGCTTCGCAGCAGGACTTTTGTGAGAGGGACGGGGGGTAGGCTTCATAAAGAGGATGGGGGCCAGCGATTCAGGCCACTCATCATCGGTCGACCTCATCCTCCAGGAGCCTTCCTTCACGGTCTTCCGCTCTGACCGAATTCGCTCTCACTCGACCATCCTCACTCCCTCTCTCACTCTTACTCTCACACGCACACACTCTCTCTCTCCCTCTCTGTCGCCCACTATGTCGAACACATCCTCATCTCTCCCCTCGCCGACCTCCGAGTCTCCCTCGCTTTCGAGCACCAACCTCAGCACACCCCACTCTGAGATTGCCGCTCAATCATTTCCCTCGTCATCCCTTGATGTGAGTAATTGCGACGACACTTTATTCGTACGATTGGCGCCAGGGCTTGTTTTGCAGTGAGGAGCTCAAGCGCATAGCAGCCTCTTGGCTTGCGTGTGCGTGTGCGTCCCCCTCTTTGCTCGACGAAGAACGAAGGCAGGCTTTCCGTGCTCCTCCCTCCCCCCACTCGACGTCGTCCATGCTGTGTGCATGCATGACGTGCGGTGCGGGGGGATTAGGAAATTGATCCTTTTCGGCGAGAATGCCAATCTGGATCTGGTGCCTGCCTAATGCCTCGCCTCCACGCAACGGCTGCCAGGAGCAGCAGCTGCGAAGCTATGCAGCACCTGGTGCCGGCCAAGAGTCGTTTGTCGTCTGACTGACGACAACGGAGAGCGGGTGGGGCTCCGGCAGAGTAAGGGCTAGCTTCGTTGCGATGTACGCAAGCGCTGCATCGCTAGCTAGCTTGCTTGCTCCGTTGAGCGGATGTGACGTACCTTTGTAAAGTACTGGTGCCCCGCGGGGGGTGCCAGGGAAGGTTCAGCACGGCGAGAAAGTGGGTCGTCCGTCGGCGCAGGCACATCCTGAGCCGTTGTCGCTTGGGGAGACTTTCTTCTGCCATCGATTGAAGCAAAAAGCAAGACAGACGGAAGAGAAGTGGTTGCGAGACGCGAGACTACTGCGAGCCTACTTAAGAGCAGTGTCTGACATTTCATGCTGCTTCCCATTCCCCCCCTGTCCTTCTCATCCTTCTCATCCTTCTCATCCTCCTTTCATCTCCTCATCCATCCTCTCCTCATCCAATCATGGTCGGACGCTGGTCGCCATCGTTGCTCCTCGTCTCGACGCTCGCGTCCATTGCCGCTGCTCTTCCGTATGAGCAGAGCTCGGACATGAGCGCAGCGAACCTCTTCCTCAAGCTTCGTCAAAACAACAATGACAACTCAACGTCGGCTTCTGGACCAGGCTCCAGCAATGGATCGACCCCCGTTTCTTACAATCAGCCTTACCGTCCGCAGGTGAGCAACGGGCCATGGTATTCACCACGCGAGCCTAAACTAATGCAACCCTGCCCTCGTGGCTCCGCCTTCGCAGATTCACTTTTCGCCCAGCTCGGGCTTCATGAACGACCCCAATGGCCTCGTCGTATCCGGCAAGCCCGGTAACGAGACCATTCATATGTATTATCAGTACAACCCCAATGACACCGTAGCGGGCAACCAACACTGGGGCCACGCCACATCCAAGTCATTCGAGAGCTACGAGTGGAAGAATCACCTCCCCGCCATTGCTCCCGAAGCCGAAGGTGAAGGCATTTTCTCGGGCTCGGCCGTCATCGACTCGAACAACACCTCTGGCTTCTTTGACAACTCCACCGAGCCCGAAGACCGCATCGTGGCTATTTACACTCTCAACACGGCCGACGAGGAGAGCCAGAACATTGCCTACTCGACGAATGGTGGATACAATTTCACCAAGTACGAGAACAATCCCGTCCTCCGCGATGTGGGCAAATATCAGAAGCAGTTCCGCGATCCCAAGGTGTTCTGGGATGCGCCGCACGAGCAGTGGGTCATGGCTGTCGCGCACACTCAGACGTATGAAGTCGGATTCTACACCAGCAAGGATCTCAAAAGCTGGGAGGAGGCCAGTCGCTTCAGTGCTGGCGTGCTCGGCTACCAGTACGAATGTCCTGCGCTCTTCCAAGCTCCTTACGTCGGCGGCGACAAGGACGGTCAGAAGGGATGGGTCCTGCTCATCAGCATCAATCCCGGCGCTCCCCTGGGCGGTTCGATGACCGAATACGTCATTGGCGACTGGGACGGAAAGACGTTCACGAGCGATGACCCGTCAGCAAAGCTGGCGGATTTCGGCAAGGACTGGTACGCTGCGCAGACCTGGGACAACACCGACCCCTCGAAGCCACCGGTCGTTATTGGATGGGCAAGCAACTGGCAGTACACCAATGTCGTTCCGACGTCGCCGTGGCGCTCAGTATTCTCCGTTCCTCGTGAGGTGACCTTGCAGTACGCGGCTCTTAATCCGCTGGACTCCCGCTATGTCATGGCCCAGAACCCCATCAACACGAGTGCGATCGTCACCGACTCCCTCCACGACGGCAAAACGGCTGCCAAGAACTCGACAAGCGTTGACCTTAAAGGGGACGGCGCCTTTGACATCACCGCCAACATCACTATGAGCGCCGCCACCTACGGTAGCCTGGCTGCCAACTCAACCGTCGACCTCTACGTCAACGGCACGGCCAAGGGAGACGTGCTGCGCATTGGCTTCGTCGGTGGCGAACCCGGCGTCGTCTTGATTGACCGTCGCTTTGCCGGCAAGGACTGGGCGGACAACGACCCGTTCTTCACTGATCGCTTCTCGACGCAGGCTCAGATCCTGTACGCCGACGACAACGACAAGGAAAACTCGGACCGCTACTTTACTATGAGGATGATCGTCGACCGCACCATCACGGAGCTCTTTGTCAATGACGGTATCGCGTCGGCTGCGGTGCTGCACTACTGGGATCAGGAGGGCAAGCCAACATCGCTCGAGATGAAGGTAGGCGATGACCGCCTTAAGGTGCACCTCGATGTTCAGGCGCTCAAGTCGACGTGGTGATGCGCGAGTGAACGGGATTGAGATAGATGTCGAATACCACTAGGAAATGTTGTCAATGCCAATTTGCTTGGATCGCGCGTGCGCTCGAACCTCTCCGCTCGATGATGGTGATCGCAAGTGATGATCGTCAGCTGTTGCCACGCGCCCGCCTCTCGGCCGTCGCCCTCTGTGCTGCCACTGGGCGTCTACTCGTGGGCGTGCGACGCCCAAAACGCCCTCTTGAAACCAATCCTGTCGCCCAGTGCCTGCCAAAGCTGCCCTTCCTCGCGTCGAAGCTAGGCGGGCGGGCTAGCCCTCTGACTGACTGCGTGCCCATCGAATCCCAACCTGCCTCTCCGCCGCCGCCGCCTCCGCCGCCCGCCGAACTGTGGGCGCAGTGAATGGGCGGCAAGCGGCAGCAGCAGCAGCAGCAGCCCGAGCGAGGACGAGAGGGGAGAGTGGCTGAAGCATCGTCCGTCGTCTCGTCTCAGCCTCACCAAAGTCAGACCAAGGCGCGTGCGCGGGTCTACTCATCCCGACCTTCATCCTCGATCTCACTTACCCCTCTACCTCCATCTGCGCGTGCGTCGAGCGAGCGAGACCCTGCTGCGCAGCTCGTATCGGCCTTGGCGCTCTCATTACCTTTGGACTCTAGGCGCAATCTCTTTCGCAGCAGCAACTACACGCCCGCTTTCCCGTCTTCCTCTTTCCTCGTCATTTTCCTGTCCGTCACCCTTGCCCTCGACGGAATCGCATCCTCTGCGCTGGATATTGCTGCATAGTCAGGGGCACATTCGAACGAATCCGGGACGTTCCTTGAGTCAATCAACACCAAGGGGGAAGGCCAGGCACGCGACTTCGAGTCAACGTAGGCAGGAGGGAGATTCGCGACCACAGTCTCATAGGCCGGACCTCCTCAACGCTCATCATCGCGGCCGGCCGGTTCTTGAAAGACGACATCTGAGCTGTCAGCTACCACAGCATCTTCGTATTGCTGTCAGCTACGCTCGGCGAGCTGCATAGATTCACCATCCTGCTCCTGCCTCGCCTCCTCTCTATTCCGCATCATCAACCTGACCATCACTCCTTCGCCATCATCCACCGCTTGTACAGCAGAGCAGAACTTCTATCACTCGATTGGGCTGTAGCCCTCGAGTCATAATCAGAGTGGGGGCGTAGACGGTTTCGCTTCACCCCTCTATCTTTGTTCGCGATGGCGGACGTCGATACCCGTCCGCGGTCCACGCCGCTACAAAGCGACTTCAACTACCCACAGCAGCGAACATCTAGCCTTGATGACGCTCTCGCAGGTCCGTCAAACATCGCTTCTTACAGCAACAACAGCGTCGCAGGCCCGTCCAACTCGGTCTCCTCCGATCCTCAAGACCAGCTAACGAGCGACTTTGGCATGTCAGCAGGCGGTAGCAGCCTGTATGGCGGCTTGCTCAATGGCGCGAACTCCCTCGACCTGACGTCGTCACATCACGACAATCCACTCTTTACATCGAGCAGTAGCTTGTCCGCAGTCCTTCCCACGCTACCAGACGGCCTGCTCCAGCTGCCCGAAGTCCTCGACGAGGACCTATCTGCTTCGTCCCGCCTCGAGTTTCCGGACATTCCCGCCATGCTGTTCGAGCAGGCGCCAGAGTACGAATATGTGAGTCAGCACAGTCAGTCAGCGAGGTCTTGTGATTGGGCAGAGGATGGTGTTGTGTTTGCTGTCAGGAGCGGCGGAGGGGCTGTACCTGAAGGGCGCAGAGCAGATGTAGCCACCCTGGTCGCTGCACTTTAGGCTGAGGAACCTCATTTCGGGCGTGCGGACCTCAGGGGCGCTCAATCACTCGACGGTGTGATGACGCCCTACTTTGACGACCATCACACGCTCGCGAAGAGAAGACGCTGACTCGTTGCCCGTTCGTACTCCCTCCTCCCTCTACTACGCTTTCTCCTCGCCATTGCTCATCACCGCGTGCTAGTCGGCCCATACACGAGCGAACGTCTTCTCAGACGCCTCACTAGATCGACTGGTCGCGGGTGCTTTGTCAGGCTACGACTATAGCGCGCCCCTCGGCAGTCGATCGCCACCCGACAACAGTCATCCGAACCTCTGGAATCAAATGACCGACGTACCGGGGCCGTCCGATGATGGCGCATTTCAGCCGCAGCAATTCGCTAATGGCCGTGTCGTAGAACAGCCTGCCAATGGAAGTGTGAGCGCGCCCGCCAACGCCAACGCCAACTTCCTCGCCGACGCTGCCGCTGCTGCTGCCGCCGAACAGTCAGGGGCGTCATCGGCGCATACCTCTGGATATCCTCAGCCCCACGCCCCGGGGGCGCACCACTCGGGGGCCTCGCTTCCCCAACATCACAGCGCATACCAACAGCAGCAGCGCATCTACCCCGACAACTACTCGCAACGCTACTCTGAGCCAATGGCAGCTCCCATGGATCCGCACGCCGCACTGGATGAGCGTGCCTACCAGCGCAGCTTGGCAGATGTTTCAGAGTACGGCGCAGATGGGCAGCCTGTCATGAAGAGGCGCAGAGGCTCGCCGTCGCCTCGCGCTTGGTCGAGCGCACAGGATACCTCGGCTCACATGTCACAGCGAGGAAGCTATGCGTTTACAGGTGACGGGCACAATGCAGGCCAAGGTGGGGACGGCGTACCTCCTCTTTCCAAGACAGGTCCAAGCCCGTCCAACTCCTACGCATCACTCCCTCACGGTATGCGCTCCGGCCCTTCCCCTGCGCAACGATACTCTGCAGTACCGTCGCAGCATGCTTATGCCGCTGACTGGGCGAGCGCAGGGCCTAGCGCACTCGGACGAGCACCTCCGTCTGGCTATCATCATCCTCACTCCTCCCCCTCTGGCCCCTATGCCATGCCTCAATACCGCAGCGCCGATCCCTCTCAATGGAACTCTCACTCAAACGCCGGCATGATACCCGCGAGCGGCACCAATGGCAGCAATTCCAAGCCCATCCCGCACCGTTCCCAGCGTCAAGAGAGCTCTGCCTCACTCAATGGCGGCGATAGTGGCGAAGACGGCGAAGATAGCTCTCTCCTAGACGCCCCACCCCCTACGGAACGAGCCGTCTCTCTAGCCCAAGCAGCCCTCAAGGGGGGCAACGGCACAGCTCAGCAAGCGGACATGCTCGCAGCATTGAACGATACCCTCGCTTCCTCCCTCGAGACGGATGGAGTAGCCCGTTGCCCCTTCCCGGAGTGCACAAAGACCTTCGCAAAGAATCGCTCCTACAACCTCAAGACTCACTTGCGCTCCCACTCGCAGCTCAAGCCCTTTGCTTGTTCAAGCTGCCCTCGGGCCTTTTCCCGCAAGCACGATCTGGAGCGCCACGCCCGTGTGCACTCGGGGGATAAGCCGTACATCTGTGAAGTCTGCGGGCGCGGATTCCCCAGATCGGATGCGCTCAGGCGACACTGGAGAGTGGAAAAGGAATGTGGGGATAAGGCGAGCGAGATCGAGGCTGGTCAGCCCTTGCCCTCTTTGGCGCCCGGGGCTGTTGGAATGCACGCCCATGTGGCGATGGCTGCTATGCCGATGTCCATGGTCAAGGGGATGGTGCCCAGCCAAGGGGGGCATCATCTTGGTGGGCACCCAGGAGCATTTGCAGCACCGACTGCTTTGCCCGGTTCGTGGCACCATGGGGGAGGTGGGCAGATGCATTCTGGACCGCAGTATGGTGTGCCGCCGCAGTCGCAAGGGAGGATGGGTGGGCCTCCACCTGGTGGCCCTCATCACCTACCACAGCAGCAACAGCAGCAAGCGCCACCCGGCTTCGTTCCCCTGCCGCCCAGCCATCACCTCAGCGTAGGGTCAAAGCGTCCTCGCGAGGAGTGGTGAGGAATGAGGGCGACTGGGCACAATCGTAAGCAAGAGCAAATTCGAGGTCCCTCCGCCTAGCCTCCTCTCGAATCCCGATCACACCTCTCTGTCACATATTATCACGATACATCGAGACGCGAGCGCGTGCGGCTGGCCGCTCTACGATTCCCCTCCACACTACCCACCCATCCTCGCTCTCTCCTCCTAGATTGCCCCCCTTCTACTTGACCTGGGTCATCGATGCCGTGAAGATCGAAAAGACACGCATAGTCAGGTCACCCTCGTTTTTCTAGCGCGCTGCGCTGTTTGCTCCCTTTGTCGTCCTCCTTTACACTCTCTCTTCCTTGTCTCATCGTTCTTCACCCCACCACCACGTCACATCAATGCTAATCAGCTACCTCGCTCTCTCCCAGGCTGGCTTGTCAGGCGAGTGCGATGGCGGCTTTAGCTTGGGATGAATTGCAGACTGTCTGCAGGGATTTCTGCCCTACGCTTCCTCAACCATGCCCTCACCCTCCCTTCTAGCCATAAACCCTCCCCCTACCGCACCCACCTCCAATCTCAACAAGTGCGCATCCTTGACATGTCGCAGATACTCCTTCAACCTGCCACTGCCGCCCGTCTTCTCACCCTGCTCCTCTCCCTCCCCACTGCTCGCGGCTACGAACTCCAAATAGATCTTGTACCTCTCATCGGCAACCAAGATAGGCAGGGTCGTCGTGATGAGCTCAAGTAGCGGAGACGCAGCACTTATTGCCGCCCCTTGTCCAGCTGCAGCGCTTCCAGAGGAGAGGAGGGCCTTGTATGCGTCGAGGACGAGGAAGTGCAGCCTGACGACCACCTCGGAGACGTACAGTTGGCGAATGGTGGCGAGTTCTACGTGACGACGGTGCTGTGCTTCTTCGTCGTCGTCCTCGTCATCTTCGTCCTCTTCCGGCGAAATTTTGAGCCAATCGCCCCTCAATACATCCTCTGTGGTATCGCGCCATAAGCGCTCGACGCAACCTCGAACAGCTTGGCGCCAAGCATGGAGCTCCATACTTGAAGGGCCGCGACCACCACCCCGTGACTGCGTGTGCTGTTGTTGCTGGGCCAGGACTTCGAGTAGCGTCCATTGTGAGGCAAGGCAGGAGAAGAAGGCCAGATAGTGGAGATGTTCGATGCGCGCGCTCTCTGGCAGGCGGGGACGCCTTCGCGCTTCTTGACCGTCTTCTTGCTCCTCTAGCATCTCCTCCTCGTCCTGTACTTCTTGGCCGTCCGCTTCACCAGCAAGAAGATCTTCCGGCATCCTACCCAACAGCTCCCTCCCAGCCTCGACACGTCCACGACAGAGTAGAGCACGCATGAGAGCGTTGCTTTGCAGGACTGCGTCGTATCGCTTCGTTGCGGGAAGGAGGATGAGCCAGTCGAGGGAGAGGATGAGGGAGCGCTCCACCGGAGTCACATGAGCAGCAGCTGCGTTCTCAAGACCGGCAGGTAGAAGAAGCCCTTGGCCTCCTCTTGCGCCTGCGGCGTGAGCTTGAAGTCCCGACCAGCCTTCTTCGAAGATCTCCTCGACCACGAGGCGGGCCACCGCTGCTACGTCAAGGTGATGCTCCTTCGCCCTGAGCAGGGCTGCTCGCTTTTCTTCCAGGGTGGCGGATTCATTCAGTGACTTGAGATAGTGCGCGTACGATGCCTCCGCGGACTCGCGTTCCAGCGAGGAAGCGTACATGGCTACTAGGTCGCCTGCTGAGTTGGTGCGCTCCTCGTCATCTTGGGCATCCTGGGCAACGTGCTCCAACACCTCAACGTAGTACCTGAGGATGCCGTTGCAAGCCTGCTGAGGCAGTGCCTCACCCCCAGTCGTATCGATGAGACGCAAGTAGAGCACCAGGTGGGCAAAGAACCTGACTAGGTGGGCATAGCGCTTAGGCTCGACACTGGCTCGCATCTGTGGCAGGCGAGCCTCGACGTGGGAGAGGAGCTGCGGGACCTCGTTGAGAATGAGGGCTTGCTGGACTACTCGGTAGGGGTCGTCGGATTGGGTGCGTAGGGAGGCGCTCGAGGTGATTGATGAGGATGAGGTGGTTGAGGTGCCCTTGAGCCGGTCGAATGTTTCCCGAAGGGAGTGGCGGACTTCATCCGCTGAAGAGGAAGTGCGTGTTGAGGAGGATGTAGTTGCTGCGGGAGTCTCGCCCTTGAGCTCGACAACCTTGATCGCTCCCTCTCCACCATTCTCTTGGCTCCACCAAGCTCCTGCTGTTACCTTGTCCCCATCTGTCTCCTCTTCCTCTGCGGATGTACCCTCCAGCGCAGCCTCAATCCTTCCCTCCAATGCAGCGTTGACATGAGCCCAAAGATGCTCCTCCCAAGAGTCTTTGCTCGATACAGCCAGGACGGACTGCAGATGTCCTGCCAATGACCCATAAAGAGCACGCTCATAGGGGTCCATTCCAGTACTGCTGTGCGCGGAAGCCAAGCGGCGGCAGACTGCCTTCCATAGCAGACGATTACGGTTTCCTCCAGCGAGCCGGCCGGTCCCCATGGCATCGTCCCCTTCTTCATCAAGGGTCTGCTGGTAGTAAAGCATCGCCCCTCTGAGACTGGCAGCGCGCCAAGGCTGGTCAGCTTGCCTCGCCAGATCGAAAGCCGCTGCTAGCTGACCTGCACGAGCATATTCAAAGAGGGTGCGATGCAGCGCCTTGGAGTAGTTGGCGTCTTCGAGATCCCATCGGCCCAGGCCGCGCGATTCGGCATCTGGGTCCAATGCTCGGATGGTCGCTGATGATTTGGAGGCGACCTTAAAGGAAGTGATCTGCGTGCGCTTCTCTCCTCGCAGGCGATTCTTGCTGAAGGGAGCATAACCTTTGCGCACTTCGGCGATGTGTTGGGCGGGCAGGTGGGTGGAGAGCCAGTCGCGAATGATCTGCGTTGGTGAGGGAAGGGGTCAGACGTTCTGTTCCTCATGCTTTGATGTCATTTTTGTGGTTTGATGCTCACCTTGAGCTCCCTCAATCCCCTGTTTGCATCCAGCACGTCCTGCACCCTTTCAAAGGGCGTCTGATACCATGATGAGGACGATCCTTCGCCTCCAGGTCCGTCCGACCCAGCGACATCTCTTTGCGGCTCTTCGTCTTCTGCCTCGGGATGAAACAGATATCGATCGGCACAAAGAGCATGAATCAACTCCCACGTCCTCGCCTCCAATATCCAGCGTTGACGGCTCTCCTCCCCTGGCGCGCCATTCTCGTCCCATCCTGAAGCTGACGAGGAAGGATCTGCTTGTGACGACATGATAGCCGCTTCGCCTACCTCTGCTCCCTGCTGCCTCTCCGCTTGCTCGAGGCAGACCTGAGCGAATCGCAACGCTGTTGGGACGCTGCCGCTTGACTGTATGCCATCATCTTGAGCGTCATAAGAGAGGCGGCCGGCGAAAGAGAGGTGACGCGCATCTGCTAGCGATGAGGCGAAGCTGCGAAAGCTCGATGATGAGGCCGCGACATAGGATGAAGGGGGTCCAAGCGCCATGAGAGGCGACGAGTTTGGTTGCTTGATTGGTTGTGGTATCGACAAGTGAGCACTTCAAGGACGTGCAGCACGCTTCGACGCCGTCGCGACTCGAAGAAGTCGGTCCGTCAACGATTGCCCTGCAGACCCACGTGGTTTTGCCCAACTTGGGGCTACGGGAGGGAGAAACGGAAGTGGAGCCCAGTTGAGGACAGGATGACTTGATACCTTCGTACTTTGGTGCCTTCATTTCATCAAAATCCTCAACGACAATGTCCCTGTTCGCTGCAAGGACGACTACAGCGGCTGCGGCGAGAAGAGGCGTCGCTACAGCCTCGACCAGGCGCCTTGTACCGGCCATGGCAGCTGCGCCGCCACCCAGGCGATATGCTACTTCGACTGAGAGCGGACCCAACACCTCTGCCCCTCCGCCTCCTCCTCCCACCACCTCAAACACCTCGACACGTCCCACTTCTTCTTCAAGCATGCAAGTAGGACCTCTCTTTCTCACCCTTGTCGCATCAGGTCTCCTCATCACAACGTACGGCCTCTACTCGTACTACACCTCCTTCTCCACCTGGCCCAAGCCAATCGCCAACGACCTCCGTGCCGCTATCAAAGCACGCAGGGCAGGAGAATATCGCAAGGCCGAGAGGAAATTCAGAGCAGCGCTGGAGACTGCAAGGGGAATGAGCGAGGAGGAGCTGCGTGGCACTGGGCCAAAAGAGGAGGATGCGGGCAAGTTGATGAAGACTACCGGCATTGCTGTAGCGCTCGCGAGCATGCTCGAAGAGGAGGCTGGGGGTGGACGGGCTCTTTGTGGGGCATATGACGTCTATCTCGAGGCGTGGAAGGATTGCTTGACCGCCGAGCAGAGCGTTACAGGACGAAGCGGGCCAGAGCGGGCGAGGGCGGTAGCGCTGAGCCAGAAGTTGGGACAAGTGGCGCTCAGGATTGCAGAGGTGCCCGATGATGCGGGCATGTCGGCTGTCCCAACTGGCGAGTACGCTCAGCACGCTGTCAAGGCTCTGGGTGATGGAAAGGACAGCCCTCTTCCTCCGCCTACACAGTCCCCTTTGCCAACGCAGGCTGCCGCAAAGGAGGCAGCAGAGAGGCATTTGGTTTGGACGGTCGAGGAGCTCTTGCGCCTCGCCATTCCGGGGGATGTGCAAGCACGGGCGAAAGATCGGCTCGACGGCGATTTCGCCTCCTCATCACAAGGCGCACCTGGAGCATCAGCGACGACCGTCTCCCTCTCCGATCTCGACCTCCCTCCCTGGCTCACACGCGTGGACCTCCTCTCCAGCCTCGAATCCCTGGGCACCTTCTACGCCTCGCAAGGACAGGTTGAGTATGCCGTCCCTCTCTACCTGCAGGCTTTGGGTATGCTCATGCCCCCGGCGTCCTCTTCCAATCCCACTTCAAAGCCACAACCCAAGCCTACAGTGGCGGATCGATGCCATGCGGCCGTCATCATGAACAATCTCAGCCAGGTCTTCCTCGAAGGCCAGGCGCCCAACGACGATGAGACGAGGAAGGCGCAAGCGGCTGCAGGTGGCAAGGTGGGGGTGGCCACGTCCTGGGCAAAGAAAGGTCTGGACATCGTGCAGTCCGTCAATAAGCAGGTGGGCTGGGATCTCAACTCTCCTCCGGAAGCACCTTCACAAAGACCTCTCGAATACGGCGACGATGCCAACCGTTTGGAGCAGGTCCGTTCAGAGTGCCTGGGATGCGAGGTTGCTCTCCTGGTCAACCTTGGCGCCCTCGCGAGCTTGAGTGGGGACAAGTGCGATGCGAGATCCTACTTGCAGCGAGCGTGGAGACTGGCGGATCGCGAGGGCATGAGAGGGGCGAAGGGTAGGGCAGGAAGCTTGTTGAGGGGGTTAGAGAGATTTGGGACTAGTGAAGGGGGAAAGAAGTGAATGCGCTCGACATCCGGTCTGATCGACGTGCCTGTGTATCAGTATCGCATTGCTCGAATGGCAACACATTCCCAGCTCCCCAGCCTCAGTCTCATCTTGGTCACTTTTCCTCGTTGCTCTCCCTCTCCTTTCCCTCAGCACCTTCTCTCTACGCCCTGTCCTTCTCGGGCAACCCATCCGGGTACCCGGAGTTGGGAGAAGGCTCGTACTTCCACGGCTTGCCTGAGGCCTCAAGGTTCTTGCGTGCCTCAGGGACAGCCCAGGATGCGATACTGTGCGCGGTTCAGAGCAAGACGGAGGACGACCAGAGGACCGAGGTGGGATTGATCAGCAAATCTGTCCTTCGGCGATGCCGAATGGTCGTAGAAGGTCTCGCTGCCTTGATGCCGCATACTCACGTGGTGTCAGGCTGGTAAAGCTTCAAAACAATGCCCAGTGCGATGCCGCCGAACATGCCCCAGTACCACATGAGCTCCCACGATTCGCGTTGGCGCTTTTCGCCCTTTGCAAGCGTCTGAGAGGGGTCGGTGGGACAAGGATTAGCCAATTGCCCGACGAACATGATGCTACGAAGCATTTGATGAAGACGCATTGCGGTCTGCCGGTCTCTCCAGACAAATGGTCGAGAGCAGTCTATGGTCGCCGGCTCACCTTCTCCCCAAAGAGATTGCCAGTGGGCTCATTGTATGCTCCGCCTCCCGACGCAAAGCGACGTTGCAACGGGGCAGCCGCCCTCGGTGCCTTCGCGACGGAGGCGAAGATGCCTCGAGATGATGATGCGGAGGCCTGTGCGAGTTGACGGATCATGATGTTCGAGGATGTGGTGGTGGAGAGGAAGAGATGTGTGAGAGACGGAGGCCAGTCCGACGGTTGAGTTGAAGGCGGGGAGCGGGACACGAGACGGAGCGGAGCCGATTCGCGAATCGTGATGACTTGCACAACTTGTCAACCTTCTCAACTACTGCAACGCAAGTCTCAAGACTAGTGAAGATACGCTGAGGAGCAGGAAGCTGGCATTGGCAGGCGCAAATGGACCATCGGGAATGCAGGGCCTTGTTGACTATGCGTCTAGCGACGATGATGAAGCCAAAGAGGAGCCCGTCGATCAGCCCGTCGCGGTAGGGTCCGAGGTAGCGACGAGCAGCAAGCGGCCCGCTGATAAACAAGCAGAAGTGTCAAGCAAGAAAGCAAGGTCAGACACGACAACAGGTATTCGGGGTCATCAGAATCATCTCTGACATTGCAATATGTCGCCCGCATCGCCCGCAGAAAAACCCTGCCCAAGCTGGCATTCGACGACGAAGCCTCCAGACAACCTAATGAGCAAGAGCAACACCACCCTCACGTCGTGCGCGGCGACTGGCTAGGCCATGTCTATCTCCCTCTGCCCCTCGACTCATGCACCCGACTCGAGAGCTTATTGGGGAAGATGCGCCGCTTCCTTGACAAGGAGCGGCCTGATGTCCATCACCTCTTGGGTCGCGAGGCGGACGAGGAGGGGCAGGATGGCGGAGAGGAGGAAGAGCTTCACATCTCTCTCACCCAACCTATCCTCGTGCGAGCACAAGAGCGCCCCACCTTTGTGCGCATCGCCCGAGACGCTCTTGTCTCTGTCCCATCTTCCACCCACTACACGCCTTCCTCCCTCTCGCTAGGATTCTCCCGCCTCGTCCTCCTCCCCTCGTCTACGACCGCTCGCGCGTTCTTTGCCCTAGAGGTGAGCCAAGGTCACGAGCAGCTCCAAGCTCTATCCGGACGCTTGGACGAACAGCTTCGCGCAGCCTTCAGGGCCAGGGAGTACAAATGGCCAGAGGGTACCAGGTGGCATGCTAGTTTTGCTTGGTGCTCGACGCTCGAGGAGGGAGATGGGGAGGGTGACAGGACGTCGTTGAGGAGAATGGAGGAGCTGCACCGCCTGACCGACAAGCTTGAGGGAAAGTTTGGGGATCAGCTACGCAGTGCTGTCGGCTCGCTGCGCGTCTCTTCGGCGTGCGTGCGCATGGGGAGGAAGGTTCATGTTGTCCCCTTGTCTGGACTCTCTTGAGCATCAATATCATCCAGTCCTGCCTTTCGCATCATGACATAGCAACGTCGCCATCCCTGGGCTTCTTGGACGATTGCTGACGATGTGCTGGTGCGGCAGGCATCGTGTTTCTTGCGTGCTCCCTGATAGCAGCGAAGGCGCTGAGCCCAGCTCCTTTACCACCGCTGGCTGGTCCACGCAGGTCACGCAGGATATGTGGTTGCCTCAACTGCTCCTGCGCAAGGACACGCCTGCGGAGCTTGCTCCCTACTTTGTTTGCCCCAGAGGAGGAGGAGGCAGAGGTATAAGAGCGAGGATCGCTACCATGCTGATGATTTTCCGCCGCAGTGGCAAAGATATCGTCTTCTCCGCCATCATCGTCATCGTCGAGTTCTTCAATCTCCTCCCGCATCCCCTCCAAGCCGCCTTGGCCAAGTACAGCCTCGTCCCTAGTCTTTCGTTTCCTCCTACGAAGAGCAGACTTGGAGATGGTTGGCTTCAAGCCGTAGGAAGGCTTTGCCTGGTCTGATTCAGCTTTCGCAGTTGCGACGAGCTGCTGACGCTTCAGGGTTCGCTTGGCTGCCTTTGTGACTTGGGCTTGAGTAGCTTTGTGGGCGGCCGGGGAGGAGGGACCGTCATGCTTGCGTTTGGGGGCTGGTCGGCCTGAAATGGCGGGAAGACGGGCCTGTAAAAGGCGAGAGAGGTGAGTTCTGCTCAAGGGGGATCACTGCCAATGCTGCCATGCTTACCATTGTATTACTGCTCAATGGAGGGATGGCACGAAGGATGTGGGAGTCTGGGATGGGACAAAGCGGACTGGCTGGAAATCTTGTTCTGCCCGCCTGTTCTGCTTCGCTGCGACGCGACCCGCGGACTGGCGGCGGGAGTGGAATGCAGGCAGGCAAGTGGACGGCTCGTCGTAGCTCGTACGCGATATGAAGCAATGTACAGCCGCCATTGTGATGGCAAAGAGGACAAGATCAAGCGGCGACGGCGGCGGCGAGGACGAGGCGGAGGAGAATGGACAAAGGAGCTGCGATGAGCCCTTGACCTTCCTTCCTTCTCTCCCCACAATCACCTTTCCCATGCTCCCTCCCTGATCGAGTCTCCACCCCTATCGCCGCTCGCCATGACCGGCATCTCCCCATCCCAAGCATCACCCGAGTCCCCGGTCCTCCCTTCGCCTGCTCAAACTCACATGCCCACCGTCACACCTCCTCGCCTCACGCGCTCAGAGCGTACAGCTCTCGGTCTCCCTCCCCGCCCATCCCGCATCGAGCAGTTAGCCCAGGCCAACCCCTCTGACGAGACGGACGATGCCACGCTTAGCGAGCATTTCTCCTCGCCTTCATCGACCACGGACAGCTCGATGCCTCAGTCCCCCGACCTGGCTAGGAACGTCGGTCCCCAGTTTGCACTGTCCAAGACGTGGGCTGATATGACGGAAGAAGATTTGGCCTTACAAGGACCTGTGCCCCTGCCTAGCCCGACGTTCGAAGATGAGACGGGGTGAGTGGGTGCCAGGGGCCAGACTTCATGTCGTCGTCACTCACACTCGACCCTGTCTTCCCTATCTGCCCTGACGACGCACCCGTTGCAAGCAATGACCACCTCACCTCTCCCGACCAGCCTCCTCGGGCGTCTACTACGAAGCTGCGATCCACCACCATCTCCACAGCCCCCTCGCCCATCGACGGAGCTTGTGCACAGCGTCGCACCTTCACCCGCTCATCGTCCGAGCCGCAAGCAGTCTTGTCTCAAGAGCACCTCGTGCAGTCACTCAACGCAGCTTGGGACGAAGACAAGAGTCCATCGCACTCTGGCCCCACTCCTGAACCCAAGTCGCCATTGAGCCAGGTCTGCGCACCTGGGGAGGCAGACTCAGCGCCCATATCGCCTATCACCAACACCGAGGCCGCACCTGTCGCTGCATCCACACAGACTTCCAAGGCGCCGGCCATCTCGCAAGCCCCGATCTCAGACTGGGACTCTCCGCCTCCTCCTCCTGCAGCACCAGCACCGCAATGGCGCCCTCCTCCCATTCTGAGCCGTAATGCGTACCTTGCTCGTCCACAGCGAGGACGAGGTGCTGGTCGCACTCGCGGTCGAGGAGTGGGCATTGCCTTTCCATTCGGTGAGCGACCAACCTATGCAGCCCCTGCTGCAGCTACGGCTGCGGCTGAACCCGCTCGCGGGCCCCATGGCTGGCACACGGGAAACAAAGAGCATGCATCCCTCCAGACCACTGCTTCGAAGAGACCCTTCAACGATTGGGATGAGTCGCACTTCCCTCCGCTGCCAGGCAGTGCGGCAAGAAAATCGATCGCACTGGAGTCGACCTCCAAGCCAGAGATGACTACGGCCAAGGAGACGCAGGCCACGCCTCGAGAGCAGCCTGTTCCAGCGGCTCCCGCTCTCCCGCCACCTACTTGCGAATGGGATGCGGACCCAACTACTCCAGACCCAACTCACATGCGCAACGAGCGCGGCGAGTGGATGGGTCGTGGACGAGGGAGATGGGGTGGTGCTGGCTGGCCTGCCGCTCCGCGTCGCACTACTACAGCATCCTCACGCCGTGCTTTTCCATCGCCAGTCCACTCGGCCTCGTTTCTTCAGCCAGCCCGCAAGCCAGACTCGTGGGATGATGAGGGTGAACAGACGACAGGGCCGCAGCAGCAAGCCGCATTGGCGATGAACGGCGTTTGCGATCAGGCCGACGGTAGCTGGGACGACCCTGTTGCGACGGCTACTGCCACTACTCAACAGCTCACTACTGAAGTCCCTGCTCTGATCCCTCACCGAGCGGCTACAGCGGCGCACACTGCAGCTGCACCGACTGTCCGCCTTGCGGATACTACTCTTCTGCCTCCTCCTGGGCTTCCCAGCAAGCAAAAGAGCCCCACACCAGCCCTGCAGTCCACTAATCCCAAGCTTGCCACCATGCAAATTCCCATACCCGCGACCAATCGCCCGCATTTCCCTTGGCAGTCCCCCTTCTCGCACGCCGTCGACACTATAGCTGGGAGCAAGGTCTCGCTGAAGGGCATCGCAAAGGGTGACCAAGGCGTCCTCATCGGGGATAAGACAGCCCAGCAATACCTCTCTCCGAGGCCGAGCAGCGCCTCTCCTGCTTTGCAATTCGGAAGTCTCAAGCTGGAGCTGGCTGACGATGTCGATGCAGCCGAACAGAGGGGCAAGCGAGTCAGTGTGAGCATTCAGACCGACCTTCACCAGTCGTGCACCGTCTCGAACGGCGTCTTACGTCCCGGGACCCCTCGGGCGAACGGCGCCCCACCCGCAATCTACGTGCAAGTCTCAGAGCTACATCGCTCCCTTCCTTCTGGCCTTGCGATCGACGCAGGCAACCGCGTCTACGATGTCAGAGGAAATCCGACGCTCGGAGATTGGGTCGTGCCCGCTCCACTAGGATTTAGGCCTGCGCCTCCGATGGCAGTGGTAAATGGTTGGGAGCATGGAAAGGGCGAGAAGGCTGGGCCATCCAGTGCTCCAGCTGCGGACGTCTTTGATCCTACGACGAACGCGACTGCCTCATCCGCTATGACCAAGCAGCCCTTTAGCCAAGCCGTCCCACTTCCAGGCCGGCCTTCTCAGCGATTGAGCTCTCTTCAGCCAGACGCTCAAGCAGTCGCGCTAGCGACAGCTGCGCATCAGGTCATGACGGCTCAGATGCAAGCTCAACCCGTTACTCAGGCAAGACCTCTCCTCGCGCACGAGGTACCAACGCAACAGCATCAAAATGACGAATCAGGCTTGGCTCCGCCAATCATGCTCAAGTCTCAGCCTACAGCAGGTGGCACCGCAACTTCGGTGCACTCGGCCTGGCCTCCCGGCGAAGGACCCGACAGCGCAAATGGCATCGGCGTAAACAACATGTCATCCAAGCCTGCCCAGCAGCAGACTCACTTCATCGGCCAGGACAATGGATACCTCATCCCTCGAAGCGATCAAGCGCAAGACTGGGCCACCCACTCCGTATCGACCCCAACCCTCTCTCCCGGTCGGGGCGGTCTACAGCATCACATACCGCGACGCGGCGCGCCTCTCTACCCTCCTATTTCGATGAGGGGTGAAAGACCTCGACCTCCCGCCTGGACTGGGCCGCGCCAGGGGCAAGGCATCACCGAGTCGACGGACGAAGTCACCTACTGGGCACCTTCAGCGCAGTACAACGTTTCTGCTCCTCAGCAAATAAGCCAATCCAGCGGATCCTGGAGGGCAGGAGCCAGTCCTAGGCGCGGGCGCGGGGGAAACGTGACGAGCCCCACCTTCCATCATCAACAGGCTCACGTACCGTCTTCGATGCCATCCCCAGTCGCCGTCACCTCGGCCTGGACTCCGCCGACCGCTCCCGCTGCCTGGATCCAGCATCAGCAACAGGGCGTGATGGCCGCAGGGCCGCAGCACCCCTTCTTTCACCAGCACTACCACAATCAGTTTCAGCCTTCTCAGCACAGAGGCTTCGCTGCGGGCTATCAGCCGCAGCAGCCGCAGCAGCAGTTGAGGGAGTCAGGGGCAGACACGGAGTCAGACGGAGGAGTAGGAGGGCAAGGTGGGGAGACTTGGACGTAAGGTCGACTCTTAAGAAGTATCGAGCCGCTCAGCACGGAGGAAACGAGGCGAAGAGACATCATCGCTTCACTCGACGAATAGCGAGCGAGCACGAACAGCACAGCGCAGCGCATGATGAGGCTGTGCAGCAAGAGGAGATCACCAGCTGTCAAGCAGTGAATCGGCTCTTTGCCTCCAAAAGCAGACCATCATTGCCTTCCCTCTCTACTCCTTCCCTCCAGCCATCATTTCCCCCTTGTCTTCAACTCGTCGTCATCTGTTCATCATCATCTTCCACAAAAAGGCATAAAAGCAAATAGATACCACCTCACCTCATCGCCCTTGCACGAGTTGGAGGGAAACGGTGCTCTGCGTGACCGGCTCAGCATGAGATAGGAAGAGTGCATGGTATTGAGCAATAAGTTGAAACTGATAAGAGGTAGCACATAGAAGAGTGAACGACCTGAAACCGCGTACGCGCGAGGAGAGGGCAGTGCCCAGCGTGCCGCAGGCGAGGGGGGAGTCATGAAGAAGGGCGGAAGAGGATGTAAGTCGCTGATGTTAGAAGCCTTCGAGCGAGCTCGCGTTGCTGTGACTAGCTATGGCTGAAGGTTGACGGAGGTATCAAAAGAGTATGAAGCGAGGTAAAAGAGTTTACATGGCCTCAGCCAGCGCGTCAAGTCCGTTTGGGCGCGAGTCTCACTTGTTCTCCTCCTGCACCTCCTCATCCCACCCAGCAGCTGCACCCTTGCTCTTGTCGTCTTTCTCACCCTCGTCCTTTCCCTTCTCTGCATTCTGCTCTACCGCCGACGCAGGCAGTGCGGGCACACAGGGCACGTCCGCAGAGCTCCTGGGTCCATAGACGTTGCCATGACCACCAGTTGCTCTGTCGCTGGGGGCGGCATCTTCGTCAGAGGATGGAGCGCCAGAAGCGGGTATACTGTCGCTGCCTGGCTGTACGTGAACCTGGGTGGAGCTTGGGAGAGGAGGTGGTGGCGTGATAGTTGCGGTTGGAGCCGTCTGGCTCTGATGGCCGGACGTGGCGACGGTGCCGTGAGTAATGTCCCCCGCGGGCAGGTCGTGAGGAGGCTGCTGGGAATGCCCTTCACTGACATCGCCGGGAAGCTGGCCTTCGGCCTGGGTTTCGTGCGCTTCGGCCTGACCTTCGGCGACTGCTTCGTTGTTCGTAGCAGGGCCAGCACCGCCTGGCTTTTGCTGGTCTTGATGCTCCGCTGTCTTGTTTCCCTGATCTATCTTTGCGGGGCTTCCCTCCTTCGCTACCTCAACAGCAGCGGCTGCAGGTGCAGAATCAGCGTGTCCATTCGCGGCTTGCGGCCCCCTTCGCGTTTCAGCAATCCCTGTCGACCCAGCGAAGCGTTCAGAACGTCGAGCCTCGTCGCGCGCCGAGCGGACACGGCCGAGAAAAGACTTGAGCTTCTCAGTAATGGTGTCTCTGAGCGTTGTAGGTGTGAAGCTGGTCGCAGTGGGAGAGGAGAAGGAGCTAGTGCGTGGAGGAGGAGCGGGAGCGACAGCCGTAGCAGCAGAGATTGCAGAAGGGAGAGCCGTGTCACTTGCATCGCCTCGGGTAGCGCTAGCACCGGCAGAGGAGGAAAATCCAAGGTGGCTTCCCTTGCTGACGTTCACGTGCTTAGCAGCGGCCTGCTCAATAGAAGCTGGAGTCGAGGCGGCCGGCGCGTTGACCGCAACGCCGGCACCTGGTCGAGGACCTTCTGGAGCCATCGTCGTCGACCTCCTTGGCGGGCTTGCAGGGCTGAGCTGCTCAGACAGCAGGCTCCTCACGACCTGGATAGACTGGCGGCGTCGCTTGCTGGCGGGCAAGGTGGTCGAAGTGCGCTCCGTGTTGGACATGTTGCGGCCTTGCGAGGAAGTAGTGGCAGGCCCGGCAGAGCTCGTGGCGGTAATTTCAGGTGCGGTGGCTGGCTTGGCCTTGCAGGCTGAGGCCGGCTGAATTACGTGTCCAAGAGTCTTGAGCATTGGCTGCTGCTGCTGTGGCTGCTGTTGCTGTGGCTGCTGCCTTTCGTCCGTATCAGCAAGTTGCCGATGTAAAGAATGCGGTGTATGCTCCGCAGTCATCTCCTGCTGCTGCTGCTGCTGCTGCTGCTTCAGACGCTGCGCCGGCGTCATTGCGCCAGCTTCCGTCAAGATTGCGGCGCCCATGTCACTGCTCACTCTTCCGTGACGGCTCATGCGACGAGCAGACAGAGGCACAGCAGCAGCGGCCTCCGTGGCGCTTGCAATGCGCTTCTTGACCTGCGAGAAGATCGTGTCGACCTTTTCTCCCATGGCCGGATGGGAGAGACGCTGCTGAGGCTGGGTTGCTGGCGCGAGCTGAGAGGCAGTGCCAGTCGTGGCATTCTGAGGCTGTGACTGCATGGCAGACTCCGTCGCAGTGCTTACCCGTGGAGGAGGGGCAGGGGTGTCACTGGGCATGTCGAGCTCTTGAGACCTGGGTTCGCGCGAGGGCCGATGCGTTGCGAGAACGAAGCTCTGGGAGAGGCGGTGGCGCAGGCTGTTGGCGAAAGACGTCGGCTTGCGGTGGTGCATGGGCAGGCCAGATGGCGGTGTCGAGGGGGTGACCACCGTCTCTAGTTTGTTATCGCTTGTCTCGGCATTGTTGACGCCATCGACAGCAGCGGTCATCGATGTAGAGGCTGCCGAGACGTGCATTTCTCCGTCGACATGCCCGGAAATAGTCGGCTTAGGTAGGAGCGCGACGGAGAAGCGTCGCTTGGCTTGGCTGAGAATGTTCGAGGGCTTGCGCTGCGGCAGAGGCGTTGGCTCGGGATGTTGAGTAGCAGCAGGGGGATCTAGACTGATGGCTGGTGCCAGCATTCCTTCCACTGCTTCGCTAGTGGTAGGAGCAGCTGTGGGCACAGCAGAGTCGGGCATGGCCTGAGGCACCTCGTCTGCCTTGGTCTGTTGCTGGTTCGTCGATGTGGGCTCAGACTGTTCGTCTTTCGTCTCGCCGTTGCCCTTGTTGACATCTTGCGCTACGGGGGCGGCGACGACTGCGGTAGGGAGATCGTTCAGCTTGACGTCGGCGGCTGTGCAGAGTGCAGAGTGTGGAACGGTCAGCAGAAGAGCATGCTCGCACTTGTTGGGGCTCTTACCTTGCTCCGTAGCCTGAGAGGCAGTCATTCTTGATGATGGAGAGCTGCCAAGGAGAGACCGATGAGCTTGCTCTGATCAGCTACGACGACGACAAGGCGATGAGATCGGCGAAAGCGGCGGTCCCTTTGCAAGGGCAAATGGCTGCGATGATTCTCTACGCGGGCGGGTGGCCAGCCAAAGCGGCTCGTGAGTGCGGCTGTGATCGCCAGCGCAGCCCTTCCCCCCTGATCAGCCGGCTAAGTCGTGGCATTGTCACAAGTAGAGCGAGCTACCATCCGCCCACAGATCATCCTGACGCCAACACGACGAGCCTGGCGAGCGAGGATGGAGGAAGTGGCTGCGGGCGGGGCGCGCCCAAAATGGTGATGAGCTTGATAGTCGAGCATATAGTCGAGCATATACGATTATGTCGCGAGGTGAATATCCCTGTTCTATTCTGCTCTCCTCCAGCTTTCCAACGAGCCCAGACATGCGATGCTTCGTAGCCATCACTGGGTCGCTATGTCGAGGTCAAGATCTCGAGTGAAGTGTGAGTTGGAAACAAGAGCGGACTGGCTGGCTTTGCTCTGTGCGCTGTGGCTGCGAGGTCGAGGCAATCGAATGCAGCCCAGCCAAACAGGGCTCCTCGCTCACCTCTGTCCGAAGTCTGCTTGCTCGCTCCCGCCCCGCCCGGCGCCCGCGCTTGGCCCGCCTCTGCTTCCGCCCGCCGCGACGCACGCAGTGACGTTCGGTCGCTCGACTCGAAGAGAGGGAGAAAGAGGGCCACACTTCACTCGACTCCCCCCCTTCCTCTCCCGCCGCGATTGCCTCGTTTGCCTCAGCCTCATGTCCGCTTTTCCTTTCCTGCCTTTCCTCCCCACCCTACCACCATCACCCAACCTCTGCCTCATTCGTCGCCGTGAAAGGCTACGTGCCTCTCTTCTTTTCGCAGTCCAGCTAGAGTGACAGCTCCTCTCCACTACTTCGGCTAGAATTTGCACGCCTCAGCCCTTCTTCATTCACCGCACCGACGTCGGCATCCTCCCCACCTGCACGACGGTCGACCAGAGGGAGTTGGCCCCACACAACGACGACGGCCACCACCAGACTTGCCCGCCGTCGAATAGACACCAATTCATCATCATCGCCGTCGCAGCACCAACAACAATCAGCATATACTCAAGTGCTGGGCCTCGCACAGGCCACCAAAGCACCCGTGCGTGCAGAACGTCACTTCTTCGCGTTATAGCATCCGCGCGCCGACGCCGCCGTCGCCAAGATGGTGATGCTCAAGCGCCAGCCCGTTGAGATGGTTCCACCGCCGAATCCATCAGAATTCAAGGGCGATGATCCCGACGTCTTCTACATGGCGGCCACAGGAGAGATCTTCCTAGACTACGAGTGCGTCCATGCCGAGCTCCACCTTGACGCCTCACGCCTACGAGTCGTACGACTGACGCGTTCTTTGCTCCCGCGCGCACCCAGATCATACGCACAGCGGCTGACATTCTACAATCAGCCCATATTTCAGGACGAGCTTACTGGCAAGGTCAATCTCACATTTTTTCAGGCGGTGCAGTCCGAGCGAGAGGAGACGGTCAAGCTCCATCGCAGATTCCCCGAGGCTCTGAAGCAGCCGGTACTCAGAGCCGTTCAGTTTGTCATCACTGGACGGCTAGACAATCTCATTGACCTTGTCTTCGAGCGCTTCAAGGATCGCTACTTCATCGGGGAGGCCATCTTTGTTGATCTCCAAGGCGACAAGTGAGTGTGCCCGACGCGTGGATTGATGGCAATGTCGCTAAACCTGCCTCCCTCTCCTCTTGCAAAGGTACTACGCTCGGGTCAAGGACGTCTTTGCACCTCGCTCCCTTGTGAAATGGCATACGCAGCAAGCAGAGAAGCAGGCATCTACGAGCACGGCGGACATCAAGCCGCCGACTCCCGCTGAGGTCGTCCACCAGATCGGCTGCGATCTCGACCGCAACGTCGAGGACAGCGTCAAGATCGACGATCCGGAAGATTACATCTACTCGATCCAGCTTGTCGATGAGAGCGGTCAATTCACTGGCAGTCTCATGGAGGTACGCAACAAGCAGCTCAGTCGCGATCGTCTCACCTTCTCCAAGGCCATCCTCAAGAAGTATCTCCGCGAATGCGTTGTGCGCGACTCTGCAGTGGGCAGCCCGTGGGTCGTCCGTCACACGCTCGCACATCGATATGGCATCCCTATCGCTCCTGATCAGGCTACGATTGAGAAGAACAACGTCATCAAGGAGATGAAGCTCTCGAAGCGGAAGCGCAACCAAGAAGAGGAGACGCCCGCCACTCCAGACGTCTCGATCAGCGAGCCACCGGCTGCAGCAACCGCTGCCAAGAAGCAGAAGAAGACGAAAGCAGAGAAGGAGGCGGAGAAAGCAGAGCACTCGACTTCAGCCATCAAGACTGAGGTGGTAGAAGAAGAGAAGATCAAGAAGAAGCCTATCAAATTCCCTATTGAGGATCTTGAGGTCGATCCGGTCAGCGAGCGCGAGCTCAAGGCCAAGATTGCAGGCGAGCCGCCCAGACGTCGCGATCGACCTGTGCCTAAGAAGGATCTCGGCATCCCTCACGACGTCTTCGAGCCTTTGCTCATCACGTATCACTTCTTGCAAGCATTTGGCAGGCCGCTCATGCTAGCTCCTTTCACACTCGACGACTATCAGAGCGCTCTGCAGCACGACACCGCCGAACCTTCGTGCACTCTCATCGCTGAAATCCACGCCTGCCTCATTAACCTCATTGTCCGCGATGGCACGCACTCCAAGGGCTTGGCCCCAGCGGCACTCGCAGACAAGGCGGGAGCACGCGGGGTGAGCTCCAACGGACGAGCAGGATCCGACGGAGCCGAGGAGGAAGAGGAGGAGGAGGAGGAGGAAGTAGAGGCAGAGGAAGAGGAAGAGTCAGGCGACGAGCTTGACTCGCGTGAGGCAACACCCACAGCAGGCAACGATGCCGAAGCGGGTGAGGACGGCGAAGAGAAGGATGAAGCGGAGGATGCAGAGGACGCTGTTGAGCGGGAGGCGAGTCACGAGGTCCTCTCCGCAGCCGTCAACCTTGGTCGAGGCTGGGAGAATCGCGTCCTCAAGCTGGATGACGACAGGCGGCAATGGGAGCAGTCGCTCGTGGGCATTCTCGCCAAGCGGGCCACGGCCGAATCGATGCCGCGCCAGATGGCCATCCTCTCCCACATGACAGGCAAGGAGCATCCTGACGGTCTCATCGACGGGGCCTTCATCGGCGCCACCTACTCGACGCCCAAAGAGCGCTACCCTGCAATTGCCTTTGCGGACAAGGTCGCCGCGATCCACTTCCTCTGCGACTTGGCAGTCATGACGCGCGCGATCAAGTCCTTCTTTGACGAGTGCGAAGTTGCTCTTACCGAACTGCGCAAGGAGAGAGTTGAGCTCAGCAGGCAGAGAAAGAGGATCATCGAGGAGCGAGCAGCTGCAGAAAAGAAGGAGGAGGAAGCCAATGGCGAAGGCGAAGGGGAAGGCGAAGAATCGAAAGCTGAAGGAGATGCGGACGAGACTGGGGAAGTGGCAGAGGAGAACGGCAATGGCAATGGTGCTGCGAGCGAAGAGCCGGAGTCGTCAGCACGTCGCAAGAAGGCTCAAGGCAGGCCAAAGGGTAGCAAGGCAAAGAAAATGCCCACTCCTCAACCGGATGAGGAGGACGCTGGGGACGGCGACGAGTCAGAGCAAGATGAGCTGGAATCGTCCCCCGAGCCAGACGCCGACTCCAATGCTTCAGCAGCCGCAGAAGAAGAGGATGAGGAGGACGCCAGCCCCTCGAAATCAGGTGCACGCACCCTCGGATCACGCCAAGCGGCCATTCTAGAAAAGAAGCGGCAACGTAAAGAAGCCGAAGCTGAGCGACAGCGGGAGCTTGCTCGACAACGTCAAGAGCAAAAGGCCAAGACTCTCGAGAACAAGCGCGCTCAAGCTGAGCGACTTCGTTGGGAGGAAGAGGAGGACCGAATCACGCGCCGCGAGGAAGCAATTGACCTGGAGTTCCGCCGCCATCACTTGGCTCCACGTCTTCGTCCGCTAGGCAAGGATCGATTCCACGACCGTTATTGGTGGTTCGATGGGGTTGGCAACCAAAATCTTGTGGGCTTGGATGATCAGGTCTTGTATGGTGCCGGTCGACTATTCGTGCAGGGCGCAAGCAGAGAAGACTGGGCGGCCGCCTGTGTCGATCGATCGCACAAGGCTATGCTCAAACGTCGCCAGGAGGAACACGGCGAATGCATCCTCGAACACGACGAGTGGGCCGTCTACGATGACCCGGAGCAAGTCGAGCAACTTATTGCATGGCTGCGCAACAAAGGCAATCGCGAGAATGCCTTCAAACGTCAGCTGGCCACCTTCAGGGGATACTTGGGCCCGGGCATGCAGAAAAGGCTCGAGGACTTGGACCCAGAACGCAGCGCTGCGGCACAGGCTCAGGCTCTGGCAGAGGCGGAAGCGGCCATGCCTCACGAGACGAGGAGGTCGGCCAGGAAGCATGAGGCTCAGCCAACTGTACTGGCGCCGCATAATCGGTACCTGGCGTGGACAAACAGCCAGGCGACCAAGTAAAGCGGGTGCGGCGTCGTGACATGACTCGCATCAACGTATCATCGCATCATCGTACATCCACCCCAACCCCACCTGCCCAACAATCATCGACTGGCATCCCACTCACATTCACTGGCAAGCACGCACGCTCCTCACGTCCCCTCATCTCGGCATTGTCTATGCATACACCAACACGCGCGCGTACATCGTCCTCGTCTTTCGTCCTTGCCACATCACACACTCTGTAGCACTCTATCCGCAATTGATTATGAGGGATTCATCGTGAATGCTCGCCGAGCCTAGAAGAACAAGAGATGAGACCGAAGAGCGTGACAAGAGACCTTACTCGCTACTCGCTCTTCTGGGCGCACTCGATCTTGCGCTCGTCGAGCCATTGACCATCCCTCCAAGAGCCTCGTTCGTATTTTGCAGTAAGAGCGTCCGAGAAGTCGGCCGGCAGCTGCGGCCGTCGCGCTAAGATGCTGTGCCCATCATGAATTTGCTTCTCAGCTTGATGTTGTGGTTGGTGATACGACTCGTCTTCTGCTTCAGTCCAGCATTACGGCGCAGGGCCACACAATTGAATAGGGACAGATGATGCACTGGAGACTGAGAACTAAGAAAGGGATAGCGAGAAGTGGCCACAGTGCTCCAATAGTCACCATCCCTTCCTGCTACGCCCAAGCCTGAAGTCATCAATCCACTTGCCGTCCCCGCCGAGAGCCCTCTCCGTCTTCTGCGCGCCCGTGACGCAGTGTTGGACAGGTCAATCGCTGGCTTCCTCTTGTGTATAGCGTCCGATGGGTCTCACCTTGAATTCGCTCCGAAGTTTCATCATGACATGCCCGGCTGTTCGGTGCTGAAGGCCTGCCTCTTGGCGAATGGTGGAGACGCTACTCAAGAGCATGCGGTGCATCACGCCATACATGTTGAGCAGCTCGTCTGTGGTCGCGGATGGGGGTCGTTTTGAGCACAATGGAGCAGAGTGTGAGCAGTCCAGAGGCGTTTCGCAGCGATGACTTACCTTGGCTCCAGTAGGACGGCGCCGCCTTCGACCCGCCTGACTTGGCGCCCTTGACCTTGGGCTTGCTCTCTGCCTTGACGCTCTTCTTTCTCTTCTTGCTCGACGAGGAACCATACTCTTCATCGTCTTCCCATTCGTCTTGGGAAGCCTCGTCGTCGTCCGTTCCGCCACCGCTGTCCTTGCCTTGCTCGGGCCGCCAATCGTCCTCAGCGTTAGCGCTGTCGCTTGCTCGACCCTTACTCTGCTTGTGGCTCTTTTTCTTCGAGTTGGCGATCACAGGCGTCTGTGCAGGAGATAGGGTCGTCAGTGAGGATCGGGGTCACGGCGCTCAGCAGCCTGGCGACACACACCATTGTAGTGCGACAAAGCAGGGACGTGCGAGTTCAGCTTGTTTATATCCATTCCAGCGAGCGAGGCAATGGTGACACGGCAATAGATGGTCGGGACGATGCGTCGAGGAAGCGACGATGGGAGCGAGGAAAAGTAGGGGAGGCGTGGGCCGCGCTACTCTGCTGTAGCTAATCTCGCTTGATCGAGGTTACGCTGGGGCAAGCGTCACAGCACGCTGCTCGACTTGGTCGCTCAGCTCACCAGAATGAGCAAGCGAGATGAGTAGGCGACGCTGCACTTCAAGAGGAACGGGGCTCTTCACAGAAGAGTGAGAGTCGGTGATGAGATGAACTGGCATGGAGCGAATCATCAAGGCATGGAGCGAGACATCAAGGCATGGAGCGAACCATCAGACAGGACGAAAAGGATTGCCAAGACTGCCCTCACTTTCCCTTCTTACTGCCCGGCGAGGTCCCCAGCTTGAAGCTATCAATCCAAGCGCCGTCGCCTCCAAGGGCTTTGAGCGTCTTCTGCGTGTGTCTCAGGCCGATGACGTTGAGCCATCGATCTTGACAAGCCTCACAGCATAGCAACTCACCTTGAACTCAGCTCTCATCTTCATGTTGACCGGTGCGTTGGACCTTCCCTCGAGTCCCGGCTCCTGGCAGATGGTAGGGATGTTCTGCATCGCCAGCCGAAAGGACGCCGTATAGAGAGCCAGGAGCTCTTCTGCGGCGGTGACCAGCGAATGTGAGTGATCTCGGTGATGAAAAGTACGAGGTCGGGATCGAGGAGTTACCTTGACTCCACCCAGAGCTGGGGGCCCTGCTGCTGCTCCTGGGTGACGACTGCAATGAGCTTCCCACCTTTCCACGCTTTGGCGTCTTGGGAGCAGAGGTGGCTCTGGCCGTGCGCTTCTTGCTCTTCTTTGGTGAGCCATACTCCTTGCCTGAGTCTTCTGAATCTTCCTCAGCAAGATCATCCGAGTCTTGGTTGCCGGCTGCAGCTTCTTGGCCGTCAGGCCGCCATTCATCTGCGCCGGCAGACTCAGAGCGTGCTCGCTGCCCCTTGTCGAGTGGAGCTTTGTTGGGAGTGTCAGGCGTCTGCGGCGGCTGTCAGTGTGATACGATGGGCATGGAGCTGGCGCACATTGACGTACCATTGTGTTGTCTTGGATGTGTCGAGTCAGTGTGAAGGCAAGAAGGTGTACGTAGCCTCCTTTGAAACAGAACATAGAGGGTGCGAGCGTTCGAGCGAGCGAACCGTCGGCTTCAGATTGATATTTAATACGCAGTTGATATGTTCAGCCGCGGTGAGCGATATACGCAAGCGGAGAAAGGTCTCAATCATTCAAGCTGGTGAGCGATATACGCAAGCGGAGAAAGGTCTCAATCATTTAAGCTGGTGCGTTCAAGGCCTGGGATCACAACGAGATCTTGAAGGCAGCTCCCGCTACTATCAGTGGTCGCGGGACTGCTTCTTCTTGGGCGAGGGTCCCAGCTTGAAGTTGTCAATCCACCTGCCGTCGCCGCCGAGCTCATTCTCCTTCCTCTATAGTGATGACGGCGAGCGCGAGGCGAGCTTTGGCGGTCAGCATCTTCTCAGTGGTCAAATTGCTCGTGCCTCACCTTGAATTCTCCACGTAGTTTGTGGTTCATCTGCGAGGCGCTCAGGAATGGCTCGGCTCGTCAGCGCTACGACTACCGTCTGTCCTGGTCCACCCATCGACTTACGAAAGCACCATCTCGACTGCTCAATTCGGGGCACGACCTAATGGTAGAGATGTTCTCGAGGGCCAGTCTGTGGACCTGTTGGTAGAGGGCCAGCTGTTCCTCTGCAGCGTGAGCAAAGCTCGACGATCAGATTCAGCTTCCTCAGTGTCCAGGCCACCAGTCTGACTCACTGTTGGTCCACATTTTGCGAGCTTTCGAGCCACCTCCAGGTTCATCCTTCTTGACTTTGTGCCCTTCGGGTTTCGCGTCTATATCGGGCTTGAAGTCAATGTCGCTGTCACCGTCCGAGTCGTCGCGAGCTCTCTTCTTGGAAGGCATACTGTCGAAAGCTAAACCGAGAAGATCAACGAAAAGCTCAAGTGAGGGTGAGAGATAGCTGAGGAGTCAGGTCGTTCACTGAAACAGACCCAAGGCTTCAAGGCCCATCTGTAGCCGGCAAGCAATCTCATAGGGCAGCGAAATCGCTGGTCGAGCAAGTCGAGACCAAGTCTAGGAGGTCCTTGTGACCATTGTAATCTGCTTCCGTGCCGTCGAGGAGTCTCATCATCAGGAGAAGGAGAAGGCGGTCAATTGGCTCTTCCATGAAGGAGGAGAGGGCAGGTTTGGCGATTGGCCATCTCCAGCCGCAAGTTAACGAGACCGTCTGTCTGACCCAATCACAGATGGCACGTTGCTCAACGTTGCTCTCTTTCTCGTCATCCTATCAAGACTTCAGGGCAGCTTTCACGTCGTACCGCCGTCAACATCTCGAAATCGGCCGTGGCATTTCCCATGACTTTGGCTGCCGTACGCTAGAATTGACGTGGCCGCGACCACCACGCCTCCGCAATGCCCTACTTTTAGATCCTCTTCGCGAACGACCCTCTCGCAAGACGTACCTCGCCCCTGAGAAGCGACTGCCGCCGTATGGAATGTGGGGAAGAAGACGGTCCGTCGATGGGACAATAGACCGCCCAATTCGTCAACAGGCGAGAGATGCAGATTGGTAGCGGTGACTAGGTGGTGAGAGCATGACGTCTCCCCTGTCTCCTCGTCGCCTCGTCGCCTGACTCTTGCAATCCTCTCATCCGCACGGCGACTTGAAGGAAGCCTGGCGCTGGCTGCCTCTGGCTCTGGCTCAGGCTCAGGCCTCTAAGTTTAGACCCGCGACTGCCTGCACGGTCGACGCACGGAGTGTCGAAGAGAGCTCCAACCGAGCAAGCCAAAGCACATCGCCAAAGCAAGGAAAACGACGGCGGCGGGCGTCGAGGCGAAAAGGAAGCACACACTTTGTGACTTGGAAGTTAGAGAGGGAGTGGACAGCAGTCAGGAGGCAAGAAAGGGGATTGGCGGGGCTGAGACTGCGATCTCTCCTATCGTCATCTCCTGGCATAGAAGCGCGGATGATGAGCAGCGGGTGCGGGTGAACTGCTGCATCAGTTGAGTGGGCGGCCGCTTGGCAGACCTCAGGAGCAAAGCAAGACGCCGACTTCTAATGACGCCCACTGCTTCCTGGGGCGGGCGGAGCGGCGGAGGAGGAGGAGATGGACGAGATGCGGCAGCGGAGGCAGGCAGACGCGGTGCGGTCCGTCGACGTTCGAGCGGGCCGCCCTGGAAGCAGCCAAGTGCAACGAGCCGCCATCATCCAAATTGACCTCAGATGGTCGATCATCGCCGCTTGGGTCCCTCCTTTCCTTTCCTCTCCTCTCCTCTTCATCATCCCCGCCCACTCCTTCCAAACAAGACCCCTCTCACCAACATCCTCCACCCCTGTTCGTCTTTGTCGTCGTCGTCCACGCAAACCGACATCACATTCATTATTGGCAACGCAACACGCTCTCTTCCTCACCAACACAGCACCAAAACCAAAACAGAGCCATCCTCACAGTCTACTGCACGACAGACAACATGATTCGCATTCGCTTCCTAACCCTTCTGGCTCTGCTCCCCTTCTTTGTCGCCCTCTGCGCTCAGGCCACGTCCTCTGACTTTGCTAAGCGCCGAGTCCAACATGTCGCTGTCCGCTCCAACAAGGTCGCCGACATCGCCTGGCTCCAAGCCAACAAGATGAAGGTTGAGCGCCGTTATGGCAACTATGACGAGGCCATGCAGAAGCGACACGAGGAGATCGAGCGTCGATGGGTCATGTACGATGCCAACATCAAGCCGGACCAGTCATTTGTCGCCGAGGAGGACAACATCTTCTCCAACCTCGCAAACGGCGCCATGAACATCATCGGCGGCGGTATCAAAGCCCTCACTGGCGGTGACGTCGAGAGTCAACCAGCACAGGCAGGCCCAGCGACAAAGCAAGCTACTGACTCCGAGCAAGCAGATTCAAGCGCCGACAGCGAAGCTTCAGACGCGACCGGCAGCAAGGTCACCAACATTCCCCTGCGCACCGAGACGAACCCCAACGGCCAGGAACGCGAGGTCCTGGCAGACATCACCGTCGGCAGCCAAAAATTCGTCGTTGACCCAGACAGCGGCAGTGCCGACTTCTGGATCCTCTCCGACCTGTGCAAGTCCAACTGTGGCGACTCGGGCACCAAGTACAAGACGTCGAGCTCATCAGCCGTCGACGCTAACAAGAACTTCAACATCCAATACGGCGCAGGCTCCACCTCTGGCAAGCTCTATCGCGACACGGCCAAGCTGGGCGACCTCACCGTGCGCAACCTCACCATCGGCGCCGCAAGCCACATCTCATCCGAGCTGGCCTCGGACCCTGCAGGGGGTATCCTTGGCCTGGGCTTCCGTCAAATTACCAGCGCCGGCCAGAAGACATTCCTTGACCGCTTGTTCACGCAGGAGAAGCTCAAGAGCCAGGTCGTCTCTTTCGCTTTTGGTCGTTCAGCAAAGAAGACTCTCTCCAAGGCCGAGATGCGATTCGGCGACGTCAACTCTCAGCTCTACTCGGGCGACATCTCCTACTCACCAGTCACCACCAAGGGATACTGGCAATTCGGCGTGCAGTCCTTTGCTGCCGGTTCTGGCTCAGGCATCAACCTCGACTCCATCGTCGACACGGGCACATCGCTCATTGCGGTCGAGGAGTCGCAAGCGGCCAAGTTTTGGAAGGACGTACCCAACAGCAAGTTCGATCAGGAGCAGGGCTACTACACGTACCCGTGCAGCCAGAAGATCAACGCGGTACTGAAGACGAAAGATGGCAAGAGCTGGCCTATTGAGGAGGATGACTTCAACCTGGGGTCTCTCACCGCCACCTCTGACCGCTGCGTCGGCGCCGTCTTCCCCGCACAGACCCGTAACGTCGTCGTCCTCGGCATCGTTTTCCTCAAGAACGCATACAGCGTCCTCGACTACAGCCAGAACCGTGTCGGGCTGGCGAAGTACAGCTTCTAAGCGTGTGCGAGCCCCACACTCCATATCTTGCTCGGTCATGTCTCACGCCCCATCAAGCCATCTATACCATGTCCGCATGCCTCACTTCGAACATTCAGTCTCCCACCATCCCATCAAGTCGGCAAACCGGCCAAAAGGCCGTGATGCGGGCTACGAAGCCCTGCCCCTGTCGCAACATCAGGTTCTCTTGTCTCGCTCAAATCATCTTGTCCATATCGCTTTCTCATTCTATCATCCCTATCTCTGTAGACCTTCCATTTTGACAACCACGACGACGAACACAGTCGAACGAAACGAATAGGACTGGCGCCATTCATCCCATTATTCTGCGTGTGAGACTGAGGGATCAGGAGGAGCGAGGAGCGAGGAGCCAGTCCGCTGCTCTGTCCGCCGTCTGCCGTCCATCCGCCGCATCAACCGCATCGCCCGGCTTCACGTCCTACCTTCCCCACATTTCCGTCGATACCAGCAAGGCGAGCGCTTTTCAAGCCAGTGAAACCCTCTTTCATCATCAGAATCTTGGAACAGCGACGACATCAGGCGCTTTTTCCCATCAAAGCATCCCGGTCGAACAACATCCACTTAGCCTCGCATCTCGACCTCGACCTTGACGTCAGGCAATAGCAATGCCACCGACTCGACGCCCAAGAGTAGACGTCGTCATCCGTGTGCCTAAGCGCCTTCCATACCTACCCCCGACAGCGGGTACAGGCAAGGGCAAGCAAGCGGAACAGCAACAGGCATCAGCATCATCATCGTCTGACCCTCTCATTGGCAAGCCGCTCGACGGAGGAAACAATGTATCCTCGTCTTCTTCCGCTTCAGCCTCGGGCTCGAGAGCACTGCTAGACGGAACAACAGCTCCGCAGGTCACCATATCAGCCCCGACTGACCCCTCTTCTTCTTCATCTCATCTCCCGCAACCTCAAGCAACTCCAGCGGAAACATCCTGCGCCGAATGGTCCTCTCTCCTGACCTGGGCGCGCGCGGCAAGAGGGCCACAATGGAGTGATGCCTTGGGAATGTGGATGGTAGATAAGGGTGGGGTCGAGTATGGGAGCTTCTGTGGAGATCCGGCGCAGGGGGTTCATGGTCCATCGGCTGAGGTTGAAGTGCATGGGGACACTGATGGCGTGGATGGTGGTGAGAAGGGCGCACCAGCCGCTGCGGATGGGGATGATGTCATGCGGCAGGATGGCCACGAGAGCATTGGCGACGGTGACGCAGGCGGCTCACGTACTCTGCAAGCGCAGCAGCAACAACAAGAACAGCAAAACCCTCAACCATCATCAGCATACATGGACCCACCAGCGGGCGGCGGCGGCGGCGGCGGCGGCGGAGCTAGCTTCGATCCAGCTCAAAGACCAGGGAGCGGTGGAGGTGGTCTCCCGCCACCACACTTTACGCCAGGAGGGGGAGGATTCAATCCGGCCGTTGCCGCAGGAGCAGGAGGTAATGGTGGTGCAGGTCAAGCAGCGAGACACGCGGGACTACCAATGGGAGGGGCAGGAGGTAGCGGGGGACGAGGCTGGTAGATTTCTCTCAATAGCATAGCATAGCATACACGCATGTCGATAATTACCCTGAACGCTCGGCGCTACATGTTGTCTGGTCGGGAAGGTTGAACTGTTGCTTGTGCGTGGGCGTCACTGCGTGTGTGGACGAGAAGAATGACGAGACGCAGCAACGAGAGCAAGATGCGGGGTCGGGCGAAAGCCAAGGGCGAAGGAGCGAGCTGTTTGAGCGAGGCCCTAAGCGGGTCAAACAAGGCTCAGTTCAGGGTCGACCCAAGCCACCCACAATTGAAACTTCGATCGCACCACAAGAATGACCTAGGCACCCACTTCATCTCTTCTTCCTGGCAATTTTTCTTCTTTCCCCTTTCCCTTCCTCTTCTCCTCCTTGTCCTCTCTCTGAGCGGCGATGTGGCAAGGCATCAAAGCTCGTCTTGGCCGGCGTTCCAAGTCCGGCGAGGACAGCCGCCACCAGGCCCGCATTGCTCGACAGGCCAAGGAGGCCGAGAAGACGATTACGAGGAGTGCTTCGCGCGAGCTGCTGGAGTGGGAGCAGAGTCGAGGATATCAGCGAACAACTACTTCGCAGCAGCAGCAGCAGCAGCAGGTACTCACGCCACGGGCGACGAGGGAGGGTGCTGCATCGCCGGCTTCGAGCCAGCGGACCGCTTCGCAACAGAATCGCCCCTCGATTTCGCATCGTCGCTCCATTTCTACGGCAAAGACGGCCGCTGAGGTCGAGCAGCCTTACCTGCCTCCTGTCGTCTACAACAAGTTCGAATACGTTCAACCGTCTGCGCCGCAAGAAGCGACACCGCCTCAGTCGGTCGGCGAGCGAGATCGTCTCCTCTCAGAGATCGATGCCATTCGCAAGAGCATCGACCAGCTGCGCAGCTCAACGCCCATCTTGACGCTGGACGTCGATGATGACGCTCTGGCCGCACCACAGCGTCCAGGCATGGCTCGCGCTCATACATCGTCGCCCGTAGCACGCCACGCTCCCTGGCTGACCAAGGACAGGTCGCCCCGCCCTTCCTCCGTCTTTGTACCCTCGCCGAGCTCAGCTGGCCCTCTCTCAGCGAGCAAGACGCCAAATGGAAGCAGGCAGAGGACGAAGAGCGTAGCCGATCTGTTCGAGGAAGATGCTCCTCGCCCACCGCAGCCATTGCAGCGAGGGCCACCTTCCTCGCCCAGCCCTGTGAGGACGACGATACCGCTACCTGCAGGCTTGCAGCACCTTGAGGAGCAGGGTTCCTTAATAGCAACTGCAGCCAGTCACACACGCCCTCCTTCGCCGCAACGCCAGCATACGTCCGTTCAGCAGCCAGAGCGTCGCCGCACCAAGTCATCAGCTTCGGGCTTGCCCACTCAATCGTCACATCCATCCATGCCCCGCTCTACAAGCTTTCATCGTCTCGACGCGCCGGCCAGCTCGGCCATGTCAATTGCCCCACCTCTTCCACTCGATGCACAGGGGAAGATCGCCGCCATGAGGGGCAGCTCCCCTACCCCTGGCCAGGCACCACCAGCCGTTCTGTTTCCACAGCCACGCCCCCCATCACAGCAACGAAGAATTATTGACACGCCGCAAGAAGCGCGCGCACGCCTTACCACCGCCATGGGCCGTTCCCCGCGCCCTGGAGTCGGCCATGACGCTCCCGTGAAGCGCCATTCCATGTATGCTGGAGGGAGCAAAGCAGGTCTCACGATGTCAGAGCTACAAGAGAGACATCAAGCCAAGCTACGTGAGCTGCAAGCACCTGCGAATGCGAGGGTGCAGGAAGCATGGAAGTTGAGTGAAGCGAAAGCCGAGTGGGAGGCAAGAATGAGGAGGGAGAGGAAGGAGCAGGAGGTAAGGGCAGCTCAGGCTGCGCAAATCAGCACGAGGGCAGCGGACCAAGAGGAAATCGATGTGTCGGCCAATCATCCTCAGGAGGAGGGCGGAGCGTCTACGCCGCTGCGGAACAGCATCTACGCCAACCTTCCTGTCGGTAGCAACAAGCGTCAAGAAGGAGCTCAACGTGCCCATGAGTGGCGGAAAAGCCTCGTCTCCATCTCGCGACCCGGTGCAGCTCTCGATAGTGGGCCGGACGAGTTTGGACAGCATCGCTCTGGGCACCATCAACGCAGCAAGTCTTCAATCAGCCTCGCGCCCTCCAGCAATCAGCAGCAGCAGCAGCATCCTCAGCCGGCCCAGCATGCACAACGCCGCCCTGAGGGAGCGAGGCGAGAAGCTGGTGAGAGGACCCAAAGCATGTTTGGCAGAATGCCTCTGCGCCACACACCGGAGCAGTCTAGCGTCATGATGCCGCCGGAAGAGCTTCAAGGGCAGCCTGAGAGGCAGCAAAGTCATCTTCGCCAATTGACCGCTACAGATTTGAGGAGGATGAGGGAGGGGGCCGGCAGAAGGCATACGATGGTGCTTGCCTAGGGAGGACGACGTTTCGCAAATGAGCCTCGTGATGAGGTGGAAAAGGTACGGAAGCGCAACAAAAGGATCATCAACAGGATCATCATTACGGACTTATCGACATCAGCATCGCAATCAGCAACGGACTCGACCCCCTCCCCCTTCCAGAGACCCGCACAAGTAGACAAGCCTTTCACCGTGCCATACCTACACATGTTCATAGCTCTCGTATCGCTCTCTTCTTTGCCCCATGATCATCGCCTTCTTCGTAATCGAATCGTAGCATGCCTGGTGCAGCATTCCCTCTTTGCAAAAGTGTTGATGTGTTGGTTTGAGCCTCCGTGGTCTGAACGGCAGGCGGACAGGGAGCGCGACGCGTTCGAGGATCTGCAGGTCAGTCCGCCTTGGCAGTCTGTCTTCTTTCTTTCCTTCCTCTCGACCTCTTCTGAACCACGCAGCCTGGCAAGCAACACGACAATCGCGAGAATCCTTCTTCTCGCCGCTGACGAGAGAAGGAAGCTGTTCTAAGAGCGGTCGGCAGTATGGACTTCACCCCGCTCTACCCGCTCTCGTCGCCGCATCATCTTGCCTTCTCGCCTGGGTCGACATTTATTGCCTCACTCGTCTCCCATGCTTCTCCTAATGACCCTTCCTCATCCTCATCTACCGGCAGTACGCTCGTCGTGAGGGCAGCAGGTGACCTCAGCCTAGTCCGATCATGGCAGCTGGCGCACGGAACAGAAGGAGCGGCATTGGCGTGGAGCCGAGATGGAGGGTACATCCTCCTCTCCCACCCGAAACGCGGGACGTGCGATGTCTACGTACTTGACCCACGACGACAGCCTGCTGAGGGTGGACTGGTCATTCAAGGCGAAGAAGGGGAGCAACAGGAGACAGGCGCCGTTGCGCACTTGAACCTCTCCTCCAGTGGCGGGTTCACGCACTGCTGCTGGGCGCCTGGTGCAGGGCTGGTGATCCCTCCGACCATTTTCTGCTTCACCTCTGAGGAGACGGGTGGCACAATGAGCGCTTTTTGCCTCTCCTCGACTTCCTCAGCGGGAGAGGCAGGTCAGGCAAGCGCTGCAGTGTTCCGCGATGTAAAGAGGTCGAGATGCTGGCCCCATCCAACTGATCGTGCCCGCTTTGCTATGTTGCATCGTGACGCCAAATCTGGGCAGGAGAAGGTGGGAATATACCGCGGGGTGCTGCTGACAGCAGGAGAGGCAGGTGGTAGTACGAACAGTGCAAAGGGAGCCTATGCCGCAATCCTTCAAGGCAATGGGGGCTCGTCTACGTCCACAGCGCCTGGCGTGAGATGGGAATTAGAGTCTTCCTGGCCGGCTCATACCAATGATGCTGCTGGCTTATCTTGGTCGCCAGACGGGAATCTTGTCGCGGTATGGGAGGGCCCACTTGAATATCGCTGCCACATCTACACGGCCATTGGATCATGCAGAGGAACCCTGGCCATGGGCGGAGACGCAGCAGCGGTGGGAAGCGAGGCGAGGGAGCCAGTATTCACGCCTTGCCCTATAGAGGAGAGGTCAGATGGTGGCGCAAAGAATCATGGCGGAAACAGTGCTTCGAATGCGTCTCCCGATCTCAAGAGCAGCAAGCTCGGATCCTCGACGAAAGGCAGGACTACACAAAGCACGATGCGCAGCAGCAGCAGCAGCACCGCCGTTGGCGAACACTCGGCAGCAGCACAAGAAGACGAGGCCTCAGCTGCGGCCACAGCTGCAGGAGGCTTGGGGATCCGCACTGTTGTGTGGCGTCCTTGCTCAGAGATCAGCAAGCGCAAAGGTCGTGGCCTAGCCCTCGCTGTCGCCGGCTTTGACGAGCGAATCTACGTCCTCTGCTCAGAGTCCGGATCGGGCGACTGGCATCTCCTTCGTCCGTCTACTCCCTCGTCAGGATCAGCATCAAACGCAGTCATCGACCTCAGCCGTCGGCCCCTCATCTCGCCCAACCGCCAGGGCCGGATCTATCGCGAGCCAAGAGACTGGGTCCGCCTCACCGGTGGCAGAGGCATTGTACCTTTCCACTCTTCACTGCTTCACACCACGGGCACCGCGGGCGGGGCGAATCCACCTACACTGAAGCCAGATTGGGAGAAGCTGAACCTCTCTTCGCTGGCGGCTGGAGGGCAGAGCAGTGGAGCAAGGGCTGGCGTTCAATGGATGGAGTGGGACCCCTCCACTCGCTTCATCGCGATGAGGAGCGAGAGTATGCCTTCGACCGTCCTCGTGTACGAGCAGGACGGTGAGAGTGGGGCTGTGAGCCTGCTATCGGTGCTGCTCTTCGCAAGCAGCGTGTCGGGGGTCGCTTGGCGACCTGCTTCTGCAGTGGTTCAAAAACAGGCGCAGCTCAGCATCGTGACAGCGGCAAGCCCGGCCATCTATCTTTGGACTCACGCAGGCAACAGCGTCGCCGCGGATTCGGATCCAATCATCATGGAAGGTGTTCCAGTACCAGTCCCTTCTGCCCCGCTCGGTGTAGGATTGGAACAGGCGCAGCAGACATCCTTCAGGCCAAGCGGGCTGCGTTGGTCGCCTGATGGGAGTAAGGTGGCTGTTGCTTCTGCGAGAGAGGCAACTGGTAGCGGGGAAACGGGAGCTTATTGCGTAGCAGCACACGCCGACGAAGAGGATGAGACAGCAGCGTGAACAGGTCTGACGACGTCGTTTCTGGCAGCACATTCCTCGAAGCGCTCGTGCGCATTTTGTATCTTGTCTCATGTTGTATCATTCCATCACATCGCCTGCTTATCTTGCTTCCTCGTGACAATGATAGGTGCGTCCTCTCCATCGGCCTCCCTCCCAGCCCAACCCATCCAGCTCTCATCGTATACCGCTGCATGAACGCCCAGAGTTCTCAAGGCCAACCAGAGGACGGCGGCCGTCATACCACTACCGCACGTCGTCATGACCGCCGGAGTGGGCCCTCCGCCCGAAGAGGAAGAGGAAGAGTCGTGGCGCAGTGACTCAAAGTCCAGCAGTGGTTCTCCGTCTGGCTTGGTGGTGGCTCCCGTGCCGTCTGAGATGGCTGTACGGAGGGTACGGTAGAGGGCTACCTGGTCTTTGAGCTTGGTGAACTGTCCCTTTTCACCCTTGACGGCTTCGACCACCTCGTTGAATGGCAAAGATAGACCACCAGGCATATGACCGCTCTTCATTCCCGCGCGAGGCTCAGGCGCAGTGCCATCGTAGCGGCCGCGAGGACGAGCGTCAAGGATGGGCAGTTGGGTGCGTCCCGTTGCTGAGTCGGCGATTGTGCGTCGCACCTCTTCGTAGCTGCGGATGAAACCGGGCGTCACTGCGGAGGGGGTGGGATATACACCTCCGTCTGTTGCTGATGTAGGCGCTTCTTCCTCCGAGCTGGCGGAGCTACGTTGCAAGGTTGTAAGTCGGTCCTCCCCTTCTTCAACCTCGTGCCCCTCGTCACGCCACGCGGGCAGCCCACCGTCGAGGACTGAAACGCGCTCATGTCCCATAGCGACGAAAGTGAATGCAAGTCTGGGGCTGCTAAAGAGTCCCGTAGAGTCATAGCAGACTACATGATCTTCCTGACTGCAGATTCCCCTGCGTGTGCAGGCCCTGGCAAAGGTGGGAGGGTCGGGCATCATGTGAGGGAGGCCGCGTACCGAAGGACCGCGAGTGGCTACCTGGTCCACATCCCAGCGAAGGGCGCCAGGTAGGCGAGGACCTGACAGGTATTCTTGAGTCCCGGAGCGCGGTGGCGAGAGGTTAGGCATGTGCCAAGATGCATCGAGGAGTTTGGGAGGCGAAGGGCCAGAAAGGAGCTTGCTGAGCGCTGAAGGGGACAGGAGCAGCGGTACAGGTGGAAGACGAGCCTTACTGCCGGAGCTGAGGGCGACCATTGTAGGGAGCATGCTTGGAGAGAGTGAGAATGGTGAAGGCAACGACGAGGGCACGAAGGTCTCAAGATCGGTTCCTCGGATTCCACTTTGAGCACCGGCGGCCCGTGCAGTCCGAATCGACTCTTGTCTCTGCATTGAGCCTCCGCCGCGCCTCTGCTTTGGCCCGCGTCAAGGAGCTGATTTGTCCGTGTGCCCCTCATTTCGCAATCCGCTTCTCTCCTTCCTCACCTCATCAACCGCACACGACTCTCTCATTCCCACAGATGCGACATTGACGAGCGGTCTCTCTGACCGGCCGTCCCCTCTACATTCACCATGGACAATTCAGAGCAGTTGCGCTCCGCTGGCCTTACAGCTGCGCCCTCGCTCGCTCCGTTTCCCCCTCCTGGCAGCAACGATGATGATCAGGGTCAGGCTCAGCAATCCCAGGAACCCCTCACCCGCAGCGACTCCACAGACTCGTATACATTTCTTCCCAGAGAAGAGAGGAATCGCAACCTATCTAACACGAGAGGGTCCATCCTGCCTCATTCGGGCTTCTATGCTCCGGCCAAGAAAAGGCCGGCAGGAGGCGGGTCAGGCGCAGGTGCAGGGGCAGGATTAGCTGTTGGGACGCCCTCGTCAGCAACGACGTTGGCCAGGACGCCTATAACTCCTTCTCGGAGCGCAGAAGGGGCAGATGGCAATGATTATACGGCAACTCCGACTTCACCTCATTCTCCCTTGGGACAGTATCGTCGGTACCCAGCAGGCAGTGAGGCAGAGATGTCTACTGCGAGTAGACCTGCAGCGTCTCCCCTCGATGGCGTCACTACAAGCACTGCCTCCTCTCTTGCAACATGGACCGCCCCGAGTACATCACACGGCAGTGCTTCGGGACACAGGCTGCTCGGCAGCTCTGGCGCGGGGTCAAACACCCCCAATACCAGGAGCAGGGATCCCCTCTTGCCCATGAAGCCTTCCAATTCGCAAATGACGGGTGGGCCACTAGTCGGAACCCCGCCCGCTGCTGCGAGAAGATCGGCTACGAGGAGTAGAAACAGTGGCAACGGGCAAGCAAGTGGGAACACCGATCAAGAGAAGGCTTCCTCCTCGCAAGGCCGGCATCCTCCCGCCATCAGCAGGGGCACTCTGCTTCATCCGCCTGGGTATTCGCAGACCAAAGAGCGCAACTACACCCATCACTCTGGGTCAAACGCCTTCCTACTGCGCGGCCTGATCATGACTTCCCACTCCAATCCCCTCCCGTTTCTCGCCTCCCTCTTCGTCACCTTGGCCCTGGGCGGACTCTGGCTCGGCTTCGAAGCACCCTACCAGTGGAGAGAGGCGAGCCCTGCTATCCCACTGATCTTTGGCTATCTCTTTGCGGGGACCGTTGTGAATATGGGCGTAACAGCGGGGAGGGATCCGGGCGTGTTGCCGAGAGGAGTTGATGAAGAACCCATACTCGCTCTACCCGACGGAGACGATCAAGACACCTCGTCAGCTCATCCATTCGCAGATCTCGATCCAGAATCACGGCGCAACGGGAATGGAGGCAGTCGCCGGAACGATGCCCTCGCGATCCCCATGCCGCGCATCGTCCGCGTCCGCAATGGACGGGACTTGACCGTCAAGTGGTGCGAGACGTGCAGGCTGTACAGGCCACCGAGGGCGAGTCACTGTAGAGTGTGCGATAATTGTGTAGAGGCGATTGGTGAGCACTCAGCCTATCCAGCCGCGGGCTGCATGGAATGTTACGCTAACCTTCTGTTCCTCGCCTGCTCTCTTCACCCATCTGCAGACCACCACTGCACCTTCCTCAACACCTGCATCGCCCGCCGCAACTACATGAGCTTCTTCGCCTTCCTCGGCCTAGCCTTGGCTACATGCGCGTACGGAGTGGTCTTCTGCGCTTTGCACCTCTACTGGCTCACTCTACCATCCGACAGCCCTAGTGGGCGCGGAGGCGGCAAGTCTGGGCTGGGTGGTGCGCTCGGAACGAGTCCGATGAGTGGGGTTCTGTTTGTCTTGATACTACTCGTTATGGGCCCCCTCACCACGCTGACTAGCTATCATGTGAGGCTGATCATGATGGGACGAAGCACAGTGGAGCAGGTGAGACAACTTATGCCAAGAAGAAGCTGCTTTGGCCACCCTGACTGACTTAATCCCGCCCCATCACCACGGCAGATGCGCATCAACACCTCCCTCTCTCACACCTATCCCCGTCCGTCACCCCTCTATCACTTCCTGTCTGGGGTCTGCTGTGGGCTCATCCCATTTGGAGGGAGCGCTTCCTCTCCTGACTCCTCCGAAGATCAACCTAGCAGGCCACCACCTCTCCTCCGCTTGGGAGACGCGAAAGATGATCCCAATCCTTTTGCGTACCGGAGCGCGTGGCGCAATGTAGTATACACGCTTTGTAGGCCCAGCGTCACGGCCAGGGTAAGATTTGGGGCTGGAGGTGGTAGCGCGGTAGGAGGAGGGATGGACAGAAGGGGGAGGAGATGGGTCGATGAGAGGGGTCTTGGGGCGAGATGAGGGCGCGAGAATGGGGAACTGGATGGATCAGGTTGGCCTCTCGTTACGATGTGATACCCCCACTGGTAATGGCACGCCTGTTCATAGCTCGTATGCGCTGCTCGTCATCAGTAGGCATGAGCTCTTTTTCCTCGCTGTCGTCCGACTCGAGCGGCGTCGCGTCGCATGCACGAACGGGCGGACGGACGGACGGACAGGCGGAGCTGCGTGGACCCTGATTCGGTGCGGGGAAGCTTCGTCAGCTTGTTCTCTTTTCCTGGTATCCTCTTCATCTTCTCCTAACATGCCGGCAACGAAACGATTACAGAGAAGCAACGACGACAGTAATGGTGCCAGGAGCAGTGTTGGAAGCAGCGCCAGAAGGAAAGGGGGCCTGTTTGTGCCCAGCCCCTCCAAGAGGAAAGAGGACGAAGACGCTGAGTGGCGAGCTGAGCAGGTCAAGGAGGAGCAGGCTGTCGAACAGCTTCCGGCACCTGCGGCGTCTGGCTCATCACCATCGGGCAGCTCTGTGAAGGTGTCGCCATCGCGACAGATGACCCTTTACTCACTCAAACTTGGCCCGGGAGGTCGACTGCGACGAGCAGAGGGGAAGGCTGCAGCAACTGAGACGCAGGGCAAGAGGAGGAAGATTGAAGAGACAGAGGCGGTGGATCAAGAGTCTGCAGTGATCAAAGCACCGAAACTGGATACCGATGGCAGCCTTGACGAAAAGCCACCATCTCTCATACGCAAGCGCAGCCCCTCACCAATACCTCGGCACCCCTCCGACTTCCATCAAGTGACCTCCCCCACTTTCCTCGCCAACAGCTACACCCCCTTCCCCGGCTGTCACTACATTTCTTCCTTTCTTCCCTCGCCTAGCTCGACCAAGGATAGCCTCATGAGCAACTCCTCCACCCTCTCCCGCTGGTACGACTCCCTCGCGACGCTTCCCAATTGGCATCAGCCCACCCTCAAGCTCTATGGCCGGTCAATAGTGCAGCAGCGGCCGATCGCGGCTTTCAGCAAGGTGCCTGATCTCAAATTGCGCTACAGCGGCCAGGAGGCAAGGATGGACCCCTGGCCTCCGGTATTGGAGGAGATGGAAGACCTAGTGCGAGACAAGGTGGGAAGGGAGGTGAGATTCAACCATGCATTTTTGAACTTGTACGAGGATGGGAAAGTCAATATTGGGAAGCATAGTGACAATCGTGAGTATTGTCCGTTCCTGAGTGGAATCCTCCTTGCAATTCGTTCTCACCTTCCTTACTTTCTCGCTCGCCATCGCTCGCCAGTCGAAAATCGCGTCATCGTCACACTCTCTCTAGGCGCACCGCGTAAGTGGATCATGACCCGACGCCACCCACCAGGAGCGATGGCTGCAGCCAAGCGTTCCGGCACCAAATTACCGGCGCCAGAGGTGAGATCATGGACGCTAGAGAATGGCAGCCTGTTGGTCATGCAGGGAGATGTGCAGAAGGAGTGGTATCACGAGGTCCCGAAGGAGGGAAGAATCAAAGAGGGGAGGATCAGCGTGACTTTCAGACAATTGGTGTATGATTGAGCGAGGCGATGGAGAAAGTGTAGATGTGTTCTAGTCTGTAGCGTAATGACCAGTGACTGCTGTATGCTGCGAATGCGAGGTGTTTGAGGAGCGAGGCCGAGGAAGTGGAGTCGTTGATGGACCCCGCCGGTCCGCTCGGCTCATCGGGATGAGCTTTCAAGACGTTCGGGCGCGCCGGCAACTCGCAATGCTTCTCTCTTTTCCTCTCTGTACCACATCTTCTCAACTTCACCAACTCAGCTATGCTTGCCTTGACCGACGCCAGTGCGGCTGTTTGAGGCGGGCGACTAGCATCGTCCGCTAAACAGACATTGCTGGCGCTGCGTAGCATACATTGTTACCATCCCTAGGCTGCGCCCGTGCCTGGAAGGTCGCTTCCTCTCTCACTAGCCAGCTATGACCCGGCATCTACTCACTTCAGCCGCAAGCTCGGCATCAGCATCAGCATCAGCATCATCATCATCATCAACCTCGAGTCTCCTAGCAGCAGCAAGAGCAGTTCTAGATGCCTCATCCAGATCAGTCCCCATCTCGCAACGCCGCTCGTACCGCTCCTACATACGCTCCCGAGCCCCCTCTGGCAGCGGGTCCGCTCGCATCCCGCTCGGTACCAGTGTCTTCGGCCAGCTTACATCCAGGGGTGAACGTCCATATCAAGAGGACACCTCCAGTTCATCCTGCCTGCAACTCCCTTCCACAGAGCTCCGTGCCTCCCTCCGGGCCAGCGGCCGCATTTCCACAGAGGCCGAACGGAGATGGCACTGGCCTTCCGAGGGGGAGTCGCTAGATGAGGAGTTGGCCGGGCAGGTAGGATGGTGGGGGGTATTTGATGGACATGGAGGCGATTACGCGTCGAGATATCTTGCGATGTATCTCCATCAAGTCTTTGAGAAGGTGACGCCTGATATGGTGACGGATACTGTGCAGTTTACGCGGGAGCATGGGGGGTACTTCAGGCGCTTTGAGGGAGGAACAGCTTTGAAGCGCTGGGTCAGGCTGGAGGAGTTGAAGCCCGTAAGAGGAGGTGCTGCGGGAAAGAAGCGGGCGACCAATGGGCACGAGGCAGGTAAGGAAGGCGAGGCCTCGTCCTCAGCGGCGACAACATCGCAGCAAAACCCTCAAGCCCATGCAGACGACTCCCCGGCTACAGGTCCCGCGCCAGCCGCAGCCACGTCCAAGTCAAAAAGCCAGCCTACACCCGACTGGCAGGACAATGGTCTCACGCGTCTTGTCCCACCGCCAGACAACATGAAGAACGACGCCCTCACTTTGGCCGAGCGAGCTACTCTTGCCTTCTTGGTCGCAGATAGACACATCCTTACGCGCCACGCACAGCCCGGAGCAGAGTTGGCACAGTCTAATACACCGCAACGTCGTCGCGGGATTCAGACCGGGGATGCGCATTCCACGACGTCCTCGCCAGGGAAGGATCGCGCTCGAGCCGCGAAGAATGGTGGTGGTTCAACGGCCTCTGTCCTCACCCTGCACAGCCTGGACAGTCCACCAGTCGTATGGTACGACTCCTCTCTCCTGCAACTCTCCATCTACCACGTAGGCGACACTCGCGCTCTCCTCTGCCCTACAGTAGACGGCCAAGCCATTCCGCTTACAACACACCACCATCCGGACGCCCCATCCGAATCTGAGCGTCTCCGCCGACTAGGCGCAGGCGTAGTGACAGACTCCTTCGGTGAAGCGCGTTGGATGGGCGCTCTCGCGAATACGAGAGCGCTGGGTGATGGACATTTCAAAGCTGCTGGGGTGACGGCCGAGCCAGAGGTACTGAGTCAAGTGATAAGGGGAGAGAAATATTCTCATGTGACCCTCTTTAGCGATGGGATCTCGAGCGTCATGAGTGACCAAGAGGTTGTGGATCTGGCACGCGGGGCAGGACATCCACAGGAGGCGGCGAGGAGAATCTTGAAGTTTGCGGAAGAGCTGTGAGTGCGAGAGTGGCAGCATCGTTGGGCGATCACTGACTTGATTTGAGACTCTCCGTCCCTCACAGAGGCGTCGAGGACAACGCAACCGTATTGGTTGTGCCGCTCCTTGGCTGGGGAAAGAGTGAGTTTCGGGCGCATGGCAGCCTTCGCAGCGCCTGACTTCCCTCTCGATCAATCAACTGACCCACCTCTCCTCTCTCCTTTGTCCTCGTCAGTCGGCGGCACAGATACGACGGCTAAGCAGCGTGAATTCAGGAAAAGCAAGACGGACGTCTTTCGTGATAATCGGCACTGATGGTGCGCGTCCGCGGCGGGATTTATTACAATAGAGACACTTTGCTTGTTCTGATGATGCGTAGAGATGCTACCTCTTTTGTTCGACGACGACCGTAGCGTTTCTGTTGAAAGATGAGACAAGGCAGCTGAGTCATACAGCTGAGACGATCAATTGTAGCCTGTGAAGCGAGACGGGACGATGCGGGGTCGAAGGTCACGCACGCACGAGCAAAAATAGGCTCACGGGGGAGGACCTGCAGGCAGGCTTCGGGCTGATTTGGCTGAGTGTGAGTGGTGGTGGTCGACTCTAGCTTGAAGGGGCTTGAAAACGATTCAATCAAGCACCGCACAAGCGAACCGCCAACGGCCCGTTTCTTACTTCTTGGCTTTCTTGACTCCACTCGTCATTATCTCCATCTTGTCAGCCTCTACAGATCTTCGCTCCTCTCATCTCATCCACTCATCCAATCTTCCATGCTTTGACTGCCATTCAGCGAGGCGTCATGCCCTCCAACATCGAAGCGAAATCACGACGCCAGCCCTTCGAGAGGGAGGGCAGTACCGTGCAGATACCGTCCCTCTCAGCACTCACATCCTCGAGTAGCCCAATGGCGCACTCGCCCAAGAGCATCAAGACCTCTCTGCCCGACACAGCATCGGCAGGACCGCTCTCAGAGCCTCCTCGTGGATCAGTCACCCAGCGGCGCTACCGTCGAGGAAGCGCGGCGACTCAAGACACAAGTTCCTCCACGTCGTCCTCGCTGAGGCAGAGGGCGTCTAACGTGCTGGCAACGGCTGTCGGTACTGCGGTCGAGGCGCCGCCGGCATCTGTCACGCATGTCGTGCTTGGACGAAGCTCATCAGACGTAATTGAGCCGGAGCCAGAGGATCTGGGAGATGGGATTGGTGTCGATGACAAAGAGACAACCAAGGGAGAGTCGCCATCTGAAGACGAAGCTGAGAAAAGCCCGAAGCAGCCTCGTGGACGCTTCACCAAGCTTCAGTCCTCTCTACGGCGTCGCACTCTCTGCTCTCCGCACCTCATCCTCCCCCTCCTTACCCTCTTCGGTATCGTCCTTTCCCTGGATCGTCTCCTCTCCTCCTCCCTCCAGACCCTAGCAGCCAACAGCCTCTCCGCCCACTCCTCCCTAGCCTTCCTCTCCATCCTCCGCTCAAGCATAGCGGCACTGGCGGGCCCGCCTTTTGCCGTACTGGAGAGCAAGGCGGGCGGAGGGTGGGCATGGGGGATCGGTGCAGCCCTCTATGTCCTTGGACATGTCGTGTCTGCCACGACGGGCGTGTCAGGAAGTAAGGGAGGCATAGCTCAGTACGCTCTAGGCGTTTCACTCCTCGAGCTTGGGGCAAATGGAGTCCTCGTCCTTCAGCAATCTCTCGTAGCCCGCATTACCACGCCGCGCGATCGCGCCTTGGGCAACCTGCTGCCGCAGTTCAGTTTCGTGGTCTGGGCATTCGTGAGCGCGGATATATTCGCGGGATTGGACGGGAAATGGAGGTGGGGCGTAGGACTTTTCGCTATTGCGGGTGCGATTGTGCTGGGACCGATCGTCGGGGTGGTGGGGTGGGGGGAGAGGGAGCAGAGGGAGGTGAGGAGGCGGGGATCGTTGACGCCCAGGGAAGAGGGGACGAGTGAGGATCAAGCTGAAGGCAAAAATGTGGCCATTGCGACGGTCGCCGCCTCGAGCTCCACCCAGGATCTCGCAACGCCTCTCCATCGCGGTCGCCTCCGTCGGCTGTTAGCCTCTCTCCACTTCCTGATCATCGCAGCCGATCTGCCTGGCCTCCTCCTCCTCAGCTCTGCAACCCTCGGCATCCTCCTCCCAATCACCCTCGCAGGCCAATCCACCACCACCTCCCGCTGGCTCGAACCGCAACTCCTCGTCCCGCTCCTCACTTCCACCTTCCTCCTCCTACCAGCCCTCATCTACTGGGAGCTCCGCCTCTCCCCGCAACCGCTCCTGCCGCGGTCCCTCCTGACCTCGCGCACCTTCCTCCTTGCCTCACTAGCCCAGCTCACCATCTTCGCAGCCGTAGGGTGCATGGGTACCTACCTCCCAACGTACCTCTACGTAGCCAAGCACACCACCGCAAAGACGCAACAAAACGTCTCGTCCATCTTCAATTTCTGCTACGCGCTTGCGAGCCTGCCATTTGCCATTGCTGTGCGATACTGGCGCAGAGCCAAGGGCATCAATGTGATGGGAGCCGGGCTTTTCACGGCGGGCGTAGGGGTGATGATCTGGACCAGCTCGAGCGCTACGCCCCTCTTTGGCACGATTGCCGGATTGGTGGTCACAGGAGTCGGGGCTGCCGCTAGCGTTGCCATCATACCAAGCGTAGTGCAGGTAGAGGTGCAGAGGAGGCAGGTTCGGGCGCTGCAGGAGGCGCAATCAGCTTCGAAGGGCATTGCAGCCTCGACGACGCTCATCCGCCAAGATGACCACGTAGTCAAGGCAGTCGCAGCGCTGAATATTGCCAACTGCCTCGGCTCTGCTCTTGGCGCCGGAGTGGCCGGAACCATCTGGACCTCCTTGATGCGTGACTACCTCGCCACCTCCTTGTCAGCCGTCTCGAGCGGCTCGGCGGACGAGGTCAACGAGGTGTACGCCCAGCCGCTGACATGGATCGCGTCCCATGCGGTGGGCACGGGAGAGAGGATCGCCGTGGTGGACGCCTACGATAAGGTGTGGAGGATCATGCTGATCGCAGCGACGGCGCTTGCTGTACTAGGAGTTGCGGGTGTGGTGGGAATGCCGGCGCTAAAGTTGGGCGATGCTGCGGAGGACGGGGGAGACGAAGGGTCTGAGAAGCAGTCCACTGAAGCTGAGAGTAGCGAGAGCGGGGAAGGCCTGCTCTGCTTTGTCCATTCGGCCTGGCGCCGACTGACGGGAGCAGCGAGGTAGCTGCAGACAGACCCAATTGCCCATGTACTGGTATTTTATGATGTGTCCATATGGCGTGCTGTCTCCCGGCTGCCTCTAATCGAAGATCAAGTCACCATGTTGTAGCTGTCGGCCCGTTACGCTGCTGCAATCGTCGGTGCAGTGTTGCCTGCCTCGTCGTTGACGGCCTTGACAGCGACGGTACCTTGCATCGTCGAGCTGCCCCAATACAGTCTCCTCTCACAGTCGCCAACCAGCCACTTCATCCCCTCGTTATAGCCGTCACCCCGCACGGCAGAACAAGCCATGACTTTGACAGTTGCTCCCCTCTGCTTGGCCAGCTCATCAAGGCGCAGCGTCCTCCTCACTTCTTCCAGCCCTTTTGCTCCCGGAACATCTTGCTTGTTCGCCAGAACGAGCAGAGAGGCTGAGGCCAGACGCTCTTCAGCTACGACGAGGGACCAGAGCTCCTCGCGACACTCGGCAAGGCGAGCAGCATCATGTGAGTCGACTACCCAGACGAGGCCGTCGGTGCGCTCAAAGTAATTGCGCCAGTATGGGCGGAGCGTTCGCTGCCCACCTATGTCCCAGAGGTTGAGGGTGAATTGTCTGCCCCTTCTGACTGCCTGCTGCGACTTTGCGGTCTCGTCGTTGCCATGTGCAAGGTCAAAGGGCAAAGAATGAATCTCGAATCCCAGGGTAGGGCTCTGCTCCTGCCAGTCTGGTGCGTTGAGGAGTCGCTTGACGATTGTCGACTTGCCGCTGTTGTCTAGACCGAGGAATAGAATTCGTAATTGGCGCTCTTTGTGATTGGACTTGCGAATGATGGTGAGGAGACCCATCTTGTCGAGATGGACTGAGGGCGAGGAAGTGTTGGTTGACCAGTTGAGACGCGGATAAAGAGGCGAGGCGAGGCAGCAGCCATGTGGGTCCTCTCGAAGTGAGGGGCCGACCTCCACGAGGGGCGCACGGGCTTCAGGTCCTTGCCAACGAGAAGAGCAACACAGCCGGCTCATGCAATTCATCCTTTCTTCCTACCACCAACATCACATCACTCTAGACCGCCATGTCCTCTCCTCCATACACGCTCAGCAGCGTAGTCCCACCCAATCCGACGACGGTGCGCGGTCAGTCGACTAAGTTGGACGTCTCCCCAAACGGGGATCGCCTAGTCTACACCAATGGCCGTTCAGTCATCATCCGTCCCTTCCCCAACAACACAACGTCCTCAACTCCCGCTCCAACAATCATCTACTCACAACACGCCCAACCAGTCAGTGTGGCTCGCATCTCCCCCTCAGGAGCATACTGCGCCTCGGCCGATTCCTCAGGCTTGATCCGCATCTGGGACATCCTAGGCTCAGACCAGACGCTTAAAGCAGAATATCGTCCCTTTGCGGGGGCCGTACGCGATCTAGCATGGGATGGCGAATCCAAACGTCTCGCAGTAGTAGGACAAGGCAAGGAGCGCTTCGGTCACTTCTTCTTTGTCGACTCGGGCGCAAGCTGTGGTGAAGTGAGCGGGCATGCAAAGGTCGTCAATAGCGTGGCCCTGAGGGCACAGAGGCCTTTCCGAGCTGTTGCCGGTGGAGATGACAACAACCTTGTCCTGTACAATGGCGTTCCCTTCAAGTATGCGAGTACAATCAAGGAGCATGCTCGCTTCGTGCAGGCTGTAGCGTACAGCAAGGATGGAAGCCATTTCGCCTCGGTGGGCAGTGACGGCAAGGTATTGGTGTATGAGGGGGCCAGTGGTGAGGTTAAAGGCAAGGCAGATCTGGGTGCTGGTACCATCTTCGATGTCAAGTTTGCTCAAGATGGCAAGACGCTCCTCACCTCGGGCGCAGATGGCTTCGTTCGATCCTTTTCTGTGCCAGACTGCGGGAAGTTGGGGGAATGGGACCTTAAGGCTGGTCACGGAAATGCAGGTGACCAGCTCGTAGGATTGGCCCTCTCGTCCGCCTCTTTGGCTCTCGCTCTCAACCTAGCAGGCGAGCTCATCACCTTCGACCCCTCCAAGCCCGGCTCCGCACCCAGCGGGAGGCACGTCGCCCCGACCAAGGGGATCAGCGCCGCACTTCAGCTCAAAGATGGGCAGGTGCTCGCCGCTTCGTGGGATGGCAATGTGTACAGCTATCGATCCAAGAATGGCGGCAAGGAGTGGTCCGTCCAGCCCACGCAGGGGTACAAGGCGGGCGGACCAGTCGTCACAGCTTTGAGCCTCGCGCCGGGAGGAGATGGGGTCTACGCAGTCGGAATGGACGACGTCCTCCGTCGTATCTTGGTCTCGTCTGCAGCCCCGCAAGTAGACAACACTTTCAGCGCATCGCTGCCCTGCGCCGCTCGTGGAGCCCTAGCAGTTGACTCAGCGAGCGGGATAGCATACATCGCTTCGGCCTCCTCCGACGAGGTGCTCGTTCTCTCTCCCTCTTCGCAAAAGTTCGAAAGACAAAAGGTACCCTGCACCCCGACCACCACCGCCGTTCTCGCAGACAGCTATGTAGCCATAGGCACTCAAGACGGGCGTGTCCTCCTCTACGAGCCTTCCGGCAAGAACAGGTCACTCGCAGAGCAAAGCCCACTCCTGACCTTGGAGCGCAATCGTTCGGCCGTGACGCACCTCTCGTTCCAGCCCCTTCCCTCCTCTTCATCGGGCAATAGAGTCCTCACATCAGCAGATGGATCAGGCAAGATCCTCCTCTACTCCCTTCCCTCGGGCCAAGCTCTCGCAGGGGTCAACTGGGTCTTCCACTCTTCCCGTGTCGACAGTCTCTCATGGCTGCCATCAGCCGGTGGTGAGGAGGACGGAGTTGCTGTCAGTGGCGGGTTGGACACGCATCTATACCTCTGGGAGAGGAGCAGGCCGATGGGCAAGAGGGATGTAACCAAGAACAGTCATGCAGGTGGGGTCGGGTGGGTTGACTTTGTGGGTGGGGAAAGGGAGCAGGTGATCAGCGCCGGGAGTGATGGGGCGTTGAAGGTGGTGAGTAGTTGCGAGCGGCCGAGGCACCATGGAAGGTGATGACGAGACTGACAAGACTGACCTCTTCGCAAAATAGTGGCGTGCCCCGGCTGGCAAGTAGACGGCAAACAAGGCCAACCGCACTTTTCATCACACTCAGCGTGCTTCATCTCTCACGTCTTCTCCTGGATATCACGAAAATTAATGGCAAAGCTCGACAGATCTTCGACTGCTTCTCCCGGCCCCCTCCTTCCCTGGCCCCTCTGCCCTCTCATACATCCTCCTCTATCTGCTTCCTCATCTCCATCACCACACTAGCAGGTGCCGGACCAGGGCTACGCACGACGGGCTCGCCCTCACGCGTAAAGAGGCGGATGAGCTTCCCTTGCTCGTCTCTTGCCCCATTACCATCTCCGTTGCCGCTGCCGTTCCCACTGCTGGCATGCGAGCCGCTGGCTGAGCTGCGCACTCCCGAGGAGGCGTCGCCTTCTTTACCATTGCTGTGTGGCGATGGCGAGGATTGAGAACCCGTAAGCCAGGAAGGAAGGCGACGTGAGGCTTCTTCGAAGAAACCCGCGACACTGCTTGTGACACTGGCGGGCGTGGTGCTAGCCTCCTCCCGCTTCTTCTGCTCCCCATCCCCCTCCTGCCTTTCCCTCGTCTCACCACTTCCCACAATATCATCCAGCCGACCAGCCGCCGCCTTCTGCAATGCTCGCCCTTTCCCCTCCTTCTCCTTAGCGAAATACATCTCCGCGCCTCTCGGCCAGGCACGTTGCATCTTGCGCTCCAGACGTTGCTCTAGGTCGCAAAGGATGGAGGCGACGGAGGATGTAGTTGGGTCGACATTGGGGTCTGATGCGATCTTACAGGGATCAGAAGCAAGAGACTGGGCGACAGAATCGTCTTGCTGTGGCCGCTGAGCATCTCCATTGGTCTTGCCTTTGCCTGACTCGCGCTGCTGCTCTCCCCCCTGGTCTTGACATTTGCTCGAGTCATGACTCTTCGCTTCGTCCCTGATCTCGCTCTCGCACTCTTCGTTGGAGACATTGCCTTTCCCATTCCCTCGAGCGCCCCCCGGAGAGGCAACTGCACTCTCCGCTTCGGGCTCCTCAGTCAAGGTAGGCTGTGTTGGAAGCTGCGAAGACTTCTCGCCAGAAAATGCGCCCTTCTCCTGACCCTTTTCATGCTGCTCTTGCACCGCACTCCCGTCGTCCGACGTCGAGAGGGAGCTGAGGGCATTTGTGAGCATGTTGAAGGGGCCTCCGGTACCACTGCCTTCGCCTCCATCCGAAGCCTTGGAGCTGTCCGTGCGATGCTGCTGCTGACCCTGCTGGCTGCTACGCCTACGCTGCTGTACCGGCGAGCCCATTGCGGTAGGTGAGCTCATGGAGAAGCTGCTGTATGGGCTCGAGACCACTGAAGCGATTGCTGACCCAAAGGCTCCTGCTGCTGCTGCTCCTCCATCTCCCTCCTGCTGCAGCTGAGGGCTCTGCGTACCTGGCGAATTGGTATTCATCGAGCTGCGACTGCGCGCCCTCTTGAACTTGCTGACCGCCCGCGCGATAGTGAAGATGCTTGTGATGCGGCAAATGGCTCCCTTGATCTCCTCTTCTGTTACCTCCTGCACTACTTGCTCCAGGTTGCGCGCCGCAGATACCAATGGCTGATGTCCTTCTACGGTCACCCATGGCTGTTCGCGGGCGGACTCGATCGTCGTAATGCGCTTCGCTGGATCTTTTTCGAGCATAGAACGGAGCAGGGAAGAAGAAGAGGAGGAGAGATGTGAAGGGTACTCCGGCTCTTGCGTGCGGATGGCGTCGTAAAGGTCCATGAAGTTGTCCTTGTCGAAAGGCAGGTGGCCCACGAGCATGCAATATAGCGTGACTCCAAGCGACCAAACGTCATCTCTTCGGCCGCTACGCTCTCGGGCGGGGACGCCATCCACATCTTCGTCGTGCGGTGAGCCTCCGGAGGGGCGTCTTTGTTGCTGTTTCATATTGTTGGCCGAGCAGAGCTCCGGACTGAGAAAAGCAGGTGTGCCATGACCTTTTGGCCTGTCTTCTGGATCTCTTGCCGCATCTACTCCCTGCGCAGGGCTGAACATCTCGCTAACGCCGAAGTCGACGATTTTGCACCTGCCTCCCTTGCCGGCGCCCTCTTCATCCTCTCCTCCACATCGCAGCACATTGTCCGGCTTGATATCCCTATGAATGATATCATGATGATGCAGGAACTCTAAGCCGAGCAGGATCTGAACAAAGTAGTTTTGGGCTACTTCCTCCTCGAGTGGAGTGGTTTGCTGGTGAAGCTGCACGTCGATAATCGGACCGCCTGAGCAGTACTCAAGAACGAGGTAGAGCTCATCTCGTCGCGGGTCGTCGAGTGCTTCGATGATGGAGACGAGATTTGGGTGGTCGAGCTTCTTCATGATGGCAATCTCGCGTCGGATGGGTTCCATAGGGTCGCGAGGAGTGGCTGGAGTTGATGTGTGAGAATTGGAAGTCGAATTGCTGTTGGAACTACTGCCCGCTCTTCGCTGCTGCGGGGGTGGTGGTCTTCTCATCTTTTCGTATCTCTTGCTCTTCTTGAGTCTAGTCTTGCTGAATTCCTTTACCGCAAAGACATGTTGGGGGTCGTCCCTTAAACACCCTTGGTACACGACGCCGTAGGCCCCCTGACCAATAACGCGGGTGAGGTGATACTGATTGATGATTCGGGTGCCGTCCTTCTCGTCTTTGGCACGGGCATCAAGGGTCTCTTTGTACTCGCGCGAGGGATGTCGACTGTGTGGTGTGTTAGTGCCGGACGACGAGGGGCCTGCGTACGAGGTCGAGCGTTGATTTGTGGGGAGCTGCGAGCGAGAGTGCGTCTCGGAGGCGGAGCGCATCATCTGATGTTGGTGGGCATTGCTTTTCGACGATGAGGATGGAGAAGACTGTTTCTCTTTACTGCCATTGCCGCCAGGGAAAGTGAATGGCTGAGCACCTCTGTCAGAGGATGGTCCAGACTCAGAGGTGCCGCCGCTGCCCTCCTGAGGCGACAGGAATGCTGAGTCTTGCTTGGGTATCTGAGCATGTGACGATGAAGGCGATGAGACGATGGGGTCTGGCGTCTCCATCATGGATGAGCCAGTCTCCGTCGTGGCCGACGTCGTTGTCATGCCCTGGCGACTCGTCGCTCTTGATGTCGACGAGCTGCTGGGCGATTCGTACCGCGCCGAGGATGACAGCATCGTGCTCGGCGCGCCAGCGAAGATGTGATGGCGATGGGTGGGGATGAGGACAGGATGCAACCGTGAGGAGGACAAGCGGCCAAATGGCACTGATGGCAACGACGCTAAGCTACCTCGCTCCGTCGCTCCCTCGACTGGCCATTACTCCTCGCCTCTTGCTCTCGAGCCGCTTTTGCCAGGCTACAAAGCTCCGGTCCAATTTCCCAGTCCGCCTGCCGCTCCAGTGCCGCCATGTCTCTCGCGCCGCATCGCAGCCGCGCACAAGCCAGGCACCGTCACGCAACTCTCGCAGGCATTATGATTTGCAATTCGAAAGTCACAACTCGCAAGCACAAACGTCTGCCTCCTTGCTCCCGATCAGACCTACTGTCCACTTTTCAACCCTCAAGCAACGTAACGAAGTTGCTCGGCATCAAGTTCCTCCCCGGCTCTCTCCTCTCCTCATCCAAGAGCTCTCCCTGCCACCACCCATCCGCATCCGTCTGAGTGACGGCAATGATATCCCCTTGAGTGAAGGAGAATTCCTCGTCGCTTTGCGCTTGATAGTCGAACAGAGCCTTGACGTAAAACAGGATCGGGCGATGCGAGAGGTCCGAGTATTGGCCTGTTGGGGCAGGCGTTGAGGACGTCGAGGGGGGACGCGCGATTTGCTGTTGGGATTGAGTCGAGACTGTTGACGCGGGTCGAGCGCCCTGGTTGGCATACTGCGGCTGCTGCTGTTGAGCCTGCTGGGGCTGGGGTTGGGGCTGCTGCTGCTGCATCATGCTCTGTCGTTGATACTGGTGCATGTAGGCCGCAGCAGGGGACTCCGCCTGAGCAGGCGCGGGGGCATGGCCCTGTTGCTGTGCATGGTAGGACGGCTGCGCTTGGTGCTGCGCGTACGCCTGATGCTGCTGCTGCTGATGAGGTGGCTGAGCACCATACTGCTGTGCCCCTTGCTGCATCGTCGGGAAGCTCTGGCTAGCAGACGGCTGGTGATGGCCGTACTGCTGCTGCTGCTGCTGCTGCTGTTGATGCTGCGGCTGTTGATGCTGAGCGTACCCATACCCACTCGCCTGGCTGAGCGACCCGCTTGAATCCTGGTGGTTGAAGGGAGGAGCGGCTCCGTACGCCTGTTGAGGCTGCTGCTGAGGAGGCTGATGTGGGCGAGCCTGCTGCTGGGGCTGATGAGCATAGTAGCCGCTCTGCGTCGACGGCGCCTGAGCGTGAGAAGGCGCAGGGCTGGGCGCGTAGTGATTCGGTGTGATCGTGAACTGGCTGCTCGTCGCTGGCACGGAGGGTGTACCGTAGCCGCCTGGCTGCCCACCACCATGGTAAGAGCTGGTCCGCTGCTGATGTTGCGGCTGCTGCTGCTGCTGTTGAGGCGTAGGCTGGCCCTGATGAGGCTGGTAATAGGGCGAAGCAGGTGGCTGCTGGCCGTACCCCTGATGCTGCTGCGGTGGAGGCTGAGCATAGCCCTGCTGCTGAGGTACCGGCGTAGCATGCTGCTGGGGAGGCGGTACGCTCCCTGCCCTTTGCATGAACTCTTGGGCCATCTGGTCGTGCGTGACAGAGCCAGACGCATCCAGCGAGATACCCAGAGGAGTAGTGGAACGCTGCGGCGGGCCCTGCGCTTGCGAATGTCCATGATGATGATGAGGGCGAGCCGTCGCAGTGGACGCATTTGAGGGCTTATGCTGCTGCTGTTGCCCGTGATGCTGCTGTCTCGACGCCGGCCTCCCAAACGGCTGCGGACTAGGGCTACGTCCTCTCGCCCCAACTCCAGCGAAACCGTCCACACCAGGCACAGGGCTCTTCGATCTGCCGGGCACATTGCTCGCCGACGACTTACTAGGCGAAAGCGGCGCTTGTTGACTGCGTGCGGAAGTCATCGAATTCTGACGCGAGATGCTTCGTCGCTCTCCGGGGAAGGACTGGCCGTACGACCCTAGAACCTCTTCGACTGGCAAGGGGGAGGCGGCACGTGGGGGAGCTTGCATGAAGGCCGCGCCTGGAGCTGGAGACGTGGGTCGATCTGATCCGGCATTGATCGAGGCAGGGCGCTGTTGTTGACGTGAGGAGGGACGACCTTGAGCTTGAGAGTGAGCAGCGCCGCCCGGCCCTGCAGTGGGAGGCAGAGGGCTCGTAGCAGGGTTGGGACTCTTGGTATTGGGTCTCATGCGGAGATTGGCCAGAGCTTTGGCGATCGGATCTTCCTCCTCCGACCCAGACGTTGATGTGGGTATCTGCGGCTCAGAGGTCGATGGCTTTGCTGCGGAGTTTGAAGGTGAGGCCATGCTTCCGACGCTGTCCCTGTTGGCGATTGACGGTGTGCGTGCCAGGAAATTTTTGGTCGACATGCGACGCTCAGCCTTGACGGGGGACGGTACGTTGTCGGCGGACTTGCTTGGCCCCGCAGCAGCGGCCATTCCAGGAAGGCCGATGCTGCCAGGCGGAGGCTTGAAGGCGGCTGGAGGCGGAGGAGGCTGACCTTCGTCTTCCGTGCCGCGCAGCATTGATGGTCCACCACCGAATCCGTCGCCGCTGACCGAAGGAAGAGAGACAGGCATCCCTGCTGCCCCACCTCCGCCTCCGCCCATACCATCGTCTCCACTATTGCCATTGCCAGCACCTGGCGGCGGTCCACCACCACCCACCGTGCGTCCTGCAGATGCACCCGGGACGAATGGCTGGCTAGGCGGTACAGGCTGCACGACCCTTGTGGAGTTGCGCTGGAAGTTGGCCGTGTGGTACGCCGGTCGTGCCGGCGGAGGCTGTCCTTTACTGTAGTTGATATACTCCGGCGGATCCGGGATAGCAGGTCCCGTTCCTCTCTGCTGAATGAAGACCATGACATCCGACGGCGTATCGCAGCTTTCCAAAGCGACTCTCACCCTCTCGCAGCCCTCATCATCCGCAACGCAGACCGCTGAGATCGCATTCGCGTAATTCCAGAGATTACTCTTGATAAAGTCGAGCCTCTCTTCTTCAACGTCCTGGCATTGATCGAGATATTGCTTGAATTCGCTGTTCCACCGCAAGGTTGTGTCCTTCAGTGCGCGGACAAAGTTCTGGTAGTCCTTCTCATTTGCTGCGACGGTGCTTTGGGCCTTGTCCAGCTTCGAGGTCACCTTGTCCAGGTCTCGGCCTTGGACCAAGCTCGACTGGGCAGTATAACCATTGATCTTGATGCAGTCTTGCTCGTAGCGTTCCCGAGATTTGTTGACGTAGTTCTCTTGCGCTCTGGGCGGGGAGAGATCGAGGAGGTCAGTCTTGTGCTCTGCGCCCAATGCCGTTGTGAATCTGGGTTGCGTCTAGTCTCACTGCTTATTCTTGAAAAGCTTCTCGATAGCAGCCGATGATTGCTTGCGAGCTGCATTGACTTTGGATTGGAAGTCTGCTAGACTCCCCTCTAAGTCCTTGCGTACCATGCCAGCCAAGTCTGCATGCACCCTGGAAGTCATGTCAAGCTCTGCTCGTACCACGTCGAGAGCATGTCGAGTTGCTCCTGTCTCATCCTTGCCCAATGCCGTCTTGGACAGCTTTGCTAGGCGCTTGGCATAGTCTGCTTCGATGTCGGCTCTGCGCAGCAGCGGAGAGGACCAGGATGGGATGGTGAGTTGGGCGGCCAGCGCATGCATATAGTCTCGTTCAACTCACCTCTCCTTGTACAACGCCCTCACATCATCCATCGTCCTGTTGCCCGTCTTCATCCTGTGCTGTATCGCCTCGTATCCGGCGTCCCCCGACCCCCAAAATGCATTGCAGAAGTTGCTTGTGTCCTGGTGGAGCTCCCGTCGAATGTACTCGTCCTCTGCTGCAGCTCTCCTCCCTGCCTCACCACCATCGAGGCCCATAGTCTCCGATGAGCGTGAGCGCCGTGACGCTGCTGAGCTTGAACGTGAGCGATCACGGCGATGGTCTTGTGGTGGAGCTGACATGGCGACGCGAAGTCGAGTGGTCCTTGTCGTCAAAGGAGGAAGAGAAAGGGATGGATGAACGCGCCAGAGCGTATCGCAAATGAGTTCGAGACGTAAGATGCACAAGCGACGATCGACGATCTCAAGCTTGCTCAGCCTTCTTGAGGAAGATGGCTAGGGGTATGAGCCGTGGGGCCAGTGGTCGGGAATGAAGGTGTCGACCAACCAAGGAGGGTGGCTCGACCACCGCCCGCCGCCCACTTGAGTGCCTCGACTGCCTCGACTGCCTCGACTGCCTCTTTCTGACAATCACAGCCACACGCACACAACGCCTGCACGCGTCGTCGTCGGAGACGGAAACGAGAGACGGCTTGAGAAATTTGGGCCGGATGGCAGTCGACTGTCCCTTCCCGCCCTTCACGCTGCCTCTCTTTCACTCTACTCGTCACCAGCCATCATGGCAAAGAACAAAGGTAGCAAAGGCTCAAGCTCAGCGCCACGAGAACATGCTCCACCAACAACAGATGCTCGCTTCGCTCGCCTGCATACCGATCCGCGCTTCTTGCGGCCGCAGCGAGACGATGCCAAAGTAGCCGTCGATGAGCGATTCAAGGGATTGCTGGGTGGGAAGGAAGGCTTCGGTATTCACAAGCAAAAGGCCAAAGTGGATCGATTTGGCCGCAAGATGAGCAAGGGGAAGAGCAAGGAGGACGAGGAGATGGGAAAGCTGTACAAGGCTGAGCAGCCGGAGGACACGGATGAGAGTGAAGAGGAAGAGGAGGAAGAGGACGAAGAAGACGAGAAGGCTGGGCCTATCGACTATGCGCGAGGAGCCGTAGAGCTCGAGTCGTCTGGCGATGAGAGCTCATCTGAAGAGGAGAGCGAAGGCGAAGGTAGCGACAGTGACTCGGGCGACGAGACCGGTGATGTCGCCATTGGTTCGGCCGCCGTGCTGCGTCGCGAGCGAAGGCGTCGAGCCCAGCGGGGCGAGGAAGACGACGACGACGACGACGACAGCGACGACGACGACGACGACAGCGACGACGACGATGAGAACATCGACGAAGAGGCAGAGAAGGAAATCGATCCTCGAGCTCTGGCTGCTCTTGACGCTCAAGCCGAGCGAGTCGTCGCAGCTGAAGCCAGTGAGGCAGGGCCCAGCTCTTCCAAAGCAGCAGCAAAACGGTCCAAGCGCAAGCAGGCTACCATTGAGCCAGGCTCAGAGACTAAGCGCCTCGCCGTCGTCAACATGGACTGGGACCACGTCCGCGCACTCGACATTTACAAGGTCTTCTCCTCCCTCGTCTCCCCACACGCCACTCGCCTTCCTGGCACCGACGTCGCCACCACCACCGCCGGCTCAGGTCATCGTGCCTCCTCCTCGCAACAAGTCAAAGGTCTCGTCGAAAGCGTCCGCATCTATCCCTCCGACTTTGGTCGTGAGCGCATGAAGCGCGAAGATATCGAGGGTCCGCCAAAGGACATCTTCAAGTCAGCGGAAGACGGCGAGACAGCCGCGCGCCGCAAGGCCAAGAAGAAATCCAAGGGCAAGAAGAAGCGAGCCGACAGCGACGAAGACGATGAAGATGACGCAGTCTTTGAGGTAGACGAAGGAGCTGAATTCGATGAAGAGGCCCTCCGCAAGTACCAACTCGACCGTCTACGCTACTATTACGCGATCGCCACCTTCGACTCCCCGCTATCCGCTCGGCACGTATACGATGTCGTTGACGGAGCAGAAATGGAGCGCACGGCAAACATATTCGACTTGCAATTCGTGCCCGATGAAATGGATTTTCCAGAGGTGCAGGATAGCGATGATGTGCAGGGGTGGAGGGACGAGGCCAAACCCGGTCTGGACGACGCTGCGGCGTACAGGGGGGCCGACTGGGCTACTGATGCCTTGAGGCATAGTAAGGTCAAGCTGACCTGGGATGCGCCTGACCCGGAGAGGATGAAGGTGACCAGAATGGGAAGGCAGCTGACTAAGGGAGAAATCAGGGATGACGATTTCCGAGCGTACCTGGCTTCGGACAGCGAGGACGGCGAGAGCGATGAGGCGGAGCAGCAGAAGCCCAATGGCAAAGGCAAAGGGGCCACAGCTGGTCGTGACCGCTTCCGTGCTCTCATGGGCCTTGATGGCGAAGAAGCTGGCACCAACAAGGGCGGCGTCTTCGGCAAATCGCGCAGCTCAGCCTTCGAAGACGCTCGCGATGACAACGACGGGGAAGATGGAGACATGGAGATCACCTTCCTTCCCGGTCTCTCTGAGGCTGCGGCACGCAAGGCTGCCGGTGGTTCTGCGTCCAAGGACGGGGAGAAGGAGGAGACGACGCTGGAGAAGTACATGCGCAAGCAGCGCGAGAAGAAGGAGCGAAGGAAGGCAGCGAGGGCGGAGCAAGGCCTCGACGACGAAGACGAAGAGCCACAGAAGGGCAAACCTGCTCCAGCGGCTGCAGCGGACAACGATCTAGGGTTCGACGACCCCTTCTTTGCCAGCGGAGGCGAGGAGGACGGGGAAGACCTCGATGCCATCCTCGCCAAGGAGCAAGCAAAGGAGGCAAAAGCAAAAATCAAGAAGCCTAACCCGTCGAACGGCGTCGAATCTCGCAACACCTCTGCACTCGCTGAAGACGACGATAATGAAGACGAGGGCCGCCATTTCTCGATGCAAGACGTTCTCAAGGCCGAGTCCTCCAAGAATGGCAAAAAGCCCAACAGGTGGGAGCGGAAGAAGCTTGCCAAGCTCGCCAAACGACAAGCTGCCGAGAATGGCGATGTAGCCCCGTCTGCTGCGCTGGAGGCCAAGAAGAAGCTTGAAGCCCAACCAGACTTCAAGCTGGACACGGCCGACCCTCGATTCTTCAGCGCTGCGACGCTGGACGACCATCGCTTCGCTGTTGATCCAACGCATCCCAGTTTCATGAAGACGGAGGGGATGACGAGGGCGTTGGAAGAGAGGAGGAAGAGGGGTGGTGGGGCACCTGTAGAGGAAGGAATGGCGGTGAAGGGGCCGCAGGGGAAGAAGAGGAAGCAGGAGCAGAAGGGTAGTGGGGCTGACGATACGAGTGAATTGCTAGCCTCGATCAAGAGACGAGAGCAGCAGCAGCAGGGAAAGAAGGGCATTAAGGGTGACAAGAAGAGAAAGGTGGACAAGTGAGCATTGATGTAGACGAGCAATAATTTCATTGGCAGGTGTTGAGCAAGCTATGCCTCTTTGCGGTTGCGGCATCGGGCTAGGACGGCGCCTAGTCATCAAACGCGACCCTCATCGCCTTCGCAGGTCGCTGTGCAAGGCCAGGGTCGCGCACCTCTTCATCCATCTCAATGAGCCAGATGCGCACGTCGCTCAGGGCAACGATCCTCCCCTTGCCCGCAAGCACAAAGTTAGGCGCTCCTCCCCAAGGCAAAAAGATCTTGACGAGATGCGTGCCCTTGCTCGACCAAACATCAATGCCATCCCCAGTGCCAGCATAGACATTGCCTGCGTCATCCGTCTTGATACCATCGGCGATGCCCGTGTCAACGTGTGCAAAGACGCGGCGGTTGGCCAGGAAGTGGCGCGTAACGTCACCGTCTTCCTCGGTGACCACGTCAAAGACGTAGATGACCCTATGCGCTACGTCCGCTCGAGCGGCATATCGAGCACCGAAGACTGCAGCCGTATCCGTGACGTAGAGTTTCTTGCCCTCAGGATCAAAGCATAGCCCGTTAGGCATGTCCACCCCGTTAGTTTCGAGCGGGGCCAGCCGTCCGCTCGGCGGGTCAAAGGCCCAGAGCATAGTTGGGAGGTCCGCCTTATCCTTGAAGTGCTGCAATTGGGCGTAGAGGGCGTCCGTGAAGAAGATTTGACCGGTCGTCGGGTGAACGACCACATCGTTCGGGGCATTGAAGTGCTTGGAGCGGACATTGTTCACTAGAGTCTTGACGCGTGGCTTCTTGCCCCCTTCAGGAGTGGTGACTAGGGTCAGACCGCCAGGCATGGAGGGGCCACGTCCTTGATTGGCGAACAGCAGGAGGTTTGGACCGTAGTTTGTTCCACCGTTGGTCATTTGCACCTCGGGTGAATCGATGGGCACCTCCTCTATGTCCTCCTTATAAGATGCTTGACCCCGCGATGCTCGGACAGCTGTCTTGGAGAGGCTATGCCGGAACTTGTAGACGACATTGTTGCGATGCAAGTCGGACCCACCCGCTCCTGCGTTGGAACACCAGTAGATGCTGTCCGACCCAGGCAGCCAGACAGGTGCTTCGTGCGCGAAGTGATAAGAAGTGTTCGGGGACTGCGGTCGTGAACAGGGAGACGGCAAAGATCAGCTTGGCTCGGGATGGAGCGAAGGCGCCCTTACCTTGGCTAGCAGGGTGATCCTTGGCTTGCCTCCCAGTAGGCTGTCTCCGCGCTTGCGGTCGTACACTTGGAAGTGTGTTTGCTCAGCCGCAGGGATAGTCACATTGCCAGCCTGTCTGCCTGCGCCGTCATGCGGCACAAATGCCTCAGAGAATTTGCGCGACTTCGTGCCAGGCGGGATGTAGGCCAGATCTCGCGGATCGACGTGATGCACATGAGTGTACACGTGAGGACCAGCGCCCAATGGCTTGACAGGCTGGGGGACGGGCTCTTCGTTCTTGCTGGTCGGGTGAGTGGAGACGGGCAAGTAGCGCACCCAATGAGCCGGCTGCGAGAGGTCTTCGAGAGCCTCACGCGCTGCGGAGGAACGAAAGAGACCGCTGACAGTAGCCAAGAGGGATCCGTCGCCGGAGAGCATCCTCGTCCCGGGATCGCTCGATACGATGAACTGCTTAGCGCCGACTCCAAGTACAGCGATGGCGCCAGCCGCAACGGCGGCCCCGCTCAATGCCGCCTTGAGGGTAGTAGACCTGCCGCCTTGCGAGACGCCACCTTGCTGCTTCTTTATTGGCGCCATCTTGATACACGGTATGAATATGAGCGCCAGCTGAATGTTCTTGAGCTCACTTGCGTAGATGCACTTGCACTTGTAGATGAGCTTGATGATCTTGATGGTTAGGAGAAACAAGCGCGAGAACCGAGCGGCGCACGCAATTCAGGCGAGTCGGATGAGGTGCATGCTCCCACCGCAGCTTTACCCCACATCCCATCAAGTCGGCGGTTATTGCCCTGGATCAATGATACACAACGGCAATGTGTCCTCAGGCAATAGAGCAAACAATTGTGGGAGGGTGGGAGATGGCAGGTGACCCGCCCGAAAGAGAGCATGAATACCGGCGGGCCGCCGCCGTCGACGGCCCGGACGCGTCATGTGTGCATCGGGGCGAGATTGCGACGGCGACGAGTGACCTTGGCAAGCCCAGATGGTTTCGAGTAGAGTGATGTCTTTGAGCGGAGGCGGGCCGTGACCAAGCACAGCATAGCAAAGTACAAGCAGAAGGACGGATCACGCGCCTCACCTTCATCGGGGCAACATGGTACACACTCACTTGCCTTCACTAGGCGCAAAATGCACCCTCACCTCCTTGACCCCCTTGTGCGCATCAACCAGCGCCTCCCTGATCTTGTCTTCTACCTCTCTCGCCTCAATCAGCGTGACCCTTCCCTCCATGACGAGCGTAATATCGATAAAAGTGCTCACGCCACTCTTGATAGCGCGGAGATCCGTCCACCTCTTGAGTCTCCCATCCTCGCTCTGAACACCACGTACCGCCTCCTCGAAGCCTTGCAGAACGTCCACGTCCACGCCACGGTCTGACAGCTCAGCGAGTGCGGAGACGAGCAAGTCGAATCCTTGCTTGCCGATTAAGCCTGCGACGAGCAGCCCACCGAGCGGGTCGAGTATGGGCAAGCCCATCCAGCTTCCCCCTATGGCTAAGAAGGTCACGCCTGATGAGAGGGAGTCGGAGCGATGATGCAGCGCGTTTGCCTCGAGCACACTACTATTCTCGTCCTTTGCGACCTTGAGCGTAGCACGGTAGAGCCACTCCTTTACGGCGACGGAGAGGAGGGCGAACCACATCGCATTTGGGTCGAGGGCGCCCATCGCAGCCGAGACGGCGTCGTGGGCGTGGTCGTGAGCTCCAGCGCCGTGCGAATGGCCCAATGTGTGAGCCATGGAGCCACTCCAGTGCCCAATGGTCTGAATGAAAGCAGGCGCCGTCTCTAGCATCGGCCCCATGGCCTCGAGCAGGAGGCCCCAGCTATGCATCCCAATTCCCACCGCTCCACCCACGAGGACGACACTGACTCCCAACCCGCCCATGGTCTCGTACTTGCCGTAGCCCAGCGGGTGGGTCTGACTCGGAGGCTTCTGGCTCATCTTCCAGCAAAAGAGGGTGACCAAGTCTGAGAACATGTCACTTAGAGAATGGGCAGCGTCCGCTACCAGAGAGGCGGAGTTGAGGAATACGCCAGCGATGCCTTTGGAGATGCAGAGGACGATGTTCGAGAAGAGGCCCAGAAGAGTGATGTTGCTGCCGCGGTCGCCCTTCCCCTTGAGGGCGGCGATCAGGCGATCGGCCTCTTCTGGACTACCGTGAGCGTGGGAGTGATCGTGTCCCCCGAGGAGGGAGTGGGAATGCGAATGAGAGCTGTGGTCGTGGTCATGCTCATGTTCCTCTCTCTTTGTCCTCTGCCTCAACCCAGAGCCCGGAGCCTCAACAGTGGCTGCAGACATGTTGCTTACTGGTACTGCTTCTTTTGTCGACTGCTTCTGCAATGTATTCTGTCTTGCCCAACTAGCCAGTCGATCCTGTGCACTCCAACCCACCTGCGGCGAATCAAAGTCGACCTCAGCGAGGGAGCTCCTGAATTGGAACAAGTAAGGCACCGAGTCGAAGGAGCGACTGGTGCGGTGAGATTTCCTCGCTGCGCGTTGCTTTGCGATGAGGATCGAGGCTCCTAGAGGCGAGGGAGGTACGTAGTAGTGTGGCGCGGGGTAGTAGTGATAGTGATGTGGGGTCGGGGGTGGTGGTGGGGTAGGAGGGTGACGAATTAAGCGCGGTGGCCCGTTAGAAGGAGGAGGTTGCGCTGATGAGGGCTCTTCGTGCGGCGGGGTACGATTTGGATTGCAGCGGGTTGACGAGGATGGCGTCGAGGTTGGTGTGGGCGCTGACTTTGTTGCACTTGAAGTCGACGAGGCGAGGCGGACAAGGAGGAGAGGGAGTCTGTGCTGCGACTGTCTTTTGGCCGTTGCACAAGTTGTGGAGCGCAAGGGGAGTTGACAAGGAGGAGAATGACGGCGGCCCGCTGCTGCTGCTATCTTGCTGCTCGATGGCTGGCAATGACGGGCCAGGAGCATCAAGGGCGTATGCGGGGCCAAATGGAGCGAGGGCTAGAAATGCAGCGCCAACGTACGTGGAAGCAATCTACGGCCGGCGGCTCGACCTCGACGAACCGTGACTGGACCCACGAGGGCTCGCGGGCGCAATCCAAGGTGGTGACGATCGTGATGAGAGGGGAGCAGCGAGAATCGACAAGGGTGTGATGCGATGATGCTGCGAGAATCGCGCGATGCGGGTGAGAGAAGGAAGGAGTTGATCAATGCGACGACGGATCGAGTTGGACTGCCGGCCACTTTGCAGGTCCGAGGCAGCCGTGCGTGCAGACCAGTGCAGCACGTCGCGACGATCACGGATCCAGCATCAAGAAGGTACCTTCAACGCTCACACAGAGGTCTAGGATACTGAATGGGATTCTCTCAGCCCAAGTGTGGCAAAGATGCGAGCTTCTTCATCAACAACATTCGTCAACGTTGTCGTCATGAACGCAATCGCACAACAGCCGCTTCTCCTCGCCCCACATCGCCTCGTCACGTCTTCGAACAACTCCACCTCTGCCCCTCTGCTATTCTGATCTACGAGCCCACGACAAAAGCCTCGTCTCCTCGCAACTACTGCGACGCGAAGTTGAAGCCCCCGCTCGGGGCTTGCATCTGAGGCTGGAAGGCAAAGGCACCCGACGCATCGACCTGAGGCGCATCGACGCCCGTGTCCGCTCCAGTGTCGTCCTCGTCCGGGAAGTACTTGTCCATGATGAAGACTGGCGAGAAGGGAGGAAGAGAAGAAGGAGAAGAAGCGAGAGAGTCAGCATCGTTCTTCAGCCGTCTTACGGTAGATCTCACGCCTACTCACAGCACTTCTTGTAGATCTCCAAGTTCTCATGATGTTGCAGCTGGTGAATGGTGACCATCCCTCCGCACTCCTCGATGTGCAGCGCATACTGATTGACGCTCCCCGGATTTGCCTCCTTGTCGTTTTCGCCCACCTTCAAGATGTTCTCCAGTCCATCAAGTGCCACCTGGATGATACGATTGTCCATCGACTTCAAGATGTCGCACAGGGGCTTAATGCAGCCCTGGCTAACGAGATAGCGGATCTGGCTGGGCTCTTGCAGGCCGCCAGATGTTGCGTTGCTGATTGCCCAGCAGGCTTCCTTGCGCGTCTTGAAGTCGGCGCGAGCGAGAATGTCAATCAGGGGAGGCACGATGTTGGCGTCGATTACTGCTTGAATCTGGTGCGAGGAACCCGCAGTGATGTTTGAGATGGTCCAGCATGCCCTGCAAGCAAGAGCGAGGAGAGCGACATGAGGTCAGTCTAAATCGCGCTTTCTTCTCTTTCAGTACCCCTCGCTACCTACTCCTTCTTGATGCCGTCCTTGGGCGACGAGAGGAGAGCAAGGAGAGAGGGAAGAGCGCCCGAGGCAATGACAACCTGCGTCTGCAGATCGTCACCGGTCACAATGTTGCCCACGGAGCGCAAAGCAGGCGTCTGTACAGCCGTCGACTTGTGGTTCAGCAAGTCAACCAGGCGGCGGCAGAGGCCAGACTCGATGCAGGCCTGAATCTTCTCGTTGGCGCCGTCCGAGAGGTAGGAGACGGCCCAGCAAGCGTCAATGAGGACTTCATCGTCGTGAGAGTAGATCAGCTTGGAAAGGACAGTGAGGGCGGGCGACACGAGCTCCCACTCGGGCTGAGGGTTCTTGCCTCGGCAGAAGTTGCTGAGAGTCCAGGTGGCGTTGCGAAGCATGCCTTGTAGAGGAGCGAGAAGGGAGATGAGTGAGCATGACAGACTTGGAGGCTGCTATGTGGGCGTCCACTCACTGAGCTTGTGATTCTCGTTGAGAAGAGCGCAGAGAGGTCGCATGGCTCCAGCTCGAAGAACAAAGTCGCGGCAGTTGGGGCTGTCTCCAGCAATGTTACCCAGCGCCCAGACGGCTTGCTCTCGGACGTCAAAGATGGGCGACGAGAGGAGCTCGATGAAGATGGGGACTGCTCCTTCGTTGATGACGACCTGGGTGTGGGTGGATGTACCGGATGCGATGTTGGTGAGGGCCCAAGCGGCTTCAAACTGCAATTGCGTGGGGATAGCGGGGTGAGTTTCAGGCATGGATCAAGATGATGCCCCCGATTATCTCGCTCTCACCTGCAGGGGAGATGCTGGGCTGCGAAGGAACTCTACGAATCGCGGCACGACACCACAGTTGATGACTTTGTCGATAGGTGGGCTACGCTCCTTGGACAGGAGCTTTCTGAACTTGGTCGTACAGTCGAGTTGTCGGTCAAGGTTGTCGGACATAACTCCCTCAATCATCTGTGGAAGCGAGTCGGAGAGCTGAACAAGGGGGGTAAGCGATGTCAATTTTGCGCTATGTCATTGACCACTGATTTGAACCACGCCGTGCTCACCTGAGTGTCGAGCATGGCTCCAACTGCCTCCTCATCATCCGTCTCTGCATCGCTGAGGGCAGCCGAGTCCAAGTTCCTCCTCTTTGCCATGCTCTCTTCCCTCTTCTGCTTTCTGATCTCTACCTGAGCTTCTTCCCTCCTTCGACGCAGCTCATCCGCCTTAAACTGGCCCTTGTTCTTGTATGCATCCTGACGACGAGAGGACATGGCGACGATGCGCGGGGGCAAGCGCAATTGGTGACTAAGAGGAGAAGGGATGGGGATGCAGGAGATGTGGTGACTGCGCACTTGACCTCTGCCGATCTATGAATTGGTGTAGGAAGAGAGAGCTCGTAGAGGAAATGCAGTGAGCGAAGGTGTTGCCCGTTGTCGCCTCTGCGTGTGTGTGTGTGTGTGTGTGTTGGTTGTGAAAGGAGAAAGTCGAGATGGAGGGGGGTCGAGGGCAGGTGTTGGTCTCGTCGTCGTCGTCGCTGCCGTCGTCAATCTCGGGGCGAATTCAGCGCGCAGAGACAGTCAGCCTGCTTCAGCCACGTGGCTTTGGATTCACCCAACGGCCCACATCGTGAGACCCGTCGGTGGTCCGGCTCAAGCGCCGAGCAAGTTGAGCAAGTAGTTGCCGCTTGCTCAGCAGTCACGCAGCCTCCATCGTCATTCCACCCTCAATAGATCTCACCTTGATTACTTCTCTTCATCTCTAGCTCATCGTATTGCATCGCCACGCCACGCCACACATGGCAATGGCTACGGGACGCCATCGGGCCTCGAGTCAAGCGGCCTCATCGCCGACAATGGGCTATTACCACTCGCAGCCCACGCAGGCCGACATGGAGTTGCTCGACTTGCTCACCAAGGAGGACTCATCGTTTCCTCATGCAACAGCGCGTGCAAGATCTTCCTCCTCGGCCCTCTCCTCTCCTTCATCCTCTACTTTCCCCTCTGGACCAGTCGTAGGCGGGAAGCAACGTCCTTTAGCCACCTTGGCAGCATTACGCAGACCGCCAATAGACCCAATCATTCTCGCAGCTAGTCTCTCCTCTGGCCCTCATGTCACCAGGCATCATTTTCATCATACATACGGAGACAAGGGGCACAGTAAGCATTCACGGCAGATGCCGGCTAGTCAGCGCAAGGAGATTCAGGCAGGCAGATTGGCAGGGAGTGGACAGCAGGACCAGCATACACGCACACATACACGCAATGCTCGATCGCAATCTCTCACCGGCTCGTATGCCAATTGCGACCTAGATGATGGCGAGGACGATGAAGGCTACGCTGCCGTCGCTGAGCCATCACTGGCAGAGAAGTACCCGGAGCGGACACTCTACCCGAGCAAGCAAGCGCCGAGAAGTGTTCGTCTCAAAATCGAGCAGGAGGCAGCAGCAGCAAAAGCCGCAGCATTAGCAGCAGCAGCGCAGAGGGAGTCAGCGGGCGAGGAGAAGCCCGGTGAAAGCTCTATGGCCGCAGCGCATGCTGCTGAAGTGGCTCAATCAGCTGGTGTCCGCGCCAGTGACGAGCAGCCGTCAGATGAAGCACCCAACGCCAGCGCTCCTGTGACGAGCAATGCCCGTCAAGAAGCGTCTTCCGGCACTCAAGCCCTCCTCCAGCAAGCTCTCTCTGAGCGGCAAGCAATTGCCTCAGCCCCAACCACCCCTTCCCTCAACGGGGCGGCCAATCCCTTCGCCCCCGCCCCACCAGCACCAGCACCAGCATTAGCTCGCCTCTCCAGCATCGTCCGCCCACCACCACTCATCGTCCGCTGCTATGCGCGCACGCGCATCCCGACTCCCCACGGCGAGGTCTTCTGCCATCTCTACAAGAACAATCATGACAATAAGGAGCATATGGCTCTTGTAGTCGATCCAGCGCAAAATGAGCCCGACGTCAGCGTTGAAGAGCTGCTTGCGAGACGGGACGGCCCCAGACCGCTCCGATCTCGTACTCTTGATGAAGTGTGGGGGAGCGAGGAAACGGATATGGAGCGAATTGTTCGTGGGGCCTACGTGGGGAGATTGGGGCCGGGATGCCAGGTCGCGAGCCACGGTGTCTTGCCTCCCAACATGGGCGCAGACGAGTACGAGCCGCCGCTCGTGCGCATTCATTCGGAGTGCTACACGGGCGAGACCATTGGGTCTCAACGTTGCGATTGTGGCGAACAGCTGGACGAAGCGCTACGCCTCATCCTCAGCAGCGGGGCGGGGTCGTCATCGCCATCTTCGCCGTCTTCGTCTTCTGCAGCATCGCCACGCCGGCCTCGGCTCCCTCGTGGCGTCGTCGTGTACATGCGACAAGAAGGTCGCGGCATCGGTCTCCTCGACAAGTTGATGGCGTACAACCTCCAAGACATGGGCCACGATACCGTCTCCGCCAATGTTCTCCTCGGACACCTCCCCGATGCACGCCGATACAATATCGCCTCTGCCATCCTGCAAGACCTAGGCATTCATCAGTGTCGCCTCCTCACGAACAATCCTGAGAAGATGGAGGCGCTGGAGAGCGAGGGTATCCCAGTCAAGGAGAGGGTGCCTATGGTGCCCAGAGCTTGGTTGCAGGATGTGCAAAGAAATAAACGGTCGAGGAAGAATGGGCACAGGAGGAAGCGAAACGGGGCAAAGGAGGGCAAGCGTGAGCGACAGACCTCGGCCAAGTCCACTGCGTCCTTGTCGTCAAAGTCAGCAAAGCACAATCGCGTAGCGGCCCTCGCATCGCCTCACTCTGACCTCTCCCGGTCCATCCTATCACAAGCAGCCTCACTTGATGGACACGACGACGACGAGGAGGATGCGGACGACCCCCATAGTCTTGGCTGCCGGCATCAAGGCTCAGACGTCGAGGACGAGGATGACTCCGACTACGACTCGGAGTCAGAGGATGGCGACGAGTACGAGCAGCACCTCCTCCGCTCGGGAGGCGCGACCATGATTGGCAGCTCGGCCACGCGGAGTGTGGAGCTGGAGCGTTACTTGCGGACGAAGATTGAGAAGATGGGGCACCTTCTCGATTTACCACCGGGTCAAGGGAGCGGCACGAACTCGCCCGCTCCGCACACAAAGGGCGGTAACAAGGAAAGCAAGGGTGGCTCTGCTACTCCAGCTTCGGCAGGTCGCCAACGCGAAGCGACGGGTGAGAGTGAGCCGGCTGTGGCCGGTGGTGGCGCGGAAGAGGACGACGGTCATCACACGGGGACGGAATCGTTGCTTGATGAGGAGGAGCTGCGCAGGTTGGCAATCGATGATGATGAGGCGGGTGCCCACGCGGCTGCCTAGAGTAGACCTGCTGGCATCGTCTCACGTCTCGGAGAAGTCTTCTTAAGGGCCTCTGTAGCAACGCATCGCTTCACTATCGCTTACCACTCGGACGCCGGACACTACCGTCCTCTCTTCCCTTCTTGCTGTCATGCTCTCGTTCGAACGTGCAACCTCCATTCATAGCGCAATAGATCCTACCGTACCTTGCGACCCTTTCGTGATAGCTCGTCTGCCAACCATACTTGCGTTCACTCTGAGTCAGTCCGTTGCTGTCCTTGCTCCTCTCTCGTTCACACTAAAGCGACTCGCACGATACGCCCCCGGAGCAGGTTTGCCGTTGCTCCTTGGTACTGTTGATTGGCGCTGATGCAGATGATCAAGCACTAGACCGACGTCGGCTGTCACTTTGGCTCCAAGATAGAGAGCAACCTGCGCCCTGACTTGGACGTAATGAAAGTCAATTTACTGTGGGTTCCCATTTCAATGCAATTCAATTAACGAAAGACCCTTGGCGGAGCACAGCCAGTCCACGCAATGCTGTCAGGTACGCCTGAGCCGCTTTCCTTCAGCTCATCTCACCCCCTCGGCCATTCCATTGGCCCCTGTGGTAATTGTCCGAAAGCCGCTCAGACCTCTCGGCCGTGCACGCCCACCATCGCTCGTCTCGAGAGTCTGGACGTGATAAAGGCTGTGCGTTGCTTGCCTGCGCCCAGCAAAATCAGCAATCCTTAGACCCTTCGAGAGAAGGTTGCTGGGCTACACGGAGCTGTGTTTGTACCCTGTGCCTGGTCGATTGTCGTGGCCAAGCCAGAGCCTCGACGTCCGGGAAGGGCGATGCACTGCAGCAGCGACGCCAAAGAACGAGCAACGAGCTGGACAGGCTGCGCGCCTCGGCCTCCTCTCATTCTCTCGCACCCAGCGCGTGGAAAGTTGGCTGCAGGCTGCAGCAACGCGGGAAGCGGGGAGCGGAGAAGGCATTTCATTCTCCCCGCTCCTGTCCTATACCCGCAAACACGCTTGTCACTATCGGGCCGTGGTAACTCCTCTTTCCCATCTCGGCATCTTGGCTCCTGACCACACTCCTTCCAATCGGCCCGCTCCTCTCTCCATTACCGTAGGACACCCCACACTCTCTACATATCAACGCTCTTTTTGGTCCAGCTTCACGCTCTTTCCTCCTCAATCCCTCCTCACCACCACCTTACCATCCCACACCTCACCACCTCCCGCTCTCTCTTCGTCAATGTGAGTCGCCGCGATCTCGATGGCCCGGTAGACAGACACTAAACTGGCTTTCTCTCTTACTCCTCTTGTCGCCGGCCGCAGCATCGCTAGTCTCACCTCATCTCATTGTCATCCGATCCAAACCTCAACACCTCACCAACTTCATCCTAAGCAACCTCACCGACCATGGTCCGCCTTACCTCTCTCGCCTTCCTCGCTGGCTTCGTTGCCACAGCAGTCTATGCTTCCTCCTCTCCGGACCTCGCTGCCAAGAAGGAGCGCGCTATGGCCCAGCTGAGCCCCGCGGTCCAGCGCTACCTCGCTACCCTTGACGAGTCCGAGTACGAGCTCGACCTCGATGGCGCTGATGAGGATGAAGGTCAGCTGGCCGAGCGCGCCGATAGCAGTCTTCAGGACGCTGCCTCCGGTGCCTGGAAGGGCTGCAAAAATAGCGCTGTGAGGTGAGTAGGCGCATGGCCGGGTGGACTGGGTGGAGCGCGTAGCCACGCTGGGCTGCTGCTGCGGCTGTGGCGCGTTCGGTCTGAGTACCCGTTACTGCCCATTGCGGAGGCCTTCTGCTGACTGACCAAAGTCACCGCCCGTGGCAGCATATCATTCGACGATGGTAGCTACGACTACCGCCAGAATCTCCTTGATATATGGACGGGAGGGCACCAGGTCAGCTTCATGATCAATGGCAACAACTATCGATGTGGGGTCCGTGTCAAAATACAGAACCCAAGAAACAGAAGCTATGCCGAAATTTTGGACCGCCGCTAACTATCTCTTTTGCTCCTCGTGCGCTCTCGCAGTACGATGCCGCGTCCGTTTCGGGCAATCGCAGGGCCCTCGCCGCTGGCCACCTGATCGCCTCGCACAGCTGGGGTCACTACGACTTCGGCCAGGCCGGTACTTCTCACGACATCATCGATCGCCAGATCGAGCTCCTCGAGGAGATGACGCTCAAGACTCTGGGCATCGTACCCCGCTACTTCCGCTTCCCCTACGGTTCTTTCGCCCCCGAGACGTCGCAGTACATCCGCAAGAAGTACGGCTACCGCATCATCCAGTGGTCTGACGACTCTGGCGACTCTAGCGGCGCTCCAGCTTCTCAGTCCATCGCCATGTACAACCGCTTCAAGAAGGGAGAGCAGCACCTCGTTCTCAACCACGAGACGTATGAGAGCAGCGTCAAGCAGGTTGCTCCCGCTGCTAAGAAGGCTCTCGACAAGCTCGGCGTCAAGAGCGTCACTGCAGACAAGTGCATTGGTGCTACTGTCTCGCCTTACAAGGTCAAGACGAACCCTCAGAAGCGCGACTCGAGCTGGACGTGCGAGGGCAAGCCCCGTCCTGGCCAGCCCAAATAGGGGCGCCTAGCGTGTAGCATCTAGCTTGACGTTCGAAAGAGCGCGCTGCCGATCCTCGCTGCAGCCCTCAAGGACGATCTTCGCCCCTCGCTCCTCCGTGCTCTCTGCGCCTCCTGCTTCCCGTGCCCGGTGCTCTCAAGTGCTCCGTTCCTGCGCGTCGTGCGCTCATCGCCGCTTCCTTCCTCAAGTGATGGCGGTCCTTTCTTGATTCGTCTTCTCTCTGTCCGCTTGTTCTATTCTTCTTTAATCCAATCAATCATGTGTCCGCCACTCGTATTGCCTGCGACTCGAGTGAAGAGAGGTCGAGGGTTCGGCGGACCGGGCCCAGCTTCTCACGCTACGATGCCGGAAAGCCGGCAAGCGAGCGCCTCTCCGCACCCCACACGCGGACTGAGGCCGCTCAGATTCAAGACCCTTGCACTCAATTTAATTCAGACGCTTGGCCATCAAGCACTCTTGTCACAATCCCATACAAAGACTTCCTACTACCCTTACCATGGCCTCGCTCCTCAAGAAAGCTTTCGGCCTAAGCGGAGTCGATGGCAATCCCTCCAACCAACCACCGCTTCACGGTCTCCGCGTAGTCGAATTCGCCGGCCTTGCTCCCGGGCCTTTGGTAGGCCTCATTCTGGCAGACTTTGGTGCAGACGTCATCCGAATCGACAAAGTGGGAGCCTCGATCAACCCTGACGGGCTTGCGAGGGGCAAGCGCTCCATCTCCGTTGACCCAAAGACGGCTGACGGACTCGAGACACTGAGGAGGTTGGTCGAAAAGGCCGACGTGGTTATTGACCCGTTTAGGCCAGGCGTGTTGGAAAGGTTGGGTTTGGGGCCGGAGGAGGCTGCAAGAAGCAATGAGAGGGTCATCTTTGCGAGATTGACAGGATTTCAGAGGCAGGGTGAGTGCGAGCTCATGGCCTTTCGAAGAGGTGACAAATTGCTGAATAGAGGTCGCCCTCGCAGGCCCGTACGCTAACATGGCCGGCCACGACATCAACTACATTGCATTGAGCGGTCTGCTCTCGATGCTGGGTAGCTCCGGTGGTGCACCACAGCCGCCCGTCAACATCTTGGGCGACTTCGCCGGCGGCTCTCTTATTTGCGTGCTTGGCATCCTCCTCGCCCTTGTGGAGCGCGCTCGCTCCGGCAAGGGCCAGGTAGTCGAAGCCGACATGGTCACTGGCGCACGCTACGTGTCGACCTTCTTGCTGCTTTCGAGCTATCTGGAGCATCCAGAGTGGGGAAAGATCTTGGGCGATGGCACAAATGAGACAAGGGGCAGCGGGATGCTCGATGGTGGGGCGCCGTGGTATGGGGTGTACCGCACCATGGACGACGGGTGGATGAGTGTCGGGGCTATCGAGCCGCAATTCTATGCTGAGCTGCTCAGACTCCTCAAGGAGAGCTCCAGCAGAGAGGCGGGGCTGCAGCATCCCTCGGCGAAGAAGCAGCACGACAAGAGCCTTTGGCCGTCATTACGGGAGTACTTCACCTTGGCGTTTGCCTCCAAGACTCGGGCAGAGTGGGAGAAGATCTTCCTTGGCACGGACGCATGTTGCGTGCCTGTACTTACCCGCGATGAGGCTGCGGTCAGCGGTATCACTCCGGGGCTGTCGCGCGAGGCAATTGTTGAGGACGGCGACACGGCTGTCCCTTCGCCTGCGCCTGTGCTGACGCGTACGCCAGCAAGGGTAGCCGCTGGCAGTCCCCACGCTGCTCCCGATGCAGATGGCTACGAGCCGCTTCTGACTCCGGGCGAGCACTCTTTGGCTGTATTACGCGAGTGGCTGGGCACGTCAGACGACGAGGCGAGAAAGCTGGCGAGGGACAGGTCGGTAGGCGGCAGTGAGCTCGATGACCTGGAGCCGGAAGCGACGGCGGGCAAGGCGAAGCTGTGATGCACTTTGCATGCACCGTGCTTTCGATCTGAACCATGCTACGGAGAAATGACCATTCATTTAGATGCGGGTCCTCGCACCGTCCACATTTGCACCGCCTCACGGTACCAGCCTCTTCTCCGTCCACTCTCCATTAGGCGAGTCTCCCTTTCTCTCAAAGAGACTCCTCTTGTCCCTCGTCAAATCCACCACATCAACCGTCAGTGGCTCAAATACAAGCAGCGCAAAGTTCTTCTCACTCTCCTCCAACGCCTTCCTCTGCTCCTCATTCTCTGCCTTGCCCGGAGGCGGCAGCTTGAGAGGCCAAGGGCTCTTCTCTTCCTCTCCTTCCTTACCGTCTTCCCCTGGGCCAGCCGAGAGAGAGCCGGACTTAGGGTGGGCAGAGCCCGGAATGGGACGGGCAAATGAAGCAAGAAGGTCAGGCGAGAGCTTCTCGTAGTGACGTTGGCGCTCTTGCGCCCAATCGAAGGTCGAAGACGAGGAGGACGAATTTGAGTGGGGTGGGGACAGGCGCTCCCCAGGGAACTCCTTGGCCAGGGGATGCGAGGCGGTAGGGAGGAGATGGTAGTATCCATTGAGACGGAGCTGCGAGTAAGGGTCAGGACAAGTGCTTGTCAGCGTCGGTCCGATGTCATCCTTTGCTTCCTTGCAGCGGGCTCACCTGAATCTGGCTACTCTCCTGCCACCAACAAATCTCTCCTCTGGCCGCCCCGGTCTCCTTGGCAGTCGCAGCCATCTCCTGAGCCTTGGGCGCTCGGATGTCGGTCGTCGTGAGGATGAGACTGTTGGAGGCCAAGAAGTTCTTGTCAAATGTTTCGATGCCAGAGGCCGTCTCCTTGGAGCGCTGTTCATTGACGAATCCTCGGTGCACGACGTAGCGCGAGTGAGGGACGGGAGGTGGGCCGGGACTGACGGTGGAGAGCACTTGGTACACTGGGAGAGATGACGGCCTCAAGGACTATTAGATCCTGGGGCATTCATTGTGCTACGCCAATCGCACGACTCACAGACACTACTCTTCTCCCCTTCCTTGAATGCTTTGGCAATGTTCTCCTGAGCCAACGTCTTCCATCGCGGCGCGGGTGCTTGTTGCGTTGACATGGCGGCTGCACTTGCTTTGCTCGTTGTTGTGGTGATGTGTCTTGCAATGCCTTGTACTCGATGCAGCATAGAGTTAGGAGTAGAAGCAGAAGGGTTGGTGGAGACCATCGACGGATCTGAAGGGTCCAGAGAGGGCTGAGCACGGGTGGAGGAAGAAGCTGACGCAGCACCTCCCCACGACTCGTCTCAGTCCGCCTTCAGCACAAGCCACCCGTGTGACCAGCGAAGGGGCGGCTATGAGGTGGCTGTGAGGCAGCTACGAGACAGCTGCCATTCCGTAAGAACTTCAAAAGCGTTGACGCTTGCTCACCGCATGGCTATTAGCAGAGTCTTGAGCACATGAATTGCCAGCGACTCAGGCTGACACCACGAGCTTAGGTAGCGTAGCGCCTTGACCGGCGCGCCTCCCTCAGCCACGTTCCAATCGAGACCCATGAAAACCCATGCTATCTTCGGAGCACATAGCGACGTGGTGACTTGCTAGAAGAAGCCTTCTCCGCACTCACGATAAGAAGACGCTCCTCTGGAAGATGTATATGAAATGGACGCGCCCGCATCGCGTCGGAAGATCCGGAGAAGGCGAGCCAAGCCAAGCCAGGTCCTGTATCGCCCGCCCTGGCCAGGCACCCTTGACAACCCTCTTCATTTTGCAAGTAACCGAGCCGCCTTGACAAAGACGGAGGCTATAGGGAAGCAGCAGGTGACCGAGTCTGCGGTGTGGCGCTCTGCCTGCCAACACCTCAGCCTCCTAACCAATTCGTCTTCTCTGCGTGGTCGCGTGAGCTCTCGGTACTCTCGGTCGGTGGCGGAGACTATTCATTGCTCGGCGAGAGCGCCGGCGTAGCCACTGATTTGCGAGGCGCTTCCTTCTGGGCTCAGGTGCTTCCTTTGCCTTGCGGTGCGGCTAGGCCTCGACGTACTGTAGGAAGTCTTGACGCGGGGCGCAGCGCAGCGTTGGCAGCCGCAAAGCAAAGCAAAGCCCACACATTACAAAGGTCAAGAGGGCGGTCATGCTGCTGTACAGTAGCTCGCTGCCCTCTCGCATCGAACGGCAGTCGAGTCCAGGTGCTGAAGAGAGGGATTTTAGCCTGTTCGACACGAGGCGATACGAGCGTTCGTGGCCGGGCCTTGGACTGACTTGTGAAGTTCGAGGCTTCCTCTCATTTTGCTCCTGCCGATGCGCTAGCCGCCGCCGTCGCCGCCGTCCGCGTATCTCTCGCGCGACTCTTCGCCGTCTGGCCGCCTTAAACTTTGCCCCGCTTTCGTCTCTCGACCCGGAGCCCTGCGAGCCTATCTTCGCCCTCACTCACTCTTTCCCACCTGCCTCGCCTTGTAGCTCCTTCCTCGTCAGGCCCACTGACCTTGCGCCCCTTCTCATCGCGTCTCTTCCCCAGACGCCTGCCTCTGATTTGCTCCTGCTTCATCCTCCTGATTCATCTCCGCTTTCCTTCCCCCTGGAACCAGCTTCACTCTCGCGACGCGATATCGCAGCAACGAGGGACAAGCGACACGAGCGAGCGACAAGCTTCGTTCAATAAAGACCAGTGGCAACGCAGGCACCTGCATATCTTTTCCAACCCTCCCCCGCATCCATTCCTTGTCCTCCTCATCATCTAGCAGCAATGTCTAGGGTCAACGTCGATCGAAAAGATCTTGGCGTCGTGAGTTTCTTCAGCTGCGGCAGCACACAGCTCACCGCACGGGTAGCCGCTGAACGACCTTCGAATCTTCACTGCTGTCACAGAACGAGCTGCCTACCGTAGCTAGCCCGATGGAGCGCACGCCGTCATATCGCGGCGGCGCCGGCTCGACTTCGTCCGCTGAGAAGCCCACTCAGGAGGACGTCGAGCATGGACTTCATCACCCTGAGGGCGAGCTCGAGCAGCATCAGGCCCAGCGCGCTCAAGGCATCGACAACAGCAAGTCGTCCAACCCCCTCTACGAGAAGCTGGGTCCACTGATCCATTCCCGCTTCGCCGTCTACTTCCGAGACTTGGTCCTCGTCCTCTTCTTGATCGCTTGGTTTGTCGTTACCCTCATCAACGACGACCCCAAGGTGGCTCATCGCCGCATTCCGATCGGCATCATCTCGATGTGCGCTGTCCTCCTCATCCTCTTCCACAACTCGCGCTACCTGCCGCAGCGACCCATCGTCCGTGTTATCTCCACCGTATGGGGCACCGGCGTCAACAAGCCGTGGTCGATGCTTCCTTCGCGCGGAAAGCTCGCCGTTGGTTGGCTTGCTCTCCTGGCTCTCATCTTTGGTACCACGTACGGCCTGCCAGAGAACGAGGCTTCCAACCGCGGCAACCGTACCATCTCCCTCGTTGGCTTTGGCCTCATCTACGGCGGCCTCTTTGCCTTCAGCAAGAACCACAAGGCCGTCAAGGCAAGGACAACGATTCTGGGCATTGGCTTCCAATTCATTATAGCCCTTCTCGTCTTCCGCACCGACGCATTTTTCAGCCTCTTCAGGTGGCTCGCCATTGCCGCTGCTGACCTCCTCGTCCAAGCTCAGGCCCCTGAGGGCAACTACAGCATTGGCGGCGGTGCGGAGTTCTTCTGGAGCACTACTTTCGTCAACGAGAACCACTTCTTCTTCGTCAACGTCCTTTCGTCGATCATCTTCTTCGTCGCCCTCTGCATTGCTCTCTTCTACACGGGCGCCCTGCAGTACTGCATCAAGAAGGCGGCTTGGGTCTTCTTTTACTCCTTTGGCATCTCCGGTGGCGAGGCTGTCGTCGCGGTTGCATCACCCTTCATCGGTCAAGGCGAGAACTGCGTACTCGTGCGACCCTTCGTCCCCACCTTTACCAAGTCCGAATTCCACCAGGTTCTCACGAGTGGGTTCGCCACCATTGCCGGATCCGTCTTTTCGGCCTACGTCTTGCTGGGTGTCAACGGCAAAGACCTGATCACCTCGAGTGTCATGTCGATCCCGGCAAGTATCGCCGCCTCCAAGATTGTCTACCCCGAGACCGAGGACAGCGACACGGCCGGCCGTGTTGTCATCAACCGCGAGGAGTCAGAGGAGGACCGCGCCGAGAGCTTCTTCGAGGCGCTGTCTAACGGAGCTTCCTTTGGTCTCAAGATTGCCCTCCTCATCTTCTGCAATGTCCTCGTCCTCGTTTCTCTTGTCACGACGATCAACGGCATCCTTGCCTACATCGGCAACTCGCTCTACATCACGGACTCCAACGGGCCCCTGACTCTGCAGCTCATCTTTGGCTACGTCCTCTGGCCTCTGACCTTCATGCTCGGCGTACCCCGTGGAGATGTACTTCAGGTATCAAAGCTCATCGCCATCAAGATCATCGCTAATGAGTTTGTCGGCTACAACACGCTGCAGAACACCGTCATGAAGGGCCCGAACCCTCTGAGCCCGCGAGGCTACCTGATCACCACGTACGCCCTCTGTGGTTTCGCCAACATTGCCTCGATGTCCATCAACATTGGTGTGCTCAGCGCTATGGCTCCCAAGCGCAAGTCGGACATTGTGCGACTGACGCCGTCGGCCCTCGTCACCGGTGCTCTGGTCACTTTGTCGAGCGCGGCCGTGGCTGGTATTGTGGCCGACCCGGGTCTCTTGCAGTAAGCATAGCGAGTGGGTTGGGCGCATGGAAAATCTTCACGTATCGCGTCACATCGCATCGCATCGACTGCTCAACCTGCTTTTGCTTTCCACCTCTCATTCGGTTTCTTTGCAATGTCACGAGTCTTGTATCCGTACCCGCGAGAACAGCGTGGAGACGATGCGGTGCGTGTGTTGAGCAGGGCCAAGGTGTGTTTGATTAGAGCTGGCAGAGGAAGCAGGGGAGGGTACAAAGGGGAAGAGGGCAATTTTTGCAACCGCGTCGTGACTTTGATGTCCAGCTGTAGGCGACGGCTCGCTGGTGCGATCAAGGCAGCTCGCGCCCGGTCGACGTCGTCTGCTTAGAAGATGCAGTCGAGACACTCGGCACACGCAATGTCCTCGAGACAGCAGCAAGCTGTGCGAGGGCGAGGGCAAAGAAGACGGGTCAGTTCGAGCAGCGATTCGCCCGGATTTCTCGATGGAGCTGCTCACCAAGAGCTCCAACACAGCAGGCGCAGCATGGTCCGCAGCATCCATGCCTACGAACGCGCGGGTGGAGAGGAGGTTGGCAGGGTCAGCTAAGGCTTCTCCTTGCATCGTGTCCTAGTCGTCTCCTACCCACTTGTCCTTGACCTTCTGCTGTCGTTGCTCAAGTTGGCTCATGTTCTCTGTAGACGCGGGCGGGATGGCAAGGGGAAGGGGTTTGAGCATTGGCCAACCGCGTCGCTTCCTGCTTGGGCACACTCACGCTGAGGGTACTGCTGCGGGTAGCCCTGTTGAGGATAGCCGCCCTGAGGAGGTCCACCATACCCTCCTCCTCCGTATCCAGGCTGAGGAGGGCCGCCGTATCCCTGCTGTGGAGGCGGCGGGTACTGCGGGCGGGCGAGCCAGCCGGAGACAAGGTGAGCTCTCTGCTGTATCAATGCATCAAAGTGCCTCCTCTGCGACGCTCACGTATGCACCCTGCTGCTGCTGCGGCGGGCCGCCATAATATCCTTGAGCTGCCATTACGTTGACTTGAGAGTGTGATGAATCGAATAAAGCTCGAGGGTGCTTGAGACTCGAAGTTCAATGGTACGGAGGAGAGGTCAAGAAGCGAAAGAGGTGAGGCACAGCCGCGGGTCAGGATCAGCCGTGCTTAAAGGCTGTGCTCCAAATTGGCTCGTGGCTCGTGGACTACCCTTGGATGGGGTAGGCGTTGCTTTTGCGCTGCGTTGCTGCGTCGTGAATGAATCGATTCGTCCGTCTGTGGCTCGTGTCATGTCCGTGCTCTGCTACTACTCTAGTCGAGGTGCTGCTGCTGCCGGCGGGCGATGCGGCAACGAGCGGCAAGGCAAGCAAGGCAGAACAGCAGCGCCTGCCCCTCGAAGCGCTGTGTCGCAACTGGCGCTGGACTGACGTCGCTGCGCGCTAGGCAGCAGCTTCTCACTTCTGCCGGCCGGCCGGGCGAGGAGGGCGAGGGCGAAACGTCAAGCATCGCAGCCAGACGTCAGTGAGATGACTGAGATCGAGCTGTTGGTCAGCCCGAAGGATTGGCATCATCGTTAGCCAGAGCATATCGACATTATGCCTTACAAGCTCGTCGCTGCGTCGACGAGACTAAGCGTGAGGACGAGGACGCTGCGTCAAGATTGACCCTTTCTCCGCTCACAGCCTGCCACAAGCCTCAGTCTTAGCATTCTGCTCGCGGAACGAGCTTACCACAAGGCGATGTCTTGAGAATGTCTCAACGAGCTTCTTGCCCAGCCCCAAAGTAGCCACGCTTGACCTTTTCTTTCCTGACAAAGTTGTGCTGGTTTGCGCCGTCCTTCTTCGGGCTTTGGCCGCTCTGACCGGCCTCATCTCGTCTGCCTCTCGGTCGGCCTTCGACTCGCCACGTCGATTCCCCGCGGTCTTCTCCACACTTGCGAGGAGGGGGCCAGACGAGACCCAAGGGAGCCCAAGCCAAGGAAGGCGGGCAGAGAGGGCCAAGGGCCGAGTCTACCTTTCTTCCTCCTCCCACACCGCACACCACTTTGCAATCAAACTTGTAAGTGCTCTTCGCTCTTTGTCGCCCGCACACGGCAGCCAGCCTCAGGAATACCCCCATTGACTTGCAGGACTTGCGCGTAGCTCACCGCTCTACGCCTACCTCCCCTCTTCCCTTGCTCCCCGCACTTTCGAATGCTCCCTGCTGTTTGTTGGCGTCGACTTCCTGCCTCGGCCCGCTCCTTTACTGCATTCTCCCCCACTATGGCACCCGGCAACTCATCTCCCTCAACATCATCGTCGTCGTCATCATCCTCGACGACGGTGCGACCCTCGTCATCTTCGTCGTTCACACCTTCTTCTCGACCACCGGTATCCGACCTCTCCTTCGGCCCTCAAACGCACCCGCGCCCGACTGCATCGACGCCGACGCTGCCATCGGCTTCCGGCCTGCCTGCCATTCGACGTGTAGAACAAATAGTGCGTGCGCGCCACGATTGCATCGCTTCTCGTCGATCATTCGCTCACCATCATCATTACCCTTCCACATTCGCAGGGTCGCCACATCCACACATCTCCCGCCACGATGTCGAACCCGCAAGAATTCAAGCAGGCCCCTCACAAGCTCCTGGTCATCCCAGGCCCAATCGAGGTAGCAGACGATGTCTTGCTCGCCAATGCCCACCCATCTATGTCGCACGTCTCACCGGATTTCGTCCCTGTCCTCGGCGACTGCATCAGGATGTTCCGCGACTGCCTCCTCGCCCCTGAGGCCCAGCCCGTCATCACGGCTGGCTCCGGCACGCTCGGTTGGGACCATGTAGCAGCAAATGTCATCGAGCCGGGAGAGGAGGCGCTTGTTCTCAATTCGGGCTACTTTGGTGACTCGTTCGCTGAGTGCCTCGAGGTGTACGGCTCAAAGGTGACGCAAATCAAGGCGCCTATCGGCTCCAAGCCCAGCCTGCAAGAGGTCGAGGCAGAGCTCAAGAAGAAGAAGTACAAGGTCCTCACCTTCACTCACGTAGACACCTCCACCGGCGTCCTCTCCGACGCCAAGGGGCTCGGCGAGCTTGTTAAGCGCGTGAGCCCCGAGACCATCCTCGTCCTTGACGGTGTCTGCTCCGTCGCATCGGAAGAGATTCGCATGGACGAGTGGGGAATCGACGTCGTCCTCACCGCCTCGCAGAAGGGTCTCGGCTGCCCTCCCGGCCTTATGCTCCTCGCCGCATCAAAGAAGGCGATCAAGGCCTTTGAGAGCCGCAAGACTCGCCCCAACTCCTACTACGCCAGCTGGGCCAAGTGGATCCCGGTCATGAAGGCTTACGAGGCAGGCACGGGCGCATACTTCGGTACGCCTCCCACCAACCTCCTGTACGCTCTGCACGCTTCGCTCACCAAGATCACAAAGAAGAGCCCCTCGATTGAGGAGCGTTGGGCCATGCACAAGGCCGCTTCTGACCGCATCAAGAACTACGTACAGAAGGAGCTCGGCCTTGACCAACTCGTACAGGACGGCATCAAGGACGGAGCGCACGGAATGACGGCGGTGCGCTACCCCAAGGGATTCAAGGCTGCGGACCTCCTCCCGCGCCTGGTGAAGAGGGACGTAGTCTTTGCTGCTGGTCTGCACAAGGAGTGCAAAGACGAGTACTTCAGGATCGGGGCAATGGGCCAGGTGACGGTTGTTGAGGACGCCAAGAATGGGCAGATTGACCACCTGCTCAAGAGTCTCAAGGAGGCACTCGAGGAGGCCGGGTACAAGAAGTAGTAAGCGCGCTCATGGCACAGTGTACACAAAGTAGCGGCATTTGCCACCCATAATACAATCTTCAGCTCTCCCGAGACATATCTGCTTCATTCCCATGCTCTCGTCATAGTGGCGTCACGTCGTTTGTTTGCGTGAATCATGATCTGATATTGCTGCTACGAATCAACCTCGAACCACACCTCTAGTTGAGGGGCGCAACGTTGACCATCCCCTCGGTATGCTCCATAGGCACCTCCTTGACAAACGCCTCGACACACTGCGCCATCGTCGGGCTCGCCCTGCTCACGGGGTCGGTAGTGTAGAACTTCTCCCTCGTCAGTGCCGCAAGCAACGGCGCACCGCTGATCTTGGCAGCCGTCTTTCCTGAACCACCCAGCGCCTTCATGCCCGCCAAGGCAACCTCTGCCGCCTCGCGGCTGGTGGGCTCAGCGACATCATAGCGAACAAGGGATGGGCTGACCTCGAACATTCGATCCCTGAGGTCGAGGAGATCCTCGTAGGGGAGTGTGGCGCCGCAAACCTCGGACAGGGCACGGATGACCTTCCAGTCTTCCCTTGCCGCGCCGGGGGGAGAGACGGCGGCGCGCGTCTGCTGCGTGCGGCCTTCAGTGTTGACGTAGGTGACGTTCTTCTCTGTGTAGGCTGCAGAGGGGAGGACAACGTCCGCGAGCGATGCGCCAACGTCACCGTGGTGGCCCTGATAGACGACAAAGCTGTCTGCTGGGATGGACTCGGGCGAGACGTCGTCTGCGCCGAGGAGGTAGACGAACTTCGGGTTGGTGGCGTTGTTGCTCGCCTGAATGCCGATGTCGTTAGCTGCCGTACGAGAGGCAGTGCGCTGCAGGAAGTTGAGACCGTTCCACTCCTGAGTGAGCATGCGGTCCTTGTTCTTCTCGACGAGAGTGGCCAAGTCAGAGAGGATGGCCTTGCCGTCTACATGCTCCGCTACACCGCTGCCGACGATGATCATGGGCTTCTTTGCCTTGCCGAAGAGCTTGGCAAACTCGCCCTTTCCAGCAACGAAGTCACGTACAGCTTGCGCATCGCTGCCGACGTGAGCGTAGTCGTAGGTGAGGTCAACCTTCTCCCCGATCAGTCCCACGTCGAGGCCATTGTGGAGGTAGCCCTTGCGAATGCGAGTGTTGACAATGGCGGCCTCGTGGCGAGGGTTGGTACCGACGAGGAGGAGGGCATCTGCCTCCTCAAGGCCGGAGATGGTCGAGTTCATCATGTAGTTGGAGCGGAAGTCCTGCGAGTAGATGGGAGCTGCCGAGTCGACTGCTGGTTGGTCGACGGTGACGTTCTCGGAGCCAAGGCGGTTCATGAGGTCCTTGAGTGCCACCATGGATTCAGCGTCGGCGAGGGAACCGACGACACCCTTGATCTCGTCGCCCTTGGCGCCAGACTGCTCGAGACCCTCAGCAACGGTGGCAAGTGCCTCGGGCCATGAAGCGGGAACGAAGCGGTCGCCCTGCTTGATGAGCGGGGTAGTGAGGCGCTGGTACTTAAGTCCATCTGCGGCGTAGCGGGTCTTATCGTTGATCCACTCCTCGTTGACGTCCTCGTTGAGGCGGGGAAGGACACGCATGACCTGGACGCCTCGCGAGTCGACGCGAATGTTAGACCCAACGGCGTCGAGAACATCGATGGACTCTGACTTCTTGAGCTCCCAAGGTCGAGCGGTGAAGGCGTAGGGCTTTGACGTGAGGGCACCGACGGGACAAAGGTCGATCATGTTGCCCGACATCTCGGAGTTGATGCTGAGTGGACGAGGGGCCAGCGAAGCAAGGTCAGTCTCGTCGTGGTGACATTGATTGAGAGCGTCGCGCGAGCGTACCACTCACCTCTTCTCGACGTATGTGCCAATCTGCAAGTCATTGCCACGTCCCGATGTGCCCAAGTCCTGGACACCAGCAACGTCATTTGCGAATCGCACGCAACGAGTGCACTGAATGCATCTAGTCATAACCGTCTTGACCAATGGTCCCAAGTTCTTGTCCTCCACAGCCCTCTTTCCAGCAACCTCGTGCATCCTTCCCCTGTCAGAGCCATACCTCATCGACTGGTCCTGCAAGTCGCACTCGCCACCCCAATCACAGATGGGGCAGTCGAGCGGGTGGTTGGCGAGGAGGAACTCCATGACTCCTTCACGGGCTTTGGCTACGAGGGGAGAGGTGGTGGAAACTACTTGTCCGGGCTGAACGGGCCAAGCGCATGAGGCAATGGGCTTGGGAGCGCCCTTGGACTCGACGAGGCACATGCGGCAGTTACCGGCGATGAGCAGACGCTCGTGGTAGCAGAAGCGCGGGATCTATGAGAAGGAGGAGAATGGATGAGGTGTGAGGAAGTCTTAAATGCGGCGACAATTTGGGGATAAACGGACTCACCTGAGCACCAGCCTGCTCGCAAGCCTGAATGAGAGCGGTACCCTGGGGCACAGTGACCTCCTTGCCGTCGATGGTGAGGGTGACCATCTTCTTCTCCGGTGCAGGGGTGGCGAGCATTGCTCTTGATGAAGTGGCAAAGCTGCTCGATGCCACACGAGGAGCAGCTACCGCTCTGGCAGCGCTCGTGGATGAGCGCAGAGTGCGAGAGAGCATGATGGGCGCGCGGGTGGCCAAGTGGCGAAGGAGAGCAGACGATGTGGCGATGAAGAGGATGAGAAGGTGACAACAACTGACGACTCTGAGCCGCGATGGCAATTGCTTGCAGCTACTCTAGAGAGTGGTTGCAAGGGGATATCGAAGTGTTGGTGAAGGAGCGGCAACTTGGAGATGTGGCGAGGGTTGGAAGTCGAATCGACGTTCGCTGCTCTCTGGCTCTGGCTCTCTCGCCTCTCTCCCCGCCCTCGCCGCGATTGCCAATCAGGCCCGACTTGACTTCAGCCTCGACGTCGGGATCCGCCTCGTGGCGCGCGCGAAGCCGGGACGCACGGCCAAAGAGGAGGGGCGGCAACGGCCACCAATGGCGAGAAGTACCGTGATCAACGCTCTCAGCATCGAGGACCTTGAAGGGTGGCTGATCGGACAGTCATAATCGCCAATAAGAAAAGACAGAGCTCACGCAGCTTCAGATCACTTCATCATCAACATCATGAGAGCTTCGGCGGTCTCTCGGCTGAACACACACGTAGAAAACGCACGGCCACGCTCACGCCGTCCCAGCTACCTTACGATGAGAAGATCTTACGATTCTCATTTGCCATCGTTTGCACGCACCTCTCGAAAGAGGGACATACAGGCCATGATGGCGAGCCAGAAGACGAGGAGGACTACGAGCACCGAAGAAGGTGATCAAAGCTCCCGGCGCCCAGGTGGAACAAGTGTTACATGAAAGGAGCAAGAGTCAAAGGAGAGCGGGTGATGATGCGATGCTGACGGAGGAGAGAATGCTTTGGCGGGAAAGCGCTGCTGCATTTACTCGGCGTCAATCGTCTCCGTCTGCAGGCCGTGGAAGTCGGTGATGCCGAGGACGGGGGTGACGTAGGTGTAGAGCTTCTCCTTGGCCGCCTCGTCGTCGTTGCGCTTGCCTGTAGAGATGCGGGGAATGGGGAAAAGTCAGTCGGTGGTTCGCGGCAAGGAGAGAAATCGCAGCCAGCAGTCGTCCCCTTGACACTGCATCAGGCTCTCGCTACTGCCAGCCTTGGCCTGACAAGCCAAGCTATGCTAGCCTTGCAGTATACCCTCCAACCATCTCGCGTCACTTTGGTCCCCAGCTTCTCGGCCCATCTCCTGCTGATCCCATCGTCCACCAGAGCAATTGACTTTTGCACGCCTGACGCCTACTCACGCTCAAGACGAACGCGGACCCTCCTGGGAACGTCCTTGACACCGAGCTTCCAGATCTCCTGGTTCATCTTGGGGTCGATGCGAACATCCTTGGTGCCCATTGCCTTCTGCGCAAACTTGATGACCTCCTTGACACCCTTGGGCGCACGCTTCTTGAAGGCGACGTCGTGGACGCGCTTGTGAAGGTGGATGGTGCTGCGCGAGGACGAGTGGTCGAAGGTCAGTTTGAGGTCGGCGACGTAGTCTAAGGTCGTTGGAGGTATGACACTCACTACTCCCTGGTCACGACGTCCTGGAGAGCCGAACGCTGCTTGCGTCCTTCCTTCTTGGTGGGGGCCATTGTTGACTGTGAGAGGGGAGAGGAGGGAGGAGACGCAGATTAGGATCGAATTCTCGACAATGGATGAATGGAAGGCGGTCGAGTCCAGGAGGCTTGAGACGCAGCAGTCGTAGCAGTGGCAGCAGAACACCAAGCATCATGCATCCCTTTGCCCTTCCAGCGACAGAGCTCCCTGCTCAATCTTTCCCATCACCTGCCTATCACGAGAGGCTAGCCCTTCCTTCGCAATCTTCCCGTCCGAGCTAAGTCCTTGCTGCACTCGACTGCCGGCTACGACTGCTGCGATCCTTCTGTACGCCCGCCTGGTACGACTAGCGTATCTCTACGCTTGCATGCCGTACTTACGATGAAGAAGAGGGAGGGGTGATGGTTGAGGAACGAGGTCAAGAGAGCGGAGGCGTGGAGTCGTAGCAGTCGATGAGCACCCAGTCGTTCGTGTGCCCGCGCTCTCTCTCTCTCTGGCCTGGCTCTGGCCTCGCCGACGCTCGCTCTCAAGTCGAGTCTGTCCTTGGGTTGTCGAATTCCTTTGAGCCTGAGCGGGGCGGGACCGCAGATGCTGCACGTGACTTGTCCCGCTCTCTTTCTTCTCTCCTCGACACCACGTGGCTGTCTCACGGCGCGAGCAGGCGGGCGGGCTGCAGCGAGTGAGGGAAGGACGAACTCGCCCTCGTCCGCACCCGCTTTGGCCCTTCGTCCTCACCACCATCACCCCTCCATCCTCAAGACAAGAGTGAGTCGCCGCAATAGCGAGCACTCTTGCACTATTGCAGATCATTGACTTCGTCCATTCTCATCTTTCCCCCTCGCAGTGACCAAGGGTACTACCTCGTTCGGTCTCAGGCAGTGAGTGTCGCCCCCCCTCCTCAGCCATACGCTGCACACTTCATGGCCCCGAGCAATCTCAACTGACTGTCTCGCTCTCCCTCGCCTCCTCTGCCACTCACAGCACGAAGTCGCACACTATCTGCCCCCGATGTGGCAACAGGTCAGCTCACAAGCAGAAGGGCACCTGCGCTAGCTGCGGATACCCCTCGGCCAAGACCCGCTCGTACAACTGGGGTCAGAAGGCAAAGCGCCGCCACACTACGGGCACTGGTCGCATGCGTCATCTTCGCACCGTCCCTCGCAAGGCCAAGAACGGCTTCCAGACCGGTGCTAAGAAGAGCAAGGTCGCCGCCAAGTCGGCGTAAGCTGGTTAGGGTCGCGAGAGGGATAGGAGGAATTGGGTGAAGGCGTAGAGACATTGAGGAGCTCAACAGAGGGTGGGTATTGCTATGCACATTTGATGAGATGCGGTGAATTAGGTTGCGAGGGATTAGCGTCGTCAGCGTAGACAGCGAGATGCGGGGCGATCAGTGTTGCAACACGGGCTATACTCGGCGGTTGGCATCACGGTGAGCAAGCATGAGCAGGCCGCTCAATGCTCCTGTGAGAGTTGACGAGGAATAGCTGGGGCAGTGCAGCAGGGCAACTTTATCATGACCATCGTCACACCATCAGCACATGCTGACCCGACGGCATCCTACTCTTCCCCCATCAGGCTCCATCACGCTCGTCCAACCATCACACCTTCTTCCTCTTCTTCTCCAACACTGATCTGCAAGCATCGAGCTACACACATCATCGTCCATGTCGACCCATCGATGTGCGGGGCATCTTTGGCCATCATCACCTTGTCCCTTGTTCATTCTACATGACCCAATGTACACTTTCACTCGCATACCCTCGCGCGTGAGGAAGAAAAGGAGCGACGAGGAGTCCGGCGGACGAGCGATCGAGCATGGGAAGAGCGATGAGATTCTAGGGTTCAGCATGGCGAGGAGAAAGCTTTGCAGCTACTCGACTAGCCCTGTTGCATTGAAGAGCAGGAGTCACTACGAGACATCGCCTCCCACCCCACACCCCTGCTTCCCCTGCCTTCCTCATCTAATCCCTCTCCCAGACTACCTCCCCCTTCCTGCTTTCCACCTTGATCACGTATTTGAGCGGTAGCACCCCCTTCTCGTCGACGCCTGCAGTCAAAAGAGCGCCATTGCTCGCGAGGTGGAAAGGCACTCCATCACGGAGAGCATTGATGAGGTCGATGTGGATCAGAAGCGGGGAGTTTGGTCTCATGCCTGAGCATGATGGCGACAGATGCGTAGTCAGTATTCGCTTTACTTCCGTTGAAACTCCCCAATGTCGCCTGCCTCCAACGTTACCGCCACGGCCAGCGTGGCTCGCACTCACCACTCCCCACACCTTCGACACCTGGACGTGCCCTCGCCAGGTGGATATGATTTCGCTTCATCCTGCTCAGCCAACCGGACTGCTTGATGAGATCCCATGCTGGCTCAGTGGTCCCATGAAGGATCTCGACGCCGGGTGGGAGACGAGGCTCGCCCTCCTCTTGTGGGCTCGTAGCGCTCTCACTGTCTGTCTTCGCCGTCGGTAATGCGAGTACGTCGAGATTCTGTAGCGTTACAGCTACATGATCCAATTCCTTGACGCTCTCGATCGTATGGCCCTGAATCGCCCTAACGAAGCAGTTGCCGTCGATTTCCCTCATCTCAAATCTCCTCTTCTCCCCAGGCGCCACATCCTCCACTACACGCCTTACATCCTCCAACTTGGGCTCTCTCCTTTTCTTCTTACCGTCCTTGGTGAATTGCCCATTGTCAGGCTCCATGTCTATCTGCTTGACTCGAGAGCGCTTCAAGCACTCGGTGACAGGGATGAAGCCATCGGGTCGGATGGGGAGCTTCTCCTTTTCGGCACCGTGACGGAGCAGGTAGGAGAGGGCTCGACTGAGTTGAGTGAGAGGTGGTTGAGATGCCGGAGATTTGGGATGCGGCGATTTGGAGGACTTTGCGGGTTTGGAGGGCTTTGATGAGGAGGAGGGCGAGGAGGACGAGGGAGTGGGAGCAGGTGGAACGGAGCTGAGGCTGATGCTATCGAGACGGTTGTTGAGCGATGACGGGTCGGACTGAGAGTCTACTCCTGGTGCCGTCGCTTTTATCTGTGCTCCTTGCACTTCTTCTGACGCCATCTTGATGCTCTTGTGAGGGATGGTGCTGCTGAGGAAGGATTGGAATCAAAGTCCCCGGCGGCGGCAGCGGCGGCGGCGGCGGCGGAAAGGGACTTGGTCGATTTCAAAATTGAACTCGAGGTCAGTGCTCCACGGCCGTGTTGTGTTGCTCTCACCTCCTGACTTGCTTGTCACTCGCCTTCTGTCAAGCTCGCCCGCCATGGGCAAGCAAGGCAAGCAGGTCGATACCGCTGCGGGCCCATCCCATCCGCCAGCTGAAGCATCGTCTTCGTCGTATGATCTGGGCACCTACCCGCCGGTGGAGCTGTACGCTGCTTCGCCTGAAAAGGCCGTCAGGCAACGTACCAGGACACGCACAATAGAAGGCAGCCGCAAGGGCGATGAGGACGACGACGAGAACTCACGTCCACTCAGCAAGACCTACGATGATGACATGACTGATGATGATATCCCAAGAGCACGACGCAGTACTGCTATACCTCGCCCTCCTTCCTTTGCGCAATCCCAATTCGCAACCATCGTTCGACGCCAGAGGAAACGACGCCTCTTCACCCCTCACGACGACGAGCACCACGCCGGCTCAGATGGCCAACATCATCACCATGCCGACGTCGAGTCAGGCTGGCAAGGCTCGACGCTCAAAATGGGGCGAAGCAGGACAGAGGGACCAGCAAGGGCCGCCCCACTCAACGACTACGACTTTGCGGGCTGGGGCAGCATGGCGATGCTTGATATCACCGAGGATCAATGGAAACGGGCTGAGCATCGGGTACGCCAACGGCGCAATCGCCCGAGACTAGGCCAATTGAGAGCAATGGCCATTGCAGGCAACGCCGTCACGGGCAGCATCTTCTACGCTCTCCCCTCCGTCTTTGCCGTTGCTGGCGTGTGGACACCCGTCTGTCTCGTCCTCGCGGCCCTCCTAATGATCCCGACCCTCATCGTCATCCATGCACTGGCTCAAACGCTCAGCTGTGGGAGTAATGCTGCTTCTTACTCGTACATTCTCAACGTCTGCAGCAGCCGGACCTTGGCCCTCGTAGCCGGAGCGATCACGTTGCTGGACGCAGTAAGCACCGGAGCTGTATCAGCAAGCACGGCTGCCTCGTACGCTTCAAGTGAAGCAGGCCAGCGGCTCTCGGGCACAGCATTCACTCTCATCTTCCTCGTCGCCCTCACTGCAGTCGGTCTACTCGGGCTGCGTGACAGCTCCACGACGGCCCTCTCCATCTATTCATTCCACAATGCAGCAATGCTCGCTCTCCTCGTTGCAGGCTGCATCGCCTGGGGCCGACAAGGAAGTGCAATCCTGATCGGCAACTGGGTCTCTCCCTCGCCCAACGGCAAGTCAACAGCGCGAGCCTTGTTCGACGGCACAGTGGTCGCTTTCGTCGGTCTCACAGGATTCGAGACTACGGTCAGCTATGCAGCCTCCGTTGCCTCAGGCTCATTCAGCAAGGCTCTCCGTAACATCTGGCTCAGCGTAGCACTACTGGAGGCGCCGATGGCCCTGCTGGTCCTAGCCGTCGTTCCGCTCAAGCAGATTCAATCATCAAACGACGTCCTCGCTCTCCTGGCGTCCGTTGCAGGGGGAAAGGGACTACACATCTACATCACGGTGGATGCAGCTGTCGTGCTCTGCGGTGGGGTGCTGACGGGCGCCATATCGTGTGCAGGACTGTTGCTAGCTATGTGCGCCGATGGCACTCTGCCGCGCTGGTTGGCAGGTACGCTGAAGAGGACGGGAGCGCCCGTATGGTGCTTGACTGCCTACTTGGGTTTATGCATCATCGTTTGCGCTACGGCAGGTTTCGACCAGTTGACTTTATCGAGCATATGTGAGTGCTGAGGTGCCAAGTGGCAAGACTGGCCATTGCGCTCACTGACGCATTTCTTTAATCCTCTCGACCCGCACGCGCAGTCTCCCTCGCTTTCCTCGCGGTCCTAACCCTCTTCGGCCTCTCCTCCCTCCTAGCCTTCCACTCACGGCCGCTCCTCTTCTCCTCCCGCTCCACCCCGCGGCCCTTACCACCACGCATCGTTCTCCTCTCACTCTGCATCACAATTGTTGCCTTGGCTGGGAACGTGGCCCTCTCGCCTCTCGCGCTCGCCCAAGCGGCAGCGTACGCAGGCGTGATTGCCGTGCTGCTGCTGGCATGGGCGAACAGGGTGCCGCTGCTGCATTTCATCGGGGTCTGGGCGCCGAGCGTACTGTTCGCTGACGGTGGAGTGGGCACGGGGAATGGACACGATGCTGACGATGGCGAGCTTGTGGTCAGGAAGGCGAGCAAAGACAATAGAGGCTTGGCGGCGTGGATCGTCAGGCGGTCCAAAGCTTGGGTCGCGAGACAGAGAAGGGAGAATCGTGCTATCGTGAGTTGCCCGGCCCCGTCCCGCTCATCCTCCTCTTACCCTTCACTCACCCTATCTCTCTCTCCTCCGTTGCGCAGTTCCTCACATCAACCGACTCACTCCCTCATCTCCTACAAGCTCTCCTTTACCTCTCTCGAAACGAGCCCTCCGTCGGCCATCTCACTCTCGCGCACTGCTACCGCTCCGTGGACGCGATCCCTGCAGAGCTGGAGGCGAACCATCAGCTGGTGGACGAGGCTTTCCCGCACATCACGGTGGACTTGGTCTTCTTTGATGGGGCGAGGAGCAGGAGAGGCGCCCGGACAGGGGAGGATGCGGAGGAGATGATGGTGGAAGACGGGGAAAGCCAGGAAAAGGGAGGATGGGGAGCTGAAGCGCTCGAAGCGCTGATGATCGCTATGAGTGAGGCGGAACAGGCTATCAAGACTGGCGGAGGGACGACTGCAGTCGGCGACGATGCTTCTGGCCAGCCTTCAGCAGCCCCGCCGATGATCAGTGCAGCTGAGGCCAAAATTCGCAGCCGGGTCTTCATCGGTTGCCCGTCTCCCTCCCCTGCAGGTGGGACAAACTTGCTCAGCGATGTGGGCGAAGGGGTGCGCATCATCCTCGACTGAGGCGCCAACGACCGATCAAGTGTCCACGACTCGTTCTTGCTAATATCTCTGATGAATAATACCATGCCACGTCCAGCGTCTAGATGTATATGACAGCGTGTGGGATACGAGTGAGGCGATACGGCGATGCAAGCAGGACGGCGCGTACGGAAGCGATGCAGCAAGATAATGCGAGGTGCCCGTATGGCTACGGTCCGTCTGCCTGCTTCTTCGCCTGCGCATCAGCATGAGCCGCCTGTAACATCAAGTCGCGCCCATCATCCTTGACGCCCACACCTGCTCCCACTCCCGCCGCGTTGCTCGTAGCAGCAGCAGCAGCCGTCAATGGCGAAAGTGGCTTCCCCTCCTCACCATCGCCATCGCCATTCGCAGTCGCCAGATCCTTCTTTGCCTCAGCAGCTGCTGCTGCCGCTGCTGCCGCCTTGGCGGCCGCAGCTCCTCCTGCCTCTTTGACTTCCTGCTTCCTCCTCCTCTCAGCGTATCCCTCAGGCAAGAAACCCGGCGCCTCCTCTTCTCCCCTCTCAACGCGATCCAACGTCTTGCAGAGATCGTAGTTGATCTCCTGATTGACCACCGAGTCCCCCTTGTACGCAGGATGGGAGCGAATGTATCGCCGTATCCAGGTAGCGGCAGTCACGAGTGTCCCATTGGCGCGGGCCGAGACGAGGGAGAGGTATGCGTCCATCTCTGCGCGTGTAGAGACGTCGATGTCCAAGGCGTCGAGGTAGGAGGAAACTAGCGGTACCAGGCCAGGGAAGCTGCTAGAGCTCGAAGACGAGGATGAAGAAGATGCTCCATCCTCATTTGCATCGTCGGCTGGCGCTGACTTGCCATTGATGAGCTCGTTGATGGTAAACTCGTCGTACTCCTCCTCCACGGGCGGCAGCCACGGTGCTGGTGAGGCGGCTCGTGAGCCTGAGGGCGTGGGGTATCGTCCCTCAAAGAAGCGGGCAGGGCCGTTTGATCCTCCAGCAGCCGCAGCCGACCCGCCACTTGTGGGACCATTACCATTCACCGACGGCTCCCGTGAATGCGCTGCACTCCTTGCCGCTGAATGCCTCTCACGTGTCCTGTAGACATCCTTTCTAAAGTAGAACTTCTCCTGCCCAACCGCATCCCTCTTCTGTGCCCTCAACATATTGACATCTACCTTGGAGATCGGCATGTAGAAGTTGAGCCTGAAACTCAGAATGGCCCTCGTGAGTAGCACCACAAAGACGCTGAATGCCGCATTCTCAAAGTCGGTCACCTGAACCTCCATGCTGCGGACCTCGACACGCCAGCCGATCTTGTCGCCCAGCGGTGGTGGCTTAAAGCGCATGGTCTGCCAATTGGTCGACTGAATGTTCTCGAAGTGGTCCATGGAAGACGAATCGTCCTGATCGACCATTTCGGAGAAGATGACGAGGGGGTCGCGGATGAAGAGGTGGGCGAAGTGAGAGGAGAGGACGGGATCCATTCCGGCTTCTTCGAGGCGGGCTCGAACGCTGTGAGCGGGCCAAAAGCAGGCCGAGGTGTGATCAGTAAGGGAAAACATGACTGAAAGTCGTCCTCGCGGCCACGAACTCACCCCTCGTCCACCGGGAACGGGTTGTCACTATATTCCGGCCTGTTGGCCGACTCAAGCGAGAGGTACGAGTCGACCGAGTCGTATCTGCTCTTGTTCATCCTCATCCTGGTGCCATTCTTGTTCCCCTCGAGCGGCTTCAAACCCCTCTCCTCTGGCGTACGATCATCCACCGCACCAGAGATGACGCTCCATCTCGCATCTACATCGGCGAGGTAGCCCCGATACGCAGGTGATGCAGCGGTGAGAGCGAGAATGATGGGTGTGACGGGCACAAGCTGGTCGTAAATCGCGCGAGCTTCGTGGATTGAGCAGGCTTGGAATGTGACCTGCAAACAGCAGCACCCCATGCCGAAGCCCATCGAGTCCATGTAGATGTGGTCTGGCTTGGCTGCCCCTTCTTTTGCCTCTGAGTCGCCGGGAAAGAGGTTCCGGTCCCACGGGATCGTTGGATCAATGAAAGGCTGCGGTGTCTTCTCGTCGACAAAGATGGGCAGATTGATGGCTACCTTGCTCCCTTTGCGCTTGCGAATGTTGGCCGTTAGTGTGGGGAAGCGCGCGTGTTGGTTGATGATGTCGTCAGGGAGGAAGAGGGACTGGCTGGCCTTGCCATTGGGTACGAGAGTGGGGTCATCGAGGAAGACGCCGTCCGTCACACCTAAGCGTGGGAAGCTGGTGAGGGTGAGAGGCACCTCGTTTGGCTTGAGGTGACGACGTGCGATTCGCCTGCGCATACGCATGTTGCGCTCCACCGCGGAGAGCTCCTTTGGGCTAGCACCATATGGTGCCCCTGGTGTGCTCTCGAGCATATAGCGCCCGTACTCTGGGTGGAAGGTAGGGATTTGATCCTCAAGGCCATCCTGGATCTTCTCGCAGCTATCGGCGTGGCTTTCTGCCAAAACTTTGAGGATCTCGCCCTGACGGAGACTCAAAGTGGCATTCTTGGTCTCCTCGTCGAAACAGACGACGATGTACTCAAGCTCGTCTCCCCAGAGTACTCTATCCCCTCTACGGTCTCTGACCTTGTACCAGAGAGAGAGGAGCTGCTCGATTCCATGCTTGCGGACGTGCGAGGCTAGCGCCTGTGTCTCTGGCCAGTCAAGAGGCGTGCCCAGCGAGAGGAGGCCCATGGCAGCGCCAAGAGTGAGGAGACGAGGGTACGAGGCCAAATAGCGCAGTCAGAGAAGTCTGACGCTCAACGCTGGCCTAGGTGAGAGGAGGATGCGGGGTAGGGAGCTTCGAGGGCGTTGGCAAGGATTACGAAGTGTGGTTCACAATCAATCCCCATTTCCTCTGGCGTCACTTCGCCCTTCGCGTCTGTCCGCTCAGCGCCCCGTCGGCTCATTGATTCCTCAAGGCCGAAGCCGCCGCGGCCGTAGCGCCGGGCAGCATGGTAAGCGGCAGATAGAGCCCAGCAACGCAACTGCGGGGATGATCGATGCACTCGCAATGTGTTTGGTGATCATCATCAACTCATCAGTAGAATGCAGATGCGCCGCAGTCGCGGGCTCATTCTCGGCGAGTCATTTGGAGGCTCTCCCAGCTAGCAGCCATGGCTCGCCGTCGACGGGCCTGTCCATGACGTCTTGACAAGTGGCCTCCTTTGATGTTGAGCTCAATCGTACATCATCGCCTCCTGTAGATCGTTGCCATCCCCGCCGTATCTTGAGCACTCGATCACGCTATCATGGCCTGTCTCAGGATCGGCTGACCCACGGTCGTAATGACCTCCACGCGAATCCTCGATTCGGCCTTTGGACAAGCAGCCGGATGAAGCATTGACCCAGGACCTCTCCCGTCTGGCTCACCCGTCCCTCCTAGTCATCACTCAACACCACACGTTCGATCACAATGGCTCATCTCCCGAAAGACGACCTTTCTCAAGTGCCTGATATCGCTCCTGTCCAGCTATTGGTCCATATTCAGCCCAAAGCCGGCAAAGAGGACGAGGTGGCCTCTCATCTGGCCAAGATCCAAGCCAAGGCCAACTCGGACGATGAGCCCGACACGACCGTGTACCGCGTGAGCAAGTCGGTCCAGGGCCCTGTCACTTTCATTGTTTACGAGGAGTACAAGACCAAAGCGGGTATGAAGCATCATACCGAGCAGGAGGAGTTCAAGGCCTTCTTTGCCAAGGCGGGAGAGTTGCTCGAGTTGATTCATCCTAGGTGGTAAGTTGGTGCCGTTACCTCCACTTCACAAGGATACTGACACCTCTCCATCTTCTCAGGTTCACCAAGCTCTGAAAGAAAGACTGACGTGCGACGGAGAGCACCGCAATTCATACTAAATCCTATGGCTTCTTCATAAATACGATTTCATCATCTTTGCAAGCATCTCGGAGCCTTTCACGTCGAACCAGCGTCGCCGAGTCATTGAGAGCATCACGACGCGAGCCCGCACAGAGATCGTCCGTTTCCAACTCTTTGCTCTGCTCTTCTTACGTTGCAACCCCATTCTACTCCTCGAACACCTTCTCCGTCCTCTGCTTATCACTCGCATCGGCTTGTGACTTGAGCCATCTGCTTCTCGGCTCGATACCGGCATTGCCTGATCCCTTGACACTTTGCTGTCCCCCCCCCCCCCCCCCCCCCCCCTCGCTTCCTTTCTTGCCTCCTAGCCTTCCCATTGAGATCAAGGCTCAAGCCAGCAAAGACTGCAAGCTCCTCAATCGAAGTTACAAGCATGACCATTCCCACGGCTCAAGATGGCACCAGTGCGGCAGCTCAATCGAGGAGCTCCTCCGACCTGATCCTCGTCGAGGCCACTCGAGAGCAACACCTAGCGGTACGCGCAGCGATCTACCGAGACCACCAGCATTGGAGGCGCGGCCGGGCTGAGGAAGACTACTGGATTGCTGAGGAGACGATGACTGGGGCAAAGCTTGCTGAGAGGAGGGCGTGGTAAGTAATGGCGAGGGAGAATGTACGGAGATGTAGGACCAAAGGCTGACGCGACATGATGGTCTGTATGGGCGCGCAGGGTGCTCGTGCCACAGGATGACCGGACCACTTTGGATTTCAGATGCACTTCGTTGACGGTGAGCTCTAAGCGCTGAGCTGATGAAGTGCAGATGACGTTTGCTGACCATGCTGGTCCGGCCTCATACAGTTTCGTTTCGAAGGCCTCGTCGCCTACCCTTCCTCGTCCACTAGCTCCCATCCGACCGTCAACCCATCTCCAATCTACCTCATCGGGGGAGTCTTCACCCCCTCGCCTCACCGTGGTCTCGGCCTTGGCGGAGTCATGATGCGTCTCCTCCACGAGAAGCTTCGCCCGCTTGGCTCGCCCCCACACTCCTTCATCAGCAAAGCCGCCGCAGCTACAGCTGTCTCTCCGGTTACACCACGAGCTGATGGGAGCCATTACGGGAACGACGCGATCTGTAGCGTACTCTGGAGTGACATCGGGACTTGGTATGAACGTAATGGTGCTTACAAGATCAGGACATGGAGCGATACGCTCATCTCGACTCTCCCTGCGGACGCACCGCTGGAGGGCGAGGAAGACATCGATTACATTCGCCCTGAAGTCATCCCACAACGATTCGCCTCATTAGCAGAAGATGACGGTCGTCTGATCGCTGCCGAGCTGGAGCAGCTGGCTACCACGGCTACCGGTCCAATAGTCTCCCTCGTCTCCAACAAGGGAGAAAGCTGGCGCTACTCTGCCTTGCAATGTCAGCTGCAAGTCCGATTTCAGCATAGAGCAATGCCGCAGACGTGGGGGTGTCAGCTGCGCGAATCCTCCGTCTCTTCGTGGGCCGTGTGGGCCTATGACCTCAAACCGCTCACCTCTGGCCTTCCATCATCCCTCAACGTCCTCCGACATCGTGCTAGCAGCGCCGAGGCCCTGTACCGGTTGCTACAGGCCGCACGCAAGGCCGCGAGCGCTGTAGATGGGTGCGATAGGGTAATGGTGTGGAACATCGAGGACAACTCATCGAGTAGCTCACAGTACTGGCCGGAGGTCAAAGCTCGCCTCGAAGGTGAGGGGGGAGCGAAGCTTTGGACCCAGGACAGGTTCTCAAAGCCGGCTTTGGCGTGGTACCGCCAGGAGGGGGACAATGCTGTGGTCAGATCAGAAGATGCGGAAGCCGTGAGATGGATCAATGCTGAGGTTGGGTATTGCTTGGCGACGTAAAGAGGCGGAAGCGCTGAACAGGGCTGTATACCACGGCAATCTAATGGCGCCTACTCCTCAGCCGACCAGCAGCTTGGATGAAGTCGTTGAGCTGATGAGTGTACGAGGTCCGTCAATCTGGACGTCCACGGGCATCCATGTCGAGTCTCCAAGCTGCCGTGTGAGATCGTGGTCGCAGTATGCAGCTGCGGCAGCGTCACAGGCCTGCATCAGTCTCTTCATCCGCACAGCAATGTCATCCCGCCGCACTCACAGAATCGATCGCCCGTGAAGACGGTGTATATGAGAGGCTCGTCATCAGGCAGGTCCGGCCTTTGATCCCGACTTGTGACCTTCTGCGGGTCGGTGTGCCTAGGGTTGGCGTCAAGTGCGCGAAGGAAGATGGTCGGCAGTTTCGCGGAAGCGCCAGCTTTGACCGCGAGCCCGCTGGTCCCTTCATCTGGCTGCTGCTGCGGTGGGGGCGTGCTTCCCGACGTCGCTACTGATTGACCATGTGTAGTCGTCGCTGTCTCACCCACCACTGCGCTGGTGCTGAGCGGCCGTGACCAGATAGCCGCCACTCGCCATCCCGACAGGGAAAGCGAAGTAGGATACGTCTGCGGCGAGCTCAGCGAGCACTTGTGCATGTGCGCCCTAACCCACTGGCTGTCCAGGGTCAGATACGAGCTGCCGAAGACGGCCAAGGCTTGCTGCGGGAAGAGTATATCCGCAAAGGAGCGCAGGTCGGCCATCCATACGTAACCCTCTATGCACACCGCCACGGCGGCATTCTGGTCACGCTGCGTCCACCGTTTGCCAAGCCCGGTCTTGATGTACGAGTACCGCTCCGTGGCCGGTCGGGCTCTAATAGGCAGCTGAATCTCTGCCACGCGAGCTTCGCCATCCTGAGACTGCTGGTCCCAGCGGTAGAACTCAATGCTGCTTCCCCAGTCCCGCGCGTGCTCGCTGCTTGCTGGGTGGCTGAGCACGGCGATGACGGAGAGGCCAAGTAGGTGGGCGGACAGGACTGGCGAGTGGGAAGGTGGACGTGACCAGACGTGCGGCCAGGAGGAGGCGGATGAAGGTGACTGGGATCGGGAGATTGATGCAGAGGCAGTGGGAGCTGCCGTTCGGGCTCGCTTATGCCTGTCGCTGGTGGCCGCGCTCGACGGCCCCATCCCCGCTGCCCAACGAAAGACGTCTGCGCTATCACCTGCCCGCAGCAGGACATGCGAACCCAGGACTTCGACTGTAAGATCCTCCGATGGAATGCAAGCGCGATGCAGCTGATGGCGTGGCTGCCGTGACGAGGCGGCGGGGTGCGGCTGGCCGGTTGCCAAGTCGTAGACAGCGAGTGTCAGCTGGTGCAGCGGCCTCCGCCGTGGTAGCACTGACCACCCTTGTGCGTGCTGAGCGTCGTCTTCGTTGTTGCTTGCTTCTGATCCCTGCTCATGCACGTGGTCATCACTTTCGATCGAAGTCGCATGCACCAAGATCGCCACTCCCTCGTCCACATCAACGTCCCACGCCATAATAGCTTCTTCGCATCTCACCGCCACGTCTGCATCATTGCCCTCCTCCTCATGCCACTTCTCTGAGTTCCAGATGTCTAGCTTCCTCCCCGACCTGCTAAGCGCAGCCACCTTTCTCCCTCCAACACAAAGACGCGGCCAGAAGTAATCGACGGGCAACCGCCACCACTCAGCTTCTGGGTCACCAACCACAGGAACAGGATTCAGGTCACTCTCGTGTTGCCGTGACTGTACGAAGGGAGCAGCAATGTTGATGCGGCCAGGCCATCTTGACTGAGAAAGAAGCGATGTCTCGCGGTCGATGTCTGATGTTGAGGCCGAGTTGGAAGATGAGAAGGCAGCATCTGGCAGCCGAGGAGGATGAGGGAAGCTATGCCTGTCGAGGAACGTCAGGTAGCGGACTGCCTTGCCTGCTGGGGAGGTGTAGAAGGATTTGCACGTCTGTGGAGAGCAGTGGTGCAGGCGGGGTCAGCCACGACGGGGCTGTTCATCAACTTGCGGTCGACGGCTCACCTGGACGAGGCAAAGCGCACTCTCAGCATCGCCATCGTACGCCAAGAAGGCGATGCTCGTCCAGAGCTCCACTGGTAGATCTTGGAGGGCGCTACATTTCGGCATGGGCTCTGACTGGTCAGCGGAGGCTACTGCCATGATCGACGTTCTCGAAGAAGGGAAGATAAGAGGAGAAACAGGTCCCAGATTGGACGGCCAAAGAGTGTTAATCTCGTCTGCACGGCCTCGGCGTCTTTCTTGCCGCCTTGGGGCCGCCGCACCACGCGACATTGTTGCCGTTGACTCGAACGCGGGGGTGGAGGTATGCATGACTTCTGACAGCGTGGTAGCCACAGGCCTTCACGAGGCCTTCATTCGTATTTGCATTCGTTTCTTCAATTGTTCAAGCCTTGATTGGCACGAGACGCGGGACAGTGAGATAGACAACGTAAAGAACATAAGACACGACAACGACGATGGTGATGATGTGGGAAGAGGCAAGCGGGGGCTGATGAGTGGTTGTGAAGCCGGTGAAGAGTGAAGATGAAGAGAGACCAGATGATTGTGAACAGAGTCGAGTACCCAGTGAGCGAGTGCGGACGAGGTGAATGTAAGCTTGATGCTTTAGTACGACCCTTGCCCTCTACCTGCAGGTGGAGATTGATGCTGCATCAAGCTCCTTCGCTTGTTCTTTGCCATCTCCTTCTTCAGAGCTGCTCCGTCAAGGGGCTTGAGCAGCTCAAAGGCGCAAAGCAGGTCCTCTGATACGCTCATCACAGCGCCGAAGTTATCGAATTCTGTGCGCGAGAGGCAGCAATATTGATACGGGTCAGCAACTCCACCTCGAGTTCCTCGTATTCGCAGCGGGAAGTACTCACCTCCGCAGTAATTCGGCGCACTGAAAATTGTCACCAACGTCCTCTCGTTCCAGAACTCGTACCCATCCTCAACAACCATATGTGCCCTACAGATCAAGTCAAAGTCGTATTGCGCCAGGAATTGCTGAATCACCGCCTTGCCGAAGCAGTAGCTGACCCCACGCTCGTTGTCCTCCCAGTCGAGCGCCGTGTCCGAGGGATCGCTCCAGAGCAGGTCATTGAGCAAGCCATAGTCGGGCACGTCGGTCGGGCGCTCGATGCGGCGGATGTCATCCATGTTGGACAGGGAGGGTGAAAGGCCGCCATGCACGCAGAAGATCTTGGAGGCTACTACGGCCGCGATGGGGAGAGTGTTGAAAACGTCGATGAAAGTCTTCCAGATCTTGATGTTCACGCGGCGTTTGCATTCGTCGTAGAAGCCATAAACTGGGCAGGCGCGAACGGAGGGAGAAGCGTGAAGGCGTCAGAGAATGGTATCGCTGAGGCTTGATGACGGGATCGTCTTTTGCTCACCTCGCGTTACATTGGCACACTCGTGGTTGCCGCGAAGAAGGAAGAAGTTCTCCGGGTACTTGATCTTGTAGCAAAGGAGCAAGAGGATGCTGAATGGGCGTAACGCCAGATGTCAGCTTATCATTCGCGCTTCTGCCCTTCGCCCTCGTTTGCTCCCTCTCTGTCGCACTCACGTCTCAAGACTCTGCTTCCCTCGATCAACGTAGTCGCCCAAGAAGAGATAATTCGCACTCGGCGGGAAGCCGCACATCTCAAAGAGCCTGAGCAGATCCTGGTACTGCCCATGCGTGTCTCCCACAATCTTGACCGGAGGACTGAGCTCGATGAGCGTAGGCTGCGAGAGGAAGACCTCACGCGCCGCTTGGCAAACAGCTGTAATCTCTGCATTCTTGAGGGCTGGCTTGGGAATTTTGCCTGCGTAGCCTGCCTCGAGAAGACGAGAGATCATGTCGTCGATGTCGAATGTACGTACCCCGTCGGCATAGCTGCCGCTCTGGCTGGCGCTGGACTGCATGCTGCGTGGCCCTCCTGCGCTACCTGGCACGCCGCCGCCTGCACCGCCCAGGCTGCTGGACGAGCCTCCGGGAGGGTTGGCGAGGATGGTGTGTGTGGTGGGAATGCCCGGCGCTGAATTGGCTGCGGCTGATGCTGCTTGTACGGCGGGCGAGGTGCCGCTGTCGTATTGCCCATCGCTACGCTGATAAGGACTGCCTGCTGCTCCGCTACTTCCATCTGCGAGACCATTGCCGCTGCTGCCATTAGCGTCGCTCGCCTCAGAGAGAGGGTTGCGCGATGAGCCTGGAGGTGAAGGCAGCGGGGACTGATGTCTTGTGACTCCCCCCTTCTTCTCGATCTTCTGCGATGACCCGCTGTCGGTAGGAATGCGCCGCGACCTGCTGCTGCTCGATCCTCCAGCTCCATTCTCTGCGTCTCCAGCAGTGTGAACCTTGCTACTACCTCCTGCGCCGCCACGCCCATAATCGGACGGCTGGCCGAACTCGTCTGCCTCGTCGTCGCCTCCGCTCGTGCCGCTGAGCGAAGACTTGGACTTGCTCTTCTTGCTCGACCCTCCCATCATCTTTCCCAGTGACTTGAACATGCTGCCTTGATGCTACGATGAAGCCGAAGAGATGGGAATGATAGAGAGGGGTCAGCCAGGCGGGTCGTGCGTGCGTGTATGCTGGCACGCGGTGGACCGGGGCTCGAGTGTCTCACCAGGAACGGTTGTTTGCGGAGGCGGGGAAGACGTTTGAAGCTGAGACAGGGTTGGTGGAGGATGGTGTGATGGTCTCGCTTGGGATCCTTCGACGTCGACCTCGTATTTCAGAGGAATATGATGACAGCGAGCGTGGAGAAGAGGAGAGGGAAAGAGGCCTGCAGCTGAGTCCGTTGCCTTGTCGTGTTGGAGGGATCGCAGCACCGACTGGCTGGCTGACACGCCTCGGCGGGTGGGTTACTCCGGCGAAGAGTCGACGAGGAGATGGAGCAGAACACGAAGGGAGCGTGTGCGAGGTCGATGTTTGGCAGTAGTCGTACCAGGTTGGTGGAGATGGGAAGCAAGCCAGACTAGTCGGTAGTCGTGCGTGTGTGTGCGTCGAGGCAGGCCCCCCCTCGCTCGACTGGTCCATGTCAATCGATGGTCGGCCCGCTGCCGCGCCTCGCTGCTCGACACTCCTCTCAACGCTCAGCTCGGAGCCTCGTCGTCAAGGCGTCTCCTCTCGTGCCGCCCGCCTCCCCGCTCCGCCCTGTCTCTCCCCGCCAAGTGCGCCCACGTCTCAGGGCGCTGGCGGGGCGATTTTCCCGAGCTGTGAGCGCTCAGCTCACTCACGCCGCCGCCGACGACGCCTTATCCTCAAGCCGAGCCGGTCATCAAGCTCGTCGACACCTTCAGGCGTGCTCACGATACCATCGTCAGTATCACAGCTTCTTGCACATGCCGAGCATCGTGAACAACACGCGCCAGTTGCATGCTTGCTGCGCGTAACAGCCCCAAGCCCAGTGCTGAGCCGGCTGCACAATCACGCGGCCCGGCGCCGTCAAACGCAGATTCACGATCTGGTCATTGTGTCCAAGGAGCATGCATTGCGAGATCCAAGATAGCAGCGAGCAACATGGTTCGCACAAGCTCTCTGCTCAGACTTCGCCCTCCCCGGCAAGGCTCTCACCAATCGCCCACGCCCCTGCTTACCTCCCACTCTCTCCACCTCGCTCTCGTTCCTTTCCCTAACTCTCACTTAGACGTCTTCGCCTTCTGTCCCTTGAGGTGGCACTTCTCTCCGGCATATACCAGACCCGACCCGCTCTTGACAACTGCACAGTTGGCCGGGGTGACAACGGTTTTGGCACCACGTCGCTCATGCATGGCTACCAGCGCCGACGGGATGCCGTTGAGGCTACGGCGGTTGGGAGTGCAATAGCAGTTGCAGACGCACGCGCCACACTGCCCGCCACCGCCGCCACTCGGGCCTCGGGCGTCCAGTAGGGAGCGCTTACCTCCCTGACCGCCTCCCTGCTGACCTCTCGAGGAGCCTTGGCCGTTGTGATCCTGGTGATTGCTCTGTTGGTTGCCACCGCCGCCACTTTTGCCTTGGCCTTGACCTTGACCACTTTGCTTGCCCTGCTTGCCTTGCTGGCTCTTCTGCGCATCACCTCCCTGCTTCTTCTGGTCTCCCTTCGGGTGGGACTTCAAATATTGCTGATACGCCTCGTCATCGTCGCCGTCATCGTCATCGGAAGGCACTGTGCAGCGCACATCGTCACCCAGTTGAAGATTGGTGTTCTCCTGGACGTTGCCCCCGGCGGTGACGTTGGACATGCCGCCGTTGCCATTAGCACCCCTTGAGTTGTCGTTGTGACTGTCCTGGGAGTTGTTGTCGTGGCTGTCATTCGACTTGTCGACGCGGTTGTCCTGCGTGGTGACATTGGCCCCGCCCAAAGGCCGTGTGATTCCTATTCTCGCGAAGGGAAGGGAGGGCTTGGCACCTGGCAACGTAGACGGTCCACCTGCCGGCGCCGACGACGTGGACGAAGGAGGCGGCGGGCCACCCGAGGACGTCGGGGGAGGACCGCCCGACGAAGGAGGTGGTGGAGGCGGGGTCGACGAGGGAGGAGGCGGAGGCTGAGTTGTCGGAGGAGGACCAGCGGGGCCCGAGGCGGGAGGGGGCGGAGGTGGAGCAGGATCGTCGCGTCTGTGATGTGCATCGCCAGCTTGGGCTGCCATGAGCGCCGCAGCCGCTTTGGGAGATGTAGCAAATATACTGAGAAAGTCGGAGAGGGGCGCGGGAGGAGGACCACCTGAAGAAGGAGGGGGTGTGGGTGGAGTCGCGGAGGAAAGAGGCACGCTGGTGCCCGAGACGCTTGAAGCCGGAGGGTGAGCAGAGGACTCGTTGGGCTTTTTGGATCCGACTTTCCGTGTGTCGCCGTCGCACTGGCAAGCCTTCGGCAAGGCATAACGTCGTTCTGGATCCACTCTTTCGAGCAAGCCAGACCTTCGAGTTTTCAAATCGGCTTTATGTGTCTCTTCTGGTTTGTCCTTGCATGAACAAGGAGGCCCCGTCACCACAAGCCGTCGCACAAATTCGGCGTGTGCCGCGTTCGCTGGAATGGCGGGCGGTTGCAGGCTTCGTCGATTGTTAGCGGATGGCGGAGATCCAAAGCTGTTCTGCACCTGCTGGCCAGAGTTGACCTGGATCGGGTGGTTTGCATTGTTTGTGGTTCCAGAGGTATGAGTGCTGGACTCGGTCTTAGTATCGCCGCCGCCGCCGCCGCCGCCCATCCCGGGCATCATGCCACCGCCCATCATGCCCGCAAGGTTGAAAAGCAGCTGAGGGGGAAGCTCCCTTTTCTGCTGATCAGGCGCCTTCGCACTATCAATGCCTGCATCCGTAGGCTGACCAGGGGGAGAGCCTGCACTAGCACCTCCCTGCTCGCCAATCCCCCCCGCTGAAGCCATGATGTAGGCCATGCCCATGGGGTCCACCTTGTTATTGTTGCCGGCTGAGGGCACCTGAGGGATGGCCCCGAAAGAGTTGACGATGCGTTGGCCGCTGTCGACGGAAATTGGATGGTTTGAACCATCGACGACGCCGGATGAGTGTTGACTTTGATCCACCTTGGAACCACGGCGGTCGATCGGGATCCCAGACGAGAGAGATGCCGCAACGAAGATGGTAAGAAGAGCCCACGAGCGAACCATGTTGAGCGATGAGAGAAGGCAGTGAAAGAGTCGAGTGGGTAGATCAGAGGAGTTGCGTGTGGGCGACGATGCAGACCAGCTGCTTCAGAAGAGTTGGGAGAATCAGGGAAAGAGCGGTGCGGGGTAGGGGTAGTGGGTGAGGCCAGCCTGAGGAGACAATCGGTAACGCGGGATGAAGGCTGCCTCTTATAGCTGGCGTCATGTAGCAGCAACAGCATTCGCATTGATGGAAGCCGTGCTGCAGATGCTTGTCAGGACTGCGACCATGCGGGGAGAGTCGCGGTGCCATGGAGGCAAAAATCCGCTGGAGCTTGGAGGACCGGATTGGGTCGGTCGTCCGCAAGCTCCGTGAGCCTGAAGAGCAGATATCGCGGACATTGATGCTACCAGTGGATTGGATATGCGCAGCGTTTAAAGGAATCCATGAATCCTCTGCTGGCCGAAGTTGTGACTTTAGGAGCAATGGCTTCGGGAGTGAAGGAGGTCTGAAGCCCCGAGGCCCGCGTGCAGTTGGCTCGACGCGTGGTCTGTCAGTCCGAGGGTCCATGGCCCGCCGGCTCTTGTGCGTCTTGGCTCAACGTCCGATCCCTCAGTCGCCGGGGTCATCATGTCCCGGCAAGGGTACTCAAGGACACAGGTCAGCGAGGGTCAATGAGACAAGCGCTGGGAAGCAGCATCAGAAGTGTTTTGCACGCTACGCAAATTCAACCAATGAATGCAGGAAGCGGACGTCTGTGACCAGCGCGGGGGTCCATGGTCCCTCAGGCGCGCGGACGTCCGCAGGAGCTCGTGGTACAGGCATCTGTCAATGGAGCGGACGATTTCCTCTGACAAGCATCGAGGGCCCCTCTCAGAAGATGAGTCTGGCATCTTCATGCCCCGATGAAAAGCATATAAGGCCCTTCGAGTCGTTCATCCGCTATCTTCTTTCCTCAGGCTGGTCCTCGCATTCAAACACTCTCTCACCCTACTGCTCAGGTCTCTGGTAGCCCTTGACACGACTCTCAAGCTCGCAAGCACCATCAGCCACTCAACGCTCTCCTCAAACCGATCCTCAAGCATCTTTTTGCCCAGCACCATGAAGTACTCGTACACGATCGCCACCCTTGCCGTCGCCCTCTCGGCTGTCACCGTATACGGCGCTCCCTTCGACAACGCCGCTCATCCGCAAGAGAGAGGCATTGCCGCGGAACCCCCGCACGCTCTTGTGCGCCGTCTGAGCTGGAGCGTCGATGGGTCGAAGACCAACAACAACCAGTCTTCGAACAGTGATGGAACATTTGGCGGCGACAATGTCAATTCCAACCCCAATGCCAGTTCCTCAGCAATTCAGACAACTGATCAGAGCAACAGTGGTAACAACTACGGTGGAGGAAACGGATACGGTGGCAAGGGCGGCGATGGCGCCCATGGCGGAGGAAGCGATTTCAACTGCAACGCTGGCAAGCGCGGCTTGGCCTGGCGTAGGGCCTTCGCTGAGCGTCGTGACCAGAACAGCCATGGGAATGGAGCAGGTGGAAATAGCTACGACTCTGGAAACTGGCAGTCTCACGACTCGCACAATATCGACAAATCTGTTGACAGTCACGACAATAACCAGAAGGACTCGCACAACAATTATTCCAAGGTCTACAATGGCGGCGGCGGTGGTGGTAACGTGAAGACGCAGAACGGTGGCTACGCCAGCAACACGTGCTTCAGTATGAGGCGCGGCCTTGTCGGTGAGGAGATGAATGACCACGCCAACGGCCTTGCGGTCCTCCGCTCCCTTGGCGCCCTGACAGAACGCGACGTCGAGGACCCCCTCGAGGCCTTGGCTGCGCGCGATGTTGGCTTCTCGGCGAGGATGCTGGGTGTCGAGGGCCATGACGAGTCCGATGGCGCTCAGCGTCGTAGCTTCACCTTCGAGGACGGTCTCGCTCGCCGTGACGGCAATGGGCTGGCGATCCGGTGCGCCGAGGGCAGCGAGGGATGCTCGGTTGCGATGAGGAGGGAGGCGGAAGAGATGCTCCGTGAGCATGCTATGGATTTGGGCTTCCACTTTTGAGATGGTGGGGTCTAGGGCGACGAGAGAAGAGCGCGCCGATCTGTAGACGTTCGATCCGAGCCTGTCCACAGTAGCGCTCTCTGCGATGCGAAATCTATGCCCATTACAATCCCTCATCTGCTTCGCCTTTTGCGTGTCCAGTGCCTCACTGCCTCCAAGCCTTTCCCGTGATCTTCTCATAGCATTCCCTGTACTTCTCGCTTGTCTTCCTCGCTACGTCATCCGGCAATGTGATCTTTGTCCCCTTCTGACTCTCATCGTAAGCAACGCGATCCAGCCCTTGCTCAATCAGCCAGTCGCGCACGTACTGCTTGTCGAAGCTCGCTTGACCTTTGCCCACCGCGAAGCTGTCCTTGCTCCAGAAACGCGACGAGTCCGGTGTGAGGACCTCGTCGACTAGGATCAGTGTCATACCGTCAAGCGATTGTCCGCCCGATGATGTTGGGAGCTTGCCGCCTGCGAGGCCTGGCGTGGCAGGCAGCTCGGCCGTGGCAGGAACGAGGCCGAACTCGAACTTGGTATCCGCCAAGATGATGCCTCTCGACGCAGCATGTTTTGCCGCCTTGGAGTACAGCGCAACTGCAGCCTCACTGACGGCCTTTGCGAGCTCAGGCCCCAAAATGTCCTTTGCCTGATCCGGATGAATGTTCTCGTCATGCTCCCCTTGATCCGCCTTGGTACTCGGCGTGAAGATAGGTCCGTCTGGGATCTCCTGACTCTCCTGCATGCCAGCGGGCAGCTTGAGCCCGTGAACCGTGCCGCTCTTCTTGTACTCCTTCCAGCCGCTGCCGGTAATGTGTCCTCGCACGATTGCCTCAATAGGCAGGACTTGAGCACGGCGCACAAGCATGCTGCGTCCGTCGAGCTCGGCGCGATGTGCTGCGAGCTTGTTGCGGAGGCTTGCCGGGAAGGCATCGAATGATGTGGCCAGAACGTGCGAGGGAAGGATGGAAGGGGTGAGGAGGTCAAACCAGAAGGTCGAGAGGGCGTGGAGAAGGTGGCCCTTCTCCGGGATACCCTGTGTAAAGGCAGCCAGCAGACCATGTGAGCTCGACCAGACTACGACTACGTACATCGCCCTCTCGGACTCACGTTCTCAAGGATAACGTCGAATGCGCTGATCCTGTCCGAGGCTACAAAGAGCAGCGCCCCAGCATGCTCATCTCCCTCCGCGATCTCAGCATCGTAGACATCCCTGACCTTGCCTCTTGCGATGAGCTTGAGAGGAAGGTCGGTCGTGGTGACTACCGGCGCCGAGTTCATGATGCTTGATGGTTATGAAGGCAACGTCTTTAGAGCTCGTTGTATGCAGCCAGGTCCAGTCCGAAGGTCGCGCAGCGCACGACTCGACTTCGAAGGCGGAGAGCGGAAGCAGAGGCGGAGGCTGGTGGGCGTCGCACGACGGACGAGATGATTGTTGGCCGTCTTCCATATCGACGAATCATCTGCACGCATCATCCTTTCGTCCTCGCGCGCAAAGGCGAGTGCGTAGCACATCAAGCCGCCCCTCACCCTCCCTTTCTCTCCCTCCGTTACGGCTGGTGTCAGTCCTCCTACCCATCCCCCAGCTGCCTGGCATGACGCACCTTCTCCCTCCCAATCTGCTCCGCCTCTTCGTCTCTCGTCCGCCGCTTCCCTTCGCTCCGGCTCTGCCCGCCGACAAGGACATCGTCAACCGCACCACACGCCAACAACGCTTTCGTCGCCCCATCGAAGGCGCTGCCGGCTATCTAGAGCGCGCCAAGCAGGAAGCAGCAGACAAAGGCGAAGCGACCGAAGGCGCCGAGGGGGACGACCAAGAAGTCGCGACGGACGCTGCGTACATTCAAGTGGAGAAGAGGAAAGAGCAGAAGAAGCGCAAGCAGAAAGAGTATCGAGAAAGGGCCGAGAAGGAGTATGATCCTAAGAGTGATGAGAAAGCCAGGGGAGATCCGTTCAAGACGCTCTTCATCTCGAGGCTGAGCTATGAGACTACGGAGGAGGACCTGCATAGGGAGTTTGGCAAGTACGGGCCAATTGAAAGCTTGAGGCTTGTGAGAGATGAGGAGGGAAAGTCACGCGGGTATGCTTTCATCTTGTATGAGAGGGAAAATGATCTCAAAAGTGAGAACAGCGAGACGAGCAAGGCAATGGATAGCAGAGGAGCTGACCAGACTACGTCTGTTTCACCCACTCTCGCAGCCGCGTACAAGGATGCCGAGCGCATGAAGCTGCATGGCCGCGAGATCATGGTCGATGTAGAGCGAGGGCGAACAGTCAAAGGCTGGAAGCCAATGAGATTAGGCGGGGGCTTGGGCGCCAGCCAGTCAACAAGGAAGAAGAAGGAGCCTGAACCTGAAGCGCCTGCAGCAATGGGCTTCGGTATGCGAGGAGGATTCCGTGGCGGATTCAGAGGAGGATTCAGAGGAAGGGGAGGATTCGGAGGACCGCCGAGAGGAGGCTTTGGTGGTGGGATGGGACGAGGTGGATTTGGAGGTGGAGCACCAGGCGGCTATGGCGCTGGTCCACCGAGAGGGCCGTATGGTGGTGGTGGTGGCGCGCCGATGGGCGCCCCATCAGGACCCGGTGGGGGTGGCTTTGGTGGAGCCCCCGGCGGGTATGGAGGCGGAGGAGGCGGGGGCTATGGAGGCCCGCCAGTAGCTGCGTGAGTTTGGGCGGACAGTGACAGTCGCCTGGATGCTTTGAAGCTGACTATCTTATCATACTCCTACCTCCCTTTACAGGTACGGCGGCGCACCGAGAGGAGGAGGCTATGGCGGCGGGGGTGGGTACGGAGGAGGTGGTGGATACGGCGGAGGAGGGTATGGCGAGCCCGCCGCCAAGCGTGGCAGATTTTGATCTGCCGCTGTTCGACCACCCACAGACTCGCTACTCGGGCGCACGCTACCATGCGCCGCCTTTGTACCATTACCCTGTCGTACTGGCATCTTCATCTATTCATCGAGACATCTTCGACACAGTGTACGCTTTAATTGTCTCCATCTCTGGCTCCGTCCCGATCTTGGCTCCCTCCGCCTCTGCCTCTCAGTCCGCCTCGCATGAGCGCCCAGTGACCGACCTCGCTAGGGTCCAGCGACGTCAGAGAGCGCTCTTGGTGTGAGGTAAGAGGTGTGGAGCGGGCATGTTGAATTGAGCTCATGGTACTGATTTGGATTTGGCTCCGAAGACGATCAAGGTCTGCTTCGACGCTTGACTTCATTCCATTTAGATCAAACCCCATTCATTGATCGTTCCACGAATCGCGTCACGCTACCATGGCCACCGCCGTCACCTCTGCTGCATCCGCAGCGCAGCGTGTCCTCACCACGGGGTGTCATGAGCTGCTCCCGTCCTTCGTCATCCCCATGTTCACCTCCAAGACCTTCATCCCTCTCAACAATCCACCGATTCCCATCTGGGGTGCCCTCCTCCCGCCGCTCACCTACTTCCTCGCCCTCTTCTGTCTGAGCGCTGGCCCATCCGCCTCCGCTCTCACATTGGGTATCAAGTACACCTTGGCCACCGTCTCTGCCATCAGCTTCTTAGCTCTTCCCTTCAGCTTCCACGTTCCGGGAAGCGCAGTCTTCACTTATCAATTGGGGCTCATCGGCTGCTTTGGGAGTGCGAGAGTTATCGATCTCTTCTTCTTGAGCAGGCCGAGGATTCCCAAGAGGATCAAAGTGCCCCAGCCCGACCATCAGAAGCAGGGCCTCAGGAGGCCTCATGCTGGTCATGAACACAAAGAGATCGAAACTCACAAAGGAGGGGCACCTGTTTATCCTCCTGGAGACAATCTCGGTTGGGCATTCGAACCTCATCCGACGGGGCTAGGGTCGAGGCTGTGGTGGTCGCTAGAGTGAGTTGCGAGGGACGGACCACCAAAGCAGAGCAGCTCGTCCTCTGACGTCGTACTGACTACTTTTCGCCCACTCTTCACAGCCTCATGATCTCCATGCGCGGCATAGGCTGGGACTTCGCCTCGGCTGATGTCCGTCACGACATCAGTCCCTGGCAACCTCCCTCGTCCCGGCAAGTCAACATGGCCATCTTCCGCCTCATCCCGGCCCTCGGAATCGCCATCATCGTGACTCGCTCGATGCTGGCCCGTCTGGGCGGTCAGCCAATCGAGTCTCCCCTGGTGCACACCAGCCCCTCAATCGTGGACCTGCCTGCTCCCTTGAGGCCCCTTCTAGTCCTTGCTACGGGTGCGTCCCTCTTCACTCTCTTCGATGCAGGGTACACCCTCGTCTCCGCTGCAGCGATGCCTATCTTGTCGAGCATCTCAAATGTCAGAAAGCGAAGTCTACACAACATCGACTTCTACCCCCTTCTCAACCCACTCAAGCTCACGGAGATCTGCTCCGTGAGGTCGTTCTGGTCAAAAGCATGGCATCGACTGTTCCACAGGGCCTTTCTCATCTATGGAATCTTGCCATTCCAGAATTTGGCTCTCCTTCTCTTCCCCGTCAAGGACGTGGGCCTGCTTGCACCGTCTCAGCATCCCGATCCGGCGCGACTGCTGCCAAAGGGCACGCACGATTGGGCAAAGGTGATGGGCGCCTTTTGCGCAAGCGGCATGGTTCACGCCATCAGTGAAAGGGCGGCTCTGGGTGGTAGGCTGGCGCTGCCGCCTAACAATTTCTGGCTACAGGCTGGCTGGGCTACCGGCGGCCATGCTGGTTCGGTGATGCCTGACCTCGCGTCAGCCAAGGGCCTCGCAGGGAATGATGGCGGAGCGAGGTGGAGCTTCAGTAGAATCGTACCGCCCATCTCCGGGGCAGGGGAGTTCAGCTTCTTCTTCCTCAATGGAGTGGCGGTGCTCATTGAGGGGGCGGTATGGGCTTTCGTGAAGGAGAGGAGAAGGAGGGCGGCGATGCAGAGGCGTACGAGTGGGCAGGACCAGCAGCTGCAGCAGCAGGCAGAGGCTGTCACTTCGACCGGCAGCTCAGCGCCGGGGACTCCTCGGCGCCGCAGTGCTCGAGTGGCCAAAGCCGCTACCGCCGCCTTGGACGACTCAGAGGACGACGTCAAGCATCCTGGCACTCCACCCGTCGTGACTCGCTCGTCAGCCAGCATCGATGACGCCGAGCTCACCCGCTGGTACGACAGGTACGTCGGCTTGATCTGGGCGGTCTCCGTTCTCCTCACGACGGGTGAGACCTTCGTCGATGGATGGATCAAGAGTGGCATCCTCGCAGAAATCTCGTACTTCCCGCATTGAGATATCGTTGCGGGCCGTGACGAGCGCAGGGCGTGGGTAGAAGGGTGAAGGCGGCAGCAAAGCGAGCAACGGCGAGTGATTGGACGGAGGTATGAAAGTAGCAGAATATTGCAGGACCTTGTAGCATAGCACCGGCGCCTCCTAGCAACAGGAGAGTCTCTCCCTCTTTAAGCAATCGCATTCAGTCTCCTCACCTCCGCAACAATGAGTTCAGTCTTCCGCCAGCGACAAAATCACCACGACGAACGCAGCGAGGAGCTGAACAACGACTACGTCGATCCATCTCCGCCACCTCCACCCCTCTCGCGTTCCGTCCTGCAGCATCGTCGCAATCGCTCTTTCCTCTCCATCATTCTGATCATCTCTGCCTGTGCATTCATTGTTGCGACCATGCTACTGCCTTGGAAGCTCTTCCAAGCGTCCTTTTCTGCCCTGTCCAGCACGACTTCGCCATCGACGCAGGCCTCGATTGGTAGCACGCTGGATCGTGCTCATGCTCTGCTCAGCCGCACGCCAATCTTCGACGGCCATTGGGATCTGCCCATCTTTGCCCGCTGGACCGTCGGGGACAATCTTGCCAAATTTGCGTACAACGACACCCTTAAAGGCCAGATCGACCTTCCACGCATTCGCAAGGGAGGCGTAGGATCCTTCTGGAGCATCGCCTTCGTCGAATGCCCCTCGTCCACCAATGTCTCCCTTGGTCCCGGCCCAGGGTGGGACTGGGATGATCAGCCGGCACAGGTGGTGAGGGACACGCTCGAGCAGATCGACCTCACTCGGCAGTTGGTGGAGTATTTCCCTCAAGATGTAGCCCTGGCTCGCACCCCGAATGACTTTTGGGAGAACTGGAAGCAGGGCAAGGTTTCACACTGGATTGGCCTCGAGGGGGCTCATTCGCTGGGAAATTCCCTCGCTACCTTGCGCACTTATGCTGCTCTGGGCGTCACGTACTTGACATTGACGCACAACTGCCACAATGTCTTTGCGGACGCGGCTATTCCTGCCCCTGGGTCGCCGGATGAGGTCCATGGCGGCCTGTCCCACTTTGGGTTCCGGCTCGTAAAGGAGCTTAACAGGTTGGGAGTGGCCGTCGACCTCTCCCACACCTCACCAAAGACCCAGCTCGAAACGCTCCACGTCAGCTCTGCCCCTGTCATCTTCTCGCACAGTGGAGCGAAGGCCGTCTACGACCATCCCAGGAACATCGACGATGAGGTGCTGAGGGAGCTGCGTAAGTCTGAGAGGGACTTTGTCGTGGGAGTGCCCTTCCTCAGCGACTTTGTGCGAGGAGCGGGCAACTCTACGCTGGAAGACGTGGTGGAGCATGCCGAATATCTCGCTGCTAAGCTGGGCGGCAAAAGGCATGTGGCATTGGGCAGCGATTACGATGGTGCGCTCGAATTCAGTAAGGGATTGGAGGACGCAGCCTCGTACCCCAGGCTTGTGGCGAAGCTGATGGAGAGGGGCTGGACGGAGAAGGATCTGGAGGGGTTGGCGAGTGAGAACTGGTTGAGAGTGATAGGAAAGATTCAGAGGCATGGCAGAGTAACAAGGGCCGGAGGTGCACGACCTGATATGAGGCCATGGCATGGGAGGCACGATTGTGAGTAGGCGCAATGCCGAGCAGATCGCGCGAGCACTGGCTCACACGACTCTCTTCTCTCCCTCACACCACAGTGGGACCAAAGCCGCCATCCACGGTATTCTCTAAGCCCCTGATGAAGCAGTGGGGCGTGGCAGTCTAGATGCAATGCGATTCGGTGACATGATGGTAGTGACTGAACGAGCGCGAGAGACGCGGCGGCGCGCCTCGCTGCCGCTCAACCAACACTTTGAACTGGCTCAAGCGCCGCCAGTCCGCCCTCCGCGTCTTTGCGTCTTGCCTTGCAATCCATCATTCCCATCACGCTCCCATGACATACCCATCACCGAGATGACACAACCACGACGACCATCGCCAGCCCGGAGTGTCTCACCCCGTTGCCTCACTGCACCACACATCAGCCTCCTCCTGTTGAGCGTCTACTGGGCACGATGCCGGTATGCTGCTTCGCCCACTCTCAGCATCCTCGACGTAGACGTGCGGCAAACCCTCTTCGACAGTGATGGCGAGAACAGTCACTGTCTTGTCGCAACAAGGCTGCTCATGTACCTTTTGCGTAGCTGGGATGGCTTCATCGAGCCGGCCGGCAGCTTGCGCGAGTTCTGCGAGGACTTGAGGGCGGCATTGAGGGGACCGCAGGGCGAACAGAGGAACAGCGGGCCCAGCGGTAGCAAGAGTAGCGCACGAGACAGAGAGAGGGAGATCCTGAGCCAGTCACGCATCGATAGCCTCATAGAGTGGCTCGAGGAGCAATGGAGCCTCCTCATTCCGCACACAGCGCCTGCATCCTTCATGGGCAACGAGAGTTTCGCTTCGCACTCTGGGGTCGGGGACAATCATGCCCTGCCCCTCGCGCCTGTCTGCAACCAGCTTGTCAAGATAGTCGAAGCCGCTTCTCTCTGCATCGAGGTTACCAACGAGGATGAGGAAGACGAGGATGACGCGGTGGGCTCACCTCGTGGAGCTATTGAGCGGAGGTCCCCGCTCGGCATCGCGATACGCAGGATGAGGTTAGCACTCGAGGGGCTTGACGAATTCGAGGTCATGCCACGAATGGCTCGCGAACTGGCAAGGTGGAAACAAGGCAGAATTGAGCCGCACCCAGAAGGAGTTCCTGAGGCTCAGGAGTCGTCCGCAACCAACTTGCCCGCTCGCCTCGAAATCTTCCATCGCTACCAGGATGCCCGCCGTCGAGGCGACTACGCTGCCACTCGCGAGGCGCTCTACGCCTTCTTCTCGCTTCCTCCGCCAATCTCTCACCGTACACGCTCACCTCTTCACCCCTATGGCCACCCATTGGGCCCGAATGCTTCCTCCCTTGCCCCTCCCCCCGGCCCATCCGGGGCAGCGGGGTCGAGCACAACGACCGGGCAGACTCGTACAAAGTTGCACCACCATGCTCTACTGAATCTTGCCGGCTTTCATGTGGAGTGGGAAGAGTGGGACGCTGCAAGTCGGGCGCTCAAGGAGGCGACCGGACTCTGCAAGGCGGAGAGGGATGCGGAGGGGCTAGAGGCTTGTAGGAGTCTTGGTAGGAGAGTCGATGCTGCGCTTAGCCGGCGCTGCAGAGGTGCGGATGAAGGTGGTGAAAAGGGAGATCTCGCAGGGGTCGACGATGTGCTTCTGCGCGAGCCGGTGTCGCCGTGGATTCCGCCTAGTAGGGAGGGGACATGGCGTGCAGCAGAGGCAACGATGAGCCCAAGCAGCAGCGACGACCCTGTCGCAGCCACCGCGATGCTCATCGGTCTTCCCAGATACTCAAGCTGGGGCTCCCCCAGCTCGTACGCCACTTCCAGCTCGCCCAATACAGAAGGCAGAGGCAACCTTCCTCAGCCTCATCCGCACCCCAACAACGAGCTACGTAGCCTACTGATGCGAGAGCAACAAGACGCCGCCTCCTCTTCCTCCGGCTCAGCAAGCCAGCCGGCCCGCCTCACACCAGACGACCTTTGGGATTCGTTGCGATGCAGCACCGCGCTGAGCCCACACTCGTGCGCTCAAATCCTTGAAAGTGTCCAGCTCTGTGTGTCCCTCCCCATCCCAAGCAATTTCCTCCGCTCTGTCGCTGGATCCGCCCCATCAGCCCCACCCAGCGCTGCCAATGCCAACCCACACCCAGCTCAAGCTCTCTACGTGGCGCAAGACCAGCCTCGCCCATGGGCCACCCTTTCACGTTTGCACAGTCTCATGGGGGAAGAACATCATGCCCTTTCCTACCGCCGTTTAGCAAGGGCGGAAGCATATGTCGGGGACGAGAGAAGAGGACGTGAGGATGAGTGGGGTATGCGATTCGATGAAGCGTGGAGCTTGGCCAGGGCCGGCAGGTTCGATGAGGCGCTGACGAAGCTCTGCAGCTCGAACGGAGAAGGAGCATGGTTGCGCGAACTGGTGGAGCAGGGCGATTTCCGCACGTACACGCAGTGGGTCAAATGTGTGTATCGCTGCCTTTACTTGTGGAAGAGGAGGGCGGGGACCGATGAGTATGGGAGGAAAAGGATCGCACGGCTGGCGACCGGACGTGAAGAGGAGGAATGGGACGTCGAAGTCGACGATGAAGCCTATGACCACGGAGCCGTCAAGGGCGGTCAGAAGGCACGGAGCATGGATGGCAGGATCAACGAGCTCACTCGTGAGCTCCGCCTTCTCATCACCGCCTCACCTCCCGGAAAGGACAAATTCACGGGAAACGCCAGCATAGCTAGTCGCGCCTTACCCCTTCTCTCGACCCTTTTGCACCGTACACGTCTCCTCGGTCGGAACATAGCGCACCGACGTCTTCTCATCCTTTTTGCCCAGCTACAGGCTTTCCATCTCGGCGGGCACAAGCAGCTGGATGCGGCTCTGAAGACGATGAGGGAGTGTGTGATGCCTAGCTTGCTGGCGGGTACCACCCTGGGGGACGAAGAGGGGGAGGGGGCGATTGGAGACCCAGAAGAGTTGGCCGACGGCCTCTTTGCGTACGCGCAGCTTTTGCTGGCGAAGGCGAGGGCTGTGGACGCCGGTCTGCCAGGGAGTGCTTCACCGAACATAGAATGGCGTCGCAGCAGCACGGCGTCCCCCTTTGGACCCGTCTCATCGCCCAGCTCATCAGCACTGAAACGGCAAGCCCTTCAGTGGCTTCTCCGTGCCCGTGACGCCTACATCGCCGCCTGCCCACCTCATGGTATGCCGCAGGGCATGCTGAAGGTGGACGTCTTCCTTGCGCGACTCTACGAGGAGTTGGCTGTCCAGACGGCCGTGGATGAGGATGGAAAGAGGGAGGAGGACGCAAAACAGGCGCAAGTGTGTCGAGCGAGAGTGAACGAGGGGGCTGCGCTGCTGCGACGAAGGGAACAGGCTGATGCGGAAGTAGCTGGAGGAGACGTGTGCAGGTGGGATGAGCTAATCGCCAGGGTGGGAGCGAAGATTGCTGCACCGCGATGCTAAGTGGTGTTGCGCGCGACCTCTACAGGCGCGCTCATGAGGCGCAGTGGTCATGTCGAAGGAGTGCAAGCATTCTAGTGACATTGCAAGAGGTGTATGCTGGCTGATGGGCGCATGACTTCGAACTCTCTATGCGGTCGCTCTCACACCCTTGATCGACGCTCCTCTTCCCTCCCCCTCCTTAGTTCTCCTCCCCTCATGACTCCCTTCCTCGAACGCTTCTCCTCCGTTCCTCTCCACCCAATCCCTCAGCGTGTCCCTGACTCTAACGATCTCCTTCTCGCGCTGGTGCTGCTCAGAAACGCGACGCTGCAGCTCTGACCAGTTCCACTGGCCCTCACCTGCTCCCACTTCTCCTTCCTCATCCTCATCACCTTCATCCCTCCTTCCCCTCTTTCGACTCCTCTCCCGATTGCGATGCTCAGCGTCTGCCAATAGAGACTCGCGTTGTGCGCGGAGAAGACGTCGCTCTGCTTCCCACTCTGAGTGGAGCGAATGGAGGCGAGAGGAGAGGTGCTCGAAGTCGCGAGGGGTACGGATGGGTTGATGCTGGCGAGGGGTTGTGGTGGTGTTGGCTTGCAATTGTGACTGAGAGGAGCGACGTGTCTGACGAGTGGTGCTTGGGAGGCTCGAGGAAGGGGAAGATGGCTGCGGAGCCTTGCTTGATGGTGCGGACGTGCTGGTATCAAGGCTCTTGCCATCATCGACCTTGCGCTTCTTCGTGGCGACACTCCCGCTGGCAGGTCCGGGCTCAGATGCAGCAGGCTGTTGCTTCTCCTTGCTTGCCGTAACCTTCTGGCTTTTCTCTGGTGACGGAGCAGTGGACGAAGCTGACGAAGCTGACCCTGACCCTGTTCCGGAACCACTACCCGTTCCCTTCCCAGTACCGGACCCTGTCGTCGAGTTAGAAGGAGTCTTGCTCATCTCTTCGCCCTCCTGCTTCTCCCGCCTCCTCCTAGCCTTTTCCTGCTCTTTCTTCAATTCGGCGCCCTTTGGTCCCCGACCTTTCACGGCGCGACGGAGCCTGTCACGGGTTGTGGCTTGTTTGCGCTTGGCGGGAGAGGTGGACGAGGAACGTTGATCGGGGCCTTCCGAGTCGATCGTATCGTCTATCTCGCTGACGTCGTCATCATGTGGGGCTCGGCTTTCGTCTGCACTTCCTTCGGCCTCCTCAGCATGCGGGGCCGCACCGGCAGTTACTTGCTCGCCAGCCTTCTGACCCTCTTGCGCCGCTTCTCTCTCCCTCCTCATTGCCAGCTCCTCCTCCCTTTCCCACTCCCTCACACTGCCTTCCCACTCGCTGATTGCCCTCCACTCCTCATCCTTATCCCCATGACCTAGCCTCTCGAGTGCTTCGCTCGTGGCTTTGTACACCTTTGCCTTCTCTGCCAGCGGCAAGTCAGCCACGGGTGGCCACCACTGCCCCTCCCCTACGGCGCGAGCGACTTCGCGGTACGACTCGTCACGAAGGGAGAAGATGGAGCTTGGCGTTGAAGAGGAGCTGGAGCTGGAGGAGGAGACAGGTGGCGCAGGGCCACCACTGCGTCGATTGACAGGGCCAGAGAAGCGCTTAACCGGCGAAGGGGTCGCGTCACTGCTCGATGCTTTGCCGTTGTCCTCTGGCATGACGTAGGCTAGAGCACCCAGCAGTCTAAGGATAGGCGGCTCAGAGCTTGCAGCTACGGATGCGACGATTTTTCGTCTCGACTTGGGTCCTGAAGCAAGGACGCAGAGGATCTTTTGGCGTAATGAGGGACCTTTGCTCGTCGATGACGAGGCAGCAGCTACAGCAGCGCTGCTTGGCCCTGGGGTGACGGCAGGCGAAGAGCTTCTACCCCTCAGTTCGGGGGAGGCTGTGCCTTTGATATCCCTGTGCAGCGACAAGCTCGAGTTAGTACGAGAAAGGGCCGCATTTCGTGGCAAGTGAGTCGCTCCACTTGGCGATGAGGTGCGACTTGCGCTGCTTGTCCCACTGGGTCCCGGCCTCTTTGCTCCTCCGGAGCCGCTAGCACTTGTAAGTCGTCCGCGCTTATCAAACTCTTCCTGTTCAATCATGACTGCGCGACTGCTGGCCTTCCTTTGTCTTTCCTCTTCGCGCATCTCCTTCAATCGGGCCGCTGCTGCTTCGTGGTTGGATGTCGAGGCTGAAGCTGAAGAGGAAGAAGCTGTAGAGGCGACTGCGTTCGTGGCGGAGGTGGTTGGACGGACGGAGAGGCGGTATGAGATTGGGTCGATGTACTCCAGATGGGATGGTGAAGCTCGGTTGGCGGGCAGGCGATAGAGGGCTTGCGGGCAGCCAGGGTCCGAGGGCTTTGCGACGAGTGGCAGAGTATCCTTGCCCATGATGAGGGACTATATGGGAAGGGGGAAGGAGGGTACAAGTCAGCCCTCACCATCAATCTCGATCGAAACCATCTACTACTCACCGGGTGTGGGTCAGGTCCCGAGGTTCCCGCGGTTGGAAGCGGTTTCCACTCGATGGCGAGCCCCTCGCCGCTGTCCTGCGAGGCAAGGAGTGATGCGAGGACATCATCCGACACGTTGAGGAGCATGGGCTGATGCTGGTTTCGTCGTATCGCTTCAGCATTCCTGCCACTACTCGTTGCCGAAGGTCCAGCAGCCGTGGATGAGGAAGGTGCGTCAATGAGATAGCCGGACGACGATGACGACGACGAGGCGCCGCTGCCATTGTCGAATAGCATCGCTGGCAGTCCAGCGTGTGTGCAGCGAGATGGCTTGCGTTGACTGCTAGGTGTAAATGGTGCACGCCCTCTAGGGTAGCATCGTCGGCGGTGGAGACCAAGGATGGCCACTGGCCAAGACGGTTCGAAACGAAGTGGAACAAAGGATGTCGCAGCAGAGCAGCAGCAGCAGCAGCAGCAGCAGCTCCACGACCCTTTGCATTTGGACTGGGTCCCGCTCAGCCCTTGCGGCCAGTCTGGCCTCGCTGCCAACCCGTGCACGAGCCACCGCCATTCGTTTTGCCCATCGAAAAGCAGGCACCACATCGAGCAAGCAAATCGTTTCGCACGCATCCCATCTGTAAATGGCTGGCAATGACTCGTTTTGGTTTCGCTGTTAGAGACAGAGAGAGAGAGAGAAAGAGTGGGTGGCGCTAGACATAGACAGAGATGATGTAGTTGTGTCGTTGTGTAGTGGCCTCCTGGCCGAGCCTGCCCATGAGTTGAGAGCACGACCTCAGTGAGTGACGCCTCCCCATCTATTCGCCGCCCATACCGCCTGACTTGCTCTTCGTCTCGCCGCTTCCTAGGCGTAGAGCATCTCACTATCCTGCCGACCCATGACCCTGTCATCGGCGTGCCAGTCGCCAAGACTACTGTGCGCTCCGTTGTACGCCGGGTAAGTCGTATCACCCCTTTCTCGCTTTCCAGCGGCCTTCCTCCTTTCCCCTAATCCATGCCACCGCAGTGCCCTCTCGCTTTTAGAGGACAATCTTCCTCCCCTTCTTCTTCTCACTCTCCGTATGGCTCTGATACTCGACATCGCTCATCAGCCCGCTGCCCAGCTTCTGGTTGATGTCATACCCAAGAATCTCCGTCTTGAACTTCCTCCCAATGCCCATGATCCTCTCCATCACATCCGACGCCTCGGACGGCCCAGATGTAGAAGCAGCGTCGTCGCTCTTCCTCGTCCAGATGGCAATACGGTAGAAGTTGGCACGCGCGCTCATAATGACACCCGTAACAAGCTCCGTCTGCGTCTCAGGCGAGGAAGTAGGAGCCTCGAGCGTCTCGCCGATGGCAGAGAGCATCGTGTAGAGCCAGAGTTGGTCGATGGAGGCGCGAGACTTGTCACGGGGGAGCTGGATGCTCCACTTGCCTCCATTGGCGTTGGCCGGGTCCTCCCAGGCGGGCTTGATCCCCTCCTTAAACAAGTAGTAGTTGGCCTTCTGCGGGAGCTCAGAAGGGGGGATAATGTTGTTGTAGAGACCCCAAAACTCTTCGACCGAGTCCAGAGTCACGACCTTGTTGAGGTCCTCGCCCCATGAGTCTTTGCCGCCTTTGCCCGAGGCCTGGAAGGGAGAAGCGAGCGTTTGGAAAGTCAGATGACAAGGCTAAGGCTACATTCAGAAAGCACGGGAATCCGTACTCACAGCCTTGTGCGACGGATTATCGAACCAGAGCGTCCAGACGTTGAACAAAGGGTGCTTCACGTTAAAGTCCTCCTTGTCATCGAAGACGGTCCTTACGCTCTCATCGGCGGCGAGGGAGTCGTCTGCGTCTGCCGCTCCGTTAGAGGATGACGGCTCTGTTGATGCTGCTGCGTTGGCTGAGTCTGCTGTCTGTGATGAGGATGAGGAGGCTTCGGAGTCCTTGATGGCGGCATCTAGGGCTGCCTTGGAGGCGGCGGCCGGTTGCGAAGGGAGAGCAGTCGTCGACATGACGGTTTGCGCGGTCGGCAGTTAGGGTAAAAGGTCCGTGAAGGTTGCTCGAGCTGGAGATATGCGCTCAATGAGGAGCGTAAGAGGTGGAATGAAGATCGAAAAGAAGTCGCAGTCGCAGTCAATCTTGATGCTGGATGGCCAAAAGGAGAGGACGAGGGAGAATCGGAAGCTCTTTGGACGAGAATGAGACGCGAAGAAACCTGCAGCCGCCTTTGAATCCGTCTAGTCTGAGTCAGAAATGCTAGCTGTCTGTCGTCTGAAGTCGCCCTGCGATTCGTGTTTGTCTGACGTGCGTAGCCTTCCCGTATCAGTGACGTCGTCGTGGTCTGGTGTAGTTGATGGTGATTGGGAGCGAATCGATGGAGTAAGAGTAGGAGCAGGACAAAGCGGCGTCGGATGCAGGGCCAAGTCAGGTCAGGCCAGGCTGGGCGGCGAAAAGACGAACTCAAATCGACCAAGGCCCGCCTCACCGTCCGCCGTCTCCGCCGCGCAGCCATCGACGGACGAGACGAGGCGGCGCTCAGCTCAGTCAGCCTCTCCCCCGTCCAGGCCCCCTCCGAAGCCTCGATCCGCGAGGCGAGACAGACAATCAGGGCCGGGCGAAAGGATAGGCATTGGCCGCCTCGCTGCTCTCCAAAAAGTCGATGCAGCCGGCAACAGACCTTCTAGGTTGCTCAGCCTCGCCACGATCATCTTGTCTTCCAATTCATTGCAGCATCGCCGTCAACATCATCAAGAGCATAGGCAAGAGACCTACTAGTCCCCTCATCATCATCAGCGGTAACGCTCAGCTTAGCAGCGCACTTGCTGCCTACCGCCCGCTGCCACCTGGGCCGCCGATTGACTCGACTCCACATACCCATCACCTAAACAACCATCATGTCGTCGCCCACGGGCAACCTCATGTTCCAGGAGCTCAGCCAAGCAGAGGATGCCGGTAAAGCGTCAGCAATATCACCATCACCTGAGCCGGGACCTTCAAGACGCAAGCCAGCCAGCCGCTTCCAAAAGTCAGTGGCCAGCATCACTGGCGCGACAGCCGTATCTTTCATCAGTGAGTGCGGCGAGCGCTTCCACCCTCTCATCGCGATAGCAGGCTAACCACCTTCGTCCTCGCTATGCTTTCGCAGTCACGCCTTTAGATGTCATCAAGACTCGATTGCAGACGCAAGCCGCACCCGAGCCCCTCTTCCAGCCCTCAAGCCATCTCCCCTCAGCGGCCAAGGGCAAGGCGCCGGCTACCAATGCGGCAACATGTTGTCAGCAGACCTTCTTCACGGGCGGAGTCAACGAGGAAAGCTTGACATGCAAGTACGATCCTCGGGTCGCTGGCAGTCAGCAGACGGGGCCGAGCGGAGAGGCCAGGACAACATCTTCCTCAACATACCGTGCTCGTTCCTCCCCTGCGACGCATCCCCAGCACCCTCGAGCTCCCTTTGCACATACAACTGCGTTTTCGCACCCATCAGGCAGCGGTGCAGCTGCAGCTACAATGCGGCTGCACCCTTCTTCGACGTGTGCATTCCCCAATCAATCGGTCGCTGCAATGGAGCTGGGGGCATTGGGAAGTCAGAATAGGATGAATGGCATCCTCGATGGGGTGACAAAGGTGGCGAGGGCGGAGGGGATACGAGGTCTCTTTAGGGGCCTGAGCCCTACATTGATGATGGCAGTGCCATCGCAAGTCACCTACATGGGATGCTACGACGTCTTCCGCGCCTTCTTCCTCTCCTTCGAAACACCAGTCAAGCGTCCACCCAGTGCCATCAGCAACGCAGCGGCAGCCAGCAACATCACCTCACAGACAGTCCTGACCTCCCTAGTAGCTGGCGCACTCTCGCGAGGGTGCAGCGCCACCCTGGTCACGCCTCTCGAACTCATCCGCACCCGTTTGCAAGCATCGGACGCCTCCCATTCTTTGACGTCCATCGTCCGCTCCCTCGGCACTCAAGTCAGGCAAGAAGGATCACATGTCCTCTTCCGCGGCCTGGCTTCGACCCTTTGGCGCGACGTGCCCTTCTCTGCCATCTACTTCATGGGATACGAGATGATGAAGCGTAGCATGACGGGTGGTGCTGGCTTAGGCGAAGGGGAGCTCAAGGGTGGGCTGGAGGAGTTCGGAATCGCCTTTGTGAGCGGGGCCACGAGTGGAAGTGTGGCTGCCGTGTTCACGCAGCCCTTTGACTTGCTCAAGACGAGACAGCAGGCGAGACAGCAAGAGCACTCTTCCTCATCCTCTGCGGTCACCAGGGGCTCACGCACGATGCAGGGCTTGAAGACCATTGTTGCTGAGGAGGGGTGGAAGGGCTTGTTCAGGGGACTGAGCCCGAGGATGGCAAAGGTGGCCCCGGCGTGTGGCATCATGATTGGAAGCTATGAGGCGGTGGGGACGCTCTTTGCCATGGCAGGCAGCGAATAACAGGAAATCAAAGATAGACTCAATATGGCAACCATCGCATGAATCTTGTAATACCATTCAATATCCAGCAGCAGCAGCGATTGCGAGGGTGCGGAGAAGCCGTGAGGCGGTGCTCAGATTGTGGCGCAGCCTTGACGTTGCTCCTCCACGCCGGCCGGCTGGTCATCCGTCCGCCCGATTCAATCCAACTGCCGCACTGGGCAACGAGTTACTCCTTCGCGTTCCATCCTTTGCATCCATTCCCCTCTACCTCTCGATACCAAGATCCGACCACAATGGAGGCCATCAAGCTTCAGAGGAAGCATCCGCAATTGTGAGGAAGCACATCGCTTCGCCCTGACGAGGCGCAGTGTAGCGCAGCATATATGCGCAGGAGGCTAAACCAGTTACCCTTCCCCCTCCCCTTTCCCCCACCCTCGCAGCTCGCAAGAGGAGATGATGTCCCTCATCAACCGTTTCCATCAAATTGACATCGATGGGAAGGGCTCAGTAGGCAAGCAAGACGTCATCAAAGCTGTGCAGGACCAAGGAGAGGCTTCGTACGATCAGGCAAGGGAGACACTTAAGGAGGTCAATCTGGACTCGTCGGGTAGGGTCGAGTTGGAGGACTACGTTGAGGTGAGTGAGAGCAAGGCGGCATCGTATCATAGCACGATAGATGACTGATCTGACCGATCATTGCCACCCAACCGCAGCTCTTCGCTAAGCTTCGAGCGGGTCGCAACCTGTCTGCAGGAACCGTCACCAAGGGAAAGGTGACCGTAAAGGGCAGCAACGCCAGCGTCCAACACACTATCAACGAGGACGAGCGTACTGAATTCACGCGACACATCAACCAAAGCTTGGCCGGCGATGCGCACATTGGCAGTCGTCTGCCGATCCCCACGGACACCTTCCAGCTCTTTGACGAGTGCAAGGATGGATTGATTCTGTGCAAGCTGATCAACGATGCTGTGCCAGAGACGATCGACGAACGTGTATTGAACGTTGGGAAGGGAGCAAAGGGTGAGGGCGATCAAGAGGTAAAGGTCATGACCTCAGGGGCACTGTGGCTGACACCTCTTTGTCGACGACCGCGCAGGCCCAAACGCCTTTCAAATGACCGAGAACAACAACATCGTCATCACATCAGCGAAGGCTATCGGGTGCAGTGTGGTCAACGTCGGCGCCCAAGACCTGATCGATGGCCGTGAGCACCTCATTCTCGGTCTCATCTGGCAGATCATTCGCCGCGGCCTGCTCAGCAAGATCGACCTTAAGAACCACCCGGAGCTCTACCGCCTTCTCGACGACGGCGAGACGCTCGAAGAGTTCTTGCGTCTACCCCCCGATCAGATCCTGCTGCGTTGGTTCAACTATCATCTCAAGGCCGCCAACTGGCCGCAGCGCGTCAACAACTTCAGCAAGGACGTGTCGGACGGGACGAATTACACGGTATTGCTCAACCAGCTCAAGCCGGAGTCGTGCGACCGTGCACCTTTGCAGCAGGGAGACGTACTCAAGCGTGCAGAGATGGTCTTGCAGCGAGCGGATGCGATCGGGTGCCGCAAATACCTCACCCCTGGGGCGATGGTAGCGGGCAACCCGAAGCTCAACTTGGCTTTCGTGGCGCACCTCTTCAACACCTGGCCATGCCTCGAAGCTCTGGAGGAGCCTCCTCCGATGGAGATCGAGGACTTCGATGCCGAGGGAGAGCGGGAGGCTCGAGTCTTCACCCTGTGGCTCAACAGCTTGGACGTGGACCCTGGAGTCTACAGCTTGTTTGAGGACCTCAAGGACGGCTCCGTCATCCTTCAGGCGTTTGATAAAGTCGTGCCAGGGTCAGTCGTGTGGAGGAGGGTGAGCAAGCCCAAGGAGGGGCAGGAGTTGAGCAGATTTAAGGCAGTAGAGAACACCAACTACGCAGTCGACCTGGCAAAGGCAAACCAAATGCACATCGTGGGGATCCAGGGAGCCGATATCGTCGATGGGACGAAGACGTTGACGTTGGGCTTGGTCTGGCAATTGATGCGCCTCAACATCTCGAAGACGTGAGTAGCCGCGCAGTAGCAGCGGCAGCTCTTCGCTGCGATGCTGACCCCTTGCATCCCTTTTTTGCCCGCGCAGTCTCTCATCTTTGGGTAAGGCAGGACGAGGCGTTTCAGACCAGGACATGGTTGCTTGGGCAAACAACGTCGTCAAGACCTCAGGCAAGACTTCCTCGATGCGATCATTCAAGGACCCGTCACTTCGCTCTGCCCACTTTTTCCTGGACGTCCTCGACGGCCTGCGAAAGGGAATCGTCGACTACTCCCTCGTCACAAAGGGGAGCACCGAGGACGAGTGCAGGAATAACGCTAAACTGGCTATTTCGATTGCGAGGAAGATGGGAGCCCTGATCTTCCTGGTTCCAGAGGATATTGTTGATGTGAGGCAGAGGTTGATCTTGACTTTTGTGGGGAGCTTGATGGCTTTGCAGGGTGGGGCTGGGTCAGCGTGAGAGGGTAAATGCACATCCAAAGCTGTTCGTAGGGGAGCGTATATCTAGCTCGGCTTGTCAAGGCAATTGCAAAGACTTTGAAAGCCCTGCAAGGAGGCGGTGGGGATGACAGCCGCTCAGCGGAGGTATCAGTGTGAGATATCAGACCCTGAGTCCCTTCCACCAGGCAAGCTCGCGACGAACCCACTGCTTGTCAGCACTGCCCTGTCAAACAAGCTTGCCCTCCTAGCCTCAATGTCACTCATGAGCCAACCCTATCGTCTCCCTCCAGCTCGATCCGGCTCATCGAAGCTTCACCTCGCGCTCTCTCTATCAAGGTTCTCTTGCGCCTGCACGCCTGTCCACCTGCCAATTCAATCGAGGACTGAGTCGCCGAGCAGACGTAGGGACCTGCGTCCACTAGCTCCAAGCTTCGGACCTCGCTTTCATCTTCGCAATGACCGTGCGCGCATGAGAGGAGAGAGCCCCATGCGCGTCAGACCAGACGGCGGCGTCAAGGCCCGGCGAAGCGAGAGAGGCAGGCGTTGACGTTGGCGTGCGTGCGCTGCCCTCGCTCAGACAGGCAAGCAGGCAGGCAGGTTGGCGAGAGGATTGACCTCGTCATGGTACGGCTAGCGTTGCTTGCCAGGCGATCTAGACGCCGTCGATGGTTCAACGTGCTTGTCGTTACCAGCAAAAACCAGGAACGCGAGGGTCTGCAAATTCATCTCTGACGCCAATCTGGGTAAGATCGACCTCGTCGGCGACACCGCCCGAGACGAGGAGAAGGTCTCAGGTCTCCTCGCGGCGGGGAAGGCGAAGGTGGAGCGCAGGATGCGAAGCTTAGGGAGAAGCAAGGTCAAGCGAGGCGAGACGTTGAGCATGTTCACGCTCATGCTGATGCTCGTGCTGTCCAATCGCGGCGTAGATGCGTAAAGTCAAGAGGGGGACCGAGCCTGCGCGACAGGGCGGTGATTCACATGAGCATTGGAAGTGAGAAGGGTTCTTAAATGGAGGCTGCTCCAGCATGGTGTCCTACCCTCTCACCGTCTTCACTCTCCATCAATTGTAGCCATCATGGACACCCTCAGACTTCTCAATCTCAAGGATGCCGAGATCGTCAAGGCGGTCATCTATGCCCTCTCCGGCCTAATCATCTGGGACTTCTTCAGCTCCCTCCGCTTCGATCTTGACATCCTGCGCGGACGTACTCGCCTCTCTTGGTCCCTCGCCGTCTACCTGCTGGCCAGGTATGCTTCACTGCTCTTCGTGGGCGGAGTGATTCCACAGGCGGAGAGTACGACCAAGGTGGACTGTCAAGCGGTATGGAACGTGATACTTTTGGCAACGACGTTTCAGGTGAGCCAAGCGCAAAGTCCATTCCCCTTAGCCAGCCGCAAATGCTCATCATAGTTTCACCTTCATCGCGCTAGAAATGCTGGGGCCAAGCGCTCTTTATCATTCGAGCGTGCGCGATCTGGTCTTGGAACCGCTTGGTTATCTCCAGCCTCCTCATCCTCTGGCTCTTGCACTGGGCCTTCTCCCTTGCCAACTTCCCCCTTGTTCGCATGACGTGGATAGACCACCCCATCATCCCAGGCTATGGCTCTTGTCTGGCCTCGTCGTACCACTGGGCGATCGGGGTCGCCTACATCCTGACGTGGTGCACGGACGTGGCCGTCTTTGGATTGGCGGCTTGGCGTTTGCTGAGACTTTCGCATGCCGTGAGGAGCCCGTTCAGCAAGGTGCTGCTCAATGATGGAGTGGCATGGTGCTGTCTCACCGTCGTCCCTACTACTGCTGCTATTGTCATGTTTTACGCGGGCAAAACGTGAGTTGGCCGCAGCCGGAAAGAGCACCACCGTAGAGCTGACCCGTCTACCTTTCCTCGCACAGTGTGCCCGCGCAATCCATCTGCCTCATCATCTCCTCGACCATGCATTCCCTCCTCGCATGCAGAGCCTACCGCAAGCTGGCCGACTTCGCCGATACTCTACCAGCATCCTTCTGCCCGCGAGACGGAGTTGCCAATGGGACGATGCTTGACCCGGATACGCTAGCGAGGCTGGCGTGGATGTCGGGCAACTACGGCAATGCTAGCGAGAGCGACGTTGGAACTCTGGAGAAGGAGCAGCAGCAGGCTCGTCCGCTCACGGAGGTGCTTACCATGCCCCGAAACCCGAGGAGGGGGTTGTTCGCGCTGAGGCCTGAACGTGCTCAGCAGCAGCCAAGCCCGAGGACACAACGCCCTGACTACCCAGCAGTACCTCCTGGTGACGGCATTGGTGTCGGCGTGCAGGTCATGACTCAGAGCACCTCGCATGAAGACCACAATGTCGAGCTGCCCCTTCACACGCAGCGCAGGGAGACGATGGTAATGCCGTCCAAGGAGGCGCGTCAGGGGAGCATTGCGACCTTGGACTCCTCATGGAGCTCGCATGGCTCCGGAGGAGGGAGCAGCAGTAGTGGATCTGACTCGTGTGGTGGCAAGTCCTAGCTTTCTGTAGCAATCCAATCTAGCCGTCGTCGTCATCATCGAGAGCTTGACGGTATCACCGTGACTCTGACCACGTGGTTGTTGCCTCTGCTTCCGTCTCTCTCCACACTGAGCTCGCTGCACGACCCTCGAGGCCATGCTCCTTTCCCTCTTACCTTGCCTCACAAGGTGGGACAATGTCTCTGCCCAACTTCGACCTCAACCGCCCTCGTGATGTCAACTCGGACGCTGCGGGCGGTGGCGGCATAGAATCACAAGGCAGCGGCTCAGGCCTCGCCGCCCGACCTCGCCGCGAACGCATACAGCCCCGCCCTTCGTCCCCATCAGCATGGCGTCTGCAACTAGGCGTCGACCCACGCACAACTTCCGCATCAGTCGCTTTGCTACTCGTCCACGCTACATGCTCTGTCCTCTTCCTCGTCTTCCTCAACTCGGCGCAAGCCTTCCTGCTGCCACTCCTCGCAGCTGCGTCCGAGCACGAGCACCAAGACGCCCCTGACTCTTCTGTGAGAGTGGGCTCTCTGTCCGGCCAGCTGCAGCTGAGCGACGAGCTGCTCAGTGTGGTGCTAGTGCTCTTCTGGGGAGCTCTGGCGGATCGAAGTGGTGGGTTGAGAGGCCTTGGAGGTGTGCCCCTGGTTGCGGCACTTGGATATGCCCTGGTGGCTGCTGGGCTTGGAGCGTACGCACTTGCACAGAAGCCTTGGCCCGATCTGCTATGGGCTAGGCTGATATTTGCGAGCGGAGCGTCAGCCGTGACTGCTATGCTCACCGGAGCGCTTGCTACTTATGCCGCGCCTCCGACGGAAGAGCAGGGAGAGGAAGGAAGTGAAGTCGTTGCTACCACGACCGGGGAGGAGGACGTTGATTCAGCACCGCCAGGGGAGCGGACACCGCTGCTTCAGTCATCATCGACGACTGCCTCAGCATCGCCATTTGCCAACCGCAAGCGCCGACACGGCCGCCTCTCTGCCTTTGCAGGGCTTCTCACAGGCATAGGGGCAGTCATAGCTGTCCTCTTCCTCCTTCCGCTGCCCGTACGACTCGCTGCGTGGCAGGGCAATGACCAAGGGCCGCACAAGGAGGAGCTGCTGCTACGTGCCACTCGTCAAGCCTTCCTTCTCGTAGCTGCACTAGCTCTTCTCGTCTCTCTGGCTATCGCGCTCGGGCTCAGAGAACCGGTAGATGCCAAGGATCGGGCGAAGAGGCGCGAGCAGGTATCGAGACGAGCAGGTCAACGAGAGCAGCAAGCACAACCAGCCCAGCAAGACGCGCGAGCAGCTCGTCGGGCACGTCTTCAATCACGCCGCTCGGAGACTTCCACTAGCTTCACTTCCCTCGCATCAGTGGCCATCCGTAGCAGCAAATCCCACCTCCTCTCGCTCCTCCGGGGTTTCTCCCTCGCTCTCCACTCCCCTACCCTCCTCCTGTCCTACCTAGGCGGCTCCCTCGCCCGCTCCCTGACCTTATCGTCTACCCTCTTCCTCCCCCTCTACATAGCACACCACTTCTACGTCTCCCGCCCAGACCTCTGCCGTCCACCACCGGAGGACGGAGGCCCGCCTTTGAAGGAGACGTGCAGGCAGGCCTACATCTTGGCCTCGGCACAGAGTGGCGTACTGCAGACCATGTGTTTGATCGCTGCGCCGATTGCAGGGTGGGCGTGCGATTCGCTGGCCAGTCCAGAGGTAGTGCTCCTCACAGCAAGCCTAGCAGCCACGCTTGGCTTTGGAGGATATGCGGGTGTGAGCGACCCACAGAGGGGAACGGCTTGGGCAACCGCTGCTTTGGTGGGGACGGCTCAGGGCTTGGCTATTGTGAGCAGTCTTGCCCTTGTTGCCAGGGGCAGGTGGGAGGTGGAGGCACATGGAAGAGAGAAGTATGCGGATGTTGTAGACGACGGGGAGGAGCCACAGGGCGAGGTTGCGGAGGATCGGCCGGGAGTCCCAACGTCCCCTCGCGGCTCCGCTCAATCAACCTCAGCAACCCGCTCAGCGGGTGCAATCAGCGGTGCTTACTCCTCATGCGGCGCCCTCGCCATCATCCTCGTCTCATCCATTGGCGGTACCCTCTTTGACTACAGGCCCGTGGCACCCTTCTGGCTCCTGGCCGGATTGGCAGGTGCTACAGCGCTCGCCACGGGCCTAGGGATCGTTGTAGGCAGGCGAAGAGGAAATTGAGAGCCGCGCAAGGGCTGACAAGCCAGGCAATGCCTTGCAATGCTGTGATTCAACAATTCAATTGCCCTTTCTGAACAGCAAACAGCACAAAGTAGCGGCGAAGGGCCAGAGAAGGGAAGCAGAAGCGAACGAAAAGTGTAGACAAGAACAACAAAGCATTGATAGATCGGTGACGTGATATGCCGGGTTGCGAGCGGTCCAGAGGTGGGTAAGGGACTGGGATGATGACGGAAAGATGGTGAGGCGTATCTGGTGACGAGAAATGCCTTCGTCTAGTCGGCTGATGATGGTATGCGTCCTCCTAAGGCTCAATGCGGCCCTCTGAGGCGGCCCGCCTGCCTGCCTGCCTACCCACCCGTCCCTGCTGTTACCGCCGTTCCGCCGGTTCCCCCACTCCCCTCACTCGCAGTCCTACTGCGCCTCTCCTCCTTCTCCTCCTCCCACTCCTGCTTCCACGCCTTCAGCAGTGTAGTCAGCGCGCGAGGAGCAAGCGGCTTGGTGTGCCACTCGTCCATGCCTAGCTCAAGGCCTTTGCGCTGGTCTTCCTTTGAGCTGAGAGCCGTGACGGCTGCGATGCGTGGTCGGCGGTAGGTCCAAGAGAGAGTGGTGGGCGCTGTTGAGGGAGCGAGGCTGCTCGCATCGCCCGTCTGCTCAGACTCGGTGGATTCATTGCCGGCGCCACCGCCGCCGACGGCGAATCGCTGCTTATTGGAAGCCACGACGGACGATCCGACGTCGACTACGGCGTCGATAGCCCCATCGGCAGTCTCGGCCGCGCTATCGGCCGCGTCATGCTCGTGAGCCCTCATCTCCTTGCAGACCTGGAATCCATCGGCCACTGGTAGCGAGATGTCTAGCAGGACCAGGTGTGGGCGATACGCCTTGTATTTCGTGATGGCTTCGCCCCCATCGTGCGCTTCGGCGTAGTTGATGCCGAGACGTTGGAGGACAACAGTGAGGATCTTCCTGTGGGAGTAAGAGAGTGAGGAAGATGACAGTCAGCTCTTGAACCGCTCGAAGTAGGGCGACAGAAGCGGAGCTCGTGTACTCACATGTTGGTGGGATTGTCCTCTACGGCGAGAACGCGAAACTCGTCGTCGAGATCTTCCTCCTTGCCTCCGGACGCTTTGCCCTCGCTGTCAGCTTTGCTCTCGGCCTGTGTGAGCGCGGCCTCCTCTTCTCTGCCCGCCTCCTTGACCGCCTGCACCGCCGAGTTGGGCGTGGGCGTCACGACCTCCTCGTCAGCGTCCTCTGGCGTCGTCTTTTGAGCATCACGCATTGCAGCCGGCGAGAGTGGCGGAGGCTGGGCATCGTTCTTCTCTTCTCCCTGTTCCTGCTGGTTGGAGTGATGGTAGTGCGCGGGGGGCTCGCGAAGCACAAACGGTTTGGGATCCTGCAGAAACTCCAGCAGAGTCGCCAGACTCGCGGGCCCGAAGGGTGGCTGGAATAGATGGACCGCTCCTACACCTCCCCGCATCATCTGCTCCATACATGCCAGCTTGGCCGAGCGCTGTAGAGGGTCCGAGCTAACAACAACGAAGCGGGCCCCTTCTTTTGCAGTGAAGGGTAGGCGCTCATCACAGCCAGCCGGGTAGCGCTTTGAGAGGAAGGAGCTTAACGAGACGATCACGTCCGCCTCTTGTGGCGCATCGCTGCGGCAGCTGACGCCGTGGTCTTGGAGGAAGGCGCGCAACATCTCCTCGATGCGGTCCCCTCCTGGGGTGTCGTCGAAGCCGAAGAAATGCGCAGAGCTCACGGCCAAAGGGCCCTTGCTCTTGCAGCTGCAGCTGCAGCCCGAGCCCGAGGCCGAGGCTGAGCCCGCTCCCGTTGTATCAGCGAGTGCCACCAGTGACAGAACGATGGTGACCTGTGTGCCCTTTCCTGGCTCCGAATTCACGTCCATGTGCCCTCCAAGGCGCTGCGTCAATCCAGCAGCGATTGCTCCGCCCAGTCCCGTTCCCTGCTTGAAGGGGTCTGCCTTGGCGAAGGGCTGCAGGTACTTGTTGCGAAGGAAAGTCGCATCCATCCCGCAACCGGAGTCAATGAACTCGAATGCGACCCAGACTTCCTTGCTAGCCCCACCATCGTCAAACATTGAGGAGGTCATGGCTGACTCCGTTGCGCTACCATCGCCGCCGGCGCCTCCCTCATCACCCTCTTCTACGTCATTCTTATCTCGCTCTGCAGGTCTGATTTTGACCTCAACGAAGCCGCCGACGCCAGGCTCTCGCGTCGTGAAACGGAAGGCGTTGTGCAACAGCTTGCGGAAGATCTTGCGCATCGAGGGTCGATCAACACGGAATCGGCCGCGTAGGCTGGGGTCGATGGAGACGAAGAAGTCTGGTGGACGCACATCGAGGTTCTCTCGCTGAGAGGCTGGAGCAAGCTCGGCGCTGTGGCGGAGAGTTATGGCCGCCACCTCTACCTCTTCTTGCCCGACGTCTTCGATGAGGCTCGCAAGGAACGCCTCGTCCAGTCGAGCAGCAGCAGCCGATGCCGAACGAATGCCAGAGAGGTCACCAAAGTCGAGTACATCATCCAGGATGGAGCTGACGTTGCCAGCTGCAAGGCGAATACCTTCGAGACAGCCAGAGAGAAAGCCGTCTGGGCTCATGTCTAGATCTCGACCGCCCGCAGCGACACTTGCTCGTAGGAGCTCGGTGACGCCGCTGATGCCGTTGAGGGGGGTACGCATCTCGTGCTGGATGCTGCGAACGAAGTCGAGTTGCGTACGGTCCGCAAGGCGGGCACGTTGTCGGAGGAGCGACGCTTCAAGAATTCTCGTAGCCGCCGTGAGAAGGTTGTAGTCGGTCTTCTGCAGAATTTTCACGTCGTTCCAAGCGACAATGATGAGGAATGTAGCCTGAGGGTCCTCCGCGTCGGCCGTTATAGGGTTCGCCACGTACATTGCGGGCTTGTTTGCTGGATCCCAAAGACAGCCCAGAGGGTCCATCATGCTGTGAGCCTTGGGACTAATGGGCGATGCGCTTTCCTCGCCTACAGCAAAATCATCCTCGGACGGCGAGGACATGGAACTCGGTCCACTTGCCTGCGTAAGGTAAGGTCCGCGCATCGACTGACCGCCACGCACAGGACCGTGAAAGTCCCTCTCGCGACGCCACTCTGCCAGAAGGCGACCCATGGCCGCACGCCCTCGAGCGTCACTGACGTGCACTGGCCTGGGATCGCCGTCAGATGCGAAGATTGTGGGCTTGTGGGCAGGGTCGATCTGCGCGATGTATTGGCCGTCTTCCCAGCTGGTACCGGACGCGGTCCCGCCCTTGCCGAAGAGGTTGCGCGATGATGAACGCGAGTGCGAGATCCGGCCTGATCCACCACCACCTCCTCCGAAGCTGCTGCTGCTACTGCTGCTGCTGGTACTTGGGCCGCCGCCGTCGCCCCCGCTACTGCTGCTGAACTCGTAAGGAGCGTCGTCGGGCGTAGTCGCGTGCGATGAAGATGGGGGCGACACGAAAGTCTCGTCTGCGCTGAGAGAGGTCGAATGTGAGGACCACCCGGAGCTGAAGTCGCGCGTTCTTTGTCTTCTCTGGGGCGAAGCGGAAGGATTGCCAGCGCTGCCACTACCGGCACTGCTAGGCGACAGGACCGAGCGAGAGCCTGACACGACGCTGGCGGTGCGTGCGGTGGAAAGACGATAGGCCGTCGTGTCGATGATCGTTGCCGAGCCCTCCAGGCATTCAGCGATCGTCTTAACGATGAGAGCGGCAAGATCGCAGTGGACCTCCGTAGTGCTGTCGGTCGCGACGCTCGACTGATAGCTTGAGTTGTTCCAGCTATAGTCTGCGATCGTAGTAATCGAAGATTGAACTCTAGTGGCCCTGGCGGCTTCGATTCGATGAATCTCCTGTTGTAGACTCTCGCATGCCATCTGCGCGATATCGCCTAGCATTTCTGCCTCTTCCTCTCCAAAGTCGTAACGAGGCTTGCCATCCGATATGCTCAGCTGGCCAATGCAGATCTTTGTCTTGTCGTTTGGGTCGAGTGAGTCGACGAGCATGGGAGCACTAGCATAGAAGTGGGCTTTGTTCGCGATGACGGTCGGGTTGCTTTTGAATCTCCAATCTTTTTCCAGATCCGGAATGACTACGACTTCTGGGTCGTTGTTGAGCATGGCGTGGGCACAGACGGACGTGGAGCGATCATGTAGGATGCTGTGTTCGCGAGGCTGAGCGAGATCCTCAGTGACGCACATGACGATGGAATCGTCTTCGGCGCAGGGCGTCATGAATTGGGCGGCGGCGACTTTGAAGACTTTGCGTGCGTGCTTGGCGTAGCGTAGTAGCTCATGGCGGTATGTTGGCTTGGTGAAGCCGTACTGCCTAAGAGCGGCTCGACGAGCTTGGAGTGCCTTGCGGGTGGGGAGAGGAGCAGGCAGGTAGCCGGCCGTGAGGAAGAAGCCTGCGTGAGAGAAGACGTGGGTAAGTCAGTGGAGGCTGCGCAACGTGTGGACTTTGGGCGCGGAGACTCACGCATTGGGTCCAGCATCTCGCCAGGGCCACTGAATGTGGGCCTTTGTCCACCGGTGGCAGTCGACTGAGCGTCATTGACGGTCAAACTGCGTCGATTGCCGGGACGCCTCAACATGTCCGGCGGCTGTACCGGCCTCCTCGAAGACGACGACAATGGCGCCTGTGTCCAACTTCCTCCCCTCTTGTACGAAGTATGGAAGTGTTGCCATTCATCGAAAGTCTCGGGCAGATGTGGATTCGCCGCCGTAGTAGCGCGATAGGCTGAGCATGGCGCCAATGGGCCGCGTGAAGGAGTCGACGAGGATCGATCGCGGCCGGCGCCAGCGGGCGGTGCAGGTTGCGAGTGATGACCTCTCTTGGGCAGCATCGCGGTGGAAGGCGTCACAGCATTAATGGCGGTGCGCACAGAGCGATGCGAGAGAGTTGTGCTTCAGGAGTGTGCGAGCCGCAATGAGAGTGCCCAAGGAGATTGGTCGTTAGGAATGCCAGTGAGCGCAGCCGCAACCTTAGCCCAGGGTCGGGAGAGTGTTGGTGGCGGGTGGTACAAGCCAAAGATAGAAGCCGGCGTCAAGGAAAGGAAAGAAGGAAAGGCGTGAGATGCGGGCGATCTGATCGCGAAGGAGAGTGAAAGATGTGTGAGATGAGAAGCAAGGGAGCGAGCGTCGTATGTCTCACTCACTGAACCGCCCGACGCAAGAGCAGCGGGGCGGGCGAGGACAGAGGGCGGGAGCAGCGACAAGGAGAGGCGCCGGTTGCTCAATGCCGCTGCCGTGCCTCGTTCCGGCTGCCGACACAGCGATGGGCGGGCGGCGGCGTTTCCACTTCCACTCGAGGTGGCTGGTTCATCCCTCAGCGTCACCGTGAGAAAACGCATGTCTTGGAGCGGAAGGGGTCACGTACCGAGCTAGGCTGCAACTATTGCTCAGCCTCTTGAGAAACTGCGTACCGCAGGTGAGGTCTAAGGATCATGGCCTCGTGGTGGCAGCCTCATCGTGGAAGCCCAGCCGCAACAGCCGCAATCGTCACCCTTGTCGCCGCTGGAGCTGCATTAGTGTACGCTCTCCTCCCACCTCGCCCCCTTCGCGACCGGCTACAAGGACCACAGCCAGATGAAGTAACCCAGATCGACAATGACATCTACGAGGGTGAGAGTGGCTTCTGGGACGACGCAGAGGATGCTCCCCTTCGTCTCGTCAATGCCGCGAGGATTCCCTACTTTGCCTCCATCTGGGAGCGCGAGGTACAGCCGGTGCAGGGCGAAGAGCGTCGCTACCTCGACGTCGGCTGCGGCGGGGGCGTAGCAACAGAGGAGCTAGCCAAGCTCTCCTTTATAGACCACATCGTCGGTCTCGACCCGGCAAAGGGGGCAATTCGACACGCCCAGCAGCGGGTCAAGCAACTCAATCTCAACGGCAAGCTTTCCTACGTGACAGGCTCCGCCTTCTCCCTCCCGTTTCCCTCGAATCACTTCAACGGCGTCGTCTCCTCCGACGTCATCGAGCACCTCGAGGACGTTTCGGCCGCCCTGGCCGAGGTATATCGCGTCCTCAAGCCAGGAGGGATCTTTGTCTTCGACACGATCAATCGCACCGCCTACTCGTGGTTGACGACGATCCTGCTCGCCCAACGCCTGCTGCGCTACATCCCGGAGGATGCGCATGATTGGCGTCTCTACGTGACGCCGCAGGAGATGAGGCATGGCTTGGAGAAGGCTGGATTTGAGGTCGGTGATGAGAGGAGTGAGTGGAGCGGGATGGGGCCGAGCCTTTATGCGCCTCATAGGGTGCTCCGGCGGCTCCTGGCGGAGAAAAAGGGGAGGGCCAGTCTGTTCGGGCCGTGGGGTCAGAGTAGATGGAACAAGCAGGCATCGTATCTGGGTTGGGCCAGAAAGCCACTCGAGAAGGCAGACAAGCCAGAGTGAAATAGATAGATTGAAACATGAGCCAGCGAGAAGACGAGAGGGAGCAACGAGCGAGCATTAAAAGGTATTCTGCTAACGAGCGTGATGTGCTTCAGAGCGAGCACTTCGCTTGACTTGCAATTCGGAATCGTCCTAGAGGGTATGCACGAAGCAATGAAGGCAGAATGATTCCATTAGGCAGCGGCAGCCGTTGTGGGCGCAGCAGCTGGTGCTCCATTGACGCCATTGGGCACGCTAACACCGTCAGCTGTGCTGTTGACTCCCTCAGTCGGCCCGGTCACGGTGGCCGGCTTGGCTCCCGGCTTCTCTGCCTCGCCGATGACCGAGGCAGGCCCAGCGTTGACATGCTTGTTGAAGCCCTTGCTGTGAAGCATACCCCAGTGCTCCTTGCCCACCTGCCACGCCGGAGGCGGAGCCTTGACCGGGTAGGACTTGGTCTGCCCGCTGCCCTTGCTTTTCTCAATGCGCAGCTCAAACTCCAGGTCACCCGTCCCCGCGTCACGCTTGACAGCGCACCAATTGCGAGCTCCCATGATATAGCGGTCATTCTGCTTTTGGTCGTTGAGGTCGAGCTCGAAGACGGGAACGGCGCCCTCCTTAGTGCCGTGCTTCCAGAGGCTGCGGTGCGTCTTCTTAGCGAGCTTGTTGAGCATGTTGATGACAGCGGGCGGAGGTGGAGCATTCACGATGGCAGAGGTGATGACAGCGAGGGAGAATTTGGGGTCCATGCGAGGTTCGTGGTGATGATAGCCGGAGAAATAGCCGACGCCTGCGGCATGGACATCGCCCGAGATCCAGCTGATACGGAGGTGCTTCTCCAGCGCCAACTCCTGAACTCGACAGATAAGGGCATTTCGCTCCTTCTTATGGTGTCGTGCGCACCAATGATCGTCTTTTCAAGATGAATTTGAGTCGAGAAGAGTAGTAGAGGGTTGGTAGCAAAGTTGTGGGATGAGGGGCAGGGGCGCGGAGGCGTAAGACGCGTCACGGTCAGCTCAATGCTTCGCGACGCGCAGATCACCTCCCCAAGTACTCACTGAGGTCGTCCAAGAGTTCAACATCGCCATTGAAATCGTTGGTGAAGCCTGAACTGATCCCCTTGGCAAGCATGATGAGTGGGTTGAGTTTTGAGGAGAGGGTCGACTCGAGGAAGACCATGCGCGGATACGCGAGCGGAACTCCCAGCAAAATTACGAGGTGCTCAACTCCGCCTGGAACATCAGAGTGGATGCGCTTAAAGATCTTGTCATAGCTCTGCTTGGTACAGATCTGATCCAGCTTGCGCTCTGCGCGACAGTCGACCATGAGGAGCCACTGCTTGGGTCCGAAGTAGGTGAGGAAGGATTGGTGAGGGAAGTCAATGTATGCGCCCTTGTTTCCGACAATAATCGAGCGATTTGAGTGCTTGCCCGGAGTGTCGTCGGTGCCGTCTACTTCAAGCTTCATGGCCTGCTGGAAGAGGTAGTACCAGAAGAAGCCCTTGGAGCCGATGGCGTTGAAGATGGGCGACCTCATGAGGCTGCGGGCGCGGAGCGGAGCGGAACAGTGGTCAGAAGAAAGCTCGTTTTCAGTAGGTCAGCTGCAGCTACTCACTCTTCGGTGTAGGTGCCAAATCCGTCGATGAGGTCATGGTCGTCCAGCATGTTGCACTGCGGAACCGACGCGATCGTCTTGGAGAAGCTTCCGCTGCCGTACCACTCGACATAATGATTGAACAGGTAGCGGTCAATGCAAGCGCTGATCTCATCGGTGAGAGGCATGGCCATCCTCTTCTTTGGGTTCTTCTCCTCGGTCCACTGCTTCATCTCTGGCTCGAAAGCGAGCTTGTCATTGTAGATCTGGTCACCGCCACCGACGACGGCGTGGAAGGGCAGCTTCTTGTGCTCCTTGAGGACATCGTCCCACAGCGGATTGGGGCCGTTCCACTCCTTCGTGTCACAACTGGCGCTGAAGCCGTTGCAGGAGTGGCCGATCCAGTGGAAGTCTTGGTTCTTGGCGGGCACAAAGAAGCTGTTCGACGTAGCCTCAGTGATGCAGGGAGGCTGCGAGTCGGGGTGAGCAGTTCCCTCGAGGGAGTAGGTGACCTTCTGCTCAGACTGAGAGAGAGGGACCTCAATCTTGAATCGCCAGATGGTATGGGCGGCGGGCTCGCCCTGGTATTGGTGCAGCTTGAGAGCCTGTACCGTCTGCTGAGCATTGTCGTGCCCGACTGCTCCCTCTCCCTGCGCTTTTTGTTCACCGGTCACTTCAGTGCTCTGCCCATCATAAGGTTGCCACCTGAGTCGCAGCGTGGGCGTGACCGAGTAATCGCTCGTGTCGTCGCGCGTTACGAGGAGTGCGAAGCCGTGCCAGACTTGCGTCTTGACGTCGACTGTGTCGTACTTGAGACCTAACACGCGGACGTTGAGTTGGGACATCGTTGCGTGCGGATACGAAGATGAGGCTAATGAGAAGAAATGTAGGAGGTGGGGGGACCTACTGCAGCGACCGCCGGCTCTTCGATGATTAGTAGAGTAGAGCGCGTATGCCCCGTCCGCCAATTTCCAATCCGGGACACGGCGCCTGTCCGTCCGTTGAGCTGCCTGCTTGCCTCTTGCTCGCTTTCTCTGCACCGCTCTGCGACTCCACCGCGTCCGAGCAGTCTTCTTTTCTCGCTGCTGCAGGGTCTCAGTCTCATGCACTGCCAAGACCACGGGAAGTAAGGCGCGGAGGCTGAATCGCGGCCAAGCTAGCCTAGGCGGGCAAATGCGCCGCCGGCCAACGCGAAGTCGATGACGAGATGAGCTGAGGCTGGCGATTTCCATGATAGCGAGCAACGGTTCACGATGAGATAACATCAGATTGGCAGGCGGAATCATCACGATGAGGTTGTCAGGAGGTTCTATTCTAGCTGAGCTCTGCCTCGGCGCTTTTAAACCACCTCGAGGACGAGCGTCGCCGACTGGCCGCCACCGATGCATGCGCTCACTACCGCCCTCTTCTTGCCCAACCTCCTCAAGTTGTGCACCGTAGACGCCGCAATCCTCGCACCCGACGCTCCGAGGGGATGCCCTACGGCAATGGCCCCACCATGAATGTTGAACTTCTCGTCGGGGATGCCCAGCTCCTTCTGCACGCTGAGGGCCTGGGCGGCAAAGGCTTCGTTGACCTCGATCAAATCCATGTCGTCCATCGTGTACCCTGAGCGAGCGAGGGCTTGTCGGATCCCCTCAACGGGGCCAATGCCCATGATCGTCGGCTCGCAGGCGGTGACGGAGTACGAGACGACGCGGGCGAGTGGGGTCAGGCCGTACCTGTTGAGGGCCTCCTCTGACGCGACGACATTGGCGGCTCCTCCGTCGCAGATGCCCGATGCATTACCCGCAGTAACTGCTCCGTCTTTCTTGAAGACCGAGGGCAGCTTGGTAAGCGACTCGATGGTCGTCTTTGCACGCGGGTGCTCATCAGCCGCAAACGTCTCCGTCGTCTTCTTGACGGGCACCTCGACGGGCACAATCTCGTCCTTGAACGCTCCCTCCTCCAGCGCCTTAGCGAAGCGCTGCTGCGATCTGAGGGCGAACTCATCACATTGCTGGCGGGTGATCCCGTACTTGTCTGCGAGGTTCTCAGCTGTGATGCCCATGGGCGTCGGCTTCGGGTACATGTCGGTGAGGGCGGCAGCGAGGGAGTCGACGAGCTTGAGGTCTACACCGTACTTGCCGCCACCGAAGCGGACGCCGTGGAGCGTGTAGGGAGCCTGTGACATTGACTCGGTACCTCCCGTGAGGATCAGGTCTCCATCGCCGCACCTGATCTCCTGGACGGCGTTGATGATCGACTGGAAGCCCGAGCCGCACAGCCTGTTGACGGTCAGAGCAGGCACGGTCACGGGAAGGCCGGCGTGATGACCGACATGACGAGCGAGGTAGGCAGCAGCATTGTCACTAGCGTGGACGTTGCCGAAAATGGTAGCCTTGATCTCCTTCTCAATGCCGTTTGGCAGCTGGTCGAGGGCTGCGCGAGAGGCCAATCCTCCGAGGTTGGCAGCCGTGAACTTGGCCAGCTTGCCTCCAAATGCGCCGAAAGGAGTGCGCTTCGAAGCGACGATGTATGCTGCTTGGCTGAGGGATGTCGAGGGCTTCATGCTGGGCGTGTGAGTGTAGCAGAGAGAAGAGTTGATCGGGAAGCCTCAGGTTCTCGACGTCGACGCCGCCGGCTGTCCGGCTCTCTGGAGCGCGTGAGTCGCAAGCCGGTCCTGAGCCACGTGGTTTGGGCCGCCCCTCCGCACGGGCCTGACTCTCTCGCGATTTTTGGTTCCTGACGCGGTGCTCGCTGTTGCTGTTGCTGTTGCTGTTGCTGTTGCTCTCGCTCTCGCCCATCGTCGATCGTTGAGTCAGCCAGCCAGCCAGCAAAGCCAGCGCACCGCCTGTGCTGAGCATCTGGTCTCCCCACCTCACCATTCGCAATCTCAAGCTCCTCGCTCACCGCGACGAAGACATCCACACACGCCATCAGAAAGCTCCAAAGCACACTACCTCTCACATCACTCCACCGCTAGCAGACAGACCAAGCAGCAAAGCCATTTGAGCGCGTGAGGCTGTGTCACGGGGGGGAGGGCGACGAGGAAAGATGAGATTGATTAGCTCTCTCTGTAGTTAGGGTGACCTATGGAGGAGTAGCCCTTATGGCTCTGGCTTTAAAGTCGTAGAGTCGTAGCGTCGTAGCGTGACCAAGTCGTAGATACCAGCACCAACTCCATAGCGTGCAAGAGGCTTAGTATCATCACGACCAACATCGTCGAGAGCTAGTCAGGCGCCCATCAAGATTGGCATGCAAACCTTCTCTTCGGCTCAAGCACGCGACCAAGTGCAGGCATCAAGGGCTCAACCTCAGCAGATCGTAGCAATAATCCTTGCCACCATCCAGGTCGGCGCGAGGCCCTCAAGACCAGCTCAGCAGATCACAACGGCGTCCTTCACTCCGCTCTGAACACACACGCACACAGAGTCTCCCAGCCGCTGGGAACATTGAAGCGTACCACACAACAAACAACATAGAAACAGAGGATTCTCCAAGATGTCTCCTTCCAGCCCTCTTTCTGCCTCCGCCGCCGCCAACCGCCGCAAGATGTCGTACGCGGACATCCTCAAGAGCAGCCCGCGCCAGATCTTCCCGTCGTCCCCGCCGCTCAGATGTCCAAGGGAACTGATGAGCAGCAGCTGCCCATGGGCGAGCTGGCATTCCCACCGCTTCCTAAGGCAGCAATGCCGAGCACGACAAAGCAGGGCGGTGCTCACATGACCAAGCTCACTGCCGCCGACTCCAGTACGACGGTCAAGAAGGCACGATCTTCAGCCGCTAGGAAGGCCCACTCGGCAAAGGTGTTTATCTTCGATGCCATCAAGAAGCAACCATTGGCGCCCACGAAGCCCTCGTCCTCCGGCTCCGCCTCCAAGGTCGTCACCACCTCGTCTGGCTCAGGTGCGAAGAGGGGTTGCTCCTCGTCCGTCGCCGGCGCAGATCCTGCAACATCCAAGCCGGACTCAGCCCTGCAATGGACCATGAAGAAGCACGCGCGCGACTCTATGCAGCTGGGCCTCAAAGACTCCTAGCCTCCCGCATATGGTGCCTCATCCGCAAGCCCTGCTGGTACATACAACAGATGGTCGGCTCGTCCCGAGACGCTGGCTCCCTCGCCACCGGCCCGTCCAGTGCCGCCAATCAAAGTGCTGGATCGTCGAAAGGACCACCTCTTCAGTCGCCCTCGCTATCCGCTCCGAGCAGCCACACAGGCAGCTCCCTCGCTCATGAAAAAAATCGGTTCCTCACAGCTCCCAATCATCAGTGATGAAGACTCGGATGGGACCCCGCCCTCGTCCCTCCTCCGTCCGGCCAAGACGGCTAGAGAGGCGCGTTCAAGGAAGAGTCAACCAGCCGCAGACGCCGGCCCATCGTCCAAGAGGCTCGCCGGACTCTCATCAATCTGTGGCCAGAAGACATCGACAGCGAAGTGGAAGGGCAAAGACCGTCTGATGGACGATGACGAAGACGCGGTCATGAGCGACTCATCCGACCTTGCATGCAAGAAGCCAGGGGAGCGAAGCGAAAGGCAGACTCAATCGCAACCGAGGATCGCAAGGCCAATGCGATGAAAGGCTCCCCGCTCAATGCCGTCTTCCTTCATCTTATGGAGCAGTGGGAATCGAGGAGCCACTTGAGGGGCAGACGCCTCGCACGACATCCATGGCGGAGATGCCGCTCGTGTGGAGCAGCCTCGCGGCGAATGCGCTGCACTGGTGAGAACCATGTCCCGTTGCCCCGGAGGCGAATAGCGCGCTGACCCTCATAGTCTCTACTCCACGCCAGGTGCACGTATTCAGAGGCCGGTGAGCTCTTCAAGACAGGTTTGGAGGCGCGGGGCATCAGCAAGGCCATTTACCGCGACTGGCACATCTGTCAGATGCTCGTATAATTGGCATTTGACGCATGAAGCCTTCGCCGCGGAATGGTCACGGGGGCACAGCTCGAGGCTCGGTACCACGATCTGATCTCGCACGCTGCCTGCGACAAGGTAATGTGCGGATCGGAATTCTTTAAACGCTGGTACACTATGCGCGAGCTGCGGGCCATCACAGACTTGCCCGGCAAGACAAAGGCCTTCGTCAAGGTGGCCACAGACTTGTCAAAGCCCGACGACAAGCCGGGCAAGCCGCCTCTCCAGCATCTACTTCAGCACCTAGCAACCATGCCCCTTCACGCAACCCATGTAGCATTCCTCCAACGTATCGCCGCCGACGACCCCGCCCGCCTCCCCCTCGTCCAAACCGCCGTCGACTGGCCCACGTTCAAGGTGCCAAACGCGTCCCGCAGGGTGAGGTCTGCCGGCAAAGGCGACTCCTATGAGGAGAACGTCGACGACCTCTTGGGCAAGGCGATCGCGCTGCGAGCATGCCTGCGCGCGTGTGGACCAGACGTGGGCAAGTCCGCCCTCATCTGTCGCTACGGTCCGCATCGCCTCCGCAACTTCGTGCACGCCCTGCGCGACTACGACGGGGAGATGTGGGGGCACAAGAAGTGGCAGTACCTCGCAGACGAGCGTATATGCGAGATCATTGCCACCACCTTTGCCAATGATGAGGAGACGGAGCCCGGTCACTGGACCGTCTCTGCTCTCATCACCGCCGAAGACCGCGAGGAGATGGCGAAGAGGTGCGCACAGGCTTACAAGGATATGATCCAGGAGCTTGGCGAGGACAGTGGCAAGAGGAGGAAGACGGTCCACAGGGATCGTTACGGCTACCTACGCATCATCTCATACAACGCTGCAAAGCGCATCCTCAAGATCACGGGCAGGATCCCGGACCATCTTCGTGAGGAATTTAAGCGACAAGCGGCGTGAGTCGGGCAGTCTTCGCATTGTCGATCCGCAGGTACTGATTCACTGACGATCGCGCCCTCCCTCACAGCCGCATCTATCGTATCGTCGCGCCAATGGCGCTGAGAAAGGAGCTTTCTTGCCCCTTCTGTGATGGCGGCTTGACTTGGGAGCTGGAGGCCGCGAAGGCGGCAAAGAAGGACAAGACGGCAAACGACATAAGCTTCTCCCATGCCACGATCGACGCTCTGCACCCGAGGTGTCGTGGTGGCCAATACGTCAAGGAAAACGTTGTCTTGGTGAGCGCCAACGTTCCTTTGCATCTCGATGCTACATCTACTCACGCCCGCACCATCCTCGTCGCGTGTCGTCATCGCAGTGCTATAACGGCGGCAACTACATCAAGGCTGGATTTCCCGCCGATAATGCACGCCTGCTCCTGAGCCGCCTCGCCCTCGCCAAGCCTGCCCTGCATCCAAGCAAGCATCTACTGCAGATACCCCCTCGCCCACCTACCTGCTCTGCTACCTCTTGGACACCGCTGGACGAGTCCAACTTCGAGTGAGTACGATGAGGAGCGTTGAGACATCCCTAACGCTCGCTGACTTAGATGGTTCGCCCTTCGTCACAGATCGTGGGCGAAGAAGACCGCATCTACCAAAATATCTGTCTAAAAGAGGAACAAGAAGCATCCATTCCAGTTCGCCAGTCCTCAAGAGCTGATGGAGGAGGTGCGAGATCAGCTCCTGCCCGGGCTGATGTACTCGGATCCCTCGGGTGCTGAGCTTCCCCTCGCGCTCGCCGACCTCGATCGCCTCGATCCGAACAAGGGGTACCGCAAGGGAAATGTCCGCTTGCTGCTCGGAGGCCTCAACATGCTGCGCAACAGCTTGGCCGACGACAAACTCCTCTTCGCTTATCTCACGAGGCTGGCGAGTACATTCAACCATGACAGTATACAACACCTAGGACCACACGTAGACGTGCCGGGGATGAGGAGGACGAGGAAGGTCCGGGGAGAGGCGGTGGACGACTCCAACGATTTGGGGTTGGACGAGGAGTTAGAGGATCCGGAGGGCAGAGAGCTAGATCCGGGAGGTTTGAGGACGCGAAAACGTCTTAAGTTGCAGGGCTAGCCTGTAAGCCTACATAGCAATGAACACGCGCTTCGAGAGAGCCTCTCACGTCCGCTCTCCAGACGGCTGCCGACGTCGTACCAACTGTGCTGCGCCTCTCGAGCTCAGCATTCGCGAATGAAAGAAATCATCGAGCTGCGCCCTAGACGTGTCCATCCTCTCAGCAACGAAAGACGGTGGGATGCGCAGGAAGAGAGGTCCTGATGCTGCGTCAGCCGATGATGAATTGGGCTGCCCTGGCGACGAGGGAAGAATTGAAGACCAGCGTCTCCGACAGAATGGAGTCGCACACGTAGCAAAAGCAGGCTTGCGTGATGTGATTGATTGTTGCCAGTCAGTAGAGGAGTTGCTGTCATAGGCAGGATTCAATCCGGCAGACCGAAGAAGCGGCCCGTGGATTAGGGCGGGGCCGCTGAGGAAGTGCGACAAGAAGGCCGCACTGCGGACAGAGATATCATGACATTGGACGATGCGCCAGCGCAAGCGTGTGATAAAAAGCAATGAAGCTGGAAACAGGCTCAAATCACCAAGAACGAGACCGAGCTTCTCCAGAGGCCCCGATCTAAACACGCGTGGCACGCATCCAAGGATGCATCGAGTGTGCCCGCCGCCCGCAGCATTCACAGCCCACGCTGTTGAGCAATGGCGTGCATCATCGCAAGTTGGCCGGTCGTGAAGTGGTTTCGACACTGGTCACCGCTGTAGTCCATCATATTTGTTTTGTCGTCATAGAAGGCGTCGCCTGGGCAACTGTCGATGTCCTCGGTGGGGCAACCATTTGTAGGGCGAGCCTGAGGTGGCACATCTTTGATTATCGAGCCCTTACAACCATGGTCGAAGGCTGGGCAGAGTGACGAGTGCGCAAGCGATGTGGAGGTGCAGCAAGAAGAGTTGGATGCGGAGGGTAGACGCGTGCATTTTGCCGCAGTTGGACGAGGGCAGTAGAGTCAGTAAGCCCGTTCTTGTTGACGAGTGCACGTTGCTCGAGCACTCACGATGATCCAGGCCAAGCCAGTGGCCCACTTGCAGCAGGTGACGAGAGCAAAAGGGATGAGAGGTTGGTGAGCTATGCCGTACTACTTCACATTGCCGTCGTGTCTGCCGCCGCAGTACCTTCGTGCGTGAGCACCTTGCCCTCGTTGTTCCAATAGAGTCCACCACCTGGTAATCCGCGATAGTCCAAGTGAATGGAGTCGCTCTCCGTGTAGTACTGGCATTCTTGACCCGGCTGAGCCGCGGCCAGAGGTCCGAAGCGCTCCATCTGGGAAGTCAGCGGTGGTGACGGGGTCAGCTGGTCACAGTCACGGGGCATGATTGGCGATACTTGCATCGACTACGTAGACTTGCAACTTATTGCAGGCATTGATTGAGAGCTGGCTGGTCATGGCGGCCGTGACAATCTGGCTCCCACCTGCTCCGGTAAAGCCATCCTGCTGAGCCCATCGAGCATTCTGCGTACGGGTGATCCTTTCGAAGGCAAAGCTAAAGCCGTAGCGGTTCACTTCAAAGGGCGAGATGGCAAAGTCAGCCGTTGAGCTCAAGATGTCCGCAACGATCCAGGTGACTCGCGATCTCTGTTGAGCTGATCGACCTGTCTGCTTAGTTGCTCCTCTGGCACGTTGCCCTTTTCGTCCGCGTAGACGACCTGTCCGAGTGCGAGACTTTGTCAGCGAGAGCACTCCTCCAATTTGACTCGGCCCACTCAACGTGAAAAACGACTGGAATTGCTTCCTTAATTCGTCAAAGAGGCGCGTCAGTGATAGCACGCCGATGCAGGCAGCCGCCTCAACGCACCTTGCGCTTGTGCTGCCTTGGCGAGGTGCCGGTGCTGAGGAGTGCGTGATAGTGGTCGACCAAGGGCTTGAGCTCGGCCTGCAAGCTCTTATTGACCTTGTGCTCGTAGCCGCACGGCTTGCGAAGAGAATGACGATCGACGAGCTCCTTGGCGCCGCCATGCCAGAAATGCCCACCGTGCCAGGTGCGAAGGGAAGGGGCTGCATCCACCGTGGCGTCACGCGTCACGTTGCTGCCGGCCATGAGGAGCATGTTGAGGAGGGAGATGGAGACCATGATGAGAAGACGACAGATGAAAGAGGAGGAAGAGGCCAGCTCGTTCCCCCAATGTCGTGTGCTACGGGCAAAAAAGCTCTGCATGTCGACGAACAGGGCCCTCATCCTTATCAAAGCCAGGGTTCAGGAAGATGGCGACAGCAGTACAGCACAGTACGAAGAGAAGGCAATGGGGTAAGCGTGGCGGTCATGGCCTGCCTGCAGGTCACTGTTCCCAGATGCGGCCCCACAATGATCGATGGCTTCCCACACTGAGACGATTGCCGCTCATCGTCCTCCGTCACTGCACTCCAAGCCGCAGATAACTTGACCATCGGATCCCGCCCTCCGTCGTGAGAAGCCGTCATTGCGCCGCCTTGGATCCGATCCGCAATTGCGTAAGTGCGCTGGGCGGTGGTGCGGCACAGCGCCAATTGTATCAACGGCCCCGCTAATTGCCCATCACGGACGTCGCAGGAGTGGTTAGGGTTGCTGGCACGATAGCCGCCGCAGCGGTCTCATGAGCTTTCCCTGAGCCTCTGCTCCATGACTCGTCTCGGTGCTCCCTAGGTGCGGCCGGACATTAGCAGTAGCTTTGTTTTTCACTATAATTTCTCTTCCATCTGGTCTGGCATCAATTGAGGAGGGGAGCATCATGGTCGGCTACGGTGGCTTACGCAAATCCCGAGCTCAAGTGCTCCGCAGATGGGCGCAATTCAGTCGGCTGCGCCCATGTTGAGATGGGATGAGGCATTCGAGGAGATTGTGCTCTTCCTGGTGCGACAGTTCATGCTCCGCATTGTCAATGCCCGTTGACGTTGGTTGATTGGAAAAGATGGATCGTATTAAAGCAAGACAAATTCGGTCCAAGATAGTCGAAAAGCAGCGAAAGGAACAAATACAGTGAAGGTAGTGAAGCAGTAGTCTAGCGAAAGGAGTGAAGCAGAATGATCGTGCGTAGAGCGAGCTGCGAGAAGCTCAGCGTCTTACGTAACGAGCTCAGAGCCCGTTGCCCTTGAAGAAGTCGACGACTCTCCTGTTTGAGTCAGGTCCGGTGTAGCCCACAACAAGGCCGTGGCCACTGGCCGGCTCGATGAAGGTGGAGAAGTTGCCCGCCATGGGGTAGAGCATCTGCACACCATCGAGGAGAGGGGGCTGGCAGTTGCCAGCGCAGAAGGGCAAGTCGTGCTCGCCTGAAATGACAAAGACGGGACCCTTGAAGTCGGCCGACATCATGAGGGCAGACTGCGACGTGAGCTGACCGAGGGTCACGGCGTCGGCATACTCTGGGCCGGCGGCAATGGCAGCGTACTCCGGGTCGTAGTTAGGAGGCCAAAGGAAGAGCTCATAGGTCGAGGTTGGGCTTCCATTGACGAGGTAGACAGACGACTCATTGGAGAAGCGGGAGACATTGGAGAAGACCTGGTTGACAGGCGTCAGAGTTGCACCGGTGAGGAACTGCATGATGCCGGCCGATGAGTTGGAGAAGCCAGTGAGGGCTACAGCGTCAAGGAGGTCGGGAGCCGTAGCGGTGAGGGCTTGCATCTGCAGGCTGCCAAATGAGTGGCCAACCCCGGCAATCTTGGTGTAGTTCTGTTGACCTTCGAAGGCGGTACCGTTGCGCAGCTGGCCGATGAGGTTGGCGAGCAGGGAAACCTCGGTGGCGATCTGCGTCTGGTTGAAGCCGCTCTCCGGATGAGACGTCTGGCCAGTGCCAAGGCGGTCGTAGGTGAGAACCGCGTAGCCGTCCGAGGTGGCCTGGTTGATGAACGAGTACTCAGGAGCTGTGTCGTTTAGAAAATTCCAGTACTCCTTGTTGAAACCAATGCCGTGCGAGGCGACGATGAGGGTTGAGTTGCCCGAGTCGGTCGAATTGGTCGAGGAGGTACTGTTCATGCTCATGGGCGTGCAGTACGTTGCGCTGACATTATAGTCCTGCTGGCTCACGAAGGTACCATTCTCGTGAGCGGCGATCCATGGCATCTGGAAGTTGGTGAACTGCAGGATCTGGGCCGTGATGTACGACTGGTTGCTGTATTGGTCGTCGACGTCGATGTACTGGATGTTGCTCGAGTTGGTCGACACAGAGATGGTGAGGTTGCGGCAGTTGGAGTTGCGCAGGCCCTGAGGACCATGAACGCTTGAGTTGGCATACGATGAGAGGTTCTGGGAACTGTACGACGGCAAGGCGCTGGGTGATGCCATAGCAGGAGCGCTTGCTGAGATGGATGGGCTCGACGTCGCGGACGACATCGACATGTCGCTGCTGCCGCTCGAGGCAGACGCAGAAGCAGCCGAGTCCGTCATCGAGTCGACCGTTGATGAAGCTGAGGCAGTCTCCGGACCAACAGGTGTGGCGGAGGCACCCGTGGCCGAGGGCGCCGCGGATGAGGCCTGACGAGGAGCAATGACGCCGGCCGAGATGCTGCTAGCGGATGCTAGAGCGGCGGCCAACGCAATGAGCGAGGACGAAGTCACCTTCATCGTGGTGGCAGAGAGTGGAAGGGAATCGTTGGGTAGTCTGATGAGTGGTCAAGAGGCAAGGAAATTGGCCGTTTATAACTCAGTGGAAGCTGCCCACCTCATCCTCGGCCCTCGTTGCCCGTCCTCACGGGCCCTCCACTCCTCGCTTGAGCTGTCTAGATTCACTCGACTCGCAAGAGAGGAGCATTGAGCCAAAAGGACCCAGCGCAGGTGCCAGGTGCCGGGTAACAAGTCGCCGAACTTGCAGGCCAGACGTCGGCCGCCACTGCATTCAGCGACGTGAGGGTCCAAGCAATGTGGACCGCCGGGTCAAAGGATGCCGGCATTTGCGCACGCTCACTCACCCGCTGCCTGGTGTCTCATCGTGCGGCGGGCTCGTGGCTGGCCTCACGGGCAGAGAGGGCGGAATGTGCGCCACCAATGACATCGACGGCTGGCTCGCTTGTCTCGTTCTGCCCGCCTCAGGCCAATTCGGGCTACGTGTGGGTGAAGTGGAGGGGAAGCCTGCGCTCTCAATTCCCGTCGTTTCGGTCTTGTCGACGATGATCGATGATGGTGATTCTCAGAATGACTATGATGACAAGAAGAGATGATAATGAAGATCATGACAGAGGATGACAGTGCTCGCACTTTGGCGGCGATGATGATGATGTCGCGTGAAGCAAGGTCCGCGTCGATCAAGAGAATATTACTGAAACACAATCCGATACAGAATGCTGCGAGACCACCGAGCCCGCACCACCTCTTGCCTCAGCCTCAACCCAAATCTATGCTGTCACTTGCTCGGCCGTACCTACTGCGTCAAGAGACGCATCAAACTGCTCAGCACCCTCAAGCTGAGCGGCCGCGTCATGAAGCCGTCTGCTCCACTAGCAAAGGCTCTGCGCTTGTCCTCCTCCGAATTCCTACCTGTCAGGCAGAGTATCTTGACACGCGAGGATGTGAGACCATCACCCGTCTGCTGACCGCCGTCGCCGCTACTCGTCTTGACATCCTTTGCTTGCAGGTACGCCTTCTCCTTGCGCCGAATCGCCGCCGTAGCTTGGTAGCCATCGAGCACGGGCATCGTGACGTCACAGATAATGATGTCAAATGGCACGACGCCACGTTTGACCGCCTCTGGCGAATTTGTCTGCTCGAACAGTTCCACGCACTCCTGTCCATTGAACGCTGCGCTGAAGTCGACGTCGAATTTGTCCATAAAGGCACGGAGCACCTTGATGTTGATCTCGTTGTCGTCAACCCCCAAAACACGAATGCGGCGGCGTGGCTGCTTGCTGGTACCGCTGCTAGTCGACGATGAGGACGGCAACTTGGCAGGCGTCACGGTTCCAACGGCGCTGCGCAAAATCAGGTCTTCGGTGCCGTCGATGCGCACTGTCTGGCCTGGCGATATCGGCCCCGACTTTTTCTTCTTGACGACCGTAGATACAGTAGGCGTGACGACGGGTGCAGCAGGAGTTGACTCGCCGTCCTGGTCGCAACTGTCATCCTCGCCCTCGCCCCTGGCCTCTGCGTCGGACCTCTGCTTCTCAAGCGGCTTGGCAGCAAAGTAGTCGCCGCCGCTTGCTTCATTGCGAAGTAGCGAAGGCGAGAGAGCAACATTCTTGCTTCCACGAATTGACGGCTCCTGGTGGAAGGTAATAGACCTCGGGGGCAGGAGAGGTCGACGAGACCCGCCGGCACCTGCACCAGGGGTAGGCGGCGGCATCTTCCCGAGCCCATCGGCTGCGCCGCCCGCAATGACGTTGGACAGTGGCGTCTTTGCTCTCGGCTCGCCTCCCCAGCGTCGCTTGGCAATCTCATCTTCTGTAGAGTGTCGTCGCACGAGAGCTGACGTCGTCGTCTGGTCGATGGGCCCGGGCGAGATGTGGTACGAGTCTCGAAGCGCAGACGGAAATGCTGGACGTGGAGGTGGAGCATGCGGTGCGATGCTTTCGCCGTCGACGACAGGCCCACGAGGCGTGGCGGCCTCCGTTGCAACGCCGGGCGTGCCGTCCTCTTCCTCCACAGCATCCTCGCGAGTGTCTGCCTGATCCGCGGTACTGCCGATCGCAAAGTAGCTGTCGCCATTCTCCATGTCCTCGCGATGCAGGGGCGATGGTCTCGGCGACGGCAATGGCGTCCCAGGCGCAGTCTGCTCCTCTTCGAGGGGCTCTCCGCCGTCGATACGATCGAGGCACTGCAGGCAAAAATCGACGACGGCCTCGAGCTTAGCAGGACCAGCAGGTTTGAAGAGCATACGAGCAATGCCACCTTTGGCATGATAGGCCTCGCAAGCCTCAGCAACTGCCGAGTCACCTAGAGCAGAGCTCAAGAGAATGACAGGAGGGAGGGGCGTGCGCCTCTTACGAATCTCTTGAAGGAAGCGCGTCTCCTCATTGACTATGATGATGTCGCCGCTGTAGTCGTCGCCTGAATCGACAGCGCTCTTGGATGGAGCAAAGTCCCACCACGAATCGAGGTAGCTGAGCAGTACTTGGCGAAGGTCGACTTGTCCGCGCGAATCGTCGAAGCCGACGAGGGAAACAGAACGAGTCTTCTTGAGGCTGAGCGCAGGTTGGTAGACGGCACCATCGATGTCCTCGGGCGAGGCGACGGCCATCTCGCAAGTGATGCGCATTTCTGTGCCTTCGCCCAGTGTGCTCCAGACGTCGATTTTGCCGTTGATCGAAGGACTCTGAACGATGCTGTTGACAATGGACAGACCAAGACCCGTTCCAGGCCCAAGCTGATTCTCTTGCGTGAAAGGGTGAAACAGCTGCTCTTCAAGAAACTCTCGAGAGATGCCACGTCCCGTGTCCGTAACGCTCAGCTCGACGACAATGTGGGTGTCGGAACTCTGCACCTCTCTGAGCGAGACGTGAACGAAACCTGCCGTGGTGAACTTGAGTGAGTTGCCGATGAGGTTCATGAGGACCCGGCGAATGCCGCCTGCATCGCACGTCACCAGCCAGCCCTTGCTTCTCATCGATACGTCGATGACTGTCTCAACAGCACCAGCCTTCATCTTCTTCACAGCTGAATTGGTGGTTGTAGCGGCCGTGCCGCTGGCACCTATCGCGTAGGCGCTACCAATGCCCGACGTCTGTTGACTCTCCAGCTTTCTCGCCGTCTGACCAATCCAGCTGCTCTCGCACACCTCCTGGACGAGCTTGACCAGATCACACTGCGTAAGCTTGTGCTCTGCGTTGCTCTTGGATCGAGCGCCGCCACTCAGCTTGGTGAAGTCAAGCACATGGTTGACGAGCTCGAGCAGACTTTTGCCGCACGCCTCTACCGTGTCCAGGTAGCTGCCTTGCGTCGTGTTGAGCTTCGTCTCCGCAAGGAGCTCAGCCGATGCTAAGATGCCGTGCAGAGGGGTCCTAAGCTCGTGGGAGATGTTGGAGATGAAGTGACTCTTGGCTTGGTCGGCCAGCATCAGATCCTTTTTGAGAACGGCGCTGAGGATGATGGTGCCCATGGAGCGCATGTACTGAAGAGCTGATTCTCTGACATCCTCGAAATCATCGGCTGCCTGCTTAACATAAGCGCAGAGGAGGGCGAAAGGCTGCTTGTTTAGGCCGAAGATGGGCACGAGAAGCATACTGCTTGTGCCGTGTGGGAGGAGATGACGGAAGACGGTGGGCACATTGGCGTAGAAGCAGCCCGTGCGATGCTGACGAAGGAACTGCGCGACCTTGATATGATGAGACAGAGGCACTGGCGCGTTTCGATCTCCAGAGGGTTGCTCGTCTTCGAAGGTGCCGAGGACGACCATTGGGGCGACGTCCTTGCTCTTGATCGACTCGTCTGGTGCTCCAGAAGACGAATTGATCGTCTGAATATTGGTAGGGTCGTCGAAGCTGGCGTAAGGCGTAACGTCTGGCGCGGAGAATGGACTGGGGTAGAAGATCTTGCTGTCTTTCGAGGGCTGCCCGTTACTACTTGGCGACTCGATGAGCTCGAAGTGCGAGAGATCAAAGACGATAGCACCAGCCGCCTTGAGGGTGGTTTGCATGTTTCTCGCCGCGGTGTTGTAGAGAGCGTGGAGTGAGCTGAAATTCTTGCCGTCACCACCTTCGCCCGCCTCGTCCTCGTGAGAAGCATCCGTAGCCATCTCGAGGCAGTCGCGCGTGAAGAACTCGATCGACTTTTGCATTCGATCGCGAATCGTCAAATGGATACGGTCACGAGTGAGTTCGAGCTCTCTCATGACGACGCGGCCGAACTCCTTGAGTGTATGCCTCAGACGTGGCGAAAATTCGCTTCGTGGCTCGGGATCGATGAGGCAGAGCGTGCCCAGATTGAGGCCGTCCGTGGTCCTCAATGGGCATCCAGCATAGAATCGAATGTGTGGCTCGCCCACGACGAGCGGATTGCCCATGAAGCGCCAATCCTTCTCCGTGTCGAGAATGACGAGGGGCTCGTCGTTGGGCTGAAGGATAGAGTGTGCGCAGAAAGAGCAGTGCTTGGCCCCCGCAATCTGCTGCAAAACCGCCTGACTGAGCTCGGCACCGCCACCTACAGCTGTCTGAAAGACTTGCTCGTTGGCGCCGACAAGGCTGACAAGGACAATTTTGGAGTTAAACACGAGGCGCACAAGGTGACCGATGCGGTCAAAGTTGGGGTCTCCAGCGAGCCTCGGCGGGCCATAGCGAGCCAGAGCACGCTTGCGCTCTGCCTCGTTCGGTGGATTGATGGCAGGTAGATATCCTCGCTCGAAGTAGAACTGCTCGGCTTGACGCCCAGCAGAAACGTAAGAGCTTGACGTCGACTTTGTACGCTCACCGAGGGTGGGTGGCCTCGGACATGCAAGTGGTTGGAATGACGGCGCTGAAGCTGCCATCGCGTCACTGCCAGATGCAAAGCTTGATGCAGTGGCCGTCAAGTGGGGCCTAGTTGGCGAAACGGGTGTTGATCTCTGGGTGCTGGAGCAGGAAGCCGTCCTGGCTTGCGCGGTGACTGGCTGCGAAGGCGCGGAAGACGTTGGCCCCGGAGTCACTTGCGAAGATTGTACCGGCCTGTCCACCAATGAGGCTAGCTGATAAGAATTGAGCTTGCGCAGTGGCACCGTTGAGGCCAAGTCCCCTGGCATCGACGGATTGCCCGGTTCTGACGACCAGCTCATTGTGTGAATTCCGATGGGCTTGGACAGCGACGAAGAGATGTCATCAGGCCGCAAAAGACTTGACCTCCGAGCGGCCCTTCGCAAGCCAGCCACAGTAGCCATCTCATCGATGTGCGGTGCCAAGCCGTTGGGCTCTACGAGGTCGTCTCCAACATTGTCGCAACTAGCCAAGCGCCTCGCAGTGGCAAGATGGCCCTCGGGCGCAGACTGCCAAGCCGTGGGTAATTCACGACTGCCTGGTAAGTCGAAAAAGGTACTCGTTTGGACGGGCGTGGGGCCTGGACGCTGCACACTGTCGGCTGTTTCGATGCCTTCCTGGATCTGATTGCCCGCGTCGACTCGAGGGGAGAGCGTCGGCTCCTTTGAAGGATCGCTCCGGGCTGCGGACCAGATTGTAGGATCTTGTTCCACGCCGTCCCTGCCGTCATTGCCGCGGACGCCTGCCTTAGATACGGTGGGTACGACCTCGGAGTTGCTGTGCGTCGCTCTCTTTGCCTTCTCGGCTTGGGCTTCTTTGGCATTGGCTACTGCATCATCTCGCTTCTCTTCCTTCTCCTTGAGCTTGTCGACGGAAGAGTGCAGTTCCGGTAGGCTCGACGTGGCAAAGCGAATCAACTCCGCATCCGCCTTGGCTGCCATAGCTACCTCGGCCGTCGCGTCGGGGGATCTGATGCCCTCGTACTGCAACGACGTGCTCGGGAGCGCTCGCTCGGGCTGTCTGAAGATGGTTGGATCCAGTGCGACCGGTGGTGGTGTTGGCGCTGTCTCTGTCTGAAGCTGAAGCTTCTTTTCGTCACTGCGGGACACTACTGACGCAAGTGAAGGCAAAGCGTCTGAATCGGCGACCGGCGGCGGCGATGAGGGACGGACCGCAGTCACCGTCAGAGGAGAGAGCGAAGATCGTCTCGCAGCTGGCGAAGCTTGCGATGAGGATGGGCCAGCTGCTGCTGCTGCCGCTGCTGCTGCCTGAGGAGCCGACAGATCCTCATAGCCAAGAGAGGGCCGACGGCCGCCAGCATCTGATGCTGATGGCGAAACGTAGCTACCAGTGTCGCTCGAGCCTTCGTCGGCCTCAGAGCTGGACATGAGAATGCGTGTCTTGGCACCTGGGAAGACAGTGGAGCGCCCTGGTGGCTTCGGCGGCTTCATTGGGTTCCACTTGCCGCGAGCATATGCATATACGAAGTTGGCCCAATCGATTTCAGACGCTGGAGTTACCATTGCCTCCCGCGCTGCTGCGGGCGCCGTCGCTGCTGTGGAATCTGCGCCCGCTTCAGCCAATGATGACGATTCGATGGTCGGCAATTGACTGATTGTGCCCGGAGCCACGAGGGCAGCGCGAGCGTAGCCAGCCATCCCGCTGCTGCCGCTGCCGCTACTGTCAGCGGCGAGAGCCCGGAGGCCATCCTCATCTAGCTCGGAATCGTGAGCGTCAACGTCATCTTCTCCGAGGCTCTTGCTCGATGACCGCCTGATTGCAGTGTCGCGAGCCGTCCGAATAGCTTCAGAGGAGCCTCGCATGACGAGCTTCCCCCTCCTCCCAGATGAGCTGGCAGACGATGATGCTACTCTAGAATGCTCATCGCCACTGTGGTCGCTGTGATCGCGCGAAGCGGCGACAGACGTGACTTTCCTCCATCCACCTCGACGTACAGCGCCTGAGAAGCGAACCCTGCTGCGGTCGTCGACATCGTCAAAGGATGCTTGTGATGCGGATGGAGTGACAGGTGAGGAGGAGGATGGTACCGGCTCGGATGAGGGAGCCTGTGTCAACGACGATTGCTGTGAATGTGGAGTGGAAGATGAAGAAGAAGAGGAGGAGGAGGAGGCAGCTGATGGTCCCGTCGTGGATGCGTCGGTAGATGGTGGCGGCGGCGGCGACGGGGACGACGGATCCATGGTCACGGCAGGGGGCAGACCTCGCACTAGCGCCGTTGATGGCGATGGCGATGGCGGCTGCGACTTTGCCAGGCGACCTCAAAGAGTTGGATGCTGGTGCTGCGCTGCGATGCGATGCAAGCCTCTCGAAAAAGGGAAGAGGATGGCCGAATATAAGTTGAACGGGGATGAGTGATCCCGCTCGCGCAGCGTCTTCTTGGACTCCCTGTAGGCGTCGAGGACGATGATGACAATGACAATGTTCGTCGTTGTTCAAAGACAACTGTATTGACGATCGCGATGAACGACCACGCGAGTGGAGGACTCTACGATGAGTCGCGGAGTCGATAGAGGCGCGGTGTGATGGTCTGGACCGCTCGGTGGCTCTGGCTGGTGGCTTGCTGCACAGGCGGGGCGCGGGCAACGACAAAGGAGCAGACGCCGCTGAACCTTGTCCTCTCAACGGCCCTACTTAAGTGGATTCAAGGGCTCTGCTGGTGGTGATGATGAGGACGAGTAGATAGCAGGGCCGCGGGTTAAAGAAAGCGTCAAGTTGAGTGGAAGAAGGGATAGCGGCAGTGAGCGACGTGACGACGACGGGGCTAGGCAGGAGGAAGTCGCTGTAGCTTCTCTCTCGGTCTCTTACTCGGAGTGGAGCGTCGAGCAGGCCTGAGCTTCACAGCAGGCAGTGGACAAGCAGGGGCGAAAGCAAGAGCCCGCCCGATGCCGCTCGCCCGCCAACCCGCCCGCCAAGTTTGGTCAATTCAGGGCGGGCAAAGCAAGGCAAGGCTGGCTGCACCTCGGTGGCGGCTCCAGCCGAGTCCGCACCACCGTCGACGTCATCGCCAGTCAGCCAGCCAGCAACCAAAGCCACCACGCGCCGCCGCCGATCTTGAGAAACCGCAGGCGCTCATTACGACCTGATCAACGACCAGACCATGGCTTGCCTTCGTGTAATGAGACCAAACACGCCACACCCGTTCGTCAGACAATCTGACGGCGAAGAGGACATATTGTCGAAGAGGATGTGAATGAGGGACAACAAGAACGCGGTCAAGCTGCGATTGCTTCCAAAGTTTGCCTCGACGCTGTCGGTTCCTGCTCCTTCGAGTCTCAGATAGAGCTTGTCAATGGTAATCTCGCTCATTCAGCACCTGCCACATCTTCCGCAACTACCGAGACTGCCTTTGATAGAGCTCGCTTTTCTCATTGGCCGCATCGGTCTCTAGCTCGCTGGAGGATTGCATTGTCTATGTCTTTCTTTCGGTGACCACCACTTGCTGGCCAGCCTTGTTCTCGTGCGCCTCCTGACCCGGCTCGTCCTTGCTCTCCGGATGCTCGAAAAGCCGCTAATCGCTGTCACGTCCAGCGGGAGCGCATCATGCGCAGGCAACCCCGAATCACCCCACATCGATCGCGAAGAGATGGAGCTGTCTACATATGAAGCGATGCGCAAAAGGTATCGTGTGACCGCTCCGGAAGGCGCTCAATATCACTCGCTGCAGCTGAAAGAAAACGGCCTACTATGCTGAGCATGTCATTGCTCCTATCGCCTCATCGCCCATCCGCCCTCGCTCACTGATGAATTGACCTCATCGAGTACATCCCGCTGACCTTGTTTCCCCCATCTTCTTGCTGCAGATCCCCAACGATAGGCCTCATCGCGTACATGTTCGTCTTCCCTGCTGCAGCTCCGTCCACCAGCTCAGGGAAAGAGCCAGCGTCGGGCTGCTTGCCCTCCTTCGCTGCGGCCTTATTTTCCTTTCTGACCTCCTTAGCCTCCTCCTTGCTGTCTCTCGAAGCAACGACAGCAGCAGCAGCCTCCTTCGAGGCCTTCTTGCCCTCCTTCTTACTCCCGGCACCAGCTGCTGCGGCGAGAGCTCCCTTGGCCTTCTTGGCCTCGCGCTCAGCCTTGGCCTTGCGCTTACGCTCCTCTACCTCGCCCGCAGCCGCCGACTTGCCTCCATCAGCCGCAGCGGCAGCAGCAGTAGCAGCCTTACTGCGTGATGCCTCGACCTTGCCATCTGGAATCTTGACGAACTCGCGCTTCCCTGACTCGCCGTTGATCTTGTCGAGGATGTAGTACCCTTTGCGCTCGAATTGCATCCTGTCACCCTCCTTAAGCTGCTCAGCCACATTCGCGTCAGCGAGTGCCTGGGTAGAGAAGATGGTCTGTGGGGTGACAAAGTCCTCGAACTTGTCCTCTTCCTCGAGCTTGGGCTTGGTGATGAGGTAGTCGAAGTCGAGCAGGGTGACGGGGATAAGCGGGCGAGTGGCTGAGTCGGCGAGCCAGTGTACCTTCTTCTTCGTCTTCTTGAAGTCACCGTCGAAGTGGGCTTCAAGCTTGAGCGACTTGACGGCGCCCGTGGCGGGGTCGAGCTCCTTGGAGCGGACAAAGACATTGCCCCAGTCCATGAGCGTAATCTCTTCGTTGTCGGCAAAGCTCTTGGCGTCTTCCTGCTCAACCCAAATGGTGGAGTCGTACACAGTCGTCTTGTTGCCAATTTCAAGATTCTTCTTGTGCTTGGGGACAGCCTTCTCGTGAGCCGGACCCGCACCCTCGATGGTGCACTTGACCTTGCCCGCCTCATCAACTGCAGTGAAGCGCGGCACGATAGGGTCGATGATACGCTTGTTGAGGGTCCAGATCTGGTCCCACTCCATATTGATGATCTGCTGCGAGGGTCCAGTTGCGAGAATAAATTGCTGCAGCGCCTCGATAGTCATACCGCGACGCCTGATGCCGCGGACGGTGGGGAAACGTGGGTCATCCCATCCGGTCACCTTGCCATTGTCGACGAACCATGTCAATTTGCGCTTGCTCAGCAGCGTGTACTGGAAGTTGAGGCGTCCAAAGTCCCAGATCTCAACGTTGCGAAGGTTGAGCTTCTGGAGGAACCAGGCGTACTGCGGGTTGCGATCGCGGTACTCGTTGGTACGCAGGGCATGCGTGATGCCTTCGAGCGAGTCGACAATGGGGCACGCGAAGTCGTAGGTGGGATAGACCTTGTACTTCGTGCCTGTGCGGTGGTGAACCACGTCAGGGTTGCATCGGTAGATGACGGGATCACGCAGCGCCTTGTTGGGATCATCGACGCTCATCTTTGCTCGGAGGCACCAGCGCCTGCCCTCGGCACTTGCGCTCGTCATCTCAGCGAAGCGGGCGAGCGTGTCCTCGACGGAGAGGTCTCGACGCTTCGAGGGCAGACCGTCCATACGTTGTGCTCTCATCTCCTCCTGCTCTGTGTCATCGGCGTAGGCATCACCCTGCTTGATGAGCTGGACGACGTGCTGGTAGAGGACGTCAAAGTAGTCGCTCGTGAAAGTAGTCTGATCGGGACGAATGCCAAGTAGAGCGAGGTCCTCGATGATGGCGTCCTGGAACTCTGACTTTTCCTTCGACGGATTTGTGTCGTCGAAACGTACGATCAGCCTGCCCTTGTAGGAGCGAGCGAAGTACTGGTTGAGAATGGCGGCCTTGGTGTGTCCAAGATGGAGGTATCCAGAAGGCTCGGGTGGGAAACGGGTGACAACCTGTCCTTCCTTGGCTGAGGGCAAGAAGATGTCAAATGACTTGGCTTGAGTAGGCTCGCTAGCCTTGCCGGCCTTCTTGCCAGCCTCCTCGCCCCCAGCAGCGGCAGCGGCAGTCGGCTTGGCGCGCTTTGCCTCGTTGAAGCCGTCGTAGGCGGGCTTGCATACGACCTCCATGTGCGCGAACCAACGAGCGAGGTGGACGTGGGTTCCCTTCTTGAAGATGGCGAGAAGAGGGAAGCAGCCGCGGATACCTGCCCAGATGGCGAGATCTGCGATGGTAACTGTCTGTCCTACGAGAAAGGTGCGCAGTGCAAGGCGGTCGTCGAGGGCATTAGCCTCCTCGAGGGCCGCGGGAAAGGGTAGCGAGGCGAGAGAGATTGCCTTCTGCAGGTAGCCTGATGCCTCTTTGCTCTGTACGCTGTCGCTCCCTGCGATACCGGTGCTGGCGTAGCTGTTCACGAGCCACTGAGCTACATCAGCGAGGCCATTGACAGGCTGCGCCGCCTCTCCAGCCTCGAGAACGACAGAATTCGCAGCTCCCTTTTCCCACTCGATGGTAATGGGCTGCTGAGCCTGGCCAGCAGTCGAGGCCAGGCTGTCGACGATGGCCAGAGGCAAGAGGGCCTCTGTAGCATTCTTTGTCTGCGGATCGAGCTTGATCGTCGTCGGCATGATGATGAATGGTGGAGCGAAGGTGATCAGCTGCGAAGCTTCCAAGGTCCCGACCTCTCTCCGCTTCGACTCAACCCAAAAGTCGAAGGCACGCCCGCCCTCGTCTCCACGCGACCAGACTGTCCGCTCTTTGGACGTCGACGCTCACTCCCGCCCAAGTCGGTTCCGTCTGCACGACCAATCGTTCCTGTCCGTCACTACCATCCACCATCAACCTAGCGCGTCTCCGGTCTGCTCGAGAGCAGCAGCAGCAGCATGGCGTGAGTGGCCGCGCGAGGGGGATCTCTTTGGCAAAGCTGACTCTGCAAGGATCTCTTTCGTACCGCTCAGAGACCTGCTCAATAAGCCAAAATCGGAGCTGGACCAGGAGGAGGTTCGCCGTCTCGAAGAGGTGAGCATGCGGACATCTGGGTGATGAATGCTGCGCTTGTGCTCTTGCTGATTCACAACACTCCTCTTACCTCTCTCGCACGCACTCTTGCCCACAGTACGAAATCTCCCAAGGGCCCCTCTCTGTCCTCCAGCAGTCGGTCCGCAACCACACGCAAGTCCTCATCTCGCTCCGCAACAACCGCAAACTCCTCGGTCGAGTCAAGGCATTTGACCGTCACTCGAACATGGTCCTCGAAAATGTCAAGGAGATGTGGACTGAATACCCCAAGGGCAAGGCTGGGAGCAAGAAGCCTACCAACAAGGACAGGTTCATCAGCAAGATGTTTCTGCGCGGGGACAGCGTGTGTTTGGTCTTGAGGAATACCGCGTAGTGGCAAGGCGGGAAGCATACGTGTGATGGGTGGCGGCTTGATTACCTCGCAGCAAAAGTGCGGGACATGCTGCGGACGCAATGAGCGTGCACACTCTCGGATGGGATGGATGGACGCGGGGCCACGACAGCGCCCGACTCTTGTACTCTTACCTCACTATCAGCCAATCAGCAATTCGACGATCACCGAGCCCGAAAACACTAGCCTCGAAGCGCTCGATGAATGAGGGTGATATTATGCCGAGGAGACCGGGGTAACATGTGAAGCTAGCAAGCTAGCAGAAGAAGTAGACTTGGCTGATAGAAAGCGATAAGGGAAGCCTGGCAACGGGGCGACACGGCGCTCAAGCCTCTTCTGGGAAGAAGTAGTCAAGGCAAAGCTTGGCGCACACCTCTCTGCCAGCCTTGATGCTGGGTGAGCCTTTCTCGTCATGGAAGGCATGACCCTCAAAGCGAAGCGTGACGTAGTGGTCTGGTGAGCAGCGGAGGCTAGCGGGCGGGCGAGACAACAGACACTGGGTCAGCGATCACACTGATCGGCTCCTCTTGGCTACCCACCCTTCCTGAGAGGTGTGCGCGTACTCGGGCGCTCTGAGTGCAGCCTGCTGGGCAAACTCATTGAGCGTAGAGACGGCCGTCTTGCCTGGCTCCCTCTTGAAGGATTCGTGGATTGACCCAGTGCGACTCGAAGCCATCTTCTTCGCTAGCTTGGAGTGGACGGTGATGGGAAGGAGGGACAGTGGACCGGTGCTTGACGTGCTGAGCAATGGAGCTGCTTCTTCGGCATTGTCGTCGGCGTCTTGCTCGCCGTCTCGTGGTCTCTTGCTTGGTGTCAGACGGGGAGAGCTGAGCGCCAGGGCGTCCAAGTCGTTGAGATAGTCGTCGCTGGCCATCGGAGCTGAAAGCTGCCCTTGGTTGCCAGATTCGAAACGATCCCTGCTGGTCGCTACGGCTTCCAGCGCATAGTCGTCCAGCGTCTTGGCCCCCAATGCCTTGAGAGCGATGTGGACTTCGGACAGCTTGGTGATCGGCTCTGTCTTTAGCTCTAGGCCCTGAGGCCTGGAAGGGCTTGTGATCATGGCCGACTGCTCCGTCGCTGAGGCAAAAGGCGCGGATCGAAAGGAGAGAAGGTGCCTGTTGCTCTCGAATGCTGACTAGGGATCCGCTGGCCACTCTCATCGCCCGCCCGCTCGCCCACGGCTCCGTTCACGGCTCAGGATCGATGGCAAACGCAGGCGGCTCGATGGTCACGATTCGACCCTGGTAATGATCCTTCTCCGATTGCCTCGGAGTAGCTTGCTCGCTTGACCTGAATGTCCCCGAGCACTGGCCAGGTGCTGTGTGGCTGCTGAGGAGCTTCAGTCGGCGAGTCCGTGCACAGAGACGAGCACCGCACCGCCGGCCCTCGTTTGTCTGGCTGCCATTTTAGGCTCGACCCACGCCAATCTCCTTCGCTCCTTCCTCTTTACGAATCCACCGATCTATTCCCTAGCCACCTTGACTTAGCCTGGGATGTCGTCCCAGGTCAAAGCCCAAGATCATGCCGTCGGCGCTCCCTCGACAGGGGCAGACGATGCTCCTCAGCCCGACAGCCTTGCCAATGTGACGCAGAAGGATGCTGCAGAGGCAAATGCACTCGAGGCCAAGCTACAGTCCAATGAAGACGCTGGTGCTCGAGTCATGAACTTCGACGAGGATGCCACCCCTGAGCAGAAGGCCGCACAAGCTAAAGCTGCTAAAGACAAAATCAAGCCAAAGGGAGCTGCGGCTCAACAGAAGGCTGACACTGGCATGGGTGCGTGTACGCGATAAGGCCTGGGACGGCCTGGGACGTCGTCTTCGTCCTCTTCGTGCTCTTCACGCTGACATTCTACTCCTCTGTTGCTACGCTGCCGCAGGCCTGGCGTCCGACCTAGGCAAGGCTAAGCACACCTCGTCCACGATTCGCCTCGACGACATTGACCGCACCAGCAAGCAAGAGGGCCAGAAAGGAGATGGCACAGGACCAAAGGCGGGTGCTACCTCAGTCAGCGTCCCTCCTGATGCCATCACCGGTCATACGGGCGCTGCAAGGGCCATGCTGGGCGACAAGCCTCCTCTCAAGGCAGGAGAAGAAGAAGAGGTCAAGCCTGCGTGGGAGAACTCCATGGTCTCCAAGTATGTGCCCGAGGACTACCTGGGACGTTTCTGGTTCGACGGGGCTGCCGTCTTGCTCGCTGTCCTCACAACGTATTTCCTGACTCGGTTTGGAGGTGGCATCTTCGCCATGCTCATCGTCGGCGCTTTCTTTACGACGTATTACAATGCTTCTTCTCGACGAACCCGACAACGAATTCGCGACGATATTGCGCGAGAGATGGTGAGGCGTGCAGCCGCAGCGGGGATCTGCGAGGGCCTGCGAAGAGGGTTGCTGACTTCTCTACTCCTCTACGATTCGCTCCAACGCCCGCCGAGCTCAGGCCAAGAACAAGATGCTCGATGAGAACGAATCAGTCATGTGGATGAACTCAGCCCTCGCCCGCTTCTGGGCCATCTACGAGCCCGTTCTGAGTGCAACGATCATCTCGACAGTCGACGCCATCCTCGTTCAGAACTGCCCCTCTTTCCTAGACTCGATCCGCCTCACGACGTTCACGCTGGGAACCAAGGCGCCCAAGGTCGACTTTGTCCGTACTATCGCTACCAAGACGGAAGAAGAGATCTGTATGGATTGGAAGTTCAGCTTCACGCCCAATGACACGCAAGACTTGACCGTGCGCCAGGCGGCGGCCAAGATCAACCCCAAGATCGTACTCACTGTTCGAGTTGGTCGTGGCTTCGTTGGCGCTGGCCTGCCAATCCTCGTTGAGGATATCAGCTTTGTGAGTAGCGCAGCGCACCTCTTCGCAGCATGACTCTCTGACCCCCCTCTCCGCTACATTTCCTCCTCTTTCACGTCTCGCTTCCACCCAGGTTGGCCATGTTCGCCTGAGGATGCAGCTCATGAGCAACTTCCCCCACGTGCAGCTCGTCGACGTGTCCATGATGACCCCACCTGAGTTTGACTACGTTCTCAAGCCCGTGGGAGGCGACACCTTCGGCTTCGATATTGGCAACATCCCAGGACTCAATGGCTTCATCCGCGAGCAGGTTCATGCCAATCTTGGCCCCATGCTCTACTACCCGAATGTTCTCACCATCAATCTCGAGGAGCTCATGTCTGGAACGCCTCTGGACACGGCCTCGGGCGTGGTTCAGGTGTCCGTCTGGTCCGCTCGCAACCTCAAGGGCGTCAAGCTTGGCGGTGGCTCTCCCGATCCGTACGTCGCCGTCACAATCGACGACAAGGAGGTCCTGGCCAAGACGAAGCACAAGTCAAGCACGACGTCGCCCTCTTTCAAAGAGACCAAATTCATCCTCGTCAAGGAGCAGGATGTCATGAACGGCTTCCTCGTCTTGCCCGTCATGGACTACAACGATCACCGCCCCGACTCCAAGCTTGGATCTGCCTCCTTCCAGCTAAAGTCCCTCGAGTCGCAGCCCGAGCAGGAGAACATCTCATCTCCCGTCATCCTCAATGGCAAGGAGCGTGGTCAGCTCGAGTATTCGCTCTCGTACTACCCAGTCATCAAGCCCGAGATGGATGCTGATGGCAAGCCTCAGCCGCTGCCAGAAACTCGATCCGGTGTGGTTCGCCTCACCGTCCACCAGGCCAAGGAATTGCCCAAACGCTCCGGTCTTGTCGGCGGTGACGTCAACCCTAGGGCTCGCATCCTGCTCAATGGCTCCAAGATCAAGGAGACGGCTACTCTTAAGCGCACCCTCTCGCCGATCTGGGAGATTCACACCGAGTTCCTCGTCACTGAGCGCCGTAGGGCCGTCATTGGCGTGCAGGTCATCGACGATCACGGCGTGGGCAAGGACCCTGTCATCTCGTACTTGTCCGTCAAGCTCGATGACCTACTCACTGCGCGCGAGAGGCAACAGGACTGGTACCCGCTCACCAAGGAGGGTCGCCTGCGTATGAGCGCAGAGTGGAAGCCCGTCCAGATGGCCGGCTCCGTCAACGGCGGTGCTGCCTGGTCCCCTCCCATTGGCGCCGTCAAGGTTTGGGCCCAATCTGCTAAAGACCTCAAGAATGTCGAGCTCGGAGGTAAAAGCGATCCCTACGTGCGCCTCGTCACTCGCGGTATCCAGCAAGACGCCAGCGTCGTCCGTAACAACAATCTCAACCCTGACTGGGACGAGTACTTGTATTCTACGGTCCACTCGCTCAAGGACCGCATTCTCGTTGAGGTCATGGACTACGAGAACAGCGGCACGCCTCGCTCCCTCGGATCCGTCGAGCTTCAGGCCAAGGACTTTGCCTCTGAGACGGGCAATCCAGAGAAGCCCTACCACTCGACTGGCAGGCAGACGCACAAGGACAAGCTGCACCTCGGTCGTGGCGCCTACAAGGGCGAGATCAACTTCGTCGTCGAGTTCTTGCCGGCCGAGAACATCATGGTTTCCGACTTTGCCGGTGTGGGCAACGAAGTCGCTGACAAGGCCGGTGACATCTTTGACGAGCCAGAGATAGAGGAAGACGATGTCGAAGCTGATGCGGGCGCCAAGAAAGCCATGACAAATGCCAATGTATCGCTGGGCGAGGAAGGCAAGCCTGAGAAGGCCAATGGGCTCACACGCCAGTCCTCAAAGCTGGGCAACGGCACCAAGGCTCACAAGGGCAGCGTCGACAGCGACCGCGCTTCAATCAAGACAGTCGACACGGCGAAGACATCCAACACGGTGGACGAGGCACGCGCGCACGGTAAGCAGATGTCCGTCGAGGAGATTCTCAAGTGCCAAAGCGGTATCATTGCCTTCAACTTGCTTGAGGGCAATATTGCGAAGAAGAACGCCCGCCTCGAGGTTCTCTTCGACGATGGATACTGGCCCTCTTACACCACTGAGCCCTCTCGCACGCAAGGGCACGCGACGATTGACGAAGTGGGCGAGCACGTAGTCAAGGAGCTCGACTGGTCGAAGATGATGCTCAAGCTGCGCACGGGTAAGCGGGACGAGGATGTCTTTGCCGAGTTCCAAGGCAACACAAAGGACGTACTGGAGCGCTCGTTGAACAAGGTGGGCGAGTTCACGCTCGCCTCCGACGCGGGCACACACCGCTCAACGATCAAAATGGAGTGCCGGTACATCCCTTGCGACGTCCGCCTGCAAGCCGTCGAGTCTATCAACAACCAAGGCTTCCTCCGCGTGGACCTGCTCAGCGCCAAAAACCTCCGTGCGGCGGATCGTGGACTGCTGGGAGCGTCGAAGAGCTCTGATCCGTACGTCGCCTTTATGCTCAATGGGGAGCGCATCTTCAAGAGCAAGACGATCAAGAAGACGCTCAATCCTGACTGGGGAGGTGAGAACCTCGGTGAGGTTGAAGTTCTTTCGCGTGTGCATGCCCAGGCCATGCTCGAGATCTACGATTGGGATCAAGTTGGGCAGGCTGATCATCTAGGGGAGTGCGCTGTTGACTTGACCGAGCTTGAGCCGTTCGAGTCCACGACGAAGACTCTGCCCATTGTAGGCAAGGGAGCCGGCGAGAACGGAACCATCACTTTCCGCATGGTGTTCCGTCCTGAGTTCGTTTCGAGTCTGCGCGGCAGGAAGGGAACGAGCTTGAACCTGGGCAGGACCTTTGTAGGCGGCGTCACGGGTGTGGGCAAGGTGGGCGTGGCTGGTGTGCAGGGTGTAGGCAAAGTAGGCGTAGCAGGCGTCAAGGGTGTAGGACACGTCGGTGCTGGAGTAGGCAAGGGTGCGTTTGGCGTTGCTGGAGCTGCGGGTCACGGCGTTGGCTCAGTAGGTCGTGGCGTGCTGGGTACGGTGCGCGGTCGTCGCGCCTCAGCCTCGGCAGACAAGAACGCACAAGCTCAAGAGCAGATCCTCGCCTCCCAAGGAGAGGACGCTGTTCCACCACTGCCCAACAGCGGCAATGCCAGCGAGCTACCCGCCCTTCCTGGTGGTGTGGCCGGTGGCAGCCCGAGCCACTTCAGATCTGCCAGTAACGCCTCGCGCGACGATGTCTCGATGGCGGGTGGGGACGGGACCCCATCGAAGAAGAAGAGGGGTTTCAATCCGTTCCACCGCAGTCATAAGAATAAGGAGACCAGCGCGAATGGAAACGATGGTGGTAGTATTCGGGGATAAGAGGGAGCGAGGAAGGATAGCGAGAGCGGGCCCCACGCTCTGCATATGGAGCACGGTCGCGCATCGGCGTGCGGTCGGGGGTGAGAAGGAGTGTGGCCTGGCATTGCTATCGCAGATGGCATATAGCGCTAATGACATGTGTAGCGTGCAGCGACTGAAGCGCTATTGATTCTTGTTATCGCGCGATACCGAAGAAATGAGAAACGAAAGAATTTTTTCCGTCATTCGACGGTGAGACGAAGGATTAGGAATGACGGACGGCCACTTTCCTCATCGGTCAGGAACAGGTCGCAAGGACTATCGGGCAGACTGTAGAAGATCATCTTCTGACGGCCCTGACGGGGGCCGCGATAGGGATCTACGCCTAATCTCTCTCGACCGCGCCTTGATAGGGCTATAATGAGCGAATCCCATTGCATCGTGTTTGTGCTGCAGGACGCCGCATCGTAGGGCCGGCGTGGTGTGGTGTGGCCTCCCTGTCCTGAGCCTGAGCGCGCTGCTTCGTCTCGTGCATGACTGGGGCGATTGAGCGGCGGTGGAGGGTCATGCGGGCGTATGAGCAATCGCACGCTCCTCCGTCTCCTTCGCTGCCTCAGTGTGCCGAGCGAGCGAATGCACGACCACTCCCCGCACCAAGGACGAGCGCGAGAAGGCACACGCAGTCTAGGCCGGGCAGCGGCAGCCCCGCATCATGGCCGTGCTCGCTGCTGCTTGCTGCGCTTGGTCGCTTTCGGAGGCCTCGTCCGACACTCAATGTCCCCCTCGAGGTTGCTCACTGCTCAGCAATCAATCCAATCGATTCCTTGCCGCACTTACCACGCTCAGGGCGACGACGTCAAAGACTGTGAACAAATCTGCGCCTGTGTCGCTCGCCACTTCCCTTCCTCATCGTCATTGCCGTCGCTCTCGGCGCGCCTTCCAAGTAGATCCCTATCTCTGCCTCGATTGCACCGCACTAGCATTCTTCCTCAATCTTCAATGACGCTTGCGGTCTAAGAGAACGACATCAACACAAGCAACAGCATATAGTCTCGTCTTTCCGATCTTCCCATTCGCGGCCATGTCCGCTGCCACTCTCAATGCATCGCAAGATAGCGTCGCCTCCTCAGCAGCATCGTCCTCCGGCGGCGGCTCCTCCAAAGATGGTCTTCCAATGCCTGCCCGTCGAGTGAGCACCTTCGACTCCTCAAGCTCTTCATCTTACTCGCCGTCGAATCCACACGACCCGAATCTCAAGCCCGCCGCCTCCATCCTCGCCAACGCACACGAGGGTACATCCCGGGAAAAGGTACGGGCCAAGTCCTCCAAGCGCTCCGCCTTCAAGGCTGCCTTTGTACCGGTGCAGCCGGGCAGATTGATCAAGAGCAATGGCAAGCCGCTAGGCAAGAGCTTCGAGCGCAAGACGCCCTTGCCGCAGGGGGCTAAATTCGAGGGTGGTGTGGTACTGCAGCATGACCCGAGAGGAGAGGAGGCGAGCTCCGGTGATGGGCTTGTCCCGGCAGGGGCAACGAGCAGCGATACTACCGGGAGTAGCAGCGTGAACGGCGCTAGTAGTGGGGAGGTCACGGGGGATAGTCTGAGCGAGAGTGGGAGCACCACAGGACTGTCTTCTTCGCCTTCCACGTCGATGTCGTCCTATAGCCGAAGCCCTTCAGTGGATACGGCGGCTGGTGGCGAAGAGGACGATGTCTTCTCTGAGGTCTCGTCGCCCATTCACCACCCGAGGAGTCGGACGAACACCATGTCCACGGAGAGCTCGTCCGTGAGTGCGGTGCCGCTTCAGGACATGAAACAGCCCAAAGGGGAGCTCGCTGACACCTGCTATGTTACCTCCCTGCCCCTTCAGAGTGGCTCTTCACAATGTGCCATCCGCTTTGCCCCCCTCCCCGTCTCCGGTCGCCTCAAGCGCGCCAACTCAATCACAATCGGCGTCGCAGCTCGATCCCAACTCCTACGATCGCAAGGCACCGGCCGCAACTCATCTCAATTTCCTGCACAGCCCATCCAAGCACCGCTGCCGCACGGCATGTCCTACCAAGATACGCACAAGGGTGTACAAGCCGGCTCGCCCAACTACAATCCCAGGAACAGCAAGCAGAATGTTCAGCGTAGCGGCTCTCAGAATTCGGGCACGCCAGGGTCCGTGGGATCTTCTGGGTCACGAAGGAGCGGAGAGTCGCAGGTCGGCAGCCCATCTTCGCAGAGCAGCAGCAGCATCAATAGCATGTCAGGCTTTGGGGCCTTGCCGGACGATACCGTCGACTTGGGCGAGGAGCTGAGCAAGGGGTTGAAGTCGGCTTGGAGGAAGATGAGGGGAGGGAGCACCAGTAACGGTAGTGACAAGAACGCCAATGGCGAGAAGACGGCAGTGGGAGCTCCGACAGATAAAGTCACCCCTTCGACGGTCTCCGCAACCAAGAAGACGAGCGGCTTTGACGCACCGTCCAATACGGCGGACAAGAGCCGTACGGGCTCAGCAATCGCTGCGGACCCAGGAGGAGGAGCGAGCAAAGGCGCTTCATCGGGGGGCGCGGCCACGCCTGCCGCAGGCGACCACACACCGCGACGTCCCACTTCACCAGCACAAGGCCTCTCCGCCCTCTCATTGCAGGATCGACAACAGCAGCAGGCCCAGGACTCATCGCAGGGCTCGCATCATGACCATTTCCCTGCACATGGCAGCGCGAATACCCACAAGGATCATTCTCACGGACCGGGCCCATGGCAGCACCACAACCCATTCCTCGTCGACCACGAAGATCGCGGAGGAGACGGAGCGAAGACGCCTCGTGCCTCACAGCAGAATGCTGATGCCGGCAGCAGCGGCATGACTGGCGGTGGTCCACATCGACGTCTCTCCACAGGTGCCTTCCTCAAGAACGAGAGCCTGAGGGAGATGCAGGAGCGCAGAAGGAAGGGTCTGCTTGGGATGGAGGGTGAGAGCCCTGATGAGCATGATGATGAGCACGACGAGGACGGCTTCGAGGAGGCCGAGCAAGGTGCGATGGATCAGGCGCGCGAGCAGGAGACCTTCGCCGCTTCGCTCAAGCAGTCCCTCGGCCGCACTGGAGCGGGTACCGTTCTGGCTCGCCTGTCCCCGTGGGGCGGGCAGGCACCGGCCTCGACGGATGATCAGGATGTGGGAAGGGGTTTGCAGAGGCAAGACGACGTTGTGATGCCCAAGCATAATCCTGAGCAGGAGGATGACAGCAGCAGCAGCGGGAGGAATGACGATGATGAGGGAGAGGAAGACGAAGACGAGGAGGAGATGCGCGAGGCTGAACAGCTGGCAGAACAGAGTGCGGCGGCCGCTTCGAGGGGAAGAATGGAGAAGGCCGCTGCGGTTGAGAAGGTGCACTGATGCAGGACGAGGATGTGGTGTCAATATGGACTTTTGTCGTGCTTTCGACTTTGATTCAATACGCTATGGTCGTGTTGTTACTATTTGACTTTGATTCTGGTTGAGTCAAGTCTCTGTATGGTGTGCCGAGCTGCGTTGAAGACGTCAAGGTGGACGCCGACGCCTGAGGCACAAGCCGCTACGGCGCTTCATAGCACCGGCACGTCGCTTCTCTACTCTCGCACTCTCTTCTTCTACTTTCCGCCTCCCAATCACCAGTCTCTTATGCCCGCCCGCCTCAAGCTTGAAACTTCCTCAGTGTTGCCAACTCATCAATGAGTGCTTGAAGCTTCACCTCATCTTTCGTCTCCAAGGTAGGGATCAAGTTCTTTGCCTCCTCGACCGTCTCGACGGCCAAGTTGGCCAGCTGGGCCCTCTCGAAGCCAGTGAGGGCAAGTCCGCCTTCCTCATCGTCATCGTACCCTTCGTCCTCGGGCTTTATCCCATCATTGGCCGCTTGGCGCTGCGCGAGACGATATGCGGCTGCCTCTGTTGAATGCTCGAGGAGGAGGCTGGGCGAGGGGCGAGGGAGGTGAGAGACTTGTCAGTCCTGCGAACAGCCCCACTCAAGCCCTTTGTCGCTGCGTCACCCACTTCCTCAGTTGCCTGACAGTGTCCAGCTCCTTGTATCTGCTGAACGTCTCGAGATACTCCATGCTCTTCTGCAGCACAGGATTGGCAGCGTCCTTCGCTGCCGCTCCCGCCGCACGATCTGGGTCGTCGAGCTTCTCGCGGAGCAGAGTCAGAGCCTCTGAGATGTTGATCGTGTTAACGTGGTCGGATGTCTCGTCGGAGAATCCTGAGTGATAAGAAGGGAAGACGACGGTGGGAGAAAAGGCCATGGTCAGGCTATGTGCATTGAGCGGAGGACTCCGAGGCTAGTATTCACCATCTGGTAGCTTGCCCTGCGTAGCATCCTCCTCTACTACCACATCCTTGTCTCCGGGACGACGCCTGCGCTTTGTGTCTGGCATTCTGTCGAATCTTTAGAAGTGGTCGACGGCGGCCAGAGGATGTCTGTGCGGAGACGACGAGGCCAGCTGGCTGAGGGCCTGCCTCAGGTCCAACGAGGACTAAGCTGAAAGCAGCAGGCGCAGCACTGAGGCTCGCCGAGCTGTTGCAGCCTCACGAGGGTCTAGTAGCGGCCAATGAAGAGTTGCTTCGCCCGCTGAGAAGAGGATGAGGGCGGGATGGACGTCAGATGCAGCAACGGAAGTGGACGATGGATCCATCCGCCGCCCCTTTGATCGCACCGACGACTCCCATCTCGTCCGCTCCGAGACGCGACCAACGGCTCGGAGCCGGAATCTGAGAGATGGTGAGGAGGAGGGCTTAGTGAGCTGCTCCTCATCGTTCATCGTCGCCATAGGCTTTCTTTGCAACTCGAGACGAAGCTACGTCTGACACGTGCACAGGCATGGCTCACTCATACAAGTTCGAGAAGGCTAGGCCAATTTTACCCGTGAGGGGCTGCCTCTGCCTCAAGAAGATCACCGGTTGTGAGGCTCACTATTCCACGGCAGACATCCGGCCGCAAGCAAGCATTCTGCGTCTCATTATCGCAATCAGTGACCAACCCGACCAACGCAGGAAGGTTGACTGAAGAGGAAGGTGTTGACCGTCGTTGCAGGGTGGGAAAGGAGAGAGTATCACCCATCAAGCCGTATCACAGCGATCGAATGAGCGGCTGAGGATCAGTCATGTTGAGGGCTCCCTCGTTGCTCTCATGTGGCGCTCGATCGATCAATATAGGGCTCGGAGGAGAGGCAACACGATCCCTGTTGACACGGTCGGCCAGGCAAGTACGGGTCAACGTCGAAGCCACTCAGCGGGGAGGAAATCGCGCAAACCCTCCCCTGCTGGATCAAGGTAGGTCCGCCAATTACAACATGCTGTCCCTGTGGAGTATAGAGGCCGAAAGTAGTTTCACATCATGCTCACACTCAACGCACTTTCCTGGGAACTTTCCGAAGCACACCCAGGAAAGGCAAACGCCTCATGACCGCTCGAGCATCGAGCGCCAATCCCCTTCGCCTTTGCCTGCGGACCATTTTCTCGATCGATTACTCCTCGTGCTACTCGCCGTTGGCGCCGATGCTGTACATTGTGCTCAACCCACGCCCACTCTGTGCGCCGACCGTAAGTCGTGTACCGTACGGGCGTGTTAATTTGAACGTGACCCTCTCGTCCTCGATATCGGCGGGCGCGCGGGCGCATTGGCAATGAGGATGTTCTCCCATGCGAGAGAGGGAGAGAGGGAAATCTTGCCTCATCTATCGCGTCTAGCGTAGCGTGGCCAAGCAGCTCAGGCTCGGCCTTGTCTTCGTGCGTAGGCAGCGTGACGTCGCCGAGTAAGGCTAAGAAGAAGTAGCTTGTGTATCATCTAGTAATTGACTCGAAGCACGTCCTCTACACTATCACGATCAAGCTCTCGACGGCCGCCATGAACTTCTTCTGCACCTTCAGCCTTTTCCCTTCTCCTCTACCAAGCTCGGTGCGAGGGTCTCTTCTTGGCGGTGCTTGAACGCCGTGAACTGCCCGTCGTCCGCGATCGATTGCCAGCTGCACTCCTTGAGCTTAACAGGATCAAAGGGATAAGGGGCTCAGTGCTCTGCGCAGGCAAGTAAGCATGTGGGCGCGGTGGGCACGGCGGGCGCGGCGGGCGCTGCGGGCAACTTTTGGGTCGCGGTCGTGGAGGCGGGGCAACGTTTGCGCTAAAAAACCCTTTCTTTGAATGATACGGCCGTCTTTGCTTCCGACTAATTGGTCAAGAAGGTGGATGAGAGTTAGCGCGTTGACGAGGGTCTTGGTCTCCTATGTACTTAGTGGTATTCGCCCGACCATGACACTTCGAATGAGGCTCCGCCCGCACCGAGCTCGGGAAGCCTTGTCCGAGAGCGGCACAGGGGACCGACGCGATGGATTCCTCGCTTCTGGTCTTCGCCTGGAATGCCCCGTAAGAGCAGGCAATAACGGCAGTATCACGACTTCAACCGGCCGACCCCGTGCACCGATGCTGTGCCTGGTCCCACACAACATCTCATCCCTTGCTTCGTCGGTGACGGTGGGGCGATGGGGGAGCTCAATCATGAGTGACTACGAGATGCTGCTTCACGGTGCCCGCGTTCCTCCTCATGCCTGCTGGCATGCTGCCGCTGCGATACGGGCGGTGCCCACGATGAGGTCTGCGTGCCCTGCATTCCCCCCATAGGCCAAGCAAAGAATCGTCCCTGGATGTGCTCATCGTTGCTCGATGGTCGACGCTCGGCATGGTACGCTCTCCCTGACGCTCTCGATGCGCTCGATGGGCCGATGTTTACGCTGCCCTTGGAAGGGGCCGGCTGCCCTGCATCCTCCTTCACACGCACTCGTGCACAAATTGGATGAATGATGATGCTGCTACTGGCTGCCGGTGCTGGTGCTTGAGCAGCTGCCTGGGTGTCGTGGCGTGATCATGGTCGGCCGCCTGAGCAAGCAGCAAGCAGCCGTCAATGCCGTCGCTGTTGCGGCTTCACTGGGTCTGCCAGCAATTGCCTACGAGCGGCTTCCCATCGTCGGGCCCCTTCCTTGGGTGTGTGGTCGTTGATTGAGAGCTGAGTTTTAGCTGGTCTTGTGCCTGCCTCATTTACGGGAAAACTCCGCAGACACCACCTTGCCTTCTCTGCAGGGCCGTGCCAAGTCGGCCGCCGCCCCGCTCTGTGCCCTGCCGTGGCCCACAAACTCTCACTGGGCGCTGGTGCTGGATCAGGCTCAACCCGCACCCCTGGTCCAGGGCTCCAAGGGGCCACTCCCTCCCCTCACTTGACTTGGTGCTTTCGATTGCCCAACGCCGATCTTGGCGGTCGAAATCGTCGTTATAATGACTTGATCGACCTACCACCACTACCAGCGAACCCCTCCTCATCAAAAACCCCGAATTCGAACACACCAACGTAACACCTTCCCCTCCCCCCTTCACTACTTCTGCTTCGCGCAACATGAAGTTCTCCCTTGCTACCGCTTTCTCCCTCCTCGTCGCCTCTGGCCTCGTCGTCGTCTCAGCCGCGCCTGCTCCTGTGAGTGCTTAGTCTAAGTTCATCATCTCGAAAGAGAACGTGGTGGGAACGGTCTTATGTGGCAGAGATGGGCAGCTTCCATCCACTCAACTTGACTTGACAAGCGGAGAGCTGGATGTCGGGGCATCGCCTTCACCATCAGCATAGAGGCAGCACGCTGACACCATTCACTCCACACGCCTCGCCCTTCCCCATCCACGCCGACACACGCGCGTCTCCACTTCACTACATCCTCACCTCGCTCTAATCATCTATCTTGACTCTCTAGGAGACTGCGGACGCTGTGAAGAGGGTGAGTATTTCGCTTCCTTGCTACCACCAACGCGCCCCGCCGCATTCCCACCCTACCAGACTACTGACCACCACCACCAACTCCCTCCTCATCCCCCCATTCATCCTCGCAGGACGACAAGCCCGCTGCTGACTGGGGTCGTGTTGCCGCATGGAAGCGTGACGAAGAGCCCGCCGAAAACTGGGGCCGCGTCGCTGCCTGGAAGCGCGATGAGCCTGCTGCCGACTACTACGGTGGAGGCCGTGGCGGAAGCTGGAAGCGCGACGAGGAGCCAGCTGAGAACTGGGGCCGCGTAGCAGCTTGGAAGAAGCGTCTCGACAAGCCCGCTGCCGACTACTACGGTGGTGGTCGTGGTGGCAGCTGGAAGCGCGCAGAGGACCCCGCCGCCGACTACTACGGTCCCGGCCGTGGCGGTAGCTGGAAGCGCGACGAGGAGCCTGCCGCCGACTACGGCAGGGCTGCAGCATGGAAGCGTGAGGGATCGGACAAGGTTGAGGCCCGTGAGGAGCCCGCCGCCGACTACTACGGCCCTGGCCGCGGCGGAAGCTGGAAGCGTGAAGACAAGCCCGCCGCTGACTGGGGACGCGCCGCCGCCTGGTAATCACCTCTATCACCATGGGCACCTTCAAGCGCCACCACACTGTCATCCTTACCATTAGCTTGAAATAGGGCTATTCCTCCTCTACCCTACCATCGACAACGCCACCCCACACGCATCATCACGGTCACCCTCCTCCATCGATTCAACTTCCTTCACCTACAGTACACAACAGCGTGCGCTCTCGTCAATACTCACGCGGAGGAGCGAAGGCAACGCAAGAACACCACTAGTCGAATCCTCCCGGCGCCACCATGACAATCACCCACCACCATCAAAGACCGAATTTCCGTCTCGTTTCCTATCGTTCCATCGTACCATAGCCTTCTCACTTCGACTCCCTAGTCCCCTTGTGTTCTCAATTTTGTCTCTACTAGTCTCGTCACGACTCGCTCATAGTCATTCAATCAACAGACCTGTTTCGTCGTCCTGCGAAGCTCGTGTGTCGCCCTCCTCGCTACCAGCCTCGGCACCGTCAGCTGGACCCTGTCACTTCACGCTAGTGGACCAGGGTACACGCTAGCACGCTAGCGTCCTGTCACCGGAGGTTGAGACGTCACGCCACGAGCGGAGCTTCGTCTTTCTCCGTTTAACTGATTGTGGTACACAGCAATCACGGGCCAGAGCTGAAGCTAATCAGACTAGCGTCATTGACATCGCTCTCTTCCATCAGCACGTCGCATCCTCTCCTCGCCGCGATCGAAGAAGCGGCAGAGATGAAGGAGCGCCGCGACCACCGCCACTGTCCACGTCGAAAGGTGGTCAAAGTGAGCTTCGCTGGCTATTAGACAATACTGTGATGCTACAAGATGTGAATTGCGCTGCTGGTCCACGCTCAAAATGATCTCCTCATCCCTCGTCAAAGCTCATCCTCCCAAGCAGCTTGAATCGCCGCGAGGGCCAGCAAATGTTCTTCCTGGTCCCTCCTTCTCGCCTCTCGTCGCTCCGCTCCCTCTCCAGCCACGTCTTCCTCTTCTCCATCCCCGCCCTCTCCCTCGTCTTCTCCACCAGCGGCGCCACTGGCCGGGAGTAATCCATCGAATAGCCTGTTGTAACATCCCGCCCCGGGAGTGTTGAAATGCTGGTAGGGCCTGGCCGCATTCAACCTCGTCCCGCACAAGTAGCAGAAGTGGGCCTGACACTTCGAGCAGATCATGTGATTGCAACCCACCGTCTTCTCTACGGGGGAGGAGCAGTGCGGACAGGGAGTGGCGTGTTCGCTCAACCACCGTCTGTTTGCCTTGTCCTCCTCGAAGCGTGCCTTCAGCCTCAAGAGGTTCTTCTTGCCATACCGTACCTCCATGGCTGCTCGCTCATGAGGGGAGGCTGCATCGTAGGCGGAGAGGAGGGCGTCGCTCGAGGCTATTCTGCAAGGATTGGGAGAATGCCAGGTGTGCCTGCACCAGGAGCAGAAGGTGAGAGAGCAGGAGGGACATTGCCTGAAGGATTGGTAGCGGGTGGAGTCACGGTCCTCAGGCCGGAGAGGAGCGAGGGTCTGGCAGCCTGTTCGTGGACAGGGGACCGCGGACGGGTCTGATTCTGCAATGTGCTTGGCGACGAGGAAATGTAGGCGGGAGATGAGCTCCGGGTGGGAGGGGGAGAGGATAGACTCGACCTCGCTGATGGAGAGGAGCCCTTGCCCGTTTGATCCCATGCTGGCGCCAGCTTGCCCGTTGCCCTGGCGAGCGGAAGAAGTGACGCAGGACGGATCGGGACACGAGGTAGCGAGTCGCAGCGATCCCTCAGTCAAGTGAAGGTTCAGATAATCGGTGAGACAGTCCTTGCAGAAGACGTGCGAGCAGGCTTGAAGCTTTACGCAAGCTCCGCCTCGTTTGGCATCGAGACAGATGGAGCACATGAAGCGCCCGCCTTCGAAGGCTGCATTGCTGGCTAGACGGTCGTAGGCGAGGAGGATGTCGCTGAGGGACCGGGTGGTCGACGACGAGGAGGTCGTCGATGCGACTGCGGTTGGCTCTGTGAATGACAAGCTTCCCTTTCCCGGCTTGCTTGCAAAGGGTCCAAACCCGGCGACAGCCTCTTCTGCCCATCCTTCGCGCAGCCATTCGCCCCACGTCCAGAGGACTTCGCCCTGCATCTCTTGCCACATTTCTGACAAGCGACTCGATAGCCACGCTGCTTGTGCATCGTCTTTGCAGCTATGATCCAGCCAGGGGGCTGCAAGGCGTTTGACAATGGGTGGCTCTTTGAGTGGGTATCGCCCGGGCAGCGAGACGACGAGGGTCAATGGCGGCAAGTGGGCCAACTGGAGGCTGCCGGGAGAGCAGCTAGACGTCGATGCCGCTTGTGAGATGCCCACACGGAGCTTTTCGGAAAGTACGACTGGTAGAGCAAAGGTGACAATATGCCGATCATCAGAGCCTTCGCGACGTCTCTGTATGCTGACTTGATCGCGGTCCGGATAGATGGCTTCGAGAGCCAAGAGCTCGTCGTCCTGCAGTGCAAGCGCTTCGTCGTCTTCTCTTGAAGCCATGATGGTAATTGTGTGCGAGCCGGAGGCTTGCTGAATTCAATGCTGCTATCTCATCGGTCCAGATGTAGACGATATTCTCGAGTTGGTGGCGAGAGGGAAAGTAGCGTCCAAGCCAGAGTAGAGCTGCAAGTCGGACGAGTGCTGAGGGTTTACCAGCGGACTGAGCTTTGATTAGCCCGAGGGAGTGGAGGTGAATAGGACAAAGACTAATCACCGTTGAGCGCTGCGCCCCGCCACTTGTATTCACTGAATTTTGGTCCTCGTTCGACATCCTTCCGCTTCTTCTTTCCGGACCACCAACACCACCCGCTAGCGTATCCAATTCACCGACAACATGTCAGGACAGGCTCACGACCCCTTCTTCAGGCCCATTGGGGAGCATGTGGCCGATGATGCTATTCAGACGGATCCTAATGCTGACCCGCCCAAGATGGTAGAGGAGATTGTACGTGCGCGAGCTTCGAAACGAGGATGCTGCACCTGCGCCACCAGACAGTCGCTCATCGACCTCACTGCTCCTTCCCTCCACAGGAATCACTCTGTTTGCGATGCCAGAACAACGGAATCACTCGCCTTTTGATGACTTACATTCCGTACTTCAAGGAGGTCCTGGTAGCTTCGTTCTCGTGCGACCACTGTGGCGAGAGGAACAATGAGATTCAGAGTGCGGGACAGATCCAAGGTGAGCAGAAGAGATGCTGCGACAACCATCCTGGTTACCTTGTTCTGACCCCGACAATTCTCCCTCCTCGCCCTCAGAACGCGGCTGCGTCTACACCGTGCATGTCGTCGACTCGAGCGACCTGGACCGCCAAATCGTCAAGTCCGAATGGTGCACACTCAACATTCCCGAGCTGCAAATCGAGATTCCACCCAAGCGCGGCCAACTCACCACAATCGAGGGTGTCATTTCTGATACTTTGCGAGACCTCGAGCTTGACCAGCCCCTCCGCAAGCACATGGCTCCTGAGGCCTATGAGAAGATCGAGGTTCTCTGCAGCAAGCTGAGAGAAATTCTGGGCGAGGAGGCACCAGCTGCGCCAGGGGAGGATGCAGCTGGCTCTTCATCTGCGGCTGAGGGATCGAATGGCCTGAAGAGCCACGGCCCAGTGGGCTCCACCTCTACTTCACGTCAGAACCGCAATTTCGCCCCCTTCAGCTTGCGACTGGATGACCCCTCGGGCAACTCCTTTGTCGAGTTCACAGGCGCCATTCAGGGTCGAGGCACGACCGACAACAAGTGGACGAAGCGGGAATACCCCCGTTCTCGCGCCCAGAACGAGGCCCTCGGTCTTGCAGGGCCCGCGGATGCTTCAGCCCGTGCTGGCTCGTCAGCCGCAAGCGCCGCTGCGACGAGCAAGAAGGTGGCCTCAGCAGCAGAGGCCGAAGCTCATGCGATGTCGCATGGCTTCACCGAGGGCGAGTCCGACTTCAACAACGAAGAGATCTACACCTTTGAGGGTACTTGCTCCTCCTGCAATTCTGCGTTGGACACAATGATGAAGAAGGTCAACATCCCCTACTTCAAGGACATCCTCATCATGTCGACCAACTGCGATGCTTGCGGCTACAGAGACAACGAAGTCAAGTCCGGTGCGGCGATCAGTGACAAGGGGCGCAAGATCACTTTGAAGGTGGAGGACGCCGAGGATCTTACAAGAGATATCCTCAAGAGCGAGTCGGCCGGCTTCTCCATCCCCGAGATCGACTTGCACCTCTCGCCCGGCACATTGGGTGGACGCTTCACCACCCTTGAAGGTCTCCTCCAACAAGTCTACGATGAGCTCTCCGAGCGCGTTCTCATGCGCGGCGACTCGTCCGCCTCATCAGACAAGAGCGCCTTCGAGTCTTTCCTAGGCAAGCTCAAGAGCGTGATGAGCGCAGAGGCCTGTCCCTTCACTGTCATCTTGGATGACCCGCTCGCCAGCTCCTACCTGCAGAACCCCTATGCTCCAGATGTTGACCCGCAGATGAGCGTCGAGGAGTACGAGAGGACTTGGGACCAGAATGAGGACCTTGGCCTGAACGACATCAATGTTGACAACTACATGAACGAGGAGGACGCCGCTGAGGCCAAGGCGCTCAATGAGGGGCCAGAGAGCGCTGCTGCCATCAAGAGGAAGGCGGAAGAGGCTGCAGAGGGGGAGGGGAGACCTGCGCCGCCCAGCGAGGCTGGTGATGACGTCAAAGCGTAGATCAAATTCCTTCTTGATGTATAAGATGCTACGCTGAGTCGACTTGATGCTGTATAGTAATCGACGATTGGCTGGACTCGCTCTTTCAGTGCTTCATCGACTTGGACGGCGTCACGCCACGCGACATCGCACGGGCCACAGACGCCACGCTCAATCGATCTCATCTCGCGTCGTCCTTGAACTTGCAGCCGCCCGATGCGTTTCGTCCAGACTTGCTCAGCTTTCCTTGCTTTCTTTCCCTCACGTCTCACACCTCATCCCCGCGGCGGCCACATACCAGTCGCAGGCGTCCACGACGTTGATATAAGCGCAGTCGTCCTTCGCTAAAGACTAGCAACGATGTCGTCCCTCCTGCAAGCCATCACCCACTCCTTTCCTCCTTGGCTCTCTAACCTCGGCGTCTCCATCCTAGGCCAGGAATGCTACACCATCACAGTCTATGATGCCGATCTCACTCACACGCCCTGCCTACGACTCGCAATCTCCAAGGCCCTAGGTCTCGGCATCGTCATCTTTGGCTCCCTGTTGAAACTGCCGCAGATGTACAAGATCGTCAGCGCCAAGAGCACAAAGGGCATCAGCTTGGCAATGTACGCCATGGAGTGTTGGGCCTTTGTCGTGTCTTTGGTCTATGCGTACAGGGGCAAGCTGCCTTTCAGTACTTATGGGGAGAATGCAAGCTTGACTGTGCAGAGTGAGTGCAGAAAGGGAGCAAGGATGGGCTTGGTTGACTGCGAGAGGTATTGACAGTCATGCATTCCCCCCTCGCGCTGCGCCCGTAGACTTCATCATCACCCTCCTGATCATCAACTACGCCCCCTCACGACGCTCTCACCAACCCTACGCTGGTCCACCTAATCGCACTCTCCCCCTCCTCCTCACCTCGATTACCATGCTCCTCACAACCTCCTTCCTCCTCTCCCCTTCGCTCTGCCCACCCTCGCTCCTCTCCCTTCTGCAAGCTACGACAATCCCCGTCTCCCTCGTCAGCAAGCTCCCGCAAATGGCTCAGCTACACCGCGATAAGGCTGTGGGCAACCTCAGTGCGCTCGTCGTCTTCGCCCAGCTAGCCGGTACCATCGCGAGGGTGTTTACGACGATGACGGAGACGGATGATATGCTACTGCTGGCTGGATTTGGGGGAGCGACGCTCTTCAACGGCATCATCGCCGCGCAGTATGTCATGTACTGGAATGGAGATGAGAGGAGCACCTTCAGCAGCGGCTTGATTGATGAGAAGAGGTACGCGGGATCCAGCAGTGTCAAGAGGGATTGACGGCGACGGCGAGGAGCGCGTGATACTTGCATCGAGAGAATGTTGCTGTCCAGACAGCCAGTTGGACGCAGAGGAAAGAAGAGAGGGTAGTGCAGAGACAAGAAAAAGTCGGACAGCATCTTCGCAGAGCTGTGTCGAGATGGTCATAAATTATCAGAATGAATCTACTGACATGAGAGGTCGGAAGAGTCGGTCGTGAGAGAAGTCGTGACTGGAACGAGCTGATGAGGTGACGCGAGTTGGTGTGGTAAGCCTGGCTAGCAGTGTCTGATGATACATAAAGATGGAGCGTAGAATTTCGACAATCTCTCGAGGAAGGCTCGCCGCCGCTCTCAAGCCTCCTCCTGCGCGTTCATCGCAGAGGAGATTCTCCCCTCGGCGGCGGTGCTGCTAGTATTGTTGCCCGAGGCAACGACAAGGGTAAGGGGAACGTGCAGAGCCTCCGCTGCATTGTTGCCACTATTCGTCTTGGCAGTCGAGAGGACATTGAAGATGGCAAAGGCTGGCTCACCGACCACCTTGCATGTCTCTCCGTTGACGAGGCGGCTTGTCGTTTCGAGGGAGAGGACCGGTTGCGATGTCGCGCTGGTGGTGGTGATGGTGTCTGCCTCCGCTGCTGCTGCTGCACCAGCGATGTTGCCCTCGCCTGATGTCGCCTCCTTCTTGCCATTTGCTCCCCACCCGTAGTGCAAGAGCGTTTTCAGCTCATCCCTGTGCGACCCCAACGTCGGGTTCTTCCTGCCGCGTCCTACAACGACCAGGCTGGGCTTCTTCTGCTGAATCACCTCAATCATGGCCTTGAGCAGGCGCGCACTGCTCACGGTCTGTACCGTCAGCCTGCCTGCATCGCGCGCTACAGCAAGACGAGGGTCCCTCTCCAGGCGTTGCAGAGCAATATCGTCTTCGAGGAGCGACTCGAGAGGAGATCGATGCGGCCCGGCATTGTCGCCCAGGTGCGAGCGCGAGTAGTAGGTGTCCTGTACGCCGCCGATAGTGTTGCCTCCGCCGGCTTGAGAGGGGGACAGGCTGTGTGCATGATGCACCGTAGGCGGGACAGTGGGCAGCTTCTCCCCCTCTTGGCCCTCCTCTGCCTCTCCGCAGCGTTGCAGCCTGAGAACCGTGCACGTCAAGTCGTCATTGGTGGCAGCCAGGCGCCCAACAAAGTCCAAAGCGACCCGGTCGTCGGGCCCACCCATGAATGTCAGGAGGACATGCGGGCGCCCAGCGCTCATGCCTGCTGAGCTGGGGGCTGCACCACGTTGCACAAGGAGACCGACGTCGCAATCTGCGCTCTGGATGAGCTTGCGAGCGAGAGCCGTATGCTGGCTACTGACCTTCGTGAGCTGCTGATCACCAGTCGCATTGGTTGGAGACGTGGCGGTGGTGAGCGCCGAGGACTGGTTGTGCAAGGTCTGCGTCGTGGAGCCTCCGCGGCCGAAGATGCCGTCGAATGGGCTGGCGAGAGTGGAGGCGAGACCCTGCTGCGATGATTGGTGTTGAGGAGAGGTCTGCTCACCCACCAAAACGGGCATGGTCCATGGAAGGAGGACAAGGTCCGATGCCACGTTCCTCGCCCGCGACGCAACTGTCGAACTGAACTGATCTGTCGACACGACACGCATGGCCGTGCGCACAGCAATCCCCTGCAGCTGGGCAAAGGTACGGAACACGTTGGAGATCGGATCGAGGCGCATCGTGTCGTCACTCTCTGCTACGCGCATGACAGCTGACGTGCGGTCGGTGAGCTCGACAAGGCGGAGAGCGTCGAGGTGAACAGGAGAGCGGACGGCCGAGCTGCGGGTGTCGGTGGACGGGTAGCCGCGTGCGAGAGGTGCAGGAGCGTCGTCGCTGATGTCTTCCTTGTCGTCGTCGTCACCATCGCCGCCGCTGCCCTTCTCGTCTGCTGAAGATGAGCTGGTAGAAGAGTGTGCCATGCGGTTGTTGCGCTGCCTCAGTCCATCGCCACTGCCGCTGAGCGCATGACCGTCATCGAAGGCAGCCGCCACGTTGGGACGCATGAGTCTGACAAAGGTCATGAGGCCAGGCAGGTGCTCAAAGCTCGTGAGAACGACCATGAGTCTCTTTGTGCCAAGCGACGAGGCCCGGACTCCTTCAGGATCGCTGCTGTCACCGCTACCTGCGCTGCCGCTCTTGGAGCCCTTGGCCACGTCGTTGTCGTCCTGATCATCGAGGGCGCGACGATGCTTCTCAGGGTAGATCCACAGGGTGAGTGGTGTAGTTGCGACGGTCGTGACGACGGCCATGAGAACAAACATGGAGAAGGTCTGCGTGTTGAGGATGCCTGCCGACAGGCCAATGTTGAGGACAATGAGCTCGACCAGTCCCTTGCAAGACATGAGCGTGCCAATGGCCGCAGATTCGCGCAAGTTGAAGCCCATGAGCTTGGCCGCGATGGCGCATCCGCCGAACTTGGACATGAAGGCTACGATGATCGTCGCTATTGTGTAGCCCCAGATGAGGCCGGAATTCAGATCGCCCAGGTTTGTCTTGAGTCCACTCAGCGTGAAGTAGAGAGGCAGGAAGACGACGGAGACCAGATCCTCGATCTTCTCTGTCAGGGCGACGGCGAAGCCTCCTTCGTGCGGGACCATGATTCCGACTAGGAAGGCGCCGAAGATGGGATGAACGCCAATGATGTCTGTGATCCACGCTGAGATCAGCATCAAGATCAGAGTCACGGTGATCATCAGTTGGTTGGGGCCGTTCTCGAAGCTTCCCGTGCGATTGGCGAGCCAGACGAAAAGGGGCTTGATGAGGAAGAAGAGGATCAAAGTCCAGCCCACGGCACAGAGAAGGACGTAGACTGCTACGACGCCCGATGAAGCGTTGACCAGAGCAACGGTAAGGGCGAGGAGAATCCAGCCGACGACATCGTTGCCCACTCCGGCGGCGAGGACGACTACGCCGACGCGAGTTGAAAGGAGCTTCATCTCGGTGAGGATGCGAGCGAGGATAGGGAAGGCGGTGATTGACATGGCGACGCCCGTGAAGAGGAGGAAGTGGCCGAATGTGACCTGAAGGCGAGAGAGAGCGTGCGGAGATGACAGTGGTCAGTCGATCACATAAAGACGAGCTTCCATCTAGGAACGCAGTCCACACTCACCTTGGTCTCATCAACGAAATTGTCATAGATGCCCTTGGAGAGAGCAGCGCCCAGAGCAAGAGGCACCGCAATTCCAACAAGACTGACGGTCGCACACTCCTTGGCGGACTTCCTCATCAGGCGCAAGTCGACCTCCAATCCCACGAGGAACATGAAGAGCACCAGACCGATGGTAGCCACCAGGTTGAGGTAAGGCAGCGAAGGGACGGGAAAGATATGTGCCGAGAAGCCAGGAATGCGTCCCATGACCGTAGGACCGAGGATGATGCCGCCTATGACTTCGGCAATGACTGTAGGCTGATTGAGGCGCCTGAAGCCAACAGCCAGGACCCGCGAGAAGATGATGATAATGCTAGCTTGGATGATGAAGAGCCGGATGGGATTGGCGGTGGTGAACTCGGTCGGGTCGATGCCCGTCAGCACCGAGTCGGATGTCGCTGCCCGAGCAGCGAAGACTGGGGCGAGTTGACGATCCATGGCGGTGAGAGAGAAGGTCGAGGGTGATGTTGTGGGCATGGCCGGGGAAGATTGACCTTGTATGCTGTACCTTATGAAGACGGTCTGTTGATTGTTATGTGGCAAAGTGTTGGTCTGTGCTGGTCGGAGTCACGATGGGATAGGGGTCAATCAGGTCAAGTGGCGTCGTCGACGACGACGACGACTGGCGGTCTCCGTCGGTGAGAGATCGAGTGGTGAGGAGGGGGTACGACGACTCAGATGGCTCCCGCCTCTAGCCCCTATTGGGGTCGAGATCGTTGTTGACGACGAAAGGTGGCGCCAAGTGATCTCCCGTTGCGGGGCTTGAAGGTGTGAGAGAAAGAGGAGGGAGAACAGGATGATGGAGAGGGAAAAAGGGGGAGGCCAAAGCGGAGAAGGGACATTTTAGTCTATTTACGCTCCCAAGCGCTTAAGCCCCCCGTCCCTCGTCTCGTCTCCTGCCCCGCTCTCGCACGCACGTTGAGGCTGTTGCGTCCAGGCACAGATGGGCGCAGACGCACAGCTAACCTCGGCCCGCCAAGACGCAAGACGCCCGCTCGCTCGCCTTGACCTTGACCTCGACCTCAACTCGCCTTTTGCTCCTGGGGGTCTTGCCCCACTTGCCCTTGCAGCAAGGCTCCTGCTTCCCCCGCTCCCTCTTGCTCTTTGCTCACCATATCACGACTTCCACAGTACCCTTCGAGAAGCTATGTGAGCAGGGAGAGGGTCTAGGCTGTCGCTAGCGCCCGCGATACCACGCTGCTGCCAACATCACGCGATGCCGCGTAGAGCGTGCGCCAAGTCAGTCTGCGGGAACGAGGCTTAATGAAGGCCGGAAGGCGCCGTCCGTATGACTGGAGGAAGTAGCATTGACCCTGGACCTGAAGTGGGGCCCGCCTTTCAGGCAAAAGGGTGCTAGCGTGGGACGATGTCTGAGCTCCTGTCCGCCTGCCTGTACTTCCGTTGCCGCGTGGAGGGCGCGAAGCTGCTCCCGACAATGTCTCGACGCGACGAGGGCAAATCGATTTCCATCATTCGACCTCCTCCACGTCATCGCCGGCCTCTCTTCCCCCGTCCTCACCGACGCAGAGATGGAGGACTCAGATGACTACGAGGCCACGCGTCAGGAGACAATCCGACAGAACAAGGAGCTGCTCGCCAGCTTGGGACTCAATGTGAGTTGTCACGCTTCCTCACTTTGATCGAAGCCTTGTCTGAACCGCATCCTTCTCCACCGCGCTCCCAGTCCAGCACAATCCGCATCGGCTCCCCTCCTCCTGAGCCCAAGCCGCGCAAGCCGTCAGGTCGCAAACGTCAGCAATCTCAATCCTCCTCGCCCGGTCCTTCCACCCAACCCCTGGTCCCGACCCGTGAACGCTCTGCGCGCGTAGCTGCTCGAGGGTCACGTCGCGTCTACAATGAGAAGGACCTCTCCTCCTCGTCCTACCTCAAAATCAAGCGTGAACCTCCAGCGCCTCGCGAAGGCTCGCGCAAGTCTGGGCGACTGGCTAGTGGAAGCCGTCGTAGGTATGGCGATGACAGCGACGACGACAAGGGGAGGCGTGATTCGCGTTACTACGAGCCCGACACATCTGACCCAGACTCGGACGACTACGTCGGCGGATCGCGACCACGTCCCGCTCCACCGGTCAAGATCAACACAAAGCCCGCGCCGAGGCAGCTCGTCCCAAACGTAAAGGACTCGGCCCGTCCACCGAGGATGTACCGCCCCCAAGGGGAAGACGAGAGTGACGAAGAGCTCGACGCCGAAGGTCGTGCCATACGCCAGCCGTTACCTCGTAGGGCGAAAGACGGTTCCAACGAGCTGGTGTTTGAGTCCCACTGGGATCACTTCAGGCCCAATCTCACCCCCGAGCAAGTACTACGAGGCGGCGCATTCGGCGGCACGTACTTCAAGGAGCATTACTCGCGCGTCCTGCGCTGCGACCTGGACGTCCAAGCAGAGCTGAACGAGATGCCCGCGCATTGGCTCAGAGGAATGGACTTGGGGCGTTTCGTGTACAGCGAAAATTATGATATTGAGGTCAACCGATATAGAAAAAAGGCAGGGCAGAGTCTGGATGCGTGGGAGGAAGCGGGGTGGATTGCTAAGAGAGACCCCAGAGGGTGGTTCCAGTGGTGAGTTCGCAACGCAGACTCCCCACAATGATCCTTGCTCGCGCGGTGACTTATTCCTCCACACCTGCCTCTTCGCCATCTGCCGCAGGTACATTCACTTCTACCTTGGTCGCCGCAGCACGGATGATGCGCGTCAAGTATCTCGCTGGCAGAAGGCCGTCGGCCAGACGGGCCGCTTTCGACGTGCAGCTGACAAGAGCGTGGCGAGCAGGCAGATCTGCTGGCAGTGGGCTGTCGATGCGGGCTACGAGGCGCCGGAGCCTCAAGCCCCGCTTGTTGGGCCGGACGGAGGGGATCGCCTCCAAACGCAGGACAGTGCGGATGAGGAAGGGGACGGGGTGAAGAGTGAGGACGATGAGCCATGAGGGCGGGCAGGTGAAGCATGGTACCCAACGAGTGGCGCTTGCTGGTCTCGAGCATTGAACACACACGACCAAACGAGATTGCTGTCCACACACGCTCAATCTCACTATTATTCACCCTCCCTCCTCGCCTCTTCCGTATCAATCAACATCCAACCCCAACCTCCTGAGCATATCTCTTCTGTCCGCCTCCTTCTCCCACTTGCGTCTGCGCTCTTCCTCCCTCCAGTCTACTCCCTCTTGATTCCCATCCCACCCTCTAGGCTCAACATCAAATTCCGGTCCCTCCGTTACCTCACTGATCCTCTTTGCCAACCGCTGTATCGCCTCCTGCTCGGAGGGACCGCATCGCAAGCCGAGGCGGAAGAGCTCGACTTCACCTATGAACCTACCGCCTGACGATGAGGGCGTTGTGGAGGGAGGAACAAAGGTGGTGCCGATTTGGTGCGGGTGGACGGGTGTTTGAGGACTGACGCCAAGGATGAGCTCTAAGGCTGCAGAGCGATGGGCATCACTTGGTAGACTGTCCAAGGTGCTGAGAGCTCGCTCTAGGCCAGGTCTTGCCTCGCCGAGGGGAAAAGCAGTGGATGGTGGTCGAAGAATGTTGCGCAGCTGTACGTCCGAGGCTAGAGCGACGACTTGCGGTCGCGTGAGAGGTTTGGGGTCGTCCCGGCGGAGAGGATCGAGAAAGATGAGTGGGTCGGGCTCGGGCGGGTAGTGAAGTGTTGTGAGCGGGGTAAGGGAGGGCGAGCGAGCCCGGTAGAGAGCGCGTGGTGCTGGCTTGCCGTCGTCTTCTTGCGGAGCAGACATGCTCGGCAACGTGGGCAGAGCTCCTTTCTCGAGAGGGTGAGAGAGGTCCTCTGCCGCCGGCTCAGAGAGCGTTGATGTTGACGCCGCAGCACAGTCGGCAGTAGCCTTCGCTGACATCGCTGTGTCCTCGGTCTTGCCGATCTCAACCACTCTTCCCCTCCTCCTCCTCTGCTCCTCAGCCTGACCCGCCTCCAGTTCAACGTCCTTCAGGAAGTTGTTGCGCACAAGGAAGCGCACGACTTGGGCAACAGTTGAGACATGTTGCGCTATCTCCTTCTTGAGGAGAGCGTGGAGCAGGTTGCGTGGCTCGAATGGGTTGGGTGGTGGGTTGCGCGGGCGTGGCCGAGGGCGAGAGGTTGAGGCTGCTGCTGCTGAAGAGTGGCCACCTGTTGTGGCTGGCTGTGAGTGGGACTGCTTGCATTGATTGCCAAAGTTGCAGCGGCCTTGCAGGTAGAAGCGGCAGACGGGTGGGCCTGCTGGAGTGGATGTCGATGCCTGTGGAGCTTGATCTTGATGGTCTTGATCTGCTGGCGCAGAGATGCCGTGCTCTGAAGGTGCCCCATCCGAGTCCGATTCGCTGTCACTCGAATCTTCATCATCATCTGATGAGTCGTCCGAGCTACCGGAATCGTTCACATCGCCATGCTTCCTCTTGGTCCCAGTGTTCGTGGCGTCTGACCCTTTCACCGGAGCCTGCTGCTTTTGCTGAGGTCTAGGTCTCGATATGCCTCCTCTCGAAGCATCGTCCCAAGCCTCTGCCCTCTTCTCGGCGACGACCTTATCGCTTGGCCAACGCTTCTTCCTCTGGTTGATCCACTCAGCTACCAGCTCGGGGGTAGAGAGAGAGATGTTCAGGCCGGGGATGGTTTCCATAACTGACTCTGAGGATTCGGTCTGCGAAGAGGCGGACTGTCCTGCCTTCCGAGCTCTCCTTTGGGCCTCTTTCCTTTCTTCGATGAGTAAAGGGTCGATTCGCTCTAGCTCTGCTTTGCCTCCTGGCGGGTAGATGAGGTGTCGATCTGCTCGGTGGAGGGTGAGGTTGAGGGGGGACGAGGTGCGGTATGGGCATGGCTGCTGACTGGATGCTATGGAAGATGATGGGTCTGAAGAGGAGCTGCATGGTAGTGGTACTAAGTGACCGCATACAAGGTGACCTGTAAGACCATCGTCGATTGTTGGAGGTGGGGGAGGGCGACGTGATGGTCCACCTCCTCGACCTGCCCCACTGCCGCTGCCGCTGCCGCCTCTTCCTCGCCCTCTACCTCTGCCTCTGCCTCTGCCCTGCCCGAACGATTGTGATCCATTGCCTGGGTAGCTAGGTCCCACGCTGGGCCAAGCACCACGACCTTGCGGCGGGTGTGGCTGGGATGCCATGGGGAGTGTTGTGGAGACGTGAACCAAGAAGGCCTGGTGCCAAATTTCGACGCCTCCAAGGCACGGAAGCGCCCACGCGAGTGGTCCAGTCCATGGCCGACGACGCGCTTGACGGCGGTCCACGCAGCGAGTGCATTGATGCACTCCTCGCTCGCTCGCTCCTTCCTTCCATCCCACCTTGCCTGCTGACTATCAGCTCCATCCGCCCTCCATCACCCCTCCGACCTATCTGTCCATCCGCTGCGGTAAAGCTACGGCAGCATGGCATCTCCTCAACCCGCACCAGGCACCTCCATGCAGGCAACTCGCGGTCCTCAACCTGGCTCAGCCAGCGTAGCCGTCAACAAGACGACGCAAAACGCTCACAACTACGCCTCAACCGTCGCAACCCAATCTGATGTAGCAAAGTATCGCGGTAAATACAAGGAGCTCAAGGCCAAGATCAGGGACATTGAGGCAGAGAATGATGAGATCCATTTGAGGACCTTGAATCTAAAGAGGACCATACAGAGGATGAGATTGGAGAGGGCGTGAGTCTGGCGATGCAATGCTGAGTTGGGTAGATGTCATCGGACGGAGATGCTGATTGTGTGATCACCTCTTCGATCGTCATCAGGGTCTTGTACGAACGCCTCGAAGCAGCACAATCTAGCGCAGCAGCAGGATCGGCCTCGATGCCCGCCCCCGTCATCAGGCCCGCCTCACCCCCACAAGACGGTCGCCCCGTTCCACCACCACCTGTCTCCGCGCCCATCTCTCAGCCTCCTCAGCCTGCTCAAGCCTCCGTCCCTTCCTCATACTCCGGTGAAGCAGCTACCGGCCCGATCATGATGACGCTGCCCTCAGGCGAGAGGGTAGTCCCTTCGGTCCTGGCGCCGCCGCCGGTGAGGGACAGGGATTATGCGACTCAGATGATGCAACGAGGCATAGGGATGGGCGCGGGCACCGGAATGGAGGGAGGTACGAGCTCCACGTTGCCGCCGCCGATGAGGCCAGGAATGGCGCATGCCCAGTCAGGTTCGCCTCCTGCTGCGCCGGGGATAGGGGCAGGAGGACCGCCAGGAGGTAGCAATGGAGCAATGAAGGTGACATTGAGGAGGGGAGGTGGAGGAGGGCAACAGCAACAGCAGCAAATGGGTGGGGAGGCAGCATCACCTTCGCATGGAAGAGGGTCAGCAGGTTCCCCGCCTTCGTGAGGTGGGGACAAGGAAGAGGAGGGCGGGGCGAGAAGCATTGAAGCAATCGCATTCACGTCAGAGCACAAGATTGTCACCCACGACCCAGAGACCTGGCGCACATTCGTGATTGCATTGCGAGGCCCGCTGCTTCTACTTGGTTCGCTCCGGTCCCGTCATGACGGGTCCTCCTCTCCATCTTCGCCTGCAGACCCCTCGTCCCCCGCCCTTGGATCAGTCCACGTCTCAATGGGCAAGGCCGCAGAGCAACCTGCCGCCAAAAGAAAGAGTGTCGTACACACAAAGCCGAGCATCCCATGACCGCCTCCTCCCCCACCCGCCTCGCTTCCCGTCCCAGCAAGCAAGGTCCCCGCCAGCAAAGGGGCCACGATCCCCGCTAATCTTCCTAAAGCGCTCGCTGTCCCCGCCGCTGTACCTCTAAGCCCCGGCGGGCTGAAGACCTCAGGCGTGTACCCATACAGGGCAGCGTACGCTGTACTCGCCGCAAGGCTCACTGACATGGTTGCAAGTGTCGCCGTCACTCCGCTGGCCCCTGAAGAGGAAGAGAGGAAGAAGAATGTGGCGATGCATGCCCCCGTCGCGAGGAGGGAGAGGGCCAAAGTGCCGCGACGACCGAAGATGGGCGGAGGCAGCTGTACGAGGTAGGAGGATAGGAGCGGTCCAGGGAGGGAGAGCAGGGAGTAGAGGAGATAGGAGAGGAGCGCATTGTGCTCGCTGTCTCCCGCCGTCTTCGCCCTGACCGAGGCCGAGGCCGAGGAGGAGCGGGTGGCAGGCGTGACCCGCTCAGCGAGCAGCTTGGGCAGGAAGACGTTGAACATTGTGAATCCCAGATTGACCGTGATCCAGATCGCCCAGACGAGAAGGGTTGTGCGACGCCAGTAGGGGTCGTAGAGCAGTGTGCGATACTTCTCGCGAAGGGTAGTAAGGGTATCTCGCCACGTCGAATCGGAGGCTGAGGGAGAGGATGCTTCGCGAGGTGTGTCTGATGCTCCTTGAGCCGTGCCGGAGGTGCTAGGCAAGGGCCTGTAGCCGCCGGAGCGTTGCAGCCCGCCGGAAGAGGGATCTCCGTGCGCGTGACCTTCGTCATCGTCCTCGCTATCCTGCTCCGCTTCATCTACGTCAACCTCGTGACGAAGCATACTACCCCTTTGGCCCCCTCCATCGGGCCCTTCGCTCCCACCAGTCCTCCCCTTTCCGACTCTACTCGCCCTCCTATCGCTCACGTCGCCCAACTCAACAGGTAGCGGCCGCGCATTGTACTCGGCGATCTTCCTTAGAGCCTCCCTTGCTTCCTCTCTCCTCCCACTGGACACCAAAAAGCGCGGACTCTCCAGCAATGGGAAGAAGACCAGTCGCAGCACTACGAAGAAGGCGGTGAGAACCGCTAGGAAGCCGAGGAAGTAGCGCCAAGTCTCTGAGTTTGAGGTGGGTGTGGATGGGAGGACGAGGATAGCGATCAAGGCGCTGAAGACGGATCCGGCGGAGAAGAAGACGCTGAGCGCTGTGAGGAGGTACTGTTTGCGCACGGGGAGGTTCTCGAGGAAGACGGTCCCATCTGTTGGCATTGAGCCTCCCAGTCCTAGGCCCAGGCCAAACAAGCATGCGCATAGCGTGACGAAGCCCGGAGCGAAGGCAGCCAACGTGCCGAAGGCCGCGACGAGAGTAAGAGTACCATTGAACGCTCCCCGTCGACCATAGGTGTCTGAGTAGGCACCCCAGGCTAGAGCTCCGAAGGTCATGCCGGTAAATGTAGAGGAGGAGAGGAGACCGATGTAGGCATCTGAAATTGCGTAGTTGACTTGGACTCGCGGAAGAATGATGGCCACGCCTTGGAGCCACATGCTGCGCGCGGTATGAAGGGCAAGGAGTCAGCCTGCGACGTGAGAAGGGAAGCCTACACCTGCGACTTCCGCTCACTTATCAGCTGCCCATCCACAGCCCGTCAACACTAGCAAGGCCCACTGATATCGTCCCATCCCGATTGCGTCAATCGTTCTATCGAGCGGCGTATCCCCATGTGCCTTGGCCCTCCAGGCCTGCATTCCCTCCTCATCTACCTCGTCCGCGGGTGCGACAGTAGGCGCTCCGGCGGTGGAGGCGCTCCGCATCGGCTTAGGCCGAGGGAGCGTATCGAGGAGGGAGGATGAAGAGGTACGCTGCGTACCCTGACGCGGGAGGTAGAGGGAGCGGCTTCGTGATGCCGGGTCCAGAAGGCCCGGTGCACGTAGCCGCTGAGAATCAGGCACGCCCTCGCCATGGCGTTGTCCAGGCTCGATGAAGCTGAGTGCGCGTGATACAGCAGCTTCGCCGCTCTCCTCATTGCGGCTTCTTGAGGATAGGGGTGGGCGAGGTGAAGGTTGACTTTGCCCAAGGAGCTGCGAGCCCTCGCCCCAGGGTCCCGCCGACAGGTAGTCCGCCTCCTCTGCGCCGCTGTTGCCTGACATGCTGTAGTGCTGCAAGGCTATGTGGCAGTCTGTACTGCCAAACTATTGGATGGGTGTCATGCTTGAAGTTAGAGTGAAGAGGGCCGTCTGGAAATGTGAGAAAGGCTCCGAACGAATCAATCCATCAGTCAATCAACTCCTCTGGCCCGCTCGCGGCTCGCCCACGTCGACTGGCGTTTCCGTTGGCCCCTGCTTCCTGCGTCCGTGCGTGTGCGGCGCTTTGGCCGACGTCGACTGGACCGGCGCAACCGCAAGCGCAAGAATGCGGGGAAGGAATCAAGGGACGTTGCCGGCGCCTCAATCTGGTGCTGCGCCTCCTTCTTCTTCCTCTCATCCTCAAAGCGAGCAAGCAAGTCTTCCAACCGGCCCATCCCGCCACGTCACCAGCATGCGTCCATCTTTTCGCCTCCTGAGCCAGGCCGCAAAAACGCCAACGCGTTCCTCCTCCATCGGCTTCATCGGCCTGGGAGCCATGGGCCGGGAAATGGCTCACCACCTCGTCACAAAGACGCTCGCTGAACGAACACAACAAGGTCGTCCCACCAGCTTCGTCGTCTGCGATTCCGATCACGCGACCGTAACACGCTTCATCGATGGTCACTCGTCTCAAATAGCAGCCAAGGCAGGTCACACCTTGGTCCCAACAGCTCAGCCGAGCAGTGTAGCCAAGCTATGCGGTACTGTGGTGACTATGCTTCCCTCTAGTCCGCAGGTGAGGGACGTCTATTTGGGAGAAGGAGGAATCATGGCTGGTCTGCAGGACGCAAGTCCTACTGCGCAGGAGGACGGGACACTGCTCATCGACTGCACGACGTGCGATCGCGCTACGGGAGTCGAGGTGGCCGCCAAGATGGGCGAGACGTACGGACCCTCATCGGGACCAAGCTCAGCGGTGACCATGCTCGATGCTCCCGTCTCTGGCGGAGTATCAGGAGCCGCTGCTGCCACTCTCACCTTCCTTGTCGGCTCCAATAACACCGCAGCATTCGAGCAGGCGAGAGACGCAGTGCTGAGCAAGATGGGTGCACGAGCTATTCACTGCGGGCCGAATGGCGCTGGGTTGACTGCCAAGATTGCCAACAATCTCGTCCTCGGGGCAACCATGCTTGCTACGGCTGAGGCAATGGCGCTTGGTGTCAAGGGAGGATTGAGCGCTGAGTGAGTTACGGGTGGGCAAAGCGGGAAGTATTCATTGCGGTAGACTGACTGCGTCTTCTCGCTCCTTTGGCTACGCTCAGACTTCTCGCGCACGTCCTCAACACCTCAACTGGTCGCTCTTGGTCGTCCGAAGTGAACAATCCCGCTCCAGGCGCCCTGCGTGGCACCAAGCATTCACCACCAGCAGACCGTCATTGGGAAGGCGGATTTGCTGCTCGTCTTCAAGCAAAGGACCTCCGTCTTGCCCTCGCCGCAGCCGAGGATGTGGGTCTCTTGGTACCGATGGCTACCATGGCTAGCAAGATCTATGACAGGATGGAATCGATGGACGAGTACAAATTCAAAGACTTCAGCGTGGCGTTCAAGGCACTGCTGGATTCGGCGGAGGCAGCTCAGGCGGAGAAGAGGGAAGCTGCGGCTGCGAGGGAGAAGGCGGGAGTGGCGGTGTAGGAGCGTGATTCTTCAGGGTACGAAAGGGAAAGAAAGCGCAGCCAATGGACATACCCCAGGAGGGTGCATGAGAGACAGGCGCATAGCGCGATATATTGTTACATGACCGTAGTGGACGAGCACCGCAATATCCATCAAACCTAGCATCACATCCAACTTGTCATTCCTTCTTCTTCCGTCCCTCCCTTCATACAATCCCAGTCAGATCCCGTGCCTGATATCTTTCTCCCTTACTCTCTTTACTTTTCAATTCCGTGACGTCTCTCTCCCATCCTTCATTCTCTCCCCCTCCTCACCCGCCTACCTGAGCAGCGCCCTCGCCCTCAACACAAGTGCAGGAGGGAAAGCCCTCTCCTCCATCCTAGCGACCACCTGCTCAGCGTTGTACATGCAGCCCGCCGCAACCTCAAGCGCAATGATGCGCTCGTAAGTGGACGGCTCCGGGCATACGCCGGCGAAGGCGCGCGATACGAGGTGAAGGGTGTCATCCAGTGACGCCGGCCCGGGAACGTCGCTGCTAGCGCTGCCATTGTTGCTGAGATCGCTGTTGCTGTTGGCGCTACCGCTGCTGCCCATTGTAGCGGCCAGGACCTGCTCGATGGGCATTGTCGCCGACTGCTGAGCCAGGGGTGCGCCACGGGAGGCAGGGTGTTGCTGATGCTGCTGATGCTGGTGACGGGGTAGCGGGTGGTTGCCGTGCGAAGCAACTCCGGCAGGAGGCTGAGCCATAGCAAGGAAGATGGCTCTGGCCTTGACCAGTCCCTCTCCCGTTCCTTGCACATCAGCGCTCACATATCCCTCGATCGCGTGATTAGCGATGTACGCCGTCCTGTCCACGCCCAAACGCATCATCTCGCCCAAGAGCCCGTCGATCAGGTCCGCTCGCCCGTGCTGAGCATACACGGCCAGCAGCGCCTCGTACGCAACGGCGTCGGGGCGAGCGCCAGTCTTGAGAGGGATCGACCGGAAGATGTCTCTGCATCGCTCGAGATTGGCCGAGTGGCAAGAGATGAGCGCTGACCAATGAGGACCGGAGACGGAGACGCCGGGAGTGTGGTCGCGCAGCAGACGGAGGAAGATGGCGTTCATCCCTGCGACGTCGCGGGGTTCTATGGCTCCGTGAACATCGAGCAGGAGCCTACGCGAGTGCAGAAGGAAGAAGAGTGATTAGCTTTGGTCGCTTTCGTCCACCTATGGTACGCTCTTCGACTCACTTGTAAGTGTGACTGCTCGGCTTGACTCCCCTCTCCTGCATCTTTCCCCAGTAATACAACGCCTTCTCCCTGTCGGGCCTCGTATACGTGAAGAACTGAATCATCGAGTTGTAACCAGGCGGGCGAGCCACAAAAGCCGGATCCGACTCCATGGCCTCGAAGATTTGCTCGGCTGTCCCAATGTCACCGACGCGGACCGCGCAGTTGAGCGAGGCGCCGTAGGTGATTGAAGTGGGCTTGAGGCCAAGGGAAGGGAGACGTTGGTAGAGCTGCAGAGCGCGGTCGGCGCGACGAGCACGGCCGAGACGCGAGATGACAGTGTTGACCAGGTAGATGTTGGGCTGCACACCCAAACGCTGCGATTCGTCCCAGAGTTGCTCGGCAAGCAGTGCCTCGTCCGTCGAGTCGCGGATGGAGGAGATGAGCGCTGCGTAAGCGTTGGCACTAGGAGATGCACCGGTTGACAGGAGAGCATGACGGACGTTGTGCGCCGACTCAACGTCACCGCCGTGAGCGAGGGCCGAGATGACATTGTCCTCAACCTCTATCCAAGCAGCGCGTTGCCATTCAGCGTCGAGCGTGGAGGCCGACGCGATGGCGGCGTGAGCCATATCACGCAGCTCATAGACGCGTTGCAGCTTGCCGGCGCGGCCAAAGAGGTTGAGTAGCTGGGCGATTGCATCCGGTGGGGCGTACGTGCCGTTACAGTCAAGCTCGGTACGGAGGAGGCGGTAGGCGGCGTCGATGTTGGGCTGCTGCTGCTGACTACCGCGCTTGACGCGAAGCAGGAACTTGAGACGTTCACCAAGGTCGAGGTTGATGGCGGACTGTGCAACGGGGGACGGGACCTGGTCCGATGAGCCGAGACTAAGCTCAATGCCGCTTTCGCCAAGAGAAGTGGGAGCAGTAGACATCGTAGCAGAGGCGGCATCATCGGAGGAGAGTACAGGCGAGGGCTGCTCTACCGCTGATGGAGAAGTCGACTCCCGCAGAGTAGCCTTGAGCTGAGAAAAGTCGGGCAGAGCGATGAGTCCCTCAATTGCCTCCAGCTTTTCGATCCAGGCGCTGGCAGTCTCGATATCACCAGATTGGGCGAATGCAGTAACGAGTGTCTCCGTGGTAGAAACCGAAGGGCTGGGCAGGTCGTTATCGTTGACGACTAGCCTCTCAAACAGAGCGATGGCCTCCTCCGGTGCGTCGAGGAAGATGGTGGCGCGAATGTAGGCAGAGAAGACTTGCTCGTCGTTGGCGTTGATCCACTTTGGTGAGCGCATTGAGACGATGGCGGCGACGAGGATGTCCTTGAGTGAGGCTATGGCTGCAGTCGAGTCGATGTCTGCCGCAGCGGCGTAGCACTCGATCATGGCCGTGTAAGTTGCCGCATTGGGGCAAGCCTTCTCGCCAGCAGCCTGAACCATGGCGTAGACGGCCTGTGCTCGCTCCACGTCGCCCTTTGCAGCGCAGCGGGCAAGAAGAGCATTGTAGGCCGCGATGTCCTGAAGACCGCTGGGCGACGTAGTCAAGACGCGCCATGCCTCGCTAGACGCCTGCTCCTCAGCAGCCACATCGGGCACCTGGGTATCGGCCTGCTTCTCCTGGTCACGGGCGCAGAGAGCCTTGACCAGGACGGCGGACGTGCTACTGTTGGGCAGACAGCCGGCCTCAAGCATGTCCTGGTGGGTCTCGCGCATCTCCCGCAAAGACTCGCCTGGCTGACGGACCTCCTCCTGGGCCTGGAGCGCGGCATTGAAGCCTGCGGTCGTCTGCTGCGAGGCTGGTAGCTGACGGTAGGCCGCTACGAGGGTTGAGACGGCTACGCGGTCTCGCCTCTTTTTGGCATCGATGAGGTCTTGATAAAGCTCTGCAGGAGGGGCAGTAGTCGTTGCAGTGATGGCTGCGGGCGAGGCCTGCTGCGGCTGCTCATTGGCGGCGAAGGCCGACTTGAAGCGGAGGGCGTGGTTGCTGAACGAATCGCGGTTGACGAGCGGTCTCGCGGTGAGATTGCTCGAATGACGGCGTCGAGGAGCGAGACGCAGGCCGCGAGCCTGAGCGATGTGCTCGTCCTCGTCCTCGAGTGGATTGGAGCCATCATTTGTTGAAGAAGAGCCGGCCTGAACGACTGCTCTTCCTCCGGTATTGGTATAAGACTGGTACGCACCACGTCCTGCTGAGAACTTGGCTCCACCCGCGCCCGAGCCGGGCCCAGCACCAGCGCTACTCAAAGAAGCTGCTGCTCCCGAGCTGGCACCGTTGCTGGCTGATCCAGCTGCGGAACCACGAAAGGCATTGGCTCCTTGATGCGCTGCCTGGAAGTTGGCAAAGCGCGAGAGCTGGATGGCGATCTTCGAGAACGAAGAGGCCGGCATCACGGGGGTAGAGTCAGGCTAAGCTGTTCCAATATGGGAGGGAAAAGGGAAAGAAGCCACCTAGGCAGGTGGACTTTGGAAGTCCCAGCAGAGCAATTGGCTAAGCTGAGGATCGAGTGACGAGGGCTGTGAAGGCAGGCTGTGCTGCTTGCGGGCCGAGAGTGAGCGCGGCCTTGGCGAGGATGGCAGGAGATTTGCTTGATGTAGCTGGCTTGAGTCTTGGTGCCTTGGCGATGAGGGCTCGCTGTTGATTGGCTTGGTGGTCAGAAAGAGGACAGTGATCTTGTTTAGCTGAACGAGGAACAAAGGTGATTGGACCCCCGGCACGAGGCCGGCTCAGCCTTTGGAGTCAGTCAAGTAGCCTAATTTTTGAGGCGGCTCAGTCCGATGGTCGACCGCTTTCCGTCCTGCCTCGGGTGCTTCAGGCTACGCAGTGCTGAGCATACCCAGCTAGCGCCTCAGTCCTTTGCTCGACGTGCGCCGCGTGGCGCATCCTGATTAAGCACCGCCCGCCGTCGAGGGCCGCTCGACTTGACGCCCCGTCACTGCGCTGCACGCCCGCCTGCCTGGCGTCACTCTGTGGCTCTGGCCTCTCGTGCGGAGACGTTGAAATGCCGGCGACTTGGGTGCCAGAGAGAGGCGAGGCGAGGGTCCATTCATCGTCCACCTGGCCGCCCTTTGTCGCTTCTTGTCGTCCTTTTCACTACTATCACCACTACTACCTTGTCTTTGCTGGTCAATCACACGCTCAGTAGTCGAAGAGCACCATCAAGGAGAAGACGGAGACAAAGCGCTACTCCTCACACGCGCACGAGCATATCTCAACAGGGGCAGGTCCCCTCCTCTCTCTCCTCTCTCCTCTCAGTAGTCGCTAAAAGCAGAACAGCAAACTACTTTTCCTCCTGAGCAGCCCGAATCTTCAAGGCCGATCCCCCTTCTCTCTCTGCTCATCACCACATCACCTCGCCAACCATGGGTCGTGGCCGAGGCTTCGAGTTCTGCTGCTGCGCCATCCCGCTCATCAACGTAGGCGCCTACCTCGTCGTAATCGAAGTGGCAGTCGTCTCCTTCATCATCGGCATCCTCGCCCTCGCTCCACACGCGATCACTGCAGGCGAAGGCGTCATCCCCTCGTGGGCCAAGGCCATCGTAGCTGCCATCGCATTCGTCAATTTCGCCTGGCAGTTTGTCGGCCTCGTAGCTATCAAGCGCGAGACGACTGGCCTTTACCATGCGTACGTGCGCATTACCACCCTTCTCACTCTGGCCGTCATTGCAGTCACTGTAGCCTTTGCGGTCCTCTCCGCAGTCAAGCACTCAGACGCCCATCAGACGTGCATCAACAATTACGGTGCCTTGCCCTCCACCACCTCGTCCGGCTTCACCAACAGCGACATCCAGCAGAACTACGGCGATCAGATTTGCAACTACTTCATCTGGGCCCAGACAGGCGTCATGTTCGGTTTGATCGTCCTCTTTGGTCTCATCCAGCTCTACATGAACTTCTGCTCGCGATCCTACGGTGCCAGCCAACGATCTGCCGCCAAGGACTACAAGACCGAGATGCGCGGAGCAGACGATGAGATCCCCCTCTCATCGCGCAACACGCACAACAATGTAGGAGGAGCAGCTTCGCCTACGTGGGAGGCGCCGAGGGATGGTGGCGTGGCGCATGGGGCTGGCGGTAATGGCGGGTACGACTACAATGACTCGTCATTTGCCACCCTGCCTGGCGGGTACATCGGACAAAAGTCGTCCAGGATGGGGCTCGAGGATGATGAGCAGATGATTGGGACGAACCCGCACGGTACGAGCACGGGCTACCCGGCGTACGCTGGTGGTGGTCCTCACGCGAACGCTGCGGCGCCTTACCCGGCCTACGAGTCATACGCGCGATGAGCGATGAGCCCTCGATGATTGCCCAAATCGGCTGCTTCAAGTCGCAGCATCAGTAGCGGAAAAGCGGCACGGAACTCCACCGCCTATCAGCAATAGTCGAAGCAAGAGCAGCAGCAAGATCATCAAAGCAACCGTCAACGTGTATAGACCCCTCTACTCCTCCCCTTCCGCCCAATCCTGTCCTCATCTCCACCCAGCGAATTCGCGAATTGTACATTCTCCCTCCTATGATCGACCTCTTTCCCCTCCGTCGCGACGGACATTACCTGTCTCATCCTCTCCCTCCTCCTCCCCCTCCTCCTCCTTCTCCTCCTCAACACTGTCCATAATGAAGCTCAATACCATCTCGTCAACCCGCACGCGCACACACAAAGAGTGAAGCAAGGTAGATTGTCATTGATCCAGTCTAGCACCGCGTCGAGCCACCTGACCCACTACAACCCCATCAACCTCATAATCACATATCCCACGCTCCCCACCACAGCCGTCGCAGCAATACTAGCCGGCACACCCACCTTCAAGAAGTCCTTTGCCGTCACGTACCTTCTCCCCACCGCATCGACCTGGCTCACCGCCGTCATGTTGGGGAACCCGCTGACGGGCAGCCCACAAGCCGCAGAAGCAGTGAGCGTGGTGGCCATGATGAGGAGAATGGGGTGAGGTGGGCCCGGCTCCAGGGACTGGCCCACTTGCAGAGCGATCGGGACGAGCAGGACCGCGGCGATCGTGTGGGAGATGAAGGTGGCGACGATCAGGGAGATGAGGAGGAGGGAGAGGAGGACTGAGTAGAGGGGAAGATCCGCTACGAGAGACTGCGAAGGTGCGAAAGCGAGCCAGTGGGTGACAGTCAGCAAAAAAAGCTCAAGATATTGGCTCGGTGCGCACGCACCTGAATCACATCATCCAGCGACTCGAGCAATCCTGACGAGGTGACCGCCTTGCCCAACGCAATTCCACCCATGGCGAGAATGACCACGGTCCAAAGGAAGTTGTTGAAGTCCTCCTTGTTCAGGATGCCAGTGCCGAAGAAGAGGACCATGGGCACAATAGCAATCACGCCCATGTCTCCAAGGACCCTGCGTGCGGGCAAGCGAGCAGTGAAGTTAGGACTATGTTCTCGTCATCTCGCTGTCTTCCTCGCCACTCCTTACTCACCACTCAAAGTTCCTCTCCAAGCACCAGAGCACGATGGTACCCACAGTGACCGCCGAGATGAACCACTGGATCCCGTTGAACCTGTCCTGACTCTCCGGAATCTTCTTAATTACCGTTCCCCGGCCCGACCCATACGTCCAAAGGAGCATTATCCACACGATGACCAAGCTGAGTCCACTGACCGGAATGGTGATGGCGAACCATTGCAACCAGCCCAGCCCATCGCCAGGCATGTACTGCAGCGCAATCAAGTTCTGCGGTGAGGCAATGGGCGAGGTCTGGCCGCCGATGTTCGAGGCAAGTGCGACACCCATGATCATGCTGGGCCCGAAGGAGGACTTGTCCGGGAGGTTGCGGAGGATCGGCTGGATGAGAGAGTAGAGCAAGACGGGCGCTGCTACGTTGGAGATCCACATAGAGGCGAAGCAAGCTACGCACATGTGCGCCAGGAGGACGAAGGAGGGGCGCGTGCCTGCCAGACGGAGCACTTTGGTGGCAAGGAGCTTGTCGATGTTGTATTTGGAGAGGGCGGCTGCGATGGTGAAGCTGTGGATGAGCGGAGCAAAGGGGAGTGGGAGGAAGAGGGTGAGCGAGTAGGAAGATAGGACTATAGTGATCGCGAGCAGGACTCACCCTCCAAGCAGCAGACACATTGATGGAGTGAACATGGTGGAGAAGATCCACTTGGTCGTCTCGCTTGCGTCCATCCTTCGGTCCTCGATATCGTCCGTCCTGCCCACGCGCAGAGTCACCACCAAGAAGGGCACCAGTAGCGAGGTCACAAAGAGCGGGATGACCTCTGTCGCCCACAGGATGGTACAGAATACCAGCATGGCCAAGCAGTTCTGTTCCTCCACGCGGGGAAAGAAACGCAGCCCTGGTGCTTTGAGAAGAAGGAGGAGCATAGTGAGGGCTACGCTGAGCTGCAGTGCTGGAATGCCCAGCCAAGTAGGCAGGATGTATCCGCACACCTTGGTCGGCTTGGGCTTCTCCCCCCCTTTGCCCGCCGAAGAGCCCATGACCGTCTGCTCGAGCGAGGCACCGAGCGCGCGTCGCTCAATGCCGATCATCTCCCTCCAAACGGTATTGCGCTGCCAGACGACCTGCTCTCTCAGGTGCCCCTTCAGCTGCGAAGTAGCCAGCGTGACATCTCCCGAGGTGACCACCTTCGCATAGTAGTACGTGAGCGTCTCAATCTGCTCGCCCAGTGCACTGATCGTCTCTGGCTTGAACGGGTACTGCTGTCTGACCACCTGCTCCAAGTACGTATTCTTGAGGCTGGAGCCGAGAATCTTATCGTACTTTTTCAAGATCTTCTTCAGCCCGGTCTCGTTGAGTTGGACGAACTGTTTCAGCTCGGAGAAGGTGACGTACAGGTCGGTGATGCGACGCTTGTAGGTGATGCGCAGATCGATGGCGTAGTCATTCTCTGCTGTCCAGATTGCTGCGCCTAGGAATCCGCTCTCACCAGCTGCTGGTGGCGCTGCTCCGGTATCGCTGGTCGCGGCAGCCAGGTCTGGGTCGACGATGCCAAGGGAACGACGTTGCGAGGGGCGACGCTTGAAGAAGGCAGACCAGGGACGCGACCCGCCTGAGGACAGGGTGCGTTGCCGCTGAGGCATGTTGGGGACGGTGTCCAGCTCAGGGCTGCGAGGACCATCGCTGGATCCGACGGAGAGGCCGCTGGCGCTTTGGCTTGGCTTGAGCTTGCCTGCACTGGCGTCTGCCCTGATGTCCCTTTCTGCTTGCGACGCCTCGTTGTACGTGCGCGGATTGCCGAATAAAGCATGCAAGCTATTCTTCCTCGCCCTGTTCTGACCGCTCCTGGTTGTACCCGCAGCACTGTCTCCTCTCTCTTCGCCCTCCCCCTCATCCTCATCGTCACTCCCATCATCCGAGTCTCCGACCCCACTAGCCATGTCAGCCCTCTCAGCATCCTCCAGATTGTGCTGCAGCTTCACTAGATCAGCGTTGAGCTCCTGCTCCTTGAGGACGTAGAAGTCGCAAATACGGCGAACTTCACGATTGAGAAGGCCCACAAAGACCTTATCTGCGTCGCTGTTGGAGTTGCCGAGGAGAGAGGCTGTCTCGCTCTCGAGATCGTCGATGCGGTCCGCGGAGGAGGCGGCTAGGGCTTCTTCTGGTGTTTGATTCTGTTCAAGATTGTAGATGGCCTTCTTGAGATTCGAATACGCGACGTACTTGTCGGCCCTGCGCAGCAAGGGAATGGAAGAGTCAGTGAGATGGCCGTAGGAAAAGGGGCTCGTTGGGTGCAGCGCCAGCTCACCAATCCGGCACGCTATTGAATTGCAAGCTGTGAGAGAACTTCATCTTGTTCGGATCCCTGTTGAGGTACGAGAATCGGCGATGGCGGCGATGTCGAGATGTAGCGTGGAGCGGAGCAAGAGGGATGTGTTCCTCGCCCTGAGCGTCGTCGTTTGCTTCAAAGAGGATTGAAGACGATGAGGGGTATTCCTGTGTGCGATTTGGTTTAGCAAAGAGGTACTCGTTGATTCCAGCGAGTCGTAGCGGCATGCAAGTTGTAGGTGGTGATGACGAGGAAAAGGCGCTAGCACAGCATCAGCGTTGTAAGCATAGCCATGCAGCAAAGGGTGATGATGAAAGTGTTAGAGGACGAGGGCTGCCAAGATCAGCAGCCTTCAGCCTCGACTTGGCCCTGACGGGCGGCGGACTGGACCCCCCAAGTCGAATCGATTGATTGATGCGGGGACGCAAGCACACGTGGGTCACCAGCCAGATGGTCCAGAGAAGATAGCGCGACTTCTTGACCTTCAACCTCATGGATCATCCATTCGAACTTCGTGATGACATTGAGGAACAGGCAGAGTGGGTATAAAGAGATCAAACAAGCCACATCATCGTCATCGTGTGGGTCGCGCCTCATGCCAGCATGAATCGCCCCCAGACCAAGAATAGAATCAAGAGCAGCAGCACAGCCAACTTGACCCAGCCACCAGTCAGCGGCGCCTGCTTGCTCTGACGATCCCTCAATCTCTCCAGCTCCTCATCGCTCAGCCTCTGGCTGCGTGGAGTCGAGCGTCTGGCAATGGCTTCCTCGTAACCGCAGACTACCGCGTCCATGGCGTCCCACCAGGTACGGCGCCCGGCCTCGAGCTGAGCTTGGCGTCCCATGGTCATGCGCAGCTTGCGGTCCAAGATGAGACGCTCCAGATGCATGCTGTATGAGCGAGCACACGAGGTGAAGGCGGATGTACCAGCAGCCATGGCTGTCGCGAACTCGGCAGGCTCCTGCGGACGAGCGATAGACATGAATAGGGAAATGTGATGGTCAGCGTACGGCTGGTTGCAGCTCGCATCCGCTGCGCAACTCACCGGAATAGGCACCGGCAGACCAGGCGTTGTCCTAGCCGGCTTGCTAGCAGGAGACATCGATGGGCTCCTCCCATCGGTAGCACTTCGCTGCATCAATGGCCTCCCTTCTACGGCGACTCGTGGCGGGCTGCCCGGCACTCCCCTACCCTTCGCCGCCTTGGCCACGTCCAGCAACAAGCCTGTCCTACCATGCGTCACCAGATCCGACGTTCCCTGGGCATGGAGCCCCACAACGGGCAGCCCACAAGCCAATGCTTCCAACACCACCTGTCCGAAGGTCTCTGTGTGACTCGGGAAGGCCGAGATATCACTTGAGGCGTACATCGCCGCCAGCCTTGTCCCCTTCTGGTGGCCCATGAAAGCTACATCCAGCCCGAGCTTCTTGCTGAGCCTCGTGAGGTCAGCACGAGCTGGTCCGTCGCCTACGACGACTAGCTTGGCTTTGGACCGGACAGAAGGGGGCAGGAGCTTGAAGGCCTCAATGAGGAGGCGAATATTCTTTTCCCATGAGATGCGGCCCACGTAGAGGAGGACGGTCTTACCCTCCCCGGAAGAGGCGCTGGCGTCAATGAGGTTGTTCTTCTCGATTTGGTGGACGAAAGCCGGTGGTGGAAGGGCGAAGCCATTGAGGGGCAAGTCTGGAATCCCCGCAAGACTCTCGTACGCCGGAGGGGGGCTGAGCTCAGGAGAAGCTACGGGCGTCTTGATGAAGCTCTCGTCCCTCTTCCCATTTGGCCCAGACATCGTCAAGCCCAGCTTTTGGGCCATTGCGCTCACGCCCGCCTGCTGGACCGCTGCCTCGTGATGTCGACGTTGCTCAGCGTCGGCGGGTGAGCATCCCCATCCCGCGCGCAGGTTCTCGTCGCGTGCTGCGGGAGTGAAGAGGGAGGTGTCTACGCCGCGAGACCAGATGAGGACGTTCTTGAGACCCTTTTCCAGTAGCATGGAGCGAGTGGATTCCGAGGGGCAGAAGGTGAGCTCGCAGCGCGAGTGAAGGGCGCGGGTGAGCCTAGTGGGCGCGACAGAGCTCTAAAGTCAGCTCGATACCGTGACACGAGCGTGACCTCTTGCTGCGTCGACTCACTTCCACATCGTCGACTCGAGCCAGGGCATGCCGAAGAGGGCTGCGTACGTAGGCAGATTCGTGTGGTACGAGGCAACGCAGGGCACGTCTGGGAGCCACTTTTGTACGATGGGCAGCATTTGGGCGCCAAGCCAGATCGGGTCGACGAAGTGGACGACCTGAGGGCGAGGGCGAGCACCATGGGGCGTTAGTGAACGAAGAGATCATGTATAGGTGGGCGAGGGGGCACGTACATCTGGCTTGAATTGATGCAGGCGCCTGATGAAGCGGGGTCTTGTGAAGTTGAGCTTGAGGCCTGGATAGATGATCAGGGGCAGTCCGAAGGTGCCAACTACAGGGTGACCGGCGTATTCGCGCTGTAGCAGTCGCCACGCTAGGTCAGCTTTGCTGTACTGTTGGAAGCCCGTCGCGATACTCACAACGCCTGTTTCGGGTCCCAAAACCATAGCGTCGTGCCCTTCAGCGTTCAGATGCTCCAGCAAACGCGCTAGTGTGCGGGTGACGCCCTGTGGAGCGGAGGGAATTGGTCAGTCGAGAGACAGGCTGTAGGGTGATTGTAAGAGGTGCTTTTGCTCACATCGACCTTGGGCAGCATGTTCTCTGCGGCACAGAGGGAGTAGGATCAGTGATCGCTCTTGAACCATCTTATCAGCTCTGGGTCCTCTCGAGCTCACCAGTGACAATAGCGACCCTCAGCTTCCTCCTCTTGCCGGACGAAGCAGCCTGCGCGAAGCTCGCGGCACCATCTTGAACGGTGGTGGCGTTCATCTTGTCGTGTCGACAGTGAGCAGAGACGTTGATAAGAACCGTCCCTGAAGAGGATGTATGATGCCGTTGATGGTGTGGTATAAAGCGACAAGAGCGAGCAGTGTCCGATCGCGACCCAAACACGGTGGCGACCGACTGAGACGAGTGGACACGATAGGGAACGCGACCACACCACAAAACTGCCCTCCTCTTTTCGTTCGTCGTCGGGAATACATGAGATGCACACCCACTGCCCTCTGATCGCCGCCAGCCTCGTGTACCTCTGACACTTCCACTACAGTAGAGATTGTCTGGCCCCGCTGCTCCCGGATGTGCGAGTCGGGGGGCGTGGGGGCGTGGGGGCGTGCGATGCGACCGGGGCGAACGTGTCAAGGGGCTGGCGCAGCCGAGCCGACGGCAAGGGCGACGGCGGAGGGGGGGCTACGAAGATTTGTGGCGAGCAGAGAGATGTGTCGGCGAGTCGAGAAAGACAAGAGGCATTCATCGGTTAGTAGGACCAGCATGAGCCAGACGACAAGAGACAGTGAAGGCAAGCGTGGATGAGTGTCGCACGAGAGTGAGTGTGAACGGTGATGAGCCGCGTGGCGGCGGGGCTTAGCCTGGAAGCCTAGTCTCCACGTTCCTGGCTGGATCACGCATCAATCGACATTCCTCACCGCTCCTGATCATGTCTGCTCACGTCAAACCCATGCCATCTACCTGGCTATGATCTTACAAGAATGCGTCATTGACATGGAAAGGAGAGAGTGACAGGGAAGCTCTCCTCTCGATGGGAACGAGACAAGCGGGTCGCGGCGATGCGCGGGGTGGTGGTGGTGTGTGTATGAAAAGAGACGTGATGATGAAATCGACGAGCGAGCAACCCCATCCTGCCGCCGCTGCCCTCCGAGTCGTACTGCAAATCGCTAGCTATGCTGTAGGTGCGCGCTGCGATTACTCCTCGACCTTCTCGATCGTCGTCTTCTCAGCCGGGTAGATACCGTCAAGGAACTTTCGGATATCCTTGTTCTTGACGAGGCACTGGCCGTGAATGTCCGCCGCCGACTGCGAAACCTCCTCGATGTCGTTGCCCTCGACGAGGACCTGGTCCTTCTGGCTCGGGTCATCGCGGACGGTAACACCCTTCCTCATGGTGACGTGGCGAACCCTCTTCTCGCCCAAGAAGTTGCGGATCTCCAGAGACTGCTTGTCGCCGGCGACGATCATGTTGATGGGGAAATGGGCGTAGACGGCGCGGCACTTGTACTGGAAGCCGAGGGTGACACCCTTGATCATGTTGGCGAAGACGGCCTTGGCGGTACGGAGGCAGGCAAGGTGCTTGCGACCACCGTGCCAGACGATGAACTTGATCTTGTCACCCTGGGGCGACTTGATCAGGCGCACGTCCATGTTCATGTGCTTGACGTGCTGCGCGATAGTGGAAAAGCAAGGCGAGAGAGGTGAGCGATTGGGCTTGTCGGTGAACGATGAATGGCTGGAGGCAGAGACAATTGCTGGAGGGAGCAGCAGGCTCGCCGTTGCCCGGCCTACGAGAGTTGGCAGGGATCCAACGACGCCGTCCAACATCTGACCACTCGCTCCGCCGATCCCATCTTGCCTCCCATCTGGCTTCGACTGCTCACCTTGGTCAGCTCACCACGGGGCCCCTTGATGGTGGCCTTGCGGGCGTGAAGCTTGACCTCGATTCCCTCGGGAATGGCGAGCTCAACGTCCTTGTACACTTGGAGCATCCTGGAGGAGTGCGAAGGGGTAGGGTTGAATGTGAGCGACCGGATTCGCAGCAGCATTATGAGTGCCTGCTCCTCTCATCATCGTCGTCGTCGTCGTCATCGTCGCTGCCGCTGTCGTGGTCTGTCGTCGATGCCACTCTCTCGCCATCTCTGCTTTCCACGTTCGAGCGACCCTTCTTGGCGCCAGACAAGAGTGCAGTGGCAACCGCTCACGGAGGAAAGACTCAGTCCTTCCTCTGCCTCCTTTCCAGCAGCCGTCAGCCTCACAGAGCGACTGCGACTGCGACTAGCTGAGCTCGATGACCACCTCCCTCAAGCTCTATGCTGCGTTTTCTGCTGTCACTGGCCGTCGTGATCCTTTGAGATCTCTCTCTCGTCGTTCCTCGTCCTCTTCTTCTTCTTTCATCCTCTCAACTTGCCAGGCACATCCTTGGCCTAGCGACGAGAGTGACATCGACGGCCGGCATTCGGTTCTTCCAGCATAGCGATAGCAGCGATGACGACGACGACGATGATGATGTAGCAGCTTCGTTCAGCTAATACCCACTTGACGAGGTTTGATGAAGGAGGGAGATGGGGCGTGAAGATGAGGACGAAGCTAGCTCGATGGACTGAATTCACTTGACTGCAGCCTGGCTCTGGCTCTGGCTCTCGCACTCGCACTCGCTCTCTGGCCCCGAGCCTCGTCCGCCCCGCTCTCGAACGTCGAACCTCGAAACGGGGCGGGCGGCCGCGAGCGCGAGGTCCAGTCAGGTAGCCCGCCGCTGCTGCGAGTCGAGTCGGACCGCCTAGCTCGGCCGAGGAAGGGAGCAGGGAGGAGACCGCAGCCGGAACGGCGACTTCGAGGAGGCTACCAAGACGACAAGCAAGTAAATGGCGCTCAGAGCGAACGCTGCAGGATACACAGCACAACTAGAGCAGCGCTGAGCAGATTGACTCGACGCAGCATCCGCGACAAGCATCTGCGCTACAATGCAGCACGAGCCGCACCTGCTTCATGAGCAAACAGCAATGTTTGTGATTGAGCAGCACCTGGTACCTTCATTTCCGCCGCCAGTCCAACCTCTATCGTATCGAGTACTCGAATTTACTGCCATTGATTCTCCTTCACCCCTCAAACATCCGTCTCCTGCACCAGTCTTGCAACCGCAGTCGCCAGCTTGTCGAGCTCTGGCGCAAGAGCGCATTCGGCGTACACTCGCACGGCATCCTCCGTCCCACTCGCCCGCACAAAGCTCCTCGCTCCCTTGTACTTGGCCACCTCATTATCGATCTTCGCCTGCAGTCCCACAGGACTAATAAGCTTACGCTCAGCATCCTCCGTCTTGAAGGCAAAGCGGTCCTTCACGGTGACCTTCAGCAGCTTGTTAGGAAGATCCTCGTAGGCCCCATCCCAGTCCTCTGCGCCCCATTGTCTAGAGCGCAGGATGACCTCGACCAGGAGCATGTCACTAATCGCATCTCCTACCGTCTGATTGATGAGCTCGACGAGAGCTGAGAGCTGAGAGAGGGCGTCCTCCGCTGCAGGGCTCGAGGGCTCGGCCTCCTTGATGGTGCGCTGCGCCGACTCCGAGAAGAGGACGGTGCCGTGCCCGTTGGCCTCGAAGTAGACGCCAACATCGTATCGCTCTGCTGCGGCATGCAGGTGCTTCACGCCCGTGGGTGTGCAAGTGACAGGCACGCGCTGCTGAAGATACTTGGTCGACGACCCGTTTGCATAGGCTGTCTGCACGCAACCGACCTCGAGCTCAACGCCAGCCTTCTTGACCAACTCAACGATGTAGTCTGCTGCGAGGCTGGCAATTTTGTCTCCGTCGAGCAGACGGAAGCTGTCCGGCTGGGAAGCGGGGCCACGCAAGTAGTAGAAGACGATTCTGTCGGCGTCCCCGTCGAAGGAGCACATGCGCTCTCCCGGAGCAAGGGACGACTCCTTCTCGTAGCCGGAGGGGAGACGCTGGTTCGTCTTGACGTAGTCTGCTCCACAGCCGCTGTTGAGGGCACCGGGCGTTTTTGTGTCGGTGCGTTGCGCTTTGATGAGAAGGTACTGTTCGCCGATGTGCTTCTTAAGACCAATGAGAGCTGCTGCGCCTACGCCATTGGCGCAGTCGACGATCAGAGGGCTGGAGGTGGGTGGGAATTTTGAGACCAATGAGATGTAGGCTGCGCTCAGCTTAGCATAGTAGCCCTGCGTGCGAGTAGACAGGAGACGGGTCAATATCGCTGCGACGATGCGCGGTGCTTGATCTGCTATTACAGCTCACCTCTTCCGTAGGCTCGCCATACGCATCAGGCGTTCCCTTGGTGTTGAGTGCCTTGACGAGGTAGTGCAATTGAGGAGTGGTCTTGAGCCCAGCATCAATGATGTTTGCTCCCATGGCAGCGAGGCCGGAGGCCAAAGCTTTGCAGAGTGCAGGGCATGTAGGGCGAGTATCATGGCCATAGACTACGCTGGCTGGGGTGGAGAGGTTAATCTTGGCCGTTGAGATGAGGGTCTCAAGGGCTGCAATGAGCTCGTCGGCGTTGGTGGCATTGACGGCAGCTGTGCAGTGGCTTTCCCATGACGATTCGAGCATCTCGCCCCGAGCGTCGACTGCCTTCAAGCCATTGTCCTGGCAAGGCAAGGGGAGATGATGAGGTCTCGTCAGCTCGGCTATAGCGAGCTTGTCCTGCCTCGTCAACGCCGCTCACCTCTTCGGGGTTGTGGCTGGCTGTGACCATGAGGCCGACCGTCTTTCCGCCGAGCTTCTTGCTGCGCAACGCGCTGATGAGGGCGATGCGGTAGCAAACGCTCTCCAGGATGGCTCCTCTGCGCGTGCACAAAGCAGCAGCAAATTTAGTCTTCCTCCTACGTCTCGACCTCTGATTCCCAGCCCCCTCCCCGACCGACTCACTTTGTCCTCACACCAGCTGTACCGTAGGTGAACTTAACTGCCTCTGGCTTCGGGTACTCTTTGACTCCCTCGTGGATGAGCTGTGTCGGCAGACCCTCCGCCATTGCTCTCGCGGCAGAGATTGTGCTAGGCAAAGCCATTGTCGCGGCGATTGTTAGGTGTGAGAAGGAAGCAAGTCAAGGGTCCAAGTGTTGATGTTGAGGTGTTGCAAGTGTTGAGTGTTGAGCACGGACGCCGGCCAGCATGTTCGCCACGTGGCGTGTGTGCCGACGTGGGGCAAACGACGCCGGCAGTGGATTGGAATTGGCTGAGCTTGTCTTGCTTGGTGAAGCTTGCCGTCGTATCCATCACAACGACCACCATCGCCACCTCAGCTTGATCATCTTCACTGCTGAGCATGGCGCAATCGCACAGTCCATCAGCATCGCCGTCGCCGCCACAGCAAGATCCTGCTGATCGAGAGAAGGCTCTCGCAGATCAGCTGCGACGTCGAGCAATGGCATCCAAGAATCCAAAGAATACAGCGTCGAGCTCTCCCCCTGCTCCTCGTCGTCGTGGGGATCGATCCTCGCGCTCTCCTCCATCTAGATCTTCACAGTCGCCACCTCCTCGATCAACGCGAAGATACGACACCGACAGCCCCGATCCTGAGCCAGCTGCAGCATCAAAGAGCAGCCGTCGCAGTGACCGCGGTGACCGTGAGCGCGAAAGGCACAGAAGGAGAAGCGGCAGAGACTCGGCTGATCCCGACAGCGACCGTCGACGATCAAACGGCCATGATTCCCATCGCCGAGCGAGTGTTGCTAGGAGCACCCGAGATGAAGACGATGACGATGATGCTCGCAGCCAGCGAAGCAGTCGCCGATATGACAGTCGAGAGCGCGACCGCGATCCTTACGACCGTCGACGCCAGCCATCATCTCGTCGCCACGACTATGAGTACGACTACTATCGCGGACCCCCACCGCCTCGAGGAGGCTATGACTATTACTCTCCCCGCTCAGACTACCATCGTGGCGGCCGCTACTCCTCTCGACCTCGCTCCCCCTCTCCTCCTCGCCGCAGGACGCCCACGCCAGAGCCAGATGACTATGAGCGCAGGTCAGTCTTTTGCTCGCAGCTGTCTGCTCGCCTTACGCAGCGTGACCTGGGCGAGTTCTTCGAAGAGAAGTTGGGAGAAGATACTGTCAAAGACGTTCGCATCGTAACAGATCGTCACACTGGACGCAGCAAGGGCATCGGCTACGTGGAGCTGCGCAGCGAAGACCTAGTACGCAAGGCATGCGACTGCTCGGGAGAGAAGATATACGGTATTCCCATCCTCGTTCAGCTCACCGAAGCAGCCCGCAATCGCGGCGAGGGAGCTTCTACAGCTGCCGCCCCCATTCGACCCAATCTCATCGCTCAGCTTGCCCCAGGCGCACTGGAAAACCTCCCTCTTCCACCTCATCTCGCAACCGCAATGGGTCACGTAGCTCCAGGGCATCGCAACGCCACCTATCACGCGAACACTGACGCTCGCCTCTACGTCGGCAGTCTCCACTTTAGCATCACCGACGCAGACCTCAAGGCGGTCTTCGAACCGTTCGGCGAGATTGACCATGTCGACCTGCATCGCGAGCCCAATGGAAAGAGCAAAGGTTTTGCTTTCGTGCAGTTCAAGCGCGCCGCAGAGGCAGAGAGGGCTATTGAGCACATGGACAATTTTGAGCTTGCTGGGCGTAACATCCGCGTTGGACACGTCAATGCTCGTGGACAAGAAGGCAAGACGGCTGCCCAGCTCAGGAATGCGTCAGCTGGTGGTGCAGCTTCTCCCCCTGCGCCAGCTTCAGCTCAAGCTGCATCCTCTTCCGCAGCTGCTGCGCAAGCAGCCATGCTGGCAGCGGGTAACACCGCCACGCTCACTTCAGCGTATGACGATGGCGGAGGGGGAGGCTTGACCTCGCAGAATCGCGCAAATCTCATGGCTATGCTCGCTAGGAATGACGGCAGTCAGGCATCCCCTGCCGCTGCTCCAGAGCAAGTCCGTCCCGCCTCAATCCCCGAAGCCAAGAGTCGCGGCGTTCTTCTGAAGAATATGTTCAATCCTGAAGAGTGCGTGCAGTGCCCCGATATCATCACGGATGTCTCTGTATCGCAACGTAGACTGACCGTCCATCTTTCCCCCGTCTCGCCCGCAGAGAGACCGAACGCGACTGGGACAAGGATCTTGCTGAAGACGTCAAGGGAGAGTGCGAGTCCAAGTATGGGCGAGTGGAGCAATGCCTTGTAGACAAGGACAGCAGCTATGGCGAGATTTACCTCCGCTTCGCAGACATCGACGGTGCCTCAAGAGCTATTGCTGGGTTGAATGGGCGATGGTTTGGAGGAAGACAGGTGGGAGCCGTTTTGTGAGTGTGCCGCGTGGGTCAGGCGAAGACTGAGAGAGTAAGGCTGACCAACGAATCTCCCTTTGGCGTCGACAGCATCAGCGAGGGAATTCTTTCCGCTCGTTTGGGGTAAAGACGCGCAAGCATGAAACCTCCTCCGCAAAGCACAGGCAGCACAGCAAAGCAGCCTCGCTCCTCCTCTCCCCGCTTGTCCCGTACGCGCAGGCCCTACTTGAGCTCCCGGTAGGAGAGTCGCCTGTCACGCCAATGAATGGCGTTGGGTTCGAGCAAAGAGTTTGCGCTAGGCAGGTGTTGGCGGATACGGTCTTTCTCATCATCTCCCTCTTCTCTCGTCCTCGAGCGACGACCGCCCAGGCTCTTCTTCCACTTCACCTCTTCCGCATCTATCCTTGTCGCCCACAGATGATCACGAGGCGGCCCCCACCTGCCCATCGTCGTCTATGCGCGCGGTGAGATTGAAGCATCATCACAAGCGTCCCTGCAGGAACGCGGGGCTTGCCCTTCATCTCTGACATCCCACCATTCCTTTCTCTCATCCTGCAAAACCCCACTCTATCCCTCTTGCACCCCACCTGCCTCTGATCTCTGGTGCGTCCGTACCACTGCAACGGGGCCGGCGAGCAGCAGCGTAGCGTAGCGTCGCATCAGCTTCGCATCGCCCACGTATCGTACTTCTCAAGCACGTTGCAGTAAGTTCTTTTTCGCCTCGTCTCGCATTTTCCCTCGATCCAAGTCGCGGCAGCGTCGGTGCGTCGTAGCGCCGATGTGATTCCCGGCAGAAGCAATTCTACCTAAAATAGCAAACTCAATGAATTCAGTTCTGAAAATGCTTTAGCGACTCGAGGTCATGTGGGACCGTGAGAAAGGGGCGAGCGAGCAAGCAAACAAATGATTGAAGAGCCGGCATAACGGTGAAGAGTGGGAGGGGAGGTGGCCGATCTGGCTCTCGGAGGTCGGCTGATCATGGGCATGCTGATACTCTGAGAGAAAACATCGTTGCGTAACCGGCCGGCCGTACGAGTGGGCCGTTCGGGTGGGAGGGGGTGAGACCGGCGATCTCACCTTGGCTCTCTCGACGATGATCGCGCTCGACCGGCCCGGCCCTCGCTGCTTCACATCGCTACCCGCTATCGTATGGAATTGCGTCTTATCACAGCCCTGGCTGAGGGTGCGGAGGATGTGGGAGCAAGGTGTGGTCTCGCCGAGGAGGAAGGAAGAGGTCCCTCCTTTCCTCCTCGGTTTCTGCAAGAGGGGTCCAAAAGTTGTGCAGCCTAAGTGCTAGTGACGAATGCTAGCCGTGACGGTGCACAGTGCTGAGAGGGAGCGCTTGTCTGGCAAGGCTGCTACTCGGCGGTATTCTACGCTGTTTGCTGCGCTGCGTGCTGCGCTACGCTGTACTTTCTTCTGATCGCATCGCATCGTCCGCCCGGACGGCAGCCCGATAGCCAGGCAGCAGTGAGCGAGGCAAGCAGCATCGACGGACAGAATTAGCGCCCCTCTACTAGCCAGTAGCGTGGTGCAAGGGGACAGGCAGAGAGTGGGTCCAAGCGTTCAAGCGGGGGGGCGCAGGCGGGCAGGCAGGCAGGATGCCCGAGTGAGCGCTTGCGCCCTGTTGGCGTCGTCGTCTGTCCAACCCACCCTCTCCGAGGCTGCTTCACCTGGAGCTCGCCAACCGGTCCATTGATGACCTGCCGCCTTCGCCTCTGCCGCATCCCTGGATTCCACACGAAGAAGAGAAGAAAACGAAGTCGACGAGAAAGACCCTATTTCTCTTTTCAATTGATCCCATCATCACCATCTTCATCATAGATCAGGCAGACCCCTCCGCGTCTTTGGTCGTACAAGGCGTTCACTGGCCCCGCCGTAGATTAAGAGCTGGGCGCAGCTGCAGCAGCAACAGCATCGAGTCGAAGGCCGGGCGAGAGAGCAAAAGATTAACCCCGCGGTATCGCAGCGCCCATCTCACGAGAGAAGACGGTCTTTCCACCGGCGGAGCCATAGTCGAGCTAGCTCCTGGCTTGACATCTCGCAGAGCTTCCTTTCTTCCTTTCTGCCTCGTCGACTTCTCTACTCGCCCCTACTCCATCGGCTCCTCGCAACGAGGGATTGCTACGTCAGGCCATTTAGGACGAGGCGCCGTCTGAACCGTCCCTCATAGAGGACGAGCGCGGGCTGTCCAGCGTCTTCGCCTCAGCTGCATTCTCATCGGCCATTAGCAGCCGCCCCACGATCATACAGGCGTATTCGTCTCGTCGAGCCAGGCGAGAAACTGCTGGGCGATCTCGCGCTCGATTGTCACGCGCCCTCTTCGCCCTTCTATGGCGAAATTGAGCATCGCATCTGGGACGTAACGCCAAGGAAAAGAAGCGCAAGTAGCCGGCTTGCTAGGTCGGCCGCGAGATGTTTGCCCTACACAAAGGTGAGCTTGACTCGTACGAGATGGATCGTCAAGAGCGTAGACCGACCCGCCTCTCACCCCATCCGTCTCGCCTGCAGCCTTCCAACAATCAACCCAGTCAGTTCACGAAGCAGCAGAAGCTGAGCGGGACAGGCGGAGGAAGATGTCGGGCACCACTCATACCGGCGCCGGCAGGGGTAATGGTAGCGGAGCTACGGGGAGCGATGTAGGCGGCCGCCTCGAGTCAGATGGCAGCAACAGCGGCCGTTCCTCGCGAGCCCACGTCGACGCCATGCCCGAAAGGGTAGCTTCATCTCAAACCCTTTCTCCGGTCTATCCATCCTCTCCATCACACCACCTCCTTGAAAGAGGCCAGCATTCGAGGTCAGCGACCCCAGTTGGCACTTCTAGCAGCAACGACAGCAGCTCCGACCTCAATCGGCGTGCAGAGTCGAGTCGAGAGCGACCAGAGCTGGGCGTCCTTCGACCACCTCCATCTGGCGGCCTGCCTCCTATCCCGGCTGATCAGACTCCCTTGTCGACGCCATCGCCGGAAGAGCGCTACGTGCTTCCTCCAGACGCCATTGTACGAACACCGAGGCGACGGTCCAGTCGACCGGGCTTCAACAGCACCCCATCTTCCCCGAGGATGCTCCCTCCATCGCCTCCTCAGCCCCACGACCTGATGCAACGACAGAACAGCAACGGCGGAGGAAGCGGCAGTGGGAGTGGCAGCGGCAGCGGCAGCGCCGGCGTCAGCCGTAGGGGCTCCAGCAGCAGAGGTCCTCCAACCTCATCGTCCGCGGCACCAGCTGCGGCTAGTCTGTTGAGCCAGCGACAGGACTTTTCTGCCACGCCCAGGCTCATCCATGATGCCGTCTTTGCCATCTCTCCAAGCGCAGAGGAGGATGTTCCTCCTCCAACGATGAAGCATCCTCGAGACATTGTCGCGCCGGTAGCCGCAGTCCCACTTCACCATCATCTGTCAGAGCTTCGACCAGAGGATACCCGCCCTGCGCCACCACGCTTTTCAGAGGACTCCGTCGTCGACCCTCGGGCGTCCATCTACGGCGCAGCGCCCACTGTCATCCCCACAACGCCGGGCTCATCCAGCCGATTCAGGATCCCCAAGAGTCTGCGCCGGAAGAAGAACCCACCGAGGCAGTCTGAGAGCAGAGGCAGTCAAGCGTCCGAAGCGGACTCCAAGGCCCTCTCCAGTAGCCCAGAGATCGACACAGTCGCTGCGGCTAGACTACGAGGGCCAGCTCCCGCATCCAATGGCCGCTTCTCCCTCGACACTCGTTCTCATGCCTCCCATTCCTCAGCATCGACGGCAGCTCCGGGTAGTCCAGGGCAGAGGGCAGCGGCGCTCAGTCTCGATGAGCGGAGGAAGTCCTCCCTTGCCGCCAACCCACACGCTACAACCGCTGCTAGCAGTAGCAGACAACGTATCTCGACAGAGTCATCGGGATCGAGCTTCAGGCGACGATCGATTGCCCTGTTCGGTGGAGGCAGTGGAGGCGGCGGAAACGGTACCCGTGAGCGCGATTCTGATCGAGCGTCGTCCAGCGGCCGACCCAGCCTATCAGTCCCTTCTGCAAATGAGCCGACTGTCAGCATGGGAGGCATCGCAGTCCCGCTTCAGGCTCGCCCCTCCGAAGGATCGACGTGGCATTCCGAGAGCTCTTCTCCTTCGATGTACAACAGCTCCCGCGATAGCTCCAACGACATGGCTCGGGCTTCCATCTCATCCTCTGGGGGAGACGTAACATCTCGAAGCGCAGCAAGGAGCGGCAAGGCTGCATCCTTTTCAGCCTCGAACACGAGCTTGCAGGCCACCTTGGCTCCTTTCCCACGTCGCAGCTCTGGAGCCAACAGCAATGCATCGCTCGCTGTGCCCGGCCCTGCATCTCCTGCAAGTATTGCCCCTACCTCGTCGTACCTGGACGCTCAGGCGCTCGCGAATGCAACCAACAAGCCGCAGCCATCGATACCGCCGACTTCGAGCCCTCCGCCACCCCCTCTTCAGCAACAACTTCGAGCGAGATCTTCGAGCAACCTCCTCCTTCGTCGCGTAGGGTCCAGCGGTTTGCTAAATACGGAAAGCCCGCGCGACTCGTTGAGCGGAGACACCAGCAGTCGAGGCGGCGCTCCCGCTACCACGCCTGGAAAGGGCAACAAGCTGATGCGCGGCCTCACTGGTCGTAGACCGAGGACAGCAACGCCCGGAGGCAGCCGTGATGGTTCGTCAGACTTTGCGCGATCATCCGGCGATGCTGCGCTTAGTCGCACCACCCCATCGAGGCCATCAACCGCGACTGCGATCAGCCCCGCGTCTCCTCTGGGGACTACCGCAGCTAACGACTCGTCCAGGCTCGAGGCTAGCGGTGGAGCTGCTGCTCTATTCGGTGGTGGAGGCGGAGGTGCTAGTGGTGGTGGACGTCCCCGTGCATCGTCATTACTGCCTAACCTCAACATCTTCGGCGGAGGCAACACCAGGACAAGGGCGATGTCGTCTTCCGGTCGCCAAAGCCCTTTTACTGGCCCTGCTGCCACGCCCACGCCTTCTCGAGGTGCGCAGACCACGACACCTACGCCAACGCTCAATGTCAACGCCGACGCGAGTGCGGCAGGTAGCACAATTTTACCTGACGAAACTCAGCATTCGTCGTCCGCCTCGACGAAGAAGTATCCCATCCTACCCGACGAGGCCCCAGACGAGTACGTAGAGCGCATCCTCCTGACAGTCGACCACAGCGACGTAGCGACCATGCTGGCCTCCTCGACGGACGAGTTCCACCTGGAAGCTCTGCGCGTTTATATGCGCCGCTTCCTCTTCGTGGGCAACCCCCTGGATATTGCGCTGCGCAAGATGTTGATGGAGCTCCGCCTTCCGAAGGAGACGCAGCAAATTGACCGTGTGATGGAGGCCTTTGCCAAGCGGTATAACGAGTGCAACGAGGAGCTGTTCGCATCGGATGATCAGCCGTACATACTGGCCTTCTCGCTCATGATGCTCCACACGGACGCATTCAATCGGAACGCCAAGACGAAGATGTCGAAAGCGGACTACGTCAAGAACACGGCCTCATCGGGCGTGCCGCAGGATATCCTCGAGTACCTGTACGACAATCTCACATTCACTCAGTTCGTCTACTCGGATGAGGCGGCAAGTGCTGCGCCTGTCCCCATCAGCCCAGCCCCGCTGAGCGGTGGAGGGGAGAAGACTGGATTCCTTGCCAGCTTCGGTGCAGGATCAAAGGACAAGGGAGACAAGACGGTCGACGCCTATTGGATCATCAGACAGGGGCGGCTCAGCTCCCTCTGCCCGAACATCGACAACATCATACCTGAGGACGATCCCTACTCTTACACCGGCGCCGCCACGCACATAGATGTCCCAACGCTCGCAAGAGCTTACATGTCTGCGCCTTCCATCGAGGTCGTCGCCTCAAGGCGCTCTTCCGTCTCGACGCCCGCGCCAGCAGACAACCTCGCTCCCGGTGCCACTGGGGCAGCAGGGTGGTCAGGCCCAGAGATGATCGGCAACGGTGGACTGGGCAACGAGCCCGACTCGACACTTACGCTGCGCATCTTCAAGGTGGGCATCGTGAATCGCAAAGACGAGGTCACGGAGAAGACGAAGAAGAACAGCTCCTCGAAATGGAAGAGCTGCGGAATGGTCCTTTCCTCTTCTCAGCTCCTCTTCTTCCGCGACCTCGTATGGATTGACGCGCTTCAGGCTCAAATTAGCGAGCAGCTGGCTGATGCGACGCCAGAGGAGAGGAAGAAAGGCATCTTGATCACGCCCAAGATCACGAACTTCAGGCCGGATGGAGTCTTGTCGCTTGGAGACGCCATTGCGCTCAAGGACGATAGCTTCGATCGTGACGAGAGCGTGTTGAGGTTGGTCGGCGTGCAGGGGACAGTTCAGCACGAGTACCTCTTCCAGGTGCGCGATAAGGGCGATATGAACGTGAGTACGAGCAGGGTGAGAAGCGGGTGAGAACATGAAAGCTGATCTTCGATCGTCCCTAATAGGAATGGATTGCCGGCATCAACTTCTGCGCTTGCTTCAGAGCAGCAGGTCTCAAGGTGACAAACCTTGACACATTCGCGCTCATGAACGGCGACAGGCTCCTTGGAGGCAACTCGATGAGTCGCTCCTCAAGTCAAGGTGGCTCAGACAGGCAATGGTCCACGAGTGACCCCTTTGCGCAACCCGGCCCCGCAGCAGCAGCAGCAGCAGCAGCAGCAGCAGCATCGTCATCAGCTACACCAGCTCCGCAAGCTACCCCTGCTCAGCTGCTCCGAGCCAAGGTCGCGGCTCGACGTCGCGAGCTCGTCCCCAAGCTTGAAATCGTCAATCGCACTCTCTATGCCCACTCCAACGAGCTTCAGGAACTGCTTCGCCTGGCGCGCCAATTCACCATCATGACTCCCTTCCAACGCTCGACCCGAGAGCGTATCGAAGCAGCCGCTACCCCGCTCGCAGCCCGCATCCGTCAGCTGCGCATCGAAGTGGCCAAGTACGAGTGTCGGCAATACATCCTTTCATCGGAAGTGCAGGTGAATGACCGTGCGGCGTCACAAGCGGCGGCCAGTCAAGACAACTTGATGAGTCCGTCGCTCATCGCTCTTGCGCAACAGGAGCGCAAGGGCTCCTACTTTGCAGCTGAGGGCTTCGGCAGCAGCGAAGATGACGGTGGGCTCCGCTCCTCTCAACGATCCCCGACAGAGATGCGCAAGGCCTCGAGCGGGAACGTCGGGTCACTGCGGCCCGTAGCAGAAGCGCCAGGAGAAGGCAGTGGTGAGACGGCGTCAACCTCGTCTCTCATCCCGGCCATCGGCTCTTTTGCTCGTTTGGACAGCAGCGACGCCGTCGCCGTCGCTTCATCAAGCAAGAATTTCGACTTCCGCTCCCGTATCTCGCGCTCACGCGTCAAATCCAACGCAACTTCAAGTGGAGCCGGAGGAGGGTCGGGCAGTCACCATTCGGATACGGCGAGCCTGAGCTCTCGTTCCAACAAGAGCGGCGGCGCTAGTGGCGTCAACCCAGCAGAACGAGCTGAGAGCTGGAACACCACCCGTGCCTTCCGTGACCCGGACCGTATCTCCGTCGCTCAGCTGCCTAGCTTGGAAACGATCGAGGCCGCCACGCGCGAAAAGGCTAGACGCCGTGTTGCACAACAGCCTCACAACAAGGGCGGGCTTTTCACCTCTACGTACAGCAGCACGACCCTGTCCTCCCCCGACGGCGGTACTGGGCAGAGAAAGGGGAGCATCGCGAGTAGTGGGCCAGGCGGAGCGGCTTCGTCGAGTGGTGGAGGAGCGGCCCCTTCTACGTTTAGCTACACGAGTCATGGCTCGAGAGGATCGGATAGGGAAATACCTGTCAATGATCGCAGACTTGACCCCCCTGTGTTCATGTCTACCTGGGGGGCCTAGGCGCGCAAAGGGCTCGTGGCTATACTCTTCTTCTCTACCATTTCCTGTCGATGGTGTTTCTTTCGACTTTTACAGCTAGACGTCATTCAATATCGCTGGCCACGCTTTCCTCCCCACTCTGTGTATCATCTCTCTCATGACACGCGCGCACGAGCACCCACCAGTTTCCCCAATCAAAATCAGGGTCTCCTCATCATCTTCTCGTGCGTTTGATTGAGCTTGCGGCTGCATGATGAGCTCTTGATGTCGCTCGCTCTCATCGCTCTCTCCTCTGCTCGCGGCTCGACGCTCCACCGGCGGACCGGCCCGCGTGAAAAGCCGGATCGAGGAAAGCGGGTGGACTTGAGCTCGGAGCGCGAGCGAGGTCTTGCTCTGACGCAAGGCGGCCAGCCTCCATCCCCCGCACGCCTGGCCCTCGGCAGGGCGGCTCACCAGTCGACGTCCCTGTGTCCCAGGTGGGCCGGTCGAGCGAGAGTAAGCGGGGGGAGGGGAGAAGGGGGCTGCGACAACGATTGAATACAAGTGCCGGTCAAGCAATCTCTTTCCTTTCCTCCTTCTACAACATCATCCAAAATGTCGGATTTCCCCACTCACGAATCCGGAAAGCTTTCCCTCAAGGGTCGTGTGGCCCTCGTTACCGGCGCCGGTAACGGGCTCGGTCGAGCGTGAGCGTCGCAGCGTGGCCCTCCACGATGCGATCAAGCTGACCTCAATACCTCCCTTCTGTCGCTCAGCTATGCTCTCGGCCTTGCCGCACGAGGTGCCAAGATCGTCGTCAACGACTTGGGTCCCTCGACGCAGGACAAGAACCGCAAGGCAGCCGAGGTCGTCGTCGAGGAGATCAAGAAGGCAGGTGGAGACGCTGTTGCCAACCTTGACTCGAACCTCGAGGGTGCCAAGATCATTCAACAGGCCATCGACAGCTTTGGTCGAATCGACATTGTCGTCAACAATGCTGGTATTCTGCGCGACAAGTCGTAAGTAGGCGTTATGACCCTTGCGACGCTGTGAGCGTATGCTAACCTGGACCTCCGTCTATCGCTGCAGCTTCAAGTCGATGAGCGACAAGGAGTGGGACGCCATCACGGCTGTCCACATCACTGGCTCGTACGCTTGTGCTCACGCTGCTTGGCCTCACATGCGCAAGCAAAAGTTCGGCCGCATCATTAACATCTCGTCGGCCGCTGGTATCTACGGCAACTTCGGTCAGGCAAACTACTCTGCTGCCAAGATGTGAGTGCGAGCGAGGCCAGGAAAGGCAGAAATTGAGCTGAGCTGTACGAGTTTCGTGCTGACCTTGCTCTGCTGCTTGCCTTTTGATCGCTCAGGGCCATGATCTCGTTCACCAAGACGCTCGCCATCGAGGGCGCCAAGTACAACATCATTGCCAACTGCATCGCCCCCATCGCCGCATCCCAAATGCTCGCCTCGGTCATGCCGCCCGAGATCCTCGAGAACCTCAAGCCCGAGATGGTTGCCCCCCTGGCCACCTACCTCGTCTCCGGCGCCAACACGGAGCACTCTGGCCTCCTCATCGAATCTGGTGCTGGCTTTATGGCTGGCGTGCGTCGTGAGCGATCTCGCGGTGTCGTATTCCGAGCGGACGACACTTTCACCCCTTCGGCAGTCGGCCAGCGTATCGACGAGATCTTGGACTTTGACGAGTCGCCGGAGTACCCTGAGAAGATCACCGACGCCAACCACCTCGAGTTCCTCGAGAGGGCCAAGGAGGCCAAGGCTAACGACCAGGGTGATGGCAAGGTCCGCTTCGACGGCAAGACGGTTCTCATTACTGGTGCTGGTGCTGGTCTGGGCAAGGCCTACGCCCAAATGTTCGCCAAGCTCGGCGCCAACGTCGTGGTCAATGACTTTGCAGAGAAGGCAGCCAACGCTGTCGTCGACGAGATCAAGAAGGCTGGCGGCAAGGCTGCCCCTGCCATTGGCTCGGCGGAGAATGGCGAGAAGCTCGTCAAGGACGCTACTGATGCCTTCGGTGGGCTTCACATCATCGTCAACAATGCCGGTATCCTGCGAGACAAGTCCTTTGCCTCGATGAGCGACGAGGAGTGGCACGCAGTCATCAACGTGCACCTCCGCGGCACCTACAGCGTCTGCAAGGCTGCTTGGCCCATCTTCCAGCAGCAAAAGTACGGCCGCATCGTCAACACCACCTCGGCGGTGGGCATTTACGGCAACTTCGGCCAGGCCAACTACTCTACGGCCAAGGGCGGTATCCTCGGTCTTACGCAGACGCTCGCCATTGAGGGTCAGAAGTACGGGATCCTTGCAAACACCATTGCGCCCAACGCAGGCACTGCCATGACTTCGACGATCTGGCCTCAGGAGATGGTCGACGCCTTCAAGCCTGACTTTGTTGCCCCGGCCGTAGGCTACCTGGCCAGTGAGGCTAATCAAGAGGTGACTAAGGGTCTCTTTGAGGTCTCTGGTGGATGGGTCGCCGCAGTCCGATGGCAGCGCTCTGGTGGTCACGCGTTCAAGTTCGGCAAGACCCTCGAGCCCGAGATCATCGAGCAGAACTTCAGCAAGATCATCGACTACGACCCTGAGCGCGCCAGCTGGCCTGCTAGCAACCAAGAGTCGATCCAAGACATCATGGCCAACATCAGCGCCGGTGGTGGGGACGACGACGAGGAGGAAGAAGGCGGCGAGGGTGGCCCCGAGCTCGAAGCTTGGATCGACGAGGAAGACCCGGACTTTGTGAAGGAAGCCAAGCGCCAGCAGCTTGAGCCCGTCGAGTACGCCTGGGACGAGGACAGCACCATCCTCTACAACCTAGGCATCGGTGCTACTGCTCAGGAGCTGCAGTACGTTTACGAGGGAGACGACGACTTCCAGCTGATCCCCTCGGCCGCGGTCATTATCCCCTTCGCCGCTTCCTCTGGCATTCCGATGGACTGGCTGCCCAACTTTGACCCGACCAAGCTGCTCCACGGCGAGCAGAGCGTCGAGTTCAAGGTCAAGGAGCTGCCCACCTCGGGCAAGGTGATCAATCACCCCAAGATCGCCGAGGTGCTCGACAAGGGCAAGGCTGCCTCGATCGCCGCGCGAACGAAGACCGTCGATGCGCAGAGCGGCAAGGAGCTCTTTGACTCCCACTCTGTCGTCTTCATCCGCGGAGCTGGCGGCTTCGAGGGTAAGAAGCAAGGTCGTGATTGGGGAGCAGCCTCTGCCCCCAACAAGCCGCCTAGCCGCAAGCCCGACTTCGAGAAGGACATCAAGACGGACGAGTCGCAGGCTGCCCTGTACCGTCTCAGCGGCGACAAGAACCCGCTGCACGTCGACCCTTCCTTTGCCAGCATGGGTGGCTTTGAGAAGCCGATCCTTCACGGACTCTGCTCGCTGGGTGTGTGCGTGAAGAGCCTGTATGAGGAGTACGGCTTCCCCAAGGCCTTCAAGGTTCGCTTTGCGGGTACGCTCTTGCCTGGTCAGACTATTCAGGTCAAGGGATGGAAAGAGGGTACGAAGATTGTGTGGGAGGCCATTTGCAAGGAGACTGGCAAGCCGGTCATCTCGGCTGGTGGGTACGAGACCTGGGAGTAGACGCGCATTTCTGGATCATCAAAGGTGCTCTCTTCTTGCTTGAACGAATGGATATATGTCTCACGATCATAGCGATTACGAGTGAGCAGGTCATCGTGCGTCTGATTCTGGTTAGAGATTCTAGGCGACTGCTGGCGTGATGCGCTTGTGGTCTCCTGGCGCCCGGGGTTGAAGAAGGGCTTCGAGGACAGCTCGAGGCGGCAACAGCACCGCGGAAGGACTTCAGCGACCAAGAGAGCTTTGTGTGTGGTAAGGGGCGTTGGTATTGGAGGTCGAAAGCAGCGATACAAATACATGCTAGACAATCATTTCCTGGCCGTTGGTGTCAAGGGAGGTGAGGTCAGGCGAGTCCACGATCTCCCATCGTCTACGCGATCTTGAGGCACTTGTCTGCGCGGCGTGAAGAGGATCGTCAGCCAGTCAATCCCCCCATATCCTCAATGTCAGCGCATCTCTCATGTCCGAGGCGCACTTACCCTTAGTCCTACACCTATACAGGAACCCAACAACCACCTCGCCTTCCTTCGGGGCCTGCTGTGCAGCGAAGTGCTTCTGTGCAAGCCCCGCCAAATAACTCTTGGCGTCTTCCTCGTCAAAGAAGTCGTCAGGACAGGGCTCCCCTTCCCTTTCCCTCGGGACATCCTCGCCGTCCTCTGCGTCGGCGTGGGAGCGCTTCTTGCCCGCGGAGGGGCCACCGGGAGTCGTCGTCGCCGGTGGGGAACGAGCGCGAAAGCGGTCGGAGGCTTTACCGGAGTAGGACGTTGATGTAGCTGCGGCAGATGCTAAGGCTGCTCTACGCTTTCCGGATGCCTCGGCAAGGATCTCCTCCTCTGTTCGTTGGTCCTCGGCGCCCTCTCCTTGTCCTGTCTCATCGTCCGCTCCTTCTTCGCCTGCGGCTGCGTCATCGTCTTCAGCCTCGTCCTCCTCATCGTAGAAGTCTGATGGAGTGGAAGAACGAGCGCGCGCTGGACGCGCTGGTGGATAATTGGGAGCGAGGGAATAGTACTCTACGTAGGATGTGAGGGCGGATGTGGGGAGGGTAGAGAGGTCTACTGTTGGTGGGGGGTTGGCTGTGAGGGAGCGTGGTCAGCATATAGTGACGGCTTGAGACGAGGGAATGTTCGCTTCAGCATGACTGACCCTTGTCTTTGTCTGCGGTAGCCGCAGCAGTAGCGGTTGTCGACATGATGACCGAGTCTTGGCGTAGGTGGAGTGTATGCAGAGAGAGTGGTGATGTGGGTGGTATTGCGAGCGACGCGGGGAACGAGGCTGGCTGCTCCCGTTCGTCGTCGGACTGAGGCCGCTGCCATGTGCCATGTGCCTTGAGCCGCGGCCCAGCCTGCAAGTCGTGCGACTGTGGGTGAGCTGCGACCTGACGTGAGTGGAGCCAAGATTGATGCGCCAGTCCGACTTGCTCAGCATTTTTCAGGATCCTCGGCATCGATACCACTCGTCCTGGCATTCACACGGCATCGACTCCTTCTACGCTACGGCTCTCTACACCGCAGCTTCTCTAGCATGGCGTCAAGACCGCCTTCGCCATCCCAGGCGGGGCCAACGAAGCAGCGTCACCATCCTTTGCTGCAACGTCCTCTATACGCCTTCCACCTTCCGCCAACGATCCTCGAACACATCAAGCTCAGATCAATAGACGTAGAGCCAGCGGCAATAGCACCAGCAGCACGCAATACTACCCAGGCGACAACAACCTCCATCTCTGCATCTGCGCCCTCCTCCACCGGCCTCACCTGCACCCTCTGCGCTTCACACCCAACCTTCGCCTCTCCAGCACACCAACGCGCCCACTTCCGCAGCGACTGGCATCGATACAACCTACAGCTCACGCTGAAGGCACCCAAGGGTACTGCACCGCCAGTAGTCGATGAGAAGCAATGGGAGGCATTCGTCGAGGACCTGCCGAGTGATGATGAGAGTGGTGCGAATACGCCTGCCACAAGCGATGAAGAGGGAGCCGGAGGGACGCCCCAAAAGGCGGCTGATCTCGTGTCACAAGTGATGCGCAAGCTCAACATCGGGACTAATGGCAGGTCGGACGGGGCAAATGGAGCAGCAGACGAGGACAGCGACCTCGAAGACGAAGAGTTCGATGCTGATGGCAGGCCGCGTCGCAGCGTGACCGCTAAGTCGGCCCTGCTGTGGTTCACTACCCCAGCGCCAGACTCAAACACTCCAGCTCTGCTCGAGCAAACCCAGCTCGGCATGTACCGCACCCTCTTCCCCGACCCGGCCTCCAAGTCTGTCGAGCATCTCCAGTCACAAGCGGCCGCAGACCCAGCAGGATGGCATCTCGCTGCGCTCAAGGGCATGCAGAGCGAGCCTCTTAGGCGGCCAGCGGCACATAAGGGTAGCAAGGGGGGATGGAGAGGAAAGAGACTCAAGGGAATGGACGAAGCTGCAGGTCTGCTCGGAATCAGTTTCTTGGAGGGCGAAGGATTCATTCCTGGCCTGGTCACGCGGGTCGGGCAGGAGGCGAGCAAGCATGCTGATCTCGAGGAGGACGAGGAAGAGTCGGATGGGGAGATTAGCTCTTCTTCGGACGAGGAGGAGGAAGTGCAGTCAGACCTTGCATCTACGGCCTCCTCAGTGCCCCGCGGCATCGACCCTCCCCTTCGCACTTGGACCATCATCCTCTTCGGCGGAGGCCACTTCTCTGCAGCGGTCGTAGCACTCAATCCCTACCTTCCACCTAGGGCAGCCACAAAGAACAGGCCGCTGCCGGCTCCGGGCAGCGATGAGGAGATCTTGAACGAGGATCGCTGCATAGTCGTGTTGGCGCACAAGGCCTTCCATCGCTACACGACGCGAAGGAAGCAGGGTGGGGCGCAGTCTACGCAAGACGCGACAGGCCGATTCGCCAAGTCTGCGGGTGCGCAGCTGCGTAGAGCGGGGGAGGCTGCCCTCGCGGAGGAAACAAGAGCGCTTTTGGGGATGAGAGGTTGGCGCAAGCTTGTGGGGGAGAGCGAGCGAATCTACGTCCGGGCCAACGCTCGAGCAGCAAGGGGCATCCTGTGGAGTTGGCCTGGCGCCTCAGGAGCAGACATGGCTCATACAGCCTCGCCGCTCGAAGGACCGCGCTCAGATGGGAGACTCTGCACCATTCCCTTTTCCACTCGTAGCAGCAAGGCCACAGTAGGAGAATGCTTGCGCGTCTTCGCTGAGCTGTCCCGCGTCAAGATCGCGCGACGTACTGAGGCAGAGCTACAAGAGGAGGACGAGACCTATCGCCGTTCGCTCGCAAGTAATGATGCAAGCGCCAGAGAGGAGCTGAAGAAGCGCCGTGCTCGAGAAAGGGAGGAGAGGGAGAAGGGGATGAAAGCCGCGAGAGAGGAGGCGAGACGGAAGCGAGAGATGAGGGGCAGTATGAGTGGAGAGGAGAAGAAGAAGAGAGAAAGGGTCGAGAGGCTGGTGGATATGGTGAGGCGCGGAAGGATCCAACCATTGGCCAACCTGTGGGAAAAGCACGGTGCTGAACTGCTTGAGGGCGGCGTTCAGGCAGATATCAACGCCCCTCTCCCGGCGTGGTGGAGGGCCAGCGAGTTGACGCCCAGCAAGGACGGCGTCGCTTCGCAGAAAGCGCAACTGGTTCCGTCGACTCTCCTTCAGCTGGCGGCAGAAGCAGGCCAAGCAGATGTGATTCAGTGGCTCCTGGTAGAGAAGAGGGCTGACCCGACGATTGGCATTCCACCACCCCCGGCAGAGCAAGCTGCAGTGCCAGACAGCGCTGAGGCACCCCAATACTGGTCACACCGTACAGCCTACGACCTTCTTCCTTCCTCCTCTCGGCCAGCGCGCAACGTCTTCCGCCGCCTGTTCGCACAACAGCCAGATTGGTACGATTGGGCTGGCACCGGCGTGGGTGGGGCGCGAGTGGAAAGCGCATTGACGGAGGAGATGGAGGGCAATCAAAACAGAAGGAGACAGAATATGAGGGAGAAGGCTCGCGCGAGACAGGAGGCCGCAGAGGCCAAGAAAGAGAAGAATGCCGCTGCTGCTCCTTCTCCTCAACCGGAGCCTGTGATTCCAGCACCAGCGCCCGTCGCGTCGTCCACGACGAAGAATAGGCTCGGTGGTCCCGGTCCTGCAGGCGGTAGCACTGCGCCGAGAGCTCTGCAGCAGCATGTGGATAAGATGGAGGGTGTCAGCCCGGAGATGAGGATGAGAATCGAAAGGGAGAAGAGGGCTCGGGCGGCTGAGGAGAGGATGAAGAGGTTGCAGGGCCAGTAGACGGCTGTGGGCTTTTGATAATAGAATGGAGCGACGGCTCTACATCGCAATCTCCTTCGACTCTTCGAACGCTCGCGCATCTGCTTTCTGCCTCCTGAGGCTCCTCTCAATGATCGTCCATCCGGGGTTCGCGGCGCTGATGAGCCAACCAGACTGGGCCAACCGTTCCAAGGACCGTGGCCTCCGCTTTGCGACGACTCTTCAGGGGGAGCCGTCGTCCACTCCATTGCTCATCTGGTGAGGCAGGCGGATAAGTGCCTGGTCGCACCGGGCCGCACTCAACTCACTGCTTTGAGTACGCGACGTCCGTCTTCCCAGACGAGCGCAGTAATCGGGCTGTTGCCGTATTGACGAAGAGCGGCTAGCACCCAATTTGCGGTGCTGTAGTGTTGCCGTCGGTCCGGGATTCCAGCGTGTTGGGCATGCGAGCCTGTATGTATTGTCAGGCTGACTGGCAAAGGACAGCGCAAGGAATAGCCCTAATCTGTGTTGCTCAGAGACGAGGCTGGTGACGAGCAAGCGGTCAAGTGATGGCTGGAACTGTCCAGATCTCCTCACGTTCGAGCTTGAGCAACAGCTCACTCACGACACGCTTCCAACACCACGATTGCGCTTCCCCGTCTCAGCTGACTTACCGTGGCATGGGCTGTCACATCTCCCATAAGGCCCACCCTCACGTATGTCGGTCCCGAGGCTGCCTCTCATCCGAGTCCAACACTTCGTTCAGTCACCACTCGCGAGGCCTCGAGTTCCTCACACTCTCTGTAATCACACATGCTGCAGGGTCCACAGTGTCCCCTCCCTCAAAGTCGTACGAGCCTGCCCTTCCGCCTGCAAGTTGCAGCGGAATACCACGTACCAGGTACGTGCTAATGGCATGTGGCTCACAGGTCAACGCTGATAGCTATCACATCACGTCGCCAGATTTCTTGCCTTTGTTCTCCATGCCGGTCCCAATTGCCCGCACCTTCGCGAGGCCTGTGAGCAAGCAAGCAAGCAAGTACGTGCCGATTATCAACGGAGAAGACGGTTGGCCATGCGAGTCTCTCCTGCTCGGATACGGCACACGAGGGGGGGCGATGCCGCGTGCAGGAAGATGCGTGGACTCCTTCCCGCTGCTTCTCATTCAAATCGGCTGTCACGCTCGCGAAGCACACTCGTTTGGTCCTCATTCGGGCTTTTTTCTCTGTTGGGCTTCCTTGGGTCGTGAGAATGAGCCCCTGCTTCTCAGGTTCTGGGGTGCCAGACTGGACTCCCTGAGCATGGAGCGCGGGCCTTTGATGACCGCGTATGACATCCCGTGCGACGTCCTTGCGACGTCGGCCTCCGGCGAAGGCTCATGCGGTGTCAGTGGCAACCATTGTCGATTCTCTTCGAATGCTAGCTCTGTCCCGTACTTTGTCTTCCGGAGACACGCGGGTCTCACGACATTTGGCCGGGACTAGACTTGGGCTGGCTCGAGCGTGACGCAAAAGGGTTGGAGTTGCAGTTGTCTCACAGTAGCGCTCATTCATGGTCACCGTGGCCGAGCCGGGATCCAGACTAGCGGAACACCACTTTCATGCAATGAGTGTATCTGGGCTTGTGCGACCCACATCTCCCTTTGTCCTCCCTTCATCGTTGCGCCGCTCGGACGACGCGAAGATCCGGTCGCGCAGCCAGCCCAGTTGACGACCGCGGGCATCATTTGTCGGTCTTTCACTCCTGCTGTGTTCTGTCAGGGTGTCAGCCTCCTCTACTTTTGGTCTTTTGGCCAGCAGCGGGCTGTGGGCGTGCATCTCCAGACCAATTTGACCCGCTCGCGTCGCGTACACGTCGATTCACTCTGGCTCCCTCGCTCACTGGCCCGCTTCGCCGGCTCGTCCCTTTGTACCTGTCACATCCGCCGCACCGCACAGCCTGCGCTTGCACTCAGCTTCGGTCCTGTTCGGGTGACGATGAGATGTGCGATCCTCTCTTTGGTGTCACATTGGCGGCATTGGCGTATGTCGGTCGTGGCGTCGTCCACCTAGAGAAGCCGCACGGACGCCCATTGCAAGAAGAAGCAAAAGCCAAGGATGAGGCCAGGGCAGCGGCGGAGCGAGGAGCGAAGAGCGAGAAGCAGCTGCTACTACGGGCGGCAATGGGCGTCCACATTGGTCAATGTAGTGGAAGCGGGAGACGGACAAAGAGATGCAATCGCTTGGCCGCTGTCGTCTTCACATCGAAGACCGTAGGCGGACGGGCGCACTGCTCGGCGTTATCAAGAGAATGCTTGCCCGAGACACATTCAGTGATTTCAACGAGTTTCCAGTGTCACACAGAGACGACGTCACCCGCCATAGCATCGCCCTCCGCAGGGTCAGTCCACCATTCATTAGCCGCAATCGTCTGCTGTAGCATCAACTTGTCTTTCTCCTCTCCTATCATCGAACCGCCCCTGCCTTGACTCTTGGCGGGCACCACCTCCTCTTCCTATCAGTCCTGACGACGACGACCAGCGACGAGACGACTGCTACGAACGACTGCGACGAACGGTCACGACAGTGCGCTATAGAGGCTCCTTCACCTCATCTTGAGCTCTGACGACTTACGACAAACGGCGACGAGAACGAGACGACCTTGCATCCTCGCACCTCGCACCTCGCACCTCGCACCTCGCACCTCGCACCTCGCACCTCGCACCTCGCACCTCGCACCTCGCACCTCACTCTGCTCAACAACCTCAAAGCCATTGTCATTCCCCCTCGCATCGCTCGTGCGACTCAAATTTTCTTTCCCACCTCATCCTCCAGATTGTCCTCTTGAGGCAGGCGAATCAAGCCAGCACTCAGAAAACCTTCTTGTGCGTCTGGCCGCCAGAACCGCAGGAACACCTCGTCGTGTGAGACGGCATTCTTTGATTCGCTGGAACGACGGTTGTCCGAGACCTGACGTGTGAGTGCCAAGGTGACAAGCAAGCTGTGACGATGTGGAACGAGGGAAGCGCTAGACTGGGTGGTCCCCCTGCGCCCTCTCATGCGCCATACTGGGTGGTCATGGTGATGGTGGTGATGACGACGATGATCTGCGCGCTCTCCTTGCCGCTCGCTGTCAACGCTTTTTGCTATGCTGCGCTGCCAATATTTCCCGATCGAGGGTCCCCCACACAGTCGATCTGGCTATGGGGCGGAGCGGCGTCGTGGTAGCGAGGCAGCTTTGACGCCAGCATGTGACAGTCGATAGCAAGCAGCAGCAGACGTCAAGAAGAAGGGGTCCATCATGTCTCGATGTCGACGTCGATGCCGATCCAGTGGCGTGGCACGCTCGCAAGGGGGTCCCAAGTTGCAAGGGAGGAGGCGGCGAGTGTTGGTCTCAGGTCGCTGCCCTGTCCGTGCTCGGCGTGTCATCCCTTGCAGCCAGCCAGTCGCGGCGCGCAGCTCGACGACGACGACGTTGGAGCGCGACGGCAGAGGCGGTAAAGTCGGGCAGACGGCCAACCTTTTTGCGCTATTCTCTTCGACACTGACGCCTCGCTCTCCTCCTTCCTCTGCCCGGCAACAAAACACTAATCTCACCACACTTCATCGCTCATCGCCACGCCAAAACTCCTTGCTTCGACATCTTGACGCCTGACTGGATTCCTCTCTCGGTATGGCCCGCCTGGCTACTCCGCTGCTACGCCATGCTACTACCCCTGGCTTCTTGACAATCGACATCGACTGGCGTGCGTGCGTGCGTGTGCCGCTATGACGTCCATGCCCCGCAACAATGCGTCGATGGCTGGCCCGGCCTCGCTCGCCTTGCTCCCTCCTGCCCCTAATGCCCCTCGACGCCTCTCATTCCTGCCATCTCCCTCTCGCGCCCTACTGATGGGACTCTGTCACTTTTGTGATCCATCGCACCGGGTCGGGGACTTTTGACAGGCGGGCACTTTGGCCCTTCCTCATCCCTTGGACCCCGTTGGCGTGGCGTGGCGTCCGAGCCAGTCATCGCTCCCTGCATCAGCCATCAGCCTACGCCCACAGCGACGGGCGGCGAGCGACGACAGCGACGACAACAACAGGCTCAGGCTCAGGCTCACGCTCCACGCTTAGCAGCAGCCCCGCTCCCTAGCAGCTTGGCTCGAGCTCGAGCTCGACCTCGACCTCTTGCCCCGCCGCTGCTGCTGCTGCTGCTGCTGCCGCCGCCGCCCCCTCCTACATCCTCTGTTGATCGCCGGCGGTCGAGCGAGCAAAGGAGCGAGAGCGAGCTAGCTACCTGGCTTTGAGGCGTCGCAGGTCGCTCGGGCCATACCTCGCAGCAGCCATCGACGCCGCCTTCGCTCGACAGGCAGTCACAATCAAACGGTAAGGAGTCGCGCCCGCATCGCACAGACCCCCGCCGAATCCTCTTCGGAGTAGGCGATGGTCTTTGCTTATTAGTCGTGTGAGACTAAGACTGACACCCGCTACTATCCTCCGTACCACCACCCAACTTTTCTTCCCTACCTCTTCCCCATCTTGGCCTAATCGTTGCACCTTTCACCACCATACGCTCTTTGCATCCTACGCACGCGGCTCACACTCATTCATTCTCGGCCCATCTCAACGCTACGACGCAACCCAACGCAACGCCTGCCCTACCGATTACTATCCGCCTGCTACCTCATCTGCACTCGCACTCTGCAACTCGCCGCACGCAATCATGTCCACCTCCATCAGAGCTACCGACTACGACGGTGCCACCGCTTCCAACTCGACTGGCATGCCAGCATCGGCTTCGGCCTGCTCGCTCTCAGCGCACCGCCTCCCTGTCCCCTACCACCGCCGATCAGACTCGGCCAACTCATCAACCAGTAGCAACAGCAGCAACAGCACCGCCGTCGCAGGACTGAGCGCGCGCACCAACAGTCTCAAGCGTCTGGGCAGCGCCTCGCCCTCAAAGCAGCATGCCGCCGTCCTCTTGGCAGCCAAGCGCGCCTCGATGCGCGGTACGCCATCAAAGGCAGCTCCGAGCTCCTTCGGCTCTTCTTCCTCCTCGTCTGGCTCTTCGTCAGCGCTCCCTGTGCCCATCATCGTCGCTCCTGCACCGACGCCGACTCCCAAGCCGAGTGCGTCTCGCTCGATCTTGATGGAGGACGACTACCAAGAGGAAGTCGTCGCCCACATGCACAGCCTCGAGGCAAAGACGCTTCCCAACCTTGAGCTCATGAACGCTCAGCCTGAGCTGCGATGGTTCATGAGGCCCTACCTGGTTGTGAGTGCACAGCCGCCGTGGCACCCACATCAATGCAGTCGCTCACACCTCTTTACCCTGTACTCAGGACTTCCTCCTTGAGATCCACCAGACCTTCCGTCTTCGGCCTGAGACTCTCTACCTCACAATGAACATTGTCGACCGCTACGTCTCCAAGCGCATCGTCTTCAAGCGCCACTACCAGCTCGTCGGCAGCGCAGCCCTCCTCATTGCGACCAAGTACGAAGACGCCAAGGACCGAGTCCCCACCGTGGCCGACCTGAGCTCGATGTGCTGCCAAGCCTACGACGAGTCCGCCTTCCTCCAGATGGAGGGGCACATCCTCCAGACGCTTGGCTGGCAGCTCGGTCACCCTACCGCTGAGGCATGGATGAGGATGCTCTGCCGCGAGGAGGACGGACGCACCCAGAGCGTCGCGCGCTTCCTCATGGAGCTTACCCTCTACCACCGCGACTTCATCGGCGTAGCACCCTCAGTCATCGCGGCCGGCGCGCTCATGCTCTCTCGTTTCGTCTGCCAAAGCAACGTCACGCCCCTGGGCATGCAGACGCAGCAGCAGCAGGCTGGTGCACGGGAGATGACTACGTCGACTTGGATGGGTGCAGATGTCGACGAGGTTGCCTCCGTGGCGCAGATGATCGACGGCATTGTCGCAGCCAACTTGCAGGAGATCTCAGCCACCCTGGTCAAGAAGTACGGCTACCAGCACTTCTTCGCCGCCTCGACAGTGGTGCGCAGCTTCTACCTCACCAGGATGGCGGCCCAAAAGGCGGCTGCAGCACGCCTGCTCCCTGCCCACTCCCTGCGCGATGGTTCCGCCAAGCAGGCAGACGAGGAGGACATCGACGCCGACTGCACCATGGCTTCTTCATCCTCGTCGTCTTTCTCCTCGGGCGAGTCCACACCCTCTTCCATGGCTTCGACACCCTCACGCTCCCGCGACCAAGAGCTCAGCGACGATGATGACGAGGACGACGATGAGGACATGCCTGTCACGCCTCTCTCGCTCACTGCCCTGCACGATCCCCTGGCGGCTGCGGCGGTCAACATGGAGTCTCCCACCATGGCTCGTGTAAAGGCGGCCGCTGCTCCCCACTACCAGCAGCAAGCATCACGCCACGCGCCCAGCAAGAGCCTCCTGACCACCACCAGCACGCAGCAGCGCCCCTGCATGTCGGGCAGCCAGTCCATGCCTCGCCTGCCTAGCTTCCTGGCCGTCAACAAAGCATCTCAGCCCCAGCACACCAATCAGCCCACCCAGCATCCCTCGGCAGCGATGATGAAGCCTTCGACCTCATCATCCTCCCTTCTCCCCACCTCACGTTCACGCTCTCGTCTGACCTTGAGGAACAATCCCTCCTGGCAGACCTGAGCGAGCGAGCGTGACGTGACGAGACGCCTCCACCTCCTCCTTCTTCTTCCTCTTCTTGCTACCTCTCCTGCATTTTTATTATCAGCATCTTCTGACTCGGCGGTTCCATAAGGCTCATTGTATCATTATATCTCGCGACAGCCAGACCCGGCGCGCAATCTTCATTTGCATCCTTGCTCTCTCTTCCCATGCTCTTGAATTCAGAAACGGCTTTTTTGAGCTCACACAAAATCTCGATTGTGAGCGCAGGATCGGGGAGCACAAGAATGTCGCGAGTCATGTACGGTGCTATATAGAATTCAACAAAGCAGAGAGCAAAGCAGGGGTGTAGAGCAAATGTATGTGCAGCACCATGACGCGGGTGGGAAATGCGGCCGTGGAACGATGGCCAAAGAGACGTCGCTGCCCCCTCCCCCCTCTCTCTGCGCCCTCGCTTTCCCCGATCCCCTCGTCACTTCTACGCTCGGCGTCCCGTCCGGATGCTAACTCATTCCCCCTTCATCTGCGGCACTTCAACACAAACGAATGGGAGTTGCTCCTCGTCCAAAAGATTCGCATACTCTCCCGGCACCTCACCTGTCTGCCCCCCACTGCTCTTGCCATTGTCTTTGCTCTTGGGCTTGCTCGCGTCCAGGGAACTGAAGTGAGTGGTAAGCGCCGTCTTGAGAGGATTGACTCGTTTGGGGTTTGGCTGAGCGGGCATGCCGATGAGGAGGAGGAGGTGATCAGCTTGAATGCGCTGCACAACGAGGGTGGAGGGGAAAGGCATGAGGCTCACCTTGACAATACAAGCCCAGTACTCTGCGGGCAAGCCGTAACGCAGCACACTCTCCACGAATGCCCGAACCACCTTGAGGTGCGCAAGAGCCTGGAATGCCTCGCTGAAGTTGGTGCGTGATAGGCGAAGCAGCTCAGTCCAGAGGTCCTTCTCAGATTGCGTCGTTGACTCGAGCTCCTCGCGCGTCTTCTCGGCCAGGTCGGCGCTGTACTGGAAGTCGCGAATGAGGAATCTTTGGCGGTGCAGAAGAGGACGAAGAGATGGTCAGCACCTCACCCGCTGGCGTTGCTGTGGCTACACTACGCGCACTCACTTGTTCTCCCTTGCCTTTTGCACGAACTCGTCCCTGACCTTCTTGAATACCGTCACGTTGTAGAGGGCATACTCGTCATCCTGCGCCAGCTTGTTGCTGCTACGTGGTACGACCATCGATGTGAGACGCTCGTATTTTGCCAACCAGTCCTTGACGTTATTTCGGGGTACTGCTACGAGGAGTGTTTCGAGAAATCTGTGCGTGCGAGGGTAAAGGAGCAGTACGGTGAGCACGGAGGGGAGGGCATGCTTGACGAGGGGAGACGCGGCGACTCACTCGGAATCCTGGGCAACAAAGTCCTCCTTGCTCACCACATCCGCCAGTCCCCTCACGCTCAGATTGCCATTCTTCCTCCGTTGCAACTGAGTCAACTGTCCCTTTGCCACGTTATAGTTCTGCACCTTTGCCTTTGTGACGCTATCGATGCTCTGGACGTCCCTCTCCAAGCTAGCCACTACATCCTCGAGTGGCTGCTCGACGCGATATTTCGCTGCGTTCCAAGACCAACCGCCTAGGAGATAATCATCGAGTGATTGTTCCTTGACTACGAGATGTTGGGACATGGCGGATTGGTCGTCGTTGAGAAGGGAGCAGAGTGTGTCTCGGATCTTGCTTAGGCAGGACTGCGCTGAAGCTTCGCTCTTTGGAAGGGACTCAGATAAGGCGATGAGGTTGGCCAAGGTGCCTACGCGCAAGGGTGGGAGGGAGATGGGTGGTGACAAGTGATTGGCAGGAACAGGGTGGGACGAGGAGGAGCCAGCGGATGAGGAGCTGCTGCCGACGAGGAGGTGAGAGACTTGCGAGTGGACCTCGTGCGGGCCGGAGCCTTCGAGTGGGGCTGTAATCAGCCAGTAGGCATCTCCTGATGGCATGGCTGGGGAAGGAAGGTGATGAGGCGAGGTAGTAAGGAGGAGAGGAGCAAAAGGCGTCGTCGAGGTGTGGAGAAGCGTTGCCAAGTCGCATCTCAGGAGGTCGTCCAGTCAGATGGCCTCAGCGTCTCAGAGTCGACTCCACGTGGCGTCGTCTGAGCGGATAGAGACCAAGTCCAGGCAGTCGGCCTTCCGTGTCTACTCTCCTTCTCCAATCACCTCGCCCTTCTCCTCATCGGCGCCCTCGGCCATGAACAACGTCCGCTCCACCCAAAAGGTCAACGACGATGAGCTCGCCCGAATCGCAAAACACGGAGAAGCGGCCACACGCGGCTCTTGGCACGACGAGTTCCGGGACTCTGCCGTCATCTACGTAGGCGGTCTGGACCCACGCCTAACAGAAGGGGATGTCCTCACCATCTTCTCCCAATACGGCGAGATTCTAGATGTGCATCTCCCCAAGTTCACAGGGAAGCCACCGACACCCGAGATCAATCAGGCAAGCAACGATGATCCTAGCGGAGAGAAGGCTGCAAGGCTAGCGAGGGAGGCAAAGGAGAAACGCGGCAAGAGGAGGGGATTTGGATTTCTGCTTTACGAAGATCAGAGGAGTACGGTTTTGGCGGTGGATAATCTGAATGGGTCGATGGTAGTGGGCAAGACCTTGCGCGTGGACCATGTCAAGGACTACAAGCATTTGGAACGAGACGAGGAGAGTGGCAAGATGAGGGAGAGGGACGAATTAAGGACGAATGCAAGGCCGCAGATTGAGGGGGCAGAGGGAAGCAGCAGTAATGCTCTTGCATCATCGTCCAAGGCAGTAAAGCGAGCAACGTCAAGCTCAGGAAGCCCTTCACCACCGCCAATGCCAGAAATCGACCTCGAGGATCCAATGGCCGGGTATCTCGCTCAGCAGCGTAAGCGACGATGGGCCGATGGGCAAGATGACCATGATGAGGGAGCATCGCGCCGCAAGCCAGAGATTGTTCGTCAGGCAGAGAAGGAGGCAAAGAGGCAGCGCAAGGAGGATAGGGCCAGGATCCGAGCAGAGAGGGAGGAGAGGAAGAAGGGGAAGGAAGTGGCTGGTGAGCCGCCGAGGAATAGTAGGGAGAGAGGCGCCAGGAGCAGGAGCAGGAGCAGGAGCAGAAGTCCGAGAAGGCGAGACGAAAGGTCGCGAGGCTATTACGACAGGCGCGGAGACGACGATAGGCATTCTCGTCCTCGTCACTACGACATTCACGACGGCGACGACGATCGACGTCGTCCACGATACCAGTGATCAGCAATCTAGTCCATTCAGCATTACCTGCCGCCCCTTACGTCCGCATCACATCATCTCCACTCGAGCCCTCTCAGCTTCCTCCCTCCTGACACCGCTCATCTCCAAGTCCAATTGAGCCTCCTTGAGCTCTAACATCGTCTGCCTCAACCCACCACTGCTCCCTGTGACCGGTACGTAGTTATCGCTGAACGCCAACTTGTGTAGTGAGGCGAGGCGTGCCTGACCGAGGGAGAAGATCTCGGCGTCAAACTCCGGGTAGGGAGAGGCAGGGAAGGAGTGAGGCGTGAAGATTGGAGGTTGATGTGCGGGGCGAGCGGGTGGAGCTGGGGCTGTGGCTGTGGTAGGAGTGCCTGCGGAGGGGGATGGACCTGTCGTTGCTGACGCTGCCGTGGTCGCAGCTGCTGCTGCTGCGTAAGGATTGGTATGTCCTCCACCCGCAGTACCTGCAGCCGCCACACCTGGCGTACCAGCGAGTGCAGCTGCTCCCGGAGTGGCAATGGGCGTATTGTTCGCGGACGAAGAGGCTGTACTGGTTCCGCTTTCTCGGGCTATGGCCTGCGGTCGGGTCGGAGGCATGGCACCAAGGTGGAGAGAAGATTTGCGCTCGATGGCGGGATGACTGGCCTGGGGCGCTTGCTCTTCAAGTGCGGCTGCCGATTGAGCGGGGGCAGCGATAGGCGGCTTCATCTCCCCCTCTTCCTCGGGTGCTTCACCTTCTTCAAGCTCGCCAGCTTCGAGCGCCGATGTCGTCTGGCTGACCGGCTGTACAGCTTGGCTCCCACCTGTTCCGATTGCGGGCGGCGCGTCCTGCGAGTGCTCGTGAACGGGCATCATCAGATCTGGCGTCATGGCGTTCCCTCCTGCATCAACCTTCCTTGCCAAGCTGCGTGCTGGACCGTCTTCCATCCCTCCGGTGCCGTTGCCGAAGTAGCCGCCACGACCTCTACCCCTGCCAGACATCGCGCCTCGACCACCAGCTCCCAGCGGCCCTCCTCCTCGAGGTCCCCACCCTCCTGCCCTCGGTCCGGTAGGAATTGTGTTTGTCCCACCTCCTGCTCCAGGCCCAGCTGCAGCGGGTGAAGGAGACACGCCCGCAGGCGGCGGACGTCCAGCTCCACCGACCGGCGTAGCATTCGAAGAGGTTCCGGCTCCCCATGCTGCACTTTCTCGCCCAGCACTAACCCTTGAAGCACTCCCTCTGATCCCAAGCTCGTGCGGCGGAGGTGAGCGAGCTCTTGGCCCTCCACCTCGAGGCGTATGGTAACGATCATGCCCGGCTGGAGGGGGAGATAGACTGGGACGTCCGCGCGATGGCCCCCAGCCTGTAATTGGCGGGCCACCTCGAGGTGTGCCGCGATGAGCTGAAGGAGGAGGGGATCGATCTCGTGAACGGGGCAGGGGAGCACGAAAGCCGTCGCCTCGTCCACGATCCCCGCGATCGCGATAGTCTCGGTCGCGAGATGGAGTGTAAGGGTCATCTCCACTTGCACCACCCCTGTAGCCGCCATCTTCGAAGCGTCGAGCTGCGAAGCCGCCTGCGCCGGTGGGTGGTGGAGAGATGGAGCGTCGATGGTGAGATGGCTGGTCGTACCGGTTGGAGGGGTGGCGATGTGATGGGTAAGGGTCTGCAGGCGGGGCCGAGGAGGAAGATGTCAGCTACTCATCGTGGCGTGCACGCCGCTTCAATGCTACCCACCTGGCCCTCCCCCTCGTCCTCTCATGTGCATTGGCGGGCTTCTCTCCCTATCCCTGCCCCATCGCCCACCAGGCGGAGGTGGCCTCACGTCTCGATCCCTCTCTCTCTCTCTGTCTCGTCCCCATCCACCTCCTACGCCTCGGTCTTCTTCTCGGAGAGGCACTCTGCCCCATCCAGGGTTGGCTGAAGGCGATGCTGCTGCTGCTGATGCTGGACTATCGAAGCTGCGATCGGGGTGGGGAGGACCCCATCGACTGTTGCGGCCGCCTCCTGCTGCACCTCCGCCACTGGAGCTCCCCTCAGATGGGGCGTCACGATCCATTCCTTTGTGAAAGATGGAGCAGACGTCGATGTGTCGTTGAGCGAGAGCTGTCTCAGCGATCTACGAAGATAATGAGTGAGATGGAGGAGTGGAAAGGAAGGAAGGAAAGGAAGAAAGCTGAGCCAGTCCGCTCTCAGGCCACTCCCGCTCTCTCTTGCGCCCCTCCAACGACGCTCAAACACGTCTCTCAACCCACGCTCACACGATACTCGACAGATCAAAGCAATTTTCTTGTATTTCGTCGACGTCAATGATGCTTCACCACATTCCTCCACGCTTGATCCGCATCAATGCGCAGCCGGCGGCCCTCCACCTCCAGGAGCAGCCCCACCGCCAGGCCCATCTCTTCTACCCTGCTCCTGCTGATCACGCACACTGTTAATGTTCGCCTTTTCCTCTCCAATATTCTCATCGTCACCAGCAAGTGCGGCCTCAATGGCCGCACGGTCCGCCTCGCTCAACTCGTCATTGCCCGCGGGAGCAGTAGCTCCATTGGCAGCACCCGCAGCAGCGGCGTCGCCTCCTTCATCGCCGCCGCTTACTCGCAGCCCACGGAACGAGTCTGTGGAGCGTCGGTCCACGAGCAACAGGATGCCTGCCCCTGACCCGCCAGAGGAGCGAGAGCGAAGCTTGCGGATCTCGTCTGGCGTCAGAGCGGACGCAGCAGCTGTGGTGGCACCCGTCGGTGCGGCTGGCTTCGCAGTTGCGGCACTGGCCTGTGCCCCAGCTTTGAGATCCTTCTGCTGCCCAAGCGGGGTAGCCGTTCCGCTCTCCCCTTGCTTAGGCGTTGCATTGCCCAGCAAACCGAGAGCTCCCTTCACACCCACAGGGTTGGCCGAATCGTCGTGGAAGTTCGTCTTCGTCGTACTGATGCCTTGCACTGCGCGAACCGGCGTGTAGCGCGAATCCGAGGGGAAGGCGACGAACTTGCTTTGAGCAGGTGTGACGCGAGAATAGTTCTGCAGACGCTCCGAGGTGGGCTCGGCGGGCTTGCGACGTGGCTTCTTGGCTGCAGAAGCGGGAGTATCGGTGCTGGCGTCTTTCATCTCGCTGTCTGCGTCGGCCTTGCCAGCGCCTACGGCAGGCTTGACATCGTCGACGTCCATCCCCTCCTTGACCGCCTTCTCCCTCTCCTTGGCCTTCTGCCTCTGCCTTGCCCTCGCCGTGGTAGACAAAACGGCCGTCTCCACCTTCTCGACCTTCTTCTCCTTGTCCTTCTTGGTCGTCTCCGGGTAGCGGAACAGGCTGGGTCGCGCATTGCTTACAAACTCAAAGTCCGGAATGCGCAGCTCCCTGTCTAGTCCGATGAGGGCGGTGGGGGAAAAGGCGAGAGAGGCAAAGTGTGCCATGGGGAACCAGTACCAGAATTGCGTGAACAAGGCCATTCCCACGATGCCCATCATATTGTTGTTCCCGCCGATGCGCGACTGAAGGGAGCAGGTGACGTTTCGTCCTCCTGCATCAATCAGGCCAGAGGAGAGAGCGGCACCAAACTTGGCCATCGGCTCCTCGTGCTTGTCTCCAAGCACCTTGCTGTAGAGCTCACGGATCTCCGTTACGCGAGGGTTGAGCTCGCTATTCTGCTGCAGCATGATAAGAGACAGGGCAATGTAGGCTCCTTGCCTTACAAAGTCGACCGGGTCCTTTGCCATTGGCATGAGGAGGTCGACAGCCTCGTCCAGGCCAGTGGAGGCACAGGCGATACCGAGGGCCAACGTGGATCCGTAGCGGACGTGAGGGTTGTAGCTCTCCGAGAGGAGCTGAACAATGCGTGGCACCTGCGTGGGGTTGCGGAAGAGGAGGAAGCCCAAGCTGGTGACGGCTGCGCGACGCACATCGTCGCTGGTGTCGCTGACGGCGATGTGAAGCAGGCGGCGGATCGCCTTGTTGTCTCCCGTGCCGGCGTAGGCCAACGCAATGGTATAGACACCGCCGTAGCGCAGGATGGGGTCCTTGTCGCCCAGAAGCGTGTCAATCATCGTGTCGGCCTTATCCTCCAGCCCATAGAATAGGAGTGCGAGACCCATGGCAAGACCGCGAATGATCTTCTCATGCTGCGTCTCGTGGGCGTACTGGAGCATCTCCTCCACAGCACGCTGGTTGGCCGTGCCAAGCATCACCATGCCCATCGCATAGCCTGCCGCCTCGCCTGCAACGGCGCTGTCGCTGTACAATCGATTGCGCAGCTCCTCGTAAACTTCAAGGCTGCCGGTCGCCATGCCTGCCGCGCCGATACCGAGGGCGGCGCCGTGCAGGACAATCTCACCCTCGTTGGTCTTAATCTGGTTGGTCAGGAGGTCCATTACCTCGGTGCCGTGGTTGGCGTGGATGAGACCAAGGGCAAAAAGTGAACCACCCTCAGAGTAGGCGCTCGAGGTGAAACCGTCCTGCGGCAGGTAAGGTCGCAGGATGGTCAGACCCTCCTTGAGGTTGCCCTTGTTGATGACACCTAGCGCAGCTGTAGCTGTAAACTTGCTCCAGTTGCTCGCCTTCGCCAGCCAGTCGAGATTCTCGCGCAGGAAGCGGTCGCTGGTGGTACCGGCATTCATGAAGGCGTTGGAAAAGGTCATGGCCGAGTGGTAGATGGAATTGCGGGCGTCGAGGGATTCCTTGACCGACTTGAGGACAGTGAGGTCGGAGTGATTAGAGCGGATGAGGAAGTCCAGGTAGAGCTGAATTGACTCTTCGCCGAGGAGAATAGAGCGAATGCGCGACACGCAACCGGCTACAGTCGACGATGATGATGCGGCATTGTCGTCGGTCTGCATCTCTCCTGCGCTACTGTCACCACCGGCCTTGGACGCAAGATCAACTCGGACCGTCTCGAGAAACTCCTGCGTGGCGCTCTCTGCGAGGTCGAAGGCGCACTGATAGGCGATGAGGAGAGGATCGCGTTCGCTATTGGCCGTCGAGGAGGCAGATGCAGCTTCGTGGCCTTGCTTGACGAGGCTCAGGAGCAAGTCCGCAACCTCGGTGGGCGCACCAAGGTAGACGAAGCATTGGGCGATGGAGAAGTTGTCTGGGTGAGGGAGAGACTGGAAGAGCTTGATGAGAAGTCGCAGTACCTGCTGGCGGAAGACAAAGCCCACGCCGCCGATTCCCATGACGGCCTCGAGCGTGTAGCTGAGGAGCTCTTGGTCCTTCCTGCCCGTATGCTCAAAGACTGCCTCGATTGTGTCGAGTCGCCTCGTCTCGAGCGCAATGCCGATGGCGGGTTTGTACTCGCCAGCATTGATGCACCGTGTGAACATAGAATTGACGATCTTGACGAGTCTAGCGTCTGGCTGTGGGCCGTCTGTGGCCGAGTTCTGCTCGATGTACGACTCGATAGCCTTGGAGACGATGCTCTCGGTGTACTCGTCGCCCGCATCGACGTTGAAGGCCTCGTCTGCACCAAGGGCGAAAGTGAGAGCATCGTCAAACTCGCCGAGGTGAAAGTAGACTTTCGATGCTAGGAGGGAGGCGAGGTTGCGGGTTGCAGAGTCGAGAGGGGAAGAGGCTTCTGACAAGATCTCGCTGGCAGGCGGGGGGCAAGAGATGCTCAGTCAGCTACACTGCCCTGCATCGTTCAGCATCATCCTCTCCCTCGTACTCACATTCTGTCGATGTTATCCGCAATCTCAGCCCAGAACTGATGGACGCTCTTGTCGAGCTCAGCGATAGCGTACGCCTGGATCTCTGCCTCTGGCTCATCGAGGAGCGAGAGGAGGCCGGCGGCCGATGTGCTCGCTACCATTACGACTGGCAGCGCAAAGGGAGAAGGATGAGAATGCTAGGAATCACCACTCGCAGGGGTGCGATCGTGGTCAGATGGTGTGGGTCTCAATGAGAGGAGGAGGAGTGGTAATTGCGAAGGACTCCGCACAAGCTCACTCGAGCGCTCCACCTCGAGTCGGCTCATCGACGCGCGTCCACTCAATCAGAGCCACGTGGTGCCGGGCGAGAGGCGATACCCGGTGCTACCATCAATGCAACGCCGCCGCCGCCGCGGCAAGGAACGATGAGCACAGCGGGGGAATTAGTGGAGAGGAAGATCATCGAGGTGGAATGCCGATCGATGCTCGGGCCCACCATCCCGCCGCTTGCTTTTGCAAGGCACCGACCATCGTGGGCGCAATGGTTGCACCCACGGGACTAGGGCAAGGTGGGTGCGCTCGACGTGGGCGATGTGGGCCTTCTCAGGCTCATTTGAGAAATCGTCTTACACACGCCTCTTGACTTCAATGACACCACTCGTCAGCCCGTGATGTCGTACGCAGCACCTGTCAACAGCAGCGACCCGGCCTGGGCCCAGCTCAGCATTAGCTACGCCGATTCTCTTTCTACCACGTTGCAGAGCTGGCCCATGTTCGCAAGACAGGCCATCCTGGGTCTAGTGAGAGGGTAATGACTTCCGCTCGGAATGAGCAATGAAAATAACTGCTCGTCCTCTCCTCGCAGGAAATCCTCGCATCTTGTCCTGCCGAGATTCGCATCGTCCACCGCCTGTTCCAGCGCGGCGGTAAGGCCAACGTCTCTGAGGGCCTATTCTTCGCGCTCAAATACCTGGTGGGTCGTACGAGCTCGTCCATCCAGTGACTTGCATCTGGTCCGCTTATGAGCCTGTCTGTTCACGGCAGGCGATTACCGCTTTCGTTGCCGATGTGGTCAACACTCTCTCTAAAGGCATCCTGACTGATCGAGGCTGCGCTGCTAGCGCGTGGGTGTCGGCTTTGGCCTACTTCCTCGCATCAACTATTGTCACCCTGGCCATCGCTTTGCGGGCATACATCGTCTTCGGGTGAGAGGCTTCTGCCATGACCTTCCCTGCAGTACGGCTTCTAATGACCGCGCTCATTCTCCCGCCTGATGACGCCATGCAGACGAAACATCAGATGCCTTCAAGCGACTGCGGTTCTTTGTTTTGTCCATCTGGCTGTCGCAATCCTGGGCAGCATCTCGATTGATAAGGCGCTTAGAACAACGACTCTGATTCGTGCTTGCGCTCCGTCTGACGATCGGCCACCCCCACCTTGCACAGGCGACATGGTCCGTCCTTGGCTTCTGTGTGCCGCCTCTGGAAGGTCATCAGCACAGCTTGATCACACCTAAGCTGGTCCAGTCAGTATCACATTAGCTTTGTTCAGGCTCTCACGGCTCATGGTTGATCTTTCGCGCTTCACAGACACAACATCGGCTTCTGGTTCATGTGAGCTGCGGCTATGCGCAGTGCCTTCCAGGTCTTGTTGGCTGATCATCGCGATGTCCCTCCTGCCGCCAGCATCTACTCCATCTTTGTCGACAGCTCCCTTTGCGTATCGACATGTGTACGACTTGTTAGGTCCAAAGGGCCTGTCGGCTGGCTCAACGTCAGCAAGGTGAGCGCCTCGTCGTCTATTGTAAATACTTCGGAGAGCAGCAAGCTAAGCGACTCCGTATTACCGCCAGCTTCTCTTCGACAACAGTCTCCACTACGTGCGTAATTGTGCTCCTCACCTTCAGCCCCGAATGCACTTGAGATCTAACCAGCAGCTGCCTCATCGTCACGCCGTCGCAGATGCTAGCCATGACTTCCATCAACCTGGTGCAAGTTCTATTGATGATCCTCAGCGGCGCCTCGCCCTCCCTCTCTCTGCCCACAACGCTCACGCTGGCCATCTCAGTACAGATCTGTCTGGCGTTGCGATTCTTGACCCGCGAACAGGATATGGTGCACGGTCGATGGTCAGCTGTAGCGCCGGCTGTGCCTCCGCCCATGAGCTCAGGAGCTCGGTCACAGTCGCAGGCAGAAAGGAAGAGGAAGATGAGCCAGCGGCCCACGATCAATGGAGAGTTAGCGAGCCCGGTGAGCCCAATAAGCCCTTGCAATGACGGGGCGTCCGGCATGCCAGCATCGAGCTTGACGGCTGCGAGCAGCAAGCTACGTCTGCGAGACGACGGAAGGGGATTCACCTCGCTGGTGTGCGAGCGTGAGAGTGACGACGCTCCCGAGGGCGACACAGAAGGACGGGTTCGCAACAATGACTATCAGCCTCCTCAGCTCCCTCCCAAGATTTTGGCTCATCAGATGTAGCTGGGTCGAGAAGGATGCGAGCACGGTGGCATCGCGCGTCACGCGCTTATCTCCGAGTCACTACGTGAGCCAATCCAGACCTCAGTCAGCCGAGACACGAGTTACGTCGATTCATCGCTCCCTCCAATACACTTGCTCTTGCTCGAGTCATCGCTGTTGCCACGGCCGGGTGCGTGCCCTGCAGCCAGCTTTGCTCTGTCTCCACGCCCAGAGCCCAGGCAGGGTGCCGAGCCGCCCTGATTCGTGTATCCCACGCTCTCGTGAATACCTGATGCTGCTGTTTCTCACCGTAGCCGCGTCACCTTCTTGCCTCCCTATCCCTCACTGAAAGGTGTACTAGCTGTCCCCCGAATGGGGGGTCACGACCAGCTCGCCCGTCCATCACATCACCCTCTCACTCTCAAACACCATGAGCAGCAATGATCTAGCGTCCTCGAACCTAGACCCGAGCCTCGCCGCTACCCCGCTAAGCAACAGTCACGACGCCTCCCTCACCTCAGCCCGCATATACGCTCGTCACCTCTTCCCCGCTCATGGCGCTCATGTCTATCTCTTGCTGGAACTCATCGCTCTCTTCCCCGCCGAGGTACGTACGCTACTACGCATCGCCAGGCGATGGCAGCAACAGCACACGGAGGAGCGACACCAGCAACAGGAGTATGGTGACTTCTCGAGCGGAGTCAAGATGCGAAAGCGACGTCCTGATGGTCTAGTATCGCTACACGAGGTCGGACTGTTCGTGATCAAGGTGCGTTCGGGGCTCTCTCAAGTAGTGTGTATCCTACTCGCCAGCTCTCACTCAACTCTGCTCCCCATCGCGACCAGTACATTGCCCTTGTTGCAGTCCTCTGCCAGATCATTGGCGTCCTCAGCCGCAATCTGCTTAGCGCAAGAGGATGCGCTGTCACGCTCTACACATCCAACTTCGCCCTGTTCGTCGACACATCCCTCGTTACGGCCAGCTTCGCTTGGCGTGCATACCTCGTCTGTGGGTGAGTCCTCATGCTCTGCCTCACTTGATAAGTCGGCCCAGCTGAAGCCACTTCTCCCTCACCTGCTTGACCTTCGTCAGGAAGACCCGCCGAAGTGCCCTCTTCCTCTCTGTGGGCTGTCTTCTCCATCTCGCAGCCGCACTCGCTGAAGCGCAAGGGTTGCGGGACGCGCAGGTCATCGATGGCTTCTGCCGCGAGCCCTTCTCGCAGCCAGCCAGCGTTGAGGAGCTCAGGATCGAGACGTGGTGGTCGAGGAGGAGCTTATGGTTTACGTGAGTGCGAGAGCGAGAGCGAGCAAGCAACAAGAGAGGGGGAGCGCAAGACGAGAGTTGGAGCCAGTCGACAGAGCTGACTTGCTCGTCTTGCGCCAGACTCTACTCCACCGTCTTTGATACAGCCATCTGTGCCACGTCGTGCTACAAACTTCTCCAGACTCGTCATAAGGGGCTTGGTGTTGGATGGCTACCGACTTGCAAGGTCTTGTTCGACTCGGCCACTTACTACGTGAGTCCCCTCAAGCCGTTGTGACCGCCATCCTCGTCTCGCCTACTTACTGAAGGCGACGCTGCCTTCACCCTCGTGGCGCAGATGGCCAGCATGACCAGCATCAACCTCGCCCAGATGACCTTCATGCTCATCCGCCCTCACGTCGCACCAAGCTCCGTGGTCCTAGCAGCGAGCGTACAAGTGGTGCTTGGCTTGCACTTCATTGTCAAGATCCTCGATCGCGTACACGGAGACCACGATGACGACAGCGGTGGATTAGACGATTACAAGGAGAGAGCCGGTATGAGGGCGGGAGAGGTAATGCGCTGCAGGTGTGTATCGCAGGGGGCTACGATTGGTGGCTGGTCAGCAGGAGGCGGCGGAGGAGGAGGTGAGAGCGTGGCAGGGGGGCAAGGTAAGCCCCTACTCAAAGTCGTGACCCCATGAAGGCAGGTCGGAGTCTTCGCTAGCTTCCATTCCCCTCACTGTCATTACCCTGTCGCCTCGTAATCTTGTAACCTCGCCACTGAATCGCTCCAATCACACACGCGCGGAGCGCATGGCCTCATCATTTCGAGTCGAGTGTGGTGATTGAGTGAGAAGGATGGCATTGAAGTCGATCTAGCCTCAACGTTGAGTTTTGCCCATCGTCCTCTGCACCTCTGAGACCAAGTATCCTCCGACCAAACTGATTCCATCTCTACTTGAAGAAGATCCTGGCCACCTTGCCAATGACATGCAGGCATACAACGCTGAATACGAAGGAGACGGCCAGGACAAGGACGATTACCGGGTCCCTGCGAGCCATCGAGGGGGATAAGGGATGTCAGTCTCTTTGCGCGCGCGCTTCTCATCATCCTGCTGCTGCAGAGAAAAGCAGAAAAGAAGTGGCTTTGTTGAAATACCCACACGCTCAATCCCTTGTTGTCATCGGTGTAGATCCTAAGCATAGTGTTGCTGCTGCCTCCTGCTCCGGCTGCGCGGGTTGAGTTGGGGCGCGACTCGACGGCATTGTTTGATGTTTGGGCACGACGACTGGGAGTGAAGGCAGGGCAAAGAAGGTCAGCACTGGATCGAGCGATGCTGATCTGGGGATGCAAAGATGGTAGAATGATAGGAGGAGGGAGAGAGCGACCAATCGGTCGTCGCCCTCCTAAGCCGGTCGCCCATGAGGTGCCATTCCTCCGTCGTATCGACGCTATGCATCTCTACCTCTTGCACCATCTACTGTACTCATCTGATCCTGTCTCGAATCTGGCATCGCGTCCAGCGTCGTGCTGCTCGTCATCAATGTCGCTACTCACCGCACACCTCCAACGTTGCGGTTCGCAACGGCGCCGCTAGCCACGCCGGGTGGGACAGTTCCGTCGGACTACGGGAGCAAGAGAGCGGGTAGCAGTCAGTCTCATTGTAGTTGGAGCTGTCTTGCAATCGTGCTCTCACCATGGCGAATATGGATAAGGAGGTCGGCGATGGGGTGGTAGGAAGGAGTGCGACGTTAACGACCGACGGACGGACCGCATCGACTCGCATCGCCCGGCCTGCAGTCGAGTTGGCGTCCTCGTCTCACAGCCACGTGGAATCCACCGTCGCGACGGCCGGTGAGATGAAATGCTGCTATGATGCTTTCATTCGAAGGGACGACTATATAACAAGGTGCGCAACAAGCTGACGCCACTGCATCGGTGCATGTGCGCGTGTGTTGCGGCTCACGAGTGCTCTGCAGCGCTGACAGAGGGCGAGCCAACGAGACCAGAAGTGGTTGGCCCTGCTCCTTCGCCTGATGTTCCTGCTCCAGCTCCAACTCCACCACCCAATCCTCCTGCGGCGCCACCTCCCGCAGCTGCCGCGGTGCTGCTTCCCCTACTCCTGGCGAGCAGAGCCTGCAGGGCCGACAGCCACTTGATCTCCTCCTCCTCCGTCGGGGCACAAAGCAGAAACACGCGCTTAGGCGTGATGATCTTGAAGCAGTTGTCCATCCGCTTATTGCTACTTCCTCCCGTACCCATGCCCATGCCAGCGGACACATTGGAAGCCATACCAGCTGCTGCGGCTACCACAGATTGGCGACGTGCGGGCGGGGCAGGGGCCGGTGATGGATCGTCCTCATGAGCCAGTGCCGAGCCTGACGGGATGGCTGAGCCCTCGCCGTCGGCGCCCTGTTGTCCCCCTTCACCGAGACTGAACGTTCCTCCTAATGGACTCGAGACGCTTGTCGGGCTGGCCGCTCCTTGGGCCACTCCCTTGTCCCTCTTTCCTCCTCCACCTGCAGCACCTCCTCCGGCAGCTCCTCCATATTCGATTGCATCCAGGATACTCCCGATAGGCACCTGCCGATGCGCCTTGGCGTCCATGTGACTACGCGTATACATGAGGCGGCTGGCGGTCAGGACGAACCAGCGCTTACGCCAGTGCTTGCGGCGATTGGACTGTTTCATCAGATAGCCTTGCGTGATGATACGGTTGGGGTCTCGCAGGAGTTCAGATTGCTGGGGAGGCTGGGTGACAGCTTGGGGCTGCTGAGATTGAGCGACTTGTTGCTGTTGCTGTTGCTGCTGCTGCTGCTGCGGCTGCTGTTGTGCATGTTGCTGCGGTGCTGCTCCGCCGAGGGAGGGGAGAGGCATAGCCTGGTCGAGCTGCTCATCCTCCTCTTCCTCCTCATCTGACGATGACAGCACGCCCGCCGTGTTGTAGCTCGCCGGCACCCCGCCTTCCTGCTGACTGCCGGTTGAAGCGTCTCTTCTACCTCCCCCGCTTCCACTAGCATCACGACGCTGCGATGCTCTCCTTACATGACTACCCCGCCCACCCTGATCGCTCACTTCGCTCCCAGACCGATTGGCCGCTGCACCGCCATCTCGACTTGGACTGCTACCCAGAGACTGCCCGCCGGTCGAGCTTGTGTAGCTGAGACCGTACTGCTCTGCACCAGTATCGCTGTCCGTCGTAGCTGTTAGCGGGCTAAACGCATCCCCTCCGCTACCCCCACCTGTGCTGCGTGGCTGTGGCGGGCCGGCGTACCTGCCCTTGCCCGGGATGTTAATGCTGACGGCGGGAGCATTAGCCGTTTGCGCCGCCGCAGATGACGCAGCTTTCGCGACGGCCGCTTGCGACGGGGCATGTGCCGAAGACGAAGAAGGTCCGGCAGCTGCACCTGGGGAAGTGGTGGTCGTCATGCTCAACTCGTCCATGCCATGCGCAAGCGTGTTACGTTGCGACATCTGCGTCTTGACTTCGTTGAGCGCATTGATCCATTGCTGCATCTCGGGAAACGAGGATGCTTTGACGTAATATGCGCGACGAGGGGTAACGATGCCAAAGGTGTTTTCCTTCCCTTTGAGCTCGATGGCTGAGATGGAGTGGACCTCGGACATGTCAATGTATCGGAGAAGTTGGTACTCCTGGCGAGCAAATGGGGGAGGAGGTGAGCTGTATGACCGACTGATCATGTCTGAGAGCCGGTCTCACCTTCTCATTCTTGTAGTAGCAGAGCTTCGAAGAGCGAAGCACGAACCAGCGCTTCTTCCACGTCTGCGTGTGGGGAGAGAGAGGGTAAGCTCTATGCCATTTGGTGACTAAAGGCTCAGCACCTGCTCACCTTTCTCTTCTCCCCCTTCTTCAAGAGATAACCCGACTTGACCGTCACCTCATTGAGCATCTCTCTCGCCTCCTCTGCCTCGTACATGTGATCCTCATCTTCCTCCTCATCCTCTCCGTCGCCGTCTTCCGCATCCTCTTGCTCCCTGACCGTCGTGGCCGAGGAGCCGATCGTTCCACGTCGAGCCAGTGAGGCCGGCAGCGAAGATGATGCTGGAGACGAGGAAGAGCCGCCGAAGTTATGCTGACGCGGCGAGGCGGCTGCGAGGGAGGCCATTGTGGCTGAAAGCGGCTAGGGGCGTGCAAAGAAGTGTCAAGAGGGAGAAGCCGTCCAACTATGCCCTCGATCTCGATCAAGGGCTTGACTGTCCCTTGATTCCACAGCAAGCTCTGATTCCAGCGCTGGCGAAAGGCGAGAGGTGTAATGAAGTGGAGACAATAGTGGCGAGAAGGTGAGGTAGGAAGATGGAGCAAGACGAAGCGTGACGGCATCGACTGGCTCCTCGTCCTCCCCACGACGGACGGACTACTCCTCCGCCGCCGCCGCCGCCCCGCTCGGCCCTTTGACGCTCGACGATGCCGCTTTGGCTTGCTCAACGTCGACCAGGCCTTGCCCGCCCGACAGCCACTTCGGGCAGAGCCAGTAAGTCGTTCGGCCCTGAGCCCAGCCCACAGCGAGAGAGCAGCAGCTCTAAATTTCATCATGTGCCATGGTATTGCGAGGCTCAGTCTAGCTCTCATGAGCATCGAACGTTGGTCTTACTCTGCTTCTCATCATCGTCAGAGCGAGGGGAAACCCTAATTGAAGCAAGCGCTTCGATGACTGGGAGCCCACCCCGGCGACCTGCGTCCTCGACGTGCTCGCCGTGCTTGACGACGGATTCGAGGGCCGGCGGTGGGCCTCTCTTGTCTCTGGATGTGGTGCTTCGTCGTGCAGTCCTGCGTCGTGTGCGGGAATAGGGTTCGCAAGCAGGCGAGCTCGAGAGATGCGATTGTGCTGCGACGACGGCGGCGACATGCAACGGAGCTCGGCGACGTCGAGATCCTCTAGCTATTATTCCCATCAACGACGGCGTGATCAACCGTCTCACTTTGTTTTCTTCACCATCGCTCGAGCGGTCTCTCTTTCCCTCCGATCTCCCGCGACATTCAGTAATACCAGGCTCCTCGCTGCATCGTCGCCCTTGCCCTTACCCTCGTCGCCACATCCGGTGGATCACATTTCGTCGTCGCGCAGCACGAGGCTCAGCGCACGTACGCTCATTAACCACCCTTCATCGTCATCATTCGTGGTGATCCAATCTACGGCAACTGGACCGGATCGACCCGTGGCGGTGCCATCCGATCTTCTCACCTGACGAGAGATCCGCACATCTGGCGACCACGCGTGAGCATAGGCGGGCCGTCATCATTACACGCAGCACCGCATCGTCATCATCGACGACGACATCGCAGTCGCCGTAGCCGCCGCTGCCGCCTCCATCGCCGCCCTCGAACCGCCATCCGCTCGATTGCCGCTTTCATTGCTCGGAGACCGGCCTTGTCTGGATATTTGCTCGCCGGCACTTCTGATCGAGCTGCGAGGGACATCTCCTTCTTCGCTCTTGATCATTAGCACCTGCTATCGAGTGCTGAAATCTCGCAGGGATGCATCATCACCAGCACCACCAGCAGCAGCCGTCCTTCTCTTCGCCCATGTACCATCACGTTGGACATGGCAGTGGTAGTGGCGGACAGCCAGGCCCTGCTGGCCACCATCATCCTCCACATCCCAACGTGCACCACGGCGCTCAGCACATGATGGCTTCCGTACCTTCTCAAGGTCATCACCCATATAACTACCCACCTCATTCAGCTTACCACTCTCAGGCTGGTCCAGCGTCAAGTTACGCCTACGGGCCGCCTGGCGCCGGCGCTTCAGCCCCTCCTCCGCACTCGCATCACCATCATCAGCAGCGGTCATCCTCCTTCTCTTACTCGCCTCCAATTCAAGCCGATCAGCTGTCCTCTCCAGGAAACTCTAGAGCAAGCGCCGGCGCCGCAAACGCATCGAGCTCCAACAAGACAGTTGTCAGAGCAGCCTGCCTCTCATGCCGATCAGCCAAGCGCAGATGCGATGGTCAACAGCCTGTATGCGGGCCCTGCAATGCTCGTGGTGTGACAGAAGACTCGGGGCAATGCCAGTACGTAGCCTCAAAGAGGGGAGGCCCACGCTTCAAGGGACATACTGGAGAAGAGGCTAAGCGCATCAAGGCTGAGAAAGACAGGCAGAAGCAGCTTGAGCAGGAGCAAGCGTTTGGAGGTCAGAGGATGAGCGTCAGTCCCGAGGCATCACCAACTCGCAGCATGAGTGGAAGCGGACGTCAGTGGCATCAATCGTCCTCCATTGCCACTCCGTCAGCATACGACAACTACGGCAATGGCCATGTCACCAGGTCGAACAGTAGCAGCGCATCCAGGTCAGAAGTATCTGCGAGTCTCGACGAAATCAACATGAATGGAGCCCGAGCATACCCGGGCGTCTCGTCGTCATCCAACAGCGCTACGTCGTACAGCTTTACCTCGCCGGACCATTCAGCCAATGAGCTGGATATGGCCTCCTCGTCCAAGATGAGGATGCGCACCCAGCCATTCGCCTATAACGGCATGCCCGACATGACGTCCACACAGCAGCAGCAGCAGCATCATCATCATCACCACCACCACCACCAGCAGCAACAGCAGCACCACTCGATGCTGCAGCAGTCCCTGCCGCCTCCAGCACGAACACCTCTTGCCCCTCCTACTTCGCACACGCCGGGCAGCTACTTCTTCCCTACCGCTACTTCATCCAACCAATTTGCCGTTGCACCACCGCCAACCATGCCGTCTGTTCCGCCCGAAGTGCAAGCTCAGGCGCAGCTGCGAGCAACACCGTCCAACGCTCTCTCATCCGCCAATCTAGAGATGTGGCAGAAGCTGCAAGAAGACGCTGCCGCCTTGGGCTTGACGGCCGACCTCAGCGACATCAGCCACTTCTACAGCAAGCTCGAGACACTCCCCAAAGCAGGCACGGCTGCCATCGACAACCACGCGCACGATGAGCGTGACGTCAGCGCCAATGGCGGAGGCGGCACCCACGATAGCAGCATTGGCGGCGGTACGGGCACCGGCACCGGCAATGGGGCCGATGGAGGCGGTGACGACATCGAGATGTTCTGCCAAGGCCTCACCTTCGACCCTGACCTCGAGCCTCACCTCCTTGACGCAGCCGACAGCGAACAGCAGGCGCGATTCCTCCTGACTGCTTTCTTTGACAAGGTCTACCCTTCAGCTCCCGTCCTCGTCGCTCCGGAGAATCTGTCCTCGCTAGCATTCTGGTTCTCAGGAAAGGGACCTTGCGCCCTCTACGCCGCTATTAGCGCCCTTGTGGCTCTCCGCCTGCCAGAGGAGGAGGCTCACCGTACCCTGCGAGGAGGGTATCAACGCTCGCCAGACGAGGGAGCCAGGCCGGGTTTGACGACCCGAGCAGAAATTGCCGCGCACCACGCTCGCACCAGCGACTTCCTCCTTCGGCGCTTCTCCCAACAGCAAGCAGCAGCAGCAGCAGCTTCCTTCGGTCTGGACCCTCAGGCCCTCTCCACAGGCTGCGACCCAGACGAGACGGGCCGTGCCCTCTGCCAGGGCCCGTCAGATCCGGAACTCCTCCGCATCGAAGCTGCTGCTGCGCACACTTTGCTGTCTCACTACTTCTACGGTGTGGGCGGTAAAGGGAGTCACAAGGCCAGCCACGATCATGCGCTTGAGGCCTGGAACTCCCTTCAGGGTATCAGAATTGAGCTGCAAGAGGGAGTCCCGCCTAAAGACTTGCTGACGACGTCGCATTTCAGCTGGGAGCAGAAGCAAGAGTGGGCGAAGCGAGTCTTCTGGACTAGTTTTGCCGCTGCGGCCTGCACTGCGGCAACAGGTGGGTATGCGCCCATCCAGTACTCACTAGATGCTGTCGCAGCATTACAACTGAGACCGGCGCTCGAGAGCGATGTAGGCGCTTGGGGCGTATTCATTCGCGGAGCTCAGCATGTCGCAAGAGGCTATACGACATTGTGGGAGTTTGATCGCCTTCTCACCGCCGAGCGGGACCCGCAGCAGGCCCTCGCAAAGGCCAACGACGACCCGCAACGAGCCTCCCTGTTGACAGAAGAGGACCGTCGCCGAGAGAAGATGCGCATCTTCGCCGACTTCTCCAAGCTGGACCGCGACATGACAGCCTTTTGTACCTACGATCCTGCCTGGCGCCAGTCGTTCACGCCGGAATCGCCATCAACCCCCAGTGGCGGCATGGAAGGCGCCCGCAACAATCCACTCGGCTTTGCCCTTCGCACGGCGGGGAAACTCATGACCGCAGGCAGCACGATCATCATCCACCGTGGACAGGCCTACGCGAATGCCAACATCTTCATGTCGAGCCAGTGTGGGCTCATGAGGGCAGGTGGGGCCAGAGGAAGATGTGGACCTGTGGTCGGCGGGGAAGAAGGGGCTGAGTCGGCGGGGATTGGCTTGCAGGCGCCAGGTGATGGTCACCACGCCGGTAAGGTGGCAGGCGTGGGCGCGTGCTCCGTCATGCCTCCAGATGCTGGCAATGGGGATGGTAGCGGTGACATGGACGACGAACCTCCAGGCAGCCCCTCTGACCTGTACGTCCCGCCCGACCGGCTCTGGCATCGCAGCGGGTCGACGAGCCTTCCACCTGCTGGCTCGGGCTCAGGCAGCATGAGCGCTGGTCCGCACCACCACCATCACCACGGCAGCGCCTCGGTCGACCCATCCGTCGCTGCGCTCGATGCAACCTTCATCGGCTGGGGCGCTCAGCCTCACACAGCGCCTACTCCCCCCTCTGCCGCTGGCACGCCGACTACCGGGCCGCATCCTGGCGGGTACTACGACGGCAGCGCGACCAACACGGCTATGGCTGCCTTTCAGCAATTCCAAGCTCAGCAGCAACAGCAGCAGGCGCAGCAAAACCAACGGAAAAAGGGATCCATCTCTTCCAGCATCGGCGGTGGACCTGCACCCAGTGACGAAGGGACAGCTCGGCGCACCTCCGCCTCTTCTTCCCAGCAGCAAGCGCATCCACTCTCTCCCTTTGGCGGTGGAAGTGGGAGCATGTCTCTACCCTCTGGACCGAGCAGCATCAGCTACAATGCTCCTCCCGGCTCGACTCCTCCTGCTCAGCCTGAAGTGATCGGCAAGGACAAGGATCGCTACAAGCACGGCCCCTTCGAGCCCGAAGCCTCAGCCCGCAAGTGTCGCTGGGCGGCCAACTCCATGCTCGAGTGTGTTGCAGCGATGCTTGCGCCTGATGCCACCTCCTCGGCGCCAAGCACCGGCAGTTCAAGCGTCGCGCCAGGGGCGACGCATGATATCATGGGTACTCCCTTCTCCGAGTCTCCCACCCTTCCACCTTGGGCGGCATGCACGTACGTGCTGGGCGGGTACTGCCTGTTGATGCAGTGCTTGATCACTCAGGCTAGCCAGGCTTGGAAGTCAGCCCATCGCCCAGTAGAAGGAAATTCCGCCGGCGACGGCGGCGATGCAGACAAAGCAGCCAGGGAGAGAGCAGCAAAAGAGGAGCTTCAAGGCCTTCGTGGACATGTCGTGGCGATTCATCGACTGCTGGAGCGCTTTGCACTGACTTTCGAGGTTGTGCATGAATACAAGCGGGAGTTAGGCGTGTTGTTGGAGATCAACAAGAGAATCGCGTAGAGGGTAAGGCGAAGGAAGGCATTACCAGGGCAGGGTAGGAGATGAGGGCCTCGACGATGAAGACGGCGGGCCCCCTCTTCAACCTCCATGGGATGCACCGCTCGTACACGCTCCCAGACAAGCGCAAGCACACGCACACATGATGTCGCTCGCTCAACACTGCAGTGCTCGATCTGTATCATCTCTCTTTGTTGTTCTCGCTTCTCTCGTCTCCTAGACGCTCAGAGCGTCTGAAATCAATCTGTTCACCCACCTATCTGCTACTTGCCGTTCTGACCAATCTGATCGTGCACGAATACCGTGCAGCACCTTATGCCCGTCAATAGGGCCGAAACTTCAGAGTAGGACGAGGAGGCAAGCCAAGAGCGCAGCACTACTGATAGCAGGCGGGGGCGCATTGGCTGTCCACATCCTGAGAGGCCGGCATGTGCGGGCTACAAGGAGGATCATCAGGATCGAAGATTGAGTTGGGCGACTTGCATGCCGGAATGGATCAACGTCGCTCTTACGCAGATGAGCCCTTGCGATCTTGTAGCGAGGTGATCAAGCATTTTCAGCCTCGCCCGATCTTCGCCTCGCAGAGCCACCAGCCCCTGATGTCGTAGAGGCAGCGGCAGAGACTTGCTCGCGCGCACCGCCACCACCTGATTTTGCAGGCCCGCTCTTGACGAGACGCTTCTGCTGCGCAATGACGATGACACCCGTGACGGAAGCGAGGGCCATGCCTGAGCCAACGAAGAGGACGAGGCCTTGGAAGCCTTTGGTGCCGTACAAGGAATAGTCGCTGACGGTTGGGTCGTAGAGGGCAGATCCTATCAGCGGACCAGCTACGGCGGCAATTCCTCGAATGAAGATGACAGCCAGGTAGAGTGGCGACACCTCCTGACTGAACAGGGAGGCGATGGAGCGCGAGACCGGCGTGAAGAAGCTATGGAGGGGGGAGAGGAGGGTGTGAATAGCAGATGGAAGGATCAGAGCCTGTTCGACCATACTCACGTTGTGAAGCCTCCACCGGCTGCACCGAAGATGAGGCTGAAGATGATGATGAGCGGCAGCGAGTGTGAGAAGCCCAACAGCAGGTACGCCGACAGTCCGCAGATGAGCGTCGACCCCGACATGAGGACGAGGTATGGCATGCTATCGATGAGCCGTCCCGTGACCAGGTAACCTATCGTCGCCGCCGCATTGAAGCCGGAGAGTACACCGGTGGACGTGGTCGCCGAGAAGCCTAGCGAGCTGGTCCATGTAGCCAAATAGAGGCTGATAGTACACCAAGCACTCGCCTGGCAGACCACAAGCACAACCTGCGTGACAGCGAAAGGATGCAACAAGCTTCCCAGCCCCTCCGGCGCCAAAGCTCTGATCATGCTTCTCGGCCTCGTATTTGGTCTCGTGATCGGTAGTCTAGGCTTGAGAAAAAAGGCGGCTCCGCCTGCCAAAATCAAGCCCCAGGCAGCGGAGAGGCGGAGCGTCCATGCGAAGCCTACGGATTCGAGCGCGTGATTGATCGCGATAGGGAAGAGAGTGCCACCTGCCCCAGAGCCCGAGTAGATGATGCCGCTGGCGAAGCCCATGCGCTTGTCGAACCATTGTGGAAGCCAGAGGATGACGGGAGTAAAGGTTACTCCGGAAAGGGTGCCGTAGAGGATGCTAAGAGCGGGGGCGGGGCAGGTGTTGACGGTGGTGAGCCGCCCGCCAAGGAGACGATGAGCGCACGGTCACATCAGAGCTCACCCTTGAAAGACGAGGAGCGCAGGAACATAGCTATCGAGGAAACTAGCGATGAGCAGACAAGCGCTGCTCAGCGCTATAGATGCAAAGGCGGTCCTCTTGATCCAATGCGGGTAACTCCTGAAGAAGCCCCTGCTCAGCAGCGGGACAAAGTGCTGACCAGCAATGACCAGCGTTCCAATAGCGGACAGAGCAGGCTGGCTAGCTTTACCGTACAGAGGCGACTTTGGATTGTGACTGTGGTACGCCTCGTACGCTCCATACGCGTAAGACTGGCCCCAGATGACAAACTCGAAGAGAGCGGCAGCGGCTAGGAACTTGTAGGCCCCAGGACCTGAATCGATGGGCTCGAGATCGGAGACGAGGTGTTCCGATGAGCTGGTGGGAGTGATAGACGGCGGCAAGAGGTCGACGCGGGAGTCAGGGCGACTAGACCCCAGCGAGGAGAGGGCAATGCTGTCGTCACCGACCGCGTCTGCTGCTGCTTTGCCAGTACCCTCATGCTGTTGCGGTGATGGACTCTCTTGGAGCGTCTGCGCAGCCGTACGCGAGACTTCGACCGGCAGTGTTGCCGTCATTGCAGCAGACGCCATCTTTGTATGCCAGGCTGGCGAGATGGCTGTCTGAAATGCTTGACTTTGCTTGGAAGATTCGGAAGATTCGCACGGCGATCAGTTTGAGAAGGATTAATTGCCCTGGCTCGAGCGTAGCCATCGGTGACTCGTCCTTCTCTTCTCCACGCCACGCGAGCGACGACTTCGACCTACGACTCCGCTTTACTGCGCCACGCAGATGCCATGCCAGGGGTCATTGGCGCCTTGGCACGCCCGATGACGATGACGGAGGGGGAGATGGTATTGGCAGTAGACGAGACGAACAACAATGATGCGTGACCCACACGACGATGACGATGAGCTAGCTGGGCCGCACTCTTCACGCCTCGCTTTGAGCAAAGGCAGGCATTCACTTCATAGAAGACGGTGGTGAGTGGCCTTGCCGTCGTCGGCCGGCGTATGGCCGCTGCGCTGCGTGGGCTGTGGGATTCGCATCGTGATCTCTGTCGCGCAGAAACAACGCAGCGTCGACAGACCTGTCCGAGCTTCCTTTGACAAGCTCACGCTCGTACCAAACCAACAAGGCAACCTTGTCAGAGAGGGGCTCCAGGCCTCGTCGAGATCGTTGGCTCGAAGATCGGGAACTTATTGGCTGGCCTCGACCGTGCCCCTTTGTCGCCGTCAGCCGTTGGCGTCGTTGCCATCGTCCTCGCGATGATGTCTGCCCGCCCCCTGACGTGGTCGCTGGTGGTGCGCGGGCGCCTCTTGGCGCTCTCTTCTCTCGAACAACGGGGCCGGGGCGAGGCGAAAGAGAACATCTGTGCAGAAAAGAAGTAGGCGGGCGCGGGAGAACAGGGGAAGCGGGCCAAGTCTGATGCGGGATGCTTCGTCGAGTCGAGTCGGTGTGGGTCGGCTGTTTGTTTCAAAATAGCAAGGCGGCCTCAGGCCAAGTGCCTCCAAGCCAGTCGTGCCGGCCAAGGCTGAGGAGCGCGTGTCGGCGTGATGTGTGTGGCTTTGACAGAGACAAGGCAGAGCGTTCTGAGGGCTGCCCCCTGCGTCAACAGCCTTTGTTCCTGCTCGCGCTGCTCTTGTCTACACTCTCCGCTACCATCGCCGCCCCTCCCCCTCTCTCCTCTTCTCCTTTCTACATCTCCGCACCTCCTTTTCCCTCCATTCCCCCCATCTCCCTCCATCCGCCCTCCCTCCGCTACTCAGCTACGATCCTTTAACGCCCACCTTCGTATCGCTACCATCAACGCTCTTTCCACATAGCACATCGCGTACACCGCACAAACACGCAGTCGAGCTCGCATTCGCGCTCCTTCATCCTCTCTCTCTCTCTCTCTCTCTTGACTCCATCTCCTCGCACCGCGCTGCTGGCTCATCACGATGCGATTCCTCACCCTCGCTCTCCTCGCATTCACCCTCGCTGTCGTCTCGGTCGACGCACGCCTCCGTCTCGGCCTCGCATGGGGTACCGACAACAGATGGTCAAAGACGATCGCAAAGGGCAACGTCGAGTGGTACTGGCACTGGCAGGAGGCCGCCGTGCCCGAGATGCCTAGCAACGTCGAGTACGTACCCAACTTCTGGGGCCCCAAGTACTGGAGCAAGTGGAACCAGCGTAAGCAGGAGATCAAGAAGTTCAACTCGAAGCGCATCCTCGCCTTCAACGAGCCCGACATTGCTGGTCAATCCGACATGAGCCCCGAGTGAGTGGTAGAGGGGCCAAGAGCATTCCCGCAGATACAGCGTACTGATACGAGCCCTTCTTTCCTCACCTGGCTTGCAGATACGCCGCCTCCGTCTACATGAAGGAGCTCCAGCCCTACCGTAAGAAGGGAGTCAAGGTCTCCTCACCTCAAATCGTCTGGGATGTCAAGTGGATGGACCGTTTCCTCAAGGCCCTCCGCGCCAAGGGAGGCGATGTCGACTTCATGGCTGTCCACTGGTACGGCTCTTACAAGGAGCTGCCCGCCCTCAAGAAATGGGTCTCCAAGATCCACAGCCGCTACAACAAGGTCGTCTGGCTCACCGAGTACGGTGTCACGCAGAGCTCGCACCCTTCTCAGAGCGACATCAAGAACTTCCACGTGCAGGCCACCGACTTCCTCCGCAACACAGGCTACGTTAAGCGCGCCGCCTGGCTCGGATGCTTCGCCGTCAACAACCCGCCCGACTCCTTCGCTGCTGCTCGCAACGCCTTCTTCAACTCCGGTGGCTCTCTCCGCTCCTGGTCCAAGTGGTACGTCTACTCCAACAGCCGCAAGCGCTCTGAGCTCGAGGGCGGCGAGCTCGCCGACCAGACCATGGTTCAGCGCGCTACCCGCACTCCTGGCGCCGCTCGCCACCACAAGGCTCACCGTGCTATCATTGAAGCCCGCGAGGAGGAGCAGGCTCGCCGCGAGGCCGAGGAGAAGGATGCTGACGTCGACGAGGAGGATGACGGTGTCGTCTACGAGGGTGAGGAGGACCACTGCGGTGAGATGTGCCAGAAGCGCAATGCTTCCCTCGACGAGGCAAAGGACGAGGATGACGAGCTCAGCAAGCCCGGTGTCGTCGAGGTCATGGACGACGGCGAGGATGACGAGTAAGAGAGAGGTAGCGCAGCATCATTCAGTCCTCCTCCTCCTCCTCCTCCTCCTCCTCCTCCTCCTCCTCCTCACTCTTTGGTCACCGTAGAACCTGCGCCCCCATCTGCGTCGCTGTGTCACGGTCATCGCTTTCTCCCCCTTCATCTTTCTGCTTCATTGCTCTGCCCTTTCCACCTTCCAAGATATCCTTGACTTTGATTCGCTTTCTTCTCCCTCATCTTCTTCATCTGTCGTTCCGTGAACGACTACCTCATCCTTCTTGTCCTTCACATGCTCCGAATATTCGTCAACGAAATGGAATTGTAGGGCTGGGCCCTTTTCTTCTCTCTCTCTGCTTCGATCGCTACCAGGTCCTAGTCTACCCTTGTCTGCAAGTGTGCTCTCGCTACCAAGGCAGTTGGCTGCGAGAGTTTTCCCGTCGTGCTACTATCTCTGGTCGTCGGCGCGCGCATTCGCGTGCAGTGAGGGCGGGGGAAGCACGGTGACTTTTCGATGCGTATCCGTAGTCGTCGCTTGGAGTGAGGGTTTCGCGCAGAGCGTAGGATGGTGCGGGTGAATGTGGCAGGCTGAGCTCGTCAGTCAGCCGGCGCTGCCCGACCTCATCATTGAGAGATGGCCGGCACTCCTGCTCACCACATGCTAGCTTTTGCTGAACATCACCACCGAAACCAGTACGCCTGGCGGTCATCCTCGCCTTCATTGTCTTGTCTGCGTTGCGCCCACCACGCCCTTGCTTTCTTCGTGTTGCACTTGCACTCGCCCTCGCCCTCTCTGTCGCCTTGGCCCTGGCTCGCGCTCTCTTTCTCCCCGCCTTGCGCCGCCGCCGCCTTGGCGTCGATGCATGCCTCCCCTTGCTCTTGACACGTCGTAGCTGCAGTGGGGCCAAGAGTCTCAGCGCCTCCCCGCCTTGTGTGTCCCCCCCCTCCCTCCTTTCTTCTCCTCGCTCGTTCGACAATTCGATCGCCTCCATCGTCTGCCGTTGTGCCCTTTTGGCCGTCAGAGGGGCGCCTCACCCCTGTCCGCGATGAGGGCCCTTTTGATGTTTGTGTGCCGCACGCCGCCGCGCGAAGCAAGACGACGGCGGCGACTTCCGCGCCCCTCTCTCCGGCAGCAAGGGCGGTAGGCGAGTGGTGGCAATTGCAGTGCGCTGTGAATGGCAATGCCGTCGCTCCCTTCGGCCTCTCAACCTCACTAGAGGGACAAACGACACAGCAGAGGGCGCAGCAGGTCGCCCTTTGTCTTCACCACCACCACTTTCCATCTTCCCTTATCCCACCTTTCCCTTGTTCTTTTGCTCACGACAGCACTTGTACCACCCACCCTCATTCCCCACTCGATACTGTCTTCAGTAGCGTACGACTCATCGCTACGCTTCCTTCGCCACCACTTTGCTTCTTGGCACACGACTTTCACCACCTGACTCTTTTCCTTCATCTAACGACCCAACTGCTGCCAGATCAGTGAGTCGAGTCGTCGTGTGACTGCGTGCGGCAGCTCGCCTTCATGATCAGTCACTGACCGCCACACACACACACTCTCTCTTTCTCTCCCCTCCACCCATCGCCTCTCTGCCAGGCATGCGCTTCACTACTATCGCCACAGCGGCCATCGTGGCTTCGCTGCCCTTCGTCTCGGCCGACCTCGTGAAGCGTCAGCAAGACTCTGAATCCTCGTCACGATCACACCGTCACCACAAGCATTCGTCGTCGGCTACGGCCGCTTCGAGGGCTCAAAAGTCACCTGCCGTTGATGCAGCGGCTGCTGGCACGTCGGTTGCTTCCTCTGGTGGCACTCTCGACCCTAGCGTCTCAGCAGAGATTGCTACGATTACTAGCGGTGTCCCTACTACGACCCCCACTTACGCCCTTGGGACGACCTACACCGCCGGTGCCTCAAACACTTTTGTCTCTGGAGCTCCTGCTCTGCCCGCTGCCACGGCTGCGCGTCCCGCCGACTACCCTACGCTGGACAAGGCACCCCCTACCGACTCGCAGCAGGCCCAGGAATGGATTCAGCAGTACTCGAGCCAGCTCTCACAAGCGCCCAACATCCCCTTGACCGTTGACCAAGCTTCGTGCTCAGGCAACCCGACGAACCTCCAGAACGCAGCTGCCAACCACTGGTGGACATGCGGAGGCTACACTACGAGTGATGACGTGACCCAGTGCCCAGACGAGAACACTTGGGGTCTCTCTTACGACGACGGACCGTCCCCTTACACTCCCAAGCTTCTCGACTACATGGAGAAGCACGGTGACCTCAAGTCGACCTTCTTCATCGTCGGATCGCGCGCCATCTCTCGTCCTGACATTCTCCAGTACGAGTACATGAAGGGACACCAGCTTTCGGTCCACACCTGGTCGCACACCGCGCTCACCACACAGAGCAACGAGGCCATTCTGCTTGAGCTCCTCTGGACCATGAAGGTCATCAAGACCATTACCGGCGTCACGCCCAACACCATGCGCCCTCCCTACGGAGACATTGACGACCGCGTCCGCTACATCTGCAAGATGGTCGGCCTCACCCCGATCATCTGGACCTCGCTTTCTTCGACCTCTTCCTTCGACACCAACGACTGGAAGATCCAGTCCGGTGTAGTCACGGCCGCTCAGTCCGTCAACACCTTCGAGTCCATCCTGCAGCAAGCCCCCAGCCTTGGCCACGGCTACATTGTCCTTGAGCACGACCTCTACCAGCAGTCCGTCGAACTCGCCGTGACCGTTGTGCTGGACATGGCCCAGAACATGAACCCCAAGCAGACGCTCGAGCCTATTGTTACCTGCCTCAAGAAGGACATGAACGAGGCCTACATCGAGACCAGCACCAACAAGTCCAGCCCTGCTGCAACGGGTTCATCGGCCTCGTCAAGGAGCGGAGGCAGCAGTGGTGCAGAGTCGAGCAAGCAGGCCGCTCTCATGCTCCTCACCCTCGTAGGCACCGCCTGCCTGGGTGCCGCTGTCGCCCTCTAAAGCGTCGAGTGCGCAAAGGGACAATGCCTTTCTCCTCACCCCTCTTCCCCCTGTCCATACCACCCTCTTCTCTTTTCCTTCTCTTCACGGCTCATGTAGCTTCCCGTAAAGATCGATGAGCTCTCGCCTCTCTGGAAGCCACGGGTTTGGTTTTCTCGTACGCGGTCCTCTCTCTTTCCCTCTCTTATCTGCCCTTCTCTTCTCGCTCCCCTCCCTTCGTCTCCTGTGCCACTCGCCCCAAAGACGCGCGATGGACAGAAGCTAGTACCAAAGCAACTAATGACTCAAAATGCGAATTCAAAAATCTTTTCTTCATCTGTGGCCTTGTGTGAAGCAAGACTTGGCGATGTGCGGCAGGAGCACTAGCTCGCAGTGGAGTCGGGTGTTTGCGATGCTGCGTAGGGGGGAGTTCATCGTCATCCATCGCATGAAGTGAGCAAGCCACGAGGTCTCAGGAAGAGCTGGACCGCTGAATTGCAACAGCTTTGGAGGGGATGGGCACTTCTCCGTCTGCTTCGTCGTCAGTCCATGCACATCGTCCCGTTATGAGAGGCGAAATGGTCGAATCGTATTGAGTCAATGAGTATCCCCACGCCTCGGCGAGTTGACCTTGAACCACCCCTACATTTCTAGCACGGTATTACATGTTGCCTTCCTGATCCGTCTACTTCTTCTTGCCCGGCCCAGCAAGTGGCGCTCCTACGTCTTTGCCACGCAGCTTGACCTTGAGGGCTCGCTCACTGTGCAATCGAGGAAAAGAGGGAGTGCGACAGGTCAGATGAGTGCTCGATAGGACGTGGCCACGCTCGCTCGCTGTCTCATACTCACAGCTTGCCAAGTACCTGCGGGTTGGGCGGCACACGCGAAGCCTCGAAGTCACCAATGACGGTCGGCTTCCTGCACGTACCGAGATAGAGGCGGAGCAAGGAGCTGGTCAGCCTCTGATCACACGACCTGTCTCTCCTCTGGCGCTCGCACTACGCACTCATTGATCTGCTTTGCCAAATCGCTCTGGCTCATGCCCGCGGCCTGCCTTGCCTGCTGAATCGCCTTGCCCACACTCATGCTGACAGCCTTGGGCGGCGCCGGCTCAGAGTCGCGGTCGAGGGCAGCCAACTTCTGGTGGTCGGTACCAACGTGGCCGGCGTTGCGGCCAGCGGCATTCTTGCGGCCTTGCTCCGTAACGGCGCCGACTGCCTTGGCACGCTCCAGGGCGGTGGGACCTCCACCGCCGCCGCCGCCGCCTGAGGGGCGAACCTTGGAGCCAATCTTGGTTACGGTGTCTGTGAGATGGAAGAGAGTGGTGTAGCGTAGGTGAGAGGGCAGAGTGGCGAGGAGAGAGGAGATGGGCAGCCACAGGAGACAAGGGCGAGAGAGCAAAGTCGTGGTCAGCCTTATGATTCTCTGCTTGTGCGTTCAACGCGCCGTGCTCACCCCAGTCTGACATGATGTTGATGCTGATTGGAGTATGTGGTAGTGAGGATGGATGAGGTTAAGCTGCGCTGTCCGCTTCCCTCGGCTTCCTCTCGATTGGCAGAGTCACTCGAGTCGACCAAAGCAACAGGCGGTGGAGGTCGCCACGTGGTTGAGCGCTGCTCCCTACCCTTCACCCATTCGAGCAAAGGGCAGGCCTGGTCAATGGCTTGGCCTGGCTCGTTGCGACGCAAAATCAAAAGAGGGAGAACATCGTCCTACGCTTTGACTTTTCCAATGTCTTGAACATCGAGCTGCGAGTGCAAAGCCTTGGTGACCGGGTGCTCACTCTCTCGCACGATCAAGGCCAACCACGCATCGCCTTTCAGTTGATCCGCGAGGTCGTCGCCTTCCAGCTCAATAGCTCTTGCTCGCCATCGCAGACTCACATCACTGACTAGCGCATGGTACGCCGACGGGCCTTGCATGGCGCCTACACTATCCTCCGTGAAGCCTCTGCCTCTCTGGGTGTTACTCTAAGTGGTCTCGCCGCTTGGTCTCGTATCTGGCCTGGCTGGCCCACTGACTCTCATCGACCCGCGCCTCATGCGCTGCATCAGCGGCCGGCAGCAAGAGAGCCTTCGGTCGCCTCTTGAGCCTGCGTAGATGAGAGGCAGCGGCAGCCGCGGACGGACGGACGGAGGGACGGACGCACCAAGCGAGTGTGACCCTCGCTTTCTATCCCCGCATTCAGATCGAGTTGAAGCGCCTTTGGCCAGGCTGAGCTGCGCCGCTGCGATGCTGGGGCCACTTGCCCTCTTCGAGTGGATCGCATCGCTCGCGCCGACTGCTTTCACATTGAGTCTACGATCGGCGCACCGTCATTGCCATCTTAGATCATTACTCCAGTGTCGACGATATCCCAACTACCCTTTCTACCAATACCCACTCTCTCATCACATTGGACGCCGTCGCCATGGACGACCGCAAGCCCAATCGAAGATCCATCGTCGCCTCCATGGGCCTTGAGCCCCGCTTCCAACCTGAAGAGCCAGTCTCTCCTCCCACTTGGGGTCCACCTCCCGCCTCGCCCACCGAGTCGCGCAAATCGAGGGCTCGTAAAGAGAGCACTGCCTCTCGCGGCACTGTGAAGTCCACGACTGGTCGCAAGCCAAGGCCCGCCGCCGTTGATGCAGCACCACCTGGACGAGTCAGGGCGGCTGGACCTGCGACAGGGTCCATCAAGAGCAGAAATTCGAGGCACAGCATGCTCCCTCCCTCTCCTGCGCCGCCTTTGCCTGAGAACAGTGCACCTGGAGCAGCAGGCGGCGGAGGTACCCTTGGCCGCAGCCTGACGTCGAAGCTCTTTGGTCGAAGCGGGTCAGCTCCAGCAGCCGAAAAGAAGGCTGCCCCACCTCCGGAGCCTGCACCCCAAGCCACCACGTACGAGTCCGTCAATGGTGCTGGGTCTGGAGAGCCAGGCGCTCGCAGCTCGATGCTGTTCGGCCTCGTAGGCGGAGGTAAGGACCGCGTTGAGCCAACCCCGGCAGTCGAGGGCGACTCTCGCCGTACCCGCTGGAACGCTCGCAACAAGACCGAGTCTGTCATCACCGCCGGCTTCACAGACATGCACATTGGTGATGAAGAGGACGGTGTAGAGCGCCAAAGGCCAGAGAAGCCGCTGGGTCTTGGCCGCATGTCCGCCAAGCAGGCACGAGAGAAGCGCACCTCGAAATACGTCATGCCAGCCATCGCTGAGCCAGAGCCGGAGCAGCAGCAGCCTCAACCAGAATCCCAGCCCAAGCTGGCTCTGGAGCGCCACGAGCTCGTAGACGACGGGCCCTCCCTTGTCAAGCGCAAGTCGTCCAAGGCATCGAGAAAGGCATCAACAAAGGCCCGCAAGAATGGCGCACCCCAGCTCCCCGCCCTCAGCGCGATCGGGCTCGGCGGAGGGCTGGGCAGCATCATTGGCAAGTCGAAGTCGGCGGAGCCAGAGTACGACCAAGACGAGCCTGCGGAGGACAGCGAGTTGGAAGGGGCAGCCATGCCTGCGCGTGGCCCATCGAGGATCGTCGAGGATACTGAGGACGATGAGGACTTCCAGGAAGCAGACGACTCGGCTTTCCCTGTGACGCCAGCGACCGATCGCAAGGCGTTCTTGATTCCAGAGGAGAACGGCTCCGCTGACCCTGCAGACGTATCCGACGAGGACGAAGTCGCGCCAGTGCTCCAGCGTGAGAAGCACGCCGGTACGGCTGGTGCGCCAATCACCGCGGCAGACGAGGATGAGCTTGATGAGGAAGTCCCCGGCTACGACGAAGCTACTGCTCGCTCCGCACCTGCGGAAAAGGAGAACGGCATCGGCAAGAAGGGACTACTCGCTGGCGCTGGCCTCGGCGCCGGTTTGGGCGGTGGCCTCGGCGCTTTGGCAGGCGGTTCAAGGAGCAAGGCATCGGCCGACAAGGCTCAGAGAAGCCCCATCATCCCCGGCGCCTTCGGCCATCACGACGACGACGAGGTCGAAGAAGATCCCGCTCGGACCGTCGATGACATGTCTGACTATGAAGATGAGGACATGATCGACGAGCCACCTGCTCGCACCGCAATGCCGGCTGTTGCCGCTGTGGGCTCGGCCGCCAAGGCGCCCAAGAAGGTCAAGCGCAAGGAGCCAAAGAAGGACAAGAAGGAGCGCAAGAAGGACAAGGCCGAGCCAGCCGCGGTCGCCGCTCCTGCCCTTGCACAGCCGCCTGAGCGACCCCAGAGGAGCAAGGCTCGCAAGCCCAGCTCCAATCGCGAAGAGCGCCTCGCTGCGCCAGCCGAACTTACCAGGCAAAAGAGCTACAGCAGCAATAAGAGCGACGAGAAAAAGAAGAAGCGCGGCGGCTTGGCCGCTCTGGCTGGAGGCGCCTTTGCCATCGGAGGTGCAAGCGCTGCGGCCAAGAAGGGTCACAAGGAGGACGAGCCCATGGACGATGCCGACTACGAAGAGTACATGGACGAGCCGGCGGTCCTCAGCGATGAAGAAGGACACAGCGAGGCCGACTCCGAAGAAATCTACCGCGAGCGCTCCGAGAAGAAGAAGCGTTCGTCCAAGTCGCAACGCTCGACTGGCATGGCCGCTGCATCTAAGCCCTCGCGTCGCTCGGCGGCCGTCAAGAACCTCACGCCTGTGCAGCGCCACTACCTGCTCAAAGCCCTTGTCTGCTTGCAAATGCAGCTCGAGTGGGAAGAGCTCGAGAAGCTCGGTGCCCTCACCCAGTACGGTTATCCCTTCGCGCCCGAGCGTCCTAAGCTCACCCGCGTCAAGACGGAGCTCAAGAACGAGTTTACGACGGGCGAGGACATGGAGAATGAGGCCGATGATCCGTACGACGAGGAGGACAGTGATGAGGCTCGTCGTCTTGAGAATCTGCAGGATCCTCTGATCTTGCGTCACTTGTTCCAGATTCACCTCCGCGTCTTCCCTGGATTGGACACGGCGCCGCTCAAGTTCTGGCAGAAGCGCATCCAAGTCTTCTTCGATGAGATGGCTGCTCGCAACTTCTCGACTAGTGTGGAGAGGGGAGAGTACTCCAAGCGCCGCTTCTACACTCTGGCGATGACGCGCTACCTCGGTGGCTACTTCGCTCGAGGTGTAGGTGTGAGGGGTCAGGGTGAGCTGCGTGGGCCCGGTCCCGGTGAGAAGGGCAGTGAGCGCTGGGGCGTAGGCAAACAGTGGGGCAAAGGCACTGTCAAGCGTGGTCTGGACCGACCAGCTCGTATCGACTCTTCGCTCTGGAAGAAGATCGACAACCTATTCGGCGACGGGCCAGAAGGGAAGGTCTGGCGCCGTGCAGGCAAGGAGACGACGAGAATCCGCGGCGACTGGCAGAGCTGGAAGGAGCAGATCATCGAGAACGAGACCGGGTTGGATGAGACGGTCAACTTCCTCGACATCTCGCAGATTCGCAACTTGCCGCCCAAGTACCGCAATGCGGAGGAGTGGGCTCGTAACCATGCGGCTTACCTCTTGCATTCACTCTTCGTTACCGCACCCAATGCTGACTCGACATTCAAGGTCGTGCGCGGCATCCACACCCTTTTTCCCTACTGGGGAGCTAAGCAGCTTCTCAAGTATGCTAATGCTCAAGTGCTCATCGAGGGCATCCTCAACTTGCTCCTTGCTCGTCCAGCCGGTGCCAAGTCGCTCATCCAGCGCATCGCCGCCTACGTCATTGGCAGCGAGGGCACGACACTGCAGAAGGAGTATATCAACCCGCTCAAGAAGGCCATTAATGACTCAGAGCTAACGGGGCGCATCGAAGAGTACGTCGCCCGTGGCAGTCGTCCGGAGGGCCGCTCGGTGCGAGCCAAGGCAGACAAGACGGGCGACGACGTTCTGACCGTCATTCTACTCAGCGCTGGTGGCACCCCTCTCCGCCGCGAAGCTCAAGATCGAGTCGTTGAGCTCCAGCACTCTTTCGCTCGCTCGCCGTACCGCGGCTGCCCCGAGCTGGCCTACCCAGCCGACAGCTCCTATGCCAAGGAGAACCCGGACAAGATGCACGTCCCCAAGTGGGATGGCAGCCGCACGGAAGAGGAGGAAGCTGTCAAGTTCGCCCGCCTCAAGCTCTTCCTTCGTGACTGCCTCAAGAAGCGTGATCGCGAGCAAGCAGTCAAGATGGCCTCTGGCGCTCTCGTCCCCACGATCATCAAGGACTTCCTCTCCACGGTCATGTATGACGTGATTAAGCAGATTGCCTCGCACGCCGACCTCTCTGCCCGCCTCGGGGACCTGCAGAACTTCATCGATGACATGCTCGACCTCAAGAAGAAGAAGGACGATTCCCTACAAGCCTGGATTGCCCTGGCTGCGCGCCACGAGAACTCGCTCTACCTTCTCGTACACGAATGTGCCTCGATCGCTGGCCGATTCTGGGAGTGGTGCCAGATCGGATTGGATTACATGGCTCTCAGTACGGTGGACCCGGTACACCCGGCGGACCGCAGTCAGAAGAACGTTGAGGTCAATCTCGAAGAGCTACTGCAGGACAGCAGGCTGAGCGAGAAGGACGTGGAGCTCATCCTGGAGGAAGTTGACGAGTTGGCCGTGTACACTAAGTGGAGCAAGGTGGCCTACGAGCTCGAGATGCGCAAGAACTTCCTCCTCGCCCGCCCGGACGCAGCGACGACCAGTACACTTACGGAGGACGACATTCCCACGAGTCAGATGAAGGACGAGATCCGCGATATCGACAGCCTGATGCGCGAGCTCATGGAGGCAGAGGGCGTGCCTGTGGATGACGGGTCTCTGCCCAATGAGTCTCGTGGTACAGAGGCGCGTGAGCTTGCCACCTTCTGGTTCGACGTAATGGACCCGCTCGGCCAGCATCTGATGGCAGAGAAGGGGGCATCGGAGCTCAGCTACAAGCCGCTGAATGTCTCTCCACCCATTCCCTGCTTGAAGTATACGAGGAAGGCGCTGCCTGTTTGGAGGGAGGTGTTGAGGGAGAAGCTGCCGGATTGGCAGCATGGAGATGTTAACGGGCCTAGGAAGGCCAGCAACCCGGGGACTAGGCAGAGAAAGGGGCCAGGGGCCGCTGGCCCCTCGAATGGGTCGGCCAGTGCGTCGAAGAAGTCGAAGGGTTTGTTCCGATGATCATGAGTAGTGGCTGTGCTGTGCTCCCTTGATGCTTTTTGCATTCTGCTTTCGATGCTCAATACCACGACTTACGTTGCTCATCTGGTTGCTCTGGCTGTCGCCTCACGCGCTATGGCCGGCTGTGCTTGGGCGTGGCGTCTCCTCGCGTTGCCGGCGGCGGCGGGAGTGCGGCTGGTGAAGTCAAAGCTCGAGGGCGGCTCAACCAAAACGTGTGTTGCCTTTTGCCATCCAGTCAACCTCGCACTGCCATCATCCTACCGTCTCTTCGATGATCGCAAGGATTGTCCATCTCAGACGCTCGTCAGCGTGAATGCGACGCTGTCCTCCATACCTTTCAGCGTCGACTTGAATCCGCCTGGCACCATACGCATCCATGGTGGCCTCCTCGCCTCTCCGCATTTGAGTCCCTCCTCCTCCTTCCCTCGTAGTCATGCCCGGAGCCAATGAGGCAGAGTCCTCTTCGGCCGCTATGGCTCGGGCTGCGGAGCAAGGCTCGACTAGATACCCACCAGCATCACAATCGCAGCCATCCGTCCGGCTGGCGCCATCGCCTTTCGCAGAGCGAGACGGGATGCGCAGCAACCAAGGCGGCGGCGCATTCACTGGTGTTTTTGGACGAGTCTTTGGTTCTGCGCAAACATCGTCCAGCCGGATTGTGCCTCAACGCCAAGAGCGAAGGACGTCCAATGCCACCACACATAGCCATGCCAGCAACAATAGCAAGCATCACAAGAAGAAAAGACGCGGCATCCTCTCCAACCGGACGAGGGAAGAAGAGAACGAGCTCGTCGTCCTTCATGGTCCTTCGCAGACGCAGACGACCACAACTTCCACCGCATCCCATCGCACGTCTGTCGAGCATCAACTAGGCATTCCTCCCCTCGACGATCCCATCGTCCCGCCAGCCCCCAACGAAACGACCAGCACCGCTCTTGCGCAAGCCGCGTCTCGAAACGCCCGTAAAGGCAGACCCAATAAAGCAGGGCGTCGCCTCAAGTTCGCGCCGGAGCAGAAGAGGGTGCGCAAGAAGGACCTGCCCGCTGACTTCGAAGACGGCGAGGTGTTCCGTGGTCTGGACGAGTTCATTGCGGCCAAGCGCGCAACGAGGAGACGGGAGCGTAGGAGAGGGTCGGGTAGTCGACACAGCAAGGGGAGCAGGAGTAGCAAAGCGAGCAAGAGTAGCAAGGGAAGCAGAAGCTCGGCGGCTACGTCAAGCGATTCGAGCAGCTCGAGCTCAAGCTCGAGCGGGTCCAGCGCTTCAGGGCGTGGCTTGACTCTGAGCCGGATTAGAGCCTTCTTTGGAGACTCGTCGTCGTCCTCGTCATCCAGCAGTAGCTCGAGCAGCTCAAGCTCGAGCTCGTCCTCATCCAACAACATCGGTCAAGCGGATGCAACGTCCATCGCCAGCAGCGATGGTGGGGCCTTCTCCCTCGCCCGCTTCTCGAGGGGTCGCACAAAATCGAGCACAGCTCGCTCAGACCGATCAGGCTCGCCAGACAATACTTTCGACTCGAATGGCCGACCTCTATCACCCAAGTCGCCTCGCCTGCCTCGCACTCCCAGGCCCTTCAACAACACGCCTCAGACTCCACGCATGGGCTTCTCAGGATGGACTGGAGGAGCAGAGAGAGCGAGGTTGCGTCGTAAGAGGAGGAGAGCTCAGCAGCACCGACAACGCATGGCTAAGAAGGGCTTGTTGCCCAATCAGCGACCAAGCCGAAAGGTTCGACACAAGGCGAAAGAGCTCAGAGAGGCTGCGGGAGGGGTGACCGAGTATACACTCTTCACGCCATTGGCTCTGCCGTATGCCGCCGCGGAAGAGGGGGCGGCGCAGACGTTGGAGAAGCTCGTATCCACGAGGAACTGGGTGCAGGTCACAGAGCGACTGCGAAACTATCGTCATCAGCTGCGCCAACGCGATGGTGCGGTGGGCGACATGGGCCTCGGAGACCCGAACGACGATCGCCTCGCTCCTCGCGGGCGGAAACATCACCGCCATCGACGTCGCAAGCATGCTGGGGAGCAAAGCAAGAGCACGAGCATCAAGCCCTCGGACCGTCGCTCAAGGCATGCTCATTTTGCAGACGAAGCAGAGGCCCCGCAACAAGAAGAAGGCGGAGGCGATCTCGGGCAGATGCAGATCATCGTCGATTCGGATGACTCGGATGATTTCGACTTGGCTCTGCCGCCTCCAGCTCTGGACCTGCACACACCATCAACGACGAGACCGTCAAGCGCAGACGATTCTGGTCGGAGACGGGACAGCGTTGATGTCACCTTCGAGCGAGAGAGGTCTACCGGCTGGCACATGTCCGATGTGCCGCTGACACCTAAGGCCTTTGTTCCTCGAGATATGCCTGGCAGCAGCGGCGCGCGGAGGCTGACCGCATCGAGCTCAGACGAAGAGGACGACCGCGACGTCGGGGTCAATGATGCAGACGACGAGGCCGAAGAAGAAGCCTTCGGCCCCTCACCTTCTTACGGGCCCTCCCCGCCAGACATGCCCTCCCGTCGCGCCGGATCTGGCCCTCAACCGGCATGGTGGCTGGACATCTCTTGTCCGACCTATCGCGACATGGTCCAGCTGAGCAAGCTCTTTCCTCTCCATCCGCTCACCGTCGAGGACATTCTGCAGCAGGAGCCAAGAGAGAAGGTCGAGATCTTCCACAAGCTGGGATACTATTTCGCGATCATTCGTTGCGTTGATGAGCGGTACTTCAAGTACACCACGGACGCCAGAGGGAGGAGAAGCCGCGCCGGGGGCAACGATGGCGGGAATGCTGAGAAGACAGGAGTAGATGGGGATGGGCAAGGTGCTGCCGCCCCTCCTGGCTCTGAATCACCAAGCAGCGCTGAACGCACCCAAGCAGGCAGCGGTTCCCTGAAGTCATTCAAGTCGCCCAAGCTTCCGGATACCCCTCGCGACTTCCCCGAGTCCCATGAGATGAAGGAGCTGAATGAGAAGCGTTCGTCCCCTCTCGCTCCACCGCCTGCGCGCCCCCTCACATCCAGGGACAAGGGCAAAGTCGAGCTAGTCGAAGGAGCAGGTGGCAAGGAAGGTTTGGAGGGACTGAGCGTAGGCGCCTGCAACCTCTACCTCGTCGTCTTCGCTCACGGGGTCATCTCGTTCCATACGGAGGACGTCGGATCGCACATTGAGCGCGTTCGCGGACGAATGATGGACGAGGCGGCAAGGGTGGACTTGACATCGGACTGGATCTTCCATGGGCTCTTCGACTCAGTCGTTGATACATTCTTCCCGCTAGTGGACTTTGTGGAAGCGGAGGTGACGGAGATCGAAGCCTGTACGAGCGACGATCGCACATTGCTGGCTACGATGAATCAGGCTCAGGCGCAGGCGCTACATGCGCAGGGTGTCAAGGGTGGGCGAAGAGGAGCACTGCCTTCGAACATCTTTGAGCGCACGCGAAGGATGCAGTGTCTTGCGCTCAGGGCGCCCCTGCCTCGCGTGCTCATCAGCTCGTCGACCGCGAAGCGCATTCCAAGCTGGCTTCTCACCAAACACTGGATCGACGTGCCCGCCCCAGACGGTGATGGTGACGACCACGATGAAGATGACGAGATCGCTGCCGCCAAGCGACTGCTTCGCCGGAAGCGCCTCCTCAAACGAGGCCAGCCGGACGCCCATCTACAAGGCGTCTCCGCCCAGGAGCAGACAGCAATGTTGCGGCGCATCTCAGACAATCGCAAGATCATCAACGGTCTCTTGCGCCTTCTTGTGCCCAAGAACGACACGGTGCGTGCTGTGAGGAAGAGGTTGGCCGAGCTGCGCGAGAAGGGTGGCCGAGGCAATGTCGCTGGAGGTGATGGCGGCGCTCCTGCGATGTCCTCGGCAGCCGTAGCAGAAGTTTCAGTCCACATGGGTGACGTAGGCGACCATGTTGTCACCCTCTTGTCCCTCCTACACACCGGCGAACACCGCCTTTCTGAGACGCACAGCAAGTACCTCGTAGGCGTCCGCCTCAACAATAGACGGTCCCGTCTGCATACGGACGAGGCCCTCGTCGTCCTCGCCTCGGTCACGGTCACCGCTCTGGCCTGCACCATGTGGCTCGCGACGTTTGGGATGAACATCGAGGTGCCCAAGAACGAGCATGGGAGTATGACGTACAAGGTGCTCGCGGGCGTGCTTGCTGGACTGGGAAGTATCCCTGTGCTGATTGCGACGCATGTTTGGTTCCTCAAGCGCAACGCGAGGAGGAAGTGGGAGGCTAAGAGGCGGGCCAGATAGGCGAGAAGGGCCGTGGGGCCGTGGAGCAGAGTTTGACCGTAGAGCAAGAGCAAAGCGGACTGGCGGATCATTGTGGGGCAGACATGGGTGTGAACCATACCTCGCCTCGCTAACAGTACCATAGTAGCCGTGGTAATAAAGATGTACATTAGTGCCCTGCAGCGACGCCGATGCCCTATTAGTGAGCCGGGCGCGTCATCATCGTCGTGTCGCACGATACGCGAACTGTGCCGCGGGTAGCCGTACGAGAAGAATCCGCAGCCCGGCGACGAAAGCCGATGAGCCAGGTGACTTTTCCCTGCGCGCTCGATATCGAGAGAAGCTCAAAATTTCAGGCGATTCAGGTGGAACACAATGCAAAGCGAAGAGATGGAGCATCGAGGTAGCATTCATTTTGGTCTCGGTTGAGACGAAGAAAAGGAAAGGTGAAGCAGAGATGACAGCAGAGCAGTCGCAAAGGTGATGGTATCGCGTGGTCTATCAGGTAGAGGGTGAAGGCAGAGAGAGAGAGTCAAGTGTTGCCGTGTGGGCGTGTTCCCGGGTGGGGTCAGGGGCAGAAAAAGGGATGACGACAACGGAGAGGCGTCGTGACTGAAAGTGAAAGAGAAGGGGTTTCACCCATTGCTTGCGTTGTGGGTTCCTCGGTGCATGTCCAGTGATTGCGGGGAGAGGGTACTTTACGTTTGCGCGTAGAGAATAGAAGTAGTTGGCTTGCGAGGACGATGAGGAGGTTGAGAGAAGCAGGTGTCACGACCTCACTGGCGATTGAGGGCAAGTGCGTCCATCACGCTGCGGACCATGGTCGTGAGAAGCGTTGGCGAAGGTGCTGGTGAAAGGCGTCGTCCTCAGACACTTCCTGCTCCTCAACGTCATCGTCGTAGTCGGCACCGTCGTCGTCACGGGGCTCGACGTCATCGTGGAGTAGGGCACGCCTCCTCATCATGCGCGCGCCATGCTTGCCAGAGAGAGCGCTGGCATGGTGGCGGTGACCAGGAGAGTGAGACGACTTGCCGTGACCGTGAGCGTGGCTGTGACCATGGCCATGGCCGTGCCCTGATGGCTTAGATGACGCCTTGATGCCATGCTTGGCGTGTCCAGCGCTTGATGAGAATGACGAAGCCTTGGTGGCCTTGGCATGATGGCTGCTCGCCGAGTGGTGGTGACCAGACAATTGCCTGAAGCGATTCCTGAACCGTCTCAACTCGGCCATCTGCTCCCTAGCCTGCTGGTTAGCATGCAGCTTATCAGCCCTGGCATGCTCGCCATCGCGCTCCGTCTCCTCGAGCAACATCTGCAGCTCATCCTGGCTGAGTTCCCTCTTCTTGTCGTAGTCCTTGCCGCCCAAGCGCTCGTAGTACATCTGTAGCCGCTTGCTAGGCGTGGCCTCATCCAGAGCTCGCTGCCAGTCGATGTCCGCCTGGGAGACGTAGATGGTGGGATGGTGATCCCGATGAAGGGTATCACGCTCTGTCTCGTCTGCGCGTGAGTGTGCGAGCCCGCAGAGGTCGCTCGTACCTACGCAGCCGCTGCCGAAGGGGGAGTCGGCCTGGTGACCTGCGGCTATGCGGCGGTGGTCTTGAGCGGTGAGGTGGGCATCTGAGGTCTCAAATTGGTTAGAGGCGACGAGGATAGCGTTGGAGGTTGATGGGGCGGTGGAGAGGAGGAGAATGGAGGCAAGGCTGAGGATGGTGGAGAGGTAGAAGCGGGCCATGTTGGGCGAGGAAAGTGAGAGGTGTCGAGTGGGCGAGGAGGAAGCTGCAGGGTGCTTGAAGTGGTGATGGTTACCGAATAGGACAGCTGAGAGGATGAAGTGGTATGGTCGTGCTGAGGTTGCAATGAAGGCGGTGAGTTGGAGAGCTTATGTATTCACCAGAATGGGGGCCGGGGTAACGAGGAAGTGCAACTCTATGTAGGACGGCGACAACGAGGAGGGACAGTGAAGAATGGTGAACTCGATGCGGAGAGGGACGAAGGGAAAGGTAGAGTGTGAAGGAGCAAGATGACGAGGAGGACGAGCAAGCTCCAACTGGGTTTGAGCCATCCTGAAACAGCAGCAGCAGCAACAGCATGAGCAGGAGCACAAGCATCGGCGCCGGCATGCTACGCTCCACCTCTGCCTGCCTAGCGTCAGCAGGCAATCTGTGTCAGCCAATCCCGCTCTTGCGTCTACTTCGTTCTGACATGCGCCGATGACAGGCGCGGGCACGCGTATCGAGAGGAGGGTGTAGGCTGGGCGGTATCGCGGTTGGACCCCTTTGGCCGTGTGTCGCACGAACGCACGCGCAAAGAGATGCATCCGACGGCCCATTGCTCTGTTCCAGAAAGGGTGCGAGCCCAACGTACTTGATGGGCATGAGAACGATATGCCTCCTGATCGTCGTCAAGAGCGAGCGTGGAGTGTGCAACAGGAGAAGTCGGGTCTCTTTCGGCTCGTCGCAAGAGGGGCTGCTCGAGTTCATCTCGCTCCTTTCTAACGAGGCGGCGGACTGGCGGAGCTGGGCCGCTGCGTCTTCTGTCGCATGCTGACGCCCAGCTCCCAGCCCCGTCGCTTCGCCGCCTCGCCGCTGCCGCTAGAGATTTTTTCCAGGGCGCAGAGCCTCCAAGGCGGCGACGAGCAGCTAACGCAGGCAGACGCATCGGCCAAATATTGCTGAGTTGACGACGGCGACGACGGCGCTGCCTGCGGATGGAAGCAAAGCAGAGCCAATGACGAGCAAGAGCAGCAGCAGCACCACGCACGACCAGCCATGCGTTGTGCGCTTCTCGTACCTGTCTCTGAAACAGCTGCCGTCGGGATCCCTCTCAGCCACATCATTCCACAGTGTGTCGTGAGAGCAAGGCCTCGTTTTGTGGGTACTTGTCAATTCTCTCTCAAGCGGGCAATCTTGGATCCGTGGTAGAAGAGGCCCAAGCGTAATGATCACTATTCATCAAAGCAGCACCACCTTCGAGAACTTCCACCGTAGCGTCCCGCCCATTCGTCATCGATGCCGGCGGAGTAGACTTTTGCAAGCCTGATTGTGATTTGGCTTCTATTTGTTTGTACAACGAGGCTTTCAAAAAAGAGGCGAGCTTCGCCTAGCGTACGGGAAACGGTCTGCCGATGGCGCCCGGGCGCGCGGGCGCCAATCCCCCAGCTGGTGGTTTTCTCGCCCGCTCGCCCGGGCCCGCCGCCTAATCTCGATCTCTTTCGTACGCACACGCCGCCGCACCTAAGTCTCGCAGACGAACGCCAGATGCTGCGAGGGAACTTTCTCTTGCTTGCTTGGCGACGCTACCGTAAAAAGCAGCCAATGGCGCCAACCGGTTTCGGGCTCGTACGTTCAGTAGGTCACCGACACGAAAACTCGCCCTAGCCTCAGGCAGTGGAAGGGTGGTGGTGGGCGGCGATCGCTGTGGCAGTTTTGCTAGCTGGAAATGGCTGCATCGGGCGAGCATCAACGGTCTCGGAGCGGAGGCCGAGGAACGAGGTTTAGCTGGACGACATCAACTTCCAGCGTTACCAATATCACTCGCTCCGCATGGGACAAAGGAGGTCCGGGACCTGTTCTGCGCAATAACGGGCTTGAGCGTGCAGCGCATGAAGTCCACGACGAACCACATGTTGCGATCGTCCGCCGTGGCATGAGGGCGGCGCACGTACTTTCCGTTGCTCGCTCGTTGCTCCCGTTGTTCCCGTTGCTCGTCAGACACGGCGGATCTCGCCTTTCCCTCGCAAGGCACCGTCAATGGGGCTCACTGATTCGTCGCAAAGCTTGGCCTAGGCTCGTTGTTCATGCCGGCCGTGGGGATGGCGAGTATCTGATTGCATTGACGATGCATTAGCTTTGAGATCGAACTTGGCATGGAAGGATGCAATGCGAGCTCTGAGCCGTGATGCATCGAACAAGCTGTCGATTGACAGTGACATCTCGATGCGGACCATGATCGACGGTCGTGACAGCTCGTCGGGTTCCTGACGTCGCTGCGTCGAATCGCTCTTGGCATCAAAGGCCGAAATCGAACGCTGAGGTGTGGTGAGGATGTACTTGACTGGGTGTCAGGCGTCGTCGCAGACTTGGCAAGGCTGTAGAGGTTTGCTTGAGTCCGCACACGGGTGACCTTCTTGCTCCCCTTTGCTGCTTGAGCTACGGTGATCGCTCTCACCCTTCCATCTCTTGGATATCTCTTGGCTCATCTCGGAGCCCTCGCCGATGCGACCTATCATGACCGCGTCGCTCCCACGGCCTCGCCGCTCCCACGTCCTCATCGCTCCCACGTCCACATTGCTCCCGCGCCCCCGACGCTCCCACGTCTGTCCTTCTACTGCGCCGGCCCCAAAGCGATCAAGTTGAATTGAACCGCTTCCGGATCCATCTCCATGTAATGCTTCTTGACAAAGCTCGCCGCCACACTGAGCAAATCTTCCTGCTTCTCCACCTTCGCTGCCTCCTTCCTGATCACTGGACCTTTTCGCCTCCCGTCCAGTTCGACCAGCTCACCACTCTCACCGCGTACAAAGCAGGTGAAGTGCAGGTCCACACTTTCGTCTGCCTGTGGCGCAGCCGTTTGGCCACCCGAGCCGGCGGTGGTGTGGGCGCGGGCGAGTTCCTTGGACTTGGTGAGGAGGGCGGAGCGCTCCAGTGGCGGTAGAGGTGCGGACTGATCGATCAGCTTGGCCAGGGGCGAGTCGGAGGGTAGAGAGGTGCGGACTGAGGAGGCGTTGCTGAGTGAGTGGAGGAGACCCATTGTGCCACAAGCATTTCCGATCGTCTGTTTCCACCACATCATCTCCCCCTTCTTTAGCTCTGTTCCTTTCTGGGAGATCTCTACGCCTTCATCCTCCTTTTGCCTCTGTTCTTCGTATGCGTTGCTTACGGGGAAGAGGAGGAGGACGGCCTGGACTGGTTGAGGGACCATGCTGAGCAGCTCGGGGTCCAAGCCGAAGATGTCGTGATAGGCCCACTGAGAGGCCGGCAGACCGAGAGAGGTGGCCCACTGCGAAGGATGAAGGGGGGAGAAGGCGTTGTGCGTAAGCATACAGAGGGAGAGCTACCATGTCACCACGCCGGCATCTTGCACTCACCTCAGTGAAGAGCTCAGGATTGCTCTCCAGAGGCACCCAGCGCATTGCGCCCGCTGGCGAGTCTGGACTATTAACGGCAGCCATCCTTGCTCAATCAGAATTTCTTGCGGAAAGATTGGGTCAAGTCGAGAGAATTGCAGTCGATGGTCAGGAAGTGAGAAAATGTGGCGCGGATGGCGAGAGCGAGAGAGGACGAGGTGGGCTTCGACTCGAGCGCCGAGGACACACGGGCCACTTGCAAAGCGCGTGGAGGCCCATGGAGATGAGCGAGGACATGGCCGCTCAAGCGCAGCTTGGCTTCTGATGAGGCACCTCCTTCACGACGAGACAGACAAAGAACGAATGTATGCTTTTCTAGATTACAGGCGACTCATCGCCCGCTCGTCGTTGATACCGCCGGCTCACTGCCCATGAAACAGCAGCCCAGCGGCCACCTCGACATTCCCACCCGAAGCCTCGAGCAGGGCCTTCGCCTGCGCCTCGCTCGCCCCAAGGTCGGTGAGAGCTTTGATTGAGGCAGGTGGAAAGGTGCGACCGCCTTGCTGCTGCTGCTGCTGAGACTGCTCCTGAGGGCGTGGAGGGCTTGCCCCGCCACGCGAGGCTGATGCTGGAGCGCTGGGAGGGCCCATGGCGCCGGGTGTTGCTGATGCTGATGCTGCTGCTGCTGGAGGTGGCGCCTCTACGCCTGGACGTGCCTGCGGGGTGGCTCCCAACGTCTGTCCTCCTACTGCAGGCGGCTTCTTTGCCGCTGCTGCCGCCTCGTCCGCGCCAGCTGCCGCACCCGCCTCCGTCATCTCCTTATCCCCTCCTTCTCCTTGAGCCAGCTCCTTCTCCCTTTCGCTCTGAGGCAGCTCATGCTCAGCAAGGAAGGGCAGCTCCTCTCCATTGATAACCAACGCCCCCTTCCTCAAGTCGATACAAGCCTGATATCGCTTCAGCATATCCAATCCGAAGAGACAGTCCACCCCTTTACCCTCCATGATCGTAAATGTACAAGGCAGGAACTGCGTGGGGCTCAGCTTGATCATGGCCGAGTGGACCCGACCGAGGATCTTAGCCGTCCCTACCCCTACAGCCATGCCGGCGAAGCGCTTGTCCAGAAGACGCATGATACCGCAGCGCTCTGCGCATTCAGGGGACATGATGGTAGACTGGGCGCCTGAGTCGACGAAAGCCTTGACCTCTGTCCCGTTGACCTCTGTCCGGACGTACAGCATGGTTACTGAGCCGAACACCTCGGGAGTGTACTCCATCGCATGCTCCAAGCTCTCCGCAATACGTTCCTGCTGAATCGCTTCCTCGATCCTTCGCTGGGCATCGATATCGAACTCATCCGCGGCTGCGAGCTCCAGTTCAGCCCGCTCGCGCTCGGCGTGGGCGTTGCTCATCTGGCGGCGGAAGTCTGAGAAGAGGCGGAGGAACTCTTGAGGCGATGCACGAGCGGCATCTGCTAGTTGAGGGTTGGAGTGGCGAATCTGCGTCATGAGGTGAGGGTCGGAGAGGACTTGCTGGCGAAGCTGCTCGGCCATCTCGGATTCGCTGCGAGCGAAGAGTGGGTACGAGGGGATGAGAGTCAACGATGATGCCAACACGATCTAACCTGCGCAGATGCTCACCTTGGCATCATCCTGTCCCCGGCGCCTCGCGCTGTTGGCTGCCTGCTCCCACTCGCGACTGGCTGCTGCTGCTGCTGTCGTCCCGAATCCCTCAGCGCAAGGAGATCGCCGTCCTTGACCCCGTAGGCCTCGAGCGTCTTCTCTGCCTCTGTCATGAGGGTTGCATTGAAGTAGAGTGCCTGTCTAGCTGCTGGTATGGAAGACTTGACGGGCGCAAGGGAGAGTCGGACCTGGTCAGCTCTGGCCGCACGAGGTCGTGTGACGCCACGCAACGCTGAGCGAGCACTCACATCTGCCTCGAGGAGAGCCTTGACGTCGGCCAATGTGATGCTCGCATCGCAGTCTAAGGGGTATATGTTGTCGTTGTCGGCGTCGGTAATTGTGATCATGACGGCGATGAGGTGGCGAGAAGATATTCAGGAGAGAAAGAAAGGAAGAGCTGAGCGGGTGGAGCTGACGCGTCCATCTCGCCCTTGTTCGTTGCTTCGTCGTCTCGAGCGCTCGAGCCAACGTCGTCGCGCCTCCCGCCTCCCGCCTCCCGCCTCCCGCCTCCCGCATCGGAGATTGCCAGCTCCACCTGGTGCCGCTCACCTCGTGCGCCGCTTCGTTACTCGGTCGGCGACTTCTTCCTTTCATCTTCTCATTTTCATCACACCACTACCACCACGACTAGACCATCACTACATACCCACCATCCCTCTCGCATCACCCATCATGCCCTCAGCGCAAGTCAAACGCCCCTCCACTCGCCTCGTAGGCGTAAGCACAAAGATGTACTTCGACATCCCGAAAACCACATCCTACCTTAAGAGCGTCCTATCCTGGCTCCCCTCTACCACCTCCTCCCTCGCCCACTCAACGCGCGTCTTCTTCCTACCGGACTTTGTCACACTGCAAGAGAGCGCAAACACCGCTTCGGGGACCGATCTGATTGTGGGAGCCCAGCATACCCACCAGGACGATGCGGGAGCCTTCACTGGCGAGGTGAGCCCCAAGGTGCTGGCGCAGGCGGGCGCCAAGATACTAGAGATGGGACATGCCGAGAGGAGGAGGCTGTATGGGGAGACGGACAAGGGTGTCGTGACCAAGGCTGTCGGGGCCGCGAGGAATGGGTTGACGCCGCTCATCTGCGTGGGGGAGATCAGCAAGGAGGGCGGCGTAGAGAAGGCGACGGAGGAGTGCTGGTTGCAGGTCAAGGACGTTTTCTCTCAGCTGCCGAAAGGATCACCCGTCATCCTGGCCTACGAGCCTGTATGGGCTATCGGAGCTTCGCAACCGGCCACGCCTTCGCACGTCGTGGCCGTCACACAGGCGCTGAGGCAAAAGTGCGCGGCAGAGGTGGGCTGGACAGGTGATGAGCTCACGATTCTGTACGGTGGATCAGCGGGGCCTGGAACATTTGAGAAGATCAAAGAGGGCGTGGACGGACTGTTCTTGGGGAGATTTGCGCATGACCCCGAGGCGTTCAGGAGGACAGTCGAGGAGATTGGGGGCGCGAAGGAGTAGGCGTGAGGGAGGAGACTCAATCGATATCACTCTGCCTGGTCTTGTGTGCTGGATGACGTCCGGACCGTCTATTCTGAGCATTTCATAACGTCTTGTGCGCCCGTCTATGCGAACGAGTCGACAACGGCGCTCCTCAACTCCCCGACCCTGCCCTCGCCTTGGCCCTTGTTGAGCCCGAACGTCGCCTCCACCACACTGATTTCCGTAGCAGTCGTCTCCAACCCGACGAATGCCGCGAAATCATTCACCAGCAGACCCGCACCGATGAGATCACTACCACGGTTGATTGATCCTGCGACAAGGGGGACCTGGAGTAGGGAGGAGAGCTCGTCCTGCGCCGAGAGGGGGGTGGCCGATTGGACGAGGGCGCCGACGTTGGACATGGCTGAGTAGGAGCCGACGAGGACGTTTGTGCCGATAGTCTGACGGAAGACTTCTACACCGAGGACGTCGGCAATGATCTCTTCAGTCTCACGGTCCAGGTCTGGGTGGACCAGGGCGACGTAGTCTGTTGGCAGGGCGGAAGATGGGACAGAGTCAGCGGATGAAGCAGAACGATGCCAGCTCAAAAGCCTCGGCCTCGCACCCACCATTGCAAGCAATGACATTCCCCAGCGCGCTCAGTCTCTCCTCAACCCTCTGAATCTTGACCGCCTCCGGCAGACTATTCCTGAGATGCTGCAGCTCCTGATCCGTAGTAGTGCTCGGTACCAGCAGCCCATTCTTGTTGCCCACCGTCAGCCTTCCGACCAGTCGAGTGCCAGCAATGCTAGTGGATACGATGGGAATGGTGTCTCCGAGCTCGGACTCGAAGACGGAGAGGAAGTTTGCTGAGCCATGGATTGCGACTAGGCAGTACGAGTTTGTGAGCTTGGCGAAGACGCCGATTTCGGATGAGTTTTCGAATTGACAGCGGACGGCCATTGCGGGTGAGTCTAGGAGGGGAGTAATTGGAGGTTGGGGTGGTATGGAGGGTAGGAATGGAGAGTTGCCAGTAGGTTTCTGTCCTGGCTTGCTTGGTAAGATGGAGAAGAGATGGAGGTTCAGGCATCGACGTTGGCCCTGCATTCCTCCAACGGTGCGCTCCTTCTTCCGTCCGTCTGACCTCGACTGGGCGGGCGCGCAGACGTCCAAAATCTCGAGCTGAGCCCCGCCCGCTCCACCCTGCGAGGTGCGACGGGCGATGACCACACGAGCAATCGCTCGCTTTGACTCAATTGCTACTCATTTCACTACCTCGCAGCAATCGCCGCAACATGGACTGTGAGTCATGCGCAGCAGGCAATGAGAAGCATGCAACATGGTGATGAGCGCCCACTGACTCCCCCCGCTATCTCGCCCGATCAGTCTCCCAGCTCACCGCGAATGACCAACAAGCAATGGAGGCCATTGTGGCCCGCAAGCAGATGAAGGTGCGCTCCAACCTGCCTTGCTCTCGACCTCTTGTCCACATCTTCTCACCTCTCACCCTCTGTCCATTACCCCCTCTTGCCCGCACCAGGACTTTTCCCGCCTCTTCACCTCCCTCGTGGACCGTTGCTTCACATCCTGCGTCGACGACTTCACCTCTCGCTCTCTCACATCCAGGGAGGACGAGTGCGTGAGCAAGTGCACGCAAAAGTTCTTGAAGCACTCGGAGAGGGTTGGCGCGAGGTTTCAGGAGGAGAATCAAAAGATTGTGAGCTCAGCGCGCAGAAGAGGATAAGAGACGTGAGAGAGACTGACTGTTCCTTCCTCGCTCTTCTCGCAAAGATGGCAAAGCAGGCCGGTGGGAACTGAGGATGAGGATGTATGCGGCACGACTTCGCTACTTGACGAAATGCGACTCGCTACAAGACCTGACTCTGGGCGATGCGATGCGATGCGATGCGATCCATTGATTGCGCTACTGATACAGAATGACGGGCCTGGCTCTGACCGGCTTGCCTCGATGCTGGCCTACTAATATCCCTCTTACCCTCCTCACTTACTCCTCCCGGCCACTCTCCTGGACCCTCCTGGTCGCCAAGTCGTACACCTTGGCAGCCGCCCCTTCAACCCCCTGCCGCCACATAGCGCTCACAGGCAGCACAGGTAGCGGGTGCACCTCCCTGCGCAGCCTAGCCAACTTCTCCCTAGCCTCCTCGATTGTCTCCTCGTCCTCCTCATCTCCCTCTCTGGGCCCAAGCGCATCACATTTGTTGGCCACCACGGCCGCAATCTTTCCACTCAATCCCGAAGCGTACTGCTCCAACTCCCTCTTCAGCACAGCGATATCCTCCCAAGGCGTGGGCCGGGCAGACGAGACGTCGACGACGTAGATGAGGGCAGCGCAGCGTTCTGCGTGGCGGAGAAACGAGTGGCCTAGACCCACGTTGTCGGATGCGCCGAGGATCAGCCCAGGAAGGTCGGCGATCAGAAGACGTCGCTCGGAATCGCTTGGCCAGGAGGTCATCGACGAGGAAGGGCCGACAGCCATGCTGTCCTCGCCCTCTGGCTCCTCGATGTCTTCGCCAATCCTTCCCCTCCCCACAGCAACAAGACCTCCCTCCAGATCAAGTCTCATGACCCCAACATTAGGACTGAGAGTCGTGAACTCCCAGCCGCCCACCTTTGCCCCCTTCCTACTTGCCCCTGTCCACGCCTGCAACAGACTGCTTTTGCCCGCATTGGGCAGCCCGACCATCCCCACGTCTGCTGGGCTCTTGAGCTCAAGCGACACCTCGACGCGCTGGCCATGACGACCCCGCGTCGCAAGCTTCGGAGAGCGACTGTGCCCCGAGAGGAAGAAGGCATTGCCGTGCCCTCCTGACCCGCCTGTTGCGAGGAGGAGCGGAGGGGAGTCGGGAGAGGTAGGGACAGAGAGGTCGAGCTCGGCTACCGGGACTTCTGCGGTGGTTCGGTCGAGCATGGAAGCGCCATTGCGACCCAGACGCTGCGCGGCACGACGCTCTCGCTCTGTAAGCGCGTAACGCTCTTCTGCGCGATGGAAGTCGTCACCGGAGTAGATGTCGCCCTCGTCTTCCTGCCCTTCTGCTAACTGGTCTTCGGGTGCAGGGGTCGAGCCAGGATGGTGGCGCCAGACGGAGGAGATGAGGGAGCGGCGGGCTAGCAGCCGTTCTGCTGCTTCGGGGTCGAAGTAGTCCGAAGAGGAGGAGGAGCGTGAGGTTTTGCGCGAGGCAGGAGGGCTGCCGTAGTCGTAGTTGTCGATGTAATGTCCTTGATCCAGCTCCTCGCTCTCTTGACTGTCCTCCTCATGATCCTCCTCTTCAACAACCGCCTCCTCACGTCTCTCGCCCTGCCTCTTCTTCAATCTATGCCTCCCCAAGCGTCCTAACAGTTCCTCCTCATATTCGGCCCTCTTCTCCACCTCCTCCCTTTGCCTCTCATTTAGCCACCCCTTTTCCCCTTCGACCTGCTTGACCCTCACCACTGTCCCGACGGGCACATCGACGACGACGTCCCTTCCCCGTCTCCCTCCTTGCCACTCGCCAGATCCGTGCTCGCCATCCCCTGCAACTACGCTGGAAGGCACTCGAGCGAGCGAGCGAAGCTGCGGGACGGCGCGAATGTAGATCGATCCCCCAGGCCCACCGTTGCCTCCTGAGGGGGGCCCGTAAGGCACGTACTTGGCGCGGGAGAAGGAGACACAACCATCTCCGCCTGTTCCGGCTGATGCGTGGAGGGTGAGTGTGTCGATGAAGGAGGTGCTCTGCGGGCACGAAGTGGGAAGGGTGAGTCAGCTGCCGTATTGAATTGAAGGCAGCTAAGATCCGAAGAGGAGCTCACCTTGCTGTTACGCTGCCATTGGGCCTTCTTTGCCGCTTTGGAGCGCAGGTCGCTGCCACTGCTTGGCTCCTGAGCTAACCGTGGCGCAGAGGAGGAAGCGACTCGCAGCTGTTGACCGCATATGGACCAACAGGATGCTGCCTTCTTCGCCGATAGCCGCTCAAATGCCCTTGCAACGAGGAGCATTCGCAGCTAGACTCGATGGTAGCGAGCCAGTCAGGAAGGGTTCAGTGAGCTCAGCTCGCCTTGTTCGGGGAGGCGGACTGGGCGTCGCGAGACGTGAGCATCTTGGCGTGGGGCGCGGACAGTCAAGGCATGACTTTTTCGCAGCCCGCCGCCGAGCCTTGTCGACTTGACTGGACTTGACTCTCTTGCCGGCGTCGTCGGCTGCACAGACCTGTGAGAGCTTCCTCTTGAGCCGTTGGACTGCGATCCGCGATTGGCGACTCACATACAATCTTCTCAACCCTCTCTGTCCGATACCCAACTTCCCCCTCCTTTCCCCCTTCCCCCTTCAACCGACAGTCGCAATGGCCCCTCTCCCACCAGGAGCAAAGCGAGAGTCGTCGACTGCCCGTTTGCTGGGCAGTGGGACTTCGGGGATTGCTGAGCTCCTCGTCTTCCACCCGGTCGACACCGTTGCAAAGAGGCTGATGAGCAACAAGGACAAGGCGGCAAAGGTGGGTAGAGCGCAGCGCAGCCCAGAGATTGAGTGCCGCCTCGAAAGCAGCAAGACTGACCTGATTGATCCTCTCGCTCTGCCGCTCGCAGATCAATGACATCGTATTCAAGTCAAAGGCCTCTGCTCCTCTTGGAGGTAAGCTCATGTCCCTCTTCCCTGGACTCGGCTACGCGGCTGGGTACAAGGTGAGCATCGGTCATCAGCCACCTTCCAGTCCATGAAACCCCCTTGTATGCTCATCACTCCCACTCGTCTCCCCTCCCCCCGCGCAGGTCATGCAACGCGTCTACAAATTCGGCGGCCAACCCTTCGTCAACGACTACCTCACAACCCACCACCGCAGCTTCTTCACCTCAACCTTTGGCGAGCGAAACGGCAAGTCCATGATGCAAGCCACGGCCGGCTCCCTCGTCGGTATCGGTGAGATCGTTCTCCTCCCCCTCGACGTGCTCAAGATCAAGCGTCAGACCAACCCAGAGGCATTCCGCTCCCGAGGATTCTTGAAGATCGTTGCCGACGAAGGCATGGGGCTCTACAGAGGTGCAGGATGGACTGCGGCTAGGAATGCGCCGGGATCTTTTGCCTTGTTCGGTGGGTCGGCATTCACCAAGGAGTATCTCTTCGGGCTGCAGGACTACAACAAGGCGACGTGGGGTCAGAACTTCGTCGCTTCTATCGGTGGTGCCGTGGCGTCGATCACCGTAGCAGCGCCGTTGGACGTGGTCAAGGTGAGCACAGAGCCCGCAGTAGACGATGCCAGTTCGAGAGAGTAGTCGTTGACCTCTTTTCCCCTCCATCTCTCGCTCAGACCCGCATCCAAAACGCAAACTTCGAGACAAAGACGGGAGGCGCAACCATCATGAAGGAGATGATCAAGAACGAGGGCATGACGGCCTTCTTCAAGGGCTTGACGCCCAAGCTTCTCGTCGTGGGCCCTAAGCTCGTCTTCTCTTACACTCTGGCGCAGTCTCTCATCCCCCTCTTTGGGAAGTACGTCTAATCTAGCTCTGCTTTTGGATCATTCAAAACGCTCTATCTAGCGCCGCCTCGAGAGTGCACTCTGCAGAGTGCCATTCGCCTCATCTGTAACAGCCACCACTCCCTCTTCCTCCCTGCCGCTATCGCTACCTGTCTCGAGCCCCCTATGTAGATGCCGTATCCGTCGTGTCCTGCCTGCGAATCCACGTCATAATCGTCCATGCTGCTCGCGACCATTCTTGCGCCTGATGCGTTCACGCCCTGTCTTGTCTGACGAATGTGTATGAGTGTAAATTTGAAGGTGCGTGCCTCTCTAGATCTCTGCATCAGCGACGCCTGCTCCCCCTCCCCTCACCGCAGGTTGACTCAACTCCTCATCCACCTCAAACCCAGGCGACTCATCACGACTAGCTGCACGTCCGGCCGCCCTTCCCTTGCTGGCTGCCGCGCTTCCACTAGCCTTGTTCCTGCTGGCCGCCGTCGTCGAGCCCTTCTTGGTAGCTGGACGAGCAAGGACATCCGCGCGTGACGCACCGCGAGCTGGAGTTGCGCCGTTGGAGGTCGCGGGAGTCTTCCTCGTCGAGCTGGCAGCACCGCGGCGTGGAGGTGCGGAGTCTTCGAACTCGCTATCCCCACCATTGTCCTCGCTAGCCATGTCCACATCCGAATCGTCCTGCCCAAGGAAGGTTGCATTCGCCCTCGAAGCTGCGCCGCGCTTGCTTGTGGTGGCGGGCGTACGACGTGAGCTGCTCGCTGCTGCTGACGTGCTCGGGGCTTTGCGTGACGTTGCGGCCGTACTGCGAGACCTGCTGCCGCCCGCAGCCTCGTCGTCGTCCATGTCACTGAACCCGCCTCCGTGGTCATCGCCATCGTCTAGCATCGAGTCGTCACTATCCTGCTCTGCCCGGCGACGCGAGGAAGAAGCGGCTGCGCTTGCCCCCTTCTTGCCATTGCTGGCAGCCCCACCTTTGCCCTTCTTGGCAGCGTTACCTCGGCCACCCTGCTCCTCATCATCTTCCTCTGCATCACTATCCCCACCCCGCCGATTGCGATACGCCTCATCCCTGATCCTATCCAGCTCCTGATCCAGCATCCCCTCATCCGGGGCCAAGCTGTTCAACTGCCCCTGAAACGTGCGCACCATCCCCTTGACGAAGTGCTGAATGGCATCACGGTCGTTCTTGTCCACATAGCTGGTGATGGCCTTCTCCAGTCCATCCGGGTTGAGCAATTCCAAGTTCTGCCCCTGCAGCGCTGTCTTGACTAGATTGCCAATCTTGACTTTGGAGACCTTGTGCGGGTCACCGGACCCATCGTCATCGTCATCGCCTTCAGGAGGGAGAATATCGTCCAATCCCACGTAGGCGTACCGTCCGTCTTTTCTCGCTTGGGCCGCCTGTCGATCCTTTTGCGTGCGGGGAAGCTTCTTCTTGGAGAAGTGCAGCACGTCACGAGGATTGGCGACCCGGTCTACGAACTCTTGGCCAAAGCGGATGACATTGCCCAACTCGATGTCCGCATCGTACTCCACTCGAAGCCTGACAAGGGGGAGCATCATGCGTCCGCCCCTACCGCGATCGCCATGGGGTCGTTCTTCGGGGGGCACACCTTCGAATTTGGTCTCCCACTCCTCCTCGGCGCGAGCAATCAGTTCGGAGACACGATCGCGGAGTAGCTTTTGGACGGCGCCCTTGTCCTTGAGGTCGACGTTGGCGTCCTCCGCTTCGTCTTTAAGCACCATGTCGTCCATGATGAAGGGTCGGACTGATTGCAGTGGGATTTCTTCGAGGTAGTAGTCTGTGTTCTCGACGTGGATAATCGCGATCATCCTGTGCATGCACGCGAAGGACGGGAGGCAAGACGTCAGTGTGACCAGGTCAGGAACGAAGCTGATGCTGACAATCGCGACTTACTTTTCTTCGGCCTCTCCTGGGCTCAAGCTGGTGGCGACACTGCTGCCCGGCTGAGTGATATGGTACTGCTTGCCGCCTACTGCTTGAGGCCGGATGCGCCTGCAAGAGCGGGGAAAGGGTGACGTCAGGCGTCAGCTACAGATCGTCTTCCATCGTAGTGCGAGGACTCACTGCTCGTGCTCATGGCCCCAAATCACCAGGTGAACGGAGTCATCGAACATCGTCTCGGGCACACAAGCCTTGGGGTTATGCGCCGCTCTGTTCTGATGAATGCACAGAATGTTGAACCACTCATCCGGGCTCTCCCTCGGCCTATACATCCTAACACGGTTTGACCTCAATTCGTAATGCATCCTCTCATCCTTGATGTTGCCCATGCCGTAGAGGGCCAGCTTAGTATCTCCCTTCTGCAGGAGGACAGGTCGAATGCGGATCCCCACGTCAGAGAGTCCGCCTGCGTCTGGAGCAGATTTGCTGGGCTTGGAGGCGATATCATCGTCCGTGGGAAGCTCGACTTTGCCAAAGTAGTTGACTAGCCCAGAGACGGAGAGGACGTCGAGCGCTGAGAGGGCTCCCTCTGCGCCCACTCCTTGAGGGTCGTCATGATTACCGTGAATAGAGAAGACAGGAATGCCAACGTTGAGGTTCGGGTCTTCGTAGTTGATGGCAGGGAAGCTGTGCGCGCGGGGGAGGCGAGAAGGTCAGACTGTGTCGTGGAGGCAGGAGTAGGAGGGGGCCTGCGACTCACTTGTAGCCCTCTGCTCGGCCGTCGTTCGGGTCGCTGAGCAGCTCAATTGTGACGGGCCTATCACTGAGACAGTACTGGCGGAGAGACGCCATGACCTGGTGCAAGGTCGAGCGGCTAGGCTTGTTTTCGTGGAAGAGGTCGCCGCCGAGGAGGATCATGTCCACGTCCCTCTCGACGGCAATCTTGAGAATCTCGCGAAAGGCATTGATTGAGTCTTGGCCACGAACAGGGTCACGCTCCATGTAGCCGATGCTGTGCGAGAAAGGGAGCGGCGAGCAAGATTTAGGTCATTAGCATAGCGTCGAGGCTACCAAGGCAGTCGGGGAATGCGGGCTCACTGGTTGTCCGTCGCGAGTAGTATCTTGAGATGGTTCGCCTCGACCCTCGGCGTGAACTCTGACGGACCTGTGCCCCTGTTGCGCTGTGTTTCAAGCTCGTCAATCTGCGTATCCTCTGGCTCAGCCTGAGGTTCAGAGCGGCGAGTAGTGGTGTCGGCGCTGTCTGCCTGCTGGTTTGCCTCATCGCTACCAGCTCGACTTGCGCTGGGACGTGGGTCTGATGGAGCGGCGCTTGCGCGTGAGCTGGAAGCGAGAGGCATGCCTTGGTCTTGTGAGGCTGAAGAAGATGAAGCCGAGGGCGCAGAGACGGTAGTAGGCTGGGATGATGCAGCAGATGTGCGACTACCACTAGATGGACCAGCTGCTGCTGCCGCTGCGGGCTGATCAGCAGGACCCTCGGTCGACGCTCGCGAATCCTGCGAAGCGGCTCGAGCCGTCCTCGTCTTGCGAGGCGGCATTGCTGGGTATATGCTGGTTGTCGACGGTTTCGATGGAGAGGAGGAGAAAAAGCAGGGGAGCGGGCGGTCCGCTGAGCGAAATGATTTGATTGCTCTCAACCCCCGCACGGACACGACGGAAAGGGAAACGCGTCTCACTCGAGGGAGCAAAGTGGACGGACCTTCTTGCGTCCCTTCCACTTGCTCTTCCTCACCACCGCAACGTCCTGGCAAGCTCATGGCGAGCGGCGAAGCAGCCATGCCAGACCTCAGCGCCTTTTCAAGAGATGGCAAGGACGACGCGTCCATTCCGCTTTCTTCAGCCAACCCTGCCACATCCTCACAAGAAGCCGCTGTGTCCCCCCTGAACTACTCCCCGATCTTCACCCTCTACGGCCACACCCGTTCATGCTCCTCTCTGGCCTTCTCGCCGGACGGCTTGCTCCTCGCATCAGCCTCAGCAGACAAGACGGCTAAGATCTGGTCATTACGAACCGGCTCTCTTCTGCATACACTGAGGGGCCATCGGGGTGGGATCAGCCAGCTGGCTTGGAGTCCTTGCGGGCGATACGTCGTTACCGCAAGCGATGACAGGAGTTTGGCTGTGTGGAGCGTCGCTCCAGGTGGCGAAGCCAGCATGGAATCCTCTGCAGAGCATCAGCAGCACGCTCCGTCATCATCATCCTCTACGACGCCCGGCTCGGTCCTTCGCCATCTGCAAGGCCACACGTCGTACGTCTTCTGCTGCGCGTGGAGCCCTCAGTCTAATCTTATCGCTAGCGGATCGTTCGATGAGACGGTGCGCGTATGGGATGTCTCCAAGGGTGAGTACCGCGGGACCGACAGGCAGTACCCCTATCGCATCGCTGATCGCCTCGCCTTCTGCCAACAGGCACCTGCCATCGCACAATCGCAGCGCACAGCGAAGCGGTAACGGACGTAGACTTCAACCGAGATGGCACCCTCATCGCTTCGTGCTCTTACGATGGGCTCATCCGCCTCTGGGACGTGCCCACCGGTCTCTGTCTCGCCACCCTCCCGCAACCCGCCTCCAGCCCAACCACCTCCATCAAGTTCTCCCCCTCGTCTACCCACTTGCTCGCCTCGAGTCTGGACTCAACGCTCAGGCTGTGGGATGTCGGGCTGGGCAGGGTGGTCAAAACCTATCGACCGGAGAGGGAAGCAGGGCGCAGGGGCGAGGAAGGGGAGGGAACGACTACGATTGGCGGAGGACGAATGTATCAAAACGAGAAGTTCGCGATCAAGGCCAGCTTTGTGCTTGGTCCCTCCCCCGCGCACGACACGCCCTCATCACGGCATCAACGACGCACGTACATAGTCGCTGGGAGCGAAGACTGTCGCCTTTACTTTTGGGACGTACAGACTCGCCGCCTCGCTGCTGTGCTGGGCGGGCATCATCGCGACGTGGTCAGCGCGGTGGCTGTTCATCCTACACAGCCTATCCTGGCTTCTGCGGCGTTGGATCATGATCTGGCGATCAAGGTGTACTTCGATGCTGGCCCGCAGAGGAGCAGGGAGGACGGGGCGGCGGGGGCGCCAAATGAGGCAGAGATGGCTGCGGAGGGGCATCAGGGGCAAGCAGATGAGATGAAGATCGAGCAGGAGGCGGCAGATCCAGTTGCAACGGCGCCAGTAGCACAATGATACCCTCGGGCTACCGCTCAATCATGTCACCGCATCAATACATCCCCTTCTTCTTGTACGGCCCCGCCTCCCTAATTTTTCCCTCCCTCTCTACCTCCCCCTTCATCTCCACCACAACCTCCACTACGCGCTTGACCGCGCTCGCCTCGATCTGATGATGCACGACAATCCTCGGCGCCCAAGTCTTGATCCCCTCCTCTGCCAGTCGCGCGTTGAGCTGATCATTGGTGAAACCTAGAGGTTGCACATCAACGAAGAGCATGTTGGTCTCTGGCTCGCCGTTGGGCAGCTTGACGCCTAGGGAGGAGAGTTGCGAAGCAAGCCAGGAGGCGAGAGAGTGCGTGTGCGGCAGCTTGGGGAAGTGATCCTCTACTGCGACTCGGGCTGCTGCTACCAGCGGACCGATTTGACGGACGCCGCCGCCGAGGAGCTTGCGGAAGTGACGGGCTGAGCGGGTGAAGGAGTTGGGGCCTACGAGGATGCTGCGGGTGGGAGATGGACGTAGCGGACGTCAGTTCCCCGGGGTTGTAGACTCGTCCTCGGCTCTCGTCGCTGCTCACCTTCCTACTGGCGCTCCCAACCCCTTGCTCAAGCACAGGCTCACAGTATCGAATGGCTCGCAGAGCTCCCTCATACTCTTTCCCGTCTTTGCGCTCACATTCCACAACCTAGCTCCATCCAAATGCATCAGTATCCCTCTGCTTCTGCACTCCCGGCTGATCTTCTCCAACTCCTCGTGCGGGAAGATGGTGCCCCAGAGCGTGTTCTCCAGCGCTACGACGCGTGTTGGGCAGAGGTGGATATCCCCCGTATCCGGGACGAGGTTGGGAGCCACATCTTCTTCCCAAGTGAGGTGCCTGCCGTTCGCAGGCTTGATGGCCAGCGTAGTAGCCTGAGATATCATCGCGAGTGCTCCGGCCTCATGAGCGTGTATGTGCGCCCGTGAATCCATGAGCACGCTGCTCGGCGGCATGCATTTGGCCAAATGAGTGCGAAGGGCAAGCTGGTTGGAAGCCGTCCCGCTGACCACGTACAGTCCTGACTCTTTACCTGTCAAGGCGGCAATGCTAGCTTCAAAGTCGGCAGTCGTTGTGTCCTCTTGAAAAACGTCGTCCCCTCTACTTGCTAGGGCCATCTCCGTGAACATGCGGTCCGTAGGGATGGTCACTGTATCTGAGCGGAAGTCTCGCCCTACGCTACGAAGCATTTCCGCATTGTCAGGTGTAGATGTGGAGCTGGAGCTGTTGGGCAGCTGGAAACGAGCAGGTGGCGGTGGCGGCTGGACGCCCGTGGTGGCAGTCGTTGTGGCTGAGGATGAAGGTGGGGAGGGAGGATTCGCGATTCTGGACGATGATGAGGAGGACATGGCTCTGACTGCTGATAGGGATCGATGTGTAGCAATGAGGCGCGGCAGAGGTAGCGATGAAGTCGCAAAGCGCAATGCCATGAGTATAAGGGAGCGAAGAGGTCTTTTAGTTCTCGATGGTGTAGACTAACGGAGTCAAGAAGGTCAGGAACCTCCGGCCGGCAGAAGCGCCGCTCCACTCGAAGTCGTGCCGGCGGTCCGCCCGATCGCGTTTCACCTTTGCGGGGCGAGTGATGCAGCATGGTGAGAAGATGTGTTGTAGAGAGACGGGCGCTGGGATCAAGCAGCCAATGAGTGAGCGTAGAAATGATGCTGATGATCGTGAGTCGCATGAGCAATGAAGTTACAGAAATGACGTCGAAGCAAAGGCCCGAGAGCGTCAAGAAGCAAAGCCTACGCATCCCCGCCCTCGTCGCCTCACGACCACACGCTCTCCTCCCCCTTCCTTCTTATCCTCACCTTCGCAGGCAAGGTCACAGGTTTCCTCAAGAAGCCCTCAACAACCAGCAGATCATCCTCTGGCTTCTCCAGCTTGAAGTCGAAGCGTTTCACAAGGGTCGCGATGAGCATCTGCTGCTCCGGGATGGCCAAGTTGCGCCCCACGCAGACACGCGGCCCCGTAGAGAAGGGGTTGAAGCTCTTCTCCAGGTCAGACTTGCTAGTCGCCTTGCCCTCGGCATCAAGCCATCTCTCTGGCCTGTACTCCTCTGCATCCTTGCCCCACACAGTGGGGTCACGATGAATGGTGTAAGTTGGAACGGAGAGGACACTGCCCTCGGGGAAGTGCTTGCCGTCGATGGTCACCCCACCTTGCGGCATGAGACGTGGAAGACCGATTGCTGAAGTAGAATGGACGCGCAACGACTCGTTGATGACGGCGTTTAGATAGGGCAGGGAGTCCACATCGCTAAGCAGGGGCACCTCGTCGCTGTCGTCGGGGAGGGACGCGTCCAACTCTTGCCGCAGTTTCTTGAGCACGGCTGGATGTTGGCAAAGATGATAAATGATAGCCGTCGCACTATTCGAAGTGGTGTCGCTCCCAGCGATAAGCTGCGTCAAACTCTCTGCTACCAGCTCGTATTTGCCCATGGTCTGGCCAGTCTCGTCCGTCCCGGCTTGGAGCTTGGCCAGGAGGTCCTCTCTATCCGAGCCGTGCTCCAAGCGTTGGTTGACTTTAGCAAATGCGATGCCTGTGAGCTTCTTGACGCTCTTGAGCCTATTGGAGAACCAGGGTAACCTGGCTGCGTATGGGCGAAGGTAGGGGGGTACCACGCCCAAGGTCGCGGAGTAGTCGCCGCGCTCATTGATGATTTGCACGGCGTTGCAGGTCGTCTTCTCCATCTTGCCTGACGGGGTTGGAAGCTCGACGTCTGCCTCGGGTGAGCCTCTTTCAAGCATGCCAAACGTAGATCCAAAGGCTAGAGAGCCAATCGTGTCGAAGGCGAAGTAGTTCCTGGCGCGACGCGGGATGACGAGGAGGTCAGCTGCGGCGCGTCAGACGGGGTAGCGGCGCACGGACTCACATCCACATCAGCACATCAAGTGCGTACCACCCATCCTGACTCGACTTGCTCAACTCCTCCAGCCTACCGACCAAGATCTGAATCTGCATCCTCACGAAGGGCTCAAAGGCAGCAATGCTCTTGGGCGCGAATGTATGCGAGACAATCTTGCGCTTCCTCGAATGCTCGGGACGACTGCGGGTGTTGAACAGACCGCGAGGCAAGGTTGGGGCAGCGAATGCGTCGTAGAAGTCTGCTTTGAGAGAGCCTGTGCCATGCCCGTAGACTGGATTGAGGGCGGCATGGTCTGCAATCGAGACATGATTGGGAGCGATGCGGACAAACCTGGGGCGCGAGAGGGCGAGAGTGAGCAGATGCTGCGAAGTTTCTAGCTGTGGTGACAGGGTACTCACCTGCCATATTTCTTGTGAAGGCCGTGCACGACTTCTGATCGATTACCGCGCATGGCCTGCCTCGTCAACCACAGGTCAGTGTAGCGTGCGAGGAAGGGTCCAGGGATGCCCGCCATTGCAGGTCGACGCGCCTCCTGTACGAGGACGAGGGCGATGAGCAGGACCACTCCAGCGATGACGCTGTGAAGCGCTGATGAGGTGGACCACACCCATGCCTGATGGGCGTACGAGGTGAGGGCCTCGATGATCATGGTTGTTGCGAGTGGGCGGGAGCAAAGCTAAAGGAGGACGAGAGCGCATACTGTGGACCAGGCCGCGCCCTTTTGTCCCGATTTCGCAGCGCAGCCTCGCAGCCTCGCAGCCACTCTTTCCCCGCACCGCACTGACCCTCAAACTTGACTCTCCGCCTCGTCTCGCCGTCCCTCGCTCCGCCTTTGCCGAAAGCAAAATGGCCCTCGCTGCCTCGCAGCCAGCCGATTACGATCGCCGCGATTCGTAAGACTCGTACCAGTAGTGGGCACATGACCCATCTCAAGCTTGCTTTCTTCGCGCTCGCAATAGACGATCCGCTCTTGACACGACGAGAAATTTGTCACACCAGTGTCTCGAAGCTGGCAGAGCGTAAAGGGTGAATAGTACGAGAGGGGCTGTGCGTCAGCTTAAGGGTGGACGGTCAGCTTTGCAAGCCTTAAACGTCTTTGATCGTCGGACAAAGACCGACGAGGGCAAAGTCTCTAGGGCAATTCGAAAGATGAGGCAGCAAGCAAATGGTCATTGCCAGCTGGCTGAGCATTCATCGCTAAAGCTACGTAGCACAGAGGAGCTGACGCTCGCGAGTAATGGTTAGGATTGAGGCTGAACGATATGCATTAAGCCATTAAGGAGGACGGAGCACGTCTCTGAGGCTGCGGGTCGACTATACATCGTTGTCGGACACTTTCTGCGCCGAGAGCCCCTCATTTACCTCACATTTCATCTCAACCCCAGCGATGCACCTTAAGAATTTAGGTACTCAGGTATCCAGAATATGGTCGACAATAAGAGTCGAGGTTTTCCCCCTGCACGCTCGTATGGCATTTTAGATCCATGACGCTGACCTGTCGGCGGCTTCATCCCTCGATGACGAGCGAGGTCGGAACGAAGGGGCGACAGGGGAGCGTTGATACTCAGGGCGTACGCTGATGAATCCATTGATCAACTCGGTCTTGGCCGAGGCCTCGCCGAGAAGGGCAACGATGAGCTTGCCCTGTTCAGCCGTGTGATGATGCTTGCTGCGGTTGCAAGCATTGCATACGAGCTGAATGTTGAGCTCCTCGTAGATGCCGCCAAGGACCCTGGGCACAATGCAGTCAATTGATGCGTTCCTGGCGTTGCAGCAGACTTCACCCCAAAAGCCGTCGCGGTGGTACAGCGTTTCGTCTGTCGTCATCTCTTGCCCGCACAGACGACAGTCGAGCGATGCCTGCAGCTGCTTCTTGGTGATGACAAACAGCAGCCTGGATGGTGAGGACGGGAGGATGAGGGGCAAAGTGACGAGTTCAGCGAAGTCAGCGAGCCAACAGCGAGTGACGTCCCACTCACTTGAACGCGTCGTCGTAGCCTTGGTCCGCCGACGACAGGCTCTCTCTCTCCAAAGCAAGGAAGACTGCAGCGTTGATGAACGAGTTCAGATCGCGCGTGCGCACGTCCGACTCGTTGTCCTTATAACGCTGCAAGAGGTCTGGCGGGGCGACGACGACGGCTTGGTGCGCCCATTCCTTGCGGCGCTGCCTCGCCTCCTCGATGCTCTTGACGACGTCATCGTCAAGGAGGTCGCTGTGCTTGACGTGCAGGGGATCTGGGAGGGTGACGAGGGCGGCTACGGCGATGGCCAGCTTGTGCTGCCCAATGGCAGGCTTCGCCTCGCTCAGCCATGTCCTCGCAATGCCCTGGTCGTCCGTGACCTTGACACTGCTTCCTCGCGTGTGACGAGCAGAGGGCCACCAGATCTTGATCATTTGCTGGAGCTGCATGGACGTGTAGTCCCGCAGCCCAGCCACTTGTTGCTCCGCAGTGCGGCAGAGGAGTGCGCGCACGAACGCAGGCTCCTCGAGGATCAGGTCCTTGATCCATGACGGCCTGCGGGCGAGGGCGTGGGCGAGAGCATAGGGGCCAACGAGGAAGTCAGCAATGGCATCTACGCGTACGATGAAGGGCCAGCCTCACTTGTCGGTCTTAACATCTCCTTTGTAGCTCTCGTATCTGCGAGGCCACTTGATGTAGGAAAGGGCACTTTGCCGAAGCAGCCCGGCGCGATGTACAGCTCTCCCAGCGAGGAGCATCCGGAGTCGAGACGAAGGCTTGCGAGAATGGAGGTGCTCCACAAGCTGATCGAGCATAGAGGTAATCGCATCTCCGCTCAGCTCGTCCTGCGCAGGGCTGACTAGTACCACTGCGAGCTTTGCTACCTTGACCGCGTTGTCCCTCGAGAGCGTGACCGCGGCCAGACGGGAGTATGAGCTGCCATTGTCCGGCCGATGGGCTTGTCTATTCTTTTCATGAGGTTGCCCAGCTCCTTAACCAGCCTTAAGCGGAGACAGCTAGAATGTCTCTTGAACCTTTGCAGACGACTTGAATGGGAACGGGGTACTGTAAGCAGTAGAGTAGCCTTGTTGCTACGATCTGCTGAGGTTAAGCCCTTGTTCTATAGATTTGTCCGCGCGCAAGGCGTCAACGTTTCCCGAGCCTCTAGAGAGGGTTGTTCCGTAAGTCCTCGAGCTCTTGCGCCATGGACAGGACGGCTCTCGAAGTGGGCTTCCCCTGCTTCCTGCCGGGTTGCTCGCCGCCGCGCTTGCCGCTAGCGAGGCCAGGCCAGGCGTTGGAGGTGAGCAGAGCTGACATCGCCGCTCATGAGCAAGAGGCGAGCCCGCGAGGTGATGACAAGAGCGGTGACGAGTGACGAATGTGCCGAGGTGATGTAGAGAGAGCGAAGCGGCAGCGGCATCGACCGCGCCAATGCGAGAGAGTCTTGGCTGAATGGATATTGACAAGACTTGAAGCTCGCCAGGAGCATAGAGGATGGTCATAGGCACCAGAGAGCCGGTGAGGATAGTTGAGATGATCGTCAGAAAGACGTAGCGCTTGAGCTCGTACAACAAAAGACTGTCTTGGTCCTGGGTTGCGACGATACGACCGTAGCAAAACCAGAACTCTAGGAGCTGCTGCTGGGAGTTCTTGACCATCCTCGCGCTAGCAATCGAGGGGTGCTGATCGTGCTGTCAGATGGAGCAGAGATGCGAGAGGCGCGTGAGCACGCTTGACCTGATGTGCTCGATCAGCCTGGGTAGCCAGGCTCACATTGAGTAAGTGACGTCTTTTTGTCACCGTGCGCTGCGAGGAGGGCCGACACAATCGCCATCGAGACCACCTTGCACTCGACATTGATGTGCTGAGCAATGCCTATGTGCGCGCCTTTGCGAGGACGACTCATGAAGTGCACGCGCGTCTTTGACGTTCTATTCTAGGCTTTGCTGCTCGGCCAGCCCTGCTACCAAACATCGTGCTCATGACTTTGCTGGGCACGATGGGGAGAGCAGGGTGATGGCGGACGTGATGATGGATGGGAGCTAAGGGGAAAATGAATGATCCGTCGCGCTGCTCGACTCGACCCTCGCCGCTGCCGCTGCTTGAACCTCCAACCCGCGCACGGACCTAGGGTTCCACGTGGTGGGTTCGACCTTGTCAGCGACCTCATCGAGCCACCTTCTCCTACGAGAAGGCAATGCACGAGCCCGATGCCATGAGCAGCTTACTCGAGAACCGGCCAATCAGCCTTCGAGGGAAAGGTGGAACTGCCTTGTGGACCTCACTATTGGGCGAGCGGGCACTGGCCGGCCAGTGAATGAATTCTCGATGCTCATTCCTTCATTACCTACAAGCTTCCTGCCTTGGGCGTACCCTCTTCCGATGCACCACCTTTATTGCTGCTCTACATCAACATAGAAGCCAGCGAGCCAAGACCTCCCCCTCCTCCACCACCAATCATGCCACTGACCTGATGCTTGACCATAAGCTTCATAGCCATCTCCCCGGCCTTGTTGACGGCCGACTGCTTATCACCACCGGTAACTTCTCCATTGGCCTGCTTCTGGTCGAACATGTTAGCGGCCTGCGACATGGCTGCTCCGACAATCTTGTCCTGGAATGAGCCTCCACCGCCCATGCCGCCGGAGTTGCCGCCTCCGCCAGAGATGAACGACTTGATGGCGCCGAGAGCTGCTGCTGAGCCGATCTCGTTGGAGTGGGCTTGACCGCCGCCCATGACCTTTTGACCAGCTTGGAGCAGCTCGTTCTCGTCCACGTTGCCGTCTTGGTGGGCGCCCTGGTCCTGGAGGTACTTAGCGGCTGCCAGGGTACAAGGAAAGTAACGTCAGTCACGACACTCTTGCCTCACTCAGCTCGTTCTTGTCGCGCGGGCACTTACCCTGCCCGAAGAGGTCGTTGCCTCCGCTGTTGTTCGAGTCGTGGTCGGTCGCATGCTGGATCAGGCTGTTGAAGTCGAAGCCGCCTCCGCCTCCACCGCCCTGTTGCTGGTCGCCGCCCTGGTTGTTGTTGTCCCCGCCCTGCTGAGAGGAGAGGAACTGCTTGCCGGCGTTCATGAGGCTGTCCATGCTGAGTGAGGCGTGATGTGAATTATGTTTTGGGTGGTGAGAAGAGAAGGAAGGAGAGAGGACGTGGCCGGCAGCCATGACGCAGCACACCTTCTCGCTCTCTTTACGCTTCGCTCGGCCTTGTTGGGCCTTGGCTTGTGTTCTCTCGCACCGCGCTTGGACCGCCTGTTGCTCTCCACATAGCTGCGCGAGGGAGATGCGCCCGAGTCGCGAGGCTGAGAGGTGCACGGAGGCAGGCAGAGAAGCAGGGCAAAGCGAGGTATCGGTCGGTCGGTCGGCGCGTACGGTGCGACGCGCAGCAGCAAAAGCACAGCCTTGGCCGAAGAGAGGGCCATGTGAGAGCGAAAAGCATGGCAGACAGAGTCTTACGATCACTCGAGATGGCACAAAGATGGGTATGATTCCAAAGGCGAAGAAGTAGTAGAAGGGGACGGAGTGCTCCCCTAATTATGCGTGCATGCGACGTGCAGGACATGATAGAGAGGCAAACGATGATGATGTCCGTGATGGATGGTACAACCCAAGCTCAACCTGCCACGCCGCTCAAGTCGCCCTGGTAGTCCTTCTCGATGCCAACGGGACTGCTTTCCCCTTTGCCGCTTTGCCCGCTGCGTCCCCTGCGGCCACCAGCTCGACGACATTAGGATCCACATTCTTTTCGCTCAACGCCGCTCGTCCTGAAGCAGTGCGACGTTGTGCCGGTTGGACAGCGGTACGCCGCCTCGTAGACGCACCAAGCTTCACCGTTTCATCGGACGACTCGCCCGTGCTACTGTCCCGGCCCGCCCCAGTAGCAGCGACGGCGGTAATATCTGTAAGGCTGTCTTCAACCTCGTCCTCCTCCTCTTCCTCCAGCTCCTCCTCAAGGGCCTCATCCGCATCCACGTCCTCTCCATCCTCATGGCGCAGCCCATCAATATCGACCGTCTCCCTCGTATCATCGGGCAGCGTACCATTCGTTGCATCACTCGCCCCCGAGGGCCTGGGCGCTCCCGCCTGCGCTTGCTGCTTCTTCGCAACCAAATGTCTGTACTGCTCCAGTGCTCTCTGCCTGACTCCAGGCACGAGTCGCCACTGCGGGGGCTCTTGAGCATGCGCGGGATCCCGCTTTTGAGGGGTCGAGCCGGTGGGCACGTCACGGGCAAAGTAGTCTGTGAGGTAGCTTTGGGCTTGCGAGCGGAGAGAGGTGAGGGCGGAGGAGGCTTGAGAGAGGTAGCTGCTTGCGCCGGTGGAGTGGGCACCGAGCAGAGTTGTGGCATCGGCTTGGTGGGTGGACAACGCGGATAGGGTGCTGCTGAGCTGCTCGGAGGCGGTGGAGTGGGATTGTTGAACCCCGTCGACGATCTGTCCCAGACGCCTGGCCTGCTCCTCCTTGCACTTGCTTGCACGCTCCTCAGCTTCCTTCTGAGCCTGGCGCGTCGCCTTCTCATGCTCCTCCATCGCGCTGCCCGTACCCTGCGTGCACGCCTCGACCCTCTGGCTCCAGCTCGCCAGGCTAGTCTTGACCGCCTCATCGCCGCTTTCGAGCGCCGCCTCGCCGCGCTTGCGATACTTGCGTGCCTGCTTCTCACGCTCCTCGATCGCGCTGGCGTGGTCGGCTGATCGCTTGCCCAGCGAAGCGAGCCTGGCGTCATGTGATTGGGCGGACGTAGCGACGGAGTCCTCTGCGGCAGCGCTCTTGGTGCGGAGCGAGTCCACCGCTGTAGAGAGACTGCGATCACGCTCCTCAGTATGGGCGAGGAGAAGCTCGCCGATGCTCTTGGCTAGCGCCTCGCGAGATACGGCCGCCCTGCTCCTCTCTTCCTCGAGCATGGCGACGAGAGCGGCATTTTGCTCCTTCAGCCCTTCGACCTCACGCTGCGCCGCCTGCTCTACCTCGCCGCGCAGCTCTTCCAGCTGCTGACCTTGCTCGGCGACGTGCTGCTGCGTCTGCTTGCCCATCTGGCTGATCAGCTCAGCCATGCTGTGCAAGGCTTTGCGCGTATTGACGGAAGAGCTTGCGAGAGTGTCGGACATTGAGGCCTCGAAGGTCTTCCACTCCTCGGCCAGGGAGCTAGACTGAGACTGAAGGCTTGCCTCGAGGGACGTGCGGGCCTCCTCGATGGCGGTGACGAGGGTGGAGACGTTGGCGTGTCCAGCGTCGTGCTCGCGGCCGAGCTTGGTGGCCTGCTTTTGTAATGCTGCGAGACGGTCTGCCATCACCTGACGGCAGGTCTCGAGGCTTGACGCCTCGCGCTGGCTGAACGCCTCGATGCTTGCGCCGAGCGTAGAGGCAAAGTCCTGATGCGACGCCTCAAAGTCTCTCGCCTTGCCCTCAAGCTGAGCCGTAATATCTTCCACCCCGCGCCGATACTCTCCCACGACCCTCTCATTCGTAGCCTCAACCGCGGCCTTCCTCTCCAGCTTAGCCCACAGTCCGCCCAAGTCACTCTCATCCTCCTTTGCCTGCTCCCTCAGCCCCGCCGCGATCCTGTTGAGCTTACGCTCGCTATTCCTATACGCCTCGCGCAGCTCCACCTCTTCCTTGAGCGCTTCCTCCAAGCTCCTCGCCTGCTCGATAACCCCATCGAGCTCCAGCTTCTTGGCCGCACATTCGCTCTTGACACTCTTGTACTCGCCCTCGCGCTTCACCAGCAATTGCATGTTCTGCTCAAATTGCTCTTGCAAGCTCGCACGCTTACTCTCTGCCACCTCGACCAGCCTGCGCAGCTCATCGGCAGCATTCTTGCGCGCGTCGCTCTCGTCTTGGACCTCCTTCCAGCTCTCATTGCTGAGGAAGAAGCCCTCTTTGCTTCGAGCGGCGAGTACATCGCGCTTGAGACGCTCAATCTCTTTGACGTACTCCATAATCAATCCAGCGCGGGTCATGCGACTATTCATTTCTGGCCTGTTGCGGATGGACTTGGCGCGAAGGGCGTAGTCGAGGGTGGAGAGTGTCTCCTCTAGGTTGGCCTTCTCTTGCGAGACGGTTGCGATGATGCACGTCTTTGTGCGGCCGCCCAATGACTCTTGCAGGAGACGCGTGAGCTTCGACTCGCGATAGGGGATGTGGGTGCTCTTCTCTACCAGGGCGTTGATGACACGGCCCAGCGTGAGGAGGGACTGGTTGATCATCCCTGCCTCTCGAGCGCGCTTGTTCTCTGCGCCTGATCGGCCAATGTTCTCCGATCCGGCCAGGTCGACGAGGTTGAGCTTGCCGACACGCAGCACGTCTTCACCTTTGGAGGTGGTCTCCTTCGTATGGACTGTGAGGGTGAAGACGGAGTGGGAGCGCGAGGAGCTCTCATTGCAGCGCGTGGCGGCAATTTGACGCTTCTGGCTACCACGACGAAGCAGGTCGAGACCGTGAGCCGCATCGCGCATAGGAGTGTCTTCAAGCCCTTGGATGACGACGCCACGACTCTTGTCGTCGAACATCTTGAGGCCTCCCGAGGTCAGAGGAGCGGGCAGGTCTGGCGAGAGAAGGTCGCGCAGCTCTTCGTTGTAAAGCTCGACGAACGAAGCGTGGACAGAGTATTCCGCATAGCTCAACTCCAGCTGATGAAAGAGGCGATAGAGTGTCCGCGGGATGATTCCAGCTTCGGACGAGTAGGTGCCCACTTGCGAGGTCAGGTCTCCCTCCATTGTGTGTGTCTTGCCAGTCCCTGTTTGCCCGTATGCGAAGATGGTGCAGTTATATCCGCTCATGACCTCCTGCAGAACCGGCGTCACTACCGTCTGGTAAATCATTCCCTGATCGGCTTCGGGGCCAAAGACGTTGTCAAAGTTGTACGTCTTTTCGCGCGGTGCGTCTGCCGGCGTGACGAGGGAGGAGGAGGGTATGCTGGACAAGGAGGAGACTGGAGGAGGCTCGAGCTGAACGTGAATTTGCGAGCATCGTGGGCCTGAAGTGTTGAGGATAGCGGCTGTTGGGGCTGGCTCGCCCGGTGCTTGGCCGCGCACCCTGACCGCTACCTTGATGTTAGACTCGTCATCTCCTGCGGCAGAGGCACCATTGGTCGCTGTTGGTCTGCGAGATGCTGTCGACGGAGCTCTCATTGCACTCGGGCCTCTCTTTGGTGAGCTCGGCCCTGCTGACGATGGCTCGAGGTCTGATGAACGCAACGATGAGGAAGTCGAGGATCGCAGCGACTGCGACTGAGATTGCGACGAGGGAATCCGCTTGGCCGCTGTTGGCTGGCCAGGTCGACCAGATAGCGGAGGAGCGCCGCCTCTTCGAAGAGGGGCAGACATGGTAATAGAAAGAAAGGAGACGGGGAAATTGGGACTTGCGGATGGGAATGAAAGGGAAAGCAGCGCAAAAGGGCGGCGCACCCAAACGTCAACCAACCAACACGGCGGAACAGAGGCGGCGAGCTGCGAGGCGCGTCAGGCGCGGAGAGCATCACAACACGGACTTGATCGCCACGTGGGGTGAGGGTCAATACAGCTTCTCTCAGCTCGCACGCCCAGACGACGACGCTATATGAGTAAGTGGTATTGATGTGAAAGTCAGAAAGGTGAAACTCAAGATGCTGGAAGAGGTGACTACGAGGCTTTGTGTGAGAGGAGAGGAAAGGAGAAAAGAAAAGAAGCAAAACACTATCCGAAGCCTTTGATGCTCCGGCCATCTACGAGCGGCGAGGAGGGCCGCGAATGGCAACCCTGCCCCCACTCCCACTACCACTCCCAACCGCTCCCAGTCCGAAGAGCCTCCCAATCTCCTTGAGCTTCGATCGTGTGCTCGCCTTGCCCTTGAACAACGCCGCTCCCTTGTACTGCAGTCCACCAAGCGCCTCAGCGGCAAGCTGCATCTTCTCCTTTGCGACCTGAACCACCCTATCCTCCACGGTAGCATGGCTGACCAACCTGTACACGTTGACCGGCTTGACTTGGCCAATACGGTGAGCCCTGTCGATGGCTTGAGCCTCAATAGCTCCTTGCCACCAGGGGTCGGTGAGGATTACGTGGCTCGCCTCCGTCAGATTGAGACCTACACCACCAGCCTGGATCGAGAGTAGGAGTACGCGCGGCGCTGGCTTGCGCTTGGAGGATGAAGACGAGGTCCTGGGTTTGCTGGCAGGGAGCCGAGCAATGGAGGCAAAGTCGGTCGTATCCAGGGCAGCGAGGAGGTCACTGCTGCCTCCCCCGTTGCCGGCCTCGCGCTTAGCTTTGCCCAGCGAAATCGCACGCGCTGCAGCTGCAGCAGCTGCTTCTTCGGCCGTCGGCTGCCGAAGAGGTCGCCTGAACTGACGCAGCGTCTCCTCTCGCTGAGTCCGCGTATGACTTCCAAAGAAGGTCGCGTGCTCAATCTCCTCTAGCTCGAGGCGCTTCTCCACGAGCTTGAGGAAGGCGACGAAGTTGGAGAAGACGAGGATCTTGTCCGTAGGGTGGGCAGCCTTGATGTTGTTGATGATCTCGATGAGAGCGTCGATCTTGGCCCCATCCCCGAGCCCGGCGTCGGTCACCTCCTCTCCCTCCGTCTCAGAGGCCTCGATGACCTGCGACATCTCGATGGCGCGACGGTCCATAGGACACTTCTTGGAGGCAGCCAGGGATGAGGCCAGGCACTCCTTGTGAAAGACGTGACTGCAGGGCGTGATGACAGGGGGGCTCTCGGCGGCAGGAAGAGGTTCCATGCAAATGGGGCAGTCATCTCCGTTGGCGACCATGGCGGAGAGGATAGCTCGCAGCTGAGTCGGAGTCTTCTTGGTGGTGCCATCATCATTCTCCTCAGTAGCGGCGGCCTCGATGTCTTCAATGAGCGTAGCGGGGACGAGACGGCGGTCGCAGGCCAGCTGACGCATGCGACAAAGGAAAACCAAGATGCAAGTGAGACGACGTGCTCCGAGATTGCCGCCCTCGTCCATCCAAATACTGAGCATACGGCGGAGAGCCTCCTCTGCGCGAGCGTAGAAGGTCTCATCGTCGGGTTTCAGGCGGATGTCGTAACTTCGATGCTCAATCGCCGGCAGATCGACGAGGGGACGACCATCGACCTTCATGTCCTTGGTGCGGAGGCAGACGAGGTCCTTGCAGATGGCGCGCAAGAGATTCATGGCGTGGGTAGAGTCGTTGCCACCGCGCCTGCGAGTGAGCGGGGAGTGAGTGGAGGTATTGTCAGCAGTCAGTGGGACGACTCACGTCACGTAGCCCGCGCGTGCTCACTTGATAGGGTTGTGGACCCTTTCTGCAAATAGCTTGGGGTTCCTCGAGAAGGGATAGATACCAATCCACGAGGCTAGCGAGCCAAGGTCCGAAGCGCCATTGACGATGGGCGTGCCGGACACAGCTACACGCCTCTCAGCCCGCAAAGCTTGAATAGCGGTGTACGTTTGGGTTGCCCTATTGCGAACTACATGCGCCTCGTCGAGGACAACACGAAGCCATTCCTGTTCGAAAATTCTGGTCTGCCCTTGGCGTCGGCGGAGGTTGCACCAGATGTAGAGAAGATCGTCGTCTGTAAAGTTCTCGAAGTTGGCAGGCGAGAAGAACTCGGCCATGGCGGCGTCAACTCCGCTGTTTCCGCCCATGCTGACGTCCCCCTCGTCGTCAAAGTCATCTGCGTCGCTCCCGGATACGTCCATGCCTGTGCTATCGCTGATGCTGCGGCGGGCCGACGCCCTCTTCTTGGTAGTCTTCTTCTTGTCGGTAGCTCCCCCGCCTTGCAGCTTCTTGAGCCTAGCGAGGCATGCCTTCTCCTTCTTCCAATCGGTCTTGCCTCCTGCCATGGGCGCTACCATGCGGGCTTTGTTCCTCTCGGCATCAAAGTCGACGAGATGCTGCTCTTCCCTCGCGATAGCGTCAGCGTAGACGCGAGACATCGACTCGACCGAGCTGCTCTGGCCCCTCCTGATATTGGCTGCCTGCAGCTCACGGTACTCTTCAATCTTGTCCGTGATCTCTGCGCGCCTCTCCTTATAGTCTGCCTCACGCAGGTCGTGGTCCTTGAGGAGGGCGATGGACTTGTACGAGGTCTTCACGGTATCGTATGTCGTGACGATCATATCGTACTTGCTCCAGTCCTTTTTAGCACGGAGCTCCTTGCCCTCGTTGCCGTAGAGGGTGCCGACGCGGAGGCGAGGGCAGTGTTGATTGGCTTGAGACGTCCAGTTGCTGAGAACGGACAGAGGGCAAACGACGAGGGTGATGCCCTTGAGCTCGTCATGAGGCGGCTTCTTGGGGGCTACCTTCCTCTTGCCGCTTCGAGGGGCGTCGCTGTCGCTGTCGTCAGATGAGAAGAGGACGATTGGGTTCTTTGCCTTGCCCTGGCCATTGGTGACGGTGGACGAGCCCATGCGCTGCCTTTTCAGGTGCTTCGACTGCTGGCGTCCCTTGGTCGCCTGCTTGAATGCATCTTCCTCAGACTCATCGCTGTCTGGCAAGATGATGGCACGCTTCTTGCCCTTAGCCTCGGGAATGACTGGCTTCTTGTCAATGCCGCCGCCCGTGTCGTCTTTGAGGAATGCTTTGCCGTCTGCAGGGCTCATGATCAGCGCTAGGACAGAAAGAGTCTTGCCCAGCCCCATTGCATCGGCGAGAACGCAGCCCCGAGGCATCTCTGGTTCGCTCTCTGTCCACTCTTGCACGACGACATTCAGGAAGCAGTGCCTCCCGTTGCGGCCATTGATCCTCTTGAACATGCACTTCTGCTCTCGATCGGCCGTGGGTGGGTTGCGATGCTCGCTCTCAATGAGGAAGCGGAGGGCGGTAGATTGGTGAGGCTTGAGTGGCGTGACGAGGCCGTGTTTGATCAGATAGTCGATGGCGGATTGAGGGCAGGGCTTGAGGTTGGCCATGTCAGAGATGGCGTCTTCATCGCTTTGGAAGATCTGTCGCAGAGCGTCGGGCTCAGCCTCGACAGTGCCGTTGCCAAGGCTCGAGAGGATGTTCGAAGCCAATGAGCCATCGCCCCAAGCAGCAGAGGTGGGAGCTTGCTCGTTGGGTGCAGAAGAGTCGATTGGGAAGGGAGCTCCTTGGAGAACGGAAGGATTAGCGTCCGCGGGAAGAGGAGCAGCAGAGGCGCCACCATAGAGTGAATCCACCACAGCTCGCCAGGCTGCGGGAATCATGTCCCAGGTGTTTGGTTGGGCTGAGACCTCATTATTGACGCTAGGCTCAGCAGGGTGGGCAGCCCCTGCGCCGCTGGAGAGATGAGGCATCTCGTAGCCTCCAGTCAGGTCGATGTAGCCAGGCATTTGAGCCATGACGCCAGGGAAGCCAGTGGCTTGCGGTGCGAGTCGGTAGTCAAAGGGGACGACGGGGAGCGGGATGTGTTGCTGATGAGGATGAGGCGCGAACGCGTTGGAGGACAGCTGCTGGTGCGATGCGGCTGGCATCGTGTACGCAGATTGAGGGCCGGATGCGGATGTTCTTGGTGCCTGTTCGTGATTGTGATTGTGGCGGTGCGACAGGAAAGATGAGGATGGCTGAGTCCGCTCCTCCTTGACCGGGCGAGGCTGGAGCTCTCGCTTTGGAGTGAAGGGCGACTGCCTTTGGTGGGAAACAGGGGAGGATGAGGTAGGAAGGGAAGAAGAGCAATCGGATGGCTGCTGAGCTTGACCAGAGGGATCCGAGGCGGAAGGCGCCCGTTGCCCGGCTCGCGTTGTTGATTCGCGTTGTTGACTGCCGTTTGGCTCGTCGAGGTCATCGATTTGCTTCCGGCTTGCTTCGCGCCTGGTGTCGCCGTCGTCGCTCGTTCGCGACAAACCCGGTTCTTTCTTGGCCGACGCTAGCCCTGTCAAACGACTGCTCGTGGCCGGCATTACAGACGGCGTTGCAGGTGAGCCACGCTTGACTGCTCGCACGCCGGTGGGCGTTGCTCGAGCACGCTCGTCGTTGGAGTCGACCCGAGCAAGGGCTGACCTCAAAGGGGTGCCGCCATTGGCGCTAGAGGAGCTACTGCGAATGTTTCGCCTGTATGCTGACGGTCTGTAGCCGCTGATGAGGTCGAGAGCGGTCGGCATGTCATTGTCGTCATCTTCGGCGTCGCCGTCGCTGCTCGAGGGCTCGCGGCGCCGGTGTCTTTTGTTGACTCGCTTTTTTGAATCCTCGTCCGAGCTATCGTCTACGATGATGGCCTCATCTATGCGACTGCCAGAGGCTTGCGCCGAGGCTGACCCTGTATTAGATCGCTGGCTAGGCGTACGCGTCGACATGGCAATTGGGTGAGATAGAGGGGCAGGAGGGAAGGCAGAGGAGAGGGAGAAACGAAAGCTGACTGCGTTCACTACAGTGAGACAAGTCTAGCGTGCTGCTCCGAATTCTCGAGATGCTGAACGGAGCAAGCGCGACACGACTCCACTGTCGCGCTGCCGTACGTGTCCCGCCCAATTCACAGAGCGGCTTCGTGCGACGGCCGCTCCCCTGTCCGCACGGAGGCGGTGAACCTGCCAGAGCAAGGGCGTTGACGACTGTCCCTGACGCGGGCCAGGCAGAATTCCGCTGCCCACTGTGAAGCCGCTGCGACGCTGAAAGATCTGAGTGACGTGGAGGAGTGAGATGAGGAGACGATCGCATCGCGAGTCGCGCTTCCCTGCGTACTTTCTCTTCCCGCCTGTCCGCCTGCACTATGCACCTGCCGCCGCCCACCTCTAGCGCCGAGCTTGAATTTGCATCGTCGAGGCCATGGATCCAGTCGTCTGGTGCAAGGTCGTATTGCGGTCTCAGCGCGCCAAAGATCGACCATCCAGATGATCGTTCGTCGTGGTCGATCTCGCCCTCGCCACCATTATCACCTCAAGAGCGCCACGCTCGGGGGCGGTGCTCGACTAGCTGAGTGACGCTCGATTCACAGCGGCGGCGGGGAAAGAGAGAGCAGAGGCCGCTGCAGGGCCGCCAGAACAAAGAGAGCTCCAGGGCGCAAGACGCATCACGACGATGAGCGCATAGACTCGCGGCACCGCTTTCTTCTTCCCCGCCTTCCCCACATTTGTCATTCAGCGCTAGCAAAGGCCGAGTAACCGTGAGCACGACAGGTATTGCTTCTTCTCACATAGCAGTCACCTACACGTCTTCGTCTCTCCCTCTTCTCGTAGGTCGCACTTCGCGCCACCATGTCATCGACTCCAGGTCGCACGCTTCTTGGCTTCCAACAGCAGTATCAGTATCCTCGCCCTTCCTCGTCAAAGGGACCAGCCGCCGGCTCGACGCAGCAGCAAACACCCCGAAGTCCTCCAGCAGCTGCTACTGCGCCTTCTGCTCAGGAGTCCAGCATCAGTTCACCGCGTACCAAGGTGACCTCACCTCCACCGCCCGCCCCCGCCGCTCTTCCCTCCTCGTCCACACAAGCTGCGCCACCACCGCTCGCAGACATCCTCGAAACGAGAGCAGCACAGTCAGCTCAGGCTCCTACACAGACGCCGAGCGCTATCGCTGAGCAGTCAGTCACCGCCTCGCAGCCCATTCAAGCAACGACAAAGGACGTGTCAGCCAGTCAGACGCCTCCGCTGAACATCGACAAGAGCAACGGCGGTGACGCAGCTGCCATCTCATCATGGGCTGGCAAAGTGCTGGAGCAAGCTCAGGCGTCTGAGCAGAGCAAAAGTCCAGAGCCAACATCAACCACGCCCGCTCGCCGCTCCTCGGTGTCCAAGGCAGTCACCCCGGCAGGACTCGTCGACTACGGCTCAGGAAGGCGTCGTCTGAGCGGCAGCGACAATGTACACTCGCCGCCGGAATTGCCGTCGAGCTTTCACTCTCGTCGTCCGTCAACGATGTCCAGCTCCTCTTCTTCACAAGGCTTTCAACCGGACTTTGTCAGCGAGAATGGGCTGGCGTTCGAGGATGAGAAGAAGACCAGTCTTCTGCGAGCGTTGGGCAAGAGCAGGGATCAACAGGAGGCCGACACGTCAACTGCCTCGGTACGCTCCAATGATAGTTCGGCTTCACACCGTCAGAGCCGGAGAGGCTATGACGGCGATGTAGTAGGCGATCGCGGAGGAGCAGGGTCCAACGAGCCACGAAACCTGCTCTCCGCCGTTGCGATGGCATCTAAATCCTCAAACGATAAAGCCGCCGCTGATGAGGCGGATGCTGAAGAACCCACTCCCCTTTCCTTCCTCGACGAGTACAGCGCCACCCCGTCTCCCAAGGCTCGCAAAAGGGGCGTGCTCCTAACCCCCGGAGGAGGGCGAGCGAGTCGGCGCTTTGGATCAACAGCCATGTCCAGCGGTGGAGAGTCTGGGTCTACGCACTCGAGGGATACGTCAATACTTGGCGGGCCAATGAATTCTGTTCGAGAGGACGCCGCGACCACGCCCCCCACGCAAACGCCCGCGCCGCCACCGGCACCGCCAGTAGACGACGATGCGATGAGCCTCGCCTTTCACGAAGTCGGTGGGGCAGATGGTGAAGAAGCAACTGGCCATGGAGGAGGCGATGACGATGACGGCGAGGCCAACTTTGCCCGGGGCGCTGTTATCTTCGAGGCCATGTCGGATGCTCACTCGGACACTGACGCGCGGACGCCCAAGTCGCAGGGAAGCAATGACGACGCCGACAGCGGCAAGGCGGCCGGCTCTATCGGCACGAATACCGCAGCCAGAGGCAGCATGATCACTGATGATGCTTTCCGCTCCAACCTGCTGCGTAAGAGCCTGAATCGGCAAGAGAAAGAGACGCCAGCTTACGACGAAGCGTGGTTGCACGGTGATGATGGTCGGGCCGTCAAGCAGATCAAAGCCACCAAGAACGTCCCACCACCGCCTCAGGACGCCGAGGCAGAGGCTGAAGCTGGCGAGCAGACTAGAATTGTCAGCCAAGATAGTTCTGTCAAAGCTGAGCCGCTCAGCGAGACGACAACTCCCTACGCTCTTCCCTCGCGCTCACCAGCTAACAAGGGCAATCGTCGCGGCTTCGACTATTCGTCCCAGCGACATGAGTCGGCGCCGTCACCCGTTGGCCCGCCACCTCTGCCTGCTCGCCGCAAAGCCAGCACTACATACACGGACACACCAACGAGAGAAGCCTCACCGCCACCGCCTCTGCCGCAGCCAGTTCGCGATGCCAGTCCAGAGCGACGCCGTCGTGCCGCGCTTAACAAGAAGGCTCGCGACGACTGGGAAAAACACATCCTGAAGGCCGACTGGGAGGAGCTCGAAGTCTCACGCTACCTCAGTCTTTTTGGCAAAGACGTCCACGAGGTTCGCTCGACTGCGCCGTTGGACCCTCACAACTTCACGCACTCGGCTTTCCCTTCCAAGATTGAGTGGACCAACTTCGACCATGACGAGCCCAAGTTCAATGCGTCTGGATACTACATTGCCTGCCTTACTGCGCTTCTCTCCTACTTGTCGCCGAATCAGATGGTCGACCTGCAGCGCGGCACGAAGCACCTGACCGACGAGGCAGAGGAGGAAGAAGATGAAGACGAATTCCAGCAAGAATTCCGCCTCGCCACCCTCCGAGCAAGCGGACAGCGCCTCTACTACAGCGCCTTGCCTCTCTGGGAGGCCCTCGGCTCACGCTTGCGAAAGACGTGGCGCTGGGAATCCAAGTCGGGCTCGCTGCTCTGCCTGATTGGCTATACCTTTCTCTGGTGGCGAGGCTTGCTCATTGCCAGCTTGATCTTTTCGGTCATCATGCTCGTGCTGGGGTTGAAGAGTAGGCCGCCACCACCAGATACGCTGAGAGATGTGTTGGCCAGGCAGCGGCGCCGGGAAGAGGAGGAAAGGCGACAGGCTCAGGCCGTTGTGCCGACCAGTATGAGGGCAAGTGCGGCCCCGGCTGCGAAGCGCAGTCAGTACAGTCTCGTTGTTGAGGCGTCCCAGAACTACGTGAGTGGATGGCGAGACGATGGCAAAATCCACCTTCCGCCCCTCACTGACCACTTTTCATCTCTTCTGCTACGCTTGTAGGGCCTCACCGCCTCCACCCTTGCCGGAGCTCTCGCCGACGGACATGAGCGAGCGAAGAACTTTGGTCTGTGGCGCTCCCCGCGTGCAACGTGGCGCCTTCTCTTCTGGCTGTCCATCTCCTTCTTCGCCTCTTTGGCTCTCAAGCCTGCCCACCTCATCCGCGTATCAGGAGCCGTCCTCGGCATCCTCTTCTTCTTCATCGCGCCCATCGTGGAGCACAAGCCCCACTGGCTGGGCATGGAGTGGTCCAACCCTTTCGACTGGATTTTTGCGGGCGTGCCGAATGATGCACAGTATAGCATGGAGGTCCTCAGGAGTAGAGCGCAGCTGGGCAAGCCGCTCGTTGGGGACCCGGCGCTACTTATGCGACCGGAGAGCGAATGGAAGTCGCAAGAGGTGGTCACCTCGACGGAGGGCGAGGAAGGCAGCGAGAAGATTGACTGGACGCGCTGGGCTGACCTTGTGCTTCGGGGCAAGTCGATGGCTATTCGAGGCACCGAGGTTCTGGCTGGGTCGCGCTCTGTCCAGCTCCCGCGTGTACCTGTCGGCACAATCGACGCATCGACAAGCCGCAGCTCTGCGCTCCTCTCGCATCTGTCTAGAGGGGTCAACATGGGCATCACAGCCCTCGAGAACAAGAGCAAGAGTACCGCAGCTCAGCAGCCATCTTTGGCAAAAGGGCGAGGCGATCGAGCAGTGACCGCCTCAGCCGGTGCTTCGATCGACGAGGCTGACGTGGACGGCACCTTCTGGGCTGTCTACGACGGCTGCTGTGGGCATGTAGTCATCACGCCGCACGCCGTTCTCTTCCGCTCCCTTTTCGCCAAGCGTCCTCGAGGCAGGCGAGGGCTCAGCGTCAATGCCTCCGCAAGCAACGTCGACGACGAGCAGCCGCTTCTCGATGCGCGCACCGGCCAGCTCACCGTCCCGGAGTCAGAGCTGGCCTCTGAGTCTGCGCCACCACCCAAGGTCAAGGTGCTCTTCCAGTGCAAACTCGACGCTGTCAAGGGGATCAAGAAACTCGCCCCTGCCGGCAGCAGGGCTGGAGCCATGGCGCTTGGCTCTTCGACATGGGGTCTGGCGGCGGGCGAGGGCTTGAGGCTGGTACTAAAGGGCAGAAGAGGCGAGGTCGACTTTTACCAGGTTAGAGGCAGGGATGAAGCTTTCAACCGGCTGCTGGCTTTGGCACCGCAGCAATGGCAGCGGGTAAATTGAAACCACGGATTGCAATGCCAAAAGCCGTTCGTCATTGTCTTCTTCGAATGAATGGCCGAGCCGGCGCGTCCGAAATTCTGCTCGGGGCACAACGAGCAGCTCTGACGAGGCGATGGTCCCCTTCTGTGACGCCCTAGGCCCTGCAGATGTACTTAATGCCGCCGACGGCGCATTCGTTACTGGAGATTACGATCAGGACGAGATGGGCATCCACTTCGGAGCTCGCTGGGTCGAGGGCACGGCTTCCAATCGGCACACGCGGAGGACAGCCGCCCGAGGCAAATCCAGTGGCCTCGTGAATGGCGCTGATGGCGGGAACACAGGCAGCTCGGGGCAAGCAGGCGCTAACGAGCGCGGAGTTAACGCATTGAGAGCTCGGCCAGCGAGAGGGGATAACGAGACAAGACGGGTCGTACCAGAGCCCGGCTACACGCTGCAGATCCATCGGAAGGGGCCATCCTCACCCCCGACCTTGCAGTCACCTTTGTTAGTTGGCACCCACCCTCTCGTGCAGCTCGTCCAGGCCAACAGGATGGTCCCGTTCCAAACGGAGAAGAAGGCATCGCACGGGCCCATATTCTCAGCCAGCTCTGCGCCAACATAACAGAAGCAAAAGCAGCAGTGCGCCGGTCAGTTCCATCTCGCAGGTGACGGTGGCTCAGGCTCATGTACTCGCTTGTTACGGGGTCCCACCATACCTCGTTTGGACGGGCCGTGCAATTCTTGGCCCCTTCGCGGTAGCAGTAGCCTATGACTTGGTTTGCCCCTCGTACAGTCACAGCGAGGCAGACGCTTGCGAGGAGCCAGGGTTGCCAGAGCTTCATGTCTCAATCTCAACTTGTAGTACAGAAATGTGGTAGAAAGGTCAAGAGGCATAGAGGATGCGAGAGCGCAATCGATCACAGCAAGGCGGTGCTACGAATGTCACCGGACAGTGCACGATTTTGCACCCGCTGATCGCCCATATCGCGGCAAGACTATTTGTGTCGACCGCAGCGCATGACCCATCAAGCCTTACATATCCACTGGAAGGTCTGATTGGCCCCGGCCACCTCGCAGATGCCTGTGACAGCGGGTCGCCATGCCTTGGTGCAGTCGGTGTAGGCCAGGATGATGATTGGATGCCACTCGGACAAGAAAGCGTCGCATGCTCCCATGTAGCTGACGAGGCCTGGTGTGAAGAGAGCAGCGCGCTCTCTCAGCACGAGTATACAGATGCTGATCAGAGGGGTCACTTACGCTCCTCGGGGTCGTACAAGACCTCGTGTGGCAGAGAGAGGCAGTCTGAGGACCCGCGGTAGCAGTACCCGATGGTGCGGACTATGCCGAGTACGGGTATTGTGAGAGCGTAGATGGCGAGCAGAAAGCCTATGCGGAGTATTTGAATACGTGACCTGTTTTGCATCCGTCATGATACACTCACTCGTGAGTAACAGGAATGAAAGCGACGATCGCATGGTGACTCGTCAGACAAGACAAGGCTGAGGGTAAGACGAGGGAAGAATGGCAAGACATGTTCAGCAGAATTAGAGAGCAATATGCGACAGGACATGAGGAAGAGACAAGAAGCTGGCGGAGAGATGGATATGAGCCGCAGCAACAAGCGCTTGAGAAGAGGGGCAAGTTCCTGACGTTGGAAATCCCTTCGAGATGGCATGGACTGCGGCAGTGTTTCACGCGGTTGCGAGTACTTGTGGGTTGGTCGCAACCTAGGCCTTGCAGATCAAGTGAAAGGGACCATCATCCCCCCCGACTTCACATTCGCCAACGCTTGCCGGCCTGAAGCCCCAGTTGCAATTGTGCCAACCGAGGATGACGGTATTTATCCAGGTGTTTTTGAACGCATCACATTTGCCCATAGGGGCGGCCAAGTCTGCCCGCAATAGAGGGGTAACGCCGAGCTCAGCGAGGGTGGGCGTTTGATGGAAGGAGAGGCTGCGAGCACTTACGTTTGACGGGGTCGTAGAGAACCTGACTAGCAGAAGAATTGCAGCCCGCGGTGGCATAGCAGAAGCCGATGACTTTCATATCGCCTTTCACCAGGATGGCGAGCCAGGCCAGCGAAAGAAAGACACCTGCGCCGACAGTCGTGTGATGTCACCGCAAAGCACGCTGTGGGATGGCCGCTTGCACTCACTCGTCAGCATTGCGAGGTGGTTCAGATCTGGCTGCATCTTCGGTTCTGAGCGTGAAGGACAGCTTTGAATGTGAGGGGTAGTGTAGGTAAGTTGGATGGATGGCTGCCATGACCATCTCGCAAGTCGGATGTCAACGGCGCCTCGTCACAGCGACTTTGTCATTTCGCAGGGCTAGCGGGCATCCGACAAGATAGCAAGCACATTCGATCGATCCAATGTAGACCATCCGAGCGGATGGCAGTAAAGGGTATGACTCGTCGCATTTCGACGATGCCCTCTTCGAGATCGAGGCTGAAAGGTCAGTGGCATCGTCGTGACGGAACGAGGGTTCGCCTCGACGCGGCGGTGTGATCGGCTCATGCGTGGCTTGGGCCTGGCTCGGGCTCTTTCCGCGTCCTCCAACTTTCCCACATTACCTTTCTCCTCAATCGTCTACGCAGCGCGCCATGCGTTGATGTGAGGCAATTTGACAGGCCTGCCCTTCATCTGACATGGCGAATCAGACGCCGCAGCTGCCGGCCATGGTCACTACTCACCCTTCGCCTGGCTCGACGGGATCATCGCAGCCCAGCGCCCCTCATCCTCACTTTGCAGATGGCGATGCCTGCGAGCGCCACTCGACGAGGTTGTCAACTCTTCTGAGAAGGCGCAAGACGAAGAATGGCACTGTCGAAGAAGCTGCGAGTGAAAAGGACGAGCGAGATGACGACGACAAGAAGACTCGCGCTGCCTCTCTAGCTGCCCGGCTGCATATTTGGCCTCTGCCGGCCCACGTCGCCTGGTTCATCCCGCCCTTCAAGTCATGGACAAAGATGAAGCCTGTCCTGCGCTCAGCACTCATCGCATGGATAGCGATGTTCTTTCTCGTCATCAATCCTGTTGAGCGCTACCTAGGCAACGCTTCGTTCCTCGTCCTCGTCTTTGCCCTGCTCCAACCAGCAGAGCTGCCTCTCACAGGCATCCTCGAAAGGGAGCTCTTCATGCTCCTCTTTGGCGTCATATCATGGGCCTGGACCTGTGTGGCGATCAAGATCTCCTACGCAGCGCGCAAGAACAAAGTGCCCGCTTCTCAGGCCAATCTGCGCAGCATCTTCATGGGCGAGTACATTGAGGCGGCCCCGTCTATCGTGTGCTGCCTCTTCCTCGCAGCGGGATCGCCCGTCTGGCTCTACCTCAAGGTCCGCTTTGGTCCATCTCCCTTCGTCTTCTCTGCCATCATCGCAGCGTTGGCGCTCGACATCTTTCTCACCGATATTCCGCTCTTTCCCTACCCAAACTACCTGGTAGGCAAAGCGGTGCTTCTGCCCATGGCAATCAAGTCGGCCGTCACGCTCATCGTATCCGTCGTCTTCTTTCCCAAGTCGGTCAATTCGCTCTTCGTAGACCGTATTGTACTCGTGCTCAAGCCGCTGAGCGCTGCGATCAGGGCACAAGAGGAGATGTTCAAATCGTCGCCCCTGGATCCCGAGTTCGACTTTCTGCGCGTACGCACGACTATTGGACAGAGCGAGCGAGCCATTCCCCTCGTCGCTGCAGCCACGCGCCTACTCTCCCGCGAGATCAGCTTCGGCCTAGCATCAGGCGAAGACCTCCGTACCGTAGAGCGGCATGTTCGCGCGTTGGTAGCACCTGCAAACGGATGGGCGCAGTATTTCGCCCTGTTGCAGCGAGACCTTCGCATTGGCCACTTCACGAGCGATGCACCTGCGCAGGAGAAGTCCAAGTCCGCCACTCACACCGCACCGCACACTGCACCGCCCAGTCGACCACCGAGTCGACCCCCCTCTCCAAGTGCCCCGGGCACGCCTCGACATTCGCATAGTCGCCCGCCGAGCCGGCCGGGTACACCACGCCTCGAAACGTCTACGGAGCCGGGCACGCCTCATCCCTCGCGGCCTAGCTCAATCCATCGGCATGGCCACCATCACCATCATCATGACCGAGGAGGACGCGTGGCCGCTCTCCTCGCGAAAGCTCCCATCTACTCTCACCTGCAGCAGCGCCATTCATACCAGGGGAGCGGAAGCGGACCCGATACCCCTTCCAGTGCCGCTCGCCTACGAGGCGGCTTCTTTTCCGGACACCACACACCCGATCGCCAACCCGTAGGCGTCTGGGAGTCTCTGCGCTTCTCCGAGATCGATCAACGTCTTCACACCAAGTCGGCTGACTTCATCACCGACCAAGTTTTTGGTCTGTTGGGTGAAAGCAGCGAAAAGATCATGGAGGCGAATGCGGCTGCGCTCGACTATATTGTTGAATGGCTTGCAACGCTCAACAAGCAGCGGTACGCCTTGCTTCTTGCGAGATTCACGGGAAGGAGGGTAGAGGCGGGAACCAAGGAGGGGAAGACTCGCAAGCCTACATTGGAGGTGATTGCCGAGTTGGAGGCTGCGCTTGACGCTTTCAAGACAAAAGAGAGACTGCAGGTCATCGATCTGTTTAAGCCGTCGGTAGAGCACCCTGGAGGAAGCAAGACCTTGCCGCATCGCTATCTCTTCCAGGCTTTTGTACACCAGCACACGAACATAGTCTTCACGGACCGCCTGCTCGTTCTGCTGCGCTACCTTGAGCAGTTAGAAAGGGAACGTACGCGAGGGAGAATTTGGTGGCCGTCATGGCCGCGCTTCCTCACTCGGCAGGCATGGGCAAATGCCGTCGGCAAGGACAGAAGTGGGGGCGGTGCAGCTGATGCGCGCGACAGGACGAGCAGGGATGATGTTTACCACGATGATGATCATCACCCAGAGAACGATTGGTATCAGAGTGGTCTAGGCGGAGCTTCGCCGCGTGACCCGGACTGTCTGGAGCCGACGAGCGGGATGCAGAGACTGGGCACTTCGATTCATCGCTGGCTGGGCAAGGCCACTTCTGGCAATATGCTCTTTGCGCTCAAGGTTGGCGTGCTGACGGGACTGGTGTCGATGCCCTTCTTCTTCAAGAGGTCGGCTGGCTGGGTGCAGAAGGAGAAAGGTGAGCGAGCGAGCCAGCGAGCGCAACACCGAGATCTTCTTTTGCTGACTCTTTTCTCGCGCGCGCCTAGGCCTCTGGACTCTCTTCATGGCCCAAGTCACCTTCGGCCGTCATCGAGGCGACTCTATCTCACAGCTCGTAGCGCGAATAGTCAGCACAGTGGCGGGCGCAATCGTCGTCCTTCTCATCTGGTACATCTCCAGTGGCTCCGGCCGTCCAAGCCCATATGCGATGATGGTCGTGTGGGGCATCGCGGTTGTGCCCATCTTCGTGTTCCGGCTCTACTGGCCTTTCTCTCCGCAGACCTCGCTGATTACCGCCTTGACAATTGCTGTCACGCTGGGCTACTCTTGGAAGGACAGCCGTAACCCTGCCCCATACACGTCTCCAGGGTACGGATGGGAAGTAGCTTGGCGACGCCTTCTCGAGGTCGTACTGGGCGCAACAGCTGCGGTCATCTGGTCATTCGTCCCGCCTTCCTCGACACTTCGACAATACTTGCGCGAGTCACACGCGGCGGCCATTCACAGAGCAGGAGCGCTTCACTGCCGTTACTTAGCTTTCACCCTCGATCATGAGGGTGAGGACCCGGCCAAGTTGAGCGCAGATCTCGTGTCGCTTCGCGTGAAGTTGAGGACGTTGGATGCTAGGAAGGCGCAGGTTGCTTATGAGACTGCACTCAGGGGGCCGTGGCCAAGGGAGAGGTACGAGCAGTGAGTAGAACGTCGCGCCTTCCCTCTTTTGACTCCCCACGACGGCACTGACACCTCCTTCCCCTCTTCGCACTCAGGCTCTTCGAAATTCAGCTCGCCCTCTCAAAGCTCCTCACAGCTGCCGTGATCGTCTCTCAACAGCTCGGCCCCTCCTACAGCAAAGCTCTGCTGCGACGCACCAAGTTCGCCCGACAAGCTTTCATGGCGGACGTCCTCGCCATCTACTCAATCTGTTCCACGGCCCTCCGAACGGCTCAGCCTCTGCCGCAGAACTCGCCTGTGCTATTCTCGCGCTACTTGAGTAACGCGGGATTCTTGTTCGGGGACGAGAGCGATGATGAGGAGAGTGAGGCCGAAGAGGACGGCGAGGAGGTTGAGGGAAAGGAGGGAGGGATGCCTAAGCGGCTGACGGTCGAGGTCCTCGAGAGCCAGGAGTACCTGAGCTTTGCCGTAGGTGTCATCACGCTTTCGGGGATCGTGATGTTGCTTGACCGCCTGATTCTGGCTACGAAGCAGCTCGTGGGTGAGAGCTTCGAGCTGCCGCCCGAGCTGTTCCACGAGAAGAAGAGGCGCAAAGAGAGGAAGACGCGAGGTAGAGAGAGGCGCAAAGACGAGGCAGGCAAAGGTCATCATGGTGATGAGCATCTAGAGCGGGGCGACGAACGCCAGGAGCAGATCTTTGGCGGTACCGCCGAGCAGGGTGGATCGCGCGACGAGAAGCGACAGGACGGCCCAGGTCCCGCCGTTGCCCCGCGAGGAGAGGAAGCAGCCTAGTGTTCGGCTCACACTTCACCGCATGTACATATTGGAAGCTCCTGTCATCTGTAATTGTACATTTACACGCCATCACTTTTCGTCCTTCACCCTCACAACGGCCTTGCCCCACGTCTTCCTGGCGGCGAGATCGCCAAGCGCCTCAGGCAAGCTCTCCAGACCCTTGTACTGCTTGTCGGTGAATACGGTAGCCTTGATCGTCTTCTTTGCGAACATTTCGAGGAGAGCATTCCATGCTTCAGGGATCTTGTCGACCTCGTTCTTGGAGTAGGCACCCCAGAATACTCCGGTGATGGCGACGTTTCTGCGAGCGGAGGAGAACAGCAAGAGGTGAGAGGAGGTGAGGGAGAGGGCCAGGTAGGAGGCCGACTTACTTGAGGAGAATGAGATTGGCCGGAATCTTCTCGATGTTCCCGGCCGCAAAGCCCACCACGCAGATGCGCCCATTCCATGCGATGCACTTGAGCGAGGGCAGGATCATGCCTACCGGGTCGTACACGACGTCAACGCCTGCTCCGTCAGTCAGCTCTGCGAGACGCGTCGAGGGATAGGGTTAGCATCTCCACTTGTTGACTGCCCTCTACCAGCGCCACTGACCCTTGATCTTCTGCGGCCACTTCTGATCTCTGTAGTTGACCACCTCATCCGCCCCGCCCACCTCTTTGCAAATCTTCAGTTTCTCCTCGCTACCCGCAGTTGCAATCACCGTCGCTCCCATAGCCTTGGCAATCTGAATAGCCGCCAGTCCTACTCCACCCGCACCGGCATGGACAAGTACGGTCTCGCCCTCCTGCAGGTTCGCCCTGAACACCAGCGCGGCGTACGACGTGGGCCAAGTGATGAACAGCGATGAGGCCTCATCCATTCCCAGACCTTCGGGGATGGGCATCAATTGGATGAAGTCGGCCGTGACATACTCTGCGTAAGACCCGTTGGAGGCGCCGAAGACTCTGTCGCCGGGCTTGAGATCACATCCCTCTGGGATAGGAGAGTCAGCCGCGATCACGCCCGCGATCTCTGTGCCCGGGACGTAAGGGAATGGCTTCTTGATTTGGCTTGGCGAGAAAGGAAGAGCGACGGAGTCAGCAGCTTGGCCCATTAAGACGAGCCCCTCCTCGCACTCACTACTTCCCTGCAATCTGGAGAACGTCGAACCAATTGATCGCCGCACTGTGCACCTCGATCAGGACCTCGTTACCCTTCGCGGTGGGCTTGGGCGCTGAACTGTTGAGCTTCCCTGCAAGCTTGTCCAGTCCAATGTCTTCGTCGATGAGATAGGACTTGGGCATCGTGGCGGGGTATGAGTGTGGTGGTGAGAAGACAGGCTCCCACGACCGGCTGTCCGGTTCAATCAATCGATCATCGATTGCTCTGTCTCGGGTGTGCCCCGGACCCCGGACTTTGCGGCAGCGGAGGAGGCGTCGCGTGGAGGCTGGAGAGCGGCGAACACGTCAAATCGCATCATTCTTTGTCGTCCCTTCATTTCGTTGCGTACCAAAGCAATTGACGACACTCTTTGTCCCTCAGACGCCCCGCAATGATGCTATGTATCTTGGCTTCGATTGTCCTCGCACTAGGCTGGCAAAGCTGTAGATATTTGAAGCTGACACCGCCTTTCGTAGGTCCCGCTACTCGACCACCCTAGTAGCACACGGATGTTCCTGCTCAACCTCAGGACGACAGTACTCAAATCCACTCCGCTGCGGTGCTCAGTGGACCATGCCACCTGGACAAAACGTCGCTGCGTTGCGGAAGGCATGCCACTCGGTGTTTCCCGTAGCGTATCAACGAGCGCTCCGCTCCTCGTCCGCAGCGACGTCATGCGCCGGCCAGGCCTTCATAATGGTCCTGACCGCAAGTCCTCGACGCTGAGTCTCGGCAATCCTGCTGAGCATGGAGCTTGCCTCCCGAACAAGCAGCCAGCATTAGCTCTGCCGGTGATCTCGCGGCCCGCCCTTCCTGCTGTGATCGCCTTGCATCAAGACCCAGACTACGCCACGGGAGAGGGTCGAGTCTTCTGGGTCTGGCTATCTTTGCCCTTCATCTTCGTCGTCCCACTTTACCTCTCTTACAAGCATGACAAGCATCTCGTCGATCTAGCGACGGGAAAGGAGAAGCCTGATGACGGGAGCAATCGCGTTCTCTTCCCCGGGCTAAAGGAGGGCAAGAAGCCAGACCGCCAGTTCCTGGACAAGGTCTGGCGTCGTCTGATGGCCGAGGATCTCGCTGTGCCTTACAAGACGCTTATGAGATTCGCCGCGCTGCTGCCCCGAGCGCTGCAGGACGGTATCAGCCAGGCGTACGCAGAAGTTGCAGAGTGGTATCTCACGCTCCCGACTGCCAAGATGGCTGTCGTACCGATCATAGCGGTCAATACTGCAATATATACCGCCTGGATGGTCGCGCGACGTCGCCCTGCAATGCTTGGCTTCATGATGCGCAACTTTACCACTGGCCTGGATCTCAGCCGACCCTGGACCGTCTACCTCAGTCCCTTCTCCCACACGACGGTTACCTCGCTCGTGCTAACGTCGGGAGCCCTCTGGTATTTCTCCGCCGAGGCCCTCCAAGCCTTCATGCCCATCCTGATAGAGGTGGTGAACAAAGAGAGCGAGACCGGTGTGCGCCCCGGCATCCAGCATGCGCCTCCAGAGGTAGATTACAGATGGCAGCTACTTGCTGCCTTTCTCTTTGCGAGCGTCGGGGGCAGATTGGCTTCACGCTTCGTGCAGCGCATAGCGCACAACAGGCTGATGCTCAAAGCGAAGGAGTTTCCACCTCTCGCTGAACAAGCGCGTCAAGAGATAGCGCAACTGCGAGCTCAGCGCTTTCACGGCGCGTGGCCGGGGGTCTATGGAGTATTTGGCGGCACGGCAGCATTGTCCCTTCTATGCATCGAACCCGCGCAGTGTCGCATTGGCATCTCAGCCCTCATGGATCGTACTTTCCCCTATGGGAAGGCCTTCAAGCTGGCGTGTTCTGTCCACATCGCATGTCTCGTGATGGGCTTCAGGCGTTTTGATCATGCGGCGCACGTAGGCGGGGCTCTGTGTGGATGGCTCTGGGTGAAATATGTCGAGGCAGCGTGGCTTGGCGCGAGAGAAGGCGTCGCCCAAAGCCATGAGGGAGGCAAGGCAAATGCGGTAGCGGCTGAAGGCGATGGTCAGAGGAAGGCTCCTCACGGTAGCTGAAGTGGGAGTCGAGCGTGGGTCTCGATGGGACAATGCAGCTTTCTTTGTGCTTTTGATCTCGTCGCCGTAGAGCTTGACCACGTGGCGTCCCATGCTCAGTCCGCTTCCCGTCGAAGCGTCCCACGCCCTCGGCGCACGTCCCTTTGTCCGTCACCCACTTCAATCAATTGGCCGTGATGGGCAGATGAAGCATCAGCGCACCGGTTGAAGCAAACTCTTCTACGAACCCTCTCTGCAGCGATGAGCGCAATGATACTTGGCCGTCGTACGGCATCTTTCCTGCCTGCGACAACGAAGATGGCCCAGTCGACGATGGCGAGGATGCCTTCAAGTCGACGGCTCCTAGTTGGCAGCTTACCATCAACGAATATAGGCGCCCTCGCCGGGATATGTACCCGCCATCTGAGCATTAGTAGTACATTCAGGGAGCGTAGCGGGCGTCGGGCGCCCCGATCAGTGGGAATAAAGCCTACATATTCGCCCGATCCTGTTGAGCAGGCGCTCTCCGATGACCTCGGCGTCAAGGCAGGTCAAGCACAGTCGACGACCGTCGCGGATGTCTGGAACGAGGAGTCGCAATATAACAGTCGCGCAAAGTATTTCTGGGCTTCCTTCCCCTTTGTCGTCATCCTCATTCCCGCGTACCTGTCCTATCGCCGGGACCACGACCTTGCTGAGGAAGCGCAGAGCAAAAAGAGCTGGTCAAAGACGATCCTCAAGCGCTTTCGCTTCGCTGTGGCAGAGGGAGAACAGCCTGATCGCGCGCTTTTGGATGCCGTCAGTGAGTCTACGAGCGATGCAAGAAGTGACTCTGTCTCGCCACTGACGTCTCTCCCGCACGCGCAGTGCGCCACACCCTCTCTGACAAGCTAGGCCAGGGCTACAAGTCGACTATGTCCGCCATCTCCCGCTTCTCGGATGATACTCGTCAACTCGTCAGTCGCAATTACCTGTGGGCAGCAGAGTGGTACCTCAATCTTCCTACGGGCAAAATGGCAGTCGTGCCCATCGTGGCACTCAACACGGCCATCTTCCTGTCATGGAACCTCTCTGCCTTACGACCTTCGTGGCGCATCTTCATGTATCGCAACTTCACCGATATGCATCACAGCTGGAGGCGACCCTGGACGGTGTACATGGCGTCATTCTCGCATTCGTCGCTTATGCACTTTGGCTTCAACCAGTACGCGATGTGGTCTGTAGGGGCTGCTGCGCTCGCCCTGGGCACACAGGAACAAATCGATCGCTCTAAAGCGGCAGGTGGGCAAGCGCCAAAAGCACCACCCGAGACGGACCTCAAGTACCAGCTCTGGGCCGCGTTCCTCACTGCAGCCGTTTGCGGCTCCTCCGTCTCTCGCGTGAGCAGCAAGATCTCGCTCGTCCGCTTGATGAGGCGGGCCCTTGCCAGCCCTCAGGACTTGGCGCTTCATCGTAAGGTACAGGAGAACGTGATGGGTCGATCGTTGGGATCCAGCGCGGGTGTGTATGGTCTTTTCGCGGCCGCTGCCGTACAGTATGGCACTGGACCGGATGCAGGCTGGCATCGCATCGGATTCATTGGCTTACCTGCGGAGTGGTCGCTGCCGATGGGTCAAGGGTTCTTGCTCCTCTGCTGCTTCGACGCTATCTGCCTGATCACCGGTTTCAGGTTCTTCGATCACGCCGCACATCTCGGTGGAGCGGCTGCTGGTGCCCTGTGGGCTCTGTGGATCCAGGGCAAGGTGTGGATACCTGTGAGGGAGTGGTGGGCGAAGGGAGAGATGTCGCAGCGAGTCACGCAGCAAGGCGACGGGCGTCAGGAGGCGTTGCGGAGCGTGGTACAGGATAGCGGGCGTGAGCCAAGCGAGGGTCGAAGAATTTGAGCATTGTCACCGTAGATCAGCAGACTGGCAGGCGTGTAGAACTGCTGTACCCTGCTGTCAATACCATCTCTCATTCCGTTATGATTCGTTTGCTGGCTCGCTGTATTTGGATCGATCACAAGTGCAATCGCGGAGCGCAGTCGCGAGGCTCAGCCAATGGATCAAAGGTCTGATCGCGGCTCGGCACGGTCTCTTTGTTCCTCAACGCGCCTAGCGCGACCCTGTCAATGGTACAAAAGTGCAAGCGTACGTCCAACACAAAGTTTGCGTTGCATTCCATTCGCATTGCCACCATGACTTCCTTGCTCTTCCACCGCAGAGCCACAGCCACTGTGCTGACCGCAAGATTGCCACCAGTGCTGATGCGCTCCATGACGAGGCTCTCTGCTCCTCGCGCCGCAACTTTTGTGGCGGTTACTCGCATTGGTGCAACAGCCTCTCGCCCCACGAGAATTGCCCAAAGCATTCCTTTCCGCTCCATCTGTACCAACGAAGAGGCCGCCTTGGGGAAGCTCTCGTCCCCCAAGCCCATACCTGGAAATGACGTTTCGAAGGCAAAGAGCGCGGGTAGCCGTACTGAGCAGAAGCAGAGCAAGTATGCAGCACCGTGGCCAACTTCAGGGAGATGGAACGGTCGAAAGTGGGCCTTCTGGATCACCTTCCCTCTGATCATTTCGATCGTACCCGCAAGCCAGGCCTACGGATGGGAACGCGTGTGGGCTCGCAAGGCCAACATGGAGGAGGGTTGGATGATCTGGACGATCGAATCGACCTGGGTAGAGCAGGATGCGGACAGCGCAACACCGGCAGCCGCGGACCTTGCCAAGATGGGATTATGCCGTGAGTATGAGTCAACGACTCACTTGATAGTGACCTGCGCTGACTGTCAGCATGATGGATTTGCAGGGCGCCTTGTACTACACGATCTCAGCGCCAGCCTTTACCGCTCTCTGAAGGACAAGGTAGCTATGCTCGACGAAGCTGTTGCAGAGTATGTTCTATACTCCTATGGCGTGGCAGCCAATTGGTACCTCAACGCCCCATCGAACAAAGTGGCAACAGCGCACCTCATTGCTCTCAACACTGCGGTCTTTCTGGCATGGCGAGTGGCAGCCTTGCGACGCCCCTGGACTCAATTTATGTTGAAGTATTTTATGGACAGACCATTCCCTGCTGGGCAACGTTGGCGACGTTCCGGAAACATGTATCGGGCACCCTTCTCGCACCCGTCGCTAGCACATTTCCTGGTCGCGCAGGCTGCCTCATGGTCAGTAGCTCCTGCCGCACTGCAGGTAATGGAGGAGCGAATGCAGAGTAATCCAGGTGCTCAGCACAAGTCACGCGATGTATTTGGTGGCGTAGGACTCGGATGCAACCATCTATTGTGGGCCACCTTCCTCACCTCGGCTATTGGCGGAGCTTTCTTCTCACGCCGCTGGTCGTACGAGCTGTTTCGACATTGCACACTGCCTGTGGAACGTCTAGCTCCCGGAGAGGTGCGGCCGATGATGCGGATGCATTGGCGCGCACGCTATTCAGGAGCTGGTGCAGGCATCTTCGGCCTCCTTTCCTTCGTCGTCCAGGAAGAGCACCAGGCCGGGAAGGACGCCGATCAGCGTGCTCGTCTCGCTTTGCCCTTCTTGCGTTCTGAGTATACCCTGCCTGCACGGGAAACATTCCTTGTTCTGTGCGCTTTCGACGCTCTCTGCATCCTTCGCGGAGTACGAGTACAATCAACCAGCTCTGCGGCTCGCCTGGGCGGGGCCGTCTGGGGTTTGCTGTGTATACCAGCCGTTCTTCACTCTTCCCTCATCGTCAAGGCTCTCAGAGCAATGTGGGACCTGCCTCAAGACTCGCTCAAACACGTCGGAGAGAGGGCAGAAGCGAGAGAGGGGGGGAAGAGGCACATCAATGAGCAGAGGGCCGCTATGGGCGATGCTCCGAGGAGACAAGGCCAAGCCGAGTCTTTTTCGCACAGACGGCCGATAGCCGACTCGCTGCGGGAGTGACGCGTTGCAGGTTTGTTGGCAAGCAACAGAGGCAAGAATGATGAATGCCATAATACCATCGCTCTTGAGCTCTACTGTGGGTATGCAGGAGCCGCGGTTGACGATGCATAGTTCGCACACCGTAGTCATGATCACTCTCGACCTCGTGTCACATCACGTGTGTCTCCCATCTCTCTCCTCGCATCCCCGGCTTCTGTCCCATTCGCGTCCGCCGAACCGGTCTTCAACGCAGCCCTCGATTCCCTCTTCCTCCTCGCCTCCTCCCCCAGATCCGCGAGCCCTTCACCTCTTGCCAGCCTCTCCAACTTGCGCTGCCTCGCCATCGCGCCTCGATGCGTCTTGCTTGTGAGGTGTTTGCGCGAGTCGGCAGCGCGGTAGAAGACTTCGCTGCCTGGCTTGGAAGAGGCAGTAGTGGGTGTTGAGGCGAGGGAGGCTTCCGTACAGATGGGGCAGAGGATGTGCGCATTGTCGTTGAGCGAGGAGGCGACGTCGCCATTGGCCGGATGTGATGGGTCCCTCGCCTCCGCTTCGGGGTCGAGAAAAGGCGCCACCTCCGTCCTCCATGCCTCACTCTCTCTGCACTCTGGCGGGATTGCCTCACCCTTCATGAAGGCCTCGACAGCCTTCAAGGCTGGCTTCCTCACCTTCTCCTCCCACTCCTCCGGCCTCGTCGCGTCAAGCAACACAACTTCCATGACACCCTCGCCGCGCAATCGTCTCGTGCGAGCAATCTCGGGCAAAAGCTTGTTGCGCATCCACCCGACCTGCTTCTTTGCGTACTGGCGGGTGGCTGATTTCATGCTGTCGAGACCGCGAATGAAGAGCGGACGAAGTGAGGGCGGTAGAGCTTCGACTGAGAGGTACTCGCCTGCCGCTGGTAGGACCGAGACGGCTTGCCCGTCGCCTGATCGCTCCAAATCGTCCAAAGCGTCGAGGAAGGGCTTGAACTCCTTGTATCCAATAGCCTGGAAGATACCTTGGCTCGTATCGATCGAACCCCGAGCTTCCGCAGCAATGCGACGCAGTGTTCGAATTTCATCTAGAAGGCCACGCGGAATCATCTTGTCCACTCTTGCGTCTAGCCTAGCGTTGAGCTCTGGGCGAGAGGCGTAGATCCAGAAGAGGAGGGTGCGGAGCGGATTGCCTGACCAGTGTGGGATAGAGGCTGAGCTGGACGCTTCTGCGTTGTCATCTTGTTCTTGCTCTTGCTCTTTCACCCAATCGGAGTGACGACGACCTGTCCGAGCGATGACGTGTAGCGAGTTTGCGATCTTGCGCCCATCGAGAGGATGCCAGCGTGAGGCCATGAGAGGATCGAGAGTTGTGAGGAGCTGATGCATCTCTCGTGGACTTGGCGTCGCTGGAGTCTCGGCACTACTGCTGTTGAGCGGCCCTGCTACCACGTTCTGCCATGTCTTTCTCTGCTCTTCGTCCATTCTCTCAAATGCAAGGCGCAACGCCCCATCCTTTGGCTCCCTCCACCCCCCAGCACCTTCATTGTCATCCTCGCCCTCCCCTCTCCTCTCCACCACATTCCCCGGACACAACAAATGCTGAGTCCAATAAATGGTCCCACCCACGACGATGGGCACCTTCCCCTTGTCCAAGCATTCCTGCTCTGCAACCCTCTTCGCCTCACGCACAAAGCGCTGCAGATCATACCTTTCCCCCTTTGCAGGATCGAGAAAAGACATGAGGTGGTGCGGCACCTCGCCTTGCTCGGCAAGTGTGGCTTTATTCGTTATGACATCGAGGTTGTGGTATATTTGCATCGAATCGGAGGAGAGGATTGCGGCACCTTGATAGGAAGAGGGGCCGGGAAGGGAGGCAAGATGCTGTGCTATCTCGACTCCGAGTTGAGATTTGCCCGTTCCTGTTGAGCCAACGATGGCAATCACGGGGTGGTGCGTGTTGGTGAGTGCGGAAGGGGGGGAGGGTATGATGCTGCTGTTGCTAGTGGGAGGAAGAGGGAGACCGAGATCCTGTGTTGGCGAGCAGCGGTTAGTGAAAGGCCAGACGAGTGAGAGCACGCGAGAGGAGGCAAGGCAGGTGATGATTGGCATTAGCTTCACGCTTGACAAATGACAATGCTACGTGTTTCCCCTCATGCCAGCCCAATGTCCTGCGAGAAGAGAGAGACAAGAGCGCGCGTGCATCGTCAGCTCGTGCTCTCTCCCCGCTCGCAGTGTTAGGCGATGAGCCTGCAGGGTGGTCAACAGGGCGGAGCGTACGACGTGCGCGACTCACCTTCTCAATCATGCTCGCGGCAATCGGATGATAGAAGCCCTTGTTCTCCAGGAAGGTTTTGCGCGCCAACTCCGGGTTGATGCGGTACAGAGCACGATAAGTTGGACGATTGTACTGGCGCGAGGGCAGCGTCATCGGGTCAGCTCGTCGCTCGCATTCCAGTGCACGAAGCGTCGACGTGCAACTCACCTTCATTCTCCCCTGCTTCGCCACCCAGCTGGCAGCCTGCTGCGTGTAGCTACTCTTCTCGTCCTCCAAAGCCACCGCAAAGAAGCGCAACATGACCTCCCCATTGTTTCCCTGCTTGCTAGTCATGCCGTATACCTCATCCAGGTACTTGGAGTACTTCTCCGTCACGTGTGCGTTTGGATCGTCGTGGAGTCTCTCGAGGAAGACGACGATCTGGTCGGTGTCGAACGACGAGACGTCTGAGGACTTGAAGCCAGCGGAAGAGGGGTCAGAGCCTGAGGAGACGACTTGAGACCAGCGGTCAGCAAGCGCAAAGGACTGGCGGGCGAGAGTGTCGTTGTACTCCATCTTGACGGGCAAGGCCACTCCTTCGCCGTGCAGCCAAGCTTCCCAGTCCACCTTCTTCAGCTTCTCGGTGATCTCTGACGAGTTCGAATAGAATGCAAAGAGGTGGTCCAAGAAGTCCTGCGTCACCACACTGCGGTCGTAGAACGTCTTGAAGTAGCTCTTGATGAACGGCAGGAAGATGTCCAATCCACCGACGGTTTGCTCAAGGTGCAGGATAAGATTTGACCCCGCCTCGTATGGGATAGAGGAAAAGGCGTCATCCGGGTCCTCGCCGCCCTTGAAGACGGGTACCAGGCGCTGGAAGCGGGGCGTGTCGGTGTACTGTTTCCTTGCGTCCACCAAAGCCTTGTGGCCAATGATGTACGAGAAGCCGCGATGCGCCGGCCCCTCCTTTGGTCCATTGACGTACTGCAGGGCGAGTCGCTCGAGGTAGACATTGATCCCCTCATTGAGCCAGAAGGACGTCCAGTCCCCGCACGAAGTGAGGTTCCCGCTCCACGAGTGGCTCAACTCGTGCAAGAGGACGTTGCACTGACTCCTGTCCCCTACAACGAGGGCAGGGGTCAAAGTGGTCATGTTCGCATTCTCCATACCGCCGTAGGGGAAAGAGGGAGGGAGGACGACCGAGTCATACCGAGTCCACGAGTAAGGGCTGACCATGTCTTCCAACGCGGTGAGGTAAGGCTCAGCATCGCGCTCGAACTCCCACTTGGCCCGAGCCAAGTCAGGCTTCTCTGCCCAGACACCCGTGCGAGGCCCAAGAGAGGCGAACTCGAGGTGGCCAGCCACGATGGCGATCAAGTAGGAGGGGATATGCACCGGCTGGGAGAAGGCGTATGTCCTCTCCTGCTCCGGGTGCTCAATCGCATCATGCGGCGTGGCGGGCTCAAGGAACTTGCTAGGATCTTTGGGGTCAACAGGCAGGGCGCTCATGAGTACTGGGTACTTTGAGCGCACGTTTGCTGTGTAGGTGATCTTCCACCAGGGCGAATCGAAGATGGGGACGAGGGAGCGACAGTGGATTGCTTGGCACTGTGAGTATAGGAAAGGGGCCGACTTGGCAGAGGTCTGCTCCTTCGCTAGCCAGCCGAGAGCGGTACAGTCGGTAGTGGTTGAGTAGTGAATGCGCACCTTGAGCTCCGAGTTGGAAGCGGCAGGAGATGGGAGGGTTACAACGAGCGGGTTGCCCAGCGAGCCATGTCGCGGCTTGAGCTCGTGCTGCAGCTTGGTCCCGTCCGCAAGCTCGACGCTGCGAATCTCGAGGTAGCTTGCATCGAATGTGAGTGACGTCTCGCCATCTTTGAGGGGGGTAAGGGTGTGTTCGACACTTCCCGCGATGGTCTTTGCCTCCCAGTCGATGGACCAGTCGAGGTGCAAGTGGCGCGGGCGAAACGTCGAGATGGAGGCAGTCGTGTGAATGTCTGATGGCTCGCGGATCGGAGGAGCGGAGAGGTTGCTAGGAGGAGTGTAGGGAGAGGGAGCCGTGAAGGGAGCCGCAGATACCATGCTTGCTAGTGAGCGGCGCGCGAGGAACGAGGGAGCTGATGGACGAGTCTTTGTATGCGGGAGTGCGATGGGAGGTCGCGCGATGCTGGCGGTGGCAGCGGCCGTGTGTCGTGCGAGTCGAGAAGCAGAGCGCAATGCGAGGCGTGACGAAGCAGCCGTAGCGAGGATCATGCGATGACCAGTCGCACGAGCAAGAGTAACAGAGGGGTGACGATAAGTCGTACGATTGATAGCGAAGCAACCCAACCTGCTACTACATGGCAGACGCTGCCGTGGGTTCAGCAAGTGGCCCCAGCGAGGGTCAAAGGACGGATCGGAAGAAGCACTCGAGTTGACACGGGCTGCCGCGCGGGCGGGCAGCGAGAAGAAAGGGCGAAAGCGACTTCTCACTTTGGCTTCATTACCACCATCTACGAACGTCACCGCCAATATGTCCTCAGACCCTGTTGCCTCTTCCTCCTCCGCCTCGGGTTCAGGATCGACCTACAATCCTTCGACTCGTCCGGAGCAGATTGACCAGCTCATCGCGGGCGTAGACAGGTACAACCCTCACAACCTGCCCCTGCTGCACGACTATCTCGATGCTCAGCTCAAGGGAGAGTACCCGTGGGACTGCATGGCCGCCCTTGCCATTCTCAAGCTGTGAGTCCGCGCTACCGAGTGGCTGGAGGTAACAGTAAGGGTGTGGGAAATCACAAATGATGAGACAAACTAGACCACAAAAGCATGTATTAGTCTATGCCTTCGGGCAGTTGCGAAGCATCTCTATTAGCTCTATCTGACCCAGGCGATTGGAAGGGGAGGTGGAGCAGGAGGAGGCGATGAGGTCTTACACTGGCCCTCTGGATGATCGTCACTGACACTTGATCATCCTCCTTCCCCGTGCGTAGCTACCAATTCAACCCCTCGACCTTTTCCTACGAGACGGTCACTTGCATGCTCGCCAAATCCCTCCACGCCCTCCCCTCACCGCACACCAACCTCTGCCTCTCCCTTCTGGGTGAGGCGCCCGTCTCCATCCTCGCTCCTGCAACCCCTGCTCCCGCCAAGGAGGAGGGCGACGCAGCAGGGGACGCCGCTAACCCAACCCCGGCGGATGCAGCTGCTCAAGCTGCCGGCCAATCGTCTTCATCAGCATCAGCAAACGCAGCATCTCAGCAACCTTCCGCGGGCATCCTCACGGACCCGACGATGGTGAAATTGCACCACCTCTCCACGCTCCTCTCCTCGTCGCGCTACCCGACCTTCTGGACCACTCTGCGCTCCAACGACTATTCCGAGGTTCGCTCTGACGTCCTCGACAGGCTGGCTGACTTTGAGGATGGCGTGCGCCTAGTAGTCCTCAACGGGACCGCGCTCAGCTTTAGGACCATTAGCAAGGCGAGGCTGAGCAGCTACCTCGGCGTGGAGGAGGGCGAGGTCGAGGAGACGCTCCGCCGTGCTGGTGGCGAGGGATGGAACGTTAGGGCGGATGGAGTCGTCGAGGTGCCGGCGAATGCCGACAACGAGATTGTCAAGGCGAGCAGTGCGCAGGGAGGTGTGCAGAGGGAGGACGTTGGGTTGGCAGACTTGGGAAGGTTGCTTCAGCAGGCCGCGCCGAGCCAGCCTGGTGCGTCGGTGAAGGCGTGAAGAGAGCATGGTGAATGGACTTTCTTCTGTGATGATGACTGCGAGTGAATGTGGCTCTCTTTGGTTGGGCTGAGATTTGAGATGAGGGCCGTGCGTGCCCAGCCTGCCTGCCTTTCTGTCTCGGAGGCGCGTCTCGAGATTTGAGCTGCTCCCGTCGTCGGCCTTTTTGTTTCTTTTCCCTCGCATCACTCAATCTCACCTCCTAGCCTGCGGGCATTGTGCCCTTTGCCCTCCCTCCTGCTCTTCAGAGCCCCTTCACCCGGCCTTCATCGCCTTGCTTGCGCAGTCTCCCTCCTCACCACATCTGCACCACGCACGATGTTCCACCTCCTCTCCTCCCTCTACACCGACCTTACAACGCGGCCGCGATTTAACATCCTCTTTCTCGGCGGGCCAAGCAGCGGCAAGACGTCTCTTCTTGCCGTGCTCAAAGAAGAGTATGTCGAGCCGCCGAAGCAGCGAGGGGAAGCAGAGGGGAGTGGAATGAGAAGAAGGAGGCAGCAGGAGGCCCTACCGAGGACTAGACCAACAGTAGGGCAGAACGTCTTGGATATCGTGGCGCCGAGCTTGCCAGAGGAGCCCATGTCAGAGGATGCGGAAGGATCAAGCAGTGCTCTGAGGGGGCTTCAACAGATTTGGCCACGCCCTCCTGCGGCCGAATCGTTGCCCTCGTCACCCAGCGTCGCCTCTACCAGCAAGGGAGGCTGGTTCTCCTCATCCTCACCCTCACCAGCCACGCTGACCCACCAGGCCGTGCGAACCACTTCTGTACTACACATTTGGGATCTCGGAGGCGATCCATCTCTCCGCCCAATCTGGCGCGAGTACTACAAGGAGGCGCATGCGGTGATCTACTTTTGGGATGTAGCGAGTGCGCAGGGCAGGGAGGACGAATGGGAGACGCTGAGGACGTTGAGTGAGGAAGGGGCACTGAGAGGGAAGCCCGTACTTGTTGTCCTGAGTAGGGGAGATAGAGGTGCTGCGAGTGGGAAGGAGGGGCGGACGAGGGGCGGCAGATCAGCTGAGGGAGACGGTGGGGCGACGTTATCGCCGCAGGAGGAGCATGAGGAGGGAGACCTCAGCCTTAGCATGGACGATCCGAGACGGAGTGGTCTAGACGGCATCATCACCGAGAACGATGCTGCAGCGGAGGAGGCTCGCCCCACTGCACCAGATCACGCCGACCAAAAACCGGACGACGCCTCCAAGCCGGCCGGCACAGCTGCCACCCTCTTACGCTCGACTACGCAGGACGACGTCCTCGAATCACTCAAAGCCTTCATTGAATCGCACATTGAGGCGCACGTCGTGGAGGAGATAGGAAACGCGAGTGTTGACTCGAGCAGAAGTGCGAACACCGCGAAGGCCGGAGGAGGGGATGGAGCAGCGCAGAAGGTTGAAGGAGGAGACGGCGGTGCCGGAGAGGAGCAAGGCGGTGCGGACGAGGCAGAAGATGACGCGGACGATGAAGGTTCCCTCGATGACGAGGGCCCACCACAGCTATTCCCACCCACAACGCTCCTGCCTCTCAGTCTCGTCGAGGGGTATGGCGAGCGGGACGTCATGCGCTGGATGATAGCTCGCAGCCTTGAAGCGGCAAAGGCTCGGAGGTAGTCAAGTCAAGCCAAGCCAAGCCAAGCTAAGCCACGTCGACCTGTTGTCTTGCATCTTCCCCATTTCCTGTAATAGAAGAATGCCCACAATTGAATACCCCAAGTGGAATGACACTCGCACGGTCACAAGACACCACGCAGCCCATCAATATCTCGCGTCGTCTTGCACCTCCTTGTACCTCCGGTCCCCTCATCACTGCACCTCCGCGAAGCGTCCCGCCGAGAAGGAGGGAGGTGTTGCGGTGTTGCTCTTCCCTTCCCGCCCAGGCACAAGAGCAGTGTCGTCTGGACCCCCCTTCCGTCCGTCCGTCGTGCGTCGGAGAGAAGCGCTGCCGTGGAGCTTCGACCTTGTCTTTCGAATTGCCAGAGGGCATATAACGGCGTTCGCCTCTCCGCGTCTTCTTCTCTCCCATCCTTTCTCTTCAATACGACGACAAGATGTCAAGCTCAAGCATGCGCTTCCTCCCCTCCCAAGCCACCACGCTGGTACCTGTCCCCTTCGACCGAGGACAGAGGCGCAAGGGCGTTGCGCTGGGACCTCAGCGATTGCTGGATGAAGGGTTGGCTGAGCAGATCAAGGAGCTCGGGTGGGATGTTGATGTGAAGGAGGAGATGAAGACGATGTGTGATGGGGTCGAAGATATAGATGCGAAGGGAGGCGGGGATGTTGATGGTGAGCCGGCGTGAAACGGGACCAAGTAACATGTCAGGCAGCTAACCTCGTCCTCCCTCGTGATAGGCATGCGCAACCCTTCGTCGGTCTCTTCAATCAACGAGCACCTCTCCACCCTCCTTCAACAAGTACACAGCAGCTCTCGTCTCCCAGTAACAATAGGCGGTGATCACTCCCTCGCCGTAGCAACGCTCACCGCTACCCTCACGCACCACCCCGAAGCCGGCATCCTCTGGATCGACGCTCACGCGGACATCAATTCGCCGAGCACCACCCCCTCTGGCAACTTACACGGCTGCCCCGTAGCCTTCCTTCTCGGTCTGGAGGGTACGAATGTGCCCCCCTTCAACGGATGGGTAAAGCCTCTCCTTAAGCCAGAGCGAATCGCCTACATTGGGCTGCGAGACCTCGACTCAGGAGAGAGGAAGGTATTGAAACAGCTCGGCATCAAGTGTTACACGATGCACCACGTAGATCGATACGGTATCGGGCATGTACTCGAGGAGGCCCTCTCCTACCTCGGCGCGCCCGAGAAGCCTATCCACCTCTCCTTCGACGTCGACGCTCTCGACCCGAGCGTGGCGCCGAGCACGGGCACGCCGGTGCGTGGTGGTCTGACCTTTAGAGAGGGGCACTACATATGTGAGAGGGTCTGGGAGACGGGCAGTCTCGTGGCGATGGACCTTGTAGAGGTCAATCCCGATCTGGGAGCGAAGAGAGAGGAGGACGCCAAGGCTACGGTGGCAGTTGGGTGCAGTTTGATCAGGAGCGCACTTGGGGAGGTGTTGCTGTGAGAGGAGGGGTCCCGCAAGTCAAAAGAGACTAGAGTAGAAAGCACGCTTGGTCATAGGAAAGAGAAGAGTGACTAATGTTGTTACAGATTGTAGAGATGACAATGTCAATGAAGCGAATGGTATCAAGTCTATGCGCCGCTGCCTTCGCTCGCTGTCGCTGAACCAAGGAGCACGGCCGGCACGCCATAGATAGGCCAGCGAGCATGGTCGTGCTGCAGCCAGGGTGCTTCAGCCACACCGCAGTGCGAGCAGACGAGAGACGATGACGCGATGTTGGCGGGTGACGAAGGATCCATTGCCGGGATGGGAGGTAAGTCGTCCCAAAGTGCGTCGTCTTCGTCCTCTTCGCAGCCTGTGTCAAGCCTACTTTCCTGTTCTGCACCAACTACAGCCTCCTGCTCCTCCAACACGATCCCGTACTGCGCCGCGACCTCTCTCCTGATGTCCTCCGGCAGCTGCAGTAGTGTCTCCATGTCCACCGAGTCCCGCTTCTGCCGTGCTGCTCCTCCTCCGCCGGCGTCAAAGAAGGTCCGCAGCGGCTGGGCAGCAGGTCTCCTTGTGGCGAGATTCAGTGCAGCGATGTTGATTAGATTGAGTCCCTCACCACCCAGCAATGCCTCGCCTGAGATCTGGCCTTGCCCTTGCCCTTGCCCAGGACCACCGCGGAGGAGTAGCCCCATCAAGACGCCGGCCAGTCGCTCCGCCCTTTCCCTCCTGCTCAGCGTGCGCACATCAAAAATGTCGAGTGGCATAGCCGTCGAACGTGAGGTTCGCTTGCCCCAGCCATGCCGGATGGAGAGCCGCACAGTGAGTGGGTAGCGCTGCCATGTGGACGACTCGCTTGGGTCGCTCTCTCTTTCACGGTAGCAACGCACGATGACCTTTTGATCGCTGATGGGCGCTTCCTTGCCCGTGATGTTACCCTGCTCTCCGGGAAGGAAGAGTGGCATGTCGTGGCGTTGCCACTTGCCACGGTCGTCCTGCTTTTCCATCTGCTCCGCTTTGCCTGGCTCGCTGCTAAGCATGCCCGCACCACTCCCCATCAGCTCCCCCTCTAACCTTCTCAACAGACTTGCCGCGAGCAGTCTCATCTGCTCTGCAACAACTTCCTGCCCCTTGAGCCCGCGGTATGTATCCTCTATGCTGATTTGCAGCGGATAGAGCGGGGTCGGGGCCACTTCTTCATCGTCTAGACCACGAAGCAGTCCGTGAAGCCTTATACCGAGCCGGGGGCCAAAGAGGGTGGTGAGATGCGCAAGAGGGAAAGCTTTCCGCGCTAGGGAGACGCTGAGCGGCGGTGAGGCGTCGTCATTCGCCGCAGCTTCACTCGATGTAGCGCCAAGACTCTCCCTCATCTTGGAGACAATCGCCCCTCCAAAGCCCATGATCGCCCTCACGTCCGCCTCATCGTCCAGGAAGCGCACCACGTCCTCTGCGCTCCTGGGTAGGAAGAGGGTCTGCTTTGCTGGCTTATGGCGCGAAGAGACTAGCTTGGCAAGGACTTTGTTGTGAGCTATGCCTGCTGATGTTGTCAGACCGATTTGAGAGTGGATGAGGTTGCGGAGGTGCAGGGCGAGGTGGGTGGTGAGGATGAGGCGGGACCGATAGGTGGAGGAGGGAGTGTCTTCCGAGGAAGAGGCGTGGCTATCGAGAGGCAGGACGTGTCCTATCGGCTTTCCCAGAGTATCGTACCAGAAACCTGCCTCAGGTTCACTGTCGGGCGCCACCTGGAAGAAGACTCTCCCCGCATCCTCTCTTGTCTTCCCCTCCTCTCTCCCCCTTATATGCGCATCAACCATCTCCGTCACATCAACGAACAACTCGTCCAGCCCAAGCTTTTCTACCTTGCCGTCCCAGGGCCCGACAACACCTCTGACTAGGCGCCACACCTTCGCTGAGAGGCGCCTATACCAGGTAAGATCCTCGCCATCCACAAGTATCAATGCCGGGCAGCGTCGCAAAGCATCTCGGACCGTGCTTAATTTGCGAACGCCTAGGGCACGAGCTTCGTAAGAGCAAGTGGCAAGAAGTCCCTTTTGCTTGACGCCGACTGGCTGGCCGATGAGAGACGGATCGAGCAGGCGTGACGCAGAGACGTAGAAGCTGTCTAGGTCGATGGCGATGATGAGGCGGTTCGGTGGGGCACCTACGTGAGGTGGAGGGGAGGAAGTGGTGACCCGCCGCTTGCCTTGTGCCTTTGGTGAGAGGAGAGAGGCAATGCCATTCTGTGGAGCATTGCTATCTGCAGCAGCACTCGAAAGGCTGCGGGATCGTTTGGTTGTCATGCCATGGCGTGATGGAGTGGTTGGGGAGGAAGGATAGACAGGAAGGCGCACCGTCCACTTCCGCCTCGCCTCGTGGTCTGGCTCGCCAAAACGACGCGTGTGCGTGCGTCCGTCCTTCCTCTTGCTACGCCGTCGATCAAGCATATGCCGATGATACGGAAGTATCTGCCACTGTCCAACGTGGGCATTGCTGCTGCTATCGATCAGAGCTGAGAGCAAGGCTGCATCGCAGTGCAACGAGACTGCGAAACTGACCCATCATGCAGCGAGCTGTTCGTGGAGATCGGTCTCACGAGCCCCCTACCCTCGATGCTTGCTTCGGATCCCCGCCTACATCCATTGTGCGTCCTGTTTGTCGAACCTTTCGTGCGAGAGTGCAACGCAACAGATGTGAGCGTGCACTAGCTAAGCTGCACCGCACGTAGTAGAGCGGGAGAAAGTGAGCAAGAGGTACCACCCTCGCGCACACTCACGGCCCGCGATGGGCCCAGCGGCGGTTCCCCGCCTGCACGATGCTGGTCACGGTGATCACGGGGCCTCTGGTGGGCAAGAGGGCACGAAGACTGCCCGAGCACGATGGTCGTGTCGAAGAGCTCAAAGGGACAACTGGTCAAGTTTCAACTTTGCCTTTCCTCTTCTCTTCACACCATCCCCCACCAGACCTTCCCGTCATCGCAATGCTCTTCCAGACTAACAAGCTCCAGCGTGGTGAGTCAAGCTACACGATGGTACACACTATGGCCGTCATCTGATATTGTTTGCTGATTGCGACTATCTCAGGCCTCAGCGCCGTGTTCATTGCCACTGCCACGGTGGCAGTCCTCCTCGTCTCCTTGATTCCCAGCGTGAATGGGCAAGGAACCCAAGTCGCCAACTGCTACCGCACGGGAGACTGCACGGGTGCAAACAAACCCGTGTACCTCGAAAGTGAGCACGCCCCCTAGACTCCTCCTTGATGTCCCATACTTCACTTAGTACAGAGTCACTGACCGCCGTCTCTCTCTCTCCTCACGCCATCCCCAAAATCCTCCGTTATACACGCCTTACAGCCCGTCCCGTCCCCTTGACAGAATGTGGCTCCGTCAAGAATGTGGTATTTTCTGACATTAGGATTGGTGCGAGCGGGGCATGCCTCGCTACGAGGCCTTTGAGGACTGGAGAATGCATTAATCAGCGAACCGCACCCCGCATGATGCTTTGCACCACGCTTTGAACCAGTGGACCGCAGGGCGTGCCAGAGAGAGCGCACTATCTCCAGCTGTCTTTTTATCTGGCTCCTTTCGTGTCGATGATGGTAAATACTACTACTCTGACGACGACGATGACGACGACGCTGCTGGTGTGACTTGAAACGACGAGCAGGCTATCGCCATCGCGTATTTGCAGCCCGCAATGCTCCGTCACTCGGAGACCCGGCGTCCATCTACGCTGTGGTAGGCCCACCGATGGCGAACGCTTTCTGGGCAGAAGGGCATGCAAACATGGCGAGCGCAAGCAGTCTTGTGCGACGAGGGACTCGACTGCTTGGGTCACTGAGCTGAACGTTTTGTTTCGTAACATCTCCATCGATTCACAGCGTCTGACTGCAGTATGTTCTTCCAGCAGCACCAGCATTGCGCCCAACGTGAGCGATGGGCGCAGCTGTAGCGCGCGCTTCTGCTCGCTGACAGATAGTACGCGAATACGTGGGTGCAGCCATGGCAGCCTTGCTCACCACCACGGCCGTAGCGCTCGTCCTGTTCGCCTTCGCACCTACCGTCAACACAGCAGGAGAGGCAGCCGACTGCTTTCAGAAGGCAGGCTGCACGGGCGATTCTAAGCCTTTGTACGTCCAGGGTGAGAATGATGCGCTCGCCTTGGACCTCATCGCTCGGTCACTTAGATCTTGTCTCCCTCTTGTTTACTTCTTGCGCAGCTCGCCCTTACGGCCTGGCCATTTGTGGATCGGTCAAGAATGTACAGCGCGGCGACCTGTCGATCGGAACTGATGGGTGCAAGAAAGTTGACAACCTGAAGTCTGGGGCCTGCAAGAGTGGAGATAAGTTGGTACTCTGCACCACGAAATGAGGCGGGCTGGAGCGAGGTGCTTTCCAGCCTCATCTGCGCCGAAGTTAGACCGTCTGAGTCGGAGAGATGGGCGGAGGAAAGGACGAGGATGGTGCTTGCCCCTACACTCCTGCTGGCTTGCTCGACCCGAATGCTATTGATTCATGCGGCGCTGCAGAGCGAGCTGAGAATTGTCGTTGATGCGAAAGAGGTAAGGATTCGAGGATCTGCGTCCCTCCTCGGCCCTCACAAACTTGCCTGGCCTGAGCGCGCAGCTCTTCACAATGCCGCCTTGCCTTCGTCTTCGTCTCGACTCGACACGTCCAGCCGGGCATGCTTTTGGTGCGAAACAGAGAGAAACCAATTAATGCCGACCAGACCGCAGTGCTAGACAGAGAATGGATTTTCAATGCGTCAAATCTGGCTTCAGAGAAGAAGGAGCATAAGCTTTGGTTGAAAATAGAGGTTAAGAAGATAGAAAGAATCTGAGAAGGGAATGTGGGGTACTCGTGTACATGACTGGTACAAAGGGAGGGCAAGCAGGGGTGCGTCGAGCGATGAGGGCCGTGTGCCTCCCTGCTTCTTGCTTCGTGGCAGCGAGAATGTGGGGCATGCCATCCTGGGTAGCAATCCGCTTAGTCGCGCCTCGAGAGCTCGATGACGGGAAGGGTGAAGTAGCTCGTGTCGGGCGTGAGGAGGCCAGCAGCGCCTACATACCACGCAACGGCTGCCGTGGCGATACCGAAGCCTCCGCCGGCCTTGGTGACCATCGTAGCGCGAGACTCGTTTCCGACAAAGTATCCGATGAAGAGCAGCAGGAAGGTGATGTCCAGAAGACCGAAGAGGAGGACCAGGCCGACCGAGGAGCGGAAGGAGGCGACGAACATGATGAAGGTGAAGATGAACCAGGCGCTCAGGTAAATACCCAGAGCGCTGTTGAGCTCACCCTCGGGGACAGCCGTCTCGATGCCGAACCACGGGATGAGGATGGCGGCGAATGACCACCAGAAGGCGCCGTAGGAGCAGAAGGCGGTCGCACCAAAGGTGTTACCGCTTGCGAACTCCCACACGCCGGCAATGAATTGAGCGGTTCCACCGTATCCAACAGCGAGACCGGTGACGACGTTGGGTGCGGAGACGCCACGGGCCTGAACGTTGTACATGGAGAGGACGAACGTGGTGGCAGCGAAGGCCATGAGACCCAGCGGGGCGGGGTTGGCGACTAGAAGTAGGCGAGCGCAGAGGGAGATTAGTGTTCGGCTGTCAGATAATCACGTCACTTTGCAGGTGAACGCCATGATCGTCGATGCTGCGGAGGGACAGCGGGCGAGAGAAGGGGTTGCGGACGGGCCATGACTCTAGCCACGTGCTTGCATCCGCTCCTTGTCCGCTGCCGCCTTCGCTACAGCCCGACTTTGTTGTCTCATTTCTTACGACGCTGCTACTCACACTTTCGGTGGTAGACGGGGAAGGCCGGCTGCGTCGAGTCGAGGGGATGACCTCCAGCTGCACAGAGAAAAGGGCAGAGTAGCTCGCTTTTGATTAGTATCCCGTCGCGTACGTCTGTCCACATCGTTTGTTGGCCTCACGAGTCACAGCGCGGTTGGTGGGCGCACCACCCTGGTATCCGCCGTTTCCGTTCTCGACGTTCTTGATCTCAGACATTGCGACTAGAAAGAGGAGGGGATTGGTGGTGAGAAAGAGGAGACGCGGATGAGTGTGGGGAAGAGGGAATCAAGACGTCGCTGCGAACAGCCAAGACCTGGAGCGCAGCTATATACCCCAATGGCAGAGGGCAAGGCCAGGCAGCCGCGACAGCTGGGAGTGGCCGGATTAGACGGCGGCAAGCTACGTCAACACAATCGAGTTGCGTTGGGTTGCAAAGCGGCACTCGAACTGTAGAGCTGCTTTCGAGTGGGAAGCTGCAAGAGACGCAAGCGATGGAAAGAGCGGCAGCAGCATCCCAAGAGCAGAGGAGTGACGACAAGGGGAGCGGCAGCATCAGCCCGCAGACAGCAGCAGCGGGCCCAGCGATCATCGAGTGTGGGGTTGTGGTCATCAACCGAGGCCAAAGGCCGTACGTCCGCTTGTCGCAGCGCGGCGAGCCTCAACCCTTGACTCCACACGGGCCCGCAGAGCACTCGTGTGCTGCCAAACGTCCCCCCCCGCATCTATCATCCACTCTCTCCAACGGCGCGGAACCCGGCACCAGCGGAGTGCTTTGACCGCGTCGAGTCGCCGCAAGCGAAACACGTCTCTTTTGCCCGCCCAGCAGCCACGAGCGGGCAGCATGGCTCTCTGCTCACTCATTGCTCCACCTCTTATTTGCAGTCTGGGTGAAGGTGAGACGCTCCCGACAGTAATGCTGCGATGCCTTCAAAGGCATCACTGGACGGTCAGCACGACAGCTTGGACGCTGAGGGGAAGGGGAGGGAGGGGCAACGGGGTCCAGGCAGAGGCCGCCGGGAGGAGAGCTGAGTCTCGAAGGAGCGCCGCTCCAAAAGCGGCCGTAAGCCACCCAGCATTCGCATTGCTGCAAAGGGGCAGGCAGCCCGGCACGCGGAGCGTCAACTGCAGCACCACACATTGCAAGTAGTCGGATGCTGGTGGCCGCAGGTGAGGAGTACGGGTAGATGCCGACATCTGACCCTCCCCCGCCCTTGACTATGGTCAGCTAAGCGACACAGGGGAGGACGGTAATTGGTGGTCTCTCGCGAGGGGGAGAGCAGATTCGGGTACAGTATCAGTGGGAGCGGATCTAACGTCCGACTGCTTCACCCTATGTGGTGTGGGGAAGGAGCTCAGCGAGTAGGAGCTCTCGCCGCTCAGACGGCAATCAACGGCTTTGCAAATCTAAGCCCAGAGCCGGCGGCCGAGGGTATCAGTGGGTAGTGGGCTGAGATGACGGTGAACCGTAGCACCAATCGCCGTGGCGTGCTGCTACACCAACGCCTAGACCTCCCTGCGCTATGGGTCCTCGCCCGCCCTACGGTAGCTTCTTCGGGCGGCGCTCAGCCTGCGGTGGCGCAATGTGGCTTGATCTCACGCAGGAAGTAAGCCTCGTGTGGCGTGATGATGGCGATGATGATATTGAGCGCGAATAATGTACAGTGGCGCGTCATGACATATTTCGAGGTGTGAAGAGCATTTACAGTTCGTGCAAGATGTGTGTCGCATGGCGTAATCTTGGGCAAGTCATCATATGTCGTCTCCTAGGGTATCATCTCGTGGCAATTCAATCGCTGTCCATCCCTTCCGACGTATCAAGCGGTCCCACGCAGCCCCACAACGCTGCTCCAGGGTCGTTCGTAACCTCTCTGTCCTGCCCCTTGACTGAGCTGGTAAGCGTCGTCATGCGAATCCTCGTCCGCGTGGCTCTGATCCCACAGAGGGCTCACCGCAGTTGTGATTGGCGTCTTCTTCCTCCTGCCAGGCGCAACCTCTTTCTCCGGACTGCTGAGCGCCAGCATCCTCAATCGCTGCAGGCTGCGCAAGCGCTGCTGCTGTTGCTCCTCGCCGGCCGCATCCTCGAATGCTGATGGCTCGTCGGTAGCAAGGAGATCGAGGTTGTAGTGTGATGAAGAGCGAGACACTGTAGGGCTGGCCCAGAGTGAGCTGTAGGCTGTGGTGCTAGCTTCCTCGGCATCGTCGTCGGCGCTATCGTACTCCAAGCTGATGTCGTTGTTGGATAAAGTGGCGGCTCGAATCGTATAGGCGGAATCGACGGTAGTCTCCTCTGTGACATTGCCCTCTTCTTCCTCGAGGTCCAGCGTCTCTGCGAGTCGCAGGCTCGAAGGGCCAAAGAGGCTGTAAGCAAAGGGCAGGGATGATAGCAGCCGCTGCGTGCGAGTGGTAGCAGTAGCCGATTCTTGCCTGCCTTGCGACCAGGCCTGGACTTCAGCACGAATCGAAGCGGGCGTTGACGTCTGGCGAAGCATGGCAGCGGCGGCTGCGTCGCGGTTGCGTCGCCAAGCTGGCTCTTGCAGGGCGTCGACCGATTGACTACGAGGGATATGAGTGGCCGCTGAGTAGTTGACCTCCTTGGGTGATTGGGGCTGCGAGGTCGCACGGCTGCGAGCTCGTCCAAAGAAGATGTCTGCCAGCGAGGTGATGACTCGGCCTGAGTGCTGGGCAATCTCGCGGTCGAACGTCTCGTCTGCATCGCTTTGCGAGGATGCCGCTGCGGCGGTGGCGTTAGCTCGCTGCTGGGCTTTGAGAGCGGCGATGCCCGCAGCGAGCTGAGCCTCAGGGTCCTCATCGCCGACGTCGCCATGGTATGAGCCGTCGCTCTCGCTGCTATTGCCAGCTCGCCAGGCCGCATCGCTACTGCTGGAACCGCTACTTTCGTTGATCTCCTCTGGGTCACTGACCGTACCGTTGGAAGGTCGGCTACCACGACGCTGCGAGCGTCGACGAGGAGCTGATCGTTCAGGCAGCTCGCCAAAGTAGTTGCCAGGGTATTCGAGAGGGCTCTTGGCTTGCAGCTCGGGCGGAGGGATGCGCAGGGGTAGCATGGTGTTGACGTGCGGCAGGGGCTGCGCAGGGCTCATAGGTTGGGGCGCCGAGAGATGACGGTGATGACGTCGATGACTCTTGAGGGCCTCGCGCTCGGGCATGACGCCGGCCAGAGTCCCGGATGAAGTGTACATGCGGGGAGCTGCCGAGGGACGGGCCGTTGAGTGCGTTTGCGACTGCGGCTGACCGGTATGACCGGCGGCACGATGAGGGCGACGTCGAGAAGAAGTGCGAGTGGAGCGCTTGCGCTCTCGCTCATCTTCGCTGCGGTGATCTTCGCTGTGTCCATCGTCGTCGTGGTCCTCGTCGTCGTCGCTGTGTTGGCCAAAGTACATCAGAGCCCATGGCCCGTCCATGACTTCGGCCAGTGACGTCGACGAAGAGGAAGAGGGTGACATCTGATGACGAGCGTCGCGCTTGATCGAAGTAGCGTGAGGGTGAGGAGCCCCTGCCCGCTCTCTACCTAGCCCTTGATCGTAGGCATGGCTCATCCAGTGGGCCTTCTTGGAAGGATCCTCGTGGTCGCTGCCCTCGAGGTAAGGGAAGAGGAGTCGGCGTAGGGGGCTGTCGACAAAGGAGGACACCAGGGCTTCAATAGGATTTGCAGCCATTACGATTGAGTGCGTAGTAATGGGTGACGAATATGAAGATGATGGTGGAGAAGTGAGAAATGAATCTGGTACTGCTCTCGACATTGATATCGCCGCCGCCGCCCTCGTACCCCTAGACAGCCTATCTTGTCTCTCTCCCGCTCTCGACGCTCAAGATTTCGCAGCACGCAGCGGCAGCGGCAGCGGCAGCGACAGCGACGACGGCGCATTGTTCCTCTTCGAGTTTCCCTCAGACGACGTGGGGCCCGAAGGCGGGGCAAAACGAATGGAGAAGGATGAGGGGGCCCGAGCACAACACACGCATGGGAATCGGGCAAGACAGCAGAGGATGGTCAGGGCGGCTCACGGCTCAATTGGTTGGTTTGGTGGGCCGCCGCGCCTGCACAGCTGCACTGCAAGCTCAATCGAGATTGCGAGCTCAAAATTCGCAGCTGCAGGGCGACGGCCCGTTCGCGACGTCGACTCGCCAGCTGCTGCCCTGCCCAATTCAAAGTGGCAACGACGCCCGGCCGCCGCTCCACAATCACTGCCCTGCCCTCGCCTTCATCTGGAACGCTCAGTATGCTCGAGCCCACGCCTCAATTACCCCACGACGCCAACGGGGAGCGACAATCGGCCTAGATAGTCGTGGCATTGTCACCGCTCGTCCACGTCTCCGAAAAAGAAGCCGGGTCTTGCCCCCCTAAGCTTGCGTATGGCGATACCAACCTCCGCCCGCCTAGCGCTGCCGAGAAAAGGTTTGCGCTCTGCCGTCGCCTCCGTTCTCTCCGCTCTCTCTGCCATGTCCCTCACACCGCCCTCATCGGAGTTGATCTACAGTAGCGTCGTCCCACGCCCGCCCTGAATCTAGTGTAGCTCGCCGCCAGCGGGGCTCCCCCTTTGCCCAGCGGAGCAACACTACCACTGTTCAAAGCCTCCACGCCTCCTCCACGCCGCCTAGAGTTTTCGACAAAGGAAGGATCGACTCGACGACCTTGGCGAGGGAGCTTGGCGAGCATGGTTCTCGCACTGCGTGACGTTGAGTGAAGCTTACTCTATCTCGCCAACTCATTCCCATGGGCACCTCATCGAACGGCATCACGGCAAGTGATCGCGAATCAAACGTCACAGCCAAGCTCTAATTCGAGAGCGTCACGTGCGCTGAGACGACGACGACGACGACCCGTAACGGCGACGACATTGCAACAAAGGGAACACTTGGTGGGCTCTTGGACCCCTTGATTCCCATCAGGCCCCAGCACCGGCCCAAGTGCCTCCATCTCGCGATCCCCGCTCCCCGCATCAAGAAGAATCCCTACTCTGGGCGTCGTCGTAGTGCGAATTGCAGCCCCTTCTTTGATGGTCGCAGGACATCGAGATCGAAAAGTCCCCCAAAACGCTGCGTGGCATGCCTTCCCACGCTGTCGCGGCATCTTTTCGTCGACGATACAACAGAGTTGAGAAGAAAGGGCCGGTGCACAGCGGTGCACACTCCACTCCACCTCGCAGCAGCAATCTGCTTTACCAGCCCTTGCTCTTCGTCGCGATCTTCGATCTATCGCAGTCCTCGCAGGCGAGGGATGCGATCGCAAGGGCAGACTTAAAGCTAGCAATATGGCCCGACGGCGCGTCCCTCAGGGTCTTGCTCGTTCCACTGCGAGACGAGGGCGTGAGATCATTGTGAGACATTGCTACACCCCGTAGCTGCCGCTTCGTCGGGCTTAAGCAAAGTTCATTCGCTGGAAACTTGTCGTAATCACATGAATGGAAGGTCTGTCAACTATGATGAAGAGAGGGAACGACGGCCATAAGGAGCCGTCGGGTATCATGCTTGCTACTGTGCAAATGCCTCACGCGGCGGCAACCACAGGCGCGGGTGTTGCCTCCTCCTCCTTTGCAACTGACGGGGCCTCCTTCGCCTCGATGGCTGGCGTCGCCTCCTCTTCCTTTACGGCTGGCTTCGCGGCCGCTTCTGCCTTCGCAGCAGGCTGACCAGCGACCTTCAAGCCCAGCCAGTTCTTCCAAGCCGACCTCACCTTGCTGTATCGCACGGGGTTGGCGTTTGCGCTCGTCCCGACATCGCCCGCCTTCTCCTCGATGGCGTCACGGTCCTTTACCTCCTCGGCAACCTCGCCAGCATCCTTCTGCACGTGGCTCTTCTCAATCGCAGCAATGCGCTCCTTCTCGATAGCCTCGACAGCCTCGCGACGCTCCTTCTCGATCTTCTCCTCGGCCTCCTGACGCTCCTCGGCGATGTGTTCCTCCTTCTCCACGCGGTCCTCGTGAACCTTGGCCTCAGACTTAGAGCGCGTAACCCAGGCCTGCTTCTCAGCCTTGACACGGCGGCTAACGGCCTCATTTTGAGCGTGAACAAGCGCGGCGCTGATCTTGGCCTCGTGCTTGCGGCGGGCGATGGAGGCGGCAGCGATCGCTTTACCCTTTGTTTCCTTGGCCTTAGACACTTGCTCAAGACGCTTCTTATCTGCCTTGGACTTGGCGCGTTCTAGCTCGGCCTCGTAGTCGGCTTCGGCGCGACGAATCGCAAGGGCTTCGGCCGCTGCGGCGGCATCTTTGGCCTGCTTGGCGATCTCCTGTGAGCGAGGGCGGGAGGTGGAGCCGATCAGTACGAGACACGGACGACGCCACTGCGGCCGGTGTACGCACCTCCTGACGGGCGATTTCTGCCTCTGCCTCCTTCTTCGCCTTGGCCTTCTCTGCGAGCTCCTTGGCTACGGCCTCCGTGTCGGCTGCCCTTTCCTTGGCCTCAGCGACTTTGTCAGCGGCCGCCTCAGCTCGTGCAGCCTCCTCGAGCGCCCTGCATGTAAGCGAAGGAGGAGTGTCAGGAACTGGTCCGACTTGCGTGATGAGGTACGCTGCTCACCGTCGTGCGCTCTCAGCAGCCTTCTTGGCCTCCTCTGCGGCATGCTCGGCAGCCTTGGCCTCCTTCTGAGCGGCCTCCTTTGCGGCAAGAGCCTCACGCTTCAGGCCTTCGAGGATGGCGTCGTGCGCATCGGCATCCTTTGCGGAAGGTGCGACATCCTCCCCGGCGGTGGTCGACTCCTCGGTAACCGCGTCTACGGCAGGATCAGCGGCGACTTCCGGTGATGCTTCCTGAGCTTGAGGCTCAGCAATAGGCTCGGCGACGACAGGAGTGGTGGTAAAGAGGGCCATGGTGGAGCAATGCTTAACGGATGAGGAGAGACAGCACTTACGGTTGGCGCCGCGCTCGACCTTTTGAACCAATCGTGCTCCCCGCAAAAACAATCTTGCTTTTGAGCCCCTGCATCTCGTTCTCGGGTCAAGCGTCGTCCAGACACCCTTCTGTCAATCTTTGGCCCCTATTCCTACCATAGTCTTGGCCACTCGCACCCATCGCGTCGCGTCCTGCGGGGAGCCCCTATCGCGCCGCGCTCGAGCCACCGGGGTCGTCAAGCTCGTAAGGATACTCAATCAAATGTGATGAGATGACTAGATAGTTCCATGCGAACGACGACAGAAGAAACGTGAACAGGGGTCAAGCAGGGCGCAGCAAAGCATGGAGCAAAGGGCCGCGTGCGAAGACGAGTAGGAAGTCCGGATGCGAACAGCAGGTCAAGAGCGATCGAGAAAGAGCAACAATCCAAGTGCGAATCGCTTGCACCTCATGGCTGGTTAGCAGCGTAAGGCTTGAGCTCCGGCTCCCTGTCAGTAGTCTGCGTCAGGAAATCGTTGCTCCCGACCTCAAGAGCAGCCATGAAGGCCGTCTTGGCCAACTGCGGCACGGAGTCATCCGCGGCGCCCGGAACCAGGTCGGCACAGAAGTCCTGCCTTTGCGACAAAGCCAGGAGCCTAGCTCGGTTCACGTTGGCGATGCCGCCGTTGCGCAGGGCATCCAGAATCAGCCAGAAGGCAGGAGCGCTCAAGAGCGTACGGAAGTGGTCCACAATGGCTGCGGTCCTCCCCGCGCAGATGAGGGACAGGTCGATGTGCGCAAAGCTGTTTGGCACAGGCGTATTGTCCAAAGTGGTGGTGCTTGCGACGGGCTGAATGATCTCGTCAAAGTCTCCGTAGAGGGCCGTGGTGGGTACCAGGGGCTGATTGGCATGCTTGTTGAGGGCATTGAGGAAGTTGGACGGCTTACCCAGGATGACCGACTGCTGGATCACAGACGGAGCTCCGCCGTGGATCAAGGCGTATTGAGCGGCGAGCACCAGCTGGCCTTCAGCTGTACCGTGGAAGTCGGGTGCCAGTCCGACGAAGTTGCGGATCTACGGGGGCGAGCAAGGTGTCAGCATAAGCACTCGCCGATCAGACGGGGCCGCCGACGCACTTTGTTCCTACGGCTTGGCCAGAAGTTGAGGCCCCACTGAACATTGAGATTACCCTGCGAGTGGGCAGAGATGGTGAAGGGCTTGTTGCCTGCCTGAGAGTACACCGAGTCGATTTGCTTGACGACGTATTCGGACTGTAAGTTGGCAGTTGTCAGCCATCATCTCCCGTGAAACGCCGCTCTTCCTCCCCTACAACAACTCACGGTGACCTGCGCATCACTCAGCGAAACATTTGGCAGATTGGTATAGCAGGGGAAGTAGCCCTGCGCCTTGAGAGCAGGCACATAGCCCTTGGCGAAAGCATTGTCGCCGGATTCGCCAGTCCCAGGGATGAACAGGATATTCTTCTCGGGCGACGACTTGGAGACGCCGTAAGGGCAAATGGGAGGGAATTGAGCAAACTGAGCGTCAGACTGAGAGAAGGGAGCGTCGGTGGTGATTGCGTTTGGGTAGCGCTTGGTGAGCTGGACGGGCGAGGCCGAGCCGACCGAGGCAAGCGCAAGGGCTGCGTAGAGGGTGGATACGGAGAGGAACATGGTGGGCGGGAAACAGAAGGGGTGGAGAGAAGGGCGAAAGAGGGAGGAAGGGAGAGGATGGTTCAGGATACGAGTGAAAGAGAGACGCTACAGCGGCCAGCCTTTTGTAGAAGGATGATGTGTACCAATCACGCAGTGTCTTCCTGCGCTAGCCAGTCGTCTTCCCCGCACATACATGCCCACGCTTTACCACCTTCGAGGCCCTCGCTTCGTCATCTGACGTCCGCCATCAAATCGATTCGATCCGTCATCTCCTACCGCTACCCCGCACTCTAATGACTGATCGAACCAAAGGCGACAGGAGGCGAGCCGCCCGAGCCGGTGTGTGAAGGTCTCGCACCACCGCAAGCTACGGCGAGGGCCGCCCGGACACCGAGCGTCTTCTGAAGCAGCAGGTACAGAGAGAGAGAAGCGATAAGTGCGGGATGGGGATCTGGATCTTATTCTGGACTCATGCGAACGAAGCGAGAGAGGAGAGTCTGTGGTCTCTGCAGTGGGCTAGAGTCGACTGGGACGCGACGTGCAAGCAAGACAAGGTCTAATTAAATCGTCGGGCCCTCAGCGCTCTGCGGGAGCGAAGCAATTTGATCGTGGGGAAAGGACAGAAGGGCTGCGCAGCGACGGCGCTGCTTGGGCTTGGCGGACATAGAATGAGCTCTGTTGCCTCAGTCGAGCTGCCGGAGATCGGAGATTGCGGGACGTCAAAAAGTGTTTGGAAGCGAGTGTCGCACGCGAGCAATGTGGGGCGAGGCCTACTGAAGAGCACGAAGAGGAAAGTGCGAGACGTCCTCTCGAACAGGAGAGGGCTTTTCCATTTTACGGTTGATTCGCAGCATACGGCATAAGAGCGGGCTCCGTCTTGGTAGTCTGGGACAAGAACTGGTTAGTTCCAACCTGGATCACAGCCTGCCACACCGTCTTGACGAGGTTCACCAAGGACTGATCAGTTGCCCCTGGCACGATGTCTGAGCAGAAGTCTTGCTTCTGTGCAAGCGCTAGGTTCCTCGCCCTGTCCAAGTCTGCGATGCCGCCCGTCTGGATCGCGTCTACCAGTAGCCAGAAGGCCGGCGCAATTAGCAGAGTACGCAGGTGATCGATGGTCCCTGCCGTTCGGCCTGCACATGCGGCAGAGAGGTCAATATGACTGAAGCTGTTAGGAACGGGCGTGTTATCTAGCCTCGAAGAATAGGCGATAGGCTGTACCACCTCGTCTTGTTGGCCAAATAGCGAGGTCGTGGGGACCAAGGGCTGATTGCCATGCTTGTTCAAAGCGTCGATGTAATGTGGATTGCGGCCGAGAATGATTGACTGTTGGATGACTGCTGGCGAGCCGCCCATTACTGTGGCTCTCTGCGCTGCCAGGACGAGCTGCCCGAGTGCCGTACCGTGGTAGTCGGCGGAGAGGCCGACGTAGTTGAGCACCTGCGCGTCGTGTGCGACGAAAGAAGGCAGAGTGTCAGCGGTGACGCCTCGGGATTCGCGAGCTGACGCGCCTGCTTACCTTTGTCCTACGACTCGGCCAGAAGTTCAAGGCCCACTGGATATTGATGTTGCCCTGCGAGTGGCCCGAGATCGTAAAGGGTCTATTGCCGGCCCTGGCGTACATGGCGTCAATCTGCTTTACGACGTGCTCGGACTGCCCGGAAGGAGTAAAGAAGGTAGATCAGTAGCCATTCCGCCCGCTCCTCTGCATGCTGCTCGATCCTCACCGTGACCTGCGCATCTGCGAGCGAGTGATTTGGCATGTTCACATAGCAGGGAAAGAAGCCCTGCGCACGTAGAGCGGGCACATAGCCTTTCGAGAAGGAGTTGGTACCAGAGGCAGCTGTGGGCGGGATGAACAGGATATTCTTGTTCACCCTGGCTTGCGACACGCCGTAGGGACAAATGAGCGGGAAGGCGGCAAATTGAGCTTCCGTCTGAGAGAAGGGAGCGTCCTGCGTTATGGCGTTGCCGTAGCCATCCGAGCGGGAAGTCACAGGGCGCGGTGCAGCGGTGGCAGGGGAGAATGCTATGGCCAATACCGCAAAGACGGTGCTTGCCTTGAAGAGCATGGCGCGCAAAGCTGGTGGGGAGAGAGATGCAGGGGATAGCAAAGGACCGAATCAGGGCGCCGAATCCAAGGAAGCCTCCAGAGTGGGCCTTTGGATGATGAGCCAGCAATCAAATTGAGTGAGGGCGAAAGAGGGACGGCGGCGCTTGATGGTGGTGCGAGCTGCGCGATGTCCTTCTTGTAGTCATCACTCCGGCATATCCTCACCGTCGATCCCGCTCGCCTCATCATCTCGCATCCCAACACTCTCTTCCTCATCGTAGCCCGAAAAGCTGGAGCCGAGCTGAGAAAGCTGGTTAGTCGGTCCCTTCTCCGCCAGCAACGACGAGGCGAGCCGACGAAAGGATGGGAGCAAGCGTGACCATGAACCGCTCGGAGTGCGGAAGAGTGTTGGGCCCAATTCTGGTTTTCGCCAGTGAGCAGGACGGCCCCGCCTTCCCTCCTCGTCTTCGCCTGCTCGTCGAGCTCGCTAATCGGTGCAGAGGGGGGTATTCGGGCTCCGACTGGCTCACAGGTTGCTGTCTACCTCGGTCTTGTCGCGCCAGTTGATTAAGGCCACAAAGTGCCAGGCACTGGCTGCGCAAGAGGGTCAGGGTACGGGCTCGAGCGCTCCCACAATCCATCGTTGCTTGTCGATGCCACGCGCCCTCGACGGGCTGGCTACCGGAAAGAGCGGAATAATTGCAGGATCGTATCTACATTGGATGGAACTCTACGATGAGACCTGCTCATCTCATTGGCTCTTGATCTTCTCATCGACCAAGCCCTCTTTCAGCTCATGACCCTGCACGTCACCCTTATCCGCACTGACAGTTCCCTTGGCCTTTCTCTTGATCCTTGCCCACAACCCACAATCCGTCCCCAAGATGAACTGCACAGTCACCATCGGCCAGCTCTTATGGCTGGGCAGGCAGTCGTAGAATTCGGGAGCCATCCTCTTTAAGTCTGGCAAGCGGGTCCAGGGCACCGAGGGAAAGTCGTGGTGCTCGTTGTGGTAGCCGACATTGTACGCTAGTATGTTCAGGGGACCGTAGTAGGACCACGTTTCTTGAGCTATCCCGCCGAATAGGTAGTGCTCGGCAATAAAGTGTGCGGCGCAGGGGTGCAGTGACCCCGCAAAGAAAGAGGAGAAGAGCAGGTAAACGAGCGGGGTCCAGCCCATCGTCTGTACGAGAGCGGCATTGAACGCGAACTGGAAGGCGATATTAAGGACGTGCCAGACGGTGAGGCGCTGCGTCTTGATGAAACCTGGTCGCAATGCGTAGAAGAAGATTTGGAAAGTCGCGAAAAAGGCTTTTCCGAGTACGTGGTTGAGGCAGAGGAGCTCGAAGCGCGTGGGCATGTCCGTGTCTATCCCGTCCTCGCCGAGGTGCTTGTGGTGCTCGATGTGGTATTGCTAGGCGCGACGAAAGAGAGGCGATAAGTCAGCTGGCCGTATACCTGACTTATCATCTCGCAGCGCAGTCTCACCTTGAACATCATCGCGTACGGCACGCCGATAACCGTATTGACTCCAATCGCGAGGGCCTTGTTCGCCCTGATGCCTTTGAAGGCCAAATTATGCGTGATCTCATGAATAGCCAAGAAGATATTCTGGTTGGCCGTCCCTCCGACCACATAGGCCGTGAGCAAGAAACGCCAATCGAATGGATGTATCTGCCAGTACCACATCGCTGTAGCCGCGGCCAGCTGCGTAGCTACGACGCCCATCGCGATCCACTTGGTGAGAGGTTCGCGGCCCATGAGCGATTTGATCTCAGGATGAGCCTTGAGAATCGCTTGCCGACGAGTGCGATGCGGCTCTTCTGTGAGGAGCCATAGGAAGTCTTGCTGGTCTTGCTTGACGGGCAGGAGCTGCGGGAGCCACGGGGCGCCGGCGCCAGATGTAGACGCGGACGAGTCCGACTTCTCGAGGATGGGAGCTGCGACAACGCTATCTGCGTCGGTTATGTCAGGCGAGGCTGATCGCGACGATGGCGACGAGCTGCGTTGTGATGATGATGAAGCTACGGATGAGGAGGCAGACATGGAGGCTGAAGAGACATCGCTGTGAGGTTGTTGCTGTCCCTTCTTGAATGCTAGCGGCCGAAGCCACGGCGGTACCTCCTCGGCTCCGCCGAAGAAGGAGAAGTCGATATTGACCGACGAAGGTGTGTAGTCGAAGCCCAGCATGGCTGGCTAGGAAAGAGCGTGGTGATATCGTAGGCGCGAGAGGGATGAGGTACGAAGGTAAAGAGAGCAAGGACAAGGTTTCTTCTCGTGTTTCTCGTCGTGCGCCTCCTGACTTGGCTCAAGTGTTCCCCGCTCGTTTGCCGCCCTGCCTCGCGCCCGCCCCGCCCCCTGGCTGCAGTCAATCGACTCCAGGCCCGCTGCGCTGCGCCCAGGCTCAAAGCTCGTATTTCGACGGAGCACGGGCCACTGTGGCGGCCCGCTGACCGAGTTCCGTCGACTTGCTTTCCGTTCTGTTAACACCACATTCATCCATCCGCTCACAAGCCTCAGCATCATAAAGATGACTCACTCGCCTACCTCGCCTTGATCGAATCGGCGCCGCAACGGTAAAATGCCAGCAGCAGTAGCAGCAGCATCATCGACGCCGCCCTCGGCGCGGCTCCCCTTCGAGATCGTCGCTTCCATCCTCACCTTCGCCATCCTCGCCCCTCCCGACCTTCACGAGCGCGAGGACGAGCTTGATCGCCCCCCGCGCCGCCGTCCACCAGCATATAGCCACCTCTTGATCTCCTCAACCCTTCGCAAAGCCCTCGAACCCATCTACTACTCACGCGTGACCCTCACATCGACCAATGCTTTAGCCTCCTTCGCCTCAACTCTCAAATCCCGCCCAGACCTCAACCGCAAAGTCAAGTCCCTCTGGATCGCCCCATCCTCCCTCTCCTCCGACTTCATCACAACCCTCAAACCTCCTTCGGACGGCATCAATTCCCTACCAGCGACGATCGCCCAGCCCATCACCCACATCAAGGCCATCCTGCGTGCCTGCCGCTCCCTGCGGCACCTCGCCCTCGATGGGTGCTTGTGCACGCTCAAGGCCTCAACCCTCTTTGGGTCGAACTGCCAACCGCTCTCCGTAACCAGCATCAATCCCTATTCGTTCCTTGGCGGCTTCTCCGCGCCAATGTTCAAGAAGGTTAGAAGGCTCGAATTGTGCGATACGAGCTTGGCAAGTGATGAGGTCGAGCAGGTCCGTACACTACCCGAATTGGGCGAGTTTGTTTGGACGAGCCCAAGAGAGTATGGAGATGCAAAGAGAGACGTCACTGCCTTGTGGCGCATCGTGGCTCCAGGAAGCGGGCAATTCAGTAGGCCAAGTACGACGCTGCAGGCTGCAGTTGAGGCTGGCGGTGAAGAGGGGGAGCAGCGAGGAGAGGGGTCTTCTTCACCTCTACCTGTCAAGCCTCACGCGCCTCGTCACCTGCGTAGCGTCACGATTCGCTCAGGACAGACGCGCTGCGCCCAGCTGGCCACAGCCCTCAAGCTCGCTATAGCGGATCCTGCTCTCCAGCATCATCAGCACCACGCATCGACAGATGAGCTCGCGTCGTCCCTCTCCTCCTCGCTCGCTTCTCTCTCCCTTGGTGGACGTGGTGGAGTCTCAGCGCCATACGTCGACTCCTCTGCCCACACGACACGCATTGAGCATCCGGGCACGGGCGTGGAGATGTGCACTGCACGGATCGAGGGGGACGCTGTCGCAGGACAGGACGACGACGATGGAGGAGGGGCCGGACTGATTGACGAGTGGGAGGCATTGCGAGATATCATTTGTCCCGGTGGAGGAGGAGCATCATTGTCGTTCAGGATTGACGAGGCGAATAGAGGGACGGCGAGACGGAAGAGGGAGAAACTGCAAGGGCCGGCCACGTCGGACGAGGACGAGGATGAAGGGCGATCGGAAAGTGTCATCGACCCTGGGATGGCGCTCCGGCGACTATGGGTCGAATGGTGCACTAGAGTTGAAGACGGGTCGCTGGAGGTGGAGCTGGGCTCGCGACGATGAGGCGATGCGAGAGGCGAAGAGAGAGGGAGCAGATACGCAGATCGAGACTCATTGCAGCGCAAACGCCCAATACCATCATTGTTGCCCGTCCATTTTTTAATTCTGTTCTCGCCAAAGCCAAAAGGCATTTGCGTGAGCCGTGGGTGGACAGGGTGTCCCGGTCAGGCTCAACATAACTTTAAGCAACTAGTTGTGAGGATACCTGCAATGGCCCCTGTCTTGGCCCCTTATTGGCTTGGTAGCGGCCAGGAGCCGGTGTTGGTTGTCTGCTCGCCGCGCTCGAGCCTCCACAGCGACACGCTCACCACGTGGATGGATATCTAAGACTCTGGCCTGGCGGGCGGGTGCGCTTGGCGTCGGGTGTCAGTTGTCAAGCGACACAGCACCACCCTGCGCTTTCACGATTGAGTTGCGCTTTCCTCTCCCTCATCTAACACTCCCACCACCACTACCATCATCCTCACGATCATGTCACGACAGACGCTACTGCTTCTACTGCTCTTCGCCGTGCTAGCATGCGCACTCTTGCCAACCGCAAATGCCTTTGGAGCGGGCAACATCCCGTCGTACTCTGCGATGGAGGGATCAGCCTTCCGACATGGCGACTTGGCTGATGCCATTGCCCAGCTCTCAAAGAAGACCGGTGGTATCTTTGGGAAGGGAAGCAAGTTCAGCGCATTTGAGATCAAGCAGGTCTATCTTGGAAACTGGCTGCGTGACGTGAGTCGCCCGTAGGCAAAGCGTCCCTGACCTCCGCTGACCACACTCCTCTTCCCTCGCACTCCCAGTATTCCCAAGCAATGGACGTCGCCGGACTCGAGAAGATGAGCAAGCAGACGATTCTTACCATCTGCATGGTCTTGGGCTTCCTCTCCTTCGGCTATGCCACTGGCGAGTTTGAGGTGACAGAGGAGCGACTCGGAGTCTATCGCTGCGAGGAGCATCTCGATAATCCAAAGGTGAGGCGGCTCACCCGGTGCGATGACAATGCGAGCTGCTTGTTCACAGCGACTGCCTCTTCCCGCTCACGTAGGGCTACGCCGAAGGCAAAGACGCCCGCACCTTTGACCGCCGTCTGCGAGGTCCCGTGGACCCGCGCGAGCTCGAAATTGACCCGCGTTCTGGCATGAAGAACTACCTCGCCAACGAAGACGGCGGCTGGCCCACCTCATCCAAGATGATCCGCGAAACTCTCATCGAAGTCATCCAGATGGGGCGAGAACATCGTCGCACAGGCAGAAAGGAGGTCCTCTACGAGGCTTACCGCCAGCTGGGGAAAGCCATGCACGCCATGGAGGATTTGCCTGCTCACTCCAACTGGTGCGAGCTCGCGCTGCAAAAGCTGGGCTACCGCGACGTATTCGTCCACGTAGGCGACAACGTGAAAGTACGAGCGCCAGACGGTCAAATGGTCGCGCCCCTCGTGACGGGCACGTTCGGCGGTAGTGACTTCGTCCATTCCTTGCTGGGTGAAGCAGGGGACCACCTCTCCTCCGCCTCCGTCTCCGACCTGTCCAAGTCAGTCAACGAAGCCAAGCAGAAGTCGGCGCAGGGCAATGCCTTCTCATCGATGATGGGCATGCTGGGAAACGTCCCTGGCATGTCAGACGGCAACGTCTCGCGCGATGCTGAGTCCCTCTCACGAGGCCCGTCACAGAATCCGGAACTGATGAGCCCACAAGAGCTCTACAGCAACCTCTTCAAGATCCTCACCTTCCACGACCGCATCATGCGCGGCATTGAGACGACGATTGAGAAGATTCCGGGCCTCTCCTCGCTCATCGAGAACGTGAGCAACTCCATCGCCACCTTCACCATGACGCTCATCGAGCCCTTTGTGGCTCCGTTGATGAAGCAGGCCATGTCCGGCCTGCATGCGACAAGTGGTGCCGTAGTTAGTGGAGCGGACCAATACGAGGTCTTCAACAACCCAAACGCCTCAGACCCGACCCACTCGCAGCTGAGCAAGGACCACTTCGGTTTGATCCTCAACGAGGTGGGCGGTAATGTCGCAATCATCATCGACCGCCATCTGGTCAACAACGTCGTAGCGGCATGGGACGACGAGAGCAAAGATCCGCGTCGCGTAGCAGATGAGTGTCTCGCCCCCATGTGCCACCCGTACTGGGCTGGCGCTCACCCCGTGCAGCGCGAGATGCTCGACTTCGTTGCTGCTTGGGCTCGTAGCCACCCTCGCGAGATCAGCAGATTGGACAAGCAGCACTGCCGCGCTCATACGAACACGCGCGATGGCAAGGCTGCGGATCATGGGCAGGGTTGCGGTGGTGGGGGTCCTACGCTCTCTCAGGCTGGAGTGAGCCATCAGAGCACCGGCTTCGGGCCTAGTCTGGCGCATAGCGTGCAGGGCAAGCTTGGCCTGCCTACTTCGCTCGGCGGGCTGGGTAACAGTATGGCTCATGCTGCGGGGTTGCGAGAAGTAGGCGCGGAGGGCGGGCAGGGGTACGATGCTGCGCGACGTGACGATTACGGACGACGCGGTGGTGATGATGATGACAATGAGCCGAGGCGTCAGCAGCACCACGGTGGCGGCCGTAGCGGCGAATCGTCGGGCTACTATGGTGGCAGCAGGCGCGATGATGATGAGAGTGATGAGCCACGACGTCCTCAGCAGTACTCCAGCGGCGGACACTCTGGTGGTCAGCACCACCAGTACGGCTCAAATGATAACGATGGCGGTAGCATGGGCTTCCCTCAAGCTCAGCATCACGGGCATGGTGGCAATGACTACCAGCAGCAGCAGCAGCAGCAGCAGCACTACGGCGGTGGAGGAGGAGGAGGATATGGTGCACCACCCCAGCCTCACTACCAGCAAGGCGGGTATGGAGGAGGTGATGGCGGCTTCCCTCACCCGCAGGGCCCGCCTCCGAACATGTACGGTGGTCCGCCTGGCCCACCGCCTGGACAGTATGGCGGGCAGCAGGGCGGGTACGGCGGGCAGCAGGGCGGGTACGGCGGGCAGCAGGGCGGGTATGGTGGGCAGCAGCAGGGGTACGGTCAGCAGGGCGGCTACGGGCAGCAGGGAGGGTACGGGCAAGGGGGAGGGTACGGCGGTGGATACGGTGGCGGCTACTGAGTTCGAAGAGAGCAAGCCATGTATCCATCCTGACGATCATGGAAATGAATTATCACACGAGCCCAAGAAACAGACAGATCGATGCCCACACCCAAATCATGCCAGATCCCCCTGCGCTCTACTGCCTCGCATCCTCCGCCGCCACGCTTGAGATGAAGGTGTGCTCCTCAAAGAGAGTACCCTTGACCTCCTTCTTCGAACCACTCCCATCATCCAGCTCCAGCGTCGTGGGGTTCAGCGTCTGATAGATGTACGGCTTTGTCCCCGCAACGTAGTTGACAATCTTGCGCACCATGTAGGGAATCTCGGCAAGGACGTCGACCTTATCCACCAGTCCCTTTGCCTCGCTCACCGGGCTAGGCTTGCCGAGCGCGACCGTCGTGCTAGCCTTGACGACTGCGGAGGGCGAGGCGAGGGCGGGACCCTCCCATACGTATTGGATGGACTGGGGAGCCTGGTAACCCGTGTCGGCGTCGAGGGTACGATCCTGGTGGGTGACGCGAGTGGACGACCCGCGCGGGGATGAACGAACCCCATTGCGGGTCGAGCCAACAACGGCGAGCAATTTGCCGCCAGCAGTGATACTGCCAATGGTAACAGTCATCGTCTCTCTCGCTGGCCCCGGCGTGGCACTCCCACTCGCAGCAGCAGCAGCAGCCTTCTCCTGGCTCCCTTCGCCGTCTTTCACCGGTGCAGCACCATAGTCGCTCGTGGTAGTGAACTCCATCATGATGGCCTGCACGCCTCCTTCTTCCTCGGACTGGAAGTTGGCGAAGTTCCACTTGGACGCAACGAGGTTGGGTCGCATGCCCTGAATGGCGCTGACGAACATTCCTTGACCGGTGGCGTCGATTGCTTGGCCTTTGATGATGAAGTGGCCAGAGGAGTGGGACGTGGGCCAGAAGCGGTGTACCACCTGCGCGCGCGCGAAGAGAAGTTACTGAGAATGGTGAGCTCACCGTTCGAACGGTCTCCCTCTCGCCTCGTCCTTGCTGCTCTCACATAACCATCCGGGCTCGCAGCGTTGGTCCCGAACAAGCTCTTTCCCCCTTCAGGTCCAGCACCGAGCTTCCAACCTTGCGCCTCCTTGGGTCGGGTGAAAGAGTAGGCCAACTGCAGGTCCGAGTCCATGTTGGCTTCGATGGTGTACTTCTCGCTGCCGTCCGCGAGGGTCTCAAAGAGGACGGAGTACTGGTCCGACTTGGAGGATCGCTTGTCCCCTGGCGTACGGGTATGGGGACAGAGGGATCAGCGGAGGATAGAAAGGGCGTGGAATTGCGCAAAGGCTCACACTTTGACTTGTTACGGAACCCGTCAGGGGGAGGAGTAGTGAAGTGGGTGACATTCACTGACTTCCAGACCTTTTGGCCAGTCTTGGGGTTGAAGTACTTGAAAGTGACCTGCGGCGATGTCGAGGAATGACAGTGAGCGGCAAATACAGAGGTGACCTGCATCACAGCACCGCGCCGTTTCGCACCTGAATCTGAGGATACCACAATCCGACTCCCGAGTGGATAATCTGACTCGTAGCAAAGCTGCCATCCTTTAGGATCGTATACCACGTCTGCGTCTCCGTTGCAAATCCACCGGCGCACGTCCATTCGAGATCCTTTGCCTCCAGAGGGCCATACAGCTTGTCCTGTGGAGTAGTGTCAGTGATTGCATGGAAGTTGGGAGCCAGAGCGGCAGCGGTACCGCTTTGGCTGCCCGTGCTGCCGGCCTTTTCGTGCGAGGCGGAGGAGCCGCTACTGTTGGGTGGGGGAGGAGCAGAGTATATGCGAGTCAGCGTGAACTAGCTCCTGGCGGCAGGCATACCACGCCACACTAACAGCCAAGATCCCCAGCCAGACATGGTAGTGCTAGTGTGAGGTGGTGGTGAAGAGGAAAGTGATGGGCGGTGTGGTGGAGCAGAGAGGAGAAAGCAACACAGGGCACGCTCACGCAGACGCAGACGCAAGACGCAGCTCACCTCGCCGAATGCAACACTGGAGCGAGGCTGAGCCCGTGGGCCGGCCCCAAGCTCAGCGGCAGCGACGAGCCTCGATTCCGCCCGAGCCGCTCCCTCTCCTTCCCTCCACCACGTGGGTGCCCGAATGGGTGAGCGGATACCAGGCGAGTGCGGAGGACGAGGTCGAGCTGCGTTGTTCTCGCTCTCAACCAACACCAGCACGAGTGCAGCGTAGACCTCTAGCCGCCATTATGTCACAGCCACAGGCAGCGCCACCTTCACAATCTCAGCTTTGGATCATTTCCAAGGCAGGCGGCCTGATCTACCAGTCCCCTCCCCCCTCAAGCGCCTCAGCAGCCTTTCGCGCCGTCTCCTCCAACGAGGCTCTCATCCTCGCTGGTACGCTGCACGGCATTCACGCAATTACTGCTCGCCTTGATCCGACTACAGCGCTCAAGCCGCCAGGGGCGGCGAGGGGCGCAATGGAGAGCTTGGAGAGCGAGGGATTTGCAATGAGCGTTAAAGGGACTGCGACTGGTGAGCACGAATGGCCGAGATGACGGGACGGGGAGGAAGGTTCGTCAGCGCTGACCCCTCTTTTGCATAACGCCAGGCGTCAAGCTCGTTCTCATTCACCCGTCGGGGCACCCCAACCCACACGCAACGCTGCAACGCTGCTACGAAGCGTATGCGGACCAGGTCATGAAGAATCCATTCTACACAATGGAGATGCCCATTCGCGTCCAAGGGTTCGACCGTGAGGTGGGCAGCGTCTTGGCGGCGAGCTAGAGCAGCGAGGGAGATCCACAGGGGTATAGCATTATTGCAAGACAAAAGATTGAGAAGGACAACGACGCCATCAATGGCGAGCGCTGCTAGAAGACGCGCCCCTTCTTCTCGCCCCCCTTCTTCCTCTCTACCCTCACTCGCATATATCGCGTCGGCTCCCTCCAATGGCTTTGGCTCAAATCAGGCAGTGGCACATTGTCGAGTCCGTACGCCTCGCCGCGCTCGTCCACAGTCGTAAAGTCGTCGCTGTATGCCAGCAAGGTAGCGAGAGCTACGATGGTCTCCAGCTTGGCGAAGCGCATACCTGTGCACTTGTGCCTCCCGGCGCCCCAGGCGATGTACGAGTAGTCGGTGGACCCTTCGCCGCGCTGGTAGCGATAGGGATCGAAGTGGAAGGGGTTGCTGAAGGAATCGGCGTCGTGCAGGTTCGAGGGGGGAGAAAAGGTTACGTACACCTGCGGCGGCGGGCAGCAATAGGATAACAGGTCAGCAATTGCGCTGGCAATACAAAGCTCTTTCTGTGCGCCAGTACTCACGTCATCCTCGATTGGGTGCCCATCGATGACCAAGCGCGGGCTCCCCTTGCTCGGCCCTGGGTAGTAGCGGTTGAGCGAGTTGGTCAGGAGCAGCCTGATCGCCTCTTTGAAGCAGAGGTGCAAGAGCTCAAAACCCTCTTCCCACTCGCTCAGCTCCACGCGGGCGAGGCGCTCGTGCAAGCTCAACTCCTCGTACTCATCGCCACGAGCTTCGGCACTGGCGCGTAGAGTACGCTCCACCTCCTCGCGGCAAGCAGCGCGCAATTCAGGTGAAGCGCCCAGAAATGCAATGGTGTACGCCCCGGTTCCAATCGTGTTCAATATCCCCGCCAGTAACGCTCCGATGACCCATCGCGCAATCTTATCCACGCCCATATCCCGCGCATCGATGAGGTTCTGTGCAAAGTCCTCCTCCTTCCTTCCCTCCTTGATACGCTTGCGCACGTCAGTCCGGACCATCTTCCAAAGCGTGAGAGCGCCGCACAATCGGGTCAGCAAGCGCGGCTGCGGGATCCAGGGAAGAAGTGTCGTCCAATACCCGCTGTTGCGCTGTGTCTGCCAGAAGCCAGTTTGGAGCTTGGCGAGCGTGGCTGGCTGGGAGGCGTACTCTGCCATGCCCATGAGACGGACGGTGAAACGGAAGATGAGTGGATAATAGCCCTTCTGCAGGTCGACGAGGGCCGATTCGCCCCCATTGAGCCACCCCTCGTACGCCTCCAATGCATCGTGCGTGAGCGCAGATCGCATCAGTGCCAGCCTTTGAGGGCTGATGGCTTTCGCGATAGCCATCATCTCCTTTCTCTCTTCTGCGTCGATCTTGCCCTGCGCGTCTCCGCCCTTTTGTCCCGCGCCAGCGATGCCGGCGAAGAGAAAGTTGTTACCGCCGGAAAAGGAGAGGTCCTTGTTCGTGGTGATGGAGCGCATGACGGATTCGGATGTGGACCCGACGTGGTAGACTACCTTGCCTAGCAGGGAGAACTTGTAGATGCCGTGGTGCGGATGACGTGGGTCTGTCGTTGTTGAGCGAGAGAGGCTGTGCGTGCGTGGGGGACCGGCGTTAGAGTGGGGACGCAGAGAGTGGAAGACGTGGAGTGCACGCACAAGGTGTAGCGATTGGCAAAGAAGCCCACAGCTCCTAAGCCGGGAAAACGACTTTTGATGACAGGAACGGAGTTGAAGTTGCTGTGAAGCTTGGCGGGGGGTACGAAGAGGAGATAACAGATCGAGGCGAGGAGCAGGGCGCCCGCCGCAACCAGAGTGTAGGGATGGACGAGCATGCTGACAGGAGATGGAGGAGGAGGAGGTGGGGGAGGCGTGGGCCTCAGAAATGCTGCGAGCTTGTTCATGGCGAGCGAGCGACCAGGTAGGAGACCAGAGCGCGAAGATAGATGATAGATGCGATGTCGATGGGAGGGATGAATGGGTGGCTGCGAAATCCAACCTCCTCTTAAGGCTCACTCAACTGGCTGCGCTTCTCAATGCAGCGGCCTGCACGCCCTCACCGCCGGCTTCCGTCCTTGGCTGCTTTCCGCACTCTACACCCGCCCGCAAGCTTGTTCCGTCCTCGTTGGTCGAGTCGGATCGGAAGGCGGGAAGGCCTCGAGGGACGGATAGCGGACAGAGGGATCGAGAGCAAGAGGCTGTTGCTGCTTCCTGACCATCCACCAAATCTCCACTCGTCCTCCTTGCTCGTTGCTGCGATGAACAGCCTAGCAGGCTACGGGTCTGGCTCTGACTCCGAGGGAGAAGAGACTCCAGCGGCAGGCGGCTCGTCCTCAGCAAGTGTTGCCGCCGCTGCTGGGAAGCGCAGAAGAGCGTCAACACCAGGGTCGAGCTCCAGTGATGGCGAGGGGAATGCTGCGCCGACGGATGCGTTCGGTTTAGAGAATGGCAACGGGACAGCTACTCCCAGCAGTTCGGCGGCTCCAAGCTCGACGATGACCATCCGCGCAGCCCCACAAGTAGTCCTTGATGTGAGCATCGCAGCGCATACATCCCGCTTCAACCTCGTACTGACATTCATCCCTCTGCCTTCCTGCCAGGATCCCATGGCCTCCAGCTCACGATCCATGATTCCTCGCTCGACGGATACCCAAATGCACGTCAATGTCCGCTACGACGACATGGTTGCAACAACCGCTGGCCCATCGAACCCCTTCTCCACCCGCCAGCTCGGCGCACAGCAAAACGCGCTCAATGGCCACTACGAGGAGGAAGCAATGAGCGACTTCGATTTCCGCAATCAGCAGAAGAATCGAGATATTGGTCATCAGCTTGCAGGCAGCTCGGGAGCGCTGGCGCGTACCTCGAAGCAATTGAAGAAGCAGAGGATGGGCAAGGGTGGGGATACCAGCGTTGTTGAGGGCGAGGGGGCGTACGTGGGGCCGTGGGGTGGATGGGAGGGGGAGAAAGTGCAGCTCGATGAGGGCGTAGGACCTACGGAGGAGGTGTGTGCACGCGCTACGTCAGTCATGACCCGAAACAGCTTGCTGACATCTCTCACGTCTTTGCAGGAAATCGCCCACGCTTCCTCGCTCTCCACTCAACGCGCCAAGGACAAGGCCGAAGCCGAAGCCCGCCGTCAAAGGGACGAAGGTCGCGGCACAGAAAAGTCGATCTTCCACGGCACGTCCATGTACGACTACCAAGGGCGTTCCTATCTGCACGTTCCAGGCGACGTCGAGACGAATCTGCACGGAGAGGCGGGGTCGCAGAGCTGCTTCTTGCCCAAGGCTTGCGTGCACACCTTTACAGGGCATACGAAGGGAGTATCTGCGCTCCGCTTATTCCCAAAGAGTGGGCATCTGATGCTCAGCGCGAGTATGGATACCAAGATCAAGGTGCGTGTGGTGCGGGGAAGCGAGATTGGAGGAGCGCGTATCAAGCTGACCGTCCTTCTTCTGTTCTCCCCTGTCCGTGTAGTTGTGGGACGTCTACCACGAAGGGAAATGCCTGCGCACCTACATGGGCCACAACAAGGCCGTACGCGATGTCACCTTCTCGCACGACGGACGCCAGTTCCTCTCTGCAGGGTACGATCGTCAGATCAAGCTGTGGGACACCGAGACTGGGCAATGCCTACGCGCCTTCTCCAACGGCAAGCAACCCAACGTGCTGCGCTTCCATCCCGAACAGCCCAACATCTTCCTCGCCGGCATGCACGACAAGAAGATTGTCCAATTCGACATCGATTCGGGCGAGATCACGCAGGAGTACGACCAGCATTTGGGGCCAGTCAACAGCATTACATTCGTGGACGAGAATCGTCGCTTCGTTACCACGTCAGATGACAAGACGATGCGAGCGTGGGACTTCGACATCCCCGTCGTCATCAAGTATGTGGCCGACCCGCTGATGCACTCCATGCCCGCGGTTACTGTCCATCCCAACGGCAAATGGCTGGCAGCACAGAGTCTCGACAACAGCGTATTGGTATACAGTACGGACTCGCTGCGGCAGAATCGCAAGAAGATCTTCAAGGGCCACACCGTGGCTGGGTATGCGTGCGAGGTGGCCTTTTCCCCCGATGGGCGTTTTGTGTCTAGTGGTGACGGGGAAGGGAATGTGGTGTTCTGGGATTGGAAGACGGGGAGGCTGCTCAAGAGGCTGCCACGAGCACACAAGGAGGTGGTCATCAGTCATGCGTGGCTGCCGCATGAGACGAGCAAGGTGGTGACGGGTAGTTGGGATGGCACGATTAAGATGTGGGATTGAGCGGGCGGCACGAGCGGGGAGGAAGTGTATTGGGGCGATAGAGCTGCGAAGGTACAATATCATTCATCGTTGCTCTTGCGCCATTGAACCCTGCCTGGCTCATCTCCTTCTCGTGAAGGTTTGACCGTGGGCGGTGCTCAAGCGGTGATCTCCGACCTCACTGACTCCACGCTGGGTTTCGCGCCACGCGACAGGCCTTGGGGCGAGACGGCAAGACGGACACGGGGAGGGCGAGGCGGCCAGGGCGGGCGCCAATCGTCTGGCTGCTGCTCGTCCGTCGTGGGTCGGCGGACGGCATTGCCGATCTCGATTTGCTACCAGTCCAACAACGCTTCCTCCATCCCACATCGTCGGTTTGACGATTTCTTTGGCCTAAGAGCGTCACCTGATCCACACTCGGCATTGTCATCGGCACATCTGGAGGCGAATAGCGGACCATTCTGCTACCTCACGACTTACACGGGGCCCCCCTTCCAGCGAGTCCGTTGTTTCGCACACGACCTCGACGACGAGAAGCTCCACTTCACCGCGAGGGCGCATATAGCGACGCTGCTACTCCTCAACAGCGCACACAGCATTAAGAGCTCATTGTCGTAGCATCTCATCGTCAGCAGCACCCGCACAGCCATGCCAAAGGTCATCATCGCGCCGTCGGTGCTGGCGTCGGACCTGGGCAACCTCAACTATGAGTGCAGGAGAATGATCGACGATGGTGCTGATTGGCTGCATATGGGTGAGTGTCAGCCTGCCCGCACGAAGGCAGTAGCGAATGGAAGCTTACCATGTCTCTTCTCTTTCCTCAACTTGCAGACATTATGGACGGGTGAGTCCCCCTCTCTCTCGCACGTCCCATCTCCTCCACGTCCCCCGCATCGTCTGACCTCCTTCTTCCCTTGCCCCGCGCCCAGCCACTTTGTCCCCAACATCGTAATGGGCGCCCCGATCCTTCAAAGCGTCAAGAAGGCCGTACCGGACATCTTCATGGACTGTCACATGATGGTCACCGAGCCAGAGAGATGGGTCAAGGATATCGCCGAGGCTGGTGGAGCATCGTATACCTTCCATCTTGAGGCCACGGGTGCGTTTGAGCGAGCAGGATCCGAACGCTGAGTCAAGGCTGACCGCTTCTCCCCACCTCTCGCTCGCAGACGATCCGCTGGACGTTGTGCGACTGATCAAAGCGACAGGCATGAAGGCGTCGGTAGCTATCAATCCTGGTACGCCGGCGAGCGAGATCAGCGACGAGTTGGCAGAGGCGGTTGATATGATCTTGGTCATGACCGTCTGGCCCGGAGCGGGAGGGCAGTCATTTATGAAGGAGTTGATGCCGAAGGTGAGTACGGGTTCCGTACCTCGATCCAGCCTAGGCCGGGCACACGAAGCTGACCATCTCTCGTGCTCTCTGTGCCTCGGACAGGTCGCTGAGCTGCGCGCCCGCTTCCCACACGTCAACATCGAAGTAGACGGCGGTGTAGCCCCCAAGACCATCAAATACTGCGCGGACGCAGGCGCCAACGTCATCGTAGCGGGTACTGCGGTCTTCCGAGCCGAGTCCCCTCGCGACGTCATTGCCTACCTCCGTGCAGAATGCACCGCAGCACAAGAGAGGATCCTCCAAGAACGCCAGACGCTCATCTACGATCCTAATGCGGATGTGGTGGGCGACGATGAGGATCAGGAGGCAGAGGAGAGGAGGAAGGAGGCGAGCGCGGGGAGAAGGAGTGGGGCTACTACGCCTGTGGGGAGCACGCCGAGGAGCTATTTGAGGCATTTGGACAGGAGAAGGAGTAGTGCCGCGAGTGGGAAGAGTGGAAAGTTTGGGCAGCTCACCGATTTGGGGATGACGTTGAAGCTCGTCTAGTCGGGCACGCTCGAGGTGAAGGAGGAGGGTCGGGCAGCCACGACGCGACCCTGTCAATGCTAGATGTGATCCCTTCAATGGACGTTGATTACAGCAAGATGGGAGTGCGTAGTAAGCAGGGAGTCCAACATCGATGACGGCAGACTGACCCGCTGGCTCCACTGACGGCGGCCCGACGCGGATCTCCTGACCTTGCTCTGTGCCACAGGCCGCTAATGGCAGTCTGACCAGCGTCATGAAAGCGCACAGCGAATCAGAAGGGCTGTACACCTCCCTGCTCTGCCCTACCCCTCTCTAGCCTTCAACATCAAGCTGAGGATCCCTCGCTTGGTGGTGGACGAGTCACGACACTTCACACTGGTCGCGCTTGCTGCTGTTGCCTTGCTGCGACGCAGTTTCGCAAATGATTGCGGCTGCTACTCGTGGTACCAGCGTGAACTCGGCCGATATGACCCATCGGGCCCTTGGCCCACCATGAAGACCCCGGCTCTGCTGGTGACGAGTGATGTGTACTAGGAGGAGATTGCAGCCTTCCTCCTTTGCCTCCTTTCTCACCAACTACAACAGTCTTCGTGATGCTACTCTTGACCGTGAAACAGATGCCTCGCGTCTCTATGCTTGGTGAGCTCGCTACAGCGCACCATTGCCAGTAGTGCCACTGACGCACTGCCCGATCAGCCCTCCTATCGCTCCTCAGCTCGCCCGTTACGAGCGACAACGTCGTCGTTGGGACCTGCTACCAGGGGTTCCCGTGCCGCGGACCCAATGGTACTGAGATCAAGTGGGATCCCCTGAGTGGTGAGTCAACCAGTCGCGCAGCTGTACAGTATAGAGCGGTTTGCCAACGTGCGATCTCGCAGGCAAAGAAGGTTACATCGGTCCTTGCAAGGCTTTCAAGAACAGAACCCCTGGCAAGCTTCGCGTCGCCACGGAGGCCTGCAACAAGTGGCCTGCCGTGGTTCCTCCTGACGATTGTGCCAAGTCGTGGGAGCCCTGGAATTACATCTGCCCTTGATGACCTGTAGCGCGTACGACAATGCCGTGCGCCGAGAATGAGAACGGCAGCGAGCTTGAAGCACATCACTGAGGTAAGGGGCAATCGAATTGAAAGAGGAACGATTGAGAGTGACGAACATTTGTAAAGGTCTGTCACTGGTTATTGCCTCTCTCTTCAGTGTGCCTCCCTCTCCTCGCTCACCGCTCTAAGGGCAGATGAAGTGCCAGCTCCCCGAGGCCGGCCCCATGCAGACGCGCGCTCCAACGCCCACCTTGTCGGTGTAACAGCTCTTGCTGGCGAGGCTCACGACCGCGGTACCAGTGTTGCGAAGGATGGGGCAGTTTATTGATACCGGCAGTATTTCTGGAAGAAGCGTGCGGGACGAGGTAAGGGCAGAGCTTCCTGCATTCATTGCGCTGCAGCGACTTACTAGTCGTGTCGAGGTTGACGTCAGTGCCTTTCCCCAAGCAATTGCCGCCGTAGTAACATTCTCCTATCTTGACGATGTTAGCCTCGACAGAGGGAACGCTCAGAGCAAATACAGCTGGCGCATGGTGAATGTGTCAGGGCAGCTCCGATCTGTGTCAAGCGGAGTGCTTGCTCACCCAGCAGCGCGAGCAAGGAAACGTGGAGCGTCTTAATTTTGTGACGTTTGTGGTTGCGGTGAAGAAAGGAACCGAGGCCAAGAAGTCTCAAAGCCCTTCATACCGCTATCTGAGTCACGCCACGGGCCATTACAGTAGCACTGTCGCGCCGTAATTGAACGGCGGCCTCAGTGCAGCCTTGACGGCTTCTCGTGCTGCAATTGGTGCGCCAGCGGTATGCTGAGCAACACCTGCTTGCGACTGCCCTGTGACCCTACCTTTGTGGAGCCCAGCGAGCGAATTGCGGTCTGGATCATTCCATTTCTTGTTGCTCTACGACCACCGGGACTCATTAGACGATGATGTATTCAATCTGTCGCTGCGTGCTCACTTGACGCAATGCCCTTCGAGCACCACAAATACAAATGAATGCCTCTTGACAGTCAGCTTGTCCAGCTTGTCCACCGTTCTCGTCTCCGGCTTGACCCTCTCTTTGTCTTCCCACGTATTCTTGGCAAGCAGGTCATCTTCGTACATTTCATGGACCTCGGCAGTCTTGATTTGAAATCCTTCAAGAACTAGATTGCACTCCCAGTCCGCGGTAGGATGCCTGTTGAGGATCGACAGGCGAACGCTCGTCTCGCCAGCCAGCATAGCAATCACGTCCACGTACGGCGGCGGGGCAATGTGCCGGGTCCATGTCGGGTAGGTGGGGCCGTGGTAGAGCTCAGAGCGGTAGCCAAGGTCAAGCAGCTTACCACCCTTCATGAGGCGGGCAAATAGGCGAAGCGGCCAGTACGTTGCCTGGAAAAGCAGCCCGTCGCGGGAGGTCATAAGAGGCGAGATCACGTTGACCGACTGTGCAATGCATGCCATGCCAACCTCGCGGTGCTTGCGAAGTAGGACGTGGAGCCTGAGATGCGGCATGGTGAAGAGAGTCAAGCAAGCTGTCAGGATCCTGTGCCGCGCACACTCACCATGCTACCGTGCCCAGCATGTCGGTGAAGTCATAAATCTGCTCGAGCCCATTCGATCCATCACCGGGCGCCTTGACCTCGTCCCACACATTCCACTCGTCGTAGCAGATCTTGACATCCCTCGCAGCTACCTGCGCGTCCCTCTGATTCCAGTCCAGCACCTGACCGGATCGCTCGATCTTGGCCAGCTCGATCAAGCTCGTGCAGATTTCTATGCCTCGCTCCGCTGCCATAGGGCCGAAGACGTTCTTCTCGTACTCGAAGCCAGCGCAGTCCGAATATCGCTCATGACCGAGCATCGTGTAGAGATGGATGCTGTGCAGGTCAACGACCCCGATAAGGCCGTTGAGCACCTCACGATCCCATTCGGAGTTGCCCTGATTGCCGCACGAGACGAGCTTGATGGTTGGATCGACGAGGCGCAGACCGTGCGCCCAGCGTTTGGCGGTGGTAGTGTAGTCGGTTGCCGAGAGGTGCCCCACTTGCCACGGGCCGTGTACTTCATTTCCTAGTCCCCACCACTTGACGGCGTGGCTGTCCGCGCAGGAGAATCAGTGCCAGTCCTTCGTGTTCAGTTGCTCGCGCACTCACGGCTCGTCACGCCCTGTGTTCTTGCGCCGCAGGTTCGCCCAGTACGTGTCCCCGGTACCATTGCAGTACTCGAGCCACGCCAGCGCTTCCTCGTACGTGCCCGTGCCCATGTTGAGACAGAGGTAAGGCTCAACCTTGAGCTCGCGGCAGTAGTCGATGAACTCGTCTGTGCCGAACAAGTTCGACTCAGTCGCTCCCCACGCCAGCTCGATGCGCTTAGGCCGGTCTTTGAGCGGGCCGATGCCATCCTGCCAATGGTAGTTGGAGACAAAGTTTCCGCCCGGCCAGCGCAGAACAGGCATCTCCAAGTCGTCACGCAGCACGCGGATTACATCCTTGCGCCAGCCCAATCGATCCTGTGGCTGCGGCTGGAGGAGCTCGGCGGGACTTGGGTCGGTGGGCAAGGCAACGATACCGCCATAGATGCCGCGTCCGAGGTGTTCGACGAAACCTGAATAGAGCTTGTCGGACACGACCTCATCGCTGACAAGGCAGTCGGGAGAGATGCGTAGCCGTCCCGGGCGCAGCGACGCGATGTGCTTGAAGGACGAAGGGGGAAGGTTCACTGCCCCCTTGGACTGGGCGTATGGGTCGACGCCTGCCATTACGAGCGATGAGAGAGGAAGAGAAGACGAGAGGGACGTGCTATCGTGAGGACTTGTGAGCGCGGCACCGGATGTTCCACTAAATCTCCCAGTCCGCGGCGTTGAGCGGCCGAAAGAGCAGCTTTTGGGAGATTACCGATCCTTGAGAGGCTAAATAAATCGGGGAGGCGAGGCACGCATACGCGAGCAGGTCACACGCTCCCCTCCGTGGAGCCCCGCGAGGAACAAGAGGAGTGTGAGACGTCGACTTCCTTCGCCAGTCGCGTTCCTTACAGGCAGTCGAGATCGCCATCTGAATTTGATTCGGGCTCGTCATTTCAATCGAGCCTGACGACCGCTCCTCAATCGCTGCACAGCAGAAAGCCGAGGGGAGACGAGTGTGGCGAATCGGGCGATGCCGCCATGACTCGCAGGAGTACAACGCGATGCTAGAGCCGCTCAAATCCATTGCGGTCGCGAGCGCGTATAAAGAGAGGTCGAGACGCTGGAGATCCGACGTGTGGGGTCGCCATCTCACATTCTACCTCCTCGCCGCAGCCCATCATGCCGCTCTCTCCCAAGATGTACACCTTTGGGTGTGGCTGCTTTGCAGCGCTAGGATCGTTCCTCTTTGGTTACGACCTCGGAGTCGTGAGTGGCGGCCGAGGTCTGAGCCTGCAGAGCGACCGTCGCTGACCGTGTACTCTTCACAGATCGCTGGTGTCCTCGTTGCACCCGACTTCTTGGCCACGACCGGCAACCCAGAGTGAGTGCACCGACACACGTTGCCCGTACGCCTAGCGCTGACACCTCCCTCCTCGCAATCACAGTGCCAACTACACGGGCTTCATCGCCTCGTCGATGCTGCTCGGCGCCTTCGCAGGTACCATCCCCGCCGCTCTCCTCGCCGATCGCTTCTCTCGACGCTTTGCCATCTTCATCTCTTCACTCATCTTCATCTTCGGCGGTGCCCTCCAGACTGGCGCTCGCAATCGCGAGATGATGCTGGCTGGTCGCTTCTTTGCTGGGTACGGTATCGGATCGCTGGGTATGGTGAGTGCGCGCGCCAAGGTGGAAGCAGAGCTCTACTGACTCCTACCCTTCGCGCACAGCTCGCCCCACTCTACCAATCCGAGATCGCAGCTCCCTCCCGACGCGGCGCCCTTACCACTCTCGTCCAGCTGTTCCTCGGCCTTGGCGCCCTGGTCGCAAGCTTCGTCGTCTATGGCTGCAACGTCAACCTCGAGGGCACTGAAGCCGAGTGGCGCGTGCCTCTCGCATTGCAAATGGTACCCGCCATCCCATTGGCCACCATGATCTTCATGCTTCCCGAGTCACCTCGCTGGCTCGCCGCTGCAGGCCGCCGTGAGGAAGCTCTCAAGTCGCTCGCACGTCTTCATGCTCGGGGCGACACCAGTGACACCTTCGTCCTCGCGGAGCTCGCTGAGATCGAGCAAGCCGTCACCGACCAGAAGCAGAAGGAGGCCAAGTGGTCGCGCTTCCTCACCGACAGGCAAGCTCAGCGCAAGGTGTTCTTGGGCATCTCGCTCCAGTTCTCCGTCCAGATGACAGGTGTGTCCGCGCTGCAATACTTTTCGCCAGCCATCTTCGCCACCATGGGCTTCACCGCGCGCAAGACACTCCTTCTCCAGTCCTTCAACAGCATCGTCGCCATCTGCGGTGAGGTTGCCTGCGTTCTCTTCATCGACAAGCTAGGCCGACGACGCCCGCTCATCGGCGCCAACATCATTGCGGGAATCTGCTTCGTCATTGCTACCATCCTGCAAGCTCAATTCCCCAACTCTGGACCCAACTTCTCGCAGTCGGCCGCCATTGCATTCGTATTCTGCACATGGCTCTTCAATCTCGCCTTCTCCGCGGGTATCGGTCCACTCTCGTGGGCCGTTCCCGTAGAGATCTTCAACACCGACTTGCGCGCTAAGGGCACGGCGCTGACCAGCATGGCGGCGTGGATTGCCAACTTCATGATCGGCCAAGTCACCAGCATTGCGCTCGAGAACATCGGATGGCGATACTACATCGTGTTCGCTGTTTGTGGATTCACAAATGCTCTGTTCTTCTTCCTGGTCCTACCTGAGACGGCGGGCAGGACTCTAGAAGAGTCCGACGCTTACTTCCGGGAGACGCCCTGGATTGTGGTAGGCCACACCAAGAAGCTCAAGTCTACGGAGCGAGAGGAGCAGCTGGCGCGCGGTATTCTCACTGACGGTCAACAGCTCGACCAGCGTCAAGGATGGGCGGAGGACCGCGTAGAGTCTCCTTTGGGCGAAAAGAAGGGCGATGATGGTCTGCACGTCGCCACTTTGGACCGCAGCGTTGCGTGAGGATGACGAGGACGCATCGATCCTTTCCTAATTCCAAAATCTCCACTCTGGCTTTCTGAACTCGTCATCCACTCCTCCTTCCCCCTTTGTCACGTCTGTCGCAATGTTGCAAATTCAACGTCAATGTCAACAATGTCGCAACGGTCGGATGTAGCTGACCGGCTACGCGCGCCTGGCATAGGCGTTCGTCTTCGTCGGTGTCGGAGGCTCGTGCGCGCGAAGCTTCTTCCAAGGGGGCCGAAGCCATGACCGAGTGCCCAACGCATCGTCGTTGCATCGTGTCCCTCTAGCAGTCCACCTGTCCGGGAGCCTCAATGGTAGCGCCGCTGGCCAGACTCGCGGCATTGAGTGTATTTGGAGCTTGGCGGTGTCAATGCGCGTGAGGTCCGACTTGATGGTGAAAGAGCATCGATTGCGGTGAGATGACAATCATAGTTGCTCCTGCGTGTTGGAGCATTGATGAGAGGGTAATATTCTTGGAGAGCTGAGTGTTACAGCGCAAGCGTACAAGCAAAGAGTGCTCCAAGAGCGGCTGTGAGTACAGCGACGGAGGCGCCGAGGTGAGAAGCCGACGACGGCGAGGAGCGTGTTTCGTCCGAGGATGTTGACGACTGCGAGGGAGACGAAGAAGAGGACGAGGAAGAACCGCCGTTCGTCGAAACAGCCGTGCCGTCGTTCGCGCTGACGCTGAGCAGCCAGCCAATTCCACCCTGGATGTGCCCCTGGAATGCTGCATTGTTCCATGTCGCGATCTCGTGTCCGAGCGTCGTGACGAATGTCTTGCCGCCGCCCCCAGTACACTGCGTCTGTCCATCGAGATCGCCACCAAGCGCGCTGGCCCCTGAAGTGAGCAGAGAGCCAGAGCGATACCATGCAAGAGGCTGAGGATTACCTTCGCCGCGCTGCCCTCCTGGGTCAGGGTAGGCGGATGCGTTGGTGAGGAGCGCAGTAGCGGGCGAAGGAAGCTTGCGTGGATCGGTTCGTAGGTGGTACATCTCTTCGCTGATTGTGAGAGTGTCTGGCAGCTTGGACGTCGATGGGTGGTCTCGCGTCGTGGGCTTCAACGTCACTCGCTGGCTCTGGGCGTGGTACGTGAAGAAAGCGCCTACCAGCCTTCCGTACGCTGGGTAGCTATACAGGCAATTCGTGGCCGAGTGAATGCCAGCGAATGATCCGCCTTGCTCGATATATTCCAGCAGATTGGCAGTCTGGTCGTCGTTGAGGAGCGAGCCAACGCCGGGCGGGTCTACGTCGGTGGTAAAGGCAAAGACGATTGCGTCGTACTGCTTGAGGGAGGCTACATCATTGAAAAGCGTAGCATCTTCGCTGTTGTTGGTGTTCCAGCGGCCCGACTTGATCGTCGAATCGACATTGTCGTCACTGAGCACAAGCGAGCCGTTGCCGAGCGAAGTGATCGTAGAGATGGCAGTCGGGATGGCTTCGTGGCGGTAGCCCGCTGTGTGGGTGAAGAGGAGGATGGTAGGCCATGACGGATCCTGTGCAAATGCTACGCATGCGATGAGGGAGATGGATAGAAAGAGTGAAGGTAGCGCGTACATAATGTCGTGTGCCACTTGATTGAATGTGGTAACAAGGAGACCTGCGAACGAGTGGAGTGTCGTCCTCGCCCTGTCCGCTAAACAAGTGAGGCGGAACGGTGCCCCGCCCGCCAAGACAAGGTCATCAATAGGCGGCACTACCACGTGGCTGTACTTCCGTCTCGACTCTCATGAGGCGAGCTTGCCGTCACCTCCGAATCTACCACCCTTTCAATTGCAGTACCTTGCAACCCAAAGCGTCAATCATCTTCGTCCACACGTCTAGCGCAAGAACGCCACGCCAATACTGGCCTCGATACTGGTACGCGTAGCGTGCAGGCCACATAGCGTGGGAAGGCGCACATCCCTTTGCTCTGTTGGCTTGGTGGCGCCGGCCGGCCGGCCGTGCACGGCTCGGACCCTCGGAGCGATCGGCCGACTTTTTGCACCCTTGAACTCTACTGCTCCTGCTCCTGCTCCTGTTCCGTCAATTCAATCAGACACGGCAATCCCAACGACTTTGAACAAGGTTCAAAATATCGTCATTTCTGCAATGCGAAGTCGCCACCTGTATTCTTGACTCCTGTCAGTCATCGAGAAGCCTATCTAATCACCACCACGGAGGGAGAACGCGGCGGCGGAGCGCCAACCTCGTTAGCGTCCCCCGCCCAAAAAGTTGGAGCGGCGCTACCACTCTTCACAAAAGCTGACAAGTAAGCCTCTAGCGCCTTTCCTGTTGGCATCGCAAGATGACGCGCAATTTGTGATCATACATCCGTACATTGCTCTCGGAGGTAAAGGAAGAACAGGTATGCATTCAAGAACAACACAGTGAAGGAATGGCGAACAGATGGAGCCCTGAGCGTGCGAACGCTGGGCTGAGCGGTGACAGTGACAAAGACGAAAGCGGGCGAGGTAGACTACTTGGCAAAGTACACGACCTGCGTGCGACGCAGCTGATCGAAAATGGCACGATGCGGTGCGTCAGGCTTGTGCGCCACGACGACGACGTCGAAGGACGCGTCGAGGAGGTATTCCTCCTCTCCCTCGGCCGCACCGGGTACTCTGCGCTGCAACGTCTCGCTGGGGATGCGCAAGTGCTTGAGCCCTTCGACCGCATCGTCGACGTAAGCCACGTCGACGCCCATTCGCGCGAGCTCATCGGCCACGACGAGGGAGGGAGAGTGGGAGAGGCAGTCCGACCCCTTCTTGAAGCCGACTCCGTAGATGAGTACTCGGCCTGCTGCTGAGCGTGTACCGTTCTGCTTAAGGCTCGAAATTTTCTTGGCCAAGCCGGCAATCTCTTCCGCCTTGGCGTAGGCGCGCTCCTTGTTGGATTCGGCGGCATGGCGCAACAAAGGCAGATCATTGTTGACGAGCAGGTAGTAAGGGTTCACTGGGATGCAGTGACCACCGGCGCCCAGGCTGGGGGTGAAAGGCGTGTAACCAAAGGGCTTGCTTGCTGCAGCTTGGCAAACGTCTTGGATGTCAACGCCATGGAGCGCGCACGCGTCCGCCATCTCGTTGACGTAGGTGATGAGCATGAGTCTTTGGCAGTTCTCGAACAGCTTGGTGAACTCGGCCGTCTCCATGCTTTTGGTCGGTACAGTCCTCGCGAAGATGCGGTCGTAGTAGAATTGCACGCGCTCCAGTGATTCGCTGTCGATGCCCGAGATAACCTTGGGAATATCCTCAAAGGCAGGGAAGGTACGACCAGGGTCGACACGTTCTGGTGAGAAGCCGACAAAGACGTTGCGCTTGCGGAGGTCGGAGAGGAGATTGCGCGTCATGCCCACCGTGACACTTGATTCGACGACGACGGTGGAGTAAGGCTTGGCGTATCGGGTGACGACCTCGACGGCAGACTTGATGTGGTTGGTGTTGACGCTTTGCCCGTCCTTCTCGAGAAGGGTAGGAACAGAAATGAGGGCGAGGTCGAAGTCGCGCGCATCAGCAGAGTCGGCTACATCGCCGATGACGGTGACGTTGATGTTGCCGGCGTATTGCTCGCGCAGAATCTCACGGCGGGCAGCGGAGACGTCGAGGGCGAAGACGTTGTACGCGCGTGAAAAGGCAGCAACCAGTTGCTCGCCGACGTAGCCGCAGCCGACTACCAAGACCGTAGGGGTGGGCTCGCCGCGGTGCATGCTGTCGTCGAGGGTGGCAGCATCGTCGTAGGCGAAAGGGCGGAGCGACTCAGTCGAAGCCGTGGCGGAAGGGTAGCGAGAGAGCTCGACAGCGCCGAGCATGGAGGAGGATCCTTTGCCGAGAGGCGGGGCTGCAAGGTTGGGGAGGGCGGCCATGGTAGGCGGCTTGGCTCCGATGTCTTCTGGGCGGAAGACCGGTTCGCTGGGCGTGGTGAGGGGCGACTCATCCAAGCTCAATGAGGAGGAAGAGGACGAAGCCTCTGAGCTGCTGTAGGGTACGTGGCGAGGGTAAGGGCGGGTGAGCATTGTGGGCGGTAGAGGGACGCCGATTTGAGTGAGGGGTGTGGTGGTAGGTGGTAGGGGGGATACTACTTGCGCTCCTCATCACCCGGTATTTGAAGGATTCGCGGCGACGACAAAACCTTGCTGCTTGACCTTGCTACTTCACCCGCTCGCTGAGGAGCTGTGATGCTGCTTCCGGACGGGCCGAAGCAATCCAGACGAACCTGTGGATTTGCGCCGTATCCACTGCGAGCGCGCACGGCAACCTGCTTCGATGCTCCCTACGGGTCGACCGGCTCCTCAACAAGGTGCGCTGCGACTACGGTGAGTTGGTGGGATGAGCTGGCGCGGTCAGCTGTCAAAATTTTGTGGCGCCGCTTCATTGCTTGACCTCATGGGAATCATGAAGCTTACCAGTCTAACTTGCGCAATCGATGCGGTCGACAAACAGAGTGCCTGGTGCCTTGTAACCACGATTGTGAGACGCTGATTGACGAGCCAACAGGTGCGGCGAAACCAACGCGGGTGCAAAGAGCAGCATCGCCAAGCCACGCCAATACCAAGGGTACCTCAATGAGCTGAGTGCTCGTACGCAGTACGTCTCGAAGCTCGGTGCCTCGCCCGAGGTGATGTTGCTGCTGGTTCCGAGAACCATATCGGCGCCACCCACGTATGCGGTCGATGAGAGGCTAGGTAGGAGCAACATCAAGCAAGGATCAGATTGAGGCAGATCCTGGCCGATGCAAGCTGGGTGGCTCTGCCCAGCGACGGCTCCTGCGAGCGAACAGGCACAGGCTCATGCGGTTGAGACTTGGTGGAAGAGGACGAGAAGGAGGCGGCTTCGCCCTAGCTCCTCTACCGGCCGTGACATAGTTGGTTGGTCGCGAAGCCTAAAGCACGGCACAGACGGAGCCGTGGATCAAGGGCCAGAGATGGCTGTGTAGGAAAGTGCTTGAGATCGATCAACTTTCTCAATGGGGGAAGCCTATTTCGTCCATTCGCTGGAAGCGCGCCCCCTACGCAACCCTGCGTCGAACGCTGGGTGAGCTAATAGAGTTCGGTACAATTGCGGCGAAGCTCAAGCGCTGACGTCGACGTCGATGTCAACTTTGCATTGACGTGGGGCAGGGGACGTGGGACCTGGCGGGTAGGTTGTCGATGCATGAACACAGCTTTCTCGCAGTAGAAGGTTCGCTCACCTGCAGGCTGGTCACGCTCGCGCTACTTGGGCTTCTCGAGGTGCCAAGCCGCGGCACTTGGTATCCGTGCGCGTTAGCCTGCAAGCACGAGGGTTCCTGGGAGCCCCAATTTTATGGTGCCGAGCTCGCGTAGATCCACCTGAATCCGGACGTACACGTCCAAGCCGTCGTTTGATCGAAGACCACTTCAATCCAAAGGCGGCCCAAACCTGCTCCTCGATGCGCGTCGAACCTCCCTCGTTGCCCCGCTCTCCCCAAGCGGCGTATTGCAGTGAGGAGGACCCCACGTCGTCGTCGTCGTCAGCATTATTTTCGGACTCCCTGAAGCCTGAAGGCCGCCAACTTCGTCATCGGTGTCAGGTGCAAAGAAAATCCAGCCTCCGATAGGGCGACTTGAAGAGGGTTCAGGATGAGTGAGCAGGGCACCGAGCATTGGCTGGGCTCAAAGTTTCTTGACCGGCCTTGTGCCTCGGTCGCACGGCCGCTGCATCTGATCCCCCTCTGTGCTCTCTCCGCGTCTTCGCCTCTTATTTTAGCCGCGCTTCGACGCAATGCTCAGCCACACGGAAGGAAAATTTGACCAAGGTTGCAGCGAAATGGACGCGCAAAAGATGCGCGTAGCTGCGCGTCTCTGCGCGAGCAATCCCTGGTCCTTTGTGCCAACCTTGTCACAGGCGCGCTTGCCACGGTGTCGTCTTGGTTAGAGTTGAATGGCGCCGCATTGAACGGAAATTGGTCTCAGGACGATCACGAGCTTCTTCACCGGCGGAAGACTCGGTCAACCATACGCGGACTGACTCGCGGACCACTGACAGTGAGGAGCTCCATTTAGCGCAAGGGGAAACTGTGGCGCCAAGCGGAAACGGCGATTTGTACGAAGAGCTCGTCATGGTAATTGTCGGTCCAAAGTTGACATCGCCGAGTAAGGTAGGCGCAAGTGTTGCTTGCTTGCATTGTCAAGGGATGCAGGCCTCAATTCCTTTAACAACGAGTCGCAAAGGGTCGACCGATCCCGACCTTCGCCCACATTTGCAAGATTCTACCGTCACCATCGCCTCTCGCCATGCCGGCCACACGCAGAGCCCCACCTGCCTTCCCGCCGGCCAAGGTCATGTCTCACGATGCTGGCGAGCCGCCCATCAAGCCGATCAAAAATGTCTTCAATGCGGCTGGTGAGCCGCCAATCAAGCCGATGAAGATCGCCCACCACGCCGCAGGTGAGCCACCCGTCAAGCCAGCTAAGCTCGTAGGCGTCAGCGAGCCCGAACAGGCATACGCACCAATCGCAGCCAGCAAACGCGGAAGCGCCGCCACCCTGTTCGATGAGAGCGCTTTTGCACCCAAGAAGGGCTTCGGTGGCCGCCGCGACACCTACGGCTTCAATGCTCCCAGCTCTCTGCTGGTACCGAGCTCATCTCGCCCGCCCAGCCTCGCATCTCGCCGGCCCTCCACCCTCACATCTTCCACCTCGCCCACACTCGCCTCTTTCCCCTCGTCCCCCATGAGTGCAAGGACGCTAGTCGACTCAATACCTCCGACACCTCGCACACCGCGCTCGCCCTTGTCGCTCGATTCCGTCATTGAGAACGAACATCACCACATTGTTGGCACGCTGAGCGCGCCAGTGCCCGCTCTTACACCTCCCGCCACCGCCGAGGTAATTCGCGAGCCTGGTACGCCACCTTCGCCCACAACCTCGGACCCATTCGACGAGGCTGTGCACGCCGAACGCGCTGAAGAGCCGGCCGTCGTGCTCAAGCCAGAAATCGCTGCTGGCGTCACGCCTCACACCCGCACTCACTCACCTACTCTCCAATGGCTCGACGATACCGCCACCAAGCTTCGGCCCCCCGTCGTCAAGTACGGCTACTACGGTGTTGCGATTTGCGCAGTCTACTTTGTGCTGGTCGGTTTCCCCTTGTGGAACGGGGTTGTATACAGCATCTGGGTCAACTTCTACAAGGCCGACGCACCCTTTGGCTTTCTCATCTTCTCCTTTCTCAACTGGGCCTTTGTCTTCTTTCCGCTCATCTTCGGGCGTTACGAGAAGCCAGCCGACCCTCTTCCTGAAGGCTTCGAACGCGAGAAGACGCAGGATTGTGCGCTGCTCATCCCGTGCTACAAGGCTGCCGGTGCCCTTCCAAACACAATCGAGCACGCCTTGGCCATCTACCCCGCCGAGAGCATCTTTGTGGTCAACAACGCCAACTCGCCCGTTGCGCCCGACAATACCGAGGAGGTCTGCAAGGAATACGGGGTCAACTACCTCTTCGTGCCTGTCGGGTCCAAGATCGGCGCTGAGTATGTCGGTCTGCACCAGAAGAAGATGAACAAGTTCAAGTACGTCATGATCATCGATGATGACGTGGAGCTGCCTGATAACTTGCCCATCGTGTCAGAGCGATTCGAGAAGGACCGACGCGTTGGGTGTGTAGGCTACACGTTGGTGTCGACGGGTGCCAAGGGATCCAAGGGTACCATGGTCCAGCAGCTGCAGGATCTCGAGTACCGTTTGAGTGGACTGCGTCACTGCATGGGTGGCCTCTACGGTGAGTCGGCGCGCGAGGTGACTGGCAAAAAGCACATGCTGACATTTCCCCTCGATTCACCACACCAGGATCTGCTACCTTTGGCCACGGCGCCATCCTCCTGTTCAAGGTCGACTTGCTGAAAGAGTTCTTCAAGGAACATCCAGGCTACAAGATGTCCGAGGATTTGTGAGTACGCGCGCGAGCTCCTGCCTTGCAGTCGAGCACCCGCTTACCTCTGCCTTTCCCCCCCGCCCTTCCAGGTGCTTCGGCATCATTACCCGCATGAAGGGCTACTACGTGGACTTCTGCTCCTCCTGCCCCGTCAAGACGGAAACTCCACCCCACCTCTTCGGCCCCCGCGTAGACCACCCCATCGACACGACCGCTGCGGCTCTCAAGCGCTTCTGGGCTCGCTTGCAACGAATGCGCCGCAGCAATGACTTGGAAGCACAAGCTGGGGACGAGAAGGAGGGCCCCGCCACCCGCGGTGGATATGGCGAGATGTCCGTCTACAAGCAGAGGTACGAGCGCTGGGCCTTTCTCCACGCTGGTCTCCTGGTGACACTGCAGCTCAAGTACCACATTGTGGGCTGGAACCTGGGCAAGCGAACGCTCGTTGCTCAGATCCTCAGCTTTCAGGACACTCTGTCGACGCTTTTCTTCCTCTTTCTCCCCATCGTGCTCCCCTTGAGTTTCTACTGGAACGCTCCCCTCACCGCCTACACGATCGTAGCCAATACGTCGTTCGGCTTCTTTGCCGCAGTGATCTTCAACGCGTGGCACCTCCGCAACAGGCCCGAGGGACGCATCAGCTGGGCCGTACCCTTCGTTTCGGTCCCTTACAAGTTCATCTTGCGCTTCGTCCAAGTCGCGGCCATCTACCGCGGGATCTTCAGGTATGGCATCTTCTTTGCTGAGAAGACGCACAAGTTGCCTGCTCACCCGAAGCTGGGACCTATGGCTGAGAGGGTTGCGAGGGGCGAGGATGCGTGAGAGAGGAGCGAGCGAGCGAGAGAGCGTCCGCTTCACCATTCCCACTACCTGTCATATAGACCTTGGCATTTGCTCTTGTTTCGCGCATTCGCCCTTTTCTACTCTGTACTACCTTGGCTGCCCGTAGCTTTGTTTTAATACCACGCGTTGCGATCTCATTGCGAACAGAGACCCTGCGGGCCTGAGCGGGCAAGTAGCTACGGTCGCAAGCGCATTGCTTAGTGCCAGGCGGCTTCTCTTCGACGGAAGAAGTAGCAGCTTGATGATAGAGGTGGTAACGAGCATGTGCTTTGGACGTTGTCCGTGCGCATTTTCCTCGCCGCTGTAGCGCACTGGCACTGGGCGGCAATTGAAAGCCAAGCAGACGCCGCCGCCGCCGCCGCCGCTGCTGCCGCCGCCGGGTGCCGCGCGGGCGGGGTCCACTCGAGACGAAAGTGGAGGCGATGAAACACGGTTCATAAGTGCCGTGTGTCCGCCAGCGGCAGCCTGGCATTCTTCCCACCACATCAACACTACACCAATACCCGCCTACCCATCCACCACACTACTTCAATCAACATGTCATCTGGAGGATTCTGCCACAAGTGCGTCGAGCTCCCCGGTGAGCTCAAGGGCACGCCCAAGGGCTCCGTCAAGACTGTTGGCGGAATCCAGTCGTACGTTAGCCAGCCTGGGTCGGCAAAGGGCAACATCGTCCTCTTCACCGACATCTTCGGTCTTGCTGTGAGTGCTGTGCATACTTTTCAGCAAGCAGGGCAGGCCTTGAGCTCATCTGACCTCGCTCCTCGCCCACACAGATCCAAAACCCTCGCATCATCGCCGATGAGCTGCAGAGCCAGACGGGCATGACCGTCACTGTCCCTGACGTCTTCCTCGGCGAGCCCATGAGCGTCAACGTGAGTTGCGCCCCTGCGCTCCAATTATCCATGGCTCCATACTGATCCTCTGCCCTCTTCACACGCGCGCACGCAGGACTTTGTCGTCAACAAGTCCACGGACGAGCCCGCTCCCAGCGACGAGCAGATGCAGAAGAACATGGGCAAGCTCATGGAGTGGGCAGGCAGCGGCCACTCGCCCAACGAGACGTACCCTCGCGCCAAGCAGGTCATCGAGGCTCTTTCTGGCGAAGGCAAGGTTCAGGCTGTAGGCTTCTGCTACGGTGGAAAGGTGAGCTGTCGCGGCTCTCAGTAACTTCAACTACCCGGGCATACTCCTACTGACACGACGCAAACCCTTGTCTCGCCCAGCTCTGCTCCCGCGCCGCCCAAGACGGCATCGTTTCATCCGTCTCCATCTACCACCCTGCCATGCTCGAGGCCGAAGAGGCCAAGCAGGTCAAGGTCCCCGTTCTCCTCAACATGGCCGACGGCGACTTTGCCTTCGACTCTGTCCAGGGAGACTGGGAAAAGACGCTCAAGGAGAAGAACCTCCTCGACTCGCGATCCAAGCAGTACAAGAAGACGACGCACGGCTTTGGATGCCGACCTCCCGTTGACAACGCAGAGGTGTACAAGGCTTACCAGGACGCTCTTGCCACCACGGCCAGCTTCTTCAAGGAGCACGCTTAAGCCACGGCGGCCCAGAATTGTGCGCGCTTTGTGATCTCAAAAAGAAATTGAAGAAACTCCCCATCTAGGTTCATTGTGTGCCTGTGTCGTTGAGTCCAAGCTGGCTGCTCACCATAGCCCTTTCGTGTGAGCGTGAGTCAAGAAGTCAATTGTCGTGGAGCTGCTCGTTCGTGCGACTCGGTGCGACGTCGAGACAAGCGAGTCAAGAGTCCCCTGCACTTGACGAGGGAGCTCAAGGAGACAAACACGCTCGCGCAGCAACTCAGCCACTCATTTTGATCATGTAGCTGGATGGCCGAACGCTGTGATGAGACATGGTGAGGGGCAGATTCGGTGAGGCGGTGCACCAGCCGATTGACTTCTTGCCCTGTAGCTTTCTGAACACGGTCATGTATTGCGCTCCTTGGATTCTAGTCTACGTACAGGCGACCCCTCTCACGCTTACTGCGCACCCTTGACGTACTGCCCGACCACCTTGGCAAAGAAGGTGCCCTGACCCTTGGCCACCGCCAGATCATTGCTCGTAGGCTGAAGTGCCCCATCCCCGCCAGCAACGGTTCCTCCACCCCAAGCGCTACCACCCCCAACAGTCGCGATGTCGGAGAGCTCCTTGTTCTGGAATCCGATGGGCACATAGATGATACCGTGGTGAGCAAAGAAGGGCATTGTGGTGAGAGCCGTAGTCTCCTGTCCACCGTGCTGCGAAGCCGTCGAGGTGAAGACGGTCGCGAACTTGCCGACGAGGGCGCCCTTCATCCAGAGACCGCCAGTGGCGTCGAAGAAGGAGGAGACTTGAGCGGGGGCTCGGCCCTGTCGAGTCAGGTGTCAGAGGAGAGAAAAATTATGAGGTACTATGAGCAAAGTAAACACGGCGGCAGATTAGTGATCATTCCGCACTTACGTATCGGGTGGGGAAGCCCATCACGAATCCGTCGAAGCGGGTGAGGTCGTCCGGCTTGACGACGGGGTACGAGGCGATGGGAGCCTTGTTGCCGTGCATCTTGGTGATGACCTCGTCGGGAAGCGTCTCGGCGAACTGTAAGAGGATGTAGGAGGGAGAGAGTGGGTGAATGAGTGAAAGGAGGAGAAGAGACGTGGTATCGCGCCCGGCTCACCTGGAAGATCTCAACCTCGGCGCCGTTCTCCTTGAGTCCGGCGACGACTTCCTCGGTCAGCTTGGCGATGTGGCCATACAGAGACCAGACGAGGACGGCAATCTTCGGGGCTTGGGCAGGCATGGTGAAAGGTGTGATCGTGGTGGTGAGATGAGGGTGAAGAGAGCGAGAGAAGGAGGGAGGGGGCCGCCTCGTTATTTATGCCCGTTGGCCTGGTACGCCGTCCGTGCACGCTCGCGAGCACGTCAAAGGCCGAGGCATCTGGCTCGGCGATAGGCAGAGCAGGAACGGAAGGTGCGCCACAGTTGAATCAGGGCCAGGGCGGGGGTGGGCATCGTTCAGTGTGACAAGCACTCATCTCTACTATCATTCCCGCGGGGTCTACGGTCACACAGTAGTGCTTCGCGCATGCAGAGTATTATTTACTACAACTTGGCTCCAAAGACAACGGCTCGCTCATTGTGCTCCGCCTCAATGTCCCGTAGGGCTCGCCTGAACGCATCCATCGCGGCTTCTATGCCGCCGATCTCTTCTACCCATGCTCGAGCCACCACGACGTCCTGATTCGCTATAGCGGCTGCGTCTGCAATGGCGCATACCTCGCGCACCTCGTCATCGCCGGCGTGCTTGCGTGACCACCCTGCGTGATCAACGAGCAACGCTGAACTGTAAAGCAGGGCAATGACGTCCAGCAGCGGACGAGCATAGCGATGCGATGCCTTTGCGCCATGAGAGGCAAGCGCTTCACACGCTCGCCTGGTCGTAGCGACGTGCTCTTTCAGCCTCTTCACAATCTCTTGAAGCTCACCCACCACGACGTCTCCGCGTACTCTCCGCTCAACATCATCCAGCAGGACCGTCAAGGCTTCCCCTTTTACTGCGCTCAACACCCTCACCACATCCATACTCATCACCTCTGCTGTCCCCTCCCAAATCCTCTCGACTGTCAAGTCCCTCAGCATCTCCGCAACGCCCAATCCCGAGTCCTCCATGTACCCCTGCCCACCGAACGAGTCCACTAGCCCAAGGACCGCTTCTGTTCCACGAGTCGAAACGAAAGCCTTGAGGGTCGGAGTGAGGAGACGGAGTAGCGTGTCTTCTTCTCGTGAGGCGATGTTGCATTCGCTCTTCCCCAACAGCGAGACGACGCTGTAAAAGAGCTGCTGCAGTGCTCTCTGCGTGACCGCGATACCAAAGAGAGACCGGGTGTGTAGAGGTAGGTCGCTCAGCATTTTGTCACCTACCTGTCTCTGCGTGGCGTAATGTGCAGAAAGTCGCCACCCATACAGCAAGCCCCCAACTGCTCCCGAAGCAGAGTACAGCCGTGTGATGTTAAGCACGGAAGCAATCGTCTTGACTCCCTGCCCGACCTCACCCACCAGCTCGGCATGACAATCCCGCAGCTCAAGCTCTGCCGTAGGGAGGTACTTGCTGCCCAACTTGTGCTTCAATCGATGTACGCGAACGCCGTTGTTGAGCGGAACGTGCGCATCTTCGCTGTCGCGCAGTCGCACAAGGAAGAGGGACAAGCCTCTCGACCCTGCTACGTCGTTCGTCCTCGCAAGCGCCAGCGCTACGTCGCCGTCCGTGGCTGAGCTGAACCACTTGAACCCATCGAGCGCATACGTCCTCCCCTCGACGTGCCTCGCAACCGTCTCTGTCCTCGACACATCAGACCCACCAGGTCGCTCCGTCATCCACTGCCCTGCAGTCCAAGCCTTCTCCGCCTCGTTGCTTACGAGGCGAGGCAACACCTCCGCTTGCTGCGAGGGCGTACCCACCAGCTCCAGGACGCGCGCTGCACCGTCCGTCATGGACATGGGGCAGAGCGCTAGCTTGGATACAGGGCCAAAGAGCAGGACCCGGGTAAAAGCCAGTACACGCGCTGCGCTCCCCCATTCTTGCCGGGCCGGGCCATACGAGGTGGTCACAATGCCTTCCTCTGCTGCTGCGCGTTTAAGGTCCTTCCATCCCTGTCCTGTGACCAGCTCATCCACACGCCGTCCCCAAGCATTATACTGGCGCAGGTGTGGTTCCTGATGTGGGCCACAGAGCGTGGACGATGTGAGACGGTGCGTTGTGGTGCAGCGAGTGGAGAAGGAGGAGAGGTCGGAAAAGGCAGAGCGTACGGAGGAAGCAGGGAGGCCACTCTCTGTCAGGCGACGATAGACGAGGAGGCGTAGGGACGTGTCGTCATTGAAGACGTCTGGGTGAACGAGTCGGGGGAACTGGTGTCCTTCATCGATTCTCATGGCGAGCGACGTGGGGAGCAAGCAGTTGAACCGGCGACAAATCTGATCCAATTGCGGGGGTCCAAGATCGTTCGTTGCCGAGCCGGACCACGCGAGCGAAGTGCTTTTCTGACGGCTCTCATGACTTCTTTCGTGCCAAAAGCCTCGACGATGATGAACAACATGATATTGTACACGATGAACTACTCACAAACACAAAAGGAATGTCCGACCCTCTGAATGGCCGCCCGCCCCATGGAGACGTTGTAAGGACAGTGACAAAGTGAAGAGGGGTCGAGATATAAAATCATGGTCCATGTTGCCTCGGCATGAAGATAGCTTGCCAGTGGGGTTTGAAGCTGGCTGCTACCGATTAATGAGGCGGTGCGAGTGGTGGATTGGGGGGCGGGCGAAGGTTGGGGGTATGGAGATTGGCTCAATGCGAGACGAGAGGGACGAGGGGTGAGGAAAGTGGATAGGTAGCGAGTCAGGAGAGGGGAGAGAGGCTGGATGAAGGGTAAGGCTGGGAAGCAGCAGCTGATCGCGAGTGCTGGCACACCGGCTTCCTTGTAGCTAGAAGATTTGAAGCCGGCTTGCTGTCCATCGCATCAATCAGTCGGACAGAGTTACATTGATGGCCTGGAGAAAGGAGAGATGAGGTGATGATGGAAGAAGTGACGAAGCCTCCTCGCTCGCTCCAACTTTTCCTTGCCGCGCCGCCTCCTCTGTCTCCCCTCGCTCGCATCGGTTCCGCCTCACCTCAGGCCTCACCACGACCAGCACACCACCTCTCGCGAGCTCATGTTATCGTTAACGAAAAAAGGGAGCGGTGGTGGCACGCATGCTTGAATACAGTGGGCGAAGATGAGAGGCAACCGCAGCTCCTCGTTCATCATTCGAATTTTGCAACAAAAAGGTCTATCAGAGCGCCATCTCAGGCATGCAGCATCTCCCCAACCGTGTCATCTGCTTATGCTTAACCCATAATCTTGGTCACGATACCAGTACCAATCGTCTTCCCTCCCTCACGCAGCGTGAATCGCGAACCCTCCTCGAGCGCAATGTCGTGTACCAGGTCTCCAACCATCTCAACCGAGTCACCGGGCATGACCAGCTTCTCCTCCGCGTCCGGCGTGCCCTCGGGGAAGTGCAACTGAACCGTCACATCTGAAGTACGGATAAAGAGTTGGGGCTTGTAACCGTGACCGAAGGGGCTGTAGCGACCTCCCTCTTCCTTGGTGAGGATGTAAAGCTGAGCAGTCACCTTCTTGCAGGGCTTGACCGAACCGGGAACGATGAGGACCTGACCGCGGCGGACCTGCTCTCGCTTGACACCACGGAGGAGAGCACCCATGTTGTCTCCTGCCTCTCCACGGTCCAGCTCCTTGTGGAACATCTCAATGCCCGTCAGGGTAGTCTTCATCGACGAGCCCATCCCCACAATCTCGATTTCCGACCCCTTGGTAATGGTTCCACGCTCCACACGGCCGGTGACGACGGTACCGCGACCAGAGATGGAGAATACGTCCTCGACAGGCATGAGGAAGGGCTTCTCGAGGTCACGAGGGGGCAGCTCCAGCCACTCGTCCGTAGCGGCCATGAGCTTGAGAACGGCCTCGGAACCAATGTCGGGCGTCTTGCCCTCGAGAGCGGCCAAGGCGGAGCCCGAGATGATGGGTGTGTTCTCACCGTCGAAACCGTACGTGCCAAGAAGGTCGCGCATCTCCATCTCGACGAGCTCGAGCATTTCCCTGCGAGTACGCGCGGGGCAGTCTGGTCAGCATTTAGTCCCGCAACGCGACGACTTTGGCCTCCTTCTCTCCACCGCGCACTCACTTGTCATCGACCTGGTCGACTTTGTTGACGAATACGACGAGCTTCTTAATGCCGACCTGCTTGGCGAGGAGCAAGTGCTCACGAGTCTGGGGCATCTGGCCGTCGGTAGCCGATACTACGATGATGGCCTGGTGCGGGACAAGAGAAAGGCAGGCAGGTCAGCATGCGTGAGAGCAACCCGTGCAACAGCCTCTCATGTCGTGAGCATACGTACGCCATCCATCTGCGCAGCTCCCGTAATCATGTTACGGATGTAATCGGCGTGTCCGGGGCAGTCGACGTGAGCGTAGTGGCGGTTAGGCGTCTCGTACTCGACGTGCGCCGTCGAAATGGTGATACCGCGAGCCTTCTCCTCGGGGGCCTTGTCGATCGAAGCATAGTCGACGAACTTGCCCGATCCGGACTCGGCGAGTACTTTGGTAATGGCAGCGGTGAGGGTCGTCTTGCCGTGGTCGACGTGGCCGATGGTGCCGATGTTCATGTGCGGCTTGGAGCGGACGAACTTGCCTGAAGCATCGGCGTAGCTGCGCGAGAGGACTGGCGAGCGAGAGGTGAGTACCGAGTGAGTGTGCTTGTTATGATCAAAGGATCCATGACAGGCTACTACTTACTCGACGGGACCTTGAGAGCGGCCGCTGCACGACGAGGAGCGCGAGGGTTCCTCGCCAATGTCGAGAGGGATCGAGGTGCTGCGCTGCCAACGAGGCTAGGAGCAGCCGCTACGGTCCTCTGTGAGAGTGGCGCCGAGTTGAGCGAGCGGCTGACGCTGCGAGGGAGAGATGATCGGAGGAGCGACATGACGGCGAGGATCAGATCAGAGGATGGTGATGATGATGATGATGATGAGCAAGCCGAATTGTGCGCCGCTTTGGCCCCGCCTCTTCCCGCCTCACCCGCGCCACTGGAGCCAGCCGGGAAGAAAGATGGACATTCGGATGACTAAGCAACGGGAGAGGGAGATGGGCAAGTGCCACGTGAGCGAGGGCCGCCTCGATGTCGAGTGTGTGTGTGGCTGCAGTCCGAGTCCGCGTCTCACGACTCTCTCCATCTCACACCATCACTTCACGCCGTCGCTGCAGCAGCATACAGCATGTCGGCTTCACCGCCTGCTCCTCCTCGCGAGAGGATCGCAGACCCCAATGCCATCTTCGACGACGACCCAGAGGAGGAAGAGGACGAAGGGGAGGACATCGGAGAGGCAGACGGAGATGCTGCGCCTGCTTCCAGCAGGAGGCGCCACTTTGATGACGATGATGACGATGAGGATGAAGATGATGAGGAGGAAGAGGAGGACGACGAGGAGGAAGATGGTGCAGCAGCGCAGTCATCTACTCGTCGTCGTCGCAAACGTCGTGCTGGCAACCGTTTCCTCGATGTTGAGGCCGAGGTAGACGAGGAGGACGAAGAGATGGACGAGGAGGATGAGGAGTTGCTCAAGGAGGGTCAGTACACACCATGCAAGGCGCAATATAGCGAAAACGGCTGACCTCCCCCGTCTCTTGGCGCGCATACAGATGGATTCATCGAGCAAGAAGCAGGAGACGAAGGCGAAGACTCCCGCCGACGCTACGCAGCCGACAACCAACGTCTAGACCGGCTGCGTCGCGAGCAAGAGGACAAGTCCGCCGAACAGCTCGCTGAAGAGCTCAACGAGCGCTATCGTCGCTCAGCACGCTATGCCGCTCAATCCGATTACGCCGAGGTCCCGCAGCGTCTCCTCATGCCCAGTGTCGACGACCCCAAGCTCTGGTCCGTCCGCTGCAAGATCGGTCGAGAGCGAGACATAGTCATGACCTTGATGCGCAAACAAGACGCCATGAATGGTCAGCTGCGCTTCATCTCGGCCTTCTGCCGCGATTCAATCCCTGGTCGCATCTACGTCGAATGTCGGGGCGCCAATGACGTCCTCGAGGCGTGCATCGACATCGTCGGCTGCTATGCGCGCAATGAGGCCAACCTGACCATGGTCCCCATCGGGGAAATGGCTGACCTGCTCAAGATCACCAAATACACACCCACGGTCAAGATTGGAGGGTGGGTGCGCCTCAAGCGCGGCAAGTACGCGGGAGACCTTGCTCAAGTCATCGATCAGGCGGAAAACGGCGAGGACGTAGGGATCAAATTCGTCCCGCGCATCGACATGAACCCACGAGATATGGGCGAGATGTTCACGGACAAGAATGGGAAGAAGCGAAAGAAGATTGCGAGGGCGGGAGCAGATGGCAGGGGACCGAGACCACAGCAGCGCTTTTTCAATCCCGATGAGGTTCGCAAGGTCTACATTGGGACAGACAGGCCCGTGAAGCGTGGAGACAAGGAGTGGGTCTTCCAGAAGGATACATTCATCAATGTGAGTGGCGGCGAGTCGTGGCACTACCTCATCGTCTCCGCGTACTGACATGCTCCTTCCACCCCGCTCGCACAGGGCTACTGTGAACGAGACGTCCGCATCGACCATCTCATCCTCGAAGACGTCCAGCCCTCCCTCGACGAGATCACCAAATTCACCGGCTCAGCAGCAGAGCGCGGCGCCGAAGCTGGGGACGAAGCAGCTTTGGACCTCGAGACTCTGGCCAAAGCCTCGCGCGACACGGGCACAACGACGCTTGAACGCGACGACGCCATCGAGGTCTTTGAGGGCGACCTGGCCGGCGTGGTGGGCACCGTAGCCAAGATCTCGGGCAATGTCATCACGATTCAGTTCGAGGATACGACGGCTGAGGTGCCGTCTAGCTCGGTGCGCAAGCGCTTCAAGCCGGGAGATCACGTTAAGGTTACGAGTGGGAAGCATCAAGACGAGACTGGTTTGGTAGTCAAGATCGAGGACAACTTTACGACTTTCCTTTCGGACTTGACGCTCAGTGAGGTGACAGTGTTCAGTAAGGATTTGCGACAAGCTACGGAGATTGGGTCAGGGGTCAACGACATTGCCGGGTACGAGCTGCACAATCTGGTTCAGCTGGATGCGCAGACGGCTGGTGTCATCTTCAAGATCGAGCGCGAGACGTTCCGCGTGTTGGACCAGCTTGGGAACGTGGTGAGCGTGAGGCCACATCAAATCAGCATGAAGAGGGATACGATGAGGGCTGTGGCGCTGGATAATGAGGTGAGCAAATGAGCCTGCAGCCGCAGGATGATTCAACGTCTCCGTGACTGACTCTCAACCATCCCACGCCGCGGCTCACTCGGCAGGGCTCCGAGTTCCGCGCAGGCGACAAGATGAAAGAAGTCGACGGCGAGCAGCGTGAAGGCCAAGTCCTCCACATCTACCAGTCAGTCCTCGTCTTCATGCACAGCCGCGACATGCCCGACAATGGTGGAGTCTTCATCTCTCGTGCACGCCAGCTGGTTCCCGTCGCCCCCAAGAGCACGGCCTTTGCGGGCGCAGGGATGAAGGGAACTGATCTGAGCAAGCAGAATCCGCAGCTCACTGCGGGCTTGAACCCAGACGCCGTTTCTGGCGGTGGCGGTGCCGCATCAAGTATGAGGAGGATGGGTCGCGACCCGCTGCAGGGCAAGACCGTCTCCATTATCAAGGGACACTACAAGACGTACCGCGGCATCATCAAGGACACCAATGGGCCAATGGCTCGCGTGGAGCTGCACACCCTTCCAAAGATCTTGACGGTCGAAGTCAAGTATCTCGTCGAGAAGGACCCCATCACGGGCAAATCCCGCCCGCTCATGGGCAATGCGCCTCTGCCCGGCAGCAATGCAGGCGGCATGACGGCTTATGGCGCGCCGAGATCTTCTAATCCATACGCGACGCCCTACCTCGGCATGGGCGGTGCGACGCCCTACGGCAATGCTACGCCTGGCTACGGGCTGGCAGGTAAGACGCCCAACCCCTATGCAATGGGAGGCAAGACGCCCAACCCTTACGCAAGTGGAGGAGGAGGCAAGACGCCCAACCCCTACGCTGCTGGTGGAGGCGGGAAGACGCCCAATCCCTACGCCGATGGCAGCAAGACGCCCTACAACCCCTACGGCGGTGGAGGAGGGGGCAAAACGCCCAACCCTTATGCCAGCGGCGGGGGAGGCAAGACACCAAATCCCTACGCAGACGGTTCCCGCACACCCGCCTACCCGGGCGCAGGTAGCGACTCGCACGACCCACGACCACAGCGAAGCGGCGGCTATGGTTCCAATCCCTACGCATCCGCCGCTACGCCTTACGGGGCTGCCCCTACTCCTGGAGCGTATGCTGCTCCCACACCAGGCGCAAGCTATGCTGCCCCGACTCCCGCCGCAGGAGGCGGTGGCAATCCGTACGCCGCCCCCACGCCCGGAGCGGGCCCCGCTTCTACGCCATGGGGAGCGCCCACACCAGCCATGTCGGCTCCCACGCCCGGTGGGGCTCTCCATCACGGCGGCGGCGGCGGCGGCGCACCAACTCCCTGGGCCAGCCATGCGCCTCGCCCTGCTCACGGTGCAGGCGCAGGTGCCGGCTTGGACGGCGAAGATGCGCCAATGGCCGAGACGCTCGTGCGTATCCTCTCGCATCGCCCGACTGGCTCCTCGTACGAGGGAGGAAGGTTCGACCGTCGTACCGGTGCAGTGATGAGCGTCACTCCCAACGGATCCGCTGCGACGGTTCAATTGGACGGGGGAGGCGGGGAGGTCTTGCGCGACGTGCCCGCGAAGTTCATCGCCCCGCAGCGCCCTGACCGAGCGGGGGAGCTCTGTGTTGTCACGCTGGGGCCTTTCAAGGGAAGGAGCGTCAAGGTGGCTTCGGTGGATGCGAACGAGTTCATGGTAGCGCTGGAGGACAAGAGCATGCAGGTCCTGCCCCCGGGGGCGTTGGCCAAGAAGGCGTAGCCGCCCGAGGGGAGGGGAGGGGACTGTTGTGCGCCGGGAAGGGGCGGGTAGGGACAGTGTAGCTACTTTGTGACGACGGATCGATCGAGCTTTCGTCAGTCAATGCCACGCAGCAATATGCATCATCACATTCGAAATCGTCGAAGATTGCATGGCTTCTCGGAGCGGCCCGAGCGGCTAGGCTAGGCTAGCCTAGCCTGGCGTAGGATGATCAGGAGGCGGGCCGTGCTCTCACTGGCTGCGGGGACGGAGGCGGGTGCGGATGGACGCGTAGCGCGGATCAATGTATGGCCGCACTGGCTCAAAGTCCAATCAATTCGCATCGAAAGGCAGATACAAAGAGCTACTATGCATGCGGTGGGTTTTTTTCCTTCCCTCCTACTTGTCTCATCCAACACTCCTTCCACAACACGAGACACCTGATCCACGATGCGACTCTTTCGAACCACCCTCGCTATCCCCCTCCTCGCCGTGACCCTCGCATCGCTCACGGCAGCCAACCATGGTGTTGCGCCCATGGCCAAGAACTTGGGCGCAGATGTCGAGAAGCGCGAAGCTGTTAAGCAGGCTTTTCTCTATAATTATGACAACTATGAGAAGTATGCGTGAGTAGTGGCAGCAAGGCGTGACAGTGACGCTGCCCTTGACTGACCTGGACCCCGTCGCGCCCATTCAGCTTCGGCAACGACACGCTCGCTCCCGTCACCAAGAAGGGCCAGTGAGTAGGCGGTGACAGACCAGCTACGGCGCACTCCTCGCACATGCTGATCCCCTCTCGCCTCGCCCTCGCGCAGAAACACCAACGGCATCCTAGGCGCGTGGGGCGCAACAATCTACGACTCCCTCTCGACAATGATCGTCATGGGTCTCCCCGATTCTGACCCTCGCTTCAGCCGCGCAATGGACTTTGTATCCAAGATCGACTTCTTCAACACCACAGGTGGGGACCCACCAGGAGTCGTCTCCCTTTTCGAGCTAACCATCCGCGCTCTAGGCGGGATGCTCTCTGCTCGCGATTTGCTCGAGGACAAGGGAAGACACGTACCGAGCTTCTTGGTCAACCAGTCTAGGAATCTGGCAGAGACGTTCATGCCGGGATGGGTGCACGCTATCCCCTTCAACTACGTGAATGTTACGGCCAAGAAACCGCAAGACTTGAAGGCGACGGCCAACTATGCCGAGGCGGGTACCATCCAACTTGAGTGGTCGCGCCTGTCCGACGTCACTGGGGACGAGAAGTATCGCAAGCTCGTCTACGGTTCTGAGATGGCGCTGATCAGGGCGAAGGAGGAGTTGCCTGGCTTGCCAGGCCAGCAGATCTGGCCCCAGAATGGGACCCACGTCGATTCGCTTGCTGGGCGCTACGTGACTTGGAGTGGCGGTACGGACTCGTACTTTGAGGTGAGCGCGGGCGCATCCGCAGGGCAGCGTACGGAGATGAAGCTGACTCGTCTTGCTCGCTCCCCAGTACCTCCCCAAATGGACGCTCATGCAGGGCAACTCTGCCGACCCTCTGCTGCTTCGCAAATTCACCCAAGCAGTCGAAACGACGCAGAAGCGCCTGCTCATCAAGAGCGGCGTGGCTAACCACACCTTCCTCAGCGATTACTCGTCCGACCTTGGTGGCAACGTCTATCGCACATCTGGGCTGGCTTGCTTCACAGGTGGTTCCTGGGCGCTAGGAGGTAAGATGCTGGGCAGGGACGACTTTCTGCAGCGGGGCCTGGAGCTGGCCGAGAGTTGTGGCCGGACTTATTTGGGGACCGCCACGGGTATTGGGCCAAGTCATTTCGGGTATCGTGATAAACAGGGGAAGCTGCATGGCTACCGCAAGGTTATCTCTGAGGGTAAGGAAGCCTTCTACCGCGAGCACGGCTACTTCCCTATGGATAATGGGGGAGGCCATGCTCCTGAGACGATCGAATCCATCTTCTATGCGTGGAGAGTCACCGGCCAGCAATTCTGGCGCGACATGGGGTGGGAGATGTTCCAGAGTCTGAGGAGGTTCTTGGACACCAAGACAGGATGGGCTATGATGGCCGATGTGAACGATCAGGCTGGCGACTGGGAAGACGATCAGGGTGAGTTGGCGAGTGAGTCAAGGCGGGAGGAGGCTGCGGCTCACTGTTTGCGCCTTTTCTTTCGCACACAGGCAGTTACCTGTACGCCGAGGTGCTCAAGTACTACGTGAGTTGCGCAGCGAGATTGGCAGCAGCGCAAAGTTACCTTTTGCTGACCTTCACCTTTTCTCGCGCCAGTACATGCTCTTCGACGATCCCGCCAACCTCTCGCTGGATGAATGGGTGCTCAACACCGAGTGCCATCCATTGAAGCTGCGCAACGATCGCTCCAAGTTTCCACGCATCCAGTACAACGGTCCTGGCGCCAAGCCTTTCCCCTACGTTCCCCTCGGCGACACCAACGTAGAGAGTGGGGAAAGGGCCCTCAGCCCGACTCCCACAGTTAAGGGTCCGTTTGACTTCAAGATGGAGAATCACCCGGGCACGCAGGCCGGCGTGGAGATGATGGAGCAAGTCTATGGCATGCCCGTCGAGGTGGCAAAGGCCCAGTACTCGCCGCGTCCTCTGGCGGTGAATGTGTAGATATGGGAGAGAGAGAGTTGCGCGTTGCCCCCACGTCAGGACGCATTCAATTCAGATGAGCTCGTCTCGCGCCGAGCCCGCGTCATTCCACCTTCCCGTCCGTCCGCGACCTGATCGAATGCGATGCGAGATGCGAAGTTGATCAGAGTGCGCCGCTCCGCTCCCGAACCAACCTTGCAGGCCGCTTATCTAGCTTCTCGTCCCAACCTCACCATCCTCTCTCTCCTGCTCATCCTTGACGGCGGCTCACAATGACCTCCTTCGACCCTGGAGGTCACGCCGGCCTCCTCGATCTCCCCACGGAGCTCCTCTCCTATATCATCCGCCTCGTCTACCTCGATTCAATGCCGCGCAGCTGGCATCGCAATTTGGACCTGCACGGTCTCCCTTCAACCTACGCAGATGGGCGTGCCATCTCCTCGAGCCACTCGCGAGTGCAGGCTACACTGTGGAGCTTGTGTCTCGTATGTCACGCCACGTACAATGAGGCAAGGCCGCTATTGTACAGAAGGATCAATGTGAGCTTGCCGCACTCATTCACCCTCTTGCTGAGGACGCTGGGAGCTGCCGCCCTTGCAACGGCATACGAGCGCTTCCAGCAGACGGGAAAGCTGCCAGACGACGCGCAGAGCATGGTTGCTGCGGCTGGATTTGCGAGGGTATTGGGTACCAGCTTGGTCATGACAGAGGACGAGGTGCGTGGAGGGAGAAGCCGCGAGGCATCTTCCTCCTCTACGCCTGCGCCTACGCCTGCTACCACGGGAGAGGGAGCAGCGCTGGACGACGACCACCTCCAACTCACATGGCAGAGCGATTCGTCCCGCTTCACCGTCTCGCTACGTCAGCTCTCCGAGCTGCAAGACTGCGTAAGAGTCATCGACTTTAGCGCATTCACGACCCAGGGGATGCGCAGGACCATCGGGCAGGGAATGGAGGCAAGATTCGTTACCCCTCCGCGACTGTTGGCTTTGCTTACCGCCGCGCCCAATCTTGCGGCCTTTGGAGCGAGTCAGACGATGGACTCGAGTTTGAGCGTCGAGGTGCTGGAAGCTCTGCTCTTCAGAGGAGGAAAAGCGCCACATCGTCCAGCGAGGTTGCGTGGAGTATCGGTGGAGAGGAACAACAAGAAGAAGAGGAGGCGGACCACCCACAAGATCAGAGACGACGATGGAGAGGGCGAGGCGGTTGTCTCCCTCTCAGCGTTGGATCTCACAGACTGCGTCTCTCCCGTCTTTGAGGGTGCCGTTACGGAGTTCATTGCGCGACATTTGAACGCCCGCGTGACGCATACTTTGCACGAAGAGTCGAGCACCGATACCGAGACGACGGCAGATGAGGGAGCGAGCACAACGGGGGACGAGGAGAGCGATGTGCCGCGTAGAGGGCGCAGCAGGGGAGGTGGAGACGAAGAGGAGGAGCGTGGCAGGCGAGGAGGTAGCAGAGCAAGCGTCATCATCGAGCAAGACCACCGCGGCCGCGCAGGCAGCAGCAGAGGTAGCGGGAGCAGAAGCAGCGCCTTGATCGACGCTGATCGCTCGCGCGGACGAAGCGTACGCTCCCTCTCCCGCGCCCCACCAGCACCACGCTCTACATCCTTCCCAGACTTTGAACGTCTCAGCCTGAATGGCATCATCTGGCGTCCCGCTCTCCTCTCTCCCTTCCTCCGGGCATTCACTGGTCTCACTCACCTAGACGTCAGCCGCACACGGATCGACGCCGACCTCCTCGGCCATCTGTCCGCCTCTCCCTCTTTACACCTCGAGTCCCTTTCGCTGGCAGGATGTCGCAACCTCACCTCAGAAGGGATCGCGGAGCTCCTCATCGACTCGCCCGTCACGGCAGACCTAGCAGAGCTCTCATTGGAGGGCAGCCTCGTCTTTCCCACGCCTCTGGAGCGACATCACCTCGCCGCCATCCTGAGCGAAGCGCCTTGTTTCCGTTCAGGCCGGTTCAGGTACCTGGATATAGGCGGATGCGGGTGCGATGATGAGCTCCTACTCTCCTTGGCACCGCAGCCTTTCCTCCTTGACCTCGGCTTGGGTGCCTCACCCGGCCTCACACTGAGTGTTGTATCGCGCTTTCTGCGGGAACGAGCGCCCAATGTGCAAGTTCTCGAACTCTCGGACAGCTGCTACCACCCGGGCTCCACCTCCGGCGTCCTCGCGCTGGATGTGGCTACCCAACTGATCGGTCCCTGCTGCACCACGCCGCCCTTACCGCTCTCCCTGCAACTGGCGCAAATGGGCTTCGCAGGTGCGGATCAAGCAGCAAAAGCCGCAGCGGAGGCTACTGCTGCTCAGCTGCGCGAGCCGACCAACTTGCGCGTCGTGGGGCTGAACGGGCCCAGCCTACGCAACGTACGCGCAGGCTTTGGAAGCTGGAAGGTCATTTGGGGGAGTGGGAAACGCGGCTGGCTTGTGGACACGAGTGCGGGGCCCAGTCCCGATGCCAAGGATAGCGATCTCGATCCGAGCGAGGGCGGCGAGGGTGAGGCCGAGGAGCAAACCGGCAGTCCACCAGCGAGAGCTGCGGGGTTGAAGGCACCTGCACCTCCTGCGAGGAGGTCAAGGTCTAGGCGAAGAATGGGCTACGAGCCGGAGACACCGCCCCTCGGTCGCTCCCCTTCACGGCATCGTAGTCTCAATTTGGGGCACAACAGATCTCGCTCGCAAGGACCAGCAGGATCCCCCCACTCTACGCTTCTTCGCGGAGCAAGCTTTTCTTCCTCTCTCCGTCCTCCCTCTCCCACCCCACCCGAGTCTAAACCACCACCGGCACCGCCCCCAGTCCCCGTTCGCCCGGAAATCGTGCGCAACCTCCCCTCTGGCCATCCGCGGCGCTCCTTCCTTGAGAACCTGGCGGCGAAGAGTAGCACAGGAGGGGGTGGTGTGTCGAGCGAGGTGGGATGGCATGCGAGGAAGATGGAGACATTGCTTGGCTTTGGGATGTTAGGACGGGAGAGGGGTTGTTATGCTTTTGTTGCGTATTGTTGATGAGGGACAGACAGTGGGAGGAGAAGGATCGCGTCGCATCGCATCGGCTGGCACTCACGCTTTGCTACATCTATACATTATCGACATCATCACAACGCATCGCCCCGCAATCTCACAAGCGCTTCTGCACCCACGCCTCCAGTCCTCCAGCAACAGCGATGTCCTGTACGGCTTTGCCTACACCCGCCGGCCTGGTCACGTATCGCCTCTCCTTACCGTCGCTCCCCTTGAGGACCACCTGCCCATTGCGCGTGTCAACCCTAACCTCCCCCTCCAGAACCACACTGATCTCTCCTTCCTTCTTCCCGCCAGCACCCCTCACGCCACCCTGGGCAAACTCGCGCGTCAAGTCCTCGACAAGCTGTGGGCACTCCAAGCAGACCAGCCCATTATTGATGGCGTTGCGCTTAAAGATGTCTCCAAACGACCCAGCGAGAACGAGCGGGATACCCGAGTACTTGAGAGCGGTAGCTGCTTGTTCTCTCGAGCTTCCCGTACCAAAGTTGTACCCACCCAGAAGTACTACCCCCTTTTGCGGTCCGCTCTCCCCCGCCTTGCGAGGCTCAACCTGTGCGCTCACGGCTGTGGGCGATTTCAAGTCGGCGACGATGCTGGCGAAATTGGGGTCGTAGTTCTCCATGACTACCTGCGCTTGCTTGGACGGGGTGATATCGTCTTGATAAGTGTACTTGCCCGGGTAGATGCCGTCCGTGTTGAGGTTGTCTTGCGGGGCGAAAATGAGTGTACCGTGGAAGCTTGAGGGGAAGCCAGCGAGAAGCTCAGCGCTCGAGTCGACGTCTTCCGCTGCGGCCGAGCTGGACGTCTCGGCTGCTTCGGTGGGTGCGGCAGCGCTGAGGGAGTACTCGAGCTTTCCCTCCTGCTCAGGGATGGGGGAAGGACCGCAGATCTTCCCCTGCAGGGCAGAGGCGGCCACTACTGCCGGGCTGGCCAAGTAGGCCAGAGCCTTTGGCGAACCCATGCGCCCCTTGTAATTGCGGTTCGTCGCAGAAATGCCCACCTCGCCGTCTTCGAGCAAACCCACACCCAAACCGATGCAGGGTCCACAGCCTGCGGGGAGGGGCTTAGCTCCTGCGGCAAGGAGGGCACCCCAGTCACCGCTCTCTTCCGACTCGCGTTGAACGACGGAAGAGGCGGCTGCTACGTAGAACTCTACGCCTGGTGCCACCTTTTTGCCGCGCATGACATCGGCTGCCGCCTTCAAGTCGCTCGCTCGCGAGTTGACGCAGGATACCAGGTAGGCCTTGTTGATCTTGATGTTCTGTTGGGACAGGTCGGCGAGCGGGGTGGAGATCTTGACGCTATTGGGGCCGGAGACGTGCGGGGAGAGGGTAGAGAGGTCTAGGCGCAGCGTCTTGGAGTAGAAGGCGTCCGAGTCGGGGCGGACGAGGTTGGTGGAGAGGTGGTCAAGACGCTCCATGTTTAGGCGCGGGTGGTGGGCCGCGTGCGAGGGTGAGGAGCCCCTGTGCGAGGGCGACATCAAAGGACGAGGGGAGTCGGATCAGCGAGAGCCGGCGGCTTGTACAGAGGTGCTACGGCCGCCCACTCACATTTGGAAGTTGAGCTTGTCCATCCTCCTGACCATCTTCTCATACCACGAGAGCGTCACGTCGTCGACGGGGAAGACGCCCGCCAGCGCTCCCCATTCCGTCGTCATGTTTGAGATGGCCAGCCTCTCATCAATGGATAGGCCCGCCACTCCCGACCCCGTAAATTCAATGGCAGCATTCAACACCTGGTCCTCGTTGAAATACCCACAAAGCGCCACAATGACGTCCTTTCCCGTCACGCCAGGGGGAAGCTGCCCGACAAGGTCCACTTTCACCACCTCTGGAATCTGCCACCACGTCTGTCCCGTAGCCCAAATGGCCGCCGCGTCGGTTCTGACGACGGGGGTGCCGACGCAGCCTACGCCTCCGTACATGTTTGAGTGGGAGTCGGAGGCCACGGCGAGGGTCTGCGGGAAGGCGTACCCCTCCTCGATCATCACTTGATGGCCAATGCCGCGGCCTGCGGGGTAGAAGTCGATGCCTTGTTCGCGAGCGAAGGATTCGATGCGCGAGTACTTTTTGAGGTTGGCCTGGAGCGAGGGGTGAGGGGACGAGGCATTAGCGGGGGGCAGTTCGCAGAGATGGAGGCACGACGCCGCGCTCACTTCGCTCTTGTTTTGAACATCGTGGTCCAGAGCAAAGACAACCTGGGATGGATCGCGAATCTTTGTGGCGCCGATTGAGCGGAACTGTATATGCGGTGGGCAGGGAGAGGGGGGGTCAGCCATGCCTCTTGATTGCTAGACCCTGCTCGCACTCGCGCTCACCTTGGTAATGCAGGGCCCCGTATTGTCATGCGTCATGACCGTCTGCGGTCTGACGCTGAGGTAGTCTCCGGCCTTGACCTTTTGACCCTGCGCGAGGTCGACTGCATAACGCTGCACGATCTTCTCGATGAAGGATTGCGGTGTGTCCGAGGCAGGGAGCGATGTGTGAGTGGCTAATCGACGCAGCGAGCTCGCAAAGGAGCTGGGTCCAGCCATCCGTGAGCTTGTCGCGCTTGCCAGCCGTGTTCTTGATCTGAGAAGCATCGCGGGCGTGGTATCGAGGAGCGTGCGGTGGTTGGTATCACGGGCAACCCTTGGAAGTCACGCTTGCCATTTCTCAGCCGCCACTCCAAGGCGCACGGAATGGCTCGCGTGGCTTCGCCCAAAGCCAAATCCGTCTGAGCCCGGTCACTCGTCGTCTCTCCGCCCCGCGCGCTCTGCTCTTTCTCATTGAGCGACGAGTCAAGTCAAAGTGCACACCGACTTCTCGCCGACGCACGGCGCCACGCAGGGCAGGGCAGCTCAGAGACTCTAGGCTCCCTCTCTCGCCTGCCTGCCCGCCTGCCCGCCTAGCCGCCCGCTTGCTCGCACTCCGTCTTTTTGACTTCTTCCTGTTCTTCTCAACACCAACCACTCATCACCATGTCCCTCCCCAACGTCACCCGCTCGACTGCCCGTGCCGCTTTCCGCGCTGCTACCAAGCAGGTCGCACAGAAGCAGGCTGTCCGCTCCTTTGCCGTTGCGGCTGGCGCGGCTGCTCGCCCTGCCCTCCGTGCTGCGCCGGCTGCCCCCGTGATGCAGAAGCGCGGCGTCAAGACCATTGACTTTGCTGGTACCGAGGAGAAGGTGAGGCGCGCCCGGAGCGACATGCAGCACTCACAATAGAGTAACGAGGAGCTCACATTCGCCTTCCATCCCACCCTCGCAGGTCTACGAGCGCGCCGACTGGCCTCTCGAGAAGGTGCGTCTGTGCGAGCGAGCAGATGCCACGCCCTCCGCTAATGCCTTCATTCTCCCTCTTGCCTCCGCACACACAGCTCCACGACTACTTCAAGAACGACACCTTCGCTCTCCTTGGCTACGGCTCCCAGGGCCACGGTCAGGGTCTCAACCTCCGCGACAACGGCCTCAACGTCATCGTCGGTGTGCGCAAGGGCGGTCACTCGTGGAAGGAGGCCATCGAGGACGGCTGGGTCGAGGGAAAGAACCTCTTCCCCATCGAGGAGGCAGCGCAGAAGGTGAGTGCCCAGGCGCGAGCACGAAGCTTCAGCCTAATTCTCTCCTCTAACTCCCTCGCTGACGATCCTCCTCTCCCTCTCGCACACCCTACAGGGCACCATCCTCATGAACCTCCTCTCCGACGCGGCCCAATCCGAGACCTGGCCCGAGCTCCAAAAGTTCATCACAAAGGGCAAGACCCTCTACTTTTCGCACGGCTTCTCCGTCGTCTACAAGGAGCAGACGGGCGTCATCCCCCCCAAGGACGTCGATGTCATCCTCGCCGCTCCCAAGGGTTCGGGACGTACGGTCCGATCCCTCTTTGTCGAGGGACGCGGTATCAACTCGTCCATCGCTGTTCACCAGGATGTGACCGGTAAGGCTCTCGAGCGCGCTACGGCTATGGGTATCGCTATTGGCTCGGGTTACCTCTACGAGACGACTTTCGAGAAGGTGCGTGGGCGCGGGGTCCCCCAGGACGAAGCATGATCTGCGCGTGCACGTGAGCGCTGACGTTGGGTCACCCCCTTCTACTGTCTCCTCTCCCCTCCTTTGCTCTACTCGCCGCGCACAGGAAGTCTACTCGGACCTCTACGGAGAGCGCGGCTGCCTCATGGGCGGTATCCAGGGCATGTTCAAGGCCCAATACGACGTTCTCCGCGAGAATGGCCACTCCCCCTCGGAAGCCTTCAACGAGACATGCGAGGAAGCCCTCATGTCCCTCTACCCTCTCGTAGGAGAAAACGGTATGGACTACATGTACAACGCCTGCTCCCTCACCGCCCGTCGTGGTGCGTTGGACTGGGCTCCCAAGTTCGAAGAGGCAAACAAGCCCGTATTCCGTGAGCTTTACAAGAGCGTTAGGGATGGTAGTGAGACGAAGAGGACTCTCGAGTTTGCTAGTCAGAAGAACTACCGTGAACTCTATCAGGAGGAGACGGATAAGATTAGCGCCCAAGAGATGTGGCGCGTTGGACATAAGGTTCGCGCTCTTCGTCCTGACAGGAAGTAAGGTGCAGGCGTGCGACGTACGGCGTACGGCGTACCGTATCGTACCGTAGAGCGGTAGCGTGAGGTGAGGGCACGCAGCATGGCAATCAGGCATTCTTTGTGTATCGCGTTTCACAATGACATTTGTGCACATCAGTGGACTTCGTTCAACGCCAGCACCTGCGCCAAGGAGTGAGTCTGGTGCGTGCGAGTGTGCGTTGCGCAGCGTCGCATTGCTGCCTCGTCGCGATGAACGAAGCAGATTCCTTGGCAGGGAAATGGGACCAAGGATGAAAGAGCAGCACGTCCGAGATGAGGAGCAGCTCGTACGGTAGCGAGGGACGCGGTGGACGCTGTGAAGCCTTGCGCAAAGAGTATTGACGTCTTCAACGCCATCCATCGAATGGGGGGACAGGATGATTCGTAGCATGAAAAGGGATAAAGGCAAGTTTGCAACACCAGCTGCAATGGATTCTCTCTGCGTGCTGATCAGACGCTCACGTCTGGGTACGTCAGAGGTACGAGGAGGGTGTCGAGAGAAGTGCCCTCGTGGTGACAGAGTCCTGGCCCGTCCGTCTCCCGAGAAAGGCCATCAACGAGGCTGAGAAGAAATGCCGCGACGTCACCTCAAGCGATTCTCCTGATTGCGCATCTCTGGTGAGCGAGTCGTACAGGATAGACAGAAGCCGACCCCACGATCCTTGTCTCCACAAACCCGTCAAGCTTGCGTTCACCATTTCGCCTGACGCAGATGATCGCTTGCTTGCTGTCGATGGTAAAGAGGGAGGTATTCTGTCGGCAAGCGAGTAGTGTTGAGCCCTGCGATCGACCCGCCATGGCCTCATCTTCGTCGGCCGACGGAAAGGAAACGGCGAAGAGGCCGATGCGGAGCGGCGACTTCTTCTTGCTCTACGAAGGAGATTTTTTGGGCTGCACCGTTCATCCGACGCTTTGGGAGAAGATCTCGCGGCGCGCTGCGCGACTTACTTTGTGCCTCTCGCACCTCGCACTTCGCACCTCGCACCGCCAGACGTCGTCCTCGCTGGGAGCCAACCCTCGGCATGGCGATGCGATTGCGAAAACAGCAAGCGTCGGTGCGGCTGCGTCGATGCGTCGCGAGCATGATCCGAAGGTCTTCCCCACCTTGTCTCCCCACCTTGTCTCCCCACCTTGTCTCGACATTTCATCCTCTTAGCAATACCCTCACGCCATCATGTCGAGCGCTGAGAAGGCCAGCGCTGGTGGCAGCGCTACCAGCATCGACCACGCCCATGACCACGACCACGAGGGAGGACGCGTTGCCGGACCCCTGACACAGGCCAAGCGCGGCGACTTGGGCGACGATGCGTACGTGTCGGACGAGGCCTATGAGCGAGCGGTCCAGGGCAAGGAGGCCATGCACCAGCTGGGTTGGGTCAAGATGGCTACTCTCCTCTGCGTCGAGGCCATCGCCTTGGGATCACTCAGTCTGCCGGGCGCCTTTGCTACGCTGGGCATGGTTGGCGGTGTGCTCCTCACCGTAGGCACAGGCGTTCTCGCAACGTACACCGGCTGGATCTGCGGTCAAGTCTACCTCTTCTACCCTGGCTTGAAGTCATTTCCCGATGCCGGTCGACAGCTCTTCTCTCCCCTCGGCCCCCGCTGGGCTCGATTCGGCTACGAGCTAGTCTCCGTTCTCTTCGTCGCTCAGCTCACACTCAACTACGCCAGCCACGCCCTCACGGGCTCCATCATGTGGCAGCACATCACCGACCGCGACGACATCTGCTCCATCATCTGGGTCCTCGTCTCCGCGGTAATGTTGACGCTACTCGCATCGCCGCCTACGTTCGAGAAGTTCTCCTTCTTGGGCTACGTCGACTTCGTGTCTATCATCATCGCCATCCTGATCGTGATGATCGCGACTGGCGTATCGGGCCCTACCCCAGCCTCGGACTGGTCCGCGTGGCCGCAGCCGGGCACCACCTTCGTACAAGGATTCGCGGCCGTCACGAACGTCCTCTTCGCCTATGCGTTCGTCATCGTCCAATTCTCGCTGCAGACGGAGATGAAGAACCCAAAGGACGTGACCAAGTCGGTCATCGTAGTCGGGGGTGTTCAAATTCTCGTATACACTCTGACGGGCGCACTCATCTACGCCTTCGTTGGGCAGAGCGTCGAGTCGCCAGCCATTCTCAGCGCTGGATCCAAGACGATCGTACGAGTGGCCTTCGGCATCGCCATGCCCGTGATCTTCATCTCAGGGAGCATCAACGCGAACGCCGTAGCGCGCTACGTTCACCACCGGATCTATTCTCACTCGCGCCATCAGTACATCAACACGGGACCCGGATGGCTCCTCTGGATCGCCATTCTGGCAGTGCTGGGGGTCGTAGCCTTCGTGGTCGCGGAGGCCATTCCGTTTTTCTCTGACCTTCTAGGCATAATTTCAAGCCTCCTGATAAGTGCCTTCACCCTATGGCTCCCGAGTGTACGCGGATTGCGATTTACGTTGATGCTCGAAGCAAAGCTGACCTTCTCTTCTCCCCTCGTGCGCGTGCAGGTCTTGTGGTACTTTATGCTGCGGCAGGGCGCGCCCTTGAGCAGGCAGAACCTTATCCACACGCTACTGTGCCTGGTCTGCTTCATCTACGGAGTGACAGTCCTCGGTGTCGGAACCTACGCAAATGTGGACTCGATTGTGCAGAAGTACACCGTAGGCAAAGTTCGCTCCGCGTTCTCCTGCGCGCCGCTTTAGGCGAGCTTGGGCAACGAGCGGATCTGCAACTGCTGCATAGGCCTGTCAGCCGAGTTGACTCTCTCAATCAAATCACTTCTCCAGACCGTGCAAAAAAGTGTCGACTGGTCTTTGACCATTGCCACGCCTCTTAGCGCGAGAGTCGCGTATCGCGTGTCGCGCGCCGCAGTCCGGCCTCGCCTACGCCTCTTTCAACCTCCGATGCAGCGTGGGCTCCACTGGCTACTGCTTTCCCGCTCAGCTCTGAGAGGGAATTTTCTCTTCTTTGATTACGGAGTAAAAAGTAGGAGAACAAGCAAAAGAAGCGTAGAGTGTGGCGCACCTTCCTCCCCTCCTTCTCTTCTCTGCCCCCCTCGCGAGGCCCTACGCCGTTGGCCTCTCCCAAGTTGTCTGCTTCGTCGTTCGATTAGCGTAGTAGACCCCATGGCCCGAGCGACTGACGCGCTTCACCCATCCGGGTGGAAGGGGTGCATCCTCTCCTGAAGAGTTGCTGCTTGCAGTTGCGGGTCGAGAGGCCGGAGAGCCTGCTGTGCTTGTGCCTATGCTCGGAGTGGCCATGGGAGTGGGAAGAGAGGATGCCGGGCCTGGCGTCGAGGCTGGATGAGACTGAGAGCTGGCCGGCGACTTGGGAGCAGTACGCGGTGGGCTCACCCTACGGGGTGCTTTGGGCACACTTCCTCCGAGGGTTCCATCCTTTTCGTCGTCCGATGCAGCAGGTCGCTTCCTCCCCGCCTCCGCCTCCGCCTCCCCGTCATCCTCCTTGATGCCCAACGCCTCCTTCACCACATCCGCAATCTCCTTCCTCGCTACATCATAGCACATGGTCAGCCCAGCCTCGGCGCTCTCCTTCCACTCGTCCTTGATCCCCATCCTCTTGACGCTCCCCTCCAGCTCCCCCGCAAGCGCCATGCGTGCAACCGTCGCAATCTGAGTGTCCTCCTCGCGAAGCTGCGCGTCCGTGCCCAGACGTTGAAGACGGTTGAGATCGCCTTCCTCTTCGCCGTCGCCATCGCCTTCGGAGGAGGGCGAGGGACGCGCGAGTGATGGATAGAGCCTCCCTGCGATGTGCGTGACGTCGAGCACCACTTCGCTGCCCTCTTTGCAGATGGGCGAGAGCAAGAAACCCGGCTGCAACTTGGTCATCTCTGGCAACTCGACGCCTTCGTGTCCCCAGCTACTGAGCAGGTCCAGGCGAGGGAAAGCGAATTTGCGCCCAACGCCGCCAAAGACATCCCCTGCCGCACTGGCCACGGCTGCCCTTTCGTCGTAGAGGCGCTTCTCCTCCTTGGCTTTGGCCTCGTGGCTCGCAAAGGTCATTACTTGGTAGACGCTCCCCACGATTCGGGTGCGAGGCATGGGGCGTCGTCCAGGACGTTTGACGGGCGGGCGGGCGACAGTGCTGTCACCCTCTCCCTCTGGTTGCTGTTGCTGCTCTCCTTGCCCCTTTTCATCACTCTCCTCCTTCTTCTCCTCCTCGTCCCGAAAGATGGCCCTCAACCGCATCACATAACTCCCGTGCAGCTCCCTCCCTCCCTGACCCTCAAACGCATCGCTCCTCCTTGCCAATCGTTTCTCCCTCGCCAATCCGTCGAACATCTCCCTCACCTCTTTCACGCCCAGATTGAGCCGCACCACGTCGCCGACCCAGACTCGCTCGAGGCCGAGAAAGAGGCCCTGCCAATACTTGCCGGGGAGAGGCCAGCGCGAAGAGGTGCTTGATGAGGAGGAAGAGGAGGGGGGTTCTTGCTGTGCAGTAGAGGTGAGGCGACGATCTGCCAGACCTGGGCGGATCTCGTCGTCGTGCTCCGCGCTGGCGGGGACGGTGGAGCTGCTTGCGAGGGCTTGTGTTTGAGGCTGCGACCTTGCTTGTTCTGAGACAGGAGGAGGCCGATAGTTGGGCAACCCCTTGATATTGAGCACGTCGAAAAAGTCGGTCACCCTCCAACTCGCCCTCATGTAGTTGCAGGCAGTCATGCTGAAGGCGAGGGCGCCGAGGCACTTTGTCCAGTTTGGCGACGGATTGGCAGTCGTTGATCCGTCCGCGTTGAGCAGACCGAGGCGGGGTGGGAAGCCGGGCGGTCCGGCCGATGAGCTGCTCGCTTCGGTTTGGCCTTCTCCCTCCAACCACCTGTGCTCCTCCCACGAGCCGAAAGAAGAGGACGAGACGTCCTTGTCGACAAAGCCTGCCAGGAAAGGCTGGAGTCGCTCCTCCCCAACCCTGCCCCGCTCGAGGGGACAGCCCACCAGGATGACGCTGTACATTCTCTTCTGCTCCACCCGTGCCCCTGCAGCCGCAGCCGCACCTGCGCCTCGTCGTCGCGGGTCTTTACTTCCCGCTGCCGCCGCCTCTCCTCCCTCATCGCGCACCACTCTTGCCTCAAAAGTGACCAGCTCCACCTGCGCAGGCCACTTGTCAAGGAAGCGCGATGCCTTCTCCGGGTCCCTCACTGGTCTGTCAAGGGTTAGCCACACGAACTCTCCCTGCCTGAACCCTTCGCTCTCTCCCACCGCAGCCCGCGCTGTGCGCATCAGCTCATTGTCCCGCATTGTGGCAGAGGGCACGTTGATTCCCAGCACGGGGCGACGATCGGAGGGAGGGAGAAGCTGCGTCTTTACTCGCACCGAATTAGGTGTTGCTGCACCCACGCCGACACCGGGACGACGACCGGGAGGGCGTCCCCTCCCTCCCCCTGCTTCACCGCGCGAAGCCTTTGGCGCCCCGCTACCTCCCTGTGGACGTGGACGATACGCCCCCTCGGCCTGTGGGACGGCGCGCTTCGAGCCTGTGCAGTACTTGCAGGCGCACAGCAATGGGTTCAAGGTCGAGTGAGAGAGGAGATACTTGGCGTGTGGGAGAAATTCTTTGCTCGAGCGGAATCGATGGTGATTTGAGCCTGGGCGAGAGCGAGCGAGGAGGGCGTAAAGGTCAGCATATAGCCTGATTGACCGGCCCAATGTGGAGTCGCATACATACCGAACAGATACGGATCCGTCCTTGGCGACTCGCGCGGCCCCTTTCTCTGTTCTGTGAAGGTATAGTCCCTGGGAAAGGACGCTAGACGCCACGTCTCTCCCTCTGGCGGCTTCCTCCCTTTCCCCGCCCATTCGGCGAGGTCCAGCCCAATGACATTGCACCATCGCTGATAGCTGCGTTCGTCGGGCGAGAAGACGTGGTAGTAATTGACTTCCCGTGCTGAAGGTGGTGGGACGACAGTGTTTGGTGGGCCGAAAGAGGGGTCCCCGTCGGAGCGGGGAAAGTGGATGAGCCCGTTGGGCTGGAAGATGGTCGGGTCGTTGCGCGGGTCAAGAGGCTGGGGAGGAGCTGGGAGAGCAGATGTCGAGGCGATCGGCTGCGCTGGCTCTTCCCGCTGCTGAGGGGTATCGTTCGACGAGCCCACGGGAGGGTCGTCGATGCTCATCTTGACCTCCCTCTGAGGTCGATGGAGTGTGATTAGAGTCTGAGTGGCTTGGATCGAGCGGAAAGAGCTCAAAGTCGAGTCGCGTCTGTCAAGTCTCGCTCGCAGCGCAGCTCCGACTTCGAGTCGCGAGTCGACACTCGACTCGACACTCGACATCGGATCGGAATCACGGCCGCCCTCCTCCCTCTAACCTGGGCTCCGGGCTCTGCCCTTGCCTCGATCTGGGCCCCGCCTTACCCTGCAGATGAGCAAGAGCGAGACAGACGCACACACTAAGATCTGAAATTTGGCCCGCAGGTCGCGAGACGAGGCGAGGCGAGGAAAGAGACATTTCGATTTGGGATTTGGAGGCGGACCAAGGAGTGGGCATCGCCATCGCGACTTCTTCCTTCCTCCCTTCCCTGGATCAACCTCGCCAACACACGTATGCCATCTCAGCGAGGTTACGCCTCATCGCAGCAGCCACAGGCAGGGCCGAGCGACCCAGCAAAGACGCAAGCGCAGGCGCAGACACAAGCGCAAGCACAGGCACGCTCGCAGCGTCTTCGTGTTCAGCCGCCGAGGCATAGAGGACGAGGAGGAGGAGGAGCAGCGCCGCAACACCCGCAGCCGCCCCCAAAGAGTAGTCTGTGAGTAATGAAAGCGGCGTAGCGCGGCGTAACGTCTTGACGTCGAGTCCGAATGGCTGTTTGCTGACTTGCCTGGCTCACAACACTCGCTCCTACACACACCCCCGCAGCGATCTCGCCTGGTCATACTCGCGCTCCCAGGCACACGGAGCACTCCAGCTACAGTCCTCCCCTTCCTTCACAGAAAAGCATTGGGCTGGGCCTCACAACCATTTGGGCGATCGAGATAGCAACGACTCGGCTGAGGACGAAGGCGATGAAGATGGGGAGGACGAGGAGGAGGACGAAGACGACCTACCCTCGAGAGGCGACGAGGACGAGGAGGATGAAGACGTGACAATAATGGAAGGTCTGGAAGGAGCAAGCACACGTCCTTCGCACCCTCAAGTGCGCAAGCTTGCAGCAGAAGAAATGCGCGGCCGGCAACGTCCTCGCTCTTCTCGCTCGCGAGACCGCGAGGTCAAGAGACTCACTGCCAGCGACGTCGTCATAGACTCTTCCTCGGCGGCTGCGGCTGCAGCGGAGCGCAGAGGACGAAGACGAAGTCCGAGAGACAGCAGTGTGGGTAGTAGTCTGCTCGTTCTCCCTGCTCCTGGTCAGGGCCAGGATCTGGCTGGCGGAAGCGGATCGGCCGAGCCGCGCGTAGGAAGCCATTATGAGCGCTACAGCTTGCGCTCTTCGTCCCGAGACATGGAGAGCGATGAGGAAGGTGATGGAGAAGCACAGCTGGCGCGCAGGCGTCGACCCAGGTTTAGGCGACACAGCAGCTCGTATCGGAGTGATGGCTCCCCAGCGGCAGCAGCGCCCACGGAGCAGCATCAGCAGGACGGTCCCAGTCGTAGAGCGAACGAGACTACGCCACTGCTGAGGAGGCAGGGTTCTATGGTGCGCAGTCAGTCCACACCGCTGTCTATGGCACGGCCGAGGACACCCCGCCTCGAGGGGATGGAGGGCGTAGCGGCACTGGGCGCGGATGGGCGAGGGGAGGAAGGGGCTGATACAGGGGCGAGGGCGACCAGCTGGTGGGCACGGCTGTGGGGCAGCTTGACGAGCTGCGTATGTGTAGGGAAGAGGAGGTGACAGGACGGCGATGATGCGACGACGTCAACTAGCTGCCCATTCTTGCGCTGTGCTTTTGCTTCTGCCTTGCTTTGCCTCATAGCTACATCTTCCAGCTGCTGCTGCAGCACGGCACTGCCTAATCTAATCTACTCAATCACACGCCCTCATTCCCAAGCTTTCGACCCAAGCATAGCCTTGCCTACGATACAAGTACAAATTGTGACTTTCCAGAGTCCTTGCCAATCAGGCCTCCCTCTCTACCACCGCGGCTGCAGCCTCGCCCCCACCCTCAAGGGGCTGGGCATGCTGCTTGATCCATTCCTCATCGTCCCAAATCGCTCTATTCCCACCTGTCCCTCCTACTGCAGCGGTCGTCTTGAGCGGTTTGGCCAAGTTAACATTGAGAATTCGCTGCGCCGCGTCGTGCCCGTCGTGAAATCGAGGTCAGCATACATGCAGCCCAACAGCATCGACGCCGATGCCGACGCCCACTCACCCCTGCCAGCTCATTGTGGTGCATATTATCAATGGTATCCTGCGCTTCTTGCCCCGTGGAGAAGACGACGAAACCAAATCCCCTGTGAGGGCCGCCGCCTGCCGCCTGCTGACCCTCCCCCGCGCGCTTCTCTCGTGGTAGCTGTACATCCACCACTTCACCAAACACTTGCATAGTCGAGAGGAGAGATGTTTCGTCGATGGAAGGGGGCAAGCCACCGACGTAGATGGTTGTATTTGTTGTCCTGTTGGCCATGGCTGCCAAGAGGGCCGAGAGGACTGGCAGAAGGAGGAGACGACGAGGTAGCGAGCGGAAAGAGACGAGAAGTTGGATTGATTGCAACGACGGACGGATAGAGGGGACCACCAGTCGATTGCGTTGACCGCCGCCGCCGCCGCCGCCGCTTCTTCTCACGCGCCTCCAATCTCCGCCCGCTTCGGCCACGTTGATCAGCCAGGGCGACTCCACACGACGACGCAGCAAAGCGCACTACTTCTCTCTTTCCTCTTTTCCCCACACGACGCCGTCGCTGCTTCAGTCCATCGTACACAAAGACTCTGACGCCGACGACGATCATGAGCTCAACAGCGAAAAGGCAGACAATGGCCCCTTGGGAGGCATACAAGCTGTACCTCTCACCGCAGGCTTACGTCTTCGAGCCTACCATGGGTGGTGGAGGGGCAGACAAGTGAGTGCGGCGCGGTGCAGTGTAGGGGTGAATGACGCCCTCGAATGGTCATCCTGACTGGCTTCTCTCGTCCCCCTCCTCTCACAGAGAATACCTCATCATCAACCGAAACGACGACGAGTCCGATCCTTCCTCCAACCCGCCAGCCCTCTCCCTCTCCTCGACCCTCCCAGCTTACACAAAAGGATGCAAAACCCTCTCCGTCTTGGGGATCCTCGGCCTCCTCCCCCTGCACACTACCCACTTCCTCGTAGTCATCACCTCGCGCTCCCACGTCACCAACATCACGAAAGACGCACCAGTGTATATGGCCACGGACTTCCGGCTGTTCCCCATCAGCGCCAAGGCGGATAAGAGCCTGCTTGTCAAGCATCCCGTCGAGAAGACGCTAATTGAGCTGTTGAAGGGGCATCTCTATTCTGCCCCCTTCTACTTCAGCTATGGCTGGGACCTCACGAGCTCGCTGCAGCGTCAATCCAGCCTCCCACCCGGTGGCGCCCCCTGGCAAAGGGCAGACGAGCGTTTCTTCTGGAATCGACACCTCTCCTCCCCTCTCATCGAGGCCTGTACCTCCAACACAGGCACGGATCTAGGTCGCTTCATCTTGCCGTGCATCTTCGGCTTCCTCTCCCTCAAGACGGCAAGTATCAATGGGCACGACTTCCTCTTTGGGCTCATCGCAAGACGATCAAGACATAGAGCTGGCACTCGCTACTTCTCGCGCGGGGTGGATGCGGAGGGGAATGTCAGCAACTTCAACGAGACGGAACAGTTTGTCCTTCTGGACGGGTCCGCCTCTCAAGTCCCTAGCGGTAAGGCAGGGCAACTCAAGTTCAGCTACGTCCAGACGCGCGGCTCGGTTCCCGTGTACTGGGCTGAGGTGAACAATCTTCGCTACAAGCCCGACTTGGTCGTCATGGAGCGAGAGGAGACGCAACATGCCACGCGACTGCACTTTGAGCGTCAGGTGGCTACGTATGGGGACAACTATCTGGTGAACCTCGTCAATCAAAAGGGGTACGAGAAGGCAGTCAAGGATGCGTATGAGAGGGCGGTGCGAAGCTTGGCCAATGACCGGGTCCACTATACGTACTACGATTTCCATCACGAGTGCAAGGTGAGCAGGCGAGGGCGTAGCGTAGAGTGAAACGAAGCTGAGCCACACCTTCTCTCCGTCGCTGCCGTTGCCAGGGCATGAAGTTCGAAAAGGTCTGGGACCTGGTCACCAAGCTGGAGAAGATGGGTCTACGCAGCTCCGACTGGTTCCAGGGGGACGGCGAGAATGTCTCTAAGCAGTCTTCCGTCGTTCGTACGAACTGCATGGACTGGTGAGTAGTGAACGCGGCGAGGCGAGGCAGGGCCAACGTACAAGAGCGCTCAGCTGCGTGATAAGGAAGAGGGAGAGGAAATGAAGCTGACCTAAATATCTCGCGAAATGTGCACAGCCTCGATCGCACAAACGTCGTCCAGTCTACGCTGGGCAAATGGGTCCTTACCTACCAGCTGCGCAAGGCCGGGATTCTCGGCGAGGAGGAGTGGGTGGATGATCCCAAGCATGCTAAGTTCATGTAAGCACCCGTGACTGTTTCAGTGACGTGCGACGCCTGACTGACTTGAATCGTTCACACCCGTCTTCCCTTTCTTCCTCACTCGCCTCGACCCCGCTCTTCTCGTTCGCCCCCGCACGCAGGTACCTCTTCCGCAACGTCTGGGCAGACCATGCGGATGGCGTCTCCCTCGCCTACTCCGGCACTGGTGCGCTGAAAACGGACTTCACGCGCACAGGGAAGCGCAGCTGGGGTGGTGCGGCGCAGGACGGGGTCAACTCTGTCACGCGCTACGTAAAAAACAACTTCACCGACGGACCGAGACAGGATGGGTACGACCTCTTCACAGGCGCATGGACACCCGCTAAGGGAGTGCAGGGAACAAAGCGTTCCCTCACAGTCCGTGCGATGCCTTATGTCCTGCTCTTTGCACTCAGCATGCTCATCCTCGCAGCGATCCTCCCACATCACACGCACAATGTCGCTCCTTCCACTCTCCCGCGTCAGGAGGAGGCGGCGGCGCACGGCGGTAAGGGGGGACCAACGGCGACCTACCTCTTGTTGTGGACGGGTGTCCTCGCCTTTGCGCTGCGCTTTATCCTCGATCAAGGGGTGGAGTTCGTAGCCTACCCGACGCTCAACCGCGGTGTGTACGAGGAGAATATTCGGTATGATGGGAGTGGTTGGACTTCCGGCCGGAATGGGAGGGGACCGGGTGGGGTTAAGGGGAAGTGGGGTGGGAATAGGAAAGGAGGGCGATACAGTGGGATGGGCAGGGGTTTTGTGGCTGAGGTTGCCGAGAAGGGGAGGGAGGTTGTTGGTGCGGGTGCGAAGGGCAGTGGTAATGCGGATAATAGGAGGGGGTATGCCGCGGAGCAGTAGATGTAGATATGGATGAGCGGAGTGCAAAAGAGATTCAGGATGAGGCTGGTTGCGGGGCTGGTTGTGAATGCTTCGATTGATCAAAATCGTGTATCTCTCCTCTAGTCCTCCATGTCCGCATCCAACGCCTCTTTAGCCAATCGCTCCGCCTCCCCCTGTACGTCCTTGGGCACAATCTCCACCTCCCCTTTACCGCCCTTGGTCTTTGGCCCAACCCAAGCCATCTCGAGCTCAAAGTCCTTGTCCTTATTCTCATCATGACACTTGTACACAATGCGAGCCGCCTCCTTGACTGCCTGATCGAGGGTGAGTGTATCGAGGTCCAACTTTTCAATCTCCGTCTTTGCCAATTGACGCCCCTTGCCCAGGGCGGCACCACGGTAGCCGTGGTAGGAGCCGGAGGGGTCGATGAGGTACAGCTGAGCGCCTAGTTCTGGGTCACGGCCGAAGAGGAGGGCGGATAGTCCAAAGGGTCGGACAGAGGAGTAGAGGGTGAAGGCATGCATGTAGAGTGAGGTGCCTGCGCGCGTGGGGGCGGGGTCGACGACGAATGTGAGCAAGGACAGCGCGTATATGCTAGGGGACACTTCCTCGCTCCAACTCACGATTAGCCAACGCCTTTACCGGCGCAGGAAAGCGATATGTGTCTCTCCAAGCCCTCGCCTCCTCCCTTGCTCTCCCCGCCAAATGGTTCCCATCCGCCACAAGTCCCGCCGTCACCAATCCCGCATGTCGATCGACTCCCATGCACCTCCTGTTCGTCCCCGGGACCTGCAACTTTGTAGCTACGAGCTTCTCCACCGCAACCACTACGCCTCCATCGCTCGTCTTGATGGCAAGAACCGTTCCGGACTGGTCGACGGATTTGAGGGCGTACTCGATTTGGAAGATACGGCCGTCTGGAGAGTAGGTGGAGGAGGAGAGATCGTACCCTGTGCCTTGGGATGCCATGGCGTGTGGGTGGAGGAGGAAGAGGTGATGGTGATGGTGGTAAGGAAGAGCGAGTGCCGACCCTCGACGCTCAGGCCAGGTGGGACTCGTCAGCCCTCTCGACGTCGACTGGCTGCTTCCGGTCCGACCCAACTGGCCCCTCACGCGTGGCTAGCCTCGACTGGCGCTCGAGCCATGCGCCTTTGCGCTTTGCTTCTCGCTCCGCCTTTGCTCCTCCCTTCCTTCCACTCCGGACAAGCGCCAACGACACGATTCACTCACGGCAATGGCGTCAGCAGGGGGTGACGCTCGACTCAACCTGGAAGCATGGTCGCGCGATCTGCTGGGAGATGCACAGCTAGAGAATGTGGCGCATCTGGCCGCTTGGTGCCAACAGAGCGATGCGAGGACTGCGAGGACCAGTCATGAGGAGGAGGAGGAGGAGGATGAGGAGAGTAATAATGCCTCCACCTCTCGATTGCCCCCTGATGACAGGGACAATACGGCCGCGGTGCTCGGCCCTAGTTCCTCTGCGATCAAACTCCCTTCAGAGCCCATCACTTCCTCGTCCGCTCTGTTGCCCTGGCTGGAAAGCATCAAGCCGCCGCCCAATCCCGCTCCCGGTCGGGCTCCTTCCTCCACGATGACCTCATCAACACCCGCCCAACTCTCCCACATCATCTCAGCCGCGGAGCGTACCACCTCCCTCTTAAGTCAACTAGAATCGGCGCGCATAAATGTCGCAGAGCTCAAAGCGGGCTCACGCTCAGTAGAGGAGACGGCCGAGGAGTTGCGCAACGAATCCGAATCCTCCTCCTCAGGTCGTACCTCCTCGCACCATCTCTCCCACCTGGTCTCGACCCTCGATTCCCACCTGTCCTACTACTCCATCCTGCCACAAGCGACCCAGTTCCTCTCCTCGCCCAATCTGAACCAGGTCGTCCTATCGGAGAGGTTCGGACCAACTATGGCGCAGTGCGATGCGGCGTACGAGTTCGTGCGCGCGCGCCCGCATTGGAGGGATGCGGCTGTTCATCGTTTGAGGTTTGAGCATTGCATTACGCGAGGTGGGACGCTGGCGAGGATGTGGGTTGTGGGTCGTTTCAAGGAATTGGGAGCGCAGGTGATTACAGGGCTAAAAGAGAGGGGGAAGGCTCTGCCAGCTGGTGGACAGGATGGGACGCTAATGGAGTTTGCAGACGCGGGATTGCTGGGTATCCTCTATCCCTCTTATGTCAACGCGGCGCAGGAGGTACGCTCCGTCCTCGCCGAGATCACGAAGCGATGCACTCGTCCTCGTCCTCGAGGGGGAGAGCACGGGAGCAACCAGGACACCACAGACGCAGATGGCGGCGACGCCGATGGAGCATCTTCGCGCGGCGAACCACTTGACGAGTCGAGCATGCTTCACGACTACCAAGGAGCTCATCTTGGGAGCGAGGCCGACGAGGAAGAGGACGAAATCCACATACCCACCTTCACCGAGTTCGACACCTTACTGTCCGACTGTAGGGCAGCCTACTTTGACTCGAGGCGCAACGCGCTTCTGCCTTTGATTGGCGCGGCCCTAGCAAAGATTGAAGGGAGGGCGGCAAAGGCGGCGGGCGGTGCGGAGTCAGAGACGCAGTCGCAATCACCGCTGGTTCTCTTCCTCTCTCAGAGTCTCAAGATGCTCACACCCTTGCTCGGCAGCGAGTATCGCCTCTACACCCTCTTCTTCGATATCCGTACCACCTCCCACGCTCACGTTCAGGGAGCTCCTCAAGGGTTGCTCGATTTCCTCAGCTCCCTAAGCAAAGAACTCTCAGACCGGCTGCACCCTCGCATCTATGCCGAGTCTCGATTGAGCGAGCTTGCCCGGCTTGCTGAAACCGTATTAGAGGCAGGTCACGACGATGAGCACGAGGGCAAGATGCCCTCTCTCTTCTCCGTGAACGATCCGCACGACTTCACTGCGCTCTTGCCTCGCTGGGAGCCCGCTCCCGATCATCAGGGCGCAACAGCGGAGCGCACCTGGTTACACGGCCCTCTTGTTAAGCCCGTCTACTCGGACATTGCCGCGAGACTCACCTTTCGCGCTCGCGCTATCCTGCAGGGGAGGGACGTTGCGGGATACACGCCGGCGGATGAGGGGGAGATGCTGCATGCTATCAGAGCTATCAAAGCTCGAGCCGCGGATGCAGAGGTGGACGTGCACGCGGATGTGCAGAGTAAAGGGAGGAGAAAACGCAAAGCGAGAGAGTCACTGGGCGTCGGCGTGCTACAGGCAGCGGCGCAACGTGCGCTGGAGGAGCACACGAATGATCAGCAGCAAGTCGGAGCGGTACCTTCCTCAAGCAAGCACGCCCAGCAGCAGTCGCAGTCTCAGCGCATCGTCCTCTTCTCTCTTCCCCCCTCTTCTACACTCAATACCTGGCCTGCTCCCCTCTCCCGCGCCCTCCGCATCCTTCACACTCTTCACCCCGTCCTCTCGCGCTCCACCCTCGCCGAGCTGGGCGTCGAAGCAGTGCAGTGCGTTCGAGGAACATTGCGTCGTCAGCAGTCCGCCCCGCCAGGTCAAGGGAGGGACTCGCTCGACCTCTCCCTCTATCGTCTTCGCTCCAGCCTACTCCTGCGCGAGCTGAGCGCCAGTGTGGACCTGAGCCTCGCACAGCCCTGCAGGGCGGACGAGCTCTTGATGACAGGGCTGGGCGCGGCATCGGGAGGGACAGGCCCGCCGACGCTCGATGTCGGTGCGGTGAGCAAGGTTGTGGGTGGCCTGTTGGACGCCGTCAGGCGCGGTTGGGCTAGCTCTGCGGGGGGAAGGGAGCAGCCACCCCAGCCCGCGGGCGTGGTAGGGGTGGGAGGAGCATTGGCGCAAGATGTCGCAGCGTGCACGCGCTCTGTTCTGGACGAGATCGTTGCGCAGCTCGAGGCGCCGGGGAGGAAGGGAGTCGCAGGTGAGGGTGAGGGCGCGGCTGAGCTTGAGAGGAGGCTCAACAGCGTCTCGAGCTGTGTAGCGTGCTTCGTCGAGGACGAGGAGGTGGCGAGGAGCATTATGCGCGGGGCGGTGCGCGAATTTCAGGGCAGAATGGACGGCAGTAGCGATGAGGAGAAGGAGATACTGCGCGCCATTGCCGAGCGATTGGGATGGGGAACTGCGGTGGAGGAGCAGCGAGGAGAGGAGCGAGCGCAGATGTAGACGCGAGCGCTTGTGATTAGAGGGAAAGATGTCCGGATGCTCCCCCTCCTTCTGCTCTCTTTCTGTCCTTCAATCCACGTAATATCCTTTGGTGCTGTAATGAGACTGCCCTCTCTCTCACACACCTTGGCCAATCATCCTGTTCGCCCGCCTCACTTCCTCGCTCAGAACCTTCTGCGCATCAGTCAGCTGGCGCTCAAAGGAGCGTATTGCAGCCCAAACCTCCTGACGATCACTGACGGAGAGGTCTGTTGGTCCAGCCTCAGCCTCAGCCTCGCTCCGCCCCGGCGGTAGGACGCCCCTCATCCCGCGCAGCAAAGCTTCGATGAGCTCACGCGCATCCACGTCCGTTTGTGCTCGTTGAGCCTGCTTCTCCCTTCCCGTGCCCTCTTTAGCCGCACGAAGTTGGGCGTGGGTGCGATGAGCCAGCAGGACGAGCATGTCTGCCAATCCTTGTCCCCTGTTTCGTCCTCCCTCCTGCTCATCGGCTATGGCTGCTAGGCCTCGCGGTCGCTCAAAGAGGAAATGTCCCATCAGGCGGCCTGCAAGACTCCACCGCGCTGCGAGTTCGTGGTTGTCCAGGCTTGACGCGACGTCAGCCTCGCTGGGTTGGAGGTTCAGAGGGAGCAGGACGCAGCGCTCGATGAGTATGTCTAGGTCGAGGTTCAGGCTCGGTAGGTTTGCGTTGGAGGGATCTGTCCCCGCTCCTCCTCGTTCTTGTTCCGCGAGCTTCGCCAGGGTCAGGGTCGAGTGCCAGTGCGCGTACGATGCCGCGCAGACGAGCTCCTTGGTTGCGCTACTCGAGCTCGAGCTGGTGTAAAGGAAGTCGAGTAACGGGGAGAGAATCTCGCGAAGTCGTAGCGCCGTCAGGCCCATCATCCGCCCTTGGCCTTGGTCTTCCGTTGTCTGGGCTTGGGCGAGCCGGAAGTCCAGGAGGGGCTGCACCGTTTGACGGTCCGCCTCGAAGATATCTAGGTTGCCCTCAGAGGATGACCCTGACAGCGACAAGAGGGCGAGCAGGTCCGAGCTGAGGGCCAGCCTGTCTTCACCCTCATTGTGGGACGAAGCGTTCTCCCCGGCTACCGTCTTGAACTTGTTGCTCAACATGTCCACACGCGCCCGGAAGTTTGGCTCATCGCCACCCCTCACAGGCCTGCTCACATGCGCATCCAACCTCCTCCCCACACTGCGCCACTCACCCTCCGCGAGCCTGAGAGCCGCAGGAGGGCACGAGTCGTCCAACACCAACACTTCGAGCGTCGCGATGAGCAATACACTCCTTCTTCCCGCGTGCGCACTTGTACCTGCGCCCGAACCTGCTCCTTCCTCATCCAGGGTCAGGGAAGCGGCGAGCTCCCTGATCAGCCATCTCAGGCCGGAGGGTAAGGCGAAGCTGAGAATGTCTTGAAGAAACACGCTCAGCCCGCTCTTGAGCGTTTCCTCGTCTATCATCCCCAGCTGGGCGGCATGGATCGCCTGGGAGAAGAGGGTGGGGACGAGGGACGAGGAGAGGAGTATGCGCGGTGGCGAGTCCTTGATCAGCTCGTCGGAGACGCCGTCTGAGTCGAAGAGCTCTCTGATCCAGCGGGAGAGGAGGACAGGGTCGTTGGCGGATGGGTCCGGAGGGATGGGGCCAGATCCGAGGCTGAAAGAGCCGCCACCGTTGCGCTGAATGCCTTGGAGGGTCTGAACGAACAAGAGCACCCGTCCTACCATGGCGGATTCTTCTTCCTCGTCTTCCCCTTCGGCTCCCGATCCCCCCTGCCCAGCGCCGCCGGATCCTTGCAGCCGCAGCAAAGCCTCGTCATCTTCCACCAGCGGATGGAGCGGGTCCAGTAGCTGCGTCGGAGTGACAAAGAGCAGCAGTAGCTGGAGGGCTTGCGGGGAGTCCAGAAGTGCTCCACAGAGGCGCGCGAGGGTGGGGAGGGAGGAAGTGGACGCGTTCTGAAGGATGGTAGGGAGGGCTTGTGAGAGGGGGAGCGCGAGCGGGTAGTCGGCTGGATCGTTGGCTGTGGAGAGACTCGAGATAATGCTGCGTGTTGAGGTCGCGTCTTGGAGCTGCTGAGAGAGAAGCGACTCTGTGCTCTGGCCGTGAGACTGTGCTTCAGAGCGAAGCGAGGTGAAGAGGGTGGCGGGTCGCTCTTGCTCCTGCTCCTCGCTCGGCCGAAGTAGCTTAGCTGCTTGCGACTCGTCAAATAGCTGAAGGATTTGACATGCCCGGGCGATGGGCGCGCAGAGCGTTGCATGGCGCTGTGAAAGTGTTTCCAATGCGGTGAAAACGGGCGCGGGTGACGAAGGCGCAGATGAAGCTTCCCCTGCGTCGTGCTTGGATGTCCTCTCCCCTTCTAGCTCGGCGAAGAGGCAGGGCAGGAGAGCGCAGCGCACCTGTAACCAGGAGGAGGAGGCGCAAGCTGCGTCGAGGAGGTTGGTGTAGAAGGCGGCGTGCGTGCGCGCATGCTGATCCTCGGAAGACGAAAATGTGGCAAAGAGACGCACATTAAGGAAGTGAGAGGCGAGAGAGACCTTCTGCTGCCAGGGTACAGTGGCGCTGCCCAGGTAGTGGACGATGATAGCCGCCTCGGCGGCGTGCTGGATGGCGAGTTGATGAGCACTTGGAGTGGGTAGCGATTGCGGCGCGGACGGCTGCACTTGCGCAGAAGTTGTCGACGAGCTCGAGCCCTGCTCCTGCTCCTGATCAGGGAAGAGCCTCTCCATCATCTGCAATAAGACCCCAGCTCCCTTCGACCTGGTGCGCAATCGCCTCATCATTGGCTTGATCTCCTGCTTCAAGTCCGTCTTGTCCCTCTTCCTCGTGTAGTCCATTGATTCGAGCAGGTCCCACGCCTCTTCGAGCTGCGAGTACGTGAGCGATGAGCCCTTCTCGACGGCGCGAGACACAATAGCGTCTGCTAGGACGGGGTCATCTCGTGCGCTTGCTTCGTCGGGTCCTTCGACGTTGTTGAAGGCGGCGAGGGCGGCGATGAAATATGGGAAGGGGACGAGGCCGTTCGGGTCGGTGATGGCGTAAGAGAGGAGAGAAGCGCTCCAAGGTAGGAGCGCGTAGTTCAGGGTGAAAGCTAAGATCACGACTGCGTGTGTATGCGAAGAAGGACGTGAGCAAAGGAGTGGTTGGTCGCCTCGAAGCGCGCGCGTATATGCTTACTTGCCGCGTACATCCTCGCCACTTGATGCGGATTAGGGGAGACGGACGATACAGGAGCAGCGTTCACTTCTCTCTCAATGAGGTCTCGCAGCAGCTCCATCGTCTGAATGGCAATGCGCAATCGTCGAGTGAGCTTGAGATGTGGCACGACGCTCCTCTTCGCCTCGACTCACCCGTTGGACTGGTACCTGCAGCTGGATGGCATTTCCGACGAGATGTTCGACCTTGGGTCTGAAGCTGTTGAGGAAGCGCGGGCCATCCTCCTCGCTGTGAGCGTTGCCGCTGGTCGTCATTGCCGGCGAGTAGTTGTGGTTGCAAAGCAAAGGAACGAAGGAGCTAAATCGATGCACGTCCCTCTCTGTCCGTCGATCTCGTCTCGACGGGCTCGTCTCGACTCGTCTCCACTCCCGTCCGTCTTCGACACCAAAAGTCGTCTCGGCGCGTCTTTGCTCCTTTCTTTGCACCCGCGACCACCCACAATGGCATCCACCGCCCCCCTCCGCACCGCACCAGCGGCATCAGGCACGCCTGTCCCCCTCCCGCAAGAATCAGCCATGGATCCACTCCGCTCCACCTTCTGTGTCGTCTGCGCCTCGAACAACAATCGCTCAATGGAAGCGCACAATGTCCTCTCCTCGTCGGGCCTCAACGTCTTCTCCGCCGGCACGGGATCCGCCGTTCGACTGCCAGGGCCTGCCATTGATCAGCCAAACGTGTACACCTTTGGCACGCCGTACGAGACGATGTATCAGGATTTGAAGGGCAAGGATACGGGCTTGTACACGCAGAATGGCATCCTGCCCATGCTTGATCGCAATAGACGGATCAAGCGCGCACCGGAGCGATGGCATGAAGGGCGCAAGACGGCGGATGTGGTCATCACCTGCGAAGAAAAGTGCTTCGATGCCGTATGCGAGGATCTTCTCTCTCGCAACGGGGAGCTCAATCGCTCCGTCCATGTCATCAATGTCGAAATCAAGGACAACCACGAAGAAGCCCTCGTGGGGGGAAAGGCGATCCTAGAGCTCTGCAGACGGATAGACGAGGCGGGAGATGTAGACGAGGAGATCACGCGCATACTCGACGAGCATCAGGAGAGACATCCCCATGCTTTGCTGCATAGCGTTGCGTACTATTAGGCGCGCTATGTCGAGCAAAGAGAGGCATCTGATATTTGACTGAGCAGGGCGAGGCAAGATTGACAGGCGAGAAAAGAGAAAAGGGTAGCAGCAGCGCATCGTAATGTAGCATCGTGCGCTTTGCTTCAGAGAAGAAGAGAAAGGAGGAGCAGCCTTCATCGTCACGCCGAGAAAGGGAAACAGCCGGGTACGCGAGGCGGGTATCGCGCTAGCAATGGCCTAGCCTTGCGCAGCCTCAACGTCGTCCAAACCCGCTACCACCTCCGCTGCTCGACTCATTGCCGTACCCACCGCTCCCACCGCCGCCACTACCGCCACCGCTGCCGGACAAGAAGGAGCTGGACCCGGAGGACCCTTGGTTCCCGCCGCCGCCGCCGCCGCCGCCGCCGCTGCTGCTACTGTTCTGCTGCTCAGAGCCGCCGCCGCCGCCATATCCGCCGCCCGAGGAGGAGGAGCCAAAGGCAGAGCCACCCTTGTTCCCGCTGGACTGGCCGACACCGCCGCCGTACGACGACGACGAGGCGCTGTTGTTATTGTTCGAGGAGGATGAGGACGACGCATTGTTGCTCTGGTTGGAGTTGGAAGACGTATTGCCGTACGACGAGGACGTCGTGTTCGAATTAGAGTTGGAGTTGGTCGCATTACCGCCAGAGGTGGTGGAGAAGCCGTTATTCCCTCCACTGCTCGAGTTGGCGTTGGAGGAGTTGAGTCCGCCAGACATGGAGGAGGACTGGTTGCCCCCGGAGGAGCCGCCACCGCCGGAGCCGTACGAGCTGGAGTTGTTGTTGTTGTTGGACGAAGAGGAGTTGCCTGGTTGCGAAGCGAAGTAGAGGGGGCAGAGATGGAGAGGCAGTGTCAGTTCTGTGTACCCCAGATGATGTGGGATGGATGAGGATCGATCCTCTTTCTTCAACGCCGAGTGGACCCTGTCTGCTCGACTCGACTCGACGCCCTTCACCCTCTTCCCCCGCGCGTAGCCGTGTCGTGGTGCTGCTCACCAGCCGTATCGTCATCTTGCTGCTTGGCGCCCCCCTCCCCCTCCTCTCCGGACCTACCGACCAGAGAACCCACACCCCACGCGAGGGCCCCGTAGGCCAGTCCGCCCACCATGGAGGCTAGGCCTGGTCCCTCGCCCTCGCCCTCGCCCTCGCCTGCACCACCTGCGTCGTCATTACCTTGCTCAACCTCAGAGCCACCTCCAGGAATCGTCTGCTTCTCACCGTTGTTGTTGGAGGACATCGACGAGCCCATCGCACCGCTGCCACTGCCACCACCTCCGCCACCGCCGCCGCCACCGCCTCCGCCGGAGTTGTTATTGTTGGACGAGGAATTGGTGGTCGAGCCGTACCCGCCCCCGCTGTTGGAGTTGGAGTTGGACGTGTTGCCGTACCCGCCTCCGGAGGTTGAGTTGGAGTTCGAGTTGGTATTGGACATGCTCGAGTTGTTGTTGGTGTTGATGCTGTTGCTGTTCGTGGTACTATTCATGCCCGACCCATAACCACCACCGCCTCCTCCACCCTGCGAGCTACTATGATTGTTGCCCTGTCCGCCACCCATACCCCTCACATTCCCCTGCGATCCCTGGTTCCTCAACCCACCCTGCCCACCTCCACCACCAGCACTGCCCGTGGTGGTATTTCCTTTACTCTTCTTGACGTACGGCTCACCTCTGTCCCTCGCTGTGCTGCCGGGCCCGCTCGATTTGCCCTTGGCATAGCCTGACCCAGGGCCAGTGGCGAGGGGTTCGTCCTGCGTGCGTGCGTGTGTGCGCCCGCCGCACATCGGTCAAGTCAGCGATCAGCGAGGGTGATTCGACGAGTGGGTGCAGAGGACGAGACTCACATTCCAAGGCTTAGCCAACTCGGTATCGACATTTCCGATCCCTCCTCCTACGTCAGGCTTGTTGTTTCTCCCTGCCGCAGAGTTGTTTCCCTTGGCCGTGCTGGTATTGCGCGTCGTAGCCGTCCCTGTGCTTCGTCCGCCGGCGGAGCGGGCTTGGCTTTGTCCCTGACCGGTGGTACGGTTGGCGCCAGACGAGTTGCTGTTGCCCATGGCGCCTCCTTGACGAGAGGTGGAGTTGGTGCCGCCTCCGCCGGAACGAGCGTTGGAGCTGGTGTTGTTATTATTGTTGCCCATGCCCATCTTGGACACGCCTTTGGTAACGCTGTTCATCCCACCGCCGCCTGTAGCGCCTCCTCCACCGGAGCGGTTGTGCGTCGAGCTGGTGTTGTTGTTGTTGTTGCTGCCAGCATTGGCGCGCGACTGATTCATGCCTCCCCCGCCGCCATCACCACTTCCGTACGAAGAGCTGTTCTTGTTGTTGGTCGTCGCACCCCCGCTGCGGCCGCCACTGCCGCTTATTCCACCTCCTCCCGTGGTACCACCAGAGCGTGGCGCAGTGGTAGCCGCACCCGCTGAGTTGCCCATCGAGCGCCCTCCTCGCCCGCCGCCGCTTGCGCCGTACGAGGACGTGTTGGTGTGGTTGCCAGAGCTCATCGTGCTGACGTTGCCTCTTCCGAGCATGTTGAACGGAGAATGAGTGGGTCAATAGAAGAAGTCGATTGAGCTGGGGAAAGGCTTCGAGCACGCATCACTCGCATCTTATAGACTGAGACGGGCTGGCCCAAGTCCCGCCAACTCTATGACGACAAGAGAGCGCTCGAGTGTGACGAGAGTCTTGAAAGGCTCATCGCGATGAGGGTCTCGACACGCGCCGGATCATCGGTGAGCGCAGGGTCCTCCTCGCCACGCCTCGCCTCGCTTGCCTTGGCTTCGCCGCCAGACGACGACTCAGCGACGCTTGGACCGCTCCGTCATCGTGCCAATGATTCCCGCGCTTGGTCCCTCGCTGAGACGACCGAGGAGAACAAAGTCACGATGAATGAGCATGGATCATGACGCAAATCACTTGCGCGGATCGAACAAGCTTGCTCTTGTTCGCCTTCGCTGTCGTGCGTGCATGTGAATTGTGAATTAATGATAGAGGAGCCGATAAGAGTACGATGTTCCGAGAAGAAGCACAAGGCTACAGGACTACAAGGGGCTACAACCTGCTGCTCTTCGGCGGGGCTGGCAGCTTCTTTGCCTGCTCACGGAGCTCGCGACGCAGCAGCTTGCCGCTTGGGTTCTTCGGAATGGCGTCGATGCTAGCGTGGCGTGGTGAGGAAGAACAAGGAGTGTCAGCCCGCTGATCTACTCGCTGTCTTACCGCTCATGACTCACATGTGAACGGCCCCCAGATGCTTGTACCGAATCTTGTTATCGGCAACGAATCGCATCAGTCCCTCCTTGATCTTGCCCTCCTCTCCACTACCATCCTTGGCCACTCTCTCCTTCGCCGTCTGGCTCAATGCCACGAAAGCCACGGGGATCTCCCCACTCATGTCGTCTGGCAGCCCAATGACGCCCGCATCAGCTACGTCCTCGTGATTGAGGAGCCACCCTTCTAGCTCAGCGGGAGCGACTTGGAACCCCTTCACCTTGATGAGCTCCTTGAGGCGATCGAGGATGAACATGTCCCCTTTCTCGTTGAACTTCACCTCGTCCCCAGTACGCAGCCACCCGCCCTCCTTGACCCACATCTCGTCGGTGGCTTTCTGGTTGTTCAGGTAGCCAAGGGTGACAGAGGGCCCACGAGCCCAGAGCTCGCCGAGCTCACCAACGGGCTGGACCTTGCCCTCTGGCGAGACTACCTGCGCCTCCACGTCGCTGACCAGTCGGCCAGCGGAGCCGTACACTGGCTTGATGCCGGGTGGATGCATAGAGAGGACGGTACAGGACTCGGTCATCCCATAGCCCTGCCCCCAGTCCACGCCGGGAAGAGCCTTGTCAAGCTGTTTGGAGACATCGTCGCTGAGCGGCGCTGCTCCGATCATGAGGAAGCGAACCTGCTTCGCCAGCTGTGGGAGGTACGGCTTGGCCTTTGGGTCCTTGACTAGCAGCACGACCTGCGGCGGGACGAGCCACCAGAGCGTGATTCCGTACTTGAGCGTCGTCTTGATCATTGGCTCGATGCCCGAGAAGCGCGGGAGGACCACATTTGTTATGCCGGAGTAGAAGGTCCAGAGGAGCCCGACTACGAGGCCGTAGATGTGGTAGAAGGGGAGACCGCCCAGTGAGACGTCGCGACCGGGGAGGAAGCGGGTGCCCTTGCCCGAGATCATGCCGTTGAAGGAGGCGAATTGTTGGATGTTGGAGAGGGGAGCGTAGTGCTGGATCATGACGCCCTGCGAGCGCGGCAAAGGAGAGAGCGCGAGCGAACGAGTGAGCGAGGAGGGGAAGAGGAGATCAGTCGGGCTGTAGTAGCTGCCGAGTACGGAGCAGGTCTCACTTTCTGAGAGGAAAAGGCGGGGGAAGAAGGCGTGGTCAGCCGCAATTCTTTCGCATCGCGCACTCGCATCTGCTCACCGGCAACCCCGTAGTCCCACTACTGAATGACAAGAATGCCAACTTCTTCCTCGCCTCGCCCGGCTTGAGTGTGACCCTCCCCTTGTGCAGCTCTTTACTATCCCTCCCCTCCGCCACCAGTCCTTCGAGGTACCACGCCTCTCCCTCCCTCTTCGCTCCACCCTTCAACGCTCCCTTCCCTTGGGTGGTCCTCGGCGTCTGCATGATAACTACATGGTCTTTCCTCATCTTGGCCTTCTCTGCCGCCTCCCCACCAACCTTCAGTGCCTCCTCACCAAGGAAGATGGCCGTGCTCTTGCTCGCATCGATCTGGTAAGACAACTCGCTGGCATTGTATGCCGGATTAGCACAGCTGGCCACTGCACCCAGCTTGTGCAATGCGAGGATGGCGATGAGGTAGTCGACGGAGTTGGGAGAGAAGATGCATACGACTGTATCGCGGCGCACTCCAAGCTGGTCGCGCAACCCGGCGGCTAAGTGGTCTACTCGATCGCGACATTGTTCAAATGTCCAGCTTTGTCCTGTGGGCTCGTCTATCAGGAGTGGGAGGGACTTGGTACGTGGATCGAAGCGGTAGGAGGGCCAGTCTGCGTGGTGTGGGGGCGAGATGGAGAGAGGTTTGGGGATGAGTGCGTGCCTGCTACTTTATGGTCACGCCGTACTCACGCTCAAAGATGAAGGTGTAGAGGTCCTTGTCATCTGGATAGGTGCCGACACTAGGGCCGCTGGACTTGATGATGGTCATGACTTGGCTGGCGAGGAGCGACGAGGTGCGTAAAGTGGGATGACGGCGCAGAAGGAAGTGCGGGGTACCACACGGGGTCAGGCTCTCAGGCTCAGGCTCAGGCTCAGGCTCAGACAGCTCCACCCCCGCACCCGCAGGCTGGTTTTTCGCGCTCCGCCGACTCAGAGGCCGCGACTCGCGAGACGAGAGAGCATCGCGCTCGACGGAGAAGCGGTTGACAACTCGACAGCAACTCGTCTTCTTGACGAGAAGATCAAGTGCAAGTCCCACGACGGCTACGGCAATCGCTGACGGTATTGCGGCACGAGCAGGAGCAATCGAGTGCAATCTACCTGGCTGACCGCGCATCGCGGCCCGACCCCGGCGGCGTCAGGGCCGCGTTAGAGGTTGGGGCGAGGAGCGAGGAGCGGGCCGTAATGACCTTCTGACTCGCTGCTCCGCCCACCGCGCCCACCGCTCACCGCTACACCGAAGGGGTCCGCGCCTTGGCAACACGGCGCGTTGCGATGCGATGCGATGTTGTGATGCCATCGGTCCCTTTGTCGTCGTAATCACTCGCCCTCGTGCCCTTGGCGCTCGCTCACCGACGAAGACGCATCTTGCCTTCCCTTCTCACCCAACGCATCGCTTCTTTCCCACCACTTCACAGTACACACCTCCACCGATACCGGCTTCACACCAAGCAGCGTACACGCAACACGCCAACGATCATGAAGCTTCACCGTCTCCTCGCCGCCCTCAGCGCCCTCGCAGCGCTCACCTACGCCTTGCCGGGTACAGACGGAGCCTTTGCGCTCGAGAGTCGACAGAATGCGGCAAAGAATGCCAGCGCCAACAATGCCACCACGTCCACGTCCACCGCTGGGGGAGGTGGTCATGCCGAGATGCTCCTTCAAGGGCTCAAGGCGTTGAAGTTCAACGCCCTGGCTGGCTTGCTGCAGAACTACACGGATATGGTGGGTGCGATAAGCCCGGTGGTTGTGGATGCGCAGCTCATCGCCCTACTCCTCCTACTCCACCCTCTTCACATCCCCGCAGGTCGACCACTTCTCGACGCAGAACATAACCTTCCTCGCTCCCAGCGACGAAGCATTCGCCAAAGCAGGGCACAACCTCGCCAGGGTGCCCAAGGATCAGATCATGGCCATCCTGTCCTACCACGCGCTCAAGGGCAACTACTCGACGGATGGGGCCAATGGCTCGGCAACCGACTATTTCAATTCGAGCAGGCACACCATTGCGCAGACTAGCTTGACCAACAAAACTTATGTCGACTTTGGGCCAAAGAATGAGAAGAGTCAGGTCATTGTATTGAGCCGGAATGAGCAGGGTGAGTGCGGGTAGAGCGAGATGCCATCGTGGTTACAGCATCGCATACACTCGTTCACACGCAACGTTTCCCCGCACACCCCACGCAGGCTTCCCCGTCGTAGTAGAGACGAATCGCAATGTCACCTTCACCAACAAGACGTCCTCCTACTCTCAGGGGAATCTCCGTCTCGCAGGCATCACGGAGCTGCTCAGCATCCCGGGCAACCTGAGCGACTGCATCCAGGAAGTGGGGCTCAAGGGTCTTCCTCAGGTCACAAAGACGCTCAACCTGAGCGAGCCACTGGATATGGCTGGAGGATTGACCGTATTCGCGCCTACGGATCAGGCATTTGCTGCTGCGCAGAGGGTGAGTGGGTGAGAGAGGCGGGGGGCGAGGACAAGGCTCAAAGTGACTCTGCCTTCCCACTATCTTCTCGCTCTCGCCCCGTCGCCCAGGCACTCACCTCCGCCGGCAATACGACCATTGTGACTAATGTCCTCCGCGGCCACGTCATCAACGGGACGGTCATCTATGGTCCTGACCTGATGAAGACGTGCGTACGTCTTGCGCTCCTCCGCTTCCCCACCTCAACCAGCGTGCCACTCACCCCCACTTCCCTCCTGCACAGTCTCGAAAATGCCTCCAAGAACAAGTCCTCCTCCACGAACAGCAGCTCGGACCCCGGCCTGATCCTGGCAAACCTCACAGCCTCAGGCGGCCAAACCCTCCAAATCATGGGCTTCCCCTCCAACTCCTCCTTCATGCTCATGTCCGCCAACTCTTCGGCCCAAATAGTCTCCACCGACCACCTCTTCCGTGGCGGCGTCCTCCACACAATCGACTCTGTCCTCTTCAACCCAGAGACAAACGAGACGGCCGCCGCAGCCGCGTATGAGAAGTACTCGACGGCAAGCGCTAATGCTAGTCGGACCTCGCCCGGTGCCGGTGGTGCGGGCGCAGCGGGCGTTGATGCGAGCACGACGATGGGTGACAATGGGGGCATATACGGCGCTACGACGGGGAATGAGACGAATGCAGACGGAAACAATGCGGCCGGTGGCTACGCGAGGGGAGAGGTGGACTTGGGCGTCGTCTCCCTGCTGGTTGCGGGTTTGGCCATCCTTGGGGGAGTGGCGGTGCTCCTCTAGCCGCAGCCAGTGCGAGCGCAGAGCGACGTCGCAGAGAGGATGACTTGTCTATATTCTCTCTCTCCCTATCCCTCTTCACCACTCCTTCTGCCACTTCTTCTCCATCTCTCCTCTCTTCTCTCTCCCTCTCCTACTACCCCTCGACCTGGCAGAGAGAGGAGTCGACGATCGATAAGCCGCAGCGCAGCGCCACACTGTGCTGCCTCCTCACCCGCAGGCCCAGCCCAGCGAAAGCCTAAGTCGTCCCTCGCCTCCCTTGCCCGCCCCCGCATCTCTCCTTCTTTCCACCTCTCAGACCTCGACCGACCGTGACAAATCTACACACGTCTTCACACTCACACTCCCTTGATCACTCAAGTCGACAAGACGAGACGAGACGAGACATGGCATCTGACCCAAAATCAAGTGTGTGTGTGTGTGTGGATGGGCATTTGCTCACTTTACTCTCTCTCTCTTCTCACCTCACCCTTCGCACAATCCTCGACTACGACTGCCCAGCACCGCCATTACCACCACTACCACCACCGCCACCAGCAGCACCTCCTGTCGCTCCCCCCGGTCCTGCTCCTCCACCTCCCGGTCCCACCCCGCTCGAAGCGCTACTCTGCACAACATTGACCGCCTCAGCCAAGGCGCCTAACTGTTGTGGCGTCAATCTACTAAGGAGAACGCTCAAGTGGACGAGTTGACAACGCGTACCTCCCGCTGCTCCTGCTCCTCCTGCTCCTCCTCCTCCTCCGGCAGCTCCTCCATTCGCCGCATTCAGAGCCAAAGCAGGATTAACGGGCCCCTCCGTAATCCCCAACAGGACGGCAGCTTCCCTCTGATTCGGGTCCGGTTCACAGGGGGCTGTGCTCCATCCTCCTCCCCCTGCTCCTCCTGTACCGCCACCTCCTGCAGCGCGAGCCTTGTGCGCATCAATGGCCGGCTGTAGATGCTTGGCGGGGAGGGGGGCGATTCCTGCTGCTGTTAGGCGGGAGATTAGGGGGAGGGGCAGGACGATTCGGAGGGGTGGTTGAGTGGGTGGTTGGGATTGAGGAGGAAGTGGGGAGGAGGAAGAGGAGGAGGCGGACGGGGCGATAGAGGTGATCGAGGCCGCTGTGGCTGCTGCTGCTGCTGCTGCGGCGGCGGCTGATGATGATGAGGAGGAGGGAGAAGACGCGGCGGCGGCGGCGGCGGCGGCGGTTGCGGAGGTGGGTGACTGGCCTCTTGTTTGCTGAGGTGGACGAGTTGTGCCCCCGCTCCCGCTAGTGCTGCCGGTAGGCTTCGGGAAGTTGGAGGGCGAAGCAGAGCCTGACGTTGATACTGATGGTCGTCTGGCTGTTGACGCTCCTGCTGCGTGTGTAGGAGCAGGCGATCCCTTCGCACTGGCATTATTGCTGGTGCTCGAAGAGGCCTTCGACTTGCCCGACGCCGATGCCGACGCCGCCGCCGTGGGCTCCTTTGACTCCCTGGCCTCCTTTGAGCTGGCAGCTTTGGACGTTGATGCCTGCTTTGCTTTGCTGCTCTTGCGCGAGGCGGAGGGCGATGTTTGTCGCTTGGAGCTGGAGGTAGAAGGACCTGATGATGGAGAGGCGGCTGGAGCTGGTGAGAAGGCAGCCGCCGCAGGGGCCGGGGTGGATGATGGTGCCGGTCTTGGCTGTGAAGAAGCTGGCTTGACATTGCTCCCACTCCCACCTGCGCTCGAGCTCGCGCTGGCACTTGGGGCGATGCGCGGATACATCTCTCTTGGAGGTGGCATCTCAAAGCCTGGTGCAACCTGATCCAATTCGGCCTGCCAGTGCTGTCCGTACGTCTCGATGAGGGTTTGCCTCGCCTCGTTCAGCTGGGCCACCTCTGCCTCCAAGGCGGCACGTTCGTCCCCGTAGGCCAGGCCAAGCATCTGTAGATGTCCCTCCTTCGAAAATGGGGTAGAAGGCAGCGTAGGCACCACTTCGTCCTCTTGCTCGGGCGGATGGACCTGCGACCCGCCGAGGCTCGTGTGCTGGAGGAGCCGATGGCGTTGACGCAGGGCAGCGTAGCGCGAGAGGACTTCATCGAGCTCATCGTCGGCAGGGAAGGTCAATCCCTCGATTGCGTCAAAGGCGACACTCTCTGCCCTACCGCTGCGCTGCACGCAGGGCACTCGAGCTGTAGCTGTGAGGCGTCGTCGCTTGGTCGTAGTCGTAGTTGTGCCATTCTCTACTACTACTAGTCCTGCCCTCTCCTTGTCCTTGCTCGCCGCCCTCGATCTAGCTAGCGCGACTACGTCCTCTGGCACCTGCCAGACGTGCCAGGGGAGTAGTCGTGCCACCACATCCTTTGCGCCTGCGAATGGCGTCTTGTAATCTGCGTTCAACACGGCATCGTGGTGTGCGAGGAGTGGGGCGAATCCGCTGCTGCTGGGTGCAGGGATGGGGAGAGGATAGCGGATGGGTGGACGCGGTGGTGGTGGTTGTGAAGAGGAGGAGGCAACGCCCTGAGTCTGCGTCGAGGACATGAAGTGACTTGAGCTGAGCCTGCCCCTCGCTGCCAGGCCTTTCCTGCCTTTGATTTCGAGTTGCAACTCAAGTCGGATTGAACGTCGAGTGTGGACCGAGCGAGGCTGCGAGCAACGGAACAAGGAACACACCACAAAGTCAGGTCTCGACGTCGACATGCAGAGCACGCGGGCGGCTCCGAGGGCGGAGCGGAAGCCAGAGCGGGGATGTCGACGCTCGAGGGCAACGACGGGCTGCGAGGAGGGACGGAGGGAGTGGCAGGCACCTCGTTCAATGACGCATCGCACAGCATACATTCACCATTCTCATCACTACCTCCTCACCACCACCACGCGCAACACCATTACGCACACGCAATGGACTCGCCTGCAATGGGCGCTCCATTGCCCCCTTCCTCTTCGCAGTCTCATCGCATAACTCCACCCCACGCCGCCAACCACAACCACAACCTCGACCACCTCTCCCTCAGCGCACCGCAAGCCTCGTCCCTCCTCGCCTCTGCAGGTCCACCCCCGGCCTCAGGACCATCCATCCCTGCGGGCACAGGGCCAGGAGGAACACCAACAACTGCCCTGTCGGTGTACCACTTGATCAACCAGCTATGCCAACGTCCACCGCCCAGCGCCGCCTCTGCCACGACGATGGCGACGGCGAGCACCGCGACGGCGAATGGCTCCGCAACGCCAGGCTCCACAACCATCGGGGGCGCTGCGCCGACGCCGGTCAAGGACGGCAGCGAGTCGGCGCGGGAGACTGCCCTCCTCGAGCTGAGCAAGAAGCGCGAACAGTACGAGGATCTAGCCCTCGTCCTCTGGCACAGCTTTGGGGTTATGAGCTCCCTTCTCCAGGAAATCATAGCAGTTTACCCTCTACTGAGCCCACCGGCATTGACGGCCCATGCGAGCAATAGGGTCTGCAACGCTCTTGCACTACTGCAATGCGTTGCGAGTCATCATGAGACGCGCGCTCTCTTCTTGCAGGGTGAGTGCAGAGATCGTCGCACACACACACAGCATTGTTCTCTTCTCAGGCAGGGTACTGATTTGATCCCCTGTTTGGCGACACTCTAGCGCATATTCCCCTCTTCTTGTACCCCTTTCTCAATACAACGAGCAAGACGAGGCCATTCGAGTACCTCCGCCTCACCTCGCTGGGAGTCATTGGCGCACTCGTTAAGCAGAGCGATAATTCGCAGGTCATCACTTTCCTCCTCTCGACGGAGATCATTCCTCTCTGCTTGCGAATCATGGAGACGTGAGTGGCCCCCGCCGCCGCCGTCCCCCTCATACATCGAACACGGCTGATCTCCTCTCCCCGCTTCGGCTTCACAGCGGCTCCGAGCTAAGCAAAACGGTTGCCATCTTCATCGTGCAAAAGATCCTCCTCGACGACGTCGGTCTCGCCTACGTCTGTCAGACCTACGAGCGATTCTATGCCGTAGGTACCGTTCTATCCAACATGGTCACCGGCATAGAGGAGACGGGTGCCGTCCGCTTGCTCAAGCACATCATTCGGTGCTACTTGAGGTTGAGCGATAATATTCGGGCTAGGGAAGCGCTTAGGGCTTGTCTGCCTAGTTCGTTGAGGGATGCGACCTTTGTTGGGTTGTTGAGGGGGGACAATATTACGAGGAGATGTTTGGCTACTCTGTTGCTTAATTTGTCGGATGAGGTCGGGCAGTGAGGGAGGGGCAGCAAGGACGAGGAGGAGCCCGAGGAGAAGAAGGAGGAGGACGACTCTACTTTCGACCACCGCATCTTACCAGTTACCCCCCAACAAGCACGCAGACCCACCCTTTTCTCCACCACGATAAAGCACACGCCAGCATCCACGCGCACGCACGCACGCGCACGCACACGCACACTCAAAACGACGTCCCCGGCCAGACAGGGCATCACGTCGCTTCCCGATCGTCGTGCAGGCATCACCATCGCGCAGCCCTACCCAAAACCAAGCCCACCTCCAGGCCCGACCAACAATGTACACCAGCAAAGAGATCCCCCCTCCCTCTCCCCCGCGTCCCCTCTTTTGGCCGCAATCAAGGCCCACCACCACCATCATCGCCTACAATGTGTCAACGTCGCATCGGCTCGGCTCGACGCGGCTTGAGTCGTCGCTCAAGACTTCGCGCGAGCCTATCTATTACTGTCTGTTCTGTCTATCTGTCCCCTGCTTTCTTAGTTCTATATCACCAAATTGTATTCATGCGGTTGCGCATCAAAGAGGTCAAGCCAGGCCAGGCCATGCGTTGAGGAAGCAGGCGCGAGGGATGGGTGGTGCATCGACGTCGACGTCGATGCCGGCCGGCGGTTTCCATTCCCTCTCCTCCCACGCCCGCCACCCCGCGTCCTCCACCACAGACGTACGTACGTCCGTGCGGGGCAAAAGAGTGAGAGGCGATTGAAGAAAGTGGAGTCGGCCGTACCGTTTCGTGTATGCTTCGCTATTCATAGATTGGCGGGTAGGTTTTGCTTCTTCCCGCATCACATTCACGTTCCCATTCGTCTTTGTCTTCGTATTCCTATCCTCGGTTTCATCTTGATCCATCCTCTACACCTCCAGGTCTTCTTCCTCATCCTTCAAATATGGCTCCTCACCCGCACCTAGGCTGGGTCAGTGAGTAGTCACTTCCTGCCTCCTCCCACCGATGGCTGTCTCGCCTTGAGTGGCTAAGCCCCCTTTCCTCCCTTGCGATCCCCCGCCGCACAGACCCCGTAATCCCGCACGAATCCGCCGACCCAGGCACATACTACGACCCTGTCTCTCGCAAGTACTACACCTTTGTGACCAACTGCGAAGGGGTAGCCTGCCGATGCTGGTATAGCGACGACCTATGTTCCTGGACCAAGCATGAGGCCGATGTGCTTCCTGGACCGCACCCGGCGTGGATTGGGGAAGGAGGGTGGAATTGGGCTCCAGAGTGAGTGTTGCGCGAGGAGAGGAGAGAAAGACGGGAGGGGAGGAGATGAGAGAGGAGCTGACCCTTCGTCATCGCTCGCTGCGGTGCGGTCGCTCGCGCAGAGTCATCTCAGCACCGCAAGGGCGACCTGGTCACCTCATGTACATCTCCTGCAAGGACAAGTCGACGGACAAGCAGTGCATTGGTGTAGCTTACACCGAGGGGGTGAGCTGAGCATTTCGCTCCATGCTGCCTTCCCTCCCGCACTCCTCCACTGACCCCAATCACTCATCCCTCCGCACCGCACCGCATCGCGTCACGTCGCGTCGTCTGCCGCAGGGACCGCTAGGCCCTTATCGCTTCATATCGCACGGCCCGCTCATCTCGCACGGCGAGTCCGGAGGCTGCATAGATCCGCAGCCATTCGTGGACCCGCAGACTGGCAAGAGGCATTTAGTGTTCAAGAACGATACAGACAAGTGCGTGCCCCCCCTCCCAAACCCTTCTCCCCACGATATCCTGCTAATCCATTGCTGGCGCGGCTCCCCTCCTCGCCTTCGCCGGCAGGATGTACACGAAAAAGGCCCAACTCTGGATTCGAGAGCTCAGCGAGGACGGTCTAGGTTTCGCAGCCGATCGAGTAGCGCTTCAGGCTCCGAGCTCGAAGTATCAACATGACCTCCTCGAAGCACCTTACCTGACCTACCACGCTCCGAGTCGGACTTATTGTCTCTTCTACTCGTCCGGGACTTTCACTACGGAGGGTGAGTCGCGCGCGCGGCGTGCGAAGAAGAGAAATGAGGCGGACAGCGATATACTGACGTTGACGTTTGGTCGGTGCACGCGACAGGCTACGCCACCTCGTATTCCATCTCGCGCTCAGGCCTGCATGGGCCGTACGTTCCCTCGGGCCGCCCGCTCCTCTATACCGACGTGCCTCGTGGGATCCGCGGTCCGGGTGGGGCGTGCGTGATCCAGGGGGTGGAGGGGCATTGGTTCATTTTGTTCCATTCGCTTGAAAGAGAGGGAGGAGCGAGGAGGACGTGCATTCATCGGTTGGAGTGGGAGGAGGACGGGACGCCTAGATTGCCGTGAGTGCGCGTGGCGCTTGCGAGGGCTGGTTGATGAGCTATGCGCTGACTATCCTATCCCTCATCGTGGGTGCGCGGCCCGGTAGAGGACGACCCTGCGAGGGCAAACGCATCCGACTGGGCGCGGAGCATGAAGATGATCAAGCACATGGTTTCCCTGCTCACCCAAACGAGACGGGCAAGTCTCCGATGATGGGCGGGCACAGTGGTGCGGTCAAGGCTGGGATGCAGAAGGTCTTTAATGCTCTCAAGTAGCGCCTCTCCCCTCGCGCTCCCCTCGCGGTCTGTGTGTGTGCGTGTCTATCTCTGATTGTATTTCACTCTCGCACCTACTCCTGTACATCCCGGAACAGCTTACGCAACCACTCCGTCTCGGCAAGTAGCTCCTCGCGCGTACGAGGTGGACGATCCTCATCGTCTGGCCCTCCCTGCTTCTCTACGCCCGCAGCAGCCGAGCTGGGCCTCTTGCCCGTCGTGGCATCGAAGCCCCACTTCTCCAGCTCGGCATAGACGGCGTCCGACGGCGTAAAGTCGCCCTGAGAGCGCGCGCGCGCGAGTCGAGCACAAGCGCGAGCACAGCGCGAAGGTGGATGGGTGAATGAGATCGTCAGCGCGAGCTCTATCCACAATCACACTCAGTGATGCCTTCTCATGTGACCCGCGCACGCACCTTCCTCCTGGGCAAAACATGCACATGCAAATGCTCGACCGTCTGACCTGAGTCTCTTCCGTCCTGCACAGCAACGGTGCACGCTGTAGCTCCCATTGCCTCCTCGAGGCGGGAGACTACAAGCTGCAATGTGGTGAAGAAAGGGCCGATGCTAGGTGCGGGAAGGTTGGAGAGGCGGGTGATGTTGGGTGAGGGGGGGATGAGCAGGATGTCTGTGCATGCGTCGGGTGAGGGGGGAGGGGAGGGGTGGCGTGAGTGAGGGGTAAAAGAGAGGGAGGTGCGAGCTAGAACGCACGTCCAGGCACGATAGGCTTGATATTCACGATTCCTAGCGCATGGGGGGTGCGAAGGAAGACTTGCTCCGTAACGTCGAAGTGAGAGAAGTGGGCACGCTGCGTATCTCCCGAGCCGCTGCCGCTGCCGCTACTAGTGCTGGTGGTGGAGGCCTTGATGGTGGAGGACATGCTGCGAGCGAGGCCGCACGTCGTGGTGGTAGTGGTGCTGAAGAGGGAAGAGAAGAAGGAGGGGAAGCGCATCGGCCGGCGTAATCAGCGAGGGCGGCGGCGGCGGGGCTCGACCCTTTGGTTACGAGGCCAAGATGCTGTCGAATAGAATACCGCCGGCCCGCCCTCCGCCCTGCGCCCTCCGCCCTGCCGCTGTCCTTCCGTGCCTTGCTCTTGCAGCCGAATCTGTCCACGTCCTCCAAGTCGCGGCGTAGCCCACAACCAACTCGACTCGACGACGCAGCAAGGCGTGAGTAACGCCGCCTATTCGCCCGCCCAATCAAAGAATCGTGGAAGGTCTATCGAGTGAAAAGATAATGACGAAAGGATGGTAACAATGAATGAAGTATAACTCGCCACTCGCAAGCACGCACGCACGCGGCTATCTAAAAGAATCCCAGATCGTCCTCCACATCCGCCTCATCCTCCTCCTCCTCGTCCTCATTGCCCTCACTACTCTCTTCGTCCTCCGTGGTGGCAAGCTCCTCCTCGCCAGCCTGAGCCTGAGGGGCAGCAGCTTGAGGCGCTGCTTCCTCACCATCTGCTGCCGTCTCAGGCCCGGTTCCAGCTACGCCGCCCCCACCGTGGGCGACAGGGGCAGTCGCGCGTCTTTGCGCCGCTGCATCATCATTCTCTTGGGGCACCGCCCTTCTAGGACGCGCAGCAGCACGCCTTTGCGCTCTCACCTCCTCCATTACATCAATCCCTCCCGTCGCCCCTCCTTCGCTCCCCTCCAGCGCGCTCACAAGGCCATCCTCGTCCTCCCGCAACTTGAGGTAGCGCAGCACGTACGGGTGGTAGAGGATGCGCGGGAGCGGCAAGTCGGGACTTTCTCCTCCTCCTGCTGCCTGGCCCTGTCCTGCCGACGAGCCCCCGCCATCGCCCTCGCCCTCGCCCCCGCCCCTCAGCTGCACCCGGCTCGCCTCGACCCAAGCCCTCCCACGTCCGTTCCACCAGCGTGCCAGCACGCGATCACGCCTGCGCAGTTCGTCTGCTCGCATCTCCTCGAGGCGGGGCAGGAGGGTCAGGAAGTAGAGGTACAGGGGGAGAAGGAGGGTCGAAGGGGTGAGGAGAAGCCATCGAGCCCAATGTGTCGCCTCGTCTACTCTCCCAGCTAATCCCGCCGGAGCACCACGTCTCCTGTGTCGCCTTGTATGGAATGGCGACGTCGTGCCTCTCTCGCCTTCACGCAATCTCGCAACAGCCCAACGTTGTGCCTGCGCATCGTCGATTGGACGAAACCCCAGCGCGCGATCCTCCGCCTCGAGCCCTAGGTATGCGAGACGTTGTGCGATGTACTTGCCCGGGTTGGCGGAGAAGGAGCGTACAACGCGGCGAGTCGGGGCTGAAGGGGTGAGTGGGTGACTCCAGGAGGAGGCGGCCCCCGTCGTCGTGGATGAGGAGGTCGAAGTGCGCGCACGACGACGACGTGCGGGCTGTTCTTCTGCGTCTGCGCCTGGAGGGTTAGGTATGGCACCTGCTGCTCGCCTCCTTCTCTCTCTCCTCTCCCTTCGTCTCCACACCCCGCCTGCCTCCCAAACTACCCATCCGGCCGCGGCGAGACACATAGCGAACCGTTTGGGCGTGGATTGGCCGCGCGTAAAGATGTAGAGGAGGATGAAGAGCTTGATGGCGAGGAAGAGGACGGGTAGGTAGAGACGCGTGAGCTCGGTGAGCGTGGGCGTAGGCGCGGGCGCCGTAGGGGCAGGGATCTGGTCGCGGGTAGGGAGGGCGGCGGCGTGCTGTTGAGAGGGAAGGCGCTGTGCTTGGCGATTGGCGTTGGGCAGGGGTGCAGCAGGATTGACTTGACTTTGACTGCATTCCGCCAGAGCGGCAAGTAGAGTCTCTACTCTCGCGTGGACTTGTCGCATCTCGTCGCTCGCTCCAACCTCGATGGGCTTCCAATCAAAAACCACCAGCTCCACATCCAGCAGCGCCTTGCGAGCACTCGGCGCCACCTCGATCAGAGTGACCTCGCGCTCCTTGCGGCGTTGTTCCGCCTCATCTTTGTTCATGCCCACGTGGAGATCGTAGAGGTACGAGTAGCGAGCATGGTACTGCTGGTAGAGAAGGGTGATGACACGGGGCGAGTCCGGTAAAATAGCCCAGGAAGGCAGGGTCGTAGGAGGCTCAGAGGGTGGGAGGGTAAAGTAGGAGGATCCCTCGAGTGGATCCACTTGAGGGCGCAGTAGCCCTTCGTCCCCGCCTTGGCTGGTGGTGGTGGTGGTAGCCGCCGTTCGTACAGGCTTCGTCGTCACGCCTCTCCTTGCTGGCGTGATCGGCTCCCTTTCCCCTTCACTCCACGCATCAGGCCTAACGACCAAATGCAGGTAAACCTCCTCCCTCCCCTCACGCGCCACATCCCCTAGCACCTCGTCATCCCCCAATATCCTTCCGGCGTGAATCAACCTGATCCCCGCTGGGTCAGGCTTACCAGGCCAGTGATCACGCACGGCCGTCTTGATGCGGCGGATGGTGTGCTTGCGCTTGGCGCTGAGCACGGATGGGGGCGCGGAGGAGGAAGAGGACGACGGGTAGCTGTGCGGTGAAATGAGGTGGAGAGCGATGCGTCCTGTGTTTTGCGAGTGGGCGGGGTTCTCCTGTGATGATGAGGTGGACATGGCGCTGTGGGTGTGAGCGTGGGAGGAAGGCGTCGCAGGAGGGGAGAGGAGGGCGTGCGACGTCGTGCTCGTGCCAGTCGGCAAGCTCGGGGGACGCTGTGGTCGCGGACGCGGTGATGACGTGGACGCCGCCGCTGCCGCTGACGGTGGGTCTGTCATCGCCCTGAATTGGCGGATTGCCGTCAAATGGAGGGGGATGGGAGAGAGGGATAATCAAGGGAGGGCGGCAAGGAATGGGCGGGCGGGCGGATGAGATGATGAAGCGGACCGTCAGGGCGGCGGCAAGGACGGAGGCGGGGCAGCGGGGCAAGGCGGTGTCGTGGAGGCTTGGCGCCACTTCCGCTCCGAGACGCTCCACGCCTCGTCTCGTCTCGTCTCGTCTACGCCTTGACGCCTCGCTGCGCATCCGCAACAATGAGACGTCACTACTGAGACTCGGGAGAAGCGATACGATGCGAGAACTGGTATATACAAGAAACAAGGTGCAGTACACTGTCCATCGCACGGCTAGATGCCCGCCACCCTCTTCTCGATCTCCTCCTCATCCACCGCCCTCGCACTCCTCAGCGTTCGCCTTTTGCGCGGCGATGTGCTCGACGTCCTGCTGGCGTTGGAAGCTCGCGGGGTAGCGGCAGCAGCAGCAGTGGCGTTGAGTTTGGAGGGAGAGGGAATGAGCATATCGTCGTCGTCGTCGTCCGACGATCCATCGTCGTCATCCTCGGTAGCTTTAGGACGAAGGTTGGAGGCGGCACGCTGCTTGGGCTTGGGCGTGGCGAGGCTGACGTTGATGCTGGCGCTCGATCGCGGGGCGAGGGGTTGGCTCTTGCGACCTGCTGCTGATGAGGTTAGGGTGGAGCGACGTGTCGTCCTGGCTCGGGGAGGGGGAGGGGGCGAGGCGTCCATGCTTGAGTCTACTTGGTAAGAGGAGTCGGCGTCGGACGCTGAGGCTTCCTCTTCCGAGGAGTCATCTTCTGATTCCTCCTCCTCCTCCTCGTCGACGTTGTTGCCCTCCTCCTCCTCGTCATCACCGCTTCCCTGCCCCACAACCTCCTCGAACGGCCTCGCCTGCAGCTCGACGCTATTGTCGGTCGTGTTGCTCTCGTTTGCGGTAACCAGACTCTCCTCTCCTCCCTCTTCATCAACTGACTCCTCCTGCTCTTCCCTCACAGGCGTAGCAGCTGCCCTCCCTCCCCTCGTAGCATTAACCAACAAATCGATCTTCCTATTCAGCATCTCCTCCCCCGTCTCCACCTCACTCAACATCCTAGCCGTATACCTCTGCTCCATCTCCGCCAGCCTTTGAGCAAACTCGGCAGCCATCTCCTCGCGCACCTCCTGCTCCAGAGTGGCTGCACGCTCCTCCGCGGCGTGGAGGCGAAGACGGAGCTCCTCGTGGCGCGTGAGGAGCGCATCCACGAAGGCGGTGCTGGCAGAGTCCTCCGAGTCGGAGTCACTCTCGTTGCCGTTGTCGTCGTCGTCTTCGTCCTCGTCCGAGGGAGAGTCCTCGATGATAGTCACATCCGCCCCTCCGGCTCCTCGCGTAGAATCCTCGCAAGGCCAGGCAACCATCTGAGGTCTCATTGCCCTCGGAACAGCTCGCGCCTCATTGCTTCCCCGCGTAGTCTGCACCTCCCTCGCAACGGCTGAGAAACGCATGACGTGCGAATTCTCATCAAAGCCCGTATCGTACGGATTAGCATTGACGATCATGACTGTTCTTCCCTCGCCGGTGAAGAAGGGCTGGAAGAGTTCCGTGAGCTTGGAGTGACGAAAGGGGACTACCGAGGGGCGACGTTTGCCCAAAGGAGGGGCGCGAGGGGTCGAGTCGCCATTGCCGTTGAGGGAGGACACCGGGTTGAGAGTGGGGATCATGCTTGCTGCGCGGGCTTGGTTCTTGCGGAGGGTTTCGAGGCACTGGCCCAGGCACATGAGGCTGCGCGGCGCGGCGCGGCGCGAGGGCGAGCGAAGGTCAGCAGGGCAGCCATCATGCTTCCACGCCGGGACGCGCTCGCGCGCTACTCACGACTTGTTGATACTCCCCGCCTCCCTCTGCCTCATCCCGCTCGCCATGGTAGCGCTGATCCTCTCACTCCCCGCCAAATCCACGATACTCAGCCTACTGACCGTACACGCCAGCGAATCGTCCGGCCCACCACCCGCGCCCGCGTGTTCGCGCACGACCTTGATTGTAAAGACGCCGTGAGAGCGGGAGGAGGAGCGATTCGCCATGGTGCTGAAGACGATTCGATTTTCCTGACCGCGACGAAGGAGGTCGCGCGCTTCGGTTGGGGTGGAGAGGCGGATTTCGCGAAGACCAGAGACGTATTTTCCGCAGCCATCCGGGTCTGTCTTGAGGTGGAGTGGGCGGCGATTTAGCGTGAGAGAGGCGGTGCCTGCAAGGTCGTTGCTGGAGGCCAGGTTGGCTATGCTCCAGTTTGAGCCGCGCACGGAGTCGGAGCGGGTCATCCCGCTTGCGCTGGAGGAGGAGCTGGAGTTGACGTCGAGGAGGTCGTAGAGCTTTTCGTTGTACACTTCTACGTAGCTTGCCCAGACCTGTGCGCGCGTGAGGCAGCGTGGAGAGGGGTGGGCGCGGGGGAGGGTTAGCAAGGTTGCTGACGGGGAGTGAAGCCTGGCTACTGAGCGCCCATACGCACACTATACCTGTAATTGCGATCCACGCGCACCTTCTCCTCTTCCCTCTGATAGTGCGTCGGAGTCACATGTCTCCTGCTCGCCTCTGCCAGCTTCCCCTTCAAGCTAGGCATCGTCCACGGGTCCAGTGGGGGCGTCGAGCCTCCCGCAGCAGCGGCAGTCGTTGGGGTGTTGCTTTCCACCCTCTCCACCCCATAAAGCCCCAGCGGCGCAATATTGCTGCGACTCTCCAGTCCCTCGATACTATTGAACACAACATCGAGCGCTCTCGGCAACAAACCCGCTTCACCTACCCCTTCCCCTCCCTGAACTGTGTAGCTCTTGCCGCTATTCGTGACCCCGTACGTGAAGATTAGCCCACTCTCCCCGCCCAGCAATTCCGTCACCATGGGTAACGTGGTCTCGCGGAAGAAGGCACGCTGCGAGTTGGACGCAGCGTCGTGTGGGCCGAAGACGCGGGCGAAGGTGTAACTCGTCGCGGGCGAGGGAGGGCGCAGTGAGCGGAGCGATGTTGGGTTGTCGGGCGGGGTCATGAGGACTGTGTTGGGGGATGTTACGCTGATGTAGGGAGTGGGGAGGGGGGCGTCCTCCGAGGAGGTGAGACTAGGATTGGAGGTGGGACGGGGCCGGATGCGCAGGTAGGCTTGGATGGCGCTCGTGGGTGGGGTGGAGCCTGACGCGGATGCTGATGAGAGGAGACTGCTCGACGCCTTCACGTTGGCCTTTGCCTTTGTGGCCTGCGGGCGGGCAGCATTGCGGTGGGTCGCTGCCATTCGAGCAGCAGATGCGCGCGTAGGGGCGGTGAGGCGGGAAGCAGCGGTGCCTGGAGTTGAAGGAGCGACGATGGACGAGGAAGCGGCGCTTGCTGTTGAGAGGCGGGCGTTTGTGCTGGTGCTACGTGCACTGCGCGGTGTCGAAGGGGTGCCGCGACCTGATGACGTCGAGGCGACCATGCTGTCGTGCCGCCAATTGGCTGATGCTGAGGAGTTGATGCGAGTGGTCAAGGACCAAGAGTGTGAGCGCAGCGGGCGGGCGGGAGTAGAAGCGAGTCCAACACAACACTCGGCGCGCGACCACGTGGCTCTCCCTTCTCGCCCGACGACGACTTCTCCTCCCACCCGCCTCACTGCCGCGCCTCGCTCGCGACTCGCGATGAATTGATCAAGGAATCGAAATTAGAGGAGAAAGCGATTAGTGAGAAAACGAGGCTGGAAAAAAAGGGGTAGGGGGGCCGAGATGAAGGCGGCGCGTGCGGTGCGGTGGCGAGGAGGCGAGGAAGGACTATCGGGTCGAAAGAATAGAGGATCGCGAGAACTAGAGGAGCGAAGAGGCCAAGAGAGAGAGATAGACACTAGAGGGGCGGAGGGAGAGAGAGAGAAGAGTGTGCGCGTGCGTGTGCGCGTGCGTGTGCGTGTGCGTGAGAGAGGTCTCGCAACGACAAAGTGATCGTGCGTGTCCGCTTGGTCTTGATTGACTTGGCGATCCACGCCGGTGAGGAAACGACTGTATTATCGGTGCTGATGGTTTGAAGGGAAAGGCCGAGGTCGGTGCGAGGTAGCCAGGTAGTAGAGTCGAGTCGAGTCGAGTCGAGTACGCGTGCGAGCGAAGCGACCTGCGCTCCTCCTCCTCTCACGCTCACCCAGCCACGACTGCCAAGGCAAGACTGTTTCGCCCCTCCTGCCCGCGAAAGAGCTCCAGCGAGTAAGCCGTCTTGACGATGGTCCCATCCACGTCGCGCACGAGGACGATGGGCAACGAGGTGGGCAGAGTCGCTGCTACGTCCTCCTCTGCGACGGCGCGGAGGGAGCGACAGTAAGGTAGTAGCGCATCGAGTGCCGGGAGTCGGACATCCAGCACAGTCACGGCGTTGACGGCTGCCCCGCTTCCGTACCCTGCCACGAGACTGGTGCTCTCCGCCATCTGCGGTAGGGGACCCATTCCTCCTAGCCAGACCTTCCAGCATACCCCAGGCCCGCCGAGAGCGAGTCTCTCCCCCTCCAGGCGGAGGACATGCGCCTCGTGCAGGATGCGGGGGACATTGCACAGCGAAGGGAGGACGCCAGGCGGGTCTTGCGGGGCAGGGGCTTCGCCTGCCGATTCGACTGATAGGCCCATTTGCGTGAAGGAGAAGTGGAAGGAAGCTGCGCCTACTACACTCCAGCAGAAGGCGTCGTTGGCCACATCTGCGTCGCGTGGGCCGAGAGTGGCGGGGGCAGGCTCGTTTGGGTTGGGGCCTCGGCCGGGGGGCATAAAGGTGAGAGGGGTCGGGACCATCCCTGCATCTCCGCGATTGGCGCCGACGACGCCGTGCTGAGGGGTGTATGACGAGGTGGAGCCGTCCGGAGTGCGCATGGGAGCTGCCTGCGCGGTGTGGGTGCTGGCGCTCGCATTGGCGGGCGTGGCGTTGGCGAGCGTGGCATTGGTGTCGGTGCTCCACCAGGGCTCGGGAGGGGAGGAGCAGAGGAAGCGGCGCGATGGGGTTGCGTGGCGTGACGTGGCGGACGAGGGGTCGTAGCGCATGAAGGCTACCTGCGGGGGCGAATGAGCGGGGCGTGGGCAAAAGAGCGGGGAGTCAGCATCGCGTGACCTGGCGTGGACTGGCTTGACGCAACGCTCCCTCACCTTTTGCATCTGGCTGATAGGCCCGTCAAAGGACGAATCAGACGAGCTAGCCTGCGCGTGTGCCGTCCCCCCAAATGCGGCAGGGACGATGATCTTGCCCTTGTCGACCTTGCACACCACCATCGGATCACTGACGGCTCCGCGGCCGGGAGCTTCGAGGACCACGATGGACCCGTAGGTGACTGCGTCGGTCGCGTGGAGTGCGGCGCTGGGGTCGTTGATGCTCGTGCTGCTCGCGCTGCTTGCGCTGCTCGCGGTCACGACGGGACGCATGTGGAAGGTGGTCCACGAGTCGTTGCGCGCCGAGAGCTGGCCATCGTCGACGGCCATGTACTTTGTGCGGACGTTTTGCGAGTTGACGCTGTGCGGGCGGCGGAAGCGAGGAGTGAGGGTTAGCGGGGCGATCACGCCACGCCACGTCGCGCACGCCGCACGCACCGATTAAAGAGACAGATGGCTAGGTCCGGGGTAATTTGGCTGCTCGATGTCTTGGCCTTTGTGGTCTTCTTGGACGGCTTGGATATCACAGCGATGGGCTCGCTCTCGCAGGTGAGCCAGGGGTAACGATCCGCTCCGGCGTACGAGCCCGAGAGGCGCGGCGACTTCCACGCATGCTGCCCGCCGCGATCGGTAGCGATCATGTCGAATCGAAGGCGAAATGTCTTTGCGGCCGAGGTGGATCCTCCGACGTGGAGATGGCCGAATTTGGCTTGCAGGGTGCGGTCCAGGATTACGTCCTCGGATACGGCGAGCTCGTGGGCGTTTTGTTCGCCGCCGGCGCCGGGAAGGATCGTCATGCGTAGCTGGCGGGCGATTGATGGGGTAGCAGAGGGCGTTGTGTAGCCTGGGCCGCGTACGCGGACGATGGGAGGAGGGCAGAGGAAGCGTTTCTCGTGGCCGTAGGATTTTTGGGCCACGCCGGAGTGGCTGCAGGTTACCGTGACGAAGAAGTCGTCCTGGCGAGGCGCGGCGCAGCGCGGTACAGCGTGACGTGATGGCGAGCGCAGCGAGGCAGAGCGGTGCGATGGGCGTGGAGCAGATGGCAAGGACGATAGGAAGGGAGCAGCAGGGCAGAGCGGAATGTGTCAGCGGCAGCTCATTTCGCGCCACGCTCGTACGCGCCACGCCCGCACTCACCACAACGCTCCCCTGATCACCCATCTTGGCCGCCAACCTACGCATAAACCTCTGCAACACCCTCTGCACAGCCTCCTGCCTCTCACCAACGGACAAGTCCTCCCACACTCGCTTCTGAGCCCCATCCATGTCCCATCCTCCACTACGTCGGTGCGCCTCTTCCTCTCCCCATCCTCCCCGACGCAGCGCGTGCTGCTCTTCCTCCCCCCACCCTCTCGCCCTCTTTGCAGAGTTATTCGGAGCAGTAGGAGTTGCAGGGGAGGGGAGTGAGCTCGTGATGCTGGACAGCGGGGGTAGGGACGTGCCCGTACCGCTGGAGGAGGACCAAGAAGTGGCGCTGGAAGGTGGGAGGGCGGGTCGACCCGCGTGACCTGGTCCCGTCGCCGCATAGTATCCGAAGGCAAAGGCATCGTCCATGCTCCTCACCTCGCTCTGCCCGCGAGCCCATTGCGCGCTCAGTCGGCGGTCGGATGCGGGCGGCGAGTAGGAATGAGGGCCGGGAGTACGATAGGCATGGTGGTGGTGGTGGTGGTGGTGGTGGTGGTGCTCCAAGGGCGGCACCCCGCTAGTGGAAGCAGCGCGACGTAGCGAGTTGGACCTGGACCGTGTGAGGGGACGTTTATCCCTGAGCTCGTCGGTGAGGGATGACAGCGATGGGAGTGTGGGTGCAGTAATGTCGCGTGGGACGAGCGGGGGTAGACGGTCGGCTACGAAGGAGGGGAGGCGATTGGGCGTGTCTCGGCTGCCATCGAGGCGGGGGAGGGGAGGGCGATCCGACGACGAGGAGGACGACAACGCTGAGTCGGCGTTGCTCTTTGGCATGGCGGCCCCGTCGTGGGGCGGCGTGGAGCGTGGCGTGAGAGGAGACGGAGGAGGAGCAGGGGAATAGGGAGCGAGTGGGGACAACGATCCGGCGGCGTGCTGCGTGCGTATGGACTTGATTAGGTTCGAGTGCGATGGGCGCCTCGCCTTCTGTGGTGTGATTAGAAGGGGACGATTATGGGCGGGCGGCGAGTGGGCGTCGACGATTGTGATTGCGGGCGTGTGTGCGGACGTGCGTGCGGACTTGCGTTGCCAGGAACGGCGAGGAGACGGCGAGGAGGGAGGTGATCCACTGACTGTGAGAGCAAAGGGGGAAAGGCGAGGGCGGCGGCCAGGAACGTGGTGCTTGCGTGCGTGCGAGGGGCGAGGGGGAAGGGCGCGTGATGGTGGTGGTGGCGGTGGTGGTGATGGCGGTGATGGCGGTGATGACGACCTCGCACAGCACGGCACGACGTCCAGTCCACGATGACGAGTGGGTGGGTGGGGTGGGACGGGTGGATGAGAGACGGAGCGGGCTTTGGGCGGCAGCAGCAAGTCGCAACTCGCTGTGCGCCTGCCTGCCTGTCTGTCTGCCTGCTGCTGCGCCTGCGCCTGCGCCTGGTTCCGCTCGGTCGGTGTGGGAACTGCCCGCCCTGCGAGTGCGAGCGCGATCGCGAGCGCGACCCGCGGGACAATCGCTTGGCTGTCTGGGCAAGGCGAGGCGAGCAAAAAGAGCGAGGCGAGGCCGAGTCGGGCGAAGAGAAGGGAGGCAGGCGCAATAAAGTGCGAGAGAGAAAAAGGTTGGGAAAAGAAGCAAGTGATCGGCGGGCGGCGGCGGCGGCGGCGGCGGCGGCGCTGGTGCTGTCAGCGAGGTGCGACGCGCGACGTGCGACGCGCGAGGTTGGGCGAGCGATTTCGGATGAGATCGAGGAGCGAGATTGGCGACGCCGCGGCGAGCTAGTCTAAGTAAAACTCAATTCATGGCGGCGCGTGGCAGTATTGCGTGGTGAGCGTGCGTCGTGACCAGCCTACGAGCGTGCGTCCCGAACAGCCTACGAGCGTGCGTCCCGAACAGCCTGACATCGCATTGCTCGCCGGGCCTCACTGATTGCTACTCCACGCTGCGCCGCGCCACGTCACGCCACGCCTCGCCTCATCGCCGCTTGTACAAACAAGGCTGCAACACTCTCCTGCCCTCCTCCATCAGCTCCACCCTCTGCGCCTCGACCCCCTCGCACCTCTTGACCTTGAACCGCAGCAGGATGAAATGCGTGTTCCCGTCGTCCTTGCCCAGCAGCGCGAACCCGCAACGCTCCACGAGCGCCACGAATTCGTCTACATCGCTCAGTCGGCTGCTTACCTCGGCGATGACAAGTCGTCCCTGCGGGGAACGCAGGACTCGCCGTGCCTCGAGGAGCATTCCCACCCAATCTGTGCCCATGAGACTGAGGCAGAAGACGGCTGCGTCCGCAATGGCGGGCGACGAGGGGGCGGGCGACGAGGGGGCGGGCGACGAGGGGGCGGTGAGGGTGCCGGGTAAGGGCACGCCGCCCTCACGCGCGCAGTCCACCCCGCGCACAACGCCGTCTGCCGTATCGAGCAAATCGTACGCCGCCACGCGCGCCTTGTCACCCAGATAACGCGTGAGTGGCCCTTCTCCCGCTCCCAAGTCCACCACGAGCGGCGTCGTTCCGGCGCACATGGCGAGGACTGCCTGCCCGCAAAGCTCGTAAGGTTTGGCAGGCCACTTCTTTACCTGCTCGCGGAACCCGTCGTGGTAGGCTTGCATGCGGGTGGGGTCTTCTTGAGCGGCGAGGAAGGAGGAGGAGGAGGGGGAGGTGTAGAGCTCCTCGTTGAGCTGGCGAAATTGGGCGCCTTGCAGTTTGGCGTGCAGCGCCGTTTGGTGGGCGGAGCGGTGCGTGGTGGCCGCGAGGGGCGTAGGGAGTTGGGCGGAGGGCGTGAATGGGGCGAATGAGGGGGCGGGAGCGGGCGGGTGAGACGAGGCGGGGAGGGATGAGCTGGATGGCTCCTCGCCCGTCTGCCCCGCCTGCCCAGCCTGCACCGCCTGCCCCGCCTGCTCTTCCATTCTTCGCTTCTTTGCCAGTTTCTTGCGCTGCGACTTGGACAGGTGCGTGACTTCCATCCCTGGCGGTTGCGCAGGCGATTGCGCGGGCGATTGCGCGGGCGATTGCGCAGGCTTGGCAGACTCATGACCTCCACCCGCGTCCGAGCCATTCGCTGCTCCATTCGCTGTCGCATCTGCCGCAGCTTTCTTGCCCGCCTTCTTCCCTGGCTTGACAGCAAAAGGGTCCACCCCGCCCGCCCCCGCTCTCTTGCGCTTCCTCTCTGCTCCCTTTGTCTCCTCCTCCTCCTCCTCCTGTTCCTCATCCGCATGCTGCAACGCCTTGCGCTTCCCTGCCTTCCCCTCACCATTCTCGGCCGTCGCCCTCTTGCCCAACCTCCCCTTTAGCCTCGCATCCTCGACGCTCAGCCTGCCCGCGCTCTGATCAGGCCCTGCTGTAGCGCCGAGCCCGAGGGTGGGGGGACGATGTGTGAATGGCGTCTGCGTTTGCGGGGCGGCGGCGAGCTTCTTGGCGGATGACGGCGAGGAGGAGGAAGAAGAGGGGCCGCCCATTCGTGCGAGGATACGGTCAGCGAGAGCTGCACGATCCAGTGAGAGTTGGGCCTCTAGATCGGCCAGGTCGCCAGACATCGTTGCGCGAGTGGAGTGAGGAGTGGGATGCAGCGACGGGAGTGAAGAGAAGGGGGAGCGGAGCGGGCAAGAGAGGGAGGGGACGGATAGACGGACGGACGGGCGGGCGGACGGACAGGGCAGAAAAATCAAGAGGCACACACGCGGTCCTGAGCGAAGAGCGGCGGGCGAAGAGCGGCGAGGCTAGACAAGCTTATTGGCATGAGTCGGTGAGGCGAGCGAGACAGATCCGCAGCAGTTTCTGTCGTGGAGTCGCCATCGAGGCTGGTATCAGGCGCGAGCCGTGGTCAGATCGGGAAACGCTTATGTTATTTGCCTATTTTTCTCACACTGCCATTATGGGAACATAGTGTAGTGGTAGCATGCGTCCTTCGGGAGCCTTCTCTCGAAGAAAATGGACGAGGTCATCGGTTCAATCCCGGTTGTTCCCCTTTTTTTGCGATTTTTCAGCATCAGTCCAATCCCGGTTGATCACCGTACTGCAGAATGCAGTCGTAGCGTCTCCTTTTGCTCGCTTTACCATGGCAATGACGTGTGTGTGCCATCTGAAACTCTGTGACGGCCCTGTGCGCGCGCGCGCCCTGTCTCCGCCGGCGGTGCACGGTCAGGCTGAGCGTGGCGATCTCCCTGCCCTCGTGTCTGAACAGCAGTACGACGGCGGCCGATGACGCCGAGGGACGAGTGAGGGCCGTGTCGATGCGCTGGTGTGAGTAGTAGATTGTCGCCAAAGAGATCGCGCGACTTGACGGTAAAGAAGATCTTGCCGGGTCGGCAAAGCCCGTCGTACGATGTGCGTGCTCGTCTGCGCTCCCTGCGCTTCCTGCGCCTCAGTTGGCCGCAGTGTGGACGGTGTTGATCCAGCCAAGAAGAGTCCTTGACAGCGGTGATGAATATTAGTGACAGGCGTCCCGATGAGGCGGGTGATTCGCGCGTACGCATGGCGGCGTGCAGCTACGCGTGACGAGCAGTGCAGGGCGTGCGGTGAGGACGGGCATTGACAAGAGGAAATCTCGCGACGTGCGGCGAGCGCCTGTTTCGTGGTGATGGTAAGGAGGAGAAGACGTAGCATGGACGAGGGAGCAGCGCCGGCTTAGGTGATGGGTAGTCAGGAGTAGAGAGGTCCAAGCGCGAGGGGCGCGAGCGGTCGTGATCAGGTCGTGACACTCGCGTCGGGGCGAGATTGACATCTCATCACTCGCGTTGGAGTCAGCATGACATGTGATCATTCTACTTCTCATCATCCTCGCCACGCATCTCCTCATCACTTCGCCACGCATCTCCTCATCATCGCCGCCACGCATCTCGACCACACACACAGGTGAGTGCGAGGGTCACGGGGCCGAGCGGGCAGCGGGGGTGCGCGCACCACGACGAGGTAGCATGCTGCCTGGCCATCGCACACGCGGCTTCACAATCGTATCGCAGCCCCCCAACGCGAGTGGTAGCGCAGAGCCCGTCGGGACAGGTGCCCTGCAGGGAAGCTCGATGGCCCAGGGCTGGCCAACATGCGGAGTACCTCCCTGGGGCGCGGGTGGACTTGACGGGGTATACCACCGGCGGGCGATGAAGGCGCAGCGAAACGTCCCGACTCTCAACGCATGATAAGAACCACGTCAGCCCAAGCGCTAGACGCGCGACGCGCGATGAAGTCGTATTCATTTGCAAGTCGCGCATCGCTGCGGAAAATCTCCCGTTATCACGGAGTCCCCACCTGAGTACGTGGGGAGTCGGGGCGTCGACGCCGCAGCTACCTCGCGCCGCGCTCACTGGCCCCAAATCTCGACGGTCTGCGGTGCATTGTCCGCACTAAACACCTCCGGCCACGTACAGTCATCGCTGCTCGCTACGTAGTAGCAGTCGGCCTTGTCGCCATTTTCAGCTCCGTTCAACCCAATGCATACCGCCTGATCCTCACTGTAGCAACCGCCGGGCTCCAGCCTTCCCCAGCTTGTCCCATTTCCTGGCGGGCAGCCGGCGCGAAAGCGTAGGATCCCGCGATTCAAGTTGATGTACCCGAGGTCGGCGACGACGACGTCTCGACCGATGTCGCGATCCTCGCAGTGCCATTCGACGTGCGTTTCGTCGATGCGCCGCGCGTGGGCGACGCAGAAGTTGCCGTACCCGTGGTTCTCGGGCGAGTCGGTCCAGGGGCGCCAGGTGCAGATGAAGATGCCCGCGCGTGCGGTGCGGGCGAGGAGCGCGAGGATGAGCAGGAGCTGCATTATGCGATGGTGTTTGGCGGAGATGGTGGTCGAGGAGGTGAAGAAAGGCGGCCCAGCGTCAAGCGCGTAGACGCCGGAGAGACAAGGTGGGCGGGTGGCGCGGCGTGGTCGCAAAGCAGCGTGAGGACGTCGTGAACCACGCCTCTCGGCGTGATGCCTTTTCTCGTGGGCACTGGGCACGAGCGTAATGCCGTGGCGGCGGGCAGCAGCGATTCGCGTTGATCGTAGGCTGGCCCACGTGGCAAACGCGCCGCACGGGCCGCGAGATCGTTGCGTCGCGACGGGCCTGCGCCTCGTCGGCGTCTTGCGTGCGTCCGTTTCTCTCCCTTCATTCGTCCGCATCCCCACCATTCCCCGCGCGCGCGTTGGAGGCGCAGAGCAACCACGTCGTGCGCAAAGCAGGCACGTCCTGCGATCAAGGTGCTCGCATGCGGGGGAGCGAATGATGAGCTAAGCCGGCGCTACCGCGTGGCGCGCCGGCTTCGCGAAGGGCGAAGGGCGACGCGCCAAGATCTCCACGCAAGGCGGCTCGCTCGATCTTACTCCTCACCATGTCACCCCACGAAGGAAGTCAGACCAGCACGCTCCGCCTCATCCTCGGAGCTGGTCGTATACCCGCGATGGATGGTCTACGCAAACGCTCTACGCCAACGCTGCACGCAAATGATCTACGCGAATGCTCTGCGCAAGCTTCCCAACCCCTTCTTCCCTCGTCCGCGCGACTGCTCGACTACAACATCGCCGGAGAGAATGCCACTTCGACTACGACATCATCGTTCGCTCTGTCCAAGGGACGGCAAAGAGGCGACCTCAGCTCCAAGCTCGAGCACGACGGACGGCATTCGCCCCTCAGCGATCCTTGATCGCAAGACTCGCGAGGCCGGCCGAAGAGCTCGGGTCGCCGAGTCGATCTCGAGGCTGAAGCGGTGTTGACATGGAGACTTGAAGCAAGTCCGAGAAGAGCTTCGCAAAGGGAGCAGCGCGAGGCAAGCGTATCGCAGCGAGACATTGTCCACCACGTCGTGTCGTGGGGCGGGGGCGAAAGGAAAGGACAAAGGAACGTCGCTCGGTCCGGCGTCGGGCACGCCTGCCTCGCAAGCGACATGCAGCATCGCCTGCCGCTGAGAGTACGTCGGCGACCGTCTGGTCGTGGCATCGCAAGCTCGGGAAGGACAGCAAGCGCTTGCCAGACGTATCATCGCCATCAGGCTGGAGGAGCATCGCGATCAGGCTGGAGGACATGTTAGGCACGTCTTTGCTCCTGGATGCGGGCACGGAGAGAGAACAAGCGGGCACGAATAGAGAACAAAGGAACATCGCGAGGGCACCTGGACAATCAGTGGGGTGACGAGCGCGCTTCACACGGTGTCGCGGGCGCATCAAGGAATTGGGATACGACTTCGGGAAAAGCTGGCGTTCGCTTCTGCCCAACGGTGGGCGAGCTCCCTGCTAAGCGAAACAGCCATTGAAGTGTTGAGGCGACGGTGTCTCGCACCTTGCCTCCCATCTCATCCGGCCAACGCAACGCAACGCAACGCGATTCAACTCGCCTCATCTCATCTCGACACCTTTGCGCGCAACGCCTCGACACCTCGACATCTCTCCCCGTCAGCCTACTCCTGCTTTCCTCCCCTTCTCATCAGTCTACACCGCCGAGATCTCGGACTCGTCCCTGGCGCGATACAGTAAGGCAAATGGCTCTCGGTCGCAAGATCAGCAAGGATGGCCTCAACCAGCTTTTCGCGCCAATGTGCATAGGAGTCGAGGTAGAAGCACGCCGATAAGGGCAGGGCGACTACTCGGACAGGAGGGAATGTTGGTTGCGCGCAAGCCTACCAGTGTGAAGCAGCGTTCTGTGGCAGCGATGGGAGCCTGGCCCGAGTCTGACAAGGAGTGGAGCCTGGCCTGACTTTCTCACCAATCTCGCACCTCTCGCAACTCTTGCATCCCTCGCGCCCTGCACCCCTCGCAACTCGCATCCCACTTCGCTCGAACAGCCTGTCGGCTTCACATCAGACGAATGGACTCACCCACCGTGTACGGTCGAGACTTCCGCCAGCTACCAAGGTGCTGGCCGCCCGCAACGCATGCCCGAGGCTTTGCTCCATCAAGCTCTTCAAGCACGAGGCCGGCGAAGGACCTTCTCCCGACGTCAAGCACCAAGGGTCCTGCACCGAGCTCCAAGAAATGGGGCGAGCCAAAGAGCGAGGGCCGGGTCTCATGGTTATTCTCGACACCACTTCATGGCGCAGAGGTTGGAGCACCTGGCAAGAAAAGCGGCCTCGGTCCCCGTCACTGCTTCGATCTAGTCGCAAGACAAACGAAGGCCTGAGACCCGGCTACACACCTTCAGGGTACGCCGCGACGGCCACTCCTCTGCCGCAACCCCCGAGCGTGGCAGCGCGTCCGGCGCAAAACTCACCTCTTATCTCTAGCGATAAGAGCTGGGCGTGCGTCTCTCCGTAGCGTAGCGCTCAGCTGTACATTATAACAGGTGCCTACGAATGGAGGCGTGCGTTCCATCTTCACCCCCTTTCCCTCGCTGGCGATGCGACGACTCGCCACGATGCTAACAAGGATTCAGGCTTGCGGTGTACGGAAGAAGGGGGACTGAGCCGCTGCGCTCGCTGACTTGGGCACGCCGCCTCTACTACTCATACTCAACGCTACGTCTGCGAGACTGGTGCAATCGCGCGAGGATGGTGCAATCGAGCGACAATGGCTTCACGAGCGGCTATGGCGCAAGGAAATGGCGAGCTCAGAGCCGCCCTAGCCTTTCACATCCTTGTCCTCAATGTGCCCGCTCAAGTCGATGGCGAGGCCCTTCCTACGAAGGGCGCCTGACCCCCACGCCCGCGCCGACCTCGCCCTTTCTGCGAACCTAGCCAATGGCGGCTGATCTCGCGCACTCACAAGCATGGTCTACTCCTGGAGCGGCCGACCGAGCGCCGCGCCCGAGCCCAGCGCCCGAGCCGTAGGGCAAAGAGCAATCCGCCAAGCACGCAAAGATGATGGGCAACGCCCCTCGCGCTGGAGATGGGCCGTTTTCTGTCGCAAGGGCTAGGGCGAGGGGTGCCCGCGCGCACCAACCACTCATGGCGTGATAAGCACCGGCAACGGCCGAGCGGGCGTGGGCATCCGGCGTAGGGACCGCCGCAGTGATCGCAGAGACCGGCAAGACTCCTCGCTGGCTGCGTGCGTGGTAGCAAAGGCAATCGCGGTGGTCGGAATCGCGACGGAGAGGCGAGAGGTTGTGCGAAGGAGTGGCGCGAGGTGTGGGTGTGAGAGTGAGAAGGAGTGGTGGCGTAGGGAAGCTGCAACGTCGCGGCAGCGTAGGGAAGCTGCAACGCCAAGGCAGCGTAGGAGAAGCTGCAAGGTAGGAGAAAGTCGGCCCCCCAGCTTCAACGGCGCCTTTCTCCTCAGGGTGGGGCAACGTTGCGTAGAGTTGCGGACGCAGGGCAGGGCGGGGGTCGAAGCTGCTACGGAGCGCGGAAGCTGCAACGCAGGGCACAATAGCGTCCAGAGCTTCGCGCGGGGAGTGCACGAAAGGGCATAAAGAGGGGGCACGTCGAGCCAGCTCCTTGTCAATCCTCCCCACCAACTCGCCCCTCTACAACCTCGTCTCTCTGCCACCCCTCTGCGCGCGATGCCCGCCCTCACCACCACGCGCAAGCCCACGCTCACGCCCACGCCCACGCCCCTCTGCACGGACATGGCCGTCATCGGCTGCGGCGCCAGCGGTCTCGCCTACGTAGACGAGGCGCTCAGTCTGGGCGTCTCTGTCACTCTATCCGCGCACCCTCACCACCAGTCCAACTTGCACAAGATTCTCGACGACGGCGCCCTTGACGTCGTGCGCCACCGCGGTGACGACGCGCCGGTCAAGGCGACGTGGGCGGTGGGCAAGGCAGGCTTCCACATAGCGGATCTCGCACGCGCGCTGCGCTCCTCCGACTACGTGTACCTCGCCATGTCCGCGCAGGGAGACGCGCACTACAACGCGCACGAGGACATGATACGGTGCGTGATCGCGACGGGCGTCGACACGCGGAGCAAGGTGTTTGTGGCGGTGAACGGGCACGAGTTTGCGTGGAAGGCCGATCGGTGTGGGCTGGCGTACCGCGGCGTGGTGACGACGATTGCGTCCTCGTTCGCGTCTCGCATCGCGCGCGACGACACGCGCCTGACGCTGATCAGCAAGGGCAAGAAGGTGTGGATGCTGGGTGGGGTACATCCGCGATGCGAGGACACGCGCAAGCTTGCAAACGCGCTGCAACGCCACGTCGGGGTGACGTACACCTTTACGACGCGCGTCGAGGCGCTCTTTGCTACGACGAACCAGTGTCTGCACCTGCCCATTCTCTTCGCCAACGCATCGCGAGTGGACGCCAAGGAGTCGTTTCTGTTCTACGGCCAAGGGCTGACGCCGAGCGTGGCCAAGATGATCGAGGCGTACGACGCGGACCGCTTCGCGATCCTGCGCGCGCTGGGCTATTACGCCGGCATGTCGAGCAGGGAGACGCTCAATCGCTTCTACGGCTTTGCGTTTCCCGACCTCGTCTCGCTCGGCGTGGGGACGCCCGTGCATAACAAGACGGCGGGAGGCCCGCCCGAGAGGTATGTGAGCGAGGACGGGCGACAGGCGAGGCGTTGGTGCGTGATTGCGAGGGCGATTGGGGTGCGCGCGGACGTGGTGGGCGTGTATGCCACGCAGGCCGTCGTGACCACGGGTCGTGTGAACGCGGAGAGTGAGGAGCAGATTCTGCGCGACTTTGGGATCGAGGGGTGTGGGGAGGAGGAGGCGCGGGTGCGATTGCGCGGCGCCTGAGCGCGGGGGGCGAGACGCAGGATGGATTGCGGGCTGCTCGGGCGCTACACACACGAATCTATAGACTTCTCTGCCTCTCGCCCCCGCCGCGCCTACTTCTCGCTGCCCCGCCCCCGCTTAACGCACCGCGTCACCAGCCTCGCGCCGGCCGTCACAGGCTGACCCAGTCGATGAACCACGGTCGCATACACGACGATGAGCGCGCACATCATCGCGGTGCGAAACGCGGTGTCTTGGAAGCTCGCCTCGCTCACCCACGTCGGCACAATGATGGCCACGTCCTGCAGCAGCACGTTGGCGGCGTTGGTGCCAAAGGTGCGCTCCGCCTGCGCTGCGCTCACGTGCGGGTTGAGCAGGTCCTCGACGCTGCGCTCGAGGTTGTGGAGTGTAAAGAGGACCGCGAAGGCAGCGATGGTCGGGTCGCGCCCGATGACCGAGAGGAATAGCGCTAGGAGCGGGAGAGTAATCAGCGTGAGAGCGCCCTTTTCCCACACGTACACGTTCGGCGTGTCGTCGCGTATGCCCGCCGCGAGGTTGAGGGCATCGCGCAACTGCCCGTACTCCTTGTCTACGAGCGTGCGCGCTTGTTTGGCCCCGTGCGAGGGGTGCGTGGCGTGGCGGACCGTGGCGAGGTGCGTGATGGCCGTCGCGACGTGCGCTTCGAATGTGCGCAACCGCAGGTGCGTGGTGTTGTTCAACTTGACTTCGCCCTGCTCCACGCCGCGCGCATGCCGCTTGTACGCCGCAGCACGCGCCCAGCGTCTCCCGTTGATGAGGACCTTGGCCAGCGCGAAGCCCGGCGCCGCGACGCCGACCGCAGCGGCCGAAAACAGAATCTTATGACGAGCGAACGCACCCGGCATGAGCGTGCCCACCAAGACGGTGACCGTATTGAAGCTGCCATACAGCGCCTTGTCCTCGCTGACCCGAAACGCGAGGTAGTCGGTCGTGAAAGGTCCGAGCACAACCGTCTTGGGTTCGGACAATACGCGCATTACGAGCGGTACCTCGCGCGTGATGAGGGCTCCCTTGCCGAGGCGGGTGAGCGCGAGGAGTGCAACGGTGATGCGGAAGATGGCGACGCACGCGAAGAGCGATCATCATGCGGCGCGGCGTGCGAGGGGCATCGTAGGGCGGGGCAGGACGGCCGCAACGTCGTGGGCGAGGTGGACGCGGATGGCGTTGGGCAGCTTGAGGAGCGCGATGTCCTCGTGGAAGGACCTCGCGTGGGCGTGGAAATGCTGCAGCTCCAGCAGTGCACGCCGCTTGTCGTCGCCGAGGGCGAGCCAGCCGGGTGGTGAAGGGCCAGCCTTGTCGGGTTGGGCGGCAAGTCGCCGCGCATAGTCGATGTAGGCGAATTGCGTGCGGTCGTCGCCCGCCGCGAGGTCGTTCCATAGCGTCGTCTTGGCAATGACACGTCCGGCGCGGGTTGACTGGATCGCAGACTCGAGGCGGGAAGACGCGCAGAAGTAGGCGCGCAAGAAGGCGTTGAGCAGGAAGCGGTCAGGTGGGAGCGACGCGGGCGACATGATGGGGTGGTGGTGGTGATGGAGTAAACAGGAGAGTCCGCCGTCCAGACCACGCCGAGAAGCCATTGCGGCGGGAGGATGGAGGTCTTGCCGGCCATGAACGTGCCTGAATGACTGCGCGGCGAGGGGCGTCTTCGCAGCAACATCTCGTCAGCACGGCGGTCGCCATTCCTTCCTGCACTCACCACGCGGCGCGCAACCGCAGTAGCAAGCCATGTCGCGGAAGAGTAGGTGTTGATGCGGCAGGGCGCAAGGATGGCGGGCGAGAGGGGGAGTATTGGCGGCTCTCAAGCACGCGCCCGTAGCTACAGCCAGCCGATTGATTTTGCGCCAAAGTAAGCGTCCTGCTCGGAGACCCTTGGGGTACCCTTTGCTCTCTGAATACGATAGCGACTTGAAAATTGGATAGGGGGATTGCGGAGCCTCGGCGGCTGTAGCGGACGGGAGGGGTGAGGCGCGCCGAGAATGGAAGCAGGAGCCACCTACATCGCGACGGCGTCCACGTCGACATCGCGCGCGGCCGATCGGGGGCCTGCCATCCCACCCGACAGGACGAGGCGAGGCGAGGAGGACATGCGCTTTGGAGGTGACTCGCTGCGAGAGGAGGGATGTGGACGGGAAAGGTGTCGCGGTTATACGGAGGCGTGCCCTGGCGGAGGGTTGGAGAGCGATGTCGAGTCATGAGTCTTGATCGATGAGCTCGCGACACACCGTCGATGCAAGCGACCAGGGCTCGAGCGAGCTATTGAGAAGAGGAGGCCAGTGAGTGGGCTAGGGGCAAGCGACGATGAGGCTCTTGACGCACACAGCGAGCGACTCGAGTGCATGCTGCTGGCATGGACACGTACCCCAACCAACACTCGAACGCTCGATCCGCTTCGCTTTCGATCCGTAACGAGAGTGACGGAACCTGAGTAGTGATGGTCTGGGAGAGGGCGCGACGGCTGGCGTCGCGTCACGTGCCGGCCAACGGCTGCCAACGGGGCCTGGCAAAATTTCCGGCTTATCACAACGACAGTTTGGCCGAGTGGTTAAGGCGCATCCCTGCTATTTATCTAGAAATAGCATTATGCTTACGTAATCGAGGATGTTGTGGATCACAGCGCAGGTTCGAGTCCTGCAACTGTCGAAAAAAATTTTTGGGCCTTTTTTTTCGACCTTGCTCCGATCAGATCTTTCTCATTTTTGTTGTGGTGATGCTCTTGGACAGGAACTTTCGTTTGACGCAAGAATCAGCTCGATCGGAGCTCTGCTCGCGGCGTGACACGCGATGGCGCGAGGGGCGTTTTGGCCGGCGAAGCGCGCCGCAGCCCGCGTATCCGTTCGGGCGGGAGTTGCTCGCGCGGGGCGCGACGGGGATGGGTGGTCGGCGAAGTCAGAATACACTCACGGACACGCCGTCACCACACATCGCAACGATATACAGACTTCTGATGAGACACAACCGTCGAGAATCGCCCGGCTAGCGCGATGATGGGCCGGACGCGGCCTTCTGCCTGGCTGCGCGCCTGGGAGGCATCCAAGCTCGAGCTCATCCCCCCGGCCTTGCCTCGCTTTGGCTTGCCTTGCCTGCCTCGCCGCACGACACAACGTAGGGTCGGTAGGTGGCCCGAGCGGCATACAGCTCGACGACGTCAGTCCGTGAAGCAAAACGAAGGTGCCTTTCCTGCTCTCGGTCTGTTGCACGCCGAATTTGACAGTCTGGCCTGCTCTCGCCCCTCTTCCCTCCCCCTGCTCTGCTCCGGAGTCCCTTTGCCAGATAGCTCCGGCTGGAGTCAACATTCAACGTGAGTGATGGCGAGCTTCCGTCGACTGGCGGTGCAGTGCCTGCGCGCCGACCTGGCGTGGTGCGGTCAGGATGTGGATGGACGAGGTGGATGCATGCGCGCCGTCGATCCCGATGATGGTGGCGAGGGGCGCTGACGCGTGACGCACGAGCATGAATGCGCGTCGATGCGATGCCAGCTACATCGTGCCAGGGCGCTCTATGGGCCAATCGACTGCGACATCGAGATGGTGGTGAGGAGGGGCGAGCGAGGGAGGACGTCGGCCTGCATAGTCAGCCGGAAGGACCGGCGTACGGCGAGGACGAGAACATCTTCCTCCGCGCGGAATCAGTGTCACGTGGCCTGGTCCGTGCGTGGACCCCCGCATCCGCACGTCCCCGTGGGTGCCTGCCGTGCAATCTCACTTCGTTTCGTTCCTGACCAAAGCATCCTAACTCCGCGTCGCATCAACGACACAACGAGTCATCCAATTACTCATCCGCCCGCCGCTGAGCTGAGTGATTAGCCAGGCATCACGGCAGAGGCACGGCGGAGCAGAGACTCGCCGCGAGCCAGCCAGCCAGCCAGCGACGTCGACGTCGAGCGAGCCTCTTGACCAGAGGGCGAGCTTGGTTGATCGTTTCTCTCTTCCCTCCCTCTCCATTCAATCTCCCCTTCCGCAGCATCTCATCCCGCTCAACATCTGCTCAACTGTCATCAGCCTTATTCCCTTATTCCTGGCTCGTCATCACCCACCTCGTCTGCTCAGCAGCACGCTCGACATCGCTTGCTCAGCACCAGGGCGCCGGGTGGGTGATGAGCGGGCGTGTGGCTCTCCTCGCCTACTCTCCTCAATCCCTCGCCTCGTTGCATCCTCTCTATCAGCTCCGTAAGTACGTTGCGTTGCTCAGACCTGTAGCTAGCTACTTGATGACCTTGCATTTATCCTCCCCTTCGTCGTAGGCTCCCACTTCCCTGAGCCTCTTCGTCATCTCCATTGAGATTCATCCCTTGCTGAGCATCGTCGAGTCAAGGCAATCCACCCTGGCGTGCCATCGCAATCGTCGCGCACGCCAGCACTCAGCATCGAGAGGATGAACGGCCTCAAGTCGCGAGCTCGCTCCCACCCCATCCCTCCAAGGTGAGTCAGAGTTGCGCACACCAACGGCCGCACCAGCACCCACGCTAGGCTGAGGCTGACTTGGCTTCTCTACTCCCTCCTCGCTCGCAGGCCTCGTCATCATCCATTGCGACCTCACCACCCTGGCTGGCACGACGAGATGGAGAGCAAGCCAAGCCAAGGCTCTCTCACCAGGCATTGTGCCCCCTACCTCAGCACCACGGAGATGAGGATCGATTCTCTCGACTCTCACTACCAAGTGAGTGGATGCAACGAGCCATTACATCCGTCGACCATCAGGGCTTGACTTCGACTGACCTTGCCTCGCCCTTGCTCTCTCCCTGGCAGGTCCGCTCCTCCTTGTGTTCGCTACCACTACCATGTGGGTCGCGGGAGGCATCAGGCTGTACTTGGTGAATGAGCGCAACCGTGAGCACGCAAAGCCTACGCAGTTGGTGACCATTTCCTCATTTGTGTTCTCACACCTTTCCGCGCTCGCAGGCTCCTTCTGGGTCGCGCGCGCGCACGCACACACGCACGCACGCACGCACCCGTCCACCCTCTTCAACTTCTCTACGGCTCGCTTCCTCTGGCGTCGCCGCTGGCATGGCCTCCTCTCCTCGGGGCAGAGCCTGCTCAATCCACGAGTAGTGAACCAACGATGGCATCCTCTCCCGGAGCAACTTCTGCGCCTTCAACGCACCGCACACCGCGCACCGGGGCCAGATGGCTTCGACTCGACTCGGCCTCACTCGTCACCAGAACAAGCCAGGGCAGAAGATCACCCTTGCCCACCCTCGCTCTGGAAGTGCGCGTGTCAAGCGCTGAGGTCAAGTTGAGCTTCCTCTACGGAGGCAAGGGCGATTCAGCAAGCGCCTCCACTCTCCGACCACCAAGCTTCGGCTGAGAAGGAAGAACACTAACGCTTCCACCTCGACTGAGCCCGCCCGCCCTCCTCCTCGCCTATCGACACCAACCTACCGCACGACTTCGGGCGCTCATCCTGCCCTTATGTTGTCCAACACCAACCTCGCCTAGGACAACCTCGCCTACGTAGTCAGCTTCGCAGCACTCGCCTCAATCACCACGCTCACCTCGACCAACACCACTGACGAGCCGAGCACTCCTGCTCTTCCTCCCGTCATCACCGAGAACGTCGAGCCCACCCCCGAAGCCGCCCCTGCCTGTGCGGCCGAGAGCTCGCCGCTCCAAATCCCTGTCCCGCCGAAGATCCCCTTTGCCCTTCCCTACTACACCTCATACGCAGCAAACGCAGTCCCAGCTGAAATCACGCTAGCCCCCAGAGTGGAGCCCCACTTCTGCCCGGGCTTTACCAGCTCGCGGTCAGCGTCTGGAGGAAGTACCTCGCCAAGTACAGCGTGACGGTGGACTACGTCACGAGTGGTGACCTCTGCCTTGTCGTGCTGGATGGGCAAATCCGACGGTGATGGCTCAGATTGTGAGCGTGCACTGACCTTAAGGCGTGTCCCTGCGATTGCGTAGTTAAGGATGTACGAATCTGCGCGCAGGTTCCAATCATGCAGCTGTACCATCGCAATTGAATGATGTCTTTGCATCGTAGACGTGAAGGCCCTTCGATCAGCGCTTGCTATAGCATCAGCCTGCGCGGTATGCCCTGAAAGAGATGGCTGCCCATCGAGATTTGCTGTAGGCGCCTTCACCCCGTCCAGCGGCCGGCCGTAAACCAATGCAGCCTATGCCGAGCAGAGGGAGAGCAAACTATCAGACGTGAAGTGCGAGAGCATGGGATCGTAGTTCTTCTGGTTCTATGCGGCTGAGCAGCACAGCGAGTGATCTTCTACGATATCGTCCGCAGCCCACACGCTCGACTCCGAGGTCGACACCCTTCTGTCTCACACCGCTTCTTGCACCGCCTCCCACTTGTGCTGCGCTTCCTTTGCCTCGCTTTTGATTCTTCTGCTGTCTTGGTACATTTTTGCTGCCACACTGACGTCTTTGAGTCTGATGACAAGTCGAAAATCCTGCCTCCTTCCGAATTCGTCTTTCTTCTTACTCCCGCTCTGGCAGCGCCGTCTGCAAGGCATCCGCGGCATCGTGTTGCGGCGCTGCGGAAGCAGCCTGGACTTGCGGCTGCCGTGATTTCCATTCATGCATGCTTATTGCCCGATACCGCAGACTTTGACGCATAAGAGCGATCGGATGTTGAGCACAAAAATTGCCATCTTCATTAGAAGGAGTTTGTACAGCGATGGCGGCTGTAAGCACTCAAGAATGGCGCAATGAAGATACTTCCGCCCTTGAGAGGGTTGCGACGTGCGGCTTCCCGGCACCTGCCGCGCCACTTCTTAGCTTATCACTCGTCGAGAAGCGCGCCTCACACCGCGTGGAGCCATGATTGCAGACTGCTGTCTTCTTCTCGCCCCGCCTTGTCACCCTCGCCGCCATGCGGTGCGACACACGAAGAGTGAAAAGGGGCCGGCAGCGGTGTGAAGCTGTCCTTTCAGCTCCTATTATTCCAGGCCAAGCCGCAAATCATTCTTCCACGCGGCGGCCCGGTCAAGGACGCAGCAGCCGCAGCCGGCTGCATGAGGCTCGGCTTCTCCTCTTCACCACTCAGAAGGTAGCATATCAATTTGTCGTCCCAAACGCCTGCGCTAACTTGCCGACGTCTTCGATGCTCCCGGATGGCTTCGCCTTTCGGTCGCAGCTGTTCAAAGTGATGACGCCCACAAGACGGCGAGCTCCCGGGCAATGCTGGCACAAGAAGGGTGCGACCATTCGAGCGATTTTGATCATCGTCTACTTCTTGCCTTGTCTGCTTTGCCTCTCTCGTTCGTTTGCGTTGCCTTCTTGTTGTTCTCCCTGCGTTTTCGGAGTCCCATTGTCCTCTACGCCTGATCCCCTTCTGCCGTCTCTGTGACTGATACGACCTTCTCTCTCTCCCCTCCCGATGCAGGTTCCTTGCGAGGCACTAGGCTACACAATCATCAATTGGGGTGCTTCATTTGACTGTCGAACTTTCTGCATTCGCTCATTCATCGAACTGGCTCGCTATGGTAGCTGCGAGATGGTGTTGGCAACGCAACGTGTGCCCAACATCATCACCTTTCAAGTGAGAAAGGGTCATACTGTACCAGGCGATCGTGAAGGGCCACATGCATTTCTCTCTTCGCACCTCACCCGGTGCTTCTTCGAGATTCCTCTTGCCGCAGACGATGCGGATCGGGCAAGATAGTGTAGGCTGATGAATGAACAAGGCGGTCAAGACCATAGCTGGGTTCACTCCAGTCGACAAGGGAGGACGCGCTTCGAGAAGAGTTGCACAAAGTGAAGGGGTATCGCATTGGAGATGTTCTTATCGTCTTCGTTCCAGAGGTATCGCAGTGAGGTTGCTTTGGATATCTTTGCCGTACTCGCCGTTCCCGTCGTATCCACCGTACCCACCGTACCCGTCAATCCCACCAACTTCTTCGCTCTTGCCTTCCCGCCTCTGCTTGTTATCCGAGGACGTTGAGTCCTTGCGCTGATCTGCATTCTCGATCTTCCCGCTCCTACCAGCTGCAACGCCAGCCTATGGTACCTGTCGCCATCTTTCTCCTCGTATCTCTGCCCCGACCCTGCCTCCTCGATCGAACAGCGACCACCTCTGAGCTCGCTCCGCCGCATTTGCGTGTTGAGTGGGCCGATGACTTTGCGAGCCACTCTGCCGACTTGGCGGCTATTGCGGTGCTGAGCTCTTTGGTGTCGATGATGATCTTCTTGAGCTGGGGATGGAAGCGCCGAAACTGGTCAGGACGAGGTAGCGGTTGACGGTTGGTGATGTCAACGGCGGATGAGGAGGTAGAAGACGCCCTGCGTGTCGAGGTGATCTCGTCGAGACTGGAAGAGCCGACCTCGCCTGGTGAGGAGGAGACGTTGCGGGGTCTCGCATCGATGACACTGGTGAAACAAGTGGCTTGATCTTTGCCTGTCCATCGAAGCGGTGAGATGCGAGCAGGACGAGTGATGGCGCTTCTTGTGTACTCGAGCTCATCTACTTTGATAGTCCATGCTTGTGCGTGGTGCTTGTAGTGGCAGAGAGTTCACCTTGTAGGGTGCGGCGCTTTGCGTCCAATGTAGAAGTCGATGCTTGTGCGTGGGGCTCGTAGTGGCAGAGAGTTCCCCTTGTAGAGCGCGGCGCTTTGCGTCCAACGTTGGGCAAGCTCGATGTGAGTGCGGTGTGAATCGCCCATCAGGGCACGAGGCACACTGAGTTGGGAAGGGATGAGGAAGGGCGCTCATGGGCAGGAGAGAGGTGCGGCTGATGGAGTGGAGCGAGTATTGGTCGAAACCAAGAAGGAGGGAATCAAGGCATTCGCTCCTCTTCCACGCTTGTTGCTTCCCGCTCTCGTATAGGCTGTTGATTAGCATGACTCGAGTAGCGCTGCAATGCGCTCCCCTCGGGCTGCCTGCTGGCGTCGTGAAGCGCTTGGGAGCTCGAGATGGACTGAAATGACGAACAAGTAGCTCGCTCTCGACAACGGCGGCGCGAGTCGTTGCTGGTGGTCAGGCCGTGGGTGTAGCGGTGAGGGGGGAAATAGTGATGGAGCGGATGGAGAAGAGCGGCGGGGCAAACGAGTCCAGAGCGAGCCGCTGGATGTCGTTGCGTAGTTCTCCCGCAGGTGATTGCTCTGACGGCAAGTAATGGTGTGCCTAACTGTGCTGCCGCCCTTCATCATCGAGCTCGAGTTGATGCATCGCCGAATGGCAGCGTGTGTGCGTATGTCCTGAATCAATCATCATCCCATACCCGGCTTGTGCTGCATCGTTGGAGCGAGTGGTTCATGGTTCGAGCTTTGAGAGGTGGGCTGGCGGTGATCGTTGTGGGCGTGAGGGGAGGCTGGGCTACTACCATGCCATCGAGTCGAGATCAGCTGTGCGAGTGAGTGCATGATCTGACCAGAGTGTGCACCCTCGGCTTTGCTTGGACATCGCTGAGCTGGATCCGGGCCATCGACCATGTCTGCCGATATTGCGGTCTGAGTTGGGGTTCGGTACCATGGACCTCATGACAGGGGGGGTGACGAGGCATTCTGGACAGGGCAAGGTGCTGGATGGAGCAGCGGTCCTCGCCATGCCAGCACAGCTGCTAGACTTGTGGGTCGAGTGGGCCGAGTGCAGGTAGAAGATGGAGAAGGTAGAGTTGGGAGGGTAATCGAGGATCATTGCGACCTCAAGCACCGGCCGAGAAGCAAGCGGACATGAGGTTGAGTGGGTTGTTGGATCCATTGTGGGGTGTTGGATCCGTTGTGGGGTCGAACGAGGGAGTCGCAGCCCAATGAGCCGTTGATTGCAACTTGATTGCGAGGCTCGAGAGATGCCAGGCGAGAGGTGGCCTGGATGCAAGCTTCGGTAGTCCCGTGGAGACTGTATGCTCTCGTCTCGGCGTTGAGAATGCTGGACCTGAACCTCGCATATGCCGCTAGTGAAGACGTAGAACGTAAGGACGTAAGGAGTCGAGGAGTCGATGTGGTCGAAGGGACCAATTGGAAGTAGGGTATGGGGAGAAATGCCGAAGGTGGCGAAAAGAGGTCAAGTCGAGGGTGTGGAGGGAGAGTCGAGGGTATTGAGGGCGTGTCGAGGGTATCGAGGACGGGCCGAGGGTATTGACGGCGAGTTAAGAGTATCGAGGTGGTGAAGAGGTGTGGAAGAGGGAGAAGCGGACGAAGCGCAAGGCTTGAAGAGGGAGAGTAGTGTAGAATGGGGAGGGGTTCGTCGTGAAGAGGAAGAAACGTAGAGGTTGAGGAGGTGGCGTCGTGGGGGGGTGTGTTGAGAGAGAGTTGGAGAGGTCGAAGAGAGGCGAGTGGAGTGGTAGAAACTGGAGAAAGCGACCGCTCGAAGATGAGGAGAGGCGGACGAGGTAGAGTCGTGGGATCGTGGAGATCGCAGAACAGATGAGGAGGCGGAGTTGTAGTAAAGGGAGGAGAGGAAGGGAGGACGATGGAGATTATAGCGTCCGCGAAGCGGATGAAGGTCTTGATGATGCACGAGGGGTTGAAGTGGGTCGAGATGGACGAGACGAAGCTCGCAGATGGTGAGAAGGGAAGAGGAGTGGAAGAGACGGGAGTGGACCAAAGCAGAGTTGGACTCGGCTTGATTGGCGTCTCGAGCGATTTGATGCTGCGCGCCGCCGGCTCCAAATGGTTGGCCCTTGAGCTGGAAGACGCACTTGATAGATGGGCCTGAATTCTTTGTGTGCGTTCGAGTAATACGTCATGATGGATGCGGAATGATAGATGCATGGGTGGCTGGCGAGGCAGGGAGGAGGAGGTGCTCAAGAGGACAACTTGCTTCTGGCGCTGCACATCCAGTCCCAGAAGCCAGTGTCGTCATCAACGTCTTTGATCACAGCGTTGATGCCGTAAAGAGTAGGGCGCAGGTTGCTTGCTCGATAGTCGTCTTCGCTGTTGAGACGGTCAATGGAGACGTAATCTATGGGAACGACTACGCCGCAATGAAGCTGCACCTTGTCGCCCGGCGCGACAACCAGCTCCAGCATCATCTTTGTGAGCTCTTGAGCCGATGTCAGCATCTTCTTTACCTTACCTTTGCCTCCCTGTGCTGCCTTCTTCTGCGACTCAAGGCAGCGACTGCCCAAGACGATCTCCTGCTGCTTGCTCCATGCGCGGATCTCGTCAAGGAAGAAAGGCAGCGGAGCGACTTGGGGCAGTTTGGCATCGTTGCGCAAGACGATGCGACGCTGCACGAGGTGCGAGCGGTCAAGTCCAACAGTGATCAGTTGCTGGACGAGCTGACGGGCCTGGGTCTGCGAGAAGTTGCCTGCGCAGAGCGAGGAGGGAAGAGGCTCGAGGTCAGCAGGCTCAGGGAGTGTACTTCCAAGGTCAGACGTCTCACCCTTCAGCGCATTGCAAGCCCAGCAGAGCTGACATAGAGAATGGTGCGATAGGAGGGCAGAAGTCAGTAAGGTCCAGATCGGATGAGGCAGCACGAGTAGGCTGATGTGCTTACCATCTCGCGGTTGGATACCACCCAGTAGGACCCGCCCTCGTGCTCCGGTACCACCCGGTCTAGCGAGGCGTTCCAAGGATGGTACCTGTCCTCGGCGTCGACTTCCTCGTTGCCCTGCTCCCCGTAGGTGATCGTCGTGACTGTTTGCGAGCAGCTCGGGCACGTCTGACTGCGCTGCCAGTCCGCGAACAGCCACTCAGAGAGCTCCCTGCGTGCGTAGACGAAGAAGATGAGCGGGCAGGGTCAGCATTGGGCTAGGCGGGAAACTCGCTGGTCAACTCACTTGGTCTTCTCGTTGCGGTCTCCCTGCGGGGGCTCTCGGGCCGCGGAGTTGCCGGCGAGCTTGTTGAAGAAGGCCCGCACTGATACCCTCGTCCTCTTCTTGACCTCCCTAGCGTGCAACTTCGCGCCCTTGGCCTTGATGTCTGCGCTCTCCTTTGCCTGACGCTTTTCAATGCTACGCAGGATCCCCTCGTTGGCGAAGATGTCGCTCAGCTTGAGGTCCTTGAAGCAGTCCGAGTGATTGGCAAAGAGAACGATCGAAAGAGCCTCCGCGACCTCGAGCTGCGTTGCCTTGGCCTCTTGCACGTACGCCTGAACAGGGCGGCCATGAACGCTCGGCCAGAGGACGGAGAGGATCCATCGCAGCTGATAGGGCGAGTAGGCCTTCATCATGGCAGCGATGCCGTCGACTTCGTCGTAGGAGAGATGCGCAGCGAGGATGCGAGGCTCGTTGCGCTGGAACTCCTCTTTCCACTCCGAGCTGAGGACGGGGGAGGAGGGGAAGGGGGGGGGGAGGGGATACAAGATTAGCCTCATTCGCAGCTAGATAGTACACCTCGTAGTCAAGCAGCTCACTAGTGCCTGCGCTCCTCCCCTTTGACGTTTTCACTGATAGGGCAGACGGTGGAGGGGAATGTCAGCGTTTTGGGGCGCTTGCCCAAGCCTGCATTCAGCGCATCGGTCAGAGAGATGTTCATGTCCAGCTCGTAGTTGAACTGAATGGCCAGGTGAGTTTGAAGGTGAGGTCGAGCGTAGAGGTAAGGCGAGGATCGAGGTGACAATGAGGAGAGTGTCAGCTCGATCTGGATGTCCGCGCTGCTCAGAAGTCTCATGCTCACCATGAGCTTCGCATCAGGCACGTCCATCTCGGCGCACCTCTTCCAAAGCTCCTCCACGACCCATCTGCGCTTCTCGGGGAGCGCTTTGCCCTGAAATCCCCGCGGCGGACCCGCCTCCCCCCAAATGACCTCGACGAGTGTGTCCTTCGAGTAGAGCTGCACGGCACCATCGATCCACTTGTCGAAGATGTCATTTTGCTCCGAATGGCTCAGCTCGTCCGTTCGGTTGGCCAGGTGAATCAGGTCAAGCTGCAAGGCGTGGCGTGCGTAATGAAGGGCTGCCTTTGCGATCGCCGCGTTGCCGTACTTGGTGTACAGAGCACGGTCGTAGCCCCTGCGCAGGAGAAAGAGTTGGTCAGTGCATATTCGCAATCAGGTCTATCGTCCGAACTCACCACCAGATCTGCCCATCGAGCATAACGAGGGGGAGATCGCCATCAAACACGTCCTCGTCTGTCGCATTGCATGCAGCCAAGTGCCTGAGCCAAATGCTGACGACGAGCCGAAACAGTCCGGGAAGGCAGAGGGAAGCGTCGATGCGAGGAGCTGGTGCGATACCAGCAGGGAGAGCATTCGGCGCGGTGGACCTGTAGTACGCTAGGGGGGCTTCAAGTGTAGGCGAGCCAGGGACTTCGATCGGCGAGCTCTCGCTTTCCCAGGCGGGGTCGGCTTCGCGAGCAGGCTCGGTGATGTCGGCAACGACGGGAGGAAGGGCAGAAGTGCTCGGCTCGTTAGTAGTGTTAGCTGAAGTGAGTGTGAGTGGCAAGTTGGTGTTGATAGGGGCGAGGTGGGGGCGGTCAGTAGGGGCGGAAACATCATCGTTTACCTTTTTGGCTGAAGTCGTGGCGTCAGGAGAATGGGGGCGCTTGTTGTTGGTGTTCATTTTGAAAATAGAGGAGGTTCTGAGAGGTTCAGTGGTGGTGGTTGGTGGTGGTTGAAGCGTTTTGGTGGGTTCAGAGGGTGAAGTGAAAGGATTCGATGGGAAAGAAGGGAGTTGACGCTCGTTGGGTGTCGCTTTTAGCCTGGCTGACCCTGAGTCCTCTCTCCGCTGCCTCGTCCATGCCTCAACGGACGGGTGCGAGCAAAGGCGTGTCTGCAACAGAGGCCACTCAGGCTTGTCCGTCCGCCCAGCCGGCTCACACACAAAAGCTTGCACACCAAGAGCCAGAAATCGTCGCTTTCTCACGTCTCTGGCTACAAAAGAGACCCCTACGGGCAAGCTCGCATTGCTCTCGGGCCTGATTGCCATCTCTACTGTGCCTGTCATCTCGCATGATGATCAAATTGACCACATGCAGCAGGCCGTAAATTGGTACAGGAAAGCAATTAATCTCGCAAGTTAGACCCTGCAGAGGCAGGGTCCCCGCTTCCCACTTCGTGGGCAAGCCTCGCATCAGTTGAGCTCTTTCGCCGCCGCAAATTATTTTACATCTGCTCAGAAGTCTGGCTCTACATCGCTGTGCCTGGGACTCGAGTTTGCAATGAAAGCAGACGGAGAAGGGCTCAAAGTACGTCTACCCGGCATTGTGCAGCCATTCAAGAGTCGCAACCTCGTCCGGCTGGTCTGGTTAACGGATGGGAGAGCAGCAGATGTGGAGTATTGGGTTGCCCGCCTTGCTCAGTGCGGCCTCGACTTGGAGGGGTCATGATTCAGACGGCCAGTCAGGCGCAACGACGAGCTTGCCCGCCGATGCTTGCCTCTCGCTCCGCCCCGCCTTGGCTCGTCCTTTCATTCACGGCAGAGTGTTCAGCGGAGCAACGGACGAGGCAGCGAGACCAGGAGCGCAGCAAACTCATCAGCTCAAGGTTGCAGGGAGAGAACATGGCGCAGAGCTGAGAGGAGCCGTGATGTAGCAATTCGACCTATAAGCTTGACTCCCACTCTCTATGATCATGACAGAGACAACGCAGCGTTGCATATCGAAAGGTCGGCTGCAAGAAACTTGGCATCAAGTCGCCTTGACGATCCACGGACTGAGCCCCTCCTTGCCTTGACAACGTATCAAAGTCTGCATTTATCACCGCTCAAGGTTTGGAGCCGGGCTACGCTGCATTGTTAATGAGGATGCATTGTACTGGTAGCATAGTGTGCACGAGCATGGGACGTTGCACAATCGGAGAGACTGTTTCATTGTTCATCGCCCTGCAGCTTGCGCTGAGTGGAGAAAAGGTGTCTGCTGAGAGCCATCGATGCAGGCGGTCTGGTAAGGACCTTGCGTGATGTTGCGCCACTTGTCGGTCTTGTCCTGGACAGGGCCTCGTGCAGCAGGGCGGACCCACTTCCGCGCCTGCACCACATGCCCCCAGAAAAGAGCGGCGGACGGGAGCAAAGAGCCCCCTCGTCCGCGCCTCGTCTTCTTTCCGTCTTACCTCGTCTTACCTCGTCATTTTCATCTCGTCCAACCCTCAATTGCTGCAGCGGCTCATCGCCACATCGCTTTCATCGACGCCATCATTCATCACTACTCTCTCCCTTCATCGCCTTAAGAGCTTAGTCGCAACGTCACCCAGCATGGCCGCTCGCAGCGCCCACTTCTCTGATTGGACTGCACCGGTCGTACCGGACTCAGCACTCTCCTACCGCGGCATTCTCACGCCCAGTGACATCCAGCTGCTCCACTCGAGCTTCGACTCTGTCGTCCTCGTCCCGGGCCTGACTGGCCCCTTTGGCCGCAAGACGGATCGCAGCGGGACTGTGAGAATTCCAGGCTCGATGAATTCTCTGCGAGAGGCCACAAAGCGCCTCTCTGGCTGGCAGGAGAAGAATGGCGAGGGTGATCGTTTGCAATGGTGGCTAGAACAGCTGCGTCATAAGGGTCAAGGAGCCATGACGGTGAGTAGGCGTGGTGACGTCTGCGTCTGTGCCTGCGCTGGATGGATGCCAATCCGGCGCCTGATTCCTCTCTTGCGTGCGTCGGTCAGGTCTGCGACGTCCTCAACGGTATATCCCTGGATACATGGCAGAGCTACCAGCAACTTTACCAAAAGTGTGTCAATGCGACAGCTCAGCAGCGCTACCGCCAGCGTAAACGCCGTGCAGCATTGGCCCGTGAGGAGGCGGAGCATGGTCATGACGGACCTGCAGCAGATGCTGAGACGACGGCCACAGCGCAGAGTCGAGGCCAAGAGAATGAACCGGCCTTTTCAGCGTCGAATGCGAGCGATACAGCGGTCAAGCATCTGACAGGCAGGAGGAAGAGGCGCAGGGAGTGCGCTTAGGCCACCAGCATCGCATTCGCTCGCTGTCTTCCACTCGATGAGGCATTGCCTCATTGTGAGAACGACTCTTCACTCTCGTGCTCACTCATCAATAGGCACATGCATCGCTGCGTCGTGTACCCCCTTATCTCCGCTGTAAATGAGATTTCCTTTCCCCTTCTTGATGAAGACGTGCAAAGCGGTGTAACGACGAGAAGCGTAGGATGCGATCTGAGCTCCACAACCAAAGTGGCCTCTGCGCCGGCACTGGTCCGCCCCGCATCTGCGAAGCGTGCTGCGCAGCCTCGTCCCGCCCTGTTCCTTTGTCCTCCCTTTGTTCTACCTTGTCCGCCCAGCTTGTCCGCGCCGACTGCATATTGGCCGCTTCCTTTTTCCTTGCTCTCACCCTCTCGTTGTCTTCTGCCCTCGTCTTTCTCCCCTCGTCTTTTCCCCTCATCCCCCCTTTCCTCATCGCTTGATCTGCCACATTTGCCATCAGAGGCGTTCACATCATCGCATAGGCCGTCTCTCAGCCGTGCTCATCACCGCCAGTCGATACAAGGCAGAGTCCGGGTGGGTTGAGCTCCAATAGGCGCCGGATGGACCAGCCGTCAGCCTTCTCCGAAACACTGTTGGCCCGGGTTGGTATTGTCACCCCTTCGCCCAGACCATACCAACAGTCGGCCGGTATACCAACAGGCGCCGCACCTCGCCGAATGGTAGGGTCAAAGTCAGTCTTTGGATGACGTTGGTTTCACCCTACGACCATATCGTCCTTCATCTTTAGGCGGAACTCCTCAAATCAGCGTCAAGGCATCATCATCAATTCAGTCAGTCTAAGGTCGACCACCGGGACCTTGGACGGACAGGCAAACCAGGCCACTTTCATCCATATGCGCCGTCGCAGGATACGGAGAGCCATCTCTATCCTTGCAGCCCATGTTGCCACGCCAAGCTATCTAGCGATGCTTCTCATGCCACCCATGACTCCGCCGCTTGCTCGACCAGCTCTTGCGCTCAAAAAGACGATCTCGTGCCTGCCTTGCACTTCTTCCTCCTCCCATTAACAACTCATCTGGCCTTGCCAGCATATACAGCAATTCCCTTGCACGAGGATCGACTTCAGTCCGGGAGAACCTTCTTGACATCAACATCTACAGCATACGCTACTGTTCGTCGGCCCGCCAAGCCGCTTTGCCTACACACTCACTACGGGCAGCTAGTCGAACCGAAGAGGTGGATGCAGGCAGGACACTTGGGCACCTTCGTCCTCAAAGTCAGCGGCATCGAGTCGCCCAGTCCAATCGCCATTTTACTCCGGGCTCCAAGGCGTTCCCCGGCTCTCCTCAATGTCGCCCTGGCCTCTTTTCCCCTTGGGTCAAGCTATGAGCCTCGTGGATGGAGCTCTGACTCATCAGGCACCATCGATCTACCGCATCGCCTAGGCTACTCAGCCCTCTGCTACGGAGCCAGGTCAACCACTCTTCATGATCTTCGACTTGTGGCTGCCTTGTGCCTTCTTGACGACGGCACTTCTCCCGTCTGCACCCAAGCACCCTCCATCTCAACATCAGCCTACTCGTCTTGATCTGGGTCCTCCCCTCGTACCTCTCGGCCGTGTGCGCCGCGCAGGCAAACGGCGTGGACTTTTTCGAGCCGAAGAAAGCAAACGTCCAGCCTACAGGGGGCGCTGATGTTGCTGCTACTGTATCGAAGCAATCAGTAGGAGCAGCGGCAGCGGACTCGGCACGGTGGGAACGTGCATCAAGGAGCAGTGAAGAAAAGAAGATCGAATCAAGGTTGAGCATTTACGAATGGATAGAGTCAGGAGGAGAACATCAAATGGGGCTGGTGGCACACAAGCTGCTTCCTCAATGCAAGCCCAGACCCATCATCCACCGCCAAAAGAGAGTCTCATCGCCTGCGTCGTTGACACAGTAGTGCAGGCCGTAGAGCGTCGGCTGCAGGTTCCCCCCCACGAAGTCCCCCTTGCCATCAATCCTCCTGAAGCAGATATGCTTGAGACCGACTGAAACGCCACAGTGCAACTGAACGAGGTCGCCCTTGCCAACGACTTGCCTCAATATCATGATACGGAGCTCGTCCACCGTCACCATGAAAGCCTTGCCGCTGTCCTCTGCCTGTCCTCGCAGACGCGTGTGTTCCTTGGCGACCCAATCCTTCAGCTCGCGAGCAAAAGCCTCGGTCGCAGGAGCGCGAGGGCGCCGGGCAGAGGGACGAAGCTGGATACGACAATCGATGAGCCGAGCGTTTTCAGGTCCATCTGCCATGAGCCTGAGAGCCATGGCGCGACCTTCCTCCCTCGTCAGGCTTCCCTTCAGCCCGTTGCAGGCCCAGCAAATCTGCAAGAGGCAGAGAAAGGGTGGGAGTGAATAAGTCAGTCAGGCTGCTTCATACGCTGCATCCCGCCCAATCGGCTCTCTCGTGCTACTTACCAGCGCGCGATTGTGCTTGGGCCAGAACGATCCGCCTTTGCTCCCAGGCTTGATGCGGTCGATGCACCCGTTCCAGGGAGAGCGCACCCCGTCGTCCCTGACCAGAAGCCCGCAGAGGGCAGACAGCGCCTGGTCGCAGCTGGGGCAGAAGCCGTCATGGTGCCAGGCGTGGAGGGCCCATCGCTTGAGGTCGCTGCGCAAGGGCAAAGCTGGTCAGCTTTGGCCGCTGTACGGTTTGCTGGCGTGAATATACCGGGGAGACGAGAAGTTTTGGGAAGGAGGTAGGGGCGAGGATGATACTCACGTCTCTAAGTCCTTGCGTTCTTGCTCTTCTTCATCATTGGGGATCTCGAGATACGCGGCGGTACGAGCAAGCTCCTTGAGGTACGGCTTGTAATTCTCGCCCGAGCGCCTTTGTCTACCGCTCGTGCTCTTGCTCTGGGTTTCGGCACCTCGATTCTTCTGCGCCTGACCGTTTGGAAGATTGTGAGCATTGGTTGGGCCGAGGGGCTGTTTGAAGCCAGAGCCGATCCGTGATGCCAACGAGAAGGGAAGACGTGAAGTCAGTATTATGTATCCACATCATCAGCCATCCTAGTGTCTCAGTAGATGCTTACGGTGCTAGCTTGACGGGACGATCCACCAGCAGCGCTCAGTGCTGTTGAAGACGAAGCGGTCATGGCTCCAGCAGGAGATGGGCCGGTGCGTCGCTGTGCAAGGGACAGAAGAGTTGTATCAGCATCACCGCCTCCTCATCCTTTACCGCACCAGCAAAGATGCTCACCGCCGTGCTCATACCATCGTCGTCAATCTTGCGCTTCGAGGACGACATCGAAGCCTCGTACGAGTTGGTGATGTGGTGGTGAGATCGATCGGCGAGGATCTGTGGGTCAGCTCAGCCCAGCCCTCTTCACTCAAGCTACTCTGCAAATCAGCCGCGAGCGTCGAGTTTGCGGGGCGGAGGCCAATCACCTCTCCGCTTTCCTTTTCAGCGTCTTGCCCGGCAAGCCTGAGCCCCCCCCCGGCGTGGGAAGCTGGCAAACAGAGATGGCGGCGTCCGCTTTTGCTTGGGTGCTTCCAGACATACGAACGACCGGAAGAGCACGGCCAAAAAGTCACGCTTGCTGCGAAGCTCAGCGGCCCGTCTCAAGCTGCAGCCGCTTGCCTTCCAATCACTACATCGCAGCCTCTCGCCGCTCTTCTTCTGAGCCCAAACTCTCACTTCCCTCCCTCAATCTCACGAATCTCACGGATCTCACTCTTTTTTGTGCTGAGCACCTCAGCTCTCAGGGCACCTTCATTACCCCATTGTCCTCGACGCTCACTTCCACAGTCTGGCACTGCCTGGCACTCAGCGCTCAGACTCGACCCTCAACAAGGAAGACAACATGTCTACAGTTTGGAAAAGTGTGTCTTCCGTCATCTTGAGGTAAGTACAAGAAGAAGATCATTGACGAGGGCCCTCTCACGCTGACTCACACGATCGCCTTCCCCTGCTCCTGTCACGCGCTAGTTGGCTTCCCATCTCGCTGTCCGCTTTCTTCCTTGGCCTTTCTTACTCGTCTCCTGCTCCCACGAGGTGAGCTTTGACCATCGTCCTTGAGGCAGATGTGAGAGCATGACTGACCCAATACTCGCCCGCACCGCCAGGCTCTCTGCGAGGAAGCGGAAGGGGGAGGGAATGCTCTGCCTGAGTGGGAGGGTGCTCCCCGCAAGAGCGAAGAAGACGAGAAGCAGCAGGAGATCCACCGCTCCATCGCCACTCACGGCGACTACGCTCAAGGCAACTGCCAGATCATCTGCGCCTATGCTGCAGCTCAAGAGGCGGCTCAAGGCTCTGGCCGTCGTACCTGGCAGATGCTGCAAGGGCTGCGGGCTTCGCACCCCTAGTGCTCAATCCTCAATCGCCTCGATTTCAAAGCAACGAGCAAGTTAGGCTCGTGGCTGGTGGTGCGACATCATCTTCTCAGCTCCGTACAGCACTAAACAAGCTGCGTTGGGTAGAACGGAGTAGAGGACTTCAATCGCTCATCACTCAAGACGATCTCTGCATCGCAGCTGCTCCGTCTCGTGGCAATTCAAAACATTCTTCTCCATTCTCTCGACCATTTTCCACCTGTCTACATTCCCGATAACCCCTCCTCACTGACAGCCCCACCAGTTTTCTCGCTCAATGTCGCTCGACCATCCAGTTCCTCTCCACCACTCCGAACTGCCCCAGTCGTCGACCAGCTCTTCGTCGCTGCCGCTGTCCTCCTCCACCTCCTTCTCCTCCTCCTCCACCATCTCCACACCCCCGCTGCTGGGATCCCTTCCCCTCTCGTCGCTCTCCACGAACGACATGTAGGCCGCCTGATGGGCTGCCCAGTCTGCGGAGGGGATGCCGTCGAGAAGGTCACCGTACTGAGAGGTAAAGACGGAGCAGAGAGAGTCAGTAGCCGCGAGCGAGTAGCCGGCAAGCACAGTATGAGCTACTCACCGTGTAGGGAGCCTGTTCCACCTCCTCGTGAAGCTCAAGCCAGGCGAGATGACCATCGTGGTCCTCGCTGACCAAGAGCCAGTCCCGCAGCGCATTGAGGGTGGCCGAACGTCCGTCGAGGGCGCCAGGAATGCGCACGATGCCATTCTCGTCGGTGAGGCCGATGTGCGTCCAGGCGGGAGAGATGATGAAGTGCCCATACTGCTCGTCGTAGTATTCGACCTCGTCGTCGTATAAGATGCCCCTCCAGTCCGGCATGAAGACACACATGTGCTCCATGCGCCAAGCCAGGTCGTGATGAGCGCGGTGCCTGAATCCTTCTGTGGCTAGAGCAGCCAGATTTTGCAGGCCCGCATTGTTGTCGCTCTCTGGGGACGAAGCAAGGAGAGATGACCACGAGATGTCGGCGGAGGAGGTGTGCGAAGGCATGGTGGCGACGACGGGCGGGGCGGCAGCAGCGGCGGTGAGGGTGGAGGCGGCGGCGTTGAAGTCGTTGTTGCTCATCTTTGGGGTGCTGACAGTAGCTCTGATGGGAAAATTCGGGAGCGATGAGACAATGTGGTTGATTGGGCAAGGATGTTGCTGGAGCTCTTGCTCAATTCATAGCCTCAACGAGTGGAGTCGAGCGTGCGTTGGACTTCGTCTGCTCTCTCTTCAGTCAGTCGCCTCGTTGCCTGCCCTCTTCAATCGAAAACCACTGGCATGTCTGGCGCGTCTCGACCCTCTTCCCGCCCTAGCGGTGCCTTGACTCGTCGACACCGCGTGCCGGCTTGGGTGCGCTGTGGCTCTCTCCTTTGCTTCAACGTGAGAGGTACGGAATGCAATTGCATACTGTAGTACATGAAGCCCTAGATCAAGCCATGAGGAGAACAATATTGGAGAAGAGATCTTCACACATATGCTTTTGACGATGAGCTTATCGACCACCCTGAAAGACTCACGCCCGTGAAGCTTGCCAACAATACGAGAGCTGGTGATGGAGCGCTTGAGGTCAAGTGGCCACTGCTAGGCAGCGAGGCCAACCTGCGCAAGCACATAGCCATCGAATTCAACGCCTCGTGCTCAGTGTGTGCAAGAAGAGGCTTGACCAGTCGCAGCCATGAACTTGCAAAGGTTGTGCAGCCACGACGTCCGCCCGCCCCGCTTGGACCCGCACCCGGAAATGGCTTGGCCGTCGACAAGGCACTGACCAAAAGGGCGGCAACCTAATTTTGCCCGTCTTTCCACCCTGCCTGGGCCTTGGGAGTCGGTTGACCAAGCGGCCGGGGTGGAGCTGCTGCTGCTCTGTCCCTCCCCTCTGAGCACTTCTTTCCTTGCTACATCACACTCCGCAACATCGTATTGGATTTCCCCGCCATGTCTTCTCCCTAGTGCGCATCATTGTTGTTATAGTTAATCGTGGCAGAAAGCCTCACCTGACCCTTTTCTCCCTCCCTCCTTCCCGCATCTCTCCCCGCGCGGCGCAGCGACGGCAGCGACGACGAAATCCGCGAGAGCGACACCGACACGCTGGCTGCTCACCGGCTCACGTCCACATGGGTGGCGGCGAAGAGCGACGACCTTGAGAAGTACGGCGACGACGGCGGCTCTGAGTCAAACAGTGAGGTCGACGAGCTCATGACGTCAGCTTCCTCTTCCCTGAGTGAGCTATCCGCCGGCGGGGAGAGTGACGTGCAAGTCGGTGAACAAGACGGAGAGCAGGCTGGTGAGCCGATCGGCGAACAGGCCAGTGTCGGTACTGAGCCTAGCAGCGAAGAAGCATCCGACCCCGGAATCCAGCTCAACGTAGCGGCTCATGCTGATGCCATTCCAGCCAGTGAGCTCATCATCTTCTCCCGCCGACCAACTCCACCTGACTTTTGCTTCCCTTGCCGTTGTCAGACGCCAACCTCTACCCCCCTGGCTACTTTTCGCAACACCTCCAGATCACCATGTGGATCGACGCCTACAACCTGTTTCGCTTCAGATGGACGTCCAGCTGGGGCCACGAGTTTCTTCGAGTCACCCCCCTTGGTTCTCCTATCAGCATCTGGAGGGAGCTCCTCGGTACCTCAAATGCTCCCATCCCCACGACGATTACCAGCATCGACTTCCCAGGCAGTGGGGCTCGCTTTCGCCGTATTCCACCCTCGCATGGTTATTGGGATTTGGAGATGCTGAACAACTGAGGAGGTCGAGCGCAAGGCGCGCCGACAGAACGGTACACAGCGCCCTAGTGGCAAAGTCAGCAACAGAGGGGGACTGTAACCTTCGACCTATCCAAATCAATGCGCCACATCGAGCGTGACAAGACGTCCACGCACCTTGTCTCATCTCTTACGGTGACTCCAAGAGCTGCCCTTCGCTCAATATAAAGATGTTCAATGAGATGAGTGGACGGAGTGCGAGGCAGGCGAGCAGGCTTACGAGCAGATCATCACCGTCGTGCGTCACGCTGACCGAGTGGTGCGGTGTGGCATGTGCGATCAGAACGAGTGGTCGAGAGTCAGGGATGCGAGATCAAAGCGCGTGGTGAAGAGTAAAGATAGGGCGGATGCTTGGCGCAAGGCCAATGCTTCGTAAAGCTGCGCGAGGCGGGGGCTCGTAGACAGCAGGCGATCGTACGACCGCATTGCGCGACTACACGTTGGCGTGGAGCCCGCACCACACCGTGTCCGCCTTGAGCAAGTGCAGTGGCAAGTGTAGTCGTAGCGCTGACGTCTCTTGCTGAGCTAGGTGACTTCACTCGCGGCACGGTCTCAAGCCAACGAGAGTGACGATTGATCGACGAGCGAGACAAAAACGATCCCGGAGAAGAGATTACGACGGAGAGAAAGAAGCGAAGAGGAAGAAGCGAAGAGAAAGAAGAAAAGAATGAGGCCCGCCCCTCACGCACGCTCATCGCCTGCTCCTCTTCGACCCACCCACGTCCGGCAGAGGCTGCGCCGCCCTCTTTGGCGACTCCCACGGTTTCACCCCATCACCCTTGGGCACGACGAGGTTCGCCTGCACGCAGCCGCGAGACAGGATGGCGAGGTTGAGGAGGTAGCAGATTGCCCACTCCTCCATCGTCCCCGGCGCTACCGCCTGCATCGACCCGCGAGGCAGAGGCGCGACGCTGTCTCCCGCCACGAAGCAGACGCGCAGCTGGTCGTAGAAGCCCTTCCTGTTGGCGGGACCAACAGAGAAGATGGCGTGCACCACGTCCTGCTGGCGGAAGCTGGGCGGCACTGGCACTTCCGTGACGAGGGTGCTGCGGTCGGGCTCGCCGAATGTCCCAAACTCGGCGTGAGCAAACTCATCGCCGGGCAGCCTCAACGTCCTCCAGCCGTCCCTGCTCCCCGCACCCAAGGCCATTCGACTCCCCGCGCCACGAAGACGCACGCCGACGCAGCTCAGCAAGCTCTCCGTCTTGCTGTAGGCTACCGCCTCCTGCGACCTCATAGCGGCGACGAGGCCCATGGGACAGAGGACCTCCTCCCACTGCGCGCCGATGTCCTCCGCAATGGGCTCGATGCGGAGGGAGGAGCCGGGAGCCGCCTTTGAGAAGAGCGTGACCTCGTAGCGGTCCAGCACATACGACGCCAGCGCCGATGCGGACCTTGGCTGGACCACTCTTCCCGCTATCTGCCGCGACCTGAGGATGAGGAAGGCGTCGCCGTTCGGGAACGTCGCCTTGAGGCGCACGTCGAGGGTGGGGAGGGAGGGCGCCACCTTGACGCGCAGGACGCCGCTACTGACCCTGGCAGCGAAGGAGGACTGGTTGATGGCCATCCATGTCTTGTACCTCTCCTCAGCCGAGAAGGGACTCAGGCGGTACAAGAGCTGCTTCCCCTCGTCCACGCGCCAGGCCACGCCCGCAAGATCTGCCCCCGTCGAGACCGAGGGGAGGTCGTCGACGTACTGCACCTTGTCGATCGGCTTGCGATAGACCAGGTGCAGAGGGCCCTCCTGCGCGGCCACAGCGTCATTCGACGACTGCAGCTCCTCGTCGTCGCTGCCGTCTTCGTCATCCACATCGTCGTCGCTGATGCGGATGGGCCTTTGGTGAGCCTGAGCCAAAGGGAGGAGGCGGGCAGGGGCGCGAGGGAGACGAGACGCAGGAGTCGGAGCTGCCGGAGCGCCGGGAAGGTTGGGCGGATGAGATGAGGAGGGACTGTCGAGTTGGGCCTGAGGGAGGGAGTTGATGGTGAGGCGGCCCGGATGATAAATGTGACGACGAGAAAGCGAGGAGGTGAATGATTGTGCTGATGGCGCTGAAGAGCGGAGGACAGAGGTGTGGAAAGATGGGGCGTTGCGCTTGACGACGGCTGTGTCGAACGCGGTTGCCACACCCTTCTTGCCCGGTCTGATGGAGTCCGGCAGCTTTGACGCGAGGGATCCTTGCAGATCCGAAAAGCCCAGTGAAGGAGGGTCGCGATTCGCTCGCGCAAAGGGATAGTCGTCGTAGCGTGCGCCGGCGAAGAGGTCCCAATCATCGTAGCCATCCGTCGCACTGCCGAAGAATGCCGTGAAGGCATGCTCGCAGACAGCGCGGTTCTGACGGTCGATGAATTCAGAGCGATCGTTGTACGACACGCAGCGCCTACTCCCCATGTCCACAAGCTTTCGGCCAGGCGCAGCCTCACATCCTCCCATGCGCTGAAATGTTGCCTCGAGCCAGTCGACTCGTACCTGCTGATCGCGCGTGTCTGGGCCGCGAGTGAGGATGACGGGCCACCAGTCGAGGATCTTCTCCCTGTAGAGCAGCTTCATCCTGCTGCGGCCGGCCTTGACATCGCCCTGGGTCCCATCCTTTTGCGCTTTGAGGATTCCTTGGATCTCGCGATCGTGCTCGCCAGCCCGTCGAGCCAGCCAATTGGTTTCCCCCGTGTACTTCCAGAGCACGCTCTCGTATTGAGGCCCGCGCGCATTCTCCGTCTCGATGAAGAGCATGTATGTGCCAGAGGAGTTGCAATTGCGAGCGTTGAGCTCGCTCATGGTCGCCATGATGTCGCGGACGTCCTGCGGCGTGCGAGCATAGAATGGGGCCATGGAGATCACCTGGCAGAAGATGAAGAGTGCCAGCTCACGAGAGGAGAAGGAGGAGAGGAAGATCCTGAGGTCGACCGCCGATTTGTTGCCCAGATGTGCCCGGAAGATTAGAAAAATGATGGCGAGGTGACAGGCCGCCTCGAGATCGGCCATGAACATCCTCCCGCCCGACGACTCCCTGCGCTGCACAAACTGTGCCTCTGTCCAACGCGCGAAGTGGGAGGTGCTGACGTCGCCTGTCGCAGACTCAAGAGCTTCGAGGCTGCGGCAATTCACCATGGCCTCGCGCAAGCGTCTGATGTCTCCTGCATCATCACGCTTAGTCTGGGCGGCAGTTGGATTTGGCAGCGCGGCTGATCCTGGCGTCGGAGGCAGCCATGGTGTCGTGAAACAGGAGCGTGCGCTGTGAGGGGCTGCAGGCGGGATCCTCGACGACGGCTCCCCTGTCGCTGCGTGAGGCGTGGTGCTGGCTGTTTGTCTCTCAAGGTGTACAGCGTCTACCTGTCTTGAGAGAGCTGCCGCCTGTTCAGCAATCTCGTCATCGCCTTGACCAAACGTGCTGTCTCCACCGCCTGTATCTGCCTGTGCGCGCTCCTCGTCTTGTCTAGGCTGTTCCTGCGCCGCGTCTGCAGCCTGGCGGTCACGCTCGTCCTTCACGGCGGTGGGCGCTGTGCTCCCACTGTCGCCGCCCTCTGCGTCTACCTCAAGAGCCACGCCAGCCTCCCTTGTGATGACTGCCGCCGTCGCTGGCTCCTGAGAGCCTGGACCAGCCCCGACCTCTCGCGTCTGACGCTCCCCTTGCAAGGTGGACCTGTCAATAGCCACGCGCGATGACGAGCGACTGCCGGCCTCGCTGGGCGCCATCCCGGGTGTGAAGGGCATCGAGGCGCGAGCATAGGGTGAGGGGTCGCGCTGAGATGTAGAAGCAACGTTTGCAGTCGTGCGAGTGTCGACGGGCGAGATGAGGGGGCGAGCGCTCTGGCGTGAAGTCGCGCGAGTGTCGATGGGTGTGACGAGGGGGCGAGCAGTCTGGCGTAGAGTCGAGGGAGAGGAGGACGAGGAGGATGAAGAGGACTCAAGGAGGTGTGCGGTGGTGAGGGGCGGCTCAGCGCGGCGGGGTGTTGAGGGCGCGGGCATGAGCGTCGAGGTTGCGAGGTTAGGGAAAGGACCCGAGTCGGTGCGCAGTTTGCGAGCGACGGGCATAGTGTAACGTTCCTCCCTTTCGTATGTTTGCGGTACAGGTGCGGCAAAGTAAAGGTCCACGTAGCGACCTCTGATGATGATCGATGTCACATGCGAGGGCTCGCCTCGAGGAGGAGGGACGCTGGAAGGTCCGCCGGTAAAAGGTGGGATGAACACGCCGGGCGGTGCATCAATGCGGACGATTTCAGCATGTAGAACGTCGCCTCCTATGGGAGGAGGATCAGCTGGAGGCAGGAAGACGTGAATGTAGGCCTCCCCATCGAAATGGCAATGCCGCGTGTAGGAGTCCATCGTGTGTGTGGTGATTCTGATACGAGGAGTATGAGGTAGGAAAGGAAGCAGCCGCAGAGCCAACGTCTTGATGAAATGCAGAGGCAGAGTGCTGACAAGCTGCACGGCGTCGCCGCCGAGGGCCCGAGTTGGTGATTGCTTTTCTTGTCAGGCACCCGCTCGACATTTGGCTGCGCAGTCATCTCTGTCCTAGCTGCTAGCCAGGGCCGCTACGAGCGAGTCGGTCCGCAGATCGAGCAGCATTTGGGATTGCCGCCTCCTTGAGCACATCTTTGCGGTCGCATTGCCTGCTTGAATGTGAGACAACCATCGTGAGGGCGAATGTCGAGCGCGAAGTCGTGGTAGCGAAGAGCGTCAAGGCCGGCCAGCTTCAGTCCAACGTTGAGCCCTGCAGCACACCCACCGCTGCACGGCCCATCGGAGTCAGAAATAGAAAGCGGAGCTAGAGGGGAGAGTGGGCGGGGCGCCGAGCGGGCATGCATGCAGGCAGGCAAACAAAGACGGACAAAAGGACGCTCAGTCCGCCCTCTCGCTCCTTTCCTCATTACCACCACCTCGAATCCACTTCCTTTCACCGCTGCAGTCCACCGTTCACCAATCGCAGTAGCCATTGCGTGCGAGCTTGGCTTGCATTGCCACTTGCAAGATCAGCTCATGGCATCGACTCACTCGCCCTTCGACCTTGTCTGCGTGCAACGCCTTTTCTCCTCGACTCCGCCTGCCTTCTCTCGAGCCTCCTCGCCTCTCCAGCATCGCTAATTCCACACCGTCCTTCCCCTCCAAGTCTGCTGAAGCGAGAAATGAGCCGTTGGTTGATCGGGAGAAGTATGACTAGGTTCCTCACCTTGACCAGCGTCGTCGTTTCTCCCTCCCTCCCCCTGCGCCCCACACCCCTCCCTCACAGGCCAGAATCGTAGGCGCGCTCTCACCATGAGCCTCTCGTCTCGAGAGGCTACTCCAGAGCCGTCTTCTCCAGACTTTGATCCTGTCCACCGTGATTGGACCCCCCCTGCGCTGATGCTCAGCGGTGCATATACTCACTCGTCTGGCTACCGCTGCCCCTTGCCTCGCCCACAGCGTCTCCTCCACCTTCGCAGCTCCACAAGATGCAAGCATCGAGAGAGCGAGAGGGTGAGTTGATATGTAGATGCCACCATGCTATTGAGCTGACTCACCTGCTACCACTCCGCCCGTGCAGCTGCTTGGTTCGCGGCTGGCTGTCCGGACCTCAACAGCGTCACCTCCACCACCCAATGCGACCCGATCATTGTAGACGACAGCCCTCAGCGTCGGGAACCAAGCTCTGTGGTCAAAGATTCGAGCGGCCTCGCTATCACAAAGCGGGAGTCAAACAGCGGGGAGGACCTCCCTGCGTGGTGGGACAGGGTTTACTCACGGGTTCAGCAGCGCAAGCGCAAGACTGCCCCGGCCCCTTCACAGCCCGCCCAGGCTAACTCTCGCATCTCAAAGCCACTCGCGCCAACCGCTCGACCACCCTCAGCTCAAAAAATCGATCCTCTTCCTCCTCCCCCTCGGCATCTCCGACACGTGCCTGATCGTCAATGGCCTCTGGTCTATTGGGCTGTCAAGCACATCGACCAGCGAAGCTACCAAGACCCTGAGCGCAACGAGGTGACCTACGACACCGGTGACTTCGGCCTGGCGTGGGCACGCGCTTGCCATGCTTGCGTCAAGGCTGGTGAGCCTTGCTTGGTCGCCAAGGGCATCAGATGCTCAAGGTGCAGCAAGGCTTCGAGCAAGTGTGGGGCCGCTGGGATGTGTGAGTGCGCGGCGTAACCCTCCCCTCGAGCCTGTGGCTGACCTTGCATCCCCTCCGACAGGGAGGCGCGAGAAGACGACGGACAAATACAAGCAATTCGCTCTCCAGTACTGCCTCGACCTCAGCGCCAAGAGCGGATACTTCACCTCTCCTCCTTGGGACGACATCGACGTCGCCTTCCTGCGCCGCTTCCCGCACGACGCCATCCTGCAAAAGGATCAAGACGCGCTCGATCTTCGCCGCGCTCGCGAGGGAGTCTCGTCTGCGCTTCCCCCTCGACCTCGCACTCCTCCGCTCCCCATGCCCCTGCACGCAACGGCGGAGTGGATCCAGCAGGCTAAGGACTCTGCTGAGTGGCATATGGGATGCGCGCACTACATCAACGCAAAGGCAAACGCCGCCAAGGATCTGCGAGAGCGCGAGCTGGACATGATGGAGAGGGCGCAATCGAGGTCTGGTGGTGTGGATGAGTGGCGCAATGCGGACGCGACCGCACAGAGCAGTAAGAGGAAGATCGTGCGCGGTGTTGAGCAGGCGGCAAAGAGGGTCAAGGATGCGTTGACACCGAGGTCGGAGTCGCGGGACAATAGGCGCGAGAGGCCGGAGTCGCGAGATGAGAGGCGCGAGAGGTTGAAGAGGGAGAAAGAGGCGGAGGGGAAACAGGCGGAGGGGAAGGACAGCTACTGGCGCAGATGAGGTTGAGGAGTTCAGGCGACGATGCGAGAGATCGAGACAGAGTAGACGAGACGAGCCGAAACATGTTATCTCGACGCCATCCAATACCAAGCCAGCGCTCGACCGTTTGCAGCCGCGTCCTCCCCCGCCCCGCCGGACTGAGCATCTTCCTTCTCTCTTTCTCACCACCACCATCAATCGCCCCCCGGTACATCTTCGCGCAATGTCGTGGATTCAAAGAATAGCCGAGCGCAGCGAAAGGCCAGCTCCTATCAGCAGAGACGAGGAAGCAAGGCCTCCCGCTACTCCTCACACAAGGGTCTTAACTCGCAGCGGCCTCAGCCACCGCTCCAGAGCTGCGCCGCCTACTCCCCCTCCTCGCGCAGCAATCAAACCACTTGTCTCCTCTGGCGAGTCGTCCTCCTCCTACAATGCAGCCCTCGGTCACTCGCATACAGTCAACGCAGAGCCCCCTGCCCGACCCACCATCCGCGCGCAGCAAGATGCCCCTCTCACCTCCCTATATGCTAGCACTTCCAGCCGCAGCGCACCTTTTCCCCTCTCGCAGCCCATCCTCTTCTTCCCCGAGATCTCTCGCTGGGACTTCTACCCTCAAATCATCAAGACAGGCACGCCAGAGAGCGTCTGGGACCCGCGACGAGACGGCAACTGTGGTTACCACATCCTGGCGCGGGTCATGAAGATGACGGTTCTGGAGCTGCGCCTCGCCTACTGGGACTTTCTTGACAAGCGCGTCAAGCAAATCTGGCCAGACGTCTCACTTGCTGTCATCCAGCAGGCAAAGTGCCGCGTCTTCTACGATGGGATTCGCGGGAACCTCTCGTGGGATGAACACTGCGTCTCCAAGGAGCTTTATCTCGACTGTATGGACCTGTGCTTCCTAGCCGAGATGCTCCAGCGAACCATTGTGACCTTTGACTCCCGTGACCCAACGAAGGCCTGCACCTGGCCTCCCGTCACGGGGGATGAGGCAAGCTTGCAGGAAGAACCTATCGCGCTGTGGCATCTCGCCGAGCAGGAGCATTGGCAGCTAGTCTATCTCAAGGAGGGCGTGCCTTTGCCTGCGGTGTGCTTGGCAAGTTGGGGGCCGATGGAGACGCGATTTCTTGAGGCAAGCTATCATGCTCTGCTTCATGCCAAGTACAGGTTTGTGGCGTGGAGGGTAGGGAAGGCGGAGGAGGTCGGGTGTGGTTGCCGAGGGGTGGCTCCAGCGCCGCCTCAGGCGTTGTGATGGTGGTGAGGGGATAAGCTGGTGGGGTCGAGGCTCGGCGAAGGGAAGGATGATCAGGATGTGATGGAGCTTCGAGGGTGGACGACGAACGAGTGATGAGGGGAGGGGAGGGAGTGGACAACCAAGCTAGCGAGCGTCCACTTCTAGTCTCTCGCATCTCGGCTCAGGTGGACAGGCATCAGATCAGTGACGTGCGAAAGCGACACTCCGACGCATCCGCCCATCGATTCTCATGCAAGTCCACGGAAGCAAGATGGGACCAGGCGAGGCGAGACCAGCGAGGGAGCGGGTTGCGCAAAACGGACAAAGACTTTTCTCTTCTATCCATCAGTCATTTGACCTGGAGACCTACCTCCCTTTCGAACATCTCTCCGCGGGACCGCTGCCGCCTCGACGTTCCTCCTCTTCGTCCCCTCGCCTTCATCATCATGGCATCCTTGGCGGGTGTGCCTCTCCCTCTTCGAGTCTATCACTCTGCGAAGCCGGCGCTGTCCACCTCCACCTGAACCGACGCTCTCGCAGCATGAGCATCAGCATCTCGTCGAAGCAGCGAAGAGAGGGAGCGGCAGCTGCGATTGGAACCTGGTCGTCGCCGCTCATCCACGTGCAGCCAAACATGACGAACATCAACGACTAGGACAGCTCGCCTGGCTCTGTGCCGAACATCTCTGCATTGGATGCCGCCGAAGCTTCGCCCTCGGCCCTACCATCTTGAGCTCAAAAATCACCTAGCAGACTCGAGCTTGCAGCATACCTAGCAGCCTCCCATCATGCAGGCAGCAGGCGTACAGATGGATTCATGTGGCTCTTTCTGCGGACGTAGCAGCGGCGGGGCAAAGACCCACCTCCTCCCTCGAGTCTCGACAATAGAGGTAGATTTCCCTCCGCCCTTCTCATCTTCATCGTCACACATTCGCGCTCGCTCTTCATCATCATCTTTCGGTCAATCGAAGACTTCATTCCCGCGCAATCAAGCCTATGCCGCAATGCTTGATACGAGCGTACGACGAAAGACCCTCCCGCTTGTTCAATCATCTGGCAAGAAGGGGCAGAAGCGAGGACGAGCCGCCTCTGCACCTCACGATCAGAATTGCACGCAGTTATCTCGATGATGATTCCTTTCTCGTGCTTGCACGCGTCTTACCCCACTCTCTGGATCGTAATCAGGCGGCGAGAAGCCGAGTACGACGATCACATCAATCGTTCGACAAGGAAGAGGCAATGCCGTCACGCCTGGTTGCCCCCGCGCCCTGCCTGCCGCCGCGCGGCCTCGCCCTGCCTCGACTCGACGGAAAGGCGGATGGATGCGCAGCAGCCGTGCCTCCCTTCTTACCTCCGTACCACCACCTAGACCTCTGCCGCGATGTCTTCCTCCAACGTACCAACCGATATGCCATGCCATCGCTGCTACACACACGACCTCGACTGCATCCCCGGAGAAGATGGGCAGTCATGCACGGAGTGCGCAAAGAAGGGCGAGGGGCGATGCAATGCAGGAGGTCGAAGTGAGTGGCGTGGAGTGCTGAGCAGCCTGTATGCACGCAATCTGATCTCGTCCCTCTTTCTCGCACAGTCCCCTGCTACACGAGGGACACAGACCTGCGTCGTCGTCTCTACATCGCTGCCTTCCGCGCTTCCTTCCTCGACTCTGCCCGACCGGATCCCATCAATCCAGACTCGAGGGAACTCGCTCGTAGTGCCGGGCACGATCAAGTAAAGCGTCTTTACCAGTACAGGAGGGCAAATTGGCTTGGTCCTAAGAGTAACACCATTCAGCAAGAGCTCGAGTGGCTCGGCTGGAGGCTCAACTTTGCCAAAGGACCAAGCCACTGGAGAGCTATGCCGGAGCTTTTCCTGGGCAAGAGGGCCCCTCGCCCAAAGAGGACGGTGCAGCCCGCCTCTTCAAGCAATTACCCCTCCCTTCCCATGCAAGGCTCGGCCCATAGCGCTGTCCGCCGGCCCGCGCAGCCCTCACACGCCGCGAAGCCCTCGCAACTTGTCCTCGAAATCTCTGACTCGTCCTCGTCCGGCGGCGAGCAAGCGCCGCGTCTTCAGCCTCAACGCAAGCGCGTCAAGCCTGCCCTGGCCAATTCGAATGGCGGGCTCACCCTTGGTGGCATCGATCCCTGGGCAAGTCGCGGCAGGGCTATCTTTGGGACTTCGCCGCGCCGCTCTGCTCTCTACAGCGACGAGGAAGAAGAGGATGAAGGCGAGGCAGAAGTGCATGCTGAGAATGCCGTGATTGAGAAGGAGCGCGGACATTGCGCCGTGGTACAACGCAAATCGGAGGAACAGCAGGAGGGACGCCAGAGCGGCGTGGCTGGCAGCGACTACGACGACTGCAACGACTGGGACGAGCCCCTACCCGACGACGATGTGGCTGAAGAAGTCATGGGCCGTCTCCTCCCGCTCCGCCTGCCGCATAACGAGGAGGAGGCACATCAAAGGCTAGATGACATCTGCACGCTCATCGCCTACCTTCCCCGTCTGGCTGAAGGAGCCGCCGTCTTGGAGCAGTACCTGGTTGCGGGCGGCGTTGACATGGGCAGGCGTCGCCCTTGGCTGCGCTTTCTTCGTCGCAGAGGCTAAGGCGTGCCTCTTCTCGTTTTTCCTTCCCGCCCTTTCGTACCGTGGGCATCAACACCTCTCACACATCCATCTCATCTCAACTCTCATCCTCGAGTAGCATAGAAAGCAAGTCACCCGTAATACCCGCCCTCGTCATTCATTTTCAAATCCAACATCAACGCCACGTCATGTCATCGACTGGCCCGTCGCGCCAAAGTCATCAACAATAGCCCTCGAGCCACATTCCTCCGACAAAGCAGCCGGCATCTCATCCGCGAGTGCTGTACAAGACCTTCGCTATTCAGTTTTGCTCCGCCACTTCTCAATCTAGCGAGCTACAAGAGCTTTCCATCAGTATCACGCAGAGAAACCTCTTCCGGACAAGGGCCAATCGCACCACCGATCGCGCATCAAGCTCCTATCGCGCTCCTTGACTCAACATGCAGCGTCCACCAGCACTGCTCGAGGCCGCCATCGAGCCTTCTTTCTTGACGACGCACGCTCACGCTTCGATGTCACAATCTTCTTCATCCTTCCCCAATACCAATCCTCGATTTCCGTCTCTCCATGGGCTCACAAAGAGTTCACGCACAGTCAGCTCAGCTCGAGGCAGTCAATGAGTCAGCGCCTCACACTCGAGGCGATGGCTTCTGCGTACGAGCTCGAGTCGAGTGATAGGCACGAGTCAGGAGAAGGGAGTCGAGCAACTACGAATTGATTCTATGGCAAGTCGTAGGTTGCCAAGTTTGAGTGAGACGTATACAAGGAGAAGTCGAACCTTAGTTGCGCTCGACCCGTACGCTCGAGGACTACTTCGTAGCCCTGTTCCTCTAGTTACTGACTGTGCGTATCGCTATCTTTCTTGGACGAGGCGGTGCGTTGACATGCTCTTAAAAGGCTAGAGCTAACACAAAACCAACGACGTCACGATGCCCATGGGGACACGCTGAGCGTCGACATCGTCGGCGAAGGGCTCCCAGCGGAGAGCAGCGCAAAGGTTGGCGTTGTTATGGATCCTTACTTCGTACCGGTTGATGAGGTACGAAGTCGGTCCAGTCGCTGCTGCCTGACGCGTGGTCAGCTGCAGCGAGGCTTCCCCGTCTGGAAACGGCGCGAGGAGACGCACGTCCATCGTCGGGAGAGACGGGACCACCTTGACGAGCAGCACGCCATTGCGAACCTTGCCCCGGAAGGAGCTCTGGTTCATGGCCTGCCAAATCTTGTACCTTTCCTCTGCCGGCATTGGGCTGAGGCGGTACACGATCGGCTGCTGCGGGTCCAGCCGCCATCTCTGACCGTCGACGTCGGTAGCGGCGGGCTCCCCGGGCAACTCGTCGACGTACACGGTGCGGTTGACGGGCTTCTCGTGATCGCCCTCCAGCATGCCGAGGTCTTCGCCCGTGCCGCGCATAGCATCGTCGTCGCCCTCTTCGTCGCAGGCCTCATCGTCGTCTACATCGTCATCGGCGATGTGGATTGGCCTGTTGGCAGTGTCGCCAGGCGCCGGGGCGGGAGCAGGAGGACGGGGAATGGTCACCCCTGGGCGAAATGGAGCAGCCGGCGCAAGACGGAGACCGAGAGCTTGAGCCGACTGCAGTCGAGGTGCCGGCGGGGCAGGACGGGCATGAGCAGAGGAAGAAGATTGAGGAGGGACCGTGGTGAGGTGCAGGCGACCCGGATGATAGACATGGCGACGGAGAGAGAGGAGAGGTGGTGGATGACTGTGCTGAACCAGTCAGCACAGAGCGGTGGTAGGACGGAGCGTTGCGACGCAGAACCGTCGTGTCGATAGCGGAGGCAATCTACCTGGTAGGCTTGACAGGGCGGTCGGGCAGCTTCGAAGCCAGAGAACCTGGAAGGTCTGCGAAGGCAAGCGCCGGGGAATCCCGATTGGCCCGGCCAAAGGGGTACTCGTCGAACCAGGCTCCTGCGAACAGGTGCGAACCGTTGTAGCCGTTGTAGCCTTCAATTCTACGTGAAGAGATAAGTACGAAGGCCTGATGTCGCTGCTGGACGTAGCCGTGGCACTCTGACGTGGGACGAGGAGGAAGAGTCAGCATGTGACGCAGCAGCCTGGCACGCACACGCTATCACTCACCAGGAGACTTTGATTGAGCCCCGTCCGTCGTCGTGATGACACGCCTTGTTGGTCTTGCTCATCGAGCTCTTGCCTCTGCCGAAGCTGAGATTCCAGCCAGATCAGCTCAGGCACAGTCTTGATGACCTTGACTGATTGCACGCCTGCTTGCACACCTCGTGGCATGCCTGATAAGCCCTGAGCGGCCGCGCTAGAGATGAGAGCTCAACGTCAGCGCCGCAATGGAAGATGGGACGTGAATTCGTCTTTTACTCACTGCACTTTGACAAATCCTCTGCTATGTCTTGCACCTTCTCTTTCGCTGTCCTCGTCTTGCAGTGTTGATGATCGATGTGGTGCTGATTGCTGATCTCTACGCTGACGCGCGAGTGCAGAAAAGGGTGGGACGTGGGCGCCTCTGTGGGATGCGTGGCGGACGTGGCAGTTCAGCTTCTGCTTGTGCGGTACTGTGGGCCAGCTGAAGCCAGTGATGACTCACCGCTACCGCGAGGCGCGGCTGACTTTGTCGGACGTTGTTCTCTGCTTTGTTTGTGGGGTGGTGGATGGGTCGATGCGGTTGTGAGGGGAAGAGGGAAGAGGGAAAACAGACGCGAGGTGGGTTTAAGTAGACGTTGGCGCGAGTGGATGTCTGTGTGGCTGTGCCCTCCCTGCGGGTGATTGCGCGATGGCGTCAACCACCGCCCTGCGGGTGATTGCAAGTTGCGAACGGCGGAGATGCGCAGCGTAAATGGGTCACAGATGATTGGTCGAGCGGATGCGCGAGTTCCCCGAAGATCGAACCAGGACGCGAAGATCGAGCAGGTCCGTGCACGAGGCAGCGGTAGCTACAGTATACCGTTCCTGACGCCATAACGCCGATGATTGGGCACGGATGGCCCGCAGCTTCGGTGCCGACTGCGCAGCTCCGGCGGCGCTGTGCAAGAATACGCTCAATCGACGACGACGGCGGCGTCAGACCGCCTGATCCATCGGTGCGCGGGCCGTAGGTCGAGCCGCATTCGCGACGGACACATCGCCGAGGCTCATGTAAACCAGACTGGCGGACAGACGATCCCCGCGCAAGCTACTCTCGATATCTCCAAGTTAACGAGAGCCGTTCGGACCGCACCACGTCCCCGCTCCCTATCTGCCACGCACTTTTCTGAAGCAAACAGTTAAACAGTGTACGCAACACTTACTCAAATGAGCAAGATGACATCAGAACGAGCGAACAAACGCAGTGCACGCTGATTTGCGCGTAAGGGTGGTGATGGGAGAGACACCTGGAAGGTTCGGGAAATTGAGAGAAAAGGCTGCTGCGGCCCGCCACGGGCTTCAATTTGCCAGAGAGCAATCAAAGTGGCTAGCTGTGGGTGCGTGAGTCGCTTGGGAGCATCTCTTTTGGCTCAGGGAAGGGCTGCTGATTGTCTACT